GGATGTGGCTGATGTCAACTTTGATAGCAGGGCTGATTTCCACACCCTGGCTGAAAAGTTCGACAAGCGCAAGGTTGTCTATCCTGAGTCGCTGGTTATCATCACATCAATGCTCCAACATGGCCTGAAGGACGTGATGAAATATCAAGAAGACCCGGATTCTCCGGCAACCAATCTCTCGCCGTCTCATGCGTTATCTAGACCCTCGTCTGCCTACGACTCGAGGCCTAGAGCGAGCTCAGATCTTGTCAGAGCGTTAGAACCTAGGTGTACGTCTACCCCATTGTATTCTGTATAGCTATTCATTTTCTGACCGATGTTTGCAGTAATACCGTCTCGAGAGAGAGTGGGGGCACATGCCGGCTTCCTTAAAAGTGCCATCCAAGTTTTGCGAAATCTCCATGAGCGGTCAAACGAATTCCGAGACTTTGCCCTGTCGTCTGAATGGATTCGTTTGCTTTTGGCGGCTCTTTACCCGGTTATAGTCAGCGCCGATGCTGTCACTCCTGATGTGGAGTTGAACTCTCGAGACTCTGCTCTGACTTTTGAGGGCAGCGACGTCATTATCCGGCCCATGGGCGGTAGCTCTGTGCCAGCACCCATTGTCAGAACGACCAACATCGATCTCGTGCCGTCGCCACAATCGACGCCTCCAAAGGGAACGCCTCTTAAACGAGCGTCATCATTCGTTCTTCTGACTGCCCAGAAAAACGTTTCGGAGCCAAAGCTTTCCGTCCCCCAGGCAAAACCTACACCTCAACAGCAAAAGATTATCGGCGGCAGCATCGGCGATTCCATCGTGGATGGGATCACTGACTTGGTCATGCACGTATTCATGGATCAAATATTCGCCCGCAAGGAGTTTTCGGGTTTCGGACTCTTTACCAAAATGCCCCCCGGCTTTCAGGAACACCAGGCATACTTTGAATCATATGTATTGAAGAAGGCAATTTCCGAGGTGACGAATATAATCCAGACGAGACGCGAGGGGATATGTGAGCCGAGAATATTAACAAATCTTGGCCGGCTTTGTACCCACCTTTGCGAAGCAATCTTTGAAGGCTGGTTCCTCAACGGAGCAGAAGCCATGATTGACTTTAACGGCATGCTCTTGGAATTTTTGCAGCGGCCTGAGATTGCGGGATTGAAGAGTGTCCGTCTTTGCAGCCCAGCCATATCGACAATACGCAGCTGTCTCTTGCGGACTGTTTTGCTCAAGCTCTCGGATCTGGATAGTCGGCAAACCTCGGAGGAGGAGGCCAGGGAGTTCATGAACAAGCTGGCGTACTGGCAGATGTCTATTCTGGGCTGTTTAGGGGCCGATGACGAGTACCTGAAGCTATTCTGGTATCAGCTTTATACAAAACTCATCGACGATAAAGCATCGATTCGAGGCGCTGCTGCTAATTTCCTACGCATCATCCTCGTGCAAAAGCCTGAAGAATCAATCGCTTTGATTCGATCGTCTTCTGCACCCGAGCAGCGGCAGATTGTTCGCGATTTTGAAAAATTGACAGAGATAGATGATGAGTCGTTTGTTCTTTGGGTGGATAAGCATAGACCAGCACTGGACATGCTCTTTTTTGGTGGCATGTCAAAGACGTGGGAAGATTTTGTCAGTGCGGAGAACAATCGAACATTTGAATCTGCGAAATCGCGCCTGACAAAACGCAAAGACAAGCTAAAGACTTGGAACATAGAGGTGGTTGGAGCGGATAGAATCCTTCTCAACCATGAAATCGGTAACAGCGCATGGATGAAGAGCATTTACAACGCGGAATATTTCAAATATCAGCGTCTAATGCAAGACCAGCAAGATGATTTGGCCTTTCTCACGGCGGGCTATAGAAAGATGGAACGAGATCTGCAGCGGCCTGGGGCCGTGTTCAGCATATCCACGGCGCCGAAATGGAAGCTGGATCGAACAGAAGGCCGAAACCGTATGCGTCTGCGTCTTCTCCCAGACTACCCAGTTGGCGAGGACAGGTATCAGCCCAAGGCCAAAGGCAGTCTGCCATCGGCCAGTGCTTCTTCCTCTACGACTCCTACTGCCGCTTCTGGAGCTACTTTGAGCGCCACCCCTGTTCCAAGGGATCCAACAGCCCCAGGGAGCAGGCCGCCTACGCGCTCCAGCGCCATTTTAGATGTTGGCAATGACAATGATGCGGCATCTCTGACCATGGAGCCTGAATCAGTCTCCGATAACCCCGAACCCGGACTCACGGCGGAGGATGATTTTGAGCTTGTTGACGACCCCAATGAGCCAACCGAAGGCGATGAGAACTTTGAAGACAAAAACCGCAAGGTCATGCGGCGTCTGGAGCATGGCGATCAAGTGCAGGCTGCGTACAACATATCTCGTGTCACGGGCCTCGAGGCAAGTGAAGGCCTTTTGATAGTAGGAAAGGACGCACTGTACATCATGGACAATGTGTTCCAGTGTGCCAACGGCGATATTGTAAACGTGTGGCAAGCGCCGCCAGAAGAGCGCGATCCGTTTACTCAGATCGTTACCGGTGCCAAGACGCTTGAAAAGCGGCAAAACGCAGGTGGCCGAGAGCAAGAGTCGAGACATTGGAAGTGGCAGGATGTGATTAGTGTCTCGAAGCGCCGGTTCCTCTTCCGTGACGTTGCCATCGAAATCTTCTTCACCGACGGCCGAAGCTACCTCCTTACCACCATTAGCACTGGACTCAGAGACGGCTTATTTGCCAAAATGTTGAGCAAAGCGCCGCATACCAGCGCGGCCCATGCGCTACCCAATCCAGAAGATGCGTGGAGGTTTGATATGCTCAAGGGGTTTGAGGACTCTCCGCAAGGCCTGGGATCTCGGCTCGGCACTCTGTTTAATGCATCACCGTGGACTTCCATCATGAAGCGTTGGCAGAGGGGTGAAATTTCCAACTTTCACTATCTTATGGTGGTCAACACTATGGCTGGGCGAACTTTTAACGATTTGACCCAATACCCAGTCTTCCCGTGGATCCTTGCCGACTATACCAGCGAGGATCTCGACCTGGAAGATCCAAAAACGTTTCGAGATTTGTCAAAGCCCATGGGTGCCCAGACCATGAACCGCATTCAAGGTTTTATCGACACTTACAGCGCGCTTGAAGAGATTGGACAGACGCCATTTCACTACGGCACCCATTACTCGTCTGCCATGATTGTCTCCTCGTACCTCATCAGGCTGCCGCCATTTGTACAATCCTATCTTCTTGTCCAGGGGGATAGCTTTGATCACGCAGACCGGCTATTCCAATCGATCGGCGACGCTTGGACTTCGGCATCATGTAACAACAAAACCGATGTCCGAGAGCTGATTCCGGAATTCTTTTGTCTCCCTGAATTTCTTACAAACATCAACGGGTACGATTTTGGGCGTCGTCAGAGCAACGGTGTCCAAGTTAATAACGTTGAGCTTCCTCCGTGGGCCAAGGGCGACCCGAAAATCTTCATTGCCAAGCATCGCGAGGCGCTCGAGAGTCCGTATGTGAGCGAGAGCCTGCATAAATGGATTGACTTGGTGTTTGGATTCAAGCAGCGAGGCGAGGCGGCAGTAGAGAATCTCAATGTGTTCCACAATCTCTCCTATGCTGGCTCGGTCGACCTTGACCAAATAAAGGACGTAAATGAAAGGGCGATATCGGCTGGCGTCATTCACAATTTCGGCCAGACGCCGCATCAAGTGTTCCAAAAGCCTCACCCGCCGCGGGAGCAGCTCAAGTCGTCTGTGAAGCGGCTCGATACATCCATATTCTCCTTGGTATGCCTGCCAAACCCGCTGTTGGAGAGCCACGAGAGGGTGTCGACACTCATCTATGCGCCAAAGTTGGACCGCCTGCTCTGCGCTTCGCCATTCCGCCTCAACCTCCCGCCGTATGACAAGTACCTAGAGTGGGGATATGCGGACAACAGCATCCGGTTCTTCTTTGCCGACAACCGCAGGCCGGCCGGTCTGTTTGAGAACCTTCACATTGGCCAGATCTCGTGCGCCGCCTTTGCCGACTCCAAGACGCTCATTACCGCCGGAGAAGACTGCGTGGTTTCCGTACATGCTCTGCACACAGCACCGGGCAAAGTCGTCGAGTTGATACCGAAGTCGAGCTTATTCGGCCACAAGACGCCGGTGACGGCGATTGCTGTGGGCAAAGCCTTTAGCACGTTCGTCACGGCTTCATCAGACGGCCAAGCCTTCCTGTGGGATCTTAACCAGCTGTCCTTTATTCGCAAGCTGCCTCTTGTGCGCCATGTGGAGTGCGCACAAATCCACAACGTGTCGGGCGATATCATGCTCTGCTCGGGACCCAATGTGCTCCTGTACACTCTCAACGGCGGCCTTATTCTAGAACAGAACGTGTGTTCGGACTCGGAGGACTATGTCCACTCTTGCGCTTTTTACGAAGGCGCAGGCAACGAGTGGCTGGAAAACTACCTCATCTTCACGGGACATCGCGGAGGCATCGTCAATGTATGGCGCAAGAGCGTGGTGGGTGGAAAGTGGACTTTGGAGCGGCTGCGGCGCCTCGACCATATTGATTACACCAGCGACAAGGGAGACAATACGGCGGCAGGCATCACTTGCATAAGCCCCATGCCAACGTGTCTCTATACTGGAGACGATGACGGGCGAGTAGTAAGTTTTATCTTTTTACAATTGATACGTGGTTGTGACCGTCACTAACGAGGAAATTGCAGTATGAGTGGAATTTCGCAGGCAGAGACAGGTAGAGCCTGAATGTGCCTCGCCGAACATCTGTAAGGAACATTCGTCGCGCCGTATCGCGGTCTGGGTGAATCAAACAGAGAGAGCATGAAATGGTTATCTAGGAAGAGAGGAGAAGGAGTATTTATTTCCTTTGTGTGGGTAGCGGAGCTCAGCGGGCTAGCGGGAGAGTATAATTCATAGATTTAAAGGGCGCTCAAAAGTTGGACATTGCATGCGTAGCGAGAGGGTGCAGAGCTTTTGGATGGGTCATCAAGTAGAAGGAAGAAAGAAACAAGAAGGAGGATTTTGTAATTTGCATCAATTGTTGAATTTAGAGTCTGTAAATGCCCTGCTCTTTTGCGGCTTCCATGGCCTCCCTCTTCGTATGTTTTACATTGGATGATGAATAACGCCGTGGTTGTGTGTAAGGTATATACAGGGACTTGCTGCATCTGCAATTCCGGCCTGAGCTTTGTATTTCATAGCTTTTGATGCAGATTCCCCCGATTGGCTAAAAAGTGACCTCGTCTTGGCTCGAGCAGCGTTTATTTGTCGTCATAGCCCGTCAGCTGTTTTCGGGGACCAGCGGGAACTGCACAGTAGATGTTAGAAGACTCATTCTCATCCCCCAATTCACCTCCACCTGCAACTGATCGAGAGGCGGCAACATACCGGGATAGGTGACGGGGATGGGCGCGGGGTCGATGTCGCCGAGCATGTGGCGGATGGGAGGGACGATGGGCATCAGAGCAGGGCCGGCGGCACCGACGACGACGGACCAGAAGTAGGCGGGACGCTCGCGGGCAGCCCAGGCGCAGTACTTGAGGGGCTGCGACCAGAAGAGGGGAGAAGACATGGTGGATGGATTGCCTGGACGAGGGATCAATTGGCTGGAAGTTAGCGAGAGCTTTGCAGGTATTCGGAGTAGAGGCGAGAGGAATTGGGGGGTCGTACCGAGTTTGGGCGGGCGAGGACGCTGCTGGGGGATTGGCGTTGCGAAAGAGTGATATCAGAGCAGAGCAGAGCAGAGCAGATCTCGGAATTGGGTGACATGAGGTTTCGCTCAAAGTCGTGATGCTTTGGACTGCGGCGCTTCGGCTCAACCGCGGCAGGAAAAAAAAGATGCTAGTACTAGGTAGGTAATACTGCCAAGCTGTGCTGTAGCTTCCCGGAGCGAAAAAGGGAAAAAAGGTACACGCAGCAATGTACCTTTCAATTGTACGTACCTACCTCTAAAGTGACGAACATCTGGCCCCACAGCGGGTTAGCGGCGAGGCTACGTATCCCCAAGTTGAGCTCAAGCTACGTCTTTCTTCTTGCTACTGTTTGGGAAGCTCTTCTTTGTTTTTTCTCTCCCTCTCACCCCCAAACTTGTTAGTCACCGCTTCTTTGTTAATCCGTCACGATGTGGTCGCTTCTGAGCGTGGCTGCGGCGCTGTTTGCGGCGGCTGCTTCGGCTGTTAGCACGGGCGGGAGTCGCTTGTTGGTGGTGCTGGACGATGTTGCTGAAAAGGATACGTATGGCCAGTTTCTGGGGGATCTCGCAGGTGCGTTTTTTTGGGATTTGGCTTTCTTGAGGGGGGCAATTGGGTTGGGGAGCTGGAGCTTGAGCTGACTGTGGAGTGAATTCGGTTTGATTTGCAGCGCGAGGCTTTGATGTTTCGTACGAGACGCCGCGCAGCGAGGGACTGACGCTGTTCCATCTTGGCGAGAGGAAATACGACCACTTGCTATTCCTACCTTCCAAGGTCAAGGGTATGTTGCTACCTACATCGTGTTTTGTATATCCACAAGTTGCTGACGTTTGTTGATTCCAATTGCTTGCAGGGCTGGGACCAAACCTGACCCCAAACCGTCTTGTCGACTTCGTCAACGCCCAGGGAAACATCCTCGTTGCGCTGTCGTCCACCGTCCCCGCGTCCACCTCGCTTGTCTCTCTTCTGTCGGAGCTCGACGTTTCCCTCCCCATTGAGCGCACCGGCACCGTCGTCGACCACTTCAACTATGACACCGTTTCCGCTGCCGAATCCCACGATGTCCTCGTTCTCGATGCGCCCTCCAACATTCGCCCCGGCCTCAAGTCCTACTTTGAGCTCCCTGGCGGTGTTTTGGCGTTCCCTCACGCTGTCGGCCATGTCCTTGGCTCTGGACCCCTGCTCACTCCTGTTGTTCGCGCCCCCGCCACTGCCTACAGCTATAACCCTAAGGAGCAGTCTGAGATTCTTGACGCTGATGAGCTGTTCGCTGCGGGCCAGCAACTGGCGCTGGTGTCGGTGCTGCAGGCGCGCAACTCTGCTCGTGTGACTGTTCTCGGCTCGGCTGAGATGCTGCAGGACAAGTGGCTCGACGCAAAGGTCACCAGGGTGGGCGGAAAGAACGTCAAGGCTGACAACAAGGAGTTTGCCCGACGAGTGTCTGGCTGGACGTTCCAAGAGATTGGCGTCCTGCGAGTCAACGGTGTCGAGCACCAGCTGCAGGAGTCTGATGAGCTTAACCCTGAAATTTACCGTATCAAGAACGATGTGGTCAGTTGCCCTTGAGATCCTAGTAAAGCGTATCTTGGCTAACTTTTTTCATCATTTAGTCTTACTCCATCTCTCTGTCCGAGTACAGCTGGGACAAGTGGGTGCCCTTTACCCTTCCTGAAGACGACGTCCTCCAGCTCGAGTTCTCCATGCTTTCTCCCTTCCACCGCTTGGACCTGGCTCGCACCGGCACCACCGACGATGCTGCCGTGTACGGCGTTTCCTTTACTCTCCCTGACCAGCACGGAATCTTCAACTTCAAGGTCAACTACAAGCGCTCGTTCCTCACCTACGTCGAAGAGAAGAACACCGTCAGCGTCCGCCACTTTGCTCACGACGAGTGGCCTCGCAGCTTCGTCATCTCGGGTGCCTGGCCGTGGATCTCGGGCATCGGTGCGACGGTCTCAGGCTTTGTTGGATTCTGCGCGATATGGATGTACAGCAAGCCTGCGGGGAAGAAGAACTAGAGAATTGCAAGGCGCCACAATTGCGTGAGTGAAGGGATGGGGTTTATGTAGGGTTGTGAAGGAATTTTTTTATTGATACACACGCCTTGGGAGAGAGGGTGCTGTAGATTTTTTGTTTATGTACGATTTGCATCTGGCGGGCCAAGAAATACCCCATGGATGGCACATGAAGTCCGCCGCGCTGGGAGGATCTTTACGATTAGAGTAGAGACCATGAAAAACAGACGAGATGAAATAGAATTTTTGCGCTTTGAAGAGACTCTTGGCTTGTGTATGCATCTTCTCTGTCACAAACATGATGCTATTCATCTATCTAGCCTTGCTGGATGCCATGGATGGCTACCAAGCTGCAACTCTTTTGCACCTTACGTAGATATTCCAGCTACCCCAGCTACTTCAGCTATCCCAGCTATCACCAGCTATCTATCCTAGCTATCCCATACAACAAGTGAACAAACATAGCACCCTCAGATTAGCTCTCTTAGGTTCTCACCGGCAACTCGCAGCCATGAGTTTTGACACCCACTGCTGTTGTCTGCAAATTTGGCTTTTTGGACCTTGAATCATCACCAGGTGGTCTCAATTTGTTCACATGAAACAAGAAAAATAAAGATACCAGTCCCCCCTTCCTCTCCCCAGCTCGCTTCCACCAATGTACCAAAATGTTCTGTCCGAACCCAGTGAAGAAAAGCCCTGTAGTTGAAGCTCAGCCTGCTCCGATTGAAAACTATATCCCACGTGGGGAGGAAGTGAATCACGAGTCCGTTGAGCCTTTTGGTCAAGTTGACCTAAGGGCAGAGACTTCTCTGAGGTGCAAGGTATCGGTCATTGCGGCTACTGTGAGGAACAACCTAAACAGGGACATTTTTCCATAAAGGAACGAACAGAACAAAAAAGGAAAACAAAGGAAAAGGAAGTGAAAAGGAAGAAGAGGGGGAGAAACTGGTGCTCGCTCAGATCTCTGTTCTTTGAAGGCGGACAGGTGCCAGCGGTGGCTTCGGGGTGAGCCAAAACCGACCAGGAGGCTTCCCTTTGTCTTGTGTGAAGAGATATCATCACCGAGAGCAGTCGGATGCCCAATCCGTTGGGGGAGGCAATGGGGTAGAAAGAGGCAGAGGCAAGGGGAATGAAAAGAGTTTTGAAGAAGAAGTTGGGGGAGCGGAGTGGAAGCTACGAAGTCTAGATGAGGCGAGGCGAGGCGAGGCGAAGGGGAGGATAGATAGCACGGGCTGGTTGAGGCAGAGCACGGGTTGGAGAGGGTTGGAGATGGCACAGTGGGAGAGTTTGAGCAAGTCGCATCGGCATCAGCAGAAAAGAAAACAAAGGGTGATGAGAAGTTGGAAACAAAGTTGGGGAGAAGGCGGAGGCTGCTGTGCGGCGATGCGTGACGAAAAAAGGGAGAAGAAGAAGAAGCGGAAGAAGCGCGAGGAAGAGGCATCCTGCTTTATAGTTACCAGCAAGAAAGAAAATTTCAACCGGATGCCGGCCAGGCGATTGTTCCGGCTTCGATAGAACGCATTGGAAGCATTCCGAAGGGTTGAGCAAGTCTCAGATTGTGTGTTGCCAGCTAGCGAAGAGCTGTTCGATCTGAATGAAAAGTGAGGGCGTTGTTGAGATGCGGCTTTGACAGCTGCCGGCCAGGTTTGGTGGTTTGAAAGGAGGTGAGTTTTGGGCACACGCGCTGGAGGGGGGGGATTTGGGAACGCGCTTATGGGGGGGTTTAGCGCTGTGGGAGGGTGGGATTTGGGGCATGCAGGTACCGCGAGTGGCAGGGATTTTGGGGGGGAGCTAGCGCTGTGGGTTTTGGGGGATTAGGCGCGTTGCCGCCTGTCGTTTGCTGTCTGTCAGTTGGTCATTGGAGCTGCAGCAGTTTGGATTGATGGGATTCAGTGTGGTTTGTTTTGAGTGGTGATGCGTCGAGTAGCTGGTGAGACTCCAAGTGGATGATTCACGTATCTAACCCTGGATTTCTTCATCACGGCTGAATATCTTCCAGAGCATCGTATAATCGAATCTGATGGCAGAAACACTCGTTGCGATATCGCCGTGACTGACGCCCTGTTAGTCAGCACCGCCTCCTCCCGGCAAACTTCCAAGCCACCGGCCTCTGCAATAGTCACGATTCCATTCCCCTTCTGGACTAAAATGCCTGGCAGCCATCCATTTAATTTGTATCCGACAATGCTGGACTCTTCAAACCTCTTTTGTGCTGCATCGCCGTGATTTCCGGGCCTCGAATCCATCCAGTCGTGAATCATCTGTCAAAGTCACATCCAAGGATTCTCACGCGCTTTGGAGCGAAGAGACTGGAGCTACTTACTAGGTAGCACTACCCAGCAAAGATGTCCCACTCAGACGAGCATTCTCCATTGTCTGCCACCGTCCATCTCGTCAGTAGGAAAAAGAAGCGCGCCTCAAAGGCCTGCTCGTGTTGCCGGACTCGCAAAATCCGCTGCGATGTGCTCAAGACGGGCGTTCCCTGCACAAAGTGCCAGCTCGATGGCTTTGAATGCGCCGTCCAGGCCCGCAAGAAGAGGCGTGGGAAGAATGAGACGGACAAACCATCGCCATCGCCAAATCAAGAGCTGACCATCACCGGTGCGCCAAGGCCGTCGTCGCCACGCTCAATACCGCATCATGCCATGCTTCACCAGGTTCCGCACTATCCTTTCTTCCGCAGCTTTGCCCCTGAGAGCCAGCCGTCTTTGCTGGCCGTCTCGCAGGATAGCCGCCGTCTCTCGGGGTCCATCAAGCATTCCAGACTGGATGAAGACGATATCCAGTATCTCAAACGGAAGGGTGCTCTCAGCCTCCCCCCAAAGGGCGTCATGGACGAGTTTGTGTCCAACTATTTCCAGCTCTTCCACCCATTCTTCCCCATCCTCGACAAGTCCAGCTTCCTGGCCAGCTACTACAGAAGTGACCGTGGTGCTGCTGCAGCTACTGCTCACGGCCCGAGTTTGCTGCTTCTTCAGGCCATCATTTTCACGGCCAGTGCGGTATGTAACCATCTGTTTGTTTGGGAGGCCAGGACAGCAGTTTGCTTACTGGCAGCTTCATAGACGGTGCCCATGAGTGTTGTACGAGACGCTGGCTTCACAACTCGAAAAGAGGCAAGAATCGTACTCCACAAAAGAGCACGGGTGAGTCTCCTCTAAAGCCGGGCCATTTACTAACCGGATACTCGTGCTCATGCTTACCATCATGCCCACAGTATCTATACGAATTTGATTTCGAGTCAGACAACATCGCAAACATACAAGCACTCCTTCTACTGAGTCACTACTACCCATCCATGGTTGAGCAAAAGCACACTTGGTTTTGGATCCACCAAGCCATTAGTCTTGCTCAAGGACTTGGGCTGCACCGAAATGCCAGTCAAGAGCCCCAGCGCAAACTTTGGGCCAGAATATGGTGGGCATGTCTGGTGAGAGACAGGCTCACCACGCTCGGCACGGGGCGGCCAATGCACATCAACAGTCTGGACTGCACGGTGCCAATGCTCACGCTTGATGATCTGAAAGAGGATGGCGACAGCGAAGATGACCGAACAGTCAAGCAATTTTTCATCGAGTTTGTCAAGCTTTGCCAGTACATGGAGGGAGTGCTGTCGCTCCCTCACAACATCGCGACGGAACCGGGATCACTGCTCGAACAGATTAGCCTCTGCGAAGACACCCTTCAGCACTGGCGTCTGAATTTAGTCCCGTGCGCGAGGCTGCACGAAACAAATGGAAGAGATTTTGACAAACGGGGTATCTGCACTCTCTACAGGACACTCCTACATCTGATGTACAAGTAAGCTCATCCGAGTCCCTGATCCCTCTATTCAGTTTCCCTCAAATCATCGTGTGAGTTAGTTAGCTAACATGCCCACAGTATTGTCGTCATCGCCCTCCACAAGTCACATCAGGTTTTGGATGAGAGCCGCCCTAGTGGTGCACAACCTCCACTGCCAAAAGTTCAGGCAGCTGCTGAAGACTCAACACGACTAGCTGTCGAGCTCGTCAGATTAGACTTGATCAAGTATTGCCCAACAATATGGTAACTGCCTCTTTCACCGTCTGTGCTGTGAGTTGGGTATGTGCTAATGATATCCCAGTGTAACCGCCATTCTACCGCCGCTCATTGTTCATCTTCTCATGATGCGGTCCTCTCCGGACCCATCCAGCAGACAACCTCATATCGATCGATTCAACAAGTGTATGGGCCTGCTGGAGCAGCTTGGCGATATTTATTGGCACGCGAGCTTCTATCACGACTTCTTCAAACTTGCAGTCTTGCATTCTCAAGGCCCAACAACATATGCCAACGGACAAGAACAAGATCCTCTTGTTGCATTTCTCAATGACCACATGCCCGTCAAGCTACCTGTTCTTAGGGGAACAGATCTCTACAGCCAAAGCGCTAGTCGGAGGCGTACGCCTGCAGGGGATGATATCGAAGACAATACTACAAAGCCTACGGCTATTTCAAATCAGGACGATAGTGCCGCTGGTCACTCATCGAGCATTGCTACTACTGCTGGTGCTCAAGCTGGATTTTTGGCTCCCACAACACAGCCTCCCATACCCTATGAACTTGGATCCAACGAATTGGAGCTCGGGGGTGTTGCGATCCCAGACACCAATCTCCAGCTTTTCGAAGATTGGTTGGATGAGTATGGGTATTTTCACAACATCTTCCCATCTGCTTGAGTTGTACTTCCTTCTATTCAAATGTCCATACATTACGTTCTATCTATATACTATGTCCCGAGATGTTATATGCTATTTTATATCTTTGGCTCATTAATAATGGCCAACCCCTGCTCACTCCTCCAGAAGCTGCCTGAAGGGTATGTGTACTTCTCTATCGCCTCCGGTTTATACTCTACGCTATATCCTGGATCGTGTGGGGTGACGAAATGGCCGTCCTTGGTCTGGCAGGGGTTCGTCAGGACCTCGCGGAACGAGCTGATGTGTTCTAGCAGACTCTTTTCTCCCGACACGCATAGATAATTAATCAGAGCAAGGTGTTGCGTGTATTCGTTCAGGCCAATACCTCCACTGTGAGGTACAATTGGCACATTAAATCTGCCCAATAGGTTAGCCATGCGAGCGGATTATTTGGGTCGGCCATTTGCGTGGACTTACTTCTTGGCCATGAGCAAAACGGCCATGACTTCGTTTACACCACCCAGTCTGCAAGCATCGATTTGGCAGTAGTCGATCGACCCGGCTTGGAGCAGCTGCTTGAACATGACACGGTTCTGGCAATGCTCGCCGGTAGCAACGCCAACGCCGTGTGGCTTCAGGGCCTTTCTGATCTCAGCGTGGCCGAGGATATCGTCAGGCGAAGTAGGCTCTTCGATGAAACTGGATGGGGCAACGTATATCAGAATGTTGTCCATTTCAAGCGAGCTAGGTACGGAACTTACAGTGGCTTGTATTTGACAAGATGGAGCATGTAATCGATTGCCTCAGGGACGCTCCATACCTGGTTGGCGTCAACCATGAGCAGACGATCGTATCCAATGGTATCACGGGCGATTTGCAGTCGGCGCTTATCATCCTCGAGATTACCGCCGACCTTGAACTTGAACTTGTCCATGCCTTGATCGAGGTTCGATTTGATCAGCTGCACCATCTTCTCGTCGGAAAAACCCAGCCAGCCGGCCTGCGTCGTGTATGCCGGCACAGCCTTACTAACGCGCGCATCTTCCAGTCGTGCGGCCTTGGTCTTTTCTTGATCGCGCAGCAACGCGATGGCTTCCTCTGGAGTGATGGCATCGACGATGTATCGGAAGTCGATGCAGTTGACAAACTCTTCCGGCGTCATGTCGGACACGATTTTCCAGACGGGCTTGTTCAGGTATCGGCCCCAGAGGTCCCAAACTGCGTTGACGCATGTGCTGAGACCCAAGTGAATGACGCCCTTTTCCGGGCCGACCCAGCGGAGCTGTGAATCGGAAACGAGATGCCGCCATGTCTGGCCCATGTTCTCCGTCAGCTCAGCGAGCGACTTTCCGACGAGGCGCTCGGCGATCATCTCGGCTGCGGTTGTGCACAGGTTGTTTCCGCGGCCGATTGTGAATGCGAAGCCATGGCCCTGAAGATCTGTGTTGGTTTTGAGAATGATGTATGCGGCGCTGTAGTTGGGGCCGGGATTCATGGCATCTGAGCCAGAGAGGTCAAGACTGGTGGGAAATCTCAAGTCTATAAATGCGATAAGTATCGGTTCACTTTTGTAAACATGACCGTGAGATGGATGTCTTACCGTGAGCTTCAAAGCCTGTGATCTTGACTTCTGAGGCGGGTACAAAAGAGCCCAAGAACTCTCCATTGCCGTTTGTGTCTGTTCGTGAAGGTGCCATTGTGAATTTGTTGATGCTATCGCTAATTACGAGTATGATGGGAAGAAGAGTCGCAAAAGTTGTTGGACCTCGACAATACTTATATTCAGGACAATCCACCACGACGCGGGATAAATAGCTTGATCTTCAGCGAGATGCGATAAGATATATGTTGAAATCGCGACTTGCACAATGATATCAGGGCCAATCATGAAGCTCCCGCCGGCAATTCGGCTACATGCTAAGCCCGGCGGCTGAAGGATGCTGTTGGATGCCATTTTACCCCAGAGTTGATCGGGGAATTATCTGGAGGATCCAGTTTCGCGATGATCCCGTATTTGGGTCTCGGCTAGTCAGCCGACAGCGCTTGACTAGACGAATCTGGGGCGATGCGTTGTGGAGTCTGGGGTAAGTTGTGATGCTGTTGTCCAATCATGATGCGTGTGACGGCTTTTCGGGTATTTCTGGCTTGGCTGTTTGGTATATAATTGAGCTGGTGATGATGAGTTGAATTGATTGATGCGATAAGATGATGTTGATTGTTTAAGTTTTATGTCAATATGGTGAGAAAGGTAAAGTTTCATTCTCTTCGATGTGGTGAGTTGTGGTTTGATGAGATATTGACGGCATGGTGTAGGCAGTTTATTTCTACGGCATTGCGCCATGTACCGGAGGTTTAGCCTTTGGATATGTAAGTCGGAACTTATATCACCTATTGAAATCTGATAACTAATCGTTTCTTTATTAGGACACGGGCTCAATGAGTGAGTTAAAGCACACTACGACGACGCCACGGCTCGGGGAATAATGTCAACTAACTCAACACCCAAGGCGGCATCTTGGCCATGCCACAGTTCCTGACTTACTTCAAAAACCCAAGCAATTTCCTCCAGGGAGGAATCACTGCATCGATTCTGGCAGGAGCTTTTGCCGGCTCTCTGTTGACGGGTGCGTTCCTTGCGGATAGGCTGGGGAGAAGAAAGACGATTTTGCTGGGCTCTGCAATCTTTACGATTGGTTGCGCCATCTCTGCTGCGGCGAACAATGTTGAGGCTCTTGTTGCGGGGAGAGTCATCAATGGGCTTGGGAATGGGTGTTTGACGATGATGGTGAGTATTCTTGATATGGGTTGTTTGTTTGGGGTGGTATATGGGGTGCTGACTGAGTTAGGTGACCATGTATCAAAGTGAGATTGCGCCGCGAGAGTATGTTGCTATTTCTTCTACTATTGCTACTTGTGTCTACTATTGCTATTTGCGTCTACTTTTGCTATTTACGTCTACTTTAGCTACCTGTATCTACTACTGCTATCTGCATCTACTTTTTCTATTTGCTTCTATAGGCAGGAATTGATACTAACTACCGTCTAGAATTCGTGGACGAATTATCAGCGTGTTTCAGTGTTTCGTCAACTTCGGTATTCTTATTGCTTTTTGGATTCAGTTTGGGACTAGTCACATTAATGGCTCCGCGGCATGGAGACTTCCAATGGGCTTGCAAATGATTGTAAGTTAACTCTACTATACCGACATCTAGAAAATGAGAGATTAATGAGACATAGGCTACCGTGGCTCTGCACATCACCATGTGGTTCATGCCCGAATCACCTAGATGGCTTGTCCAGAAAGACAGACAAGAAGAAGCGCTGCAGGTGCTTGCCCAAGTCCATGCTGGTGGTGACATTAATGATCCATATGTGCAAGCCGAATTGGCAGAGATTGTGGCCAAGCTTTCGTTTGAGAAGAACCACCCGCCGCCTAGCTATTTCGACTTGCTGATTGGATCACAAAGACGTCGTATGTGGATTGGTATTGGTGTTGTACGTTTTTCTCTTTAACACTAGGCTTTATAACCAAGAGCTAACGAAAACAGCAATTTTGGCAATCTATGACTGGTATTAATGTGTAAGTCGGCTCTGCAACATTCACTCCTGGGTACTTGACCCTAACTTGACATAGCATCATGTACTACGCCGTTTTTCTCTTCCAACAAGCTGGCCTTGGAGAGACTTCTTCATCCCTCCTGGCAAACGGTCTTCAGGGCGTTGTTCTCAACGTCTTCACGTATCCAAATATGTACTACATGGACAAATGGGGCCGAAGATTGCCCATGGTAATCGGTGGCGTTGGAATGGGCATTTCGATGATGATTATCGGTGTCCTCATGAAGGCTTACGGTATCTGATTCTTATCCTCGTGTGTACATCTATCTGATATACTAATATCGCGCTGCCAGGTGACCCCGTCTACGATTCGCTCACGCAAAAGACCAACTTTGACTTTACGAATGAAGCGGCATCCCGCACGGTTATCGCCTTCGTATATATATATGTTGCAGTGTTTGCAATTACGTGGGCTTGTGTCGCTTGGGTGTATCCTCCCGAGATTTTCAGCATGAGCATGCGTGGTCGTGCTACGTCCATGACAACGGCTACGAACTGGTTTATCGTTAGTAGAATACCTAAGTCTTCTGTTGGAGACGACTGACTAATTTGATTCTAGAACTTTTGGTTCGCCTTGTATATTCCTACTGCAATGGCCAAGATCAGGTTAGTATCCCTCATCCCCCCATTTTAACGGTCTTGCATAGCATGCTAACGTGTTTGATTGACAACAGTTGGAAGTTATACATGATATTCATGGCCCTGTGCTACCTCATGTCCATCGTCGTATACCTCTTCTATCCCGAGTCGGCCGGCAAAACACTTGAAGAGATGGACTTTTTGTTCTCCAAAGGACGAACCCCGTGGACCTTTCTCGATCGCGAAGCTACCAAGATCGGGGCGCTGTTCCAGAGAGATTTGGAGCATGGAGAGGCGCTTACTGTGTTTGATGAGGATGGTATGGCTTTGAAGGATAAGGTGAGGCAGGTGGAGGATGTGGTTGAAACAAATGCTCATGGGGAGGAGAAGTAGGCCGTTGGGGTCGCCTTTGCGACATATTGTGTGTATGAAGATTGTTTTTGACTTGCTGCTAGTATCACAAAAGCGCTGTATGTGGGTTGGTATTAGCGATGATGATGAGTTTGAATAAGCGTATTGCCCAAGACAGTAGGGATTACTATCTTAATTGTTTCCCTTTTAAAGAGATCTTTAAATATGTAAATTCTTATAATAACTTTTGCAAGGAGGATTTATAAGAAATATTGGCCACTTAACAGTGACGATGTCAGTCTAGCAATAATATGAGCCATAAGTCATGCGCATTTCCCCCTCCCTCCTCCGGGAGTCTCAGCCGACGGTTTTTTGATATCGCCTCCTAGTTTGACAAGCTTTTGTGGCTCTTGTCTCTGGTTTACTGTTGTAGTAAGGCCGCGCCGGCTGCTAAAACGGAAATCTTGCTGTGCTGGAATAATTATCAGTAGTGGAAAAAGCGTTTATAAATACAGAATATGATTTCGTACCATGCGGTTTTAGAAGATTGAAAATAGAGATACTAGACGAAAGTGGTGATAGTAGCAGAGAGTAGCGATAGTAGCAGATAATAACTGTAGTAGTACATGTATATATTAAAAGAACCACCAGCCTAGTTAGTAATAGAAGTTATTTCCTCTGCCTCTTGGTTTGACACTTGAACTCTGCAGAGTCGCTAGGAGATGGCAGAGCCACCTCTTTAACGGGCTGTTTACATATGGCGCCATCGTCTAATATGTGAGAATCTTTCGGCGAGAGTCATTATAGCTGCTTTATAAACTCGAAAAGGTGCATTGTCGATAGTGTGACTCTATATGAGGAGTTTCACCCTTTTCGGTATTAATGGCCGAGAATATCTCTCGGCATCTTTTGAATAGTTAGCAAAGCCGTAAAATGTAGTTCAAAAATGGTGTATTCTGGCCGGAGTAACTGACCGGTAGAGCTTATTGTTTCACATGCTGCATCGTCTCATTATTTCAGATGGGACCAGCCATCAAGAGAATCGAGGATATTTGCGCAACATGTCGAATGGTGTAACCAGATTCATGGGCTTATCTCAGCCACTTTCTTTAGAATTGTCCCTGATACTCATCTCAATACCCGGCGCGGCATCTTGTGCACTGGCAACTTCGCTGGCGGCCACACTGGCGGCTTCACTTTCAGAGAGTCGTACAAATATATCGGGGTCGTCCATGGCCCCCCTCATCGATGCAAATATATATGAACTTGAAACATTCGCGGACGGGCGGTGACATCGTCGTTTCGTTGCCTCGGCGATCTCAAGCATAGTCTGTGCGTCAGTTACGCTGGGCCTATGCGACTTCGGGTGAACACTTCCGTGTAGGATGAGATTCAACAAAGGCTTCAAGGATGGAAGACAAGCTGTCGTTTATCAGCCAAAGCTGCAGGGAGAAAGGAAAATGGTAAGGCATGCCACAAACGGTACCAATATACACTTCAACGCCAGTCCATTTCATTTCCGCGCATTCATCCCACGTAACATCCGGAGACTCCAAGTTTAGCTGAAGCACGAACACGAATCGAACAATCGAAACAACGAGGACGCTATGATACACTGTGAGGTTTACGTCGTTAGGTTTTGGAGGGAGGTAAACTTACAAGATGCCCAGCATAAAGATACACGCAGTCGCAATCTTCTGAGACATGCGTAAATGCAGATTCCAGATATACGGCAGCGGGAAGAGAAGAATGAGCACGTCTGTGACAATGTGAGGAACCGTCTTTCCGATAAACAGGTTATGAATGTTGACACCGCATGTGAAAGTTGATGGATCTGTTGGGTGAACGGGGTCAAACTGCTGCCAGAGAGCGGATATCGGTACGCATTGGAAAACAGAAGTTAGAATCTGTCCATAAATCAGTTTCTTCATTTTGAAAACACCCAAAGATAGCCCGGATACCGGAGAGGATCATACAGAAGCAACTGTCCAGCAACCGACCATTCCAGCCAAGATTCCAAGAAGCAGCTTGTCTATAAATTGGACGCTAAAAATTCTCCAATAAAAAGCCAGGATCGAGAGCTTGATGCACATGAGGCTAAACGTGTAGGTGAACTCGGTTGTGAATAATCCCAACGCCCAATCTCGAGTAGCATCTGGTGGGCCAACCCATATATGTTTGCAGAACCCGTTGCTCACCACTGCCGGAGAGTATTAGCCACGAAATAGTTCCATGCTGAGTCTTATCGGAACGTACTGTAAATAGTGACTGTAAACATGAAACCGCCGGAAAACAGCTAGTATCCGACATCTCACGTTAATATCCCTTCCACTGGCCGCCGCGGAGTAGAGTGGGATAGCTCATACCAAAGAAGCGATAATAAGCCAATCATCCAGCCAATACCGAATCTTTGCCAACTTCCTACAAATGACGCGCAGAATGACTGCTGCTACCGCCAAGCCCCATGTCGATGCCCATGCTGCAACAAGATTGCCCGCTTTGCTCGCCTGGAGGTCGATTCCCGGTGGCGGAGGTCCCAGCGAGGCCATGACGCGTTCAAGGGGGTTCAAGCGCCCATCTCTCTCTCAATTCAGATGTCGTTCTGAGGCCTATGCCTGCCGTTGCGGAACCAAGAGGCTGAACATGGAGAGCGACTGCGCTTCGCCGACGACTTGAATGAGACTGCTTCTGCCAACTGAGCGAACGAATGATATGGTGAAAGAAAGATGTATTGGATTAAGAAACGCTATCTGGATGAGAATTTAGCACTGCCAACAGAACATTCGGACCGCACGGCCATTGCAATCTTCCGTCTCGGCGAAACTACCTTTGCGTGGGCTGTGTCGGCCAAAGCATTAAGCTTCACGCCATCCGTCCTCCACACAAAACACCAGTGTCTAATGATTCCATCTTGACTTGGCTAGTGCATACACTAACATCCCAATGCCGAAACCGCCCTCCAGAACTGGTGATGTTCTCAGGAGCTCACCATTGGCTGCTCAGCAAGCCACCACGATCTGGAGTAAGCAAGCTGTCATTTCAGCTAGAGATTGTGAAGCGCGATGCCGAATACCCGCTGCTGATATTAGGCCAGTGTGTCGCAGTTTGTATGTAGTCTCACAGAATCGTCGATATCAATCATGCCTCACGTGCCTGCAAGTCGCCCATGTCCTTGTATTCTCAGCCTTTAGGATACTGAAGTAGAAGCGCTGCTTGAAAGCCGTTCAACTCTATGTTTCACCAAGGTTTGGCCCAAACGGCGCTACCTCACATCGGTCTCTAGATTGGCTTTTCTCACGTCCTCGATGCGATGGATGAACTGCCATGTTGTAATAAAATAGCAACTCTAACCGGATTCTCAGATGTGGCTTTCCAGTAGTTAACCAAGCAATCTGTCTTGACAGCCCAGAACCGTCGCGGCCCAGAATGAAGTATCTTATAAAATGAGACTTCTGCTTTAGTTCCATGCAAATCGTCGTCCTGTTTTGAGTCATTACTCTGACAACCGTCGATCTTTTCGAGTAATCTTTTCGACCCAGCTTCTGAGAACGCTAGCTCCGTCCTGTATCTCTGACGATCTTTGGTATACTACATCATATCCCACATCTGCGTCATCATTGGTATCTCGTCAGAATCCTCGTCTTCTTCGATATCCACATCTCCACCGCCGTCGTATTCTTCATCCAACCTTTCGTAGTTTTCGTTATCAGATTCATACCATTCTAAATGCGGGAAACAATCAGTTCCATCCTGATATAGATTATGATGGTAATCGTCAAACATCCACATCTTCTGCGCGAGAGATTCAGAGCTGTGGGTATATATGCGACAGCCTCGATCTTTGGTGGAGTAGACATGAAAAAAAACTCCTGTTGGTTTTGTTCAGGATATTCAAAAGCTTCTCCTCACTGAGTATCACTTCCTCCAAGCTGTCAATTTTCACCTGGATTGTGGTGGACACACACCGCTTCAGCTCCAGCTCAGGTATCTTTGACAGCGCATGTATTGTGCGAATGGTAACATGACAGTTGTGAAATGTGAGGTCTTTCAGCGAGCTAGCAACTTTTGTGACAAATTCAAGTAATGAACGGTGTGTAAAGGGTACATTCTCAAGTTTCAAGGTGTGAAGCTTTGGATACTGGCAATCAGATGGGAAAAAAAGGCCAAAGAAGTTCCGTGTACGCTTTTGGTGTACACCAGAACGATTAAGGCATAAAATGATTTCTTCAAGGGCTGTTGCCGCTTTGAGATATGAACCTGCACAGTCTAATTCTTCGAGGTTTCGAATGTTGGAGATGCAAAGGTTTATGTGCGTCAAATTCTCAAGGCATTTGGCAAAGGATCCCGCGAGTCTTCTGAGATATGTCCAAATGGATTCGTCAACGAGACAGAGCCTAGTGATGGGTGTAAGAGTATGCAGATTAGCTCTGTGTGTTAAATATGGGATCATCAAGGTGTAAAATCCATCATTACGGCTGCCCCATGCATCAGGCGTGCCTTGAAGGAACAGCTGGCCAGTGAATGGATACTGTAATGGCGGTTGTCCCGATGGCGTGGTTAATTCGCGCGCGATAGGCATCGGTTGAGAGATAAGCTCTTTCAGCTTAGGCATCTTGTCAAGTGCGGCAAAGAATCTGGGTGTGAAAGTCTGAATCGACTCCTCTCTCTGTGTGTCATCTTCCCTGTTACTACGCATTTCCGGTAGCCGGCCATCGTAAACGTGGGGTTCGTCGGATGGACGCCAGTGAGAAATACGGTCAAAGTGGTCTAGAAGTGAAGAGAGGTCGACTTCTGTATTTCTTGGGCCATCCCGAATGTGTTCAACATCGGTGAGTGATATTTCGTCTTCAACCATCTCTAGCCATGTCAGGGTCTGGACAGCCATGGCAAGATATGGTTGCGCTGCGATATTGAAGAATATTTAGCTATCATAATTGAGCTTCGAAATGTAAATTCTGGAGAACAAGAAGTGGGTAGCGAATATGGACATCCATTTCGAGACTAATCGGAGATTTTTGAGGTCCGGCTTTTTTATCTGTTTGTCGCCCAGAATCTTCAGCATGAGCTCGGGTGGGAAGTTGACCATTTTGGCGTTGGAATTTTGATGTCGTCGATGCAGATATAGAAATGTAAAATGATGAGCAATACTGGGGCAAAGATGATTGTGAAGAAGAAGAAGAAGAAGCCGGAGAAAGATGTTGGTGAAACAAGCTGCATGTGGCGTAGGGAGTAACAACACATGAACTGGCAGGCAGGCGCGAAAGAGCGTCAATATTTCCATGAGAGTTAATACAAGGTACCTAGACAGATTCCTATTAATTTCTCCAACGAATGGCAGAATTTCATTAAAGTTTGCAGTATGAAATATATCGATAGTTGACCAGCTACTGCCATCTAGGGAGATGCGCACATGATGTGGAGAATTGTATTGGCAAGTAGCAGCATGGCTAGAAAGTGAGAAGCAGGGATTTTCTCAGATAAGTTCTTCGCTTCGACCTCACCAACGAAATGGCAGTGACTATCAAGTTTGCTACCTGCCTGGGGCAGGGTAGGTCGTTGGATGGTGATAATAGCAAATACTAGGGGAATATAGCCATAGTAGCAGATATTAAAGGAAAATAGCGATACTAGAAGAAAACAGGGAGAGTAGCAGATACTCGAGGAACTGGGCATCTACTTAAGTGGTCGTAGGGAAGGGGTACATGCATTTCCTTTGCATCCTAATACTTCCTGGAGGTGTTGAATACATGAATATCTTGAGTCATGAATAGCCTCTCCCCGTGTATTTACCAAAGGCACATCACACACCACCACTATACGATGCGCCGCCAGCAGCGGCATCCAGCCCGATACATTCGCGCAGTCCCACCACCTCAAATAACGCCTTGGGTGAACCGTTGCGACCCAATGCAGTCCTTGGAGGAGCCCCATCCTCCTTCAATTTCTCCATGGCTCTCGTCACTGCTTCGAAAACGGGCTCAAGACATAGTCCAGGATATATGATGAGCTTGAAACCTAGCTCTTCAGCTTCCTGAGCGGACAAGTCGGGAGACAACCCCCCAGGCACATTGTTATACATGACAGGAGTTGGAGCCAGATCCGCACAAATCTGTCGAGCTTGCTCTTTCGACGTGATACCTTCGAGGAAAGCGATATCTGCTCCCACAGCAATGGCGGCTTTAAGACGATCCCTTGCTACTTCGTAACCCTCAGACTGCAGGGCATCTGTGCGAGCAATAATGAGAATGTCGCCCAAACGCTGGTTCCTTACTAGATTCGCGGCCCGGATGCGAGATACAAACTCATCCTGAGAGACAATTTGCTTGTTCAGAAGATGGCCACAGCGCTTAGACTGGACCTGATCTTCTAGATGTAGTGCGGCCACTCCGGCTTGCATGTACTGAGACACGGTTCGCCCAACCATTACAGGGCCTTGAAGTATAGATGATTTACACTCATTAATCCTATGCAAGAGTATAACGCGACGCACAAGAGCATCTAGGTAAGGGATTACGTACCACCAAATCCGGTGTCTGCATCGGCGATGAGAGGCACACTTTGATCCAATGAGGCAATCATAGACGCTGCATCTCGCATATCGTTCAGTGTCGCAATACCTAGGTCTGGCATCCCCAGCCTAGACATTGTTGTGCCGGCTCCTGTCTAACCATACATCTTAGCATGGGCAATCCGAATAAGGTCGCTTGGTACCTAAGTGACGAACTGACCATGTATAGGCAGTCAAAGCCGGCTTTAAGAGCCATGCGAGCCGTAAAGCCATCGTATACACCTGGACACACAATGATTTTCCCTGGCTCTGCCAGTTGAGCCCGGAGTCTAGCTGTAGCCGTTTCTTGCGTAACCTGTTTAGACATGATGACAACTATGTGAATAACTGATGATACTCCGAATGAGATGCCTACTTCTCCTCCTCCTCTTTACATATCTCTATTATTTATGACTTTCTGAACTGCTATGTCGCTAATCGTCATTAGCATCAACCTTGCCTAGAATGGAGAAGACCCGATCTGCCGAGAATGGCCGCCCCCTTCGCCTTCGCCAATTGCCGATACTCGCCGAGTGCGTAGTGCTTACACCGGAACAAGCGTTAAACGACACGGCGATACTGCCTGCTCAGGATGCCTAAATAAGTTGCATGCTCTGGCTCAAGATGATTGCCATCTAAGAGCAATAAGTACATCCCTACACGTTTGAAACTACCTGTTCAATATCCTCAAGATCTAGCCAATCATGACCCATACAACAACAGCAGCACCATTATCATCAGACACTCCCTCCGATCCATCAAGCCCAACAGGGCAACTTTCCACCTGGATATCCACCCTCACATACAACGACATCCCAGAAGACCTTCGCATCCGCGCCAAGTATCTTATTCTAGATGGCATTGCATGCGGTTTAGTGGGTGCTCATCTGCCATGGTCCGAAAAGGCCTCTCAAGCTCTATTGGAGCTGGAACTCACAGAGGGCTCTGCCAGCGTCATTGGCTATGAACGTCGAATCAATGCTCTCAATGCATGCTTGCTCAACAGTTCCTTCATTCAGGGGTTTGAGCTGGACGATTGGCACGCTGGAGCCCCGCTACACTCGAATAGCATTATCCTGCCTGCCTTGCTTGCAGCTGCCGACCATCTTTCATTGAAGCCAAACACGGCCTCGTCTTCTTATTCGGGCTCTGGCAAGGATCTTATAGTCGCATACATTGCTGGGCTGGAAGTTGGGCCTCGCGTCGGCCTTGCTCTTCATGGACCTCACATGTTGTCTATGGGATGGCATTCCGGTGCAGTTTTTGGTCCTCCCGCATCTGCCGCCGCGGTGGGCAAGTTTCTCGGGCTATCAGCAGGCGCTATTGAAGATGCCTTTGGAATAGCCTGCACCCAGGCCGGTGGACTGATGTCTGCGCAGTTTGAGTCTGAAGTGAAGCGGATGCAGCATGGCTTCGCAGCTCGAAACGGCCTCTTGGGCGCGATGCTGGCACAAACCGGCTACGTGGGAATCAAGCGCGTATTTGAACGCGAATATGGCGGCTTTTTAAAACAATTCACCAGCGGTAATAGCATGGAGCCGCAGTATAAAGTCGAGGAAATCTCCAAAGACCTTGGCCAAAATTGGTTGATGAAGGGCGTTGCGATCAAGCCGTATGCAAGCATGGCTGGCACACACAACACAGTGGATTGCCTGACAGACCTGCGCCAACTCTATCCCGAATTAATGAATGATTTCTCTAGCATTGAGAGAATCTTTATTGAGCTGAGCAAGCCCGCTTTTGAGCATGGAGGATGGGAAGCAAAGCGGCCATTAACAGCGACTGGCGCGCAGATGAGCAACGCCTATGTCGCAGCCACATATGTCGTGGATAATGCAGTCCTTCCGGCACAGTTTTCTGCTCACATGATCGAACGGGATTCTCTTTGGGAATTGGTCGATAAGACAACATGTGAGCTGAACAATGATTTTGAAAAGATGCGCACCCGAGTAAGTGTCTGGTTCAAGGGCAGATCGGATCCAATCACTGCGGATAGGCAGCTTGCTAAGAGCGTCATGCCGATGCTGAGCAATGACGAGATACTTGAAAAGTGGAGGAGTATCACTGCTAATGTAATTGATGACGAGCGAAGGCAGAAGATTGAGGAAGTCGTTCTACATCTTGAAGATTGTAACGATCTTGGTGTATTGAGTCAGTTGCTGCTGCCCATGACGGCGAATCCAATTGGATGAAGAGGAACTTTGTCGTGCAACCTGTCTGACTTGTAGCTGAAATTAGATTAGATGTTATTGATGTTAGCACGAACCGTCCATATGCTGGTTTTGTTTCATATAGAAATGAAGAATTATTGCCTCGGATACACTTGCTTTTTTTTTTTTTTTTCATAATGAACTGTTAATTATATAACTGTATTAAGCGATGCTACATAGGCCAATCATTCATGTCTAGATTCATAGCCCAGTCGAAGTCAACAAATGGTTCATCGGCCACTTGAAGTGGCGCCGATTGTTGAATATCCAGCACAGCATTAGTATCACCAGTTGCCGGTTGCGCATATGCATTTTCATTCCCATTTTGCGTCTCGGATCGGACTGTATCTCATGTGAGTAAATTAATTCTGGACAATAAAAGCTCAGGTGCAAGCTTACGCTGCTGTCTACCCTCGTAAGGATTGCCCAACCCTCCAAATTCCTGTCTCCACCACCATAGGCAATCAAAGAGGGTGCTCATCGATAACCTGCTCGTGATTCGGCTGCTCAAGCTATCGATTATGCCATGCTTGCCTTTGAATATTGATTGGCTGTTCCACAATTGGCCAAGTATAGAAGCGCCTCTGGCACTAAGATCATTATTCTGCAGCGACTCTTCCCGGGCAAAGAAAATGGCGGCAAAATAAGCTTGTTCGCCCGCCTGAAGATCTAAATGCGGTGCGAGTTCACTGCGAGAAATTTTCAAGATCGTAAAAGCCGCCAACATAAGGGATTTTTGAACAAAGACGGGTGCGTTCTTGGCGGTAGCCCCTTCGTCCCAGGACTGTTGACATGCAGTATTGATGAGACTGCACGCAACTGCATAGAGAGGTATAAAGGCTTCGAGTTTGCGAGACGCTGGATCTATAAGGAAGTGGTTTGCAAGCAGATGCAGTCGAAAACACTCAAGGTATATGGAATCTGGTTTTATCGACGGTCAGCACTTTGATACAGTCATCCTGCGGGAAGAATCATTCACACCGATGGGTGTCTGTATTTGTGATTCAGCTTTCGTTAGCTGCGAATCGAACAAGCTAATACATGACATCAGTGACGCAGCTTTCTTAGAGTCAATGCCGCCATGAATTCTCCTCAAAGCTTCAGTTGCACATATCATGATTTCGCATAATCTGAGGGGTAACTTGGTCTCTTGTTGAGGATCTGCTTCATCGCCACCACCTCTTCCTCCATCTGACAAAACTGGTAGGGTGAATGCATCACTCAAACCTAGGGGCATAATCCCTTCCCCGAGCCCAACTCTAGGGATAGAGTGAGCTAGGTCATTGTATGGGTTACTAGAGGTGAAAGACTCACATGTAACAAGTTGTGCAGCATTGCTTCCATAACATGGCGCGATTAGCTCTCTCAAGCCGATTGCCGTCCAGTATTGTCCTTGCAAAGTCTTGACCAACGCCTGCTACATGCAGTCCAATTTGCATGGCGAGGTGTAGAGCTGCACCTGCGAGAACAAGACTAATGCCTCTGTGCATAGTGTTGACTGGGGTTGGCCACTGGCATAGTAATAGTATACCTTGGATGGTCTGAATTGGGCTGCTCCGGGATTCCAGCGCTGCAAAGCCCATCGAATTAATCTTTGGGGAGAGTCGACCCAGCAAAGTTGGGTCGCCGGCATAGCGTCTGCTGCCTATATAGACAATGACCCAGAACAAAAAGGGAGACTGATCGAAGCATTGGTTTGGACCGGGTGCTATCTGGAATATCGGCAAGAATGGAGCATACAAGCTAAAGAATCTGCGGGAGAGTCAACAGTGATTCAGATAGCTGACAAGCAATCGGGAGCTATACAGATTGAAGCAATCCTGGATTTTGCGACCGGGGACCACTTGGCCATCAAATTCTCGAGAGTTGGCCGTGGATCCATTCGTATCACTATGTATTGCGCAAGATTGATCATTGTCACTCTCCTTTGCCACTGATGGAGCTGACCCTGGCTGAGGATTGGCAAGCACAGCCTCTGAAGGCAAAGCCAAATCCTGAGCCGGAACAAGCAGTGGAGTCAAGAACGGAACTTCTACCGTACTCGGGATAGAAGCCGGAGCTCTATCAGCGGCATTGATGCCGGATGGTCTTGCATTCCGGCCTCCTGGGGCGGGGCTGTCTAATCTACTGTCATTCTCCTTATCTGCATCAGTGCGGCCTCTCATGGCCTCCAGCTCACTTTGCAGCTGAGCTTTGGTCCGCCGAGATGCCGGGGTACGTTCAACAATACAGAGAAGCTGCATATGGCGGCATCGCGTGCACGAAGCAGGAGGCTCGGCATCGCATTTGACCTACTCGGCGATCATATATCAGCGAATGGAGTGTGACTTCATCATGATGATGATGATGATTGCTTACCTTTTGCACTCTACAGTCTCGGCATGCCGGATGACGACGTACTCGAACCCGTTGAGGAGCCATCAATACATGTTCGCTGAGCAGAGAGTTTACGTTGATATCGAAGATGGCGAGATTGGCCGATTGGTTACAGGAACAGGTGAGTTGCGTCACGTGATGTATTTATACATGTAAGCTTCATGTTTAATGTGAACGATCATAAGCAGCCTTTATAGATATCAACTAGTCACTAGAAGGAAAGGATTAGAGGGATAATAGATTAACAATATAAGTATCGCCAGATATTACTACTATCTGATCTACCATTGCATACCAGCTGCCTGGCCACCAACTTCCACAACTCTCCTACCGTCTTTGGTGCTTCCACAGATCATGTCAAAGAGCTGTTTGCCAAACTTCTTAAAGGCCGGAGTGATGCCCCCTGCTTCTACCAATTCTCTCTCCATGGTAGACAGATAAAAAGAAAACTCAGTCCCTCCAACTTTAATCTGATTGGCTTCTAGGTCGATGCTAACTTCTGCGCCGTCTACTGCTGCCTCGAAGAAGGCCGGATCGTCCATAGTGAAACCCAAGAGGCCGAGGCTGGGTTGATTGCGTCCGTAAATAAAGGCAAAGGATTCAGCAATAACACATTTTATTCCACATCCTGTACAAGGTCAGATAATTGGCAATCGGGGGAAAATGGAGGATATACATACCCAGCAGTGCTGATACGGCCTGCTCCCTTGAAGAGCCACAACCAAATGCCTTACCTGCCACCACAATATCAAAGCCTTCTTTGGCACGCGATCGGAACTCTGGATTCGTATATTCCAGACAGTGAGCTCCCATAGCTTCATTGGTTCGAGATGATACGAGGAACTGGGCCGGTGCCAGCTGATTGTTGTTAGGCTCACTGTTACTAAACCTCTGATAATCAGGGAAGACGAACCGCATCTGTATCAACAAAATCCCCGAGTCTTTGGATCTTTCCGTGAATGACTTTCTCTCCCTTTGTTTCCTGTTTAGTGGTAATATGTGTCTCTGTCACATCCGAATCATTGGAGTCATCATGCTGAGTGACTGAGGTTGTCGACATATCGTTAACCAATTCACCTTCTGGCGTTGCTTCAACACAGCTTGCTGGTTCAACCCAGTCTGGCTCTTTCCCTGACAGTTTTCCCTTCAGGGATCCGCGACCATTGAGTAGTTCCCATCTTTCTGGTGGAATTAGATCAATGAAGTGTTGTGGATTTGTCACCATCATGTGGAAAGACGAAGCTGCTACAGTAGCTGCCGAAGCGAGATTTCCGATGGAGCCTAAAATGCCATGGTTAACATCCTTTCCAGTCTGTCAGAGAATCACTTGGCCTACCTTGACCCATACGATTCTCAAAATTCCTATTCTGAGACGACAACCAAACTTCGGACTCTTTCGCGCGGTCTGCCGATATACCCACGCAGTAGCTGCAGCCTGGAACGCCAATCTCAAAGCCGGCATCCTCATATATCTGTGCAAGTCCTGATTTTCGCATTTTGTCAAGGATAGGTAGAGAGCCAGGGACTACTTTTCTCTTTTTGCCATCCTTTGGCGGAGACAGCCCGCTCTTTAGTCCTTGTTCCAATACCAAGGCGCCGAGAATAATGTCTTCTTCTGCTGTTGTACAGGCTCCGATGAAACACCCGTCCAACTTCATGCCCACAACGTCGGTCACCGGAACGACATCATCGGGATTCGGATATTTTGCTACAAACGATTCAACTTTGGCCAGGTCGATGATATGAGTTTCAGCATATACTGCACCCTCGTCTGCGCGAAAATAGGATGATGCATTCTTATGCCGTGCCACTCTTCTTCCGTCAATGAATGCCTTGGTTATATGATCCGGAGTAAAAATTCCCGTCACACCACCAAGCTCCTAAGCGTGCAAGAAACTTATTAGCTTGTTCCATTGCAATTGTGTTGGAATGGCCATGCTTACTGTCGTCATGTTGGCAATCGCAAAACGAGCATCTGGGGAAAGGTAATTGAGACCCGGGCCCGTATACTCGACAACGCGATCTGAGGCGACTGTGTTCCGCTTGAGTTGCTGCAAGACATATAAAATGACGTCTTTACCACCAATTCCTCGACTTGGTTGTCCAACAAACTCAATCCTGACAACTTCAGGCACCTTGAACCATGTCTCTCCTGTGATAAGCCCCATTGTGACATCAGCGGCTCCGAGTCCAATAGCAAGGCAGCCAACTGCGCCAGAGGAGCATGTGTGGGAATCAGAGCCAATAAGGAGCATGCCAGGCTGGGCACGTTCTCTAAAAAACTCGGTATGCATTATGGTGTACTGAATCGCCATAAATGTTAGGTGAGTCTTGTTTAAGCGTGAACGCCTTGTAGGTGGTTGTTCGACATACATTCATTCCTTGGTACTCAGTCATTTTGAATACTTTACGTGCTCTTTCAGAAGACTCTATCAGCTTCTTAACGGGAGGCATATCTTTGATTCTAGGATCAACGACGTGGTCACCAGCAAGCCAGAAGCGATCATTGCGAAATATGCCAGGATTTCCCAATCGATTATATGTTCCTTCCATGCCCTTAGAGAGAATATCAGCTCAAATCTGTTCCTACGTACACTTTCAAATGAGTAAAGTCGAAATTACTTACCGCCCACGATGCCTCTGAGGCCATGATCCAATCTAGAGACACCCGGATAGTGTCACCAGTTCTTACGAAGCCTTTGGAGTCAATGGCATGCATGGCAAAGATTTTTTCAGTAACGTTCATTGGTGGTCTATCCTTTGGGAGCACCTTTTGGGTGTTGTTTTGCGCAGATTTCTTTCGATCATCCGAGTTGAGCGCCTCTAGCCCTAAAGAATAAGATGAGCAACAAGGCATGGATACTATATGGAATATGTCAGATTTGAACGCCGCTTACATGCTGATATGAGAAAGCTAATCTCGTTCACATCATCTTCAGTGGTCTGCACATCTTTGCTCAGACCAAGGCCTCCATAATTTGGCGATGTTGAGCCAATTTCGGATATCTGGGCGAATACTTGGCTTTCCCGAGAGGCGCCCTGTTGGAGCAGTATTCTGCCAATGTCATCGAGAAGAGTTAGGGGGTGTATTGTTTGAATGGATATATTTGCCACGTCAAGCTTGACAGCCCGAGCTTTAAATAGCAGCTCTGACCACCTGGTCAAAAGTTCGATGGTTGTGGTATTGTCGACAGTCATTGTGCTGATAACGCAGTAATAGAGATGGAATGATACGGGGCAATGGGAGACGAGAGCTAAATGAGTGGCTTATATCCCGCTCTAGATAGGTGACAATTATATAAATACACCATCTTAAGTTTATACTATTACACGTCATTGTTTGACCACTTTACTCTTACTACATGTATTGATGGGGTTTATCGTGTTCGGCCACGGTGTGGCTAAATTATCCATTAACACAAGTTGGCCGATAATGGCCGAACGCCGCCTAATTTCGGCGACCTACCTCACATCTGCACTAACGAGTCGTACATAGCATTCCAGCGGCTACGTAGAATTCAAGTGTCGTAACAAGACGCAGGAGAAATATCTTTTACTACCATTAAGTGGATACACGGCTCTTCAAGTATGTGCTACTCTCTACTACTATCGCTACTCTCTACTACTATCGCTACTTTCTACAACTATCACTACTTGCTGCTAGTATTAGTATAAAACATGTGGCTATGGACTTGAGGCTATTTTCTCTTAATATCTATTCTATGAACACAGGTGAAGGATCTCTCCTAAAGATGTTAGTCTTATTTATGATGGACTGTTGTGCGACCGACAACACAAGCGGGACAACAGAAGATAATACTGTTGTATTATAGGTACTCAAGAAAGTGTTGCCTCATCATAAAGAACATGATGTATAGATAGATATAGCAATGTATTCATGACGAAATAAAGATTTATCCTCTTTTGCATTCCGTCTCACTTGCTCCTAACCCATGATCATAGCTTCGCGCAAATAGCTACTTGCGAATTGCCTTCACTTCAGACGATTTGCGTACATCTGAGCGACCTAGCTCAATGCGTGACAATGTCGATATTTCGATACTATATCAGCCACGACTCAAGACTACCTCTAGTGTAACACGGGCCAGTTCATATCGTTGATTACCAATCATCAGTCATGCAGAATGCATCAAGATACGCTATGGAAGAGGCGTCGGACGCTTCCACTTCACGGTCGATAGTCTTACCGTTCCAGATGAAACCGTAACGGTAAAACAAGCCAGCCATTCTTGCAACCCGGATCAACTTCTTCTTACTTTCCGTAATATTGCTAGCTTTTGCCCAAAAGGTCTGCCAGAATGCGTCCTCGAGTTCACGACGGTTATCGAAGTAGTGCCATCCTTCAGAATCCATGTAGCCAAGAATATTCTCAAAGTCCCACAGCGAGAAGCCGAAAGGCAGGATGCTTGCCTCGGCCCAGTCGATGATCCCTGTGATGCTGCCGGTTTCCGGGTCTATCAGCGTGTTCATCTCGTTGAGGTCTTGGTGACTCAGAACAAACGGCAGTGCTCCCGAGAAGAGTAACGGTAGTTTCTCGAGAACTTTGAGTAGATTGGGCAAATATTGTCGCGGAAATCGTGATCGAAGAAGTAGTCTGAGAGTGGATTTAACTTCTGAAAGCAACCCGGCAGCCTCATTTGGGTCTGAATATTGATTGTTTCTCCACGACTGAGCGAAGAATCTATACGCCGTTAGGGAAGATCTGACACGAGGGCGGGGGATTATGGACGCACTCGGCAAAGTCTGTTGCAGTTTTGAGTTGTCGAGACTTGGCCTCAGAGGGCTGATTGGCGGAAATGTCGCGTGCCATAATGTAAGCAGTTCCAGGAAGCTTGTCCATCTCATAGATATGCACGTGTCCTGGTCCGGGATCCCTTGGATTATCGATTGTCCCGTGATATATGCACCTAGCCACAAGCTGCGGATGGATTCTCTTGGCGAGATACAGCATTTTCATATCGATATCGTAATTCTGGCCTCGAAACTGAAAGATCTTAGGTTTTTCCGTCCCAGCTGTCACCGTGTAGCTGCACGATCCCTGGAGCTGGACGGGATTCACAAGCCCACGGACACGGGAAAGGACGAATTCATCACATTGCCGTCTTTTCACATGCGTCTCGTGTGTGAAAAAGTTGTCGATTGTGTCTTCAAGATCGTAGATACTCATTTTATTGATGAACAGAAAAGAGTAATGAAAAGAGTCCAAGGGAGACTGGTGGCCTATAGAAGGGTGTGTCCACCTTAAATGGGATTGATTTCTTTGTTCTGAGCACGGACTTTCATATGACGCGTAACAAGCAAACAAGTGGCCAAGGATGCGTCACTGCATTAAAGAATGGGCCAAGCACCAATCAACAAAGCATTCTGCGGATATGACCCAGTTGAGACATGCAATAGGCAAGTCCATATTTACAAAGAGTGCAGACGGCTTAAGTTAAACAGCGACTAGACGCTTGTTCTCAACATTATCTAGTCCACAAAGGATGATTGGACTATGTTTAAAAGTCTGCAAAAGCAGAAGCGACCTCATGACTCAGGAGTGTAGCAGAGAGTAGCGATAGCAGCAAAAAATTGCAATAATAGCAAATATAATGAATTATTTATTTACTTGAGTAATACTTAATAAAATGTTTTTTCTCTGCGTCTTACTACGACGCTTAAACTCTACGTAGTAGCAGGGATGCTAAGTAGCCAACTTGGCTGCTGAATAGCCCTTCCCCCAATCAACTAATTGATTCAACTCATCTATACGCTCTTATTCTATCTCATACAATGCTAAGCATTTTATACCATGACGACTTCCCCCATCTCCCATCTCGCCCGGTTCGTCATCCGCAGCCCCTCTCTGAATATCCCGACCCTCACGTACTCTTCCACGTCCTTCTTCTGCTTCAACACCAACGCATCTTGAGTCATGATCAACGCCAGCAACACTTGCTCATCCTCCGCAACCTCACCATCAACAGCATCTTCCACCACATCAAACATCAACGATCCATCAACTTCATCTCCTACCTGCTCATCCCAAAGAAACCAGCCGTATTCTCCCTTGCGGAGTCTCGCTCGGAATATCAACGTCTTAATCTCCAACCGTGCACTCGTCACTGCACTAAACTCATCTTTAGGAATCTGCGTATCCACTTCGCACCTTACGAGTTCTAACAAATGCATCACCGATCCAAATGTATAGTCAATCTCGCCGCTGAATGAGGCCCAAGACCACGATGGCGCAACATACGTAGCGTGTCTGCATGGCTTTTCCTTTGCGTCTGGCCCATGGTTCGGATGCCATAGCAGCATCTCTCCCATATACTCCTTCCACAGCCCTGCAATGTAGTGCTTGTCCGTCATTTTGCTCATTTTTCGGGCTATGGCAGAGATGGCTAATAGCTTGTCCTGATACCAGCCCAAACCGCGGCGCGTGTAATGCGACACGAGCGTCTGCCATACCTGAACAAACTTGTAAGATTCATCTAAGCCCGCCCAATCGATGCTCGAAGTGAGTGGGTGAGACATGCTCAGCTGGGCAAATGTCCTCGAATGTCCGACCCAGCCGTCATATCGCAGTTTCGACTCATCAGCGCGACTCCGAGCGCAGTGCCAGCGAACGTTGTGCGTCCCGTACTCAAGCACCCTCGGCGACAAGATGGACTCTTGTAAACACCAAGATCGTTGATCGATGGGCTCCCATGCATCAGGCTCTCTTCCCTGCCAGACTATTACGGTGCTCATCTGGCCATCTTGGCAGGTAAACGGCATGCGAAACCCCTTCTCTCCAGTTAGGCATCGATCGTGAAGGAAGCCTTCGGGGGCAGCGGTCGCCCGGGCCGCAGATATAGTAATGTATGCCTGTTCGTAGATCTCAGCCATGCGCGATATCTGCTCTGCTTTGTCTTGATTCGAATCCTGTATGATGCACAAAGCATCGATCCAGAGATACTGTAGGCCCAGAGCCATTGCCACCTGGATAGCATCTTTAATGGTTTGCGGAAACCGGTCGTACGGGATGTCATTCATCCATGGCTTGACGACATTTTCTTTGAGCTTGACTGCTTGATCTCCGCCCCAGCAGTAGCTTAATGCGGCATATTCGACAAAACTGCTAGAAGAAGAGTTTTGCTGGAGCCGCACTTGAGGATGCGCGGCTTTTCCCGAGAGGTGTAAGAGGCGCCGAGGACCGGTTAATGATGGATTAGCAGGCCGGTTACTGTTCCTAAGCTGCTGGCATTCGGCATGTGTTGTAAAGCATTCCTGGAGCCAGCTCTTGATTGTGTCTACCGTCTTATTCGATGAAGGGAATAGATTAGGAGGCCTATATGCAACCTCTTCCGCAGCTAATTCGCTAATCGCCATTAGATCTTACATTACAACCACCTCCAGAGAGTTCTGAAGTCTCACCTCTCCTCTGCGCAAACAATCAGTTTCCGCTCCAACGTGCCCCCATCAATGTGATCTTCCAATTCATTCACCCAGTCCAGCACCATCTGCTCCCTCGAATTATGCGCAAAATAAGCCCTCAAATAACTTTCAGAGTGTGTATCGTCTCTTCGTAGCGTAACAAGCCACTCGAACAATTCACAGCCTTCATTTGCCAGCGAGAGGGCCTCATCATATGAGATATTAAAGACGTAGGCTTCCCCCGTGGCGAAATAATTTTCATCTATAAGTTCGTACCAACCTCGATCGGAGTAGTAGTTGCCAAAGGTGAGAATTAGTGTCGATTCACAGAGTTTGCATGAATGAGGCTCCGTGGGGGAACTCATCATGCCTTAAACGTCTGAATAGTATATGTAAGCACGAAGGGAGAGAGAACCTAGAGTTGACAACCCCACCAAACAGCGAAATAAGCGGACGCTTCGCCACGGTATGGCCCCCTGTAAGAGATTGGCTATCCAGCGCCCCAATTTGGTCATCCAGCATCCCCGTTCCCAAGTTTAAAGCCAGCGATAGTAGCAGAGAGTAGCGATAGTAGTGAAAAGTAGCAATAGTAGCAGAAAGTAACCATAGTAGTAGAAACTTAAGGCACCGAATATCTCCTCCAGCGGTGGCAAATAGGAATTGGGTATTTTTCTTGGCATTTTGTTACGGCTGTTGAACGTAGTCGCTGGGGTTTTGGATACATATAGCCATTCTGAATGGAAAAAATAAAGAACTATTAAAAGATTTGCTAATCCTGATCATACCACATCTCGACCCTTCATAAAACTTGGGCGTGCCAGGATATTCTTCAGCCACTTTTCTAGGTAAGGAAACTCCTCAAGGGAAACGCCATCCAAGTCTAGAAGCAATTGCATTATGGCAGTTAGCTAAAATTGATAACATAAAGAGGGTGGTTAGGGAGGCGCCTTACCGTGATTGACGACCCAGCCAAAACAGGCTATATCGGCAATAGTGACACGGTCACCGACGAGCAGTCCGTGTGGAGATTTAGCTAGATGGGTGTCCATGGTGCGATAGAGGCGATGAGTCTCATTGTCGTAGCGGTTGATGCCGTACTCAATCTTTTCGGTTGCGTATCCTGCGAGTATCCAGTTAACGATTAAACAATCAAGAAATCACATTTTACATTTAACCAACTTCTAAAATGCTCGAGTTGTCCTTGCATGGGCCCTAAGCCGCCGATCTGCCATGAGAGCTAAACAGCAGCGTTAATGATTTTGAGTCTGAGGCGCATAGATCCAGGAGCTTCACAAACTTACCCAGCTCTTTACTTCCCAATATTCACGGGAGTCTTTTGGATATGAAACTCTGTTGTCCTTGTCATAGCGATCAACAAGGTACTCAAGGATAGATCCGCTTTCAAAAACACGGATCTTCTCCCCGTCGGCCCATATATCTGTCATGGCCGGGATTCGGCCATTAGGGTTGATGTCCAGAAACCATGGCTGCTTCTGCTCGTTCTCCCTCAGTTTGACGTGGTATAACTACCAGAGGAAAATAACATGTGTGAGCTTCTTAATTTTCTATGTCTACCAGTTATAGGGCACAGTGTCTCCTCTCACCTTATAGTCAAGTCCAAGCTCCTCAAGAAGAATCGGAACTTTGATCCCATTTGGGGTTGACGCGGTGTAAAGCGTAATGTTAGTCTTGATATCCATGGCGACTGGTCGGAATTGTCGTTGTGAAGTGCAAAGTGTTTTCCTACTAAGGGCAAATCCACGAGACACAGATTGTAATCGAGGGCGGATGAGGCTATGACTTAGCATAGATATTAATTGCATTGTCTTGGAGGCTGCTGTGTTGGCAATGAGGCTGAACCGTGATTTTAAGCTTGGGAGTGGCAATGCGTATGACGAGCGGCCGACACAGTCTGGAGGTAAAGTCCGAAACTCCCCACTTTCGTCCGCCGTTAATAGCATGGACCAGCCAGCCGAATTACATCTACCCGTCTTCTTTCCGTCGTCTAGTGGCTACATAAGAACGAGTAAATGACGATTTGACAATTCACGTTCCTTACAGACCATGCCTGGTTTCGCTCCGGGCTTGCCGTCGCTGCATAAGCTCGGGCGCGGATTTGGAAACATATGCTTGTATATTGCCTGCAGATATCCAACTTGTATATGGCTCGCTAAGATGCAGCTAATGCTGGAAGATTTTTCCGGAAGGGTACTTCGAAATTCACTACATACATGCACGGTATTAAGCCCACCGTGACGCAGCGCGCTTTGGCGAGAGCCATTGAATAAGCCCAACCCCGAGATATCCAGCCAAGACTAAGCCAACTTTTATTCATGAATACGTATCACTATGTAGTAAGGATATTATCTTTTACTAGGCGTATAGATGAATTAAAGCCAGTGGTATTGAATTCTTCAAAGGCTTAGACCTTTACAACTATTTTCAAGGCAGTAGAATGCGGGCCCCATAAGTCTTTTCCACGGCAGATTGTTCAATAGCATATGGTCCTACGACGGGCGGCAAGACGAAATGCTGCGAGTTTATAATACTGGCTGTTGGAATATAAACCCCAATAGCCTTCTGGAAAATAATTCCCTTTTTGCATTTCAACAGTAGCAAATAGTGGATTGATCAATTTAATATTAATTATTCCCTACAGTCTTATTATATTTCATGTACAGCTGTCCTATACCGTGAAAACCTCCCGCATTTCCCATCTCGCCAAGTTCGTCATCCACTGTCCCTCTATAAATATCCCGGGCATCACATACTCCTCCATATCCTTCTTCTTCAAAACCAAGGCATCTTGAGTCATAATCAACGATAATACTGCGGCACAAGTAACTGCTGGCCCCAAACGTTTTCTTCACGATCGATGTGCAGCTAGAAAGAACGGATTTCGCATATCGTTTATTTGCCGAGATAGTCATTCAAGTGCCGCAATAGTCTACTAGGGAAAAGAATCAGACACGTAAAAGCTCATTAATTACTAATCCCTATGTTTAGCAGTTGTTTTAAGAATACAGGTAAGTGTATAGGTATGTACCTGTGTACTTTACGACAGATGCCGAATGCGAAGTTCCACCCGAGGCAGTCTCCGCTCCCGACTATTTATTTCGCCAGCTGCCCACACTTGTTCCTCTCTCTTCCTTTCCTCATTGCACTCATTTGACTTTTTCCTGCTAGCAATTCGTTCAGCAATTATCATAAAAAGTTCCACTTTTTCACTATTCATAAATGCTTCATACAACTATCACGGTTTGTATGAGGTGTCGACGCGTAGCAGGTCGGACGAAGTCAGTATACCGTGGTCACGATATGTAGGGACTAATATATATACCTATATACTAGGTAGGTGAGGTCATGCGACCTCACAGTTTGCCTTGCCGGCTCTTTGAGAATACTCGCCTCTCGATTCAAGACGGATGAGGCGCGGAACAGAACGTTTATGATGCTTGCTCAAGCATTACAGAGGTGGAAGACTATGATTATTGGCACTGAATCATCTTCTGTTTGCATCAGCGCGTTGTCCATATGCTGATAATCTTTTTCGTCGAGCGACACTTGCATCGAAGCCACCGAACTCCCAATGCCAGGGCAATTTGTTGCTTGCTTAGCCAATTATTGCACCAGTACAATGCTGAATTTGCTAGTACTCAATGAGATTTTGTCATTTGTTGAAGCCCAAGATTCTCGTGCAATCCCGACAGGCGACGGACAGCAGACTTTGCTGGGACACAATGCGACTGGATATCTTGGTACTACGCCGGCCAAGCCTCGTAAAAGGATACCTAAGGTAGTGACGGCTGAGTACAAACATTACCTCAAGTTTGTGCAGCTGTACAGGCAGGAGGTAGGTGGAGACATGTCGGAGCTTATGGCTCGCGTCAGAAGCTTAAGAGATGTGAGAGATGTGAGAATCGTCATGAGGAATAAGGTATTATGAAGGGTTTAGATCCAAAATCCCAAAATCCCACACCACTCATTGGCCACAGCACCAGCATTTCGTCTTCCCGCCCGCAAATGGTGTAATAGCGCGAGCACGTGAAATGGTGTGCGAGGCCGAGAATCCGCCGCCCCACGCCGATGGCCCGCGAACCGCCCAGCGATTCGAAATCCAGGGTGGGCATTACAAAGCGGCTTTTAAAAAATGATGAAATACCCCGGATTTTCCCTTTCACTCGAGAGAGGGTGTGGACCGCTCAACTTTTTTTTGCTCGCTCGTACTCATTCTTGGGAGTTTGGGATATAGGCTATTGGTTTTTTGTTTTGTTGGAGTAGGACCTTGAGCTCTGCGTGAGTGACTAAGATGAGGTCCCATCAGGCTCTCCGATTGGCTGGTCGACGACTACAGCGGCCGCTTCTGTCACCAGCAAGACCGGCGTCAATACTAGTCGGTTCCTCATTCTCATCATCTTCATCCTCATCATCACCAGCTTCGGCTGCTGCCTCACCCTCCTCAACAGAAACATACCGTCCCTCTGCTCCCGCCCCCTCAAATCCAGCCCTCAATTTCCCCTGCCTCGACGCAATCGAGTCCCGCTCCGCACGGCTCAGTGCCGACTGCAGCTCCGCATCCCGGCCCGGCTTCTCATCCTCATCCTCATCTTCATCTGCCGGCCCCGAGCCCTCGTATACCTCCGGCGTTACCCTCAACTACCACTGCCGTGACCCCCTACTGCTCGACTGGGGCGGCGTCCTCCCCTCCTTCAACATCGCCTACGAATCATGGGGCCGCCTCAACGCTGACAAGTCCAATGCCATCCTACTGCACACTGGCCTTTCAGCTTCTTCCCACGCCCACTCGACAGATGCCAATCCCGCCCCCGGCTGGTGGGAAAAGTTCATCGGCCCCGGAGCCCCCCTGGACACGGATCGCTTCCACATCATCTGCACCAATGTCATCGGCGGCTGCTATGGCTCGACTGGCCCTGGCAGCGTCGATCCGGGCAATGGCGAGATGTATGCCACACGGTTCCCCATCCTGACCATGCAGGACATGGTGCGAGCACAGTTCCGTCTGCTGGATCACCTGGGTATCGACCGCCTCTACGCCAGCGTCGGCTCCAGCATGGGCGGCATGCAGTCTCTGGCTGCCGCAACCTTGTTCCCTGACCGTGTGTCTCGTGTCGCTACAATCAGCGGCTGTGCTCGAAGCCATCCGTACAGCATCGCCATGCGTCACACGCAGCGCCAGGTGCTGATGATGGACCCCAACTGGAACCGCGGCTTCTACTATGGCCGTGTGCCTCCCCACGCCGGCATGAAGCTTGCCCGCGAGATTGCCACAGTCACATACCGCTCTGGCCCCGAATGGGAGCAGCGCTTCGGCCGCCGCCGAGCTGACCCCAGCAAACCTCCCGCTTTGTGCCCAGACTTCCTCATCGAGACATATCTCGACCACGCCGGCGAGAAGTGGTGCCTGACATATGATCCCAACAGCCTGCTGTACGTCAGTAAGGCCATGGACCTCTTCGACCTTGGCTACGAGAACCAGATGGCCACCCAGGCGCGCCGCAGAGCCCGTGAGGACGCCCTCGCCACCTCCTCCTATTCCCCCTCAGACTCTGCCGCCGACGCGCACTGCAGTCTGACGCTCCCCAGCGAGCCGTACCAAGAGCAGCCTGATTCGTCATCTTCAGCCAGCGACACCTCCGAGACTCCCTCATCGCCAGCAAACCCGGCATCTTTCCTCCCTCCAGCCGACCTGATCCGCGGCCTGTCTCCACTCCGCGACATCCCCACGCTCGTCATGGGCGTTGCCAGCGACATCCTATTCCCGGCATGGCAGCAGCGTGAAATTGCCGAGTCTCTACGCCTAGGCGGAAACCGAAACGTCACTCACGTAGAGCTGAGCGAAGAGACGAGCTTATTCGGTCACGACACTTTCTTGCTAGACTTGAAGAACGTAGGAGGGAACCTGAGGTTGTTCCTCGACTGAAAGGCGCAAAACGACTGGTGTAAGGTAAAAACAGGAAACATGAATAGCTTGTTTGTAAACCGATGTATATATTGATGTTTTTTTTTTTTTTTTGCCTCCTGGAACAACAGTTAGTATGTTCCGGATATTTTCTTATTTAGCGCACATGGCCTGGTTGGATCTAACGTCGAAAAAATATTCCTTCTTTTTTTCAAAACTTCCATGCATCTACATGTCATGTGCCAAAATCCTTCGGCATACTAATACAAGTCTTTGTCAAGAAAAAAAAAGGAGAAAAACCACTCCTTCCCACAAGTAGCCTGGCAATCTCTGCGACAATCGACTCAAATACTAGTCCAGCTGGCAATTATGTAATAAACTTCTGTACGGAAAACGAATGACGAGAATGAAACAAAGGTCAACGCTTGCAAAAGGCATCACAAACAAATCCTACTCCATCATCCCATGTCAACACGATCGTTAAATACACCCAAGGAACAGCCAAAAACAAAGAGAGAGAGAGAGAGCGAGAGTAAGAAAAGAAATGGAAAAGAGCAAAGGAAAAGGAAAACTTTTCAGATAAATGTCGATCCCGAAGGAGAATACAGGCTATTTGGCGTTAATGGGCCCTTATCTCTGGTAAGTGACGGCGGCAAGTTGATGGGCGAAGGCGTGGGTCGTGGAGGGGCCTTCTTTGCCTCGACACGTATAACGGGGCTCGGCTTTATACTGGGGCTAGGCATATCATCGATAGTGAATTCGTTCGCAAGAGGTGACGGCTGGGGAGCATCATAGGACATCTCAAACGATTTGGCCAGATCTTCACTCGTTGCTGAGATGGCCTTCTCAAGCGATGGGAACGTCGGGCTGGGGATGCGTGGCGCAACATCCGACGTGGGAGTGGAAAGAGACCAGCTCGGCGAACTCGGTCGTTGACCCTTGGGTGTCCGTGGCATCGGCACCGTGGCACCTCGAGATTCTGATCGGTCAAAGCCAAACCCTCCCCACTTGGAAAATGGTCGAGGGCTCCGCTCCTCAGATTGTCTCTCCGGGGATTCGCCAGGGGGAATGATTGGGCGGGGGGGCTGTCGTCCTCGGGGAAGGCCCTTCATGACCGGAAACTCTCCTTCCATGGGCGTTCTGGAAGCAAAGGGGCTCAGGGGTACGCGGTCCATGGGTGGCCGAGGTGCCTCATACGTACGCACATAGTTGTCCTCATCTGCAGCAGGTCCATATGGGCTTCGGGGGCTGTGTGTAGGTGTCTCCATGCGCGCTATGAGGCTGGACAATGCAGCGTGCTGTAGGGGTTGTGGAGGACCACGAGCACGAGAATCAGACGCCATTCGCGAGTTGAAGCCCTGTGGTGTAGATGGCGTAAATGAATTCAAAACTGAAGCCAGTGCGACTGGGGCTTCGATATTCGCCTGGGATGGTCTCCGGAGGACTTGCCGAGGGCTTTCGATGCCAGCCGATACAGCAGAGGGCGACGGCAACGGCTGATGCGCCGATGGGGATTGCGAGTCCTCATCAGGTATCGCCACTTTGAGTCGCTGGGGGCTGCCTTGTTCGTCTGATTCTCGCCCCCGATGATATACCTGATATTGCCTTGGAGATGCTATCGGTGATGCTATGGGCGATGCTATGGGCGATGCCATGGGTGAGTCGATGGGTGATGCCACAGGCGATACCAAAGAGGCAGTCTCACTCGGCTCAGTCAAGCCATCGCTAGCAGCATCTTCAACATCTTCTGCGCTTACAGCATCTTGAGTGCCCACGGCTTCTTCAGCGTCTCCCTCTTCAGTGCTCACGACTTCTCTAAACGGATGTGGCCCCTTCATTTGGATCGGGCTCTCCACTAGTTCTAAGCCGAGCGTCCCAACAGCCACAGCAGGCTGCTTTGTCACCCCGTCGCCGAAATCGAAATTGGAAAAGTTGCCCGTCAGACCCTCGACGGGACGCTGCTGCTGCCGGTGTTTCTCGAGGTCGTCTGCCTCAATTGCCATTGTGAAACTCCTCCTTCGTGGTGATAGAAACGTCAGCGTGTCTCGCTTCGCTTGGACGTTCCTAACGACTGGCGATGCTCGCTTATCTTCGCTTTTGCGCGATGTAGAAGATGATGGGCTGGGCAGCATCGCGGGGCCGTGGCCGTTGGCAAATCCTGGAGCGGCGAAGTGGTTTTGCAACTCGTGTGTGCTCACTTCTACCTCTTCCTCCGCCTCCATATCTGCCTCTGCCTCTAAATCGGTCTCTGCTCCAGTGTCTCCGCCTGCAAAAGCCATCGGGGGCCACTGATCCTCGGTTTCGACTGACTGAGGAGGAGATGGGTATCCAGCATATCCCGACCCACGAATCCCGACGTCGGGCCCCGGCTCACCAAAATCGTCGAATCCATCCAAGCCACCCGAGACTCTTTGGGCTGGCTTCGGCTCCGGCTCCGGTTCTGGCTCAGCCTTCAACTCAGGCTTACTCAAGGGGCTCTTGCTAGCCGCCACCTGGACGCCGCTACTTCCCGCACGATTGGATGATTTCGAGGTGCTTCCAGGCTTTTTGTTAAAGTGAACGTCCAGAGGATTCACCCATTCCGACTGTCTAGAGCCTGCGGGCCGTGATGGCATCCCCGGCCGGCCGCCGCCGTTTACTCCAAAAGGATCCGGTACGGCAAGATTGGTCATGCTCGCATTAGGTTTCATCCAGGGCTTGAAGCCAGCGCCGTCAATGCCATGGCGCAGGCTACTCTCGCTGGGTTTCCGGGGCACTGATAGATCGACCATGGACGACGCTGCTGGCACGCCCTTGAACGTTGCACGCCAGCCTAGGTTTCGGGCATTCGAGGTGGAGGTGCCTGGTCGCGAGGCCGGCGCTTGTGGCTTCGGGAACTTGAAGCTGTCATTGCCATTGCCGTTCCATCGTTGGGTTTGCTGCGGCTGCTGCACCACCTGCTTCTTGTCGGACTGCTTGCCCCTGTGCCAAAGAATATTAGTCAGTTGCAAATGGAAGCCGGGTGGCTAGAGAAATGGGCAGAGGCAGAAGCAATCATCATCTTACTGAGACTTCTTTTTGTCGCTGCCGAATCTGAGGCCAAAAAAGGACACCATCTTGCAACGACTGGCTACCCGACCCAAGCAACACCGTCGGTGCCTCCCGATGGATAATCACCCGCTTGTTTTGCAGTCTCTGTGATGTCCGTCTCCGCTCTGGCTACCCAAAGGTGCCATGAACAGGTGGAAAGGCTCCCCTGGACCCCAGCAGGTATGTAGTGGTATATGGTCGGGGGATTCAATGCGAAGGGATAGGATAGAAGAGAAGAATGGAATAGAGTAGAATAGAATAGGACGGTATAGTACAAGGGCTTTCGTGGTTCGTATGCGGTGTGTTGGTAGGTAGGTACGGTACGCTGTAATGTGTAAAATTTCGTCGTCGTATCTGTTGGAGGAAAAGGCGAAAAGGAACGGACGTGTCGAGTGTGACACAGGCGACGGCAACAATGGAAAACGAGGGATGTGCAAGCGCGCGACCAGCCGCAGAATCAACAAAAATAGAGGCGGAAAACGAAGTCTCAGAGGCCGTCGCCGGTCGATAAGAGATTGATGTCAAACAGAAGAGGGGAGGAGGCAGGTGATTTGCAGGCTACGCTACCCTAAGAGAGCAAGAGTGCGGTAGCACAGGCACAAGCACACATCAAGCACCGAAACTGCAAGGTACGAGTCCAGGCACGGTTGATTGATCCGTCCATTGAATGCTCAAGCTGCCTCTTGGTCAGTTCAGTTCAGTACCTGCAGGTCGCAGCGGGCGCACGTACCAGTACCTTGGCTGCAGAGAAATGACTGGTCGAGATGGGCTTGGGGCTTCTCCACGAGTCGAGCACGGGGAAGCGAGGATACGAATTGACGTGCCGCCCAGCCCGGCCAGGGTTGACCGGATGGATGCCTGTAACTGTACTCGTACCTGTACCTGAGCCCGCAGGTACCTGCTAAACTGTTACAGGTAGGACCAGAGATCCGTACAGGCAGGCAGGCAGGCAGGCAGGCAGGGCCCCAGCGCTGGGCCTGAGGTGGTGGATCGTGGCATCGCGCCTCGCAATTTGTTGGTGTTCACAGCAAAATGAAGCGGCGACATGCTGGCGCTATTGGCAGGCCAGGGGGCTCTGGGGCAGCTCCGCGCGCTAGACAGCGCTATGCCGTTTGCAACAATGGCGACACGCAGGGAACGTTGAAGGGCCATCCCTCGAGAGAGCGATTTGTGTGCAGCAAACAAGGGCTCGGACAGAGGATGGATGGAGGAGAGAGAAGCAAAGACATGGGCACAATAAACAAACAAGCAAACGAGCGGTGTCTGTGCAGGCCGGGTATGAGCAGTTACCGGATAGGTAGGATAGAATAGAATAGAGTAGAAGACAACAAATACACTGCAAAAGAGTCCGGTGGACGGATTCGATGTTCCCGGCTCGCATAAATCGGGCAATTAAATCAACATGAACGCCCACGGAAATGCCATTTGCTCCCTCAACTCACAGGATGCTTACTGTATCCGTACCTTGCTGTACTTGTACGAGTACATGTGCGTGTCAGGTACAAGTACCTTGCCAAGTAGGGCCAACCAACCGCCAAAAAGCGATGCTCCTCCTCCTCCCTCACCGCTAGCGCCCACTAGAAAGAAACGTCGTCCGCTGTCTTCTAGCGCCATGGGCCCCCCTTGCAGCGCCCCCTCCCGTGGTTGGCCAGTGCCCAAATTGCCCCTGAAGCTAATGCACGTCTTTGGCGGCTCGACTGTTTATGCACATGGCCTACATGGGGGCGCTTGACTGGACTGGACTGGCGAAAACAAGTTGACATGCAAAACTTGGCAAAAAAGGGCATCATGTTGGTCCCTAAAAAAGCCTCTCCTCAGAAGCGAAAGAAGGAGCTAGTGGGAAAACCAGATCCGTACCTACAGATGGACTGATAGCAATAGGTACCTAGTATACATCAATACTATACCTCAGTGCTCGTACAAGTATGCTTGCACGGCCAAAGCCGACAAGGGCTCCATCATTTTCTCAACCAGGCAATGCTCCGGTTTAGGACTGCGCAGTGCATGTACTGTACTTTACTGTAGGTACTTACAGTATACTGTACTCCGTACATGTTCCAGGCAAGATGGTACCTTGGGTTACACTGAGCAAATGGCAATTATTGAGCTGATGGATCAACATGTGATTCTGCCTCTGCACAAAACAGTACCTATACTCGTACACATCATCAATAGGTACATACCTAATAATATCCCACAGCTCGCTTGCCGGCGATTCAAGCCCAGGTGAGACTCACATAGTCCAACCCAACCACCGGGCTTTATTAGGTCATCTTAAATGTCTGCCACCGTTCCGGTAGATATTGATCCCACCGGCACCAGCCCAGGCACAAACATGCCGTACGAGCGAGCACAAGCAGCAATCATCTTGTACGAGTACTCGGTACGCGCGTCAGCTTCGGTTATTAGGCGTGGACCTTGTTAGCATCGGCAGCAACTCGCTGCTTACAGTGGCACTCCCTTCGTACAGTACATGTACTCTGGACTTGGCAATTCTCACGACAGCTTACTAAGTCGGTTCTCTGTGCACATCATGCAATTATTCAAGCCGATATTCATCAGATAATACATGTAGATGAGGCACATGCAATCAATACTCCAATGGCGGGAATACGGCGCTAAACAAGCTGTGAAAAGGAGAATTCGCATCAAAGTCCAAAATGCAGCCAAGACAGTTTCCCTAAAACGCCATCCAGATTGCACCCGAATCTTGCCCGTCTATCATAGTAGCAGTACCTTGAACCTGCATCATCAACATCTCTTCTTCCCTCACAAACAACCGTCCATCTTCAAAATCACAGCGCCGGAATTGCCCTTCCTCTTCCTTGTTGAGATCCTTGCCAGGATGGCCAACCAACCGAGCAGCCACGGGTATTGGAATATCGAAGCAATGCGATACTCGCTTCCTAGCAGCAGCCCGCACGAAGCGAATCAGTAGGGCTTACATCGCGCCCAAGTTCCCATAAAATCATGACGCAGAAGACGATTCGCCTAGGCGGCAATGTCTTGACTGCCACCATGTCCCCGTATTTCCGTCGGGTGGTATTCTTCCGCTCAACATTGCGTTGTCTTTGTGCAAAGAACCTTGAAATGTCGGCTTAGAGCTGATCAAGGAGCTTCCGTCTCCTCCTCTCGAGAAGCTCCATCTGAACTTCCTCCAGCGTTGGCAATGCCCACCCATGGCCATCCCCGCTATCCCCAGGTAATGGTTCCCAGCCGTCGGGGACTCCCTGAGGCCCTGTCTTGACCAGATTTTCCGCCGCCTCCCTTTCCTTTTCTGCCTCGTATTGTAGCAGTGCATCGTCCTCTTCGCCGGGAGCATAGCCGTAGTACGCCGCGTCCACGATTTTCCTCAAGTCTTTGCTGGTTTCGAGTGGCTTGTCCTCCTGTTTCTTGGCCTGTGCTGCCTCGAAGAGCTCCTTTACCCCAGGTAGCTCTCGAGCTCGTCCAAAATATTTGTAGCCCTTCCCTCCGCCCGGTATTTCTCTGCCTTGCTCGTCGTACATTTTCCCGCCGCCTCTCATGTAATTGGGCCCGCCTAAATTCCGTATCTGCACCTCCCACATGTGCTTCTCCCGCATCAGCTTGTTGATTTCATCGTTGAGGTCGCGGATCTGGTAGTCGCTCAGCACGGGGTCCTGGATTCTCGAGACCTTGCGCGAAATCTCCTTGAGCACTTGGCCACGCCATCTTTCGCACGATGGGATTGAATCGACTTCGGTGATGACCTTGGGGCGGCGTGTTCGTCCGGCGTCGATGATGCCCAGGTCTGCTGCTTGCGCTTCGCGGAAGCGGAAGAGCATAGACTGGGCCTTTTCTGAATTTCGAGCCTAGAGAAAACATGAGCAAATTAAATTCCCTTCTGAGAAACGACTGCTGCTTACCATTTTGACGGTTGGGAAACGGGAGCCCAAGGTGCTGTGAAAGTTGACGATCGCTCAGCTGGCAGAAGCTCGCTTTGGAACTTTGCCGAAGCCAATCCGCAGCCTTGTGCAGGCGCTGTGGCTGATGCGCACTAGCCACCTGTTACCTTAGCCACATTCTCTTGCGAAGCTCAAAGCCTCGCAAGGCAAATATCCTACCCTACAAGTATCCAAATCTCCATAACTGGTAGTAAGACATTTATATTTCAAATAAAATGATGCAATGATAATCGATTAAAATCTTGTAAATTCTTGAACTTTGCAAATGGCTGACCGAGCGACGTATTTTTGCCCACACATGCAGCTTTCTGTCAATTACCTGCTAGACATATCCACCTGAGCTTGCCTGGTAATTAGGTATGACATCGAAAAAATACATATCCTAGGTATGTAGAGAAGCATGACTCTGACGATGCTATTGTGTAGCTCAAAGCTCACAATTAACTCTATTTTTCAATCTATAGCTGTCATGGTACACGTGGTTGCCAAAGTCTTCATAGGCAGAGCCTTTGCGGATGATCGGTATTGGTTGCCCATGCAAAGTCCCAATCACAGATGAAGTATTTCCGCGGCATTGCCGCTGTTGCTCAAGAACTAACTTGCGACAGAAAAGAGCCATCTCCGTGACACCTAGCAAAAATCAGCTTTACGCCATATGATTATGCCGTATATGCGGACTTAGTTCAGGCATTGCCGGACAAGGCCCCACTACGGAGCGGAATTGCTTTCGATATGGCCATTCAAGCTTGAGGGCCAAATCTGACGACGAGATAATGGATTGGCATTCAAAGCTGTCCTATTTGGGAAGAAACCGAGTTAGATAGAAGAGAAAGCGTATTGAATTGGTTATAAAAGAGCGTCTTTCTTCTCAATTTCGACAATTTGTTAATCCACTACAGCCAGCACAATCATTGAAAGGACAAAACGGCACAGTTTGATAGACCCTGATCCTCCTCCATTGACGATTCTATCGCACCATTCAATCAATATCCAGTCTAGTTTACTACTAAAAAAACTATTTTGACCATGTCGCACTCCATCATCTCTCCAGCCATCCTCTATTGGGGCACTCCCGTTGTCCTCGTCTCTTCCGAGAACGAAGATGGATCTGAAAATATCTGTGCCATCTCATCTGCATTTTGGCTTGGGCACCGTTGCCTCCTTGGATTTGGAGCTGAAAGCAAGACGCCGCAAAACATTCTCCGAACTGGCCAATGCGTCGTCAATCTCCCCGACGACAGCATGGCCCGTCATGTCAACCTTCTGGCCGATACAACTGGCTCTGAAAATGTTTCCGAGTCAAAGAAGGACAGAGGATACCGCTATGTCAAGGACAAATGGACTTGTGCGGAGCTTACACCTCAGAAATCTGATCTTGTTCGCCCGCGCAGGATTTTGGAGTGTCCTGTGCAGATGGAATGCGAATTAGCTGAGGCTCATCAGGTAATGAAGGATTTTCCTGACCTCAAGGGCGTCATCGTCGCTATTGAGCTGAAAGTACTTCGGACTCATGTTCTGGACTCTATTCGGATGCCGGGACACCCTAACCGTGTTGATCCCGATAAATGGAGGCCCATGATTATGTCTTTCCAGGAACTATATGGCCTGGGGGGAGGAAAACTGGCCAAGAGCACTTTGGGCAAGGTCCACGAAGAAAAGTATCGGCGACTTACGCGAAGTGACGTGGTTAAATTGCCAGGAGATGAAGATAAGGAAGCTGTGGAAGAGGCATATTCGCATGCAAATGAGGGACTTGAGAATGGAAATTAGAGAATATTAGACTGATGGATTGCTTTTCTGGTTTTAGAACGTACACGCAGAATAGATTTAGATAAGATAATTTTCGCAATTGAGCTTATAAATGATCTAAACAGTGCTAGTTTGCAGCATTCGTTGCCGGTGATATATGTGAACATGCGTTAAGGCGGTTTCGGCGGTGGAGATGACAATGACCGGCATATAGGCAGTAGCAAAAGGTAGCGATGGTAGCAAGATGTAGCGATAGTAGCAGGAGATAGCGGATGCAAGACATGCATACCAACAGAAACATTGAACAGACAAATTAAAACTATATAACATCTCAGAAGTAGATAGCTACCCAATCAAGAACAGTATATCAACGTCTAGAGAAACTCATAGCTTTGACGGTTCATAATATCTCGACTTATGGGTTATTTTTATTACTTACGAACCTAACCCAATAGATCCGGATCCTCGTATGCTACATTGCCCTCACTAATATCAGGATAGATGTCGAATCTCCTCTGCGTCTCCAAAGGAATATTTCTGCGTGTTTCCGTAATCCTATCCTCGTTCAGTTCGGCCTCGATAATAGCCTCTCCTTCTTCAGTCTCCGCCAAGACGCCAGCCATTGGGTCAAGAATCATGCTGTGGCCCCACGCATGATATGGTGAGTCCAAGTTGCGTGCAGGGCTGCACATTCCCACGTAAATCTGGTTATCGACTGCTCGTGCCTGTGCCAATAACTTCCAGTGCAGAGCACCTGTTATGAGGTTAAACGCGCCAGGGTAGATCAGAGCAAATGCTCCTTTGCGAGCGGCAATAGTTGCAAGCTCAGGGAATCGAATATCGTAGCAAATACCGATGGCAACCTTTCCATATTCGGGGAAGTCGACTAGTGTGACCTTGTTGCCAGGACTGAGCACGTCAGATTCCCGAAAGGTAATCTTGCCTGGGATATTGACATCAAAGAGGTGCATCTTGCGATGTATCGAGAGCAATGCTCCATCGGGTCCAAAAATGAGACAAGTATTGTAATGCTTCTTTGTAGAAGGGTTGAGCTCTGGGATCGAGCCTCCGATGAGGTATACTTTATTCTCTGCTGCTATTGCCGATAAAGCATAATAAGAGGGAGCCTTTTCCTTTACTGGGGGTAAAGGTAGCAGAGTCTCCGCATACTTGGGAAAGAAATCAGTTCCATAAGGCGAGTTGAAGCACTCTGGGAGAACGACAATCTTGGATCCTCCTGACGCAGCCTTTGCTACTTGAGAAGCAGCATGCTTCAAATTTGCAGCCTTGTCAGAACCTGAAGATAACTGCACAAGTGAAATCTTGACAGGCTTTTTCAGAATTGTACGAGCGATGGATGCCATTTTGAACGAAAACGAAAATCGACTTGGAGGATGGCGTTATATAGTCAAGGATGATTCAGACCCTGAACGCTCTGCTGGATAGCTGATGAATAAATGTTTGCCTATCGTCTCTTCAAGTTTGGCAATGACGATTAGTAGTCTCAAAATATTTATCCATGCAATGATAAGAACAAGACAAATCAAAGAGCGAAATAATGCCAACTTTTGATGCCTTTCGGCTTTTCGGCTTTTTCCAACATCCAGTAATGGGCCGTAACAAATTCTAGTGCTGAGCTTCGCTCCATAAAGAATTCGATAGCGCCCAAAATCGCTGTCGGCTTAATCGCCCATTTACCGATGGTGGCGGTCCCACCCTGGCTCTCCTCATATCATCTGGGATCTGGTGATAAAAGGTGGCTGTCGATGCTTCACTAAGAGAAAGAGTCGGGTTGAAGGGCTGTCCACGCGACCACACAATAGCCACACGTATCAACAATTGCATCCGCGCATCCAAGGCAATTACAAGCAAGTAATCGCGATCCATCATCACCTATCCCAAGAATGGAGCAATTCGAGTTCCATGATCCCGCAGCACGCTCCACCTGGCGGCAGTGCTCACCAGGCATTGAGGAGTTGATTCTGAACGAGGACAAAGCAACTGGCCGCAAAACACTACTCCAGCGATGGCAGCCTGGCGCAACAAATCCGGCTTCAAGTCCTTTTGTGCACACATTCATTGAGGAGGTCTATATCGTGGAGGGCGATCTTACGGATAAGACATTGAGTCAGACGTTTTACAAGGGCATGTATGCATACCGCAATCCAGGCATGGAACATGGGCCGTGGTCTTCAGAGCGTGGATGCCTGATGTTTGTCACTTGCACGGCAGTGGATAGTACAATCATTACAAGTAGTAGTTAAAACCAATCGCATGGGTTCAATGATCCAATGGCAGTAGTAAACTGGGCTGGTTACATGGAATCAATGCTGTCGGAGTTATGGTCTCTGAGCAATAGTTTTGTCATCTGCATGGACCCATTACGGAAATAATATCGCAAAATAATATTCCACGTATGATTTGGCATGGCATAGCTTTCCAAATAGCAAGCAAGCCCCCCAAAGTGTGTGCAATTCTTCTCTCTCACTTTTTATTCTTCTCTGGTCAGTATCTCGTAATATTGTCTTGATGTCCATGGCAGTAAATGACAAAGGGCGATCGGCGATACATGTACCGGCGTCTTCCTGTGGCCAAGCTAAAAACGGGCGCTCCATGGAGCCAACCTTTTCTCCGCGTTCGCGTTTCGTTCTCCATAAAGCCTTGCGGAGGTGCGGAATGGCATCGAATTTCCCCAACGTCTGACTCGTTAAAAATCCTCAGCTGGTGATTTGGCGACACAATCTTCCGAGCTTTTCCTAAGAACGGGGGGCTTCCCCAGATCCCCCAGAAAACCCCCAGATTTAGAGCAGGCCCTTTAGTCATAAGACTATTATATCGGCAAATTCGCCTCCAACACACATCAGCTCATCTTCCCTCCCCCCATCAATATTTCTAATTCCCGACACTGCTTTTCTCAGAAACTGTTGTCCTCGGATCCGGAATCCCGTGTGTATGTGGAGAACCCCCGAGATGTCGGACTCTGTGGTGGCCCAGCCGAGAAAGCCGGTGAGCAGAGGCAGCAGAAGAGGCCGGAAACCCACCTCATGCACGCAGTGTCATCTGAGGAAGCAGAAATGTGATCGAAATCAGCCATGCAATCGATGCCTGCAGCGGGGAGTTGCTCACTTGTGCGGTGATACCACGACAAATGGAATATCTAAGGCTTCTGAGCCTCCGCAGGTGGTTGCCATCACACAGCCATATTCTCCAAGGCCGAGAAGGGTGATACAGGCACCAATGAGTCCTCGTTTGGGGTCATTATTCGCCAACAGAGGTGCAAGGGCCTTTTACGGCTCTTCCTACTTTGGCCACCAGGTTGCGGCTAGAATATTGAGCGAGGAGGGCCAGGATCTCCCCTCAGGAATTTCACGGGGTCGGGATACGCTACAATCTTTTCGAGACGAATCCAGCTCCTTTGCCCAGGTTTGGGACCTACTTGGTCTGTTACCTCGTCAGAAGTCGACAGTTGATCGTCTGGTGAACATATTTCTGACTGAGGTGAACTGGTCTTTGGATGCGGTTCACGAGGCGACTTTTAGGAGCAGTTACGACGAGTTTTGGGGGAGACGGTTTGGATTTGATGATTTGGCCAATGTTGATCTTCGCTGGCTGGGACTTTTGTTCATAATACTGGCATTTGGAGTATTACTCGATACCCCGCCGCGTCTGACGCTGGATGTGCAACGAGAGCGTGAAGAGGCATCTTTACGGTTCTATGTGCGTATTTCCTGGCCCTGATGGAAGTGGATGGAACTGTATGGATCGACTAACAAGGCATCATATAGTGGGCAGCCAGGAGAGCGATTGTTATTGCCCCATCGTTTTACGGAGAAAGCACAGATATTGTGCGGGCAGGGCTTCTCGTGACTCGATATCTCCTTCACACACGACGGGTTTCAGAATCATGGCTGACCATCGGCTTTGCATCAAGAATGGGACAAGCCCAAGGAATGCACGTAAGAATATCCATGATCAATATTCTCTGTGACGCCGGAATATACTCACGCTCGTTAGGTTGACGGTGAAAGATGGCGAATGTCGAGGAAAGGCACAGAGCAGCGGCGACGACTTTGGAGCCATATATACGCCATAGACCGCATGATATCTCTCGCATTAGGCCGGCCCTATGCTATCAACGACCAATTCTGTCTTACCCATGAGGCTGAGAACGTGTGGCTGGATGACTTGGATGACGAAGAAGCTGCCCGGGTAGTTCCACAGCCGCTTAACCTCCCAACGCCGAGCGTCTTGTCATTCCTACTCTATCGACTTGCAAAAGTCATTGGCAAGATTCAAGAGAAATGCTTTGGACTAGAAAGAGCTAGTTATGAAGCTGTGCTTCAGCTTGATGCCGACTTGGTCATGTGGAGTGAGCAGCTACCCCCATATTTCAGCCTGGACAACCCAGACACGGCAGGAGACGAGGCTCTTCCATTTCTCCCATGGCACAGGCTATATCTACACACATCATTTCACTTTGCAAGAATCATCCTCCATCGGCCATTCTTGCTTCGGGAATCTATCACAGATCGATTTCGGTCTAGTCATGAGGCGTGCATGTCATCAGCGTTGGCAGATTTGAAAATAAGGCTTCGCACAATGAATAGCACGACAGCAGATAACCTGCGGTGGGCTTTTGGAGCCCACAACCTGTTCAACAGCGCAATGATCTTAGGAATCATTGCGGTTAAAAACCCCCATTCGTCGCAGGCTGTTGCCATCTTAGAAGACCTGGAAGCATATTGCGAAAACCTGCATCGAGACCCCTGGCTAAACGAGTTTGGAATGGCGGAGCTAAAGGTAATTGAGCTTTGTATTGCCAAGGCCAGGGATTCGAGATGTACTTCGATGAATGTTTATCCATCCGGTTCTCCAACTGAGCCTCCCAGCACTAGAACCAACACTATAGATGGTTCTACACGAATACGGCCCCCAGACTTGGAATCTCCAGCCATGTCCTCAGATATGAGTTCTATATACTGGCCAACTGTTTGGGAGGACGGCCAGTTTTCGTTTCCTGGTGCAGCAGACTTTAGCACATGGGAGCAGATGATCTCAGATATTGCAGAAGATAGCTATATTGGGCCATAGTAAAACTATCCTGGATTTCCACCTCGACTCTATTCATCGGGGGCTTCCTAAACTGTTTCCTACTTACCCTATTTGATATACTCTTCTTGCGTGATAAAGGTCTATTTCCCTTTAAATTCTCGCCTCAATAAAGTGCCCATTGTGTTTCGAAGGTTTGAATGCAATTGGGTTTGTCAGCGACCCAAGACCATGACTAATTGTTACAAACAACTCGTCGCCTTCGACGAGTCGAACCGGTGGGTTCCGGCTAACACCAATTCCGCAAGGGGTGCCAGTCAAGATAATAGTGCCCTTTTGCAACGTACAGCCCTATGTGTTGTTGTAAGCAAACAGATCATGTAAATACTCTTCGAATTCTCACCTGAGAGAGAAACGACACAATCTTGGGAACAGTGAAAATCATGTCACTCGCTTCTCCTTGCTGCATCACCTGTCCATTCAGGACAGTCTGAAGTTGCAGAACCGACGGGTCGGGAATGACCCTTGACGAAACCAGAACCGGTCCGATTGGTGCGAATCCATCGAAACCCTTGCCGCGATCCCACTGCGAGACTTCGTTCTGGTGTGTCCGGGCGGTCACATCGTTGGCCGTCATGTAACCCAACACATATTGCATGGCATGATCTTCGGTTACGTCTTTGCATGTCTTTCCAATGACAACTGCGAGTTCCACTTCATAGTCCAAATGGCAGTCGTGTAGATCTGCGCAATGAGGGGCAACAATGTAGCCAGAAGGGTGATTAATCGTTTCAGTTGCTTTGAGAAACATTGTCGGAGTTTTAGGAATTGTTAACTTCATTTCCGCCTGTCATAATGAGTCAGATACCTTTATTCAATCTATTATGCTGAGTGGCGTCAATACTTACAGCATGTTCACGATAATTGAGTCCAATGCATCGTATTGTACCCGCTTCCTCTGGCCTCAGCGGTGCTAATACCTGTTACTCCGTCAACAAGCTGATCCACGTCCGGCAGTTGTAGGTTTTGCCGCTGCTGACCCGTTTGACCTGCACAACGTCTTCTGATAGGACAGCTGATAGGTCCAGAGCTGACTCGGCTTGAACAATCCTAGCATATACATCTTCGCCACGGTGTAAAGCAATTCCGACTAAACCAAAAACCCTGTCAGCTTTTGCAGCAAATGCCTGTAACTATCCCGTGCTTTGGAATCAAGGTATAATGTATGTATCGTACCATCGAGATCATCGTCAATAGGTTCACCGTATCTCTCTTGACCATTTACATCTTCAAATCTAATTAACCTATTCCAAACCTGGGTGCGAAGGGTCAGCCCGGATTAGGTCAATAGTAGATAAGAGTAGGCCGGGGTCTTGAAGGTAAAACCGATACTTACAGGCTGGTTTTCTAACAGTATAGGAGTCATTGTTTAAGCCAAGCGATATATGCAAACACAGTTGCTGCACACTTGGACCAAGTCTTAAGCCACAAAACTAGGGCAACTCCATGGCGGCGTTCCTTATCTGTATATAAAAGCTTCCCCTTTACCTTTTCCCATACCTGTGCATGAATTGGAGCCATCTTTTCGGGTATTGGGAATCTTTTGGTATCGGTAAATGCTGCGCATAGCGCTGATGCTAGCGTGGGTCAACCTGCAACTGTCGTCGGCATATTGAGACCTCGCCATCGGCAAAATCGGGAAATACGTATCAGCCCAGTTCGCGATAGCAACTCTTATGATAACGGCAAGAGCATGCAAAAGACCTTGTAAGTCCTCTTGAAATACTACAAATACGAATAGAACTGCTCAATGAAACTCATATTCAACACCACTCAAGTACCTAAACAGTCTCAGGCCTTGCCCCTACAATGGACGAGAAGAAGGTTGCCACCCCAACATCCGACCTGTCAGAACATGCCTCCATCAACAATGCCTCCCACTATGAGGGAGTGATGGATGCCTCAGTGGGGAGGGAAACAGTAAAGAGGAAGCTTAAATCGCGTCATATGCAGTTCTATGCCATTGGCGGTACCATTGGCACTGGTCTCTTCGTGGGTATTGGTGGTGGCCTCGCCCAGGCGGGTCCACTGTCTCTCTTACTGGGTTACTCAATTACTAGTGTGTTTATATTCTCTATGGTAAGTTACATACAATGTGATGAGTTCTTATACAAGGCTATACTCTCAGTAATAGCCTTTTGTGGCAATATATTAACGTACTCGATCTACAGATGCGATGTCTCGGAGAGATGACAACTTGGATACCACTCCCTGGAGCTACACCGAGATTCTGTTCTCGCTTTGTTGATGAGGCATTGGGGTTTGCAGTTGGTTGGAATCAGTGGTACAACTGTGCAATCACAGTCTGCGCAGAGATATCGGCCGCAGCTGCCGTTATCCAATTCTGGAATGACACCATTTCGGTAAGTTCTCAAATGCTGCTCTGTTTTACTACTTTTCTGGTTGCTCCCCGTCATGAAGCAACTTGAATTCATCAGGGAGCTAATTGTATATATAGCCCGCTGTGTGGATCTCCATCATCCTCGTCCTCATCTTCATATTCAATCTGATCGACGTGGGAATTTTCGGAGAAGTCGAATTTTGGTTCTCCTGCATCAAGATTGTGGCTCTGGTTGGCCTTCTCATTCTATCTCTTGTCATAGACTTGGGAGGCGGCCCTACTCATGATCGACTTGGATTCCGGTAAATGCTTCTTATTGAGGTGATCTCTTATTTATTATCATAGAACTACCAAGACTAACATCTCTCTTAACAGCTATTGGAACAACCCTGGAGCCATGGTGGAATATATCGTCAAGGGCGACACAGGACGCTTCCTCGGACTTTTCAACGCCATTGTCAATGCTGGATTTGCTTTTGCCGGTATTGAAATGATTGCCGTAGCAGCGGGAGAGACAGAAAACCCTCGACATAACATTCCAAAGGCAGTGAATCGACTCTTTTGGCGTATCCTATTCTTCTATGTCCTTGGAACGCTTGCCGTCGGTGTGCTTGTTCCCTACACGGATGACAGGCTCTTAAACGGCGGTGCAGGTGTTGCTAGCTCACCCTGGGTCATTGGTATCACGCGCGCCGGCATCAAAGTGCTTCCATCCATTATCAATGCCGTCGTTCTCGTGTCCGCTGCTTCAGCCGGGAACGCGTTGCTATATAGCGGCAGTCGATATCTCCTTGCCCTTGCTGAGGGTGGTCAAGCCCCCAAATTCTTGCTCAAGTGCACCAAGAGAGGAGTTCCAATTTACTGCGTCCTCGTCACGGGTTCTCTAGCACCTCTTACTTACATGGCTGTTAGCTCTAACAGCGCCAGGGTATTTTCATGGTTTGCCAATCTCGTCACGACTGCTGCTCTATTTACCTGGTGCAGCATTTGCATTGCATACATAGGTTTCGACCGCGCACTCCGTGCTCAAGGCATAAACCGGAAGGAAGAGTTAGCTTTCGGCGGTTTCTTCCAGCCTTACCTCTCTTGGATCAGTCTTGGATTCTTCATCATTGTCATTATCTTCAACGGCTTTAGTGTGTTTATCCATGGTCACTGGGATGTACAGAAATTTGTTGTCGCCTATGTTGGCATACCGTACGTTTTTACACCCACGCCCTACACCCATTTCTCCACTAAATTTTGATTCCAGCATCTTTTTCATACTGTTTTTCGGATGGAAGATTGTTAAGAAGACTAAATTCCGCAACGCCAAGGAGATTGATCTTGACACTGGACGCCAATTGGACGAGTCCACAGAGTATGAAGAGAAGCCAAAGAACCTTGTTGATCGACTTTGGGCATGGGCCGCATGAGATATGATTATGACAGATACTATAGTTACACTTATTGAAACAGTTTAATTGAATAATTAATCTTGGTGGATTAACTAGAATTGCCACTTCGCGTTGATCCTCTTTGTGTAATCACAGATTCATGTATCTCCATGCTCATCATTTTCCAACTATATTCTTAATATCACCTAGGGTCTGCTCTGAGAACTTCATAAAACTTTTAGAACTTATGTTTTGCCTAGTGCAAGTAGAGAATCCTATGACTAGGCGTTATCAAGTGCTTAACATTGAATATCATAACTGGATGATCAGATGCCAATGAATTGGAAAGTCACTGGGAGCATTATTCACCATATATTGGCTCTACTAGCTTGGGATAGTTCTTTGTAGCTAACGGTAGATGATTGGGGCTAGACAGCAACAAATGAGAGGGAGATGGCGAAGGTGGCATCAAGATGGAACTGTGATTCCATCATATACCTACCTGTACAGAATGAACGGAGCCTATCGACATATGGAATTATGTGGCTGATTAATTAATGTTTCGTGCTGTGAGGGATCTCGTCCCCCAAGGTACGTAGTATTTCCAACAGTACTCGATATCGACGTTTGTTTTCACAGCAATCATTGGCTGAACCGCTGCGGCCCAATCGTCTGGTCAGGCAGCAAAGCCAGACCCCATCGCGCCATGGACAGGATATGGGAAAATTCAAAAGTAGTCACTCATGCACTGACAAGTCTCTTCACCAATGTGCTATGTGTCGACTATCCTCGTATGATCTTGGTTTGCTTGATTTTGTCGCCTGCCAGCCAGCCCAGCCGCAGACATGTCTACCCGCCCAACTCCGTGTAGTGACGAAGTGTCAGCGGCGCTGCAAGAAAGTGAAGGTTCGGATCGACGGAATCATATTTTAGCTAAAAGACGCAACAATCTTTGCAAGATATGCACCAAGGTGGTGGGCGATTTGAAACCATCCACCCCAAACCGCTGGCTGGACTTTGGGGTGGACGGTGAGGGATACCTCGTCAACTGGGACGTTGCCGAGGTAAGGAATTCTACTGAAAGCTGCGACTTGTGTCGCATTCTCGTCGAGGTATTTCACTTCGATAAATCTAATAACTCTGTCTCTTCCGGCATTATCATTGGTAAATTAATCCATCTGGGCGAGCACTTTACTCTCGCTACAGATCCAACCTTGGGTCCCAATCAGATTCTCCGGCGCCCTGACGTTAGAGACCGCGGAAATTGGTCTGAAGTTCTGACCGAGGTGGACGATAAATTCGATGACGGCCGTGCCAAGACATACCTTAGTTGGACTCTGGGCCGACGACTTGCCATCGCCTATAGGGAGATGGAGAATGTTTCAGCTGCGGAAGCTGAGGCCGGGGAAGAACAGCCGTACGGAATCCCGAAATATGGAATGGAAATGGTCACTCGCCAACCAGAAGCATTTAACTCGATTCAATTAGCCCGATTCGATTCCTCTAGATCGGACCCAGGGAGTGCCTTCTTCGTCCGCCAAATCTCATCCTGCAGACAAAACATCCCGCTAATACGGTCATGGATCGATCGCTGTCTCAAATATCACAAAGGGAAGTGTCAATCATCTTCAGGCGGGGTCGATATTAGCAGCCTCTCCCTCCGCGTCATCGACGTAGAAGCAAGATGCGTCATCAAGGCTTCTCCCAACTGCCGTTATGTCGCCCTGAGCTACGTCTGGGGCAACGCCAAGCAGGTCCTGCTCAAGGTGACAAACGAAAAGGCTTTCTCTCGTCCAGGCGGCCTACCGAACGGTATACCTGCGACAATCGAGGATGCAATGGCTCTTTGCCGGATGTTGGGGGAGAGGTATTTGTGGGTGGATGCGCTCTGCATCTACCAGGACTCCCCTGAGGATCTAAACACAAAATTCGATCACCAGGCTTCTGTAGCTGAGCAGATTAGACACATGGATGTCATCTATTCCGGCGCGGTCTTTACTGTCGTCAACGCCGCAGCAAGTTCCGCGGATGATCCCATACCCGGCGTCCGATCCGATTCACCGAAGAGAATCCCTCCCCAACCCTTCCAGATTGGGGAGAACCTGCAAGTTGTCGCAACAATCGCAGATGCTTGGGACTATGTCTCATCTCACTCAACATGGGACACTAGGGGATGGACATTCCAGGAGAAGATCCTGTCGAAGCGCCTGCTAGTGGTGACGGAACACTTTAGCTTCTTCCGCTGCCCATCCGTGCTCTGGAGAGAAGACAGCTTTGAGGCGGATCTCTTTACGGAGACAACTAGAGAGAAGACGCAGATCTGGGAGTGGGAAGATGCGCGAGGGCTGCATCGCGCTGCCCCAAGAGACAAAGATCAAGAAATGGCGCAGAAAACTCTTAGCAAATACAAGAAGCTTATGCATAACTACATCACTAGAAAATTCACTTACAACAAGGATGCACTCCTCGCGTTCCAAGGTATTAAACAGACAATAAAACTGTCGGTGGGTGGCTTTTTCTTTGGCTTGGAAGATGCGCGAGGGCTGCATCGCGCCGCTCCAAACAGTGACCAAGAGACAGTGAAGAAGACACTAGACGAATACCAGAGCCTCTTGGGGATCTATGTCACTAGAAATTTCACTCACGATAAAGATGCACTTCTCGCGTTCCAAGGCATTGAACAGACAATGAAACCATTAGTGGGAGACTTTTTCTATGGTTTGCCGAAGAGAAGTTTCAGCACAGCCCTCAAGTGGGTAATGTATGATGGCCAAGCCAAGCGTCGTAAAGAATTCCCAAGCTGGTCGTGGGCAGGATGGAAGGACCAGGGGGGATTTTGGTTCCCAACAGGTATCAGTGAGCGGGTGGATCAGGATGAAGAACGAATCCTGTTCTACCAATTGATGGTGCGGCGGCCAATGCGCCGCATAGGAGGAGAATCAATACTTTCTCTAGGAGACAAGGACGTCGACGTCTGCATAATCAACAAATCAAGGCTCGGTGACAAGCAGGACTACATCGCAGGCGAATTTCGCCAATCGACTTTCAGGTGGAAGCGGCCGCTCCAGCCTGGTCCTCCAATCCGGGAAGTCGTCGCTCATCAGCATCTGCCTCAGCCGAGTCGTCCAACTTGGCAAGCAATCGCCATGCAGCTACGCGGAGGCAGTCCCCTTCTCGTGAACCAATTAAAACAACTACTCGTGTTCTATGCCCTAGCCATAGAGACAAACCCCACAGACAAATCCCGGAACTACGACGGTCTCGGTTACTGGGCACGGCATGAAGATGTCCCAGATAGCTCAACGATCTCAACGACCACACACCTCCAGCGAAACTGGATCAAGGTGCAACACTGGGGACACAAGTACACTAATGTGATGCTCATTGAGTGGGTCGGAAATATGGCCTACCGTGTAGACCTAAGGATCCGAGTTCGTACCACGGAGTTTTTTGCTGCTAGGCCACAGATGAAGCTCATTATTCTCGGTTGAGAATCTTTCGGACAAGGATGAGCTCCACGTGGTATCTCTGATGTTCGGTGAGCTGAGTTGTGTTGTTGAATATGTGTGATGCCTCCAAAATGGCTAAGGCCCTATTTTCCTTCTGCAAATGTGCTAATATGCTACCTATCAACACCCCTCGAGATCTGGAAGGAATGGAAGAACGGGTATCAACATTGCTCCGTATGGGTTCAATCAATCCGGTATATTCAGACTACGGACCAAGTACCCTGCTGATAAGCATTAACTCAGGTACCTGTATACATCCAATTTCCTATGGGCGTAATACGCCAGCTTTCTTTTGTGTAGGTAGCGATGTAGCTTCAAACAGCGGCTGTGGATTTTGTGGATTAGGTAGTGGGTAACTGATCTATAGAGCATCATTTTATAACAGATAGGAAGCTCATGAAGTCACGACATTTAAATTTAATTTAAGATAACAAATCATGCGAAGCCATGTCCGTTTACATTACCATCTTTCACAATACTGGCTCATCTATGACTTACTTCTCTGCACTGTACATACATGCACTCAATCTCGTAGTATAGCCTGCTTTATTGTGGAAGTTATTAATGAATGCGGTCACATTAATAAGCCCCAATACCGACACGGAGCTTCCAAATCTGTATACTTGAGAATATTTATTTGGCCGGTACTTTCATACAGCTGCCAGAGTGAATATCTTCGCATGAGCGCTTGGGCTTGGCTTAGTAAGATAAGAACCTGAGAAGCTTTGAAGTCTCGTCGAACCAGATCAAACTGCAATAGGAAAGTTCTTTTTTTCCTACGTCGGCAAAACCTCTTGACAAACAGCGCGTCTTGAAGTAGTATCGCGCGTGGCCAAGCCCAGCCTAGTCCTTGTTTGATGTAAACCCTGAGATGCTAGAATCCATGTTTAATAATCAGAAATGCAGGTACGGCAGATCGTCAAATCAAACCATAACTACATAAAAAGGGTGGGGGTTTCCTTAGTAAGAAACCTATTTCCTTGCGATAGACTAGATGAATAAGCATAGAGAATAGACGACGTCGTTGGGATGTTGTGAAAAGACTTGTTGAATATGGATCGTATGTAAAGTTATATCACCATGTCACCTGTACGCAATAACGGCACTAGGAAGTTTAGTTGCATTAAGACTCCAGGCTGAGAAGACAGTTTATTTAATTTTATGCAAGGCACTGTCACATCTTTTTTCAAAGACAAGATAATATGCTGAATATGTAGTAGTTTTATTTTAAGAAACTATTTGAGTATATGCCATTCATTTTTCATGTAGCTACATGTACTTTAAGATTTATATTCGCCTGACCTCTCCTCCATACCCTCGACAGTAGTAGTTCTAGTAATGTGCCGCACCAAAGCCTCATCTCCGTCCGCATGAACGGCATGGCCGGTTCCAATGACGCTCAAGCTGTCTCGCATAACAAACTCATAAAAGGCACTGGAGATCAGTGTGGCTGGAATACTGGTAAAGATTCCAATAGCAGCGTAATTCATATAAGAGAAAGCTTCCCTGCCATAGAAGATAGCGGCAACGACTCTGGGACCAAAGTCTCGAGCCATGTTCATGGTGAGCGTGTTAGCTCCAAAAGCCCATGCCATGGCACCATAAGCCAGTCCAATGAGAAGAGGGGCGAGAGATGGGGAGACGAAGGGATTAGCGGGGTCGAGGCAGGCCCAGATGATAAGACCGACGAAGCAATCACAGAAGAATTCGGTCATGAATACATATCCCATTGATTGGCCGGGGTTGGGAAACGAACATAACACGCTCGCCGGAGCGCCATTGGCCACTAGAGGTTTGCCGGCAGCAAGCAACACTTCCTTCATCTCTTCGAGTTGCTGGTGGTAGATGCCCATGAGCACCAGAGCAGCGATGAAACCTCCGAAAAGCTGACTTAAGATGTAGTGCGGGACCTTCTTGAGAGGGAAGCCTTGCCAAATACAGAGGCAGATGGTAACAGCCGGACTGAAGTGGCCACCCGAGGTCGGCGCACAAGTGATGATGGCAAAGGCGATACCCAATGCAAAGGCAAAGCCAATGGAGAATAGACTGCCAAAGGCAGTGGAGCCGACGGGGTTTGTGGCATTGACTGTGAAGGAGGCGATGGCGCCAATGCCGGGCAGCACATACATGAAGACTCCAGTGGCTTCAGCTATGCACTCGCGCACCCAGCGAGGACGCCGGTGCTCAAAGTCGAGTCGGCGCTGCGATACGCGTCTTGGGGGGACAACATTACGGGTGATGTGTTTTTGGACGGCATCAGTGGTTCCCAGCTCTACTGCATTGGTTGTCAGCTCACTGTACTGGAGTTGACAAGGATGCTGGACTCAAAGATAAGAGAGGAAGGACAATGCTTACAGTCATGGGTATGAAGCCGGTTTAGCTGCTCAGTTGGCGCCATGATGTTTGTCCTGTGTAGCAGTAACTTGATGTTGCACCTGTGCTGCGTATATCAAAGCCAATTAGGCGCTTGAATAAAGAAGAAGGTAAGAGGTGATCGTCACAAGAGGAAAGCACACGAGACTATATACTTGCCTGCAGGACACCGGCAACATCCTCGTAGTCATCCTCGTAGTCATGCATACAAGCATCAGCACATAATGCTACTACTTTGAACATACGGTCAGACCCTGTCGGAGGCTTCGCACACTCCGGTACGGGATCCAACCCTGCCCGCCCCCCCTTCTCAGAAATAGACGCCCCCAGCTTTGAATCTACACTGGTGGCATTGGATCGGTTGTTTTCGATAGTTGACAAGAGTTGCGTCGACTATCTACCCCCTACCATCAGGTGGCTGACTTTGGGCTTGAAACGGCTCTATCGGCCAGCCGCCCTTTCGAGGCAACTTTTCGCAACAAAATCCACTTTTGTCTTTCTTCTTTACCCCGGACAAGTGCCCACCTTGGCCCCCTCGCCTCCATCTTCCCCCGCAGTCTAACGATAATTTAGGCCATCTCTCCGGGTTGCATGACGGTTTGTCGCTAGCCCTAACAACGGCAGTACGAAGTACGAGTTGGTGCGAGACAAGTCACGCAGCGGGAACAAGATGCGAGACGAAGACTAAGACGGAAATATCAACAAACTCCGCCTCTCGACTACGAGTACATACATCTACCAACGAGGCGGCCCCATTAGTTTGCCCGACTAGTAGAGCCCAAGGGTGGCCGCGATTTAGGCAAGCAACCTAGGGTTATCAAATTCATTACGTGGATACATGTATACGGAATAGCGTTTTTCCTTTTATTGCCCTGTGTCGCGATGCGTAAAGGGCGTGACGCCGGAAACCTGTTTTTGTCTGGGTCTTTGCTTGTTCCCGCCCCAATTACTGGCAGAGAGCAGGCCACCAATTTGCCAAAAGAGGTTCAACGAGTGAAAATTCCATCATATTCAAGATGATCGTGTCTTGGAGAGTCAAGTGAAGCTGAGAATTTACAACAAGGAGACTAAGAAGCGAAGCAAGCGCATTGTTGTTACTAGCTCCCCAACATTGTTGTTGCATTGTAGACTAAGCAGCCCATCTTGATGAATTTCGTAGACAAGTTCTCTTGGCCAGATCGCCTATGGAATTTACCCCGTACTGCGGAAATGTGGATGCGTGGGGAAAACCCTTGGGCTGAACCTCACCTCATCTCATTCCCCCACACGAGTCCAAGACAAAAGCCACGTTCACACAATTGTCTATCTCAGAGTTTAATTCCGTTGACTCGTTGGTTCAACGGGCTTGACCGTTCCAGCTAAACGACATTGGTCCACCCCCGCGTTCTGGCAGACGGCCGCCTGGTTCCGCTGACTGGGCTTAATTGGAGGCAAGATATCACCAATCCATGACTCATGGGGAAGTTGTCGACAGCCACCAAACACTAAGAAATCTGAGCCGAGGCACGACTCCATAAAAAGTGAGGAGAAGCAGTCTAGCCAGCTTCCTTGCCGGGCCCTTGCCGAACGGCGCTCAATTTTTAAGCCACTTGGCGTTTTTTTCCAAACTTCATCTCTGTTCTCTACACCAAATGAACCATCCATCTGATACATGAGCGTGGCGTTTCTTCCCGGAAATGCAGCCAAGACGTCTTGGCCAGCCAGTAACGAGTTCGCCAAGTCGGCACACCGCCGAACGATACGATTAGCCACTTGTTTCCGAAATATTTCGTATGATTGACGAGGTTTGCGGACTTGGGTGCGACCAATCAGATTTAGCCGGACCGCTCTCGGGGAAAGCAACTCGTCTCGTGCGACGGAGACTTTTTGGTCCGATTTTCTCCTAGGACAAGCATGACTAGCTGGACGGCATTGTGCAAGGGCATCCAAGTAGCTTCTCTTAGACCGGACTTACGGATCAGTTCAAAAATCAAAGCATGATTTCTCTCGTTCTTCAATCCGCCTTCACCGATCTGCGATGAGGCTGCTCAGGCCACCACGATAATTCCGCGGATCTAAATTCGAAAAGCCGCGGTTGGCTGTCTTCCAAAGAGGGGGGAAATTCCCTATATTGGCGATTTGGGGTAATACATGGCTGCGCCTCCAAGTAGAAGGCAAACAAAAAGGGCACTAATCGATTAGCTGAACGGCGGTTGGGGGAATGTTACCCTGGCTGGCTTACATGAACGAGCTAGGCAAAGTCATGTCATCAAACTATTGTGTTGTTGCAGCCGGTATATCACGATCAACAGCCGTGCTGATGGACCTGCATGCGCCGTCGGCGTGTAACTCGCGAATTAACTTTGTCTAAAGTTGTATTAGAGGCTTCTTTGAGATTGCAGCTCTGCACCTCTGCACCAATGAATGGATGGCGATATCGTTGCATATGATCCTTGCCTTGTTCAAAGCTCAACAATTGAGTATCACTAACATCAGCTGAAGTATAACACCCATCTTTGACAGGCCACATAGCCGAGTTACGCGGTAGAAGGATCACCCGTGATATCGTCGAACATTGGCTGTATTACTATCTGAAATTACGAAGGATTAATTACAAAAGATTATACGACTACAAACTTGCTGATTCAATAAGCTAACATGATTCTGCAGATTTTTGACTCCTCAGTCTGCCCTTCTGTCCAATCTACCTCCTCGAATCCAGCTCGATGAAGAGTTTTCTTCCAGTCACTCACATCCATAATAGCATGGTCTCTACCATCGTTGAATAGCCACCATCCATCTAGCTGCCCAAAAATGACATCAAGGAAATAGTAATTCCTCCAAGTGTATTCCACAAGAGTGAAGAATCCACCTGGGCGTAGCAGTTGCCGAGCGTTTGATGTGCTCTTGCAAACGTCAGGGGTTGCATGCATAACGTTTGTTGCAATAATCATGTCGAAATAGCCCTTTATATCTGTGGAAGGGTCTTGTGTAATGTCAAGGGTTCTAAATTTGACAAATGTGTGCTCTCGCAGTTTGGATTTAGCTGCTGTCACAAAAGAAGATGAAATATCTGTGAAAGTATACTCGACAGAGATGCCAAGCTGGGCAAACGCGTTGACTGCCGGCAGAGTAGTTCCACAGGTGCCTCCTCCGATTTCAAGTACTCGGACAGTCTTGCTCAATTGCTGTGAACCGAAGCAATTTCTGATAAAACTCACAAGTTGCTGAGATACAGATGACTGTATCGGTGCGAGGAGGTACTGGTCTGCCATCAACTTGCGCTTTTCAGGGCTACCAAAAAGCAATACAAGTGGATCTTCTTTGCCTGAGAGACACTCACCCAACTTGGCGCCAACAACGTGCAGTAGCTTGTTTTCAGGTGCAAATTGTGGAAATTCAGCAATTATCTGGTCATATCTCTCAGAAGATGATGGTTGAATAGCCACGCGTTTAGAGGTGCGAACCCAATCATTGTGAACTTGAGTGATGAGGCCATCATCACGGAGGGCACGCATTAACCGAGCCATAAGCTTATCATTTCTTGGCAAGTGGGGTATATTCGGAATCTTCTCGCCAGCGTTGATGGTGGAAATGTCACACCCAAGCTTAGCAAATGCCTCAGTTATATAGGCAACGATCAAGCCCGCTTGGGAAGGGTGGACCTCTGAGAAGAACCTGTCACACCCTGTTTCTTGGGCAATGATGTCGAATTCTTCACGGATGAGGTTGAAGGCATTGTGAGCAGCACCGGATAGATCATTGGCTGACCGTGAATGTGAGGGGAAGTGAGAGGCACTTGCGAACTGATCTTCATGGCTAGAAGGCTTCATGCTAGACGTAACGGAAATTAGCGACGTGTTCATAGACCCAGCCATCTCTGGAACATTGGACTGGGATCTTGAACTAACTTCCGAATTGCAAGAGAAGCCACTTGATCGGTCTGCTATCAGTTTACAAAGAGCGCCGACATCATGTGCCTTCTCAAATTCTCGCACTCCGATCTTGATAGAGAAAACTTTGCTGATCTCATCGGCGACCTCCATTCCCATCAAGGAATCGATGCCCAGGTCAAAAATCGAAATATCACTGCGAAGTGAGCCAACATCTACGTCGGCAATGCGGCCAAGCAGCTCAAACAGCGATTTAGAAACATCCGGCAAGTCTGGTGATGAGACAGACTCGTTATCGACCGAAGAATCAGGAGTTTCAGGCCGTGTTGTAGTGGGTTCGACGTCTTCAATGACGTCCTCCGATGACACCGAGTGACGCCTCGGGGTGGATTGAGGGGATGGAATCATAATAGACCCGTTGGATGGGGGAGCCGTAATGGTCATGTGTCTATTTTGTTGAGGGGACGTAATCGCAATACGCCGGTTAGATTGAGGCGGTGTAATGGTAGTCCGCTTGTTGGACTGTGGGGATGTAATAGTAACAGGGCCACCAAGTGCCTGTCGTAGAGATCCAATCTGCAATCTAGTGAATGTTACGTCCAGGATAACTGCAGATAACCGACCACTTTGTGTATCGCAGATAAAGATATCGCATGTAGTCTCAGGGCCGTCAAGCCCGAAAAACTTGAGATATACCGCCCAGGAAGTGTTCTTGCCAGGCGATAAGTCAAGAGAGTCATCAAATATGACCTGTCCTAAAGCCATATTGACATAAATCTCATCGTCTTGAAGATCTTGTAAGCCATTTAAGCAGAGCAGAGGGACTTGAATGAAATGTTCAATGGCCTCAAACTTGCTATTGAACGACGAGACCAGATAGCCTGCGGCTTCGTTGCCTTTGGCGGACACTTCCTTGACTGTCTGCCCAGATTTTGGAATCTGGAACACATTCAAAAAGCTCTTATAGACAGCTTTTCCTTTGACAGAATCCGCTTCGTCATCATTCGTGAGGTTTTTAATGAGAGTAGTATCAATGAGTCTTCGGAAGCGAGCAAAGTCCGTTCTGATTCTCTCACTACTCGCCGAAGGAGTGGACATGCTTCCGGAAACGTACGTTCGACTGGCATTTCCAGTGCTCGTAATCACAAAGTTCCAAGAGTGCGAATGCTTGGCTTTGGTGATTATCAGACTGAAGTTGTCGTCTGACTTGGCTGGTATCGGACTTTGTTGTGCCAAGTATTCGACATTATATACTGAGCTTGTTTGTTGGGAAGAGTTGTGTAGGGTGTTAATGGCTTTGGAGATCAACTCCAATACCGAAGAAATTGGGCAAATTTGAACATCAAGGATGTAGTTTTCTGAGCAAATCATTTGCCAACTCTCAGAATGAGTATTAATGCAAAATTCGCCTCCATCATTGGACTTCTGCACTAATTGTAGCAGCGTTGTCGGCTCTGAAACCGGAACTTGGATCTCAATTGCCGGCGGACTCAGATCTTTCCAGTCCAGCCAGAAACGAGCTTTGTCAAATTGATATGGAGGAAGATTCAGCATTTTATATTGTTGCTGTTGGCTGTGGTGGAATGGCCAATACTGAATTGCCAGACCAAGCTCCCAAAGCTGCGCTGTGAGTTCAGCTAAAGGCTCTATGGATGAAGCGGAATCTACACTCAGAGACTTGATATTGTTTGCGGATGCTCGAGTTCCAAGAGCTCGCCGTACCATAGGCGCGCCGAAGCCCGAGCCTGCCTCAAGCCATGTACAGGGGCCAAGGTGTTCCGCAATCCTTTCTACCGCCTGATGGAAGTATACTGGATCCCTCATGTGTGACGCGATGAGGGCTGGGGTGGCTGTTTGCCAAGTGCTATATTCGGAGCAAGTCTCCAGAGGGATCTTTGGAGCCTGAAAGTTTAATTGTTCAGCAATATCTTGAAGAGGCTCGAGTAGGGTTTCTGTCAAGGACGAGTGGAAGGCATTTGTGACTCGCAGGCGTTTCGCCTGGAACGTTTGTGGCGCCGACTTCAGGGAAGCCTCTAGAGCGTCAACTGAAGGGGTGCTGCCTGCGATAACAAAGCTCTGTGGTCCGTTGTAGCAAGCAATATCGAGGTTAAGATTTGCATGCTTCGTCAGAAGACTCTTCACCGTATCCAAATCCGCTTCGATTGCGATCATCGATCCAGAGTCATCTCCCCAATGCTCTTTGATCAAGCGTGCACGTCCAATAATCAGCTTCAAGCTTTCATGAAGTGATAATACTCCTGATACACAGAGAGCTGTGAGTTGACCAAAGCTGTGGCCAACAAGCCGAGCTGGCTGAAGCCCACAATCTATCCAAGCCATAGCGCTCGCGTACTGCGCACTGAATAATATTGAGTGGAGGAGAACAGTATCTTCATGCGGACCAGGCTCAAAAATATCGGGGAAGATACTCTGAGATCCTAAAGCACGTAGTGTGGCATCGCAGTCATCCAGATGCTTTCGGAAGATTGCAGAAGAGTCATAGAAAGACCGAGGGACAGTGGCCATCTTGCCGGTCTGCCCACCGAAATACAAGACCACTGGCTGCTGACTGTTTTCACTCTTGAGAGGCTTTGTAGACATTGTAGATAAGAGAAAATCTTTGAGCCCTTGGAGCGATGAAATGGTTGCGCATGCAGTGTATGGCAAACTGGGGTTCCTGCGGCGCCACAAGTGGTAAGAAATGCCCAATGCCAAATCGTTACTGGCTGAGTCTGATTGATCTATGAAACTCAGCAACTCAGAACAATATGCTGCCAAGCTTGAAGGACTGAAAGCCGTGATTGACACGGGATAGGTTGCAATCGATGTGGATGAAGACCGACTCTTGATGTTTGGTGGTTGAGCAACAATCATCGCTGCATTGGTTCCCGACGCGCCATAATTGTTTATGCATGCCGCTTTGAATTGAGCGGTCCAAGGAACTTTGCTTGTAGCAATGGCCATTCCGCTCGGCTCCAATGGCCCAATGGCTGGGTTAAGATTTTTCAACAATGCCTGTGGTGGAATCATTCCCTTTTGCATCATTAACAGGACCTTGATGAGTCCGGATAATCCAGAAGTAGCTTCTGTATGGCCAATATTACTCTTTAATGAGCCCAAATAAGTTTTATCGCCATGAGGGCGAGAATGGTTGCCGAATACGCCTCGTATACTTCGAGACTCGATTGGGTCTCCGAGGGCGGTGCCAGTTCCATGAGCCTCGACGTACGAAACGTCGTCAGCATGCATGCCGGCACGTCGTAGTACCTTTCGGTAAAGGCCCATCTGGGTAGGACCATGAGGCACTGTGATAGAATGTTCGTTTGCATTTTGGTTAACACCAGTAGCAGCGATAACTCCCATGATAGGGTCACCATCGCGAATGGCAGCAGAGAGTTTCTTCAGCACAACAACAGCTACGCCCTCTCCTCGACAATATCCGTCGGCTGCAGCATCGAATGACTTGGATGCCCCTGTTGGACTGGTGAATTGACCAGCGGCTAGGTTCTGGAAGGTATCAGGGCTGACAAAGATGTTCGTGGCCCCTGCAATGGCAGCGTTGCAGTCTCCGGTTGCAACGGCTTGGCAGGCTTGATGGATAGCAGTACCTGATGCTGCACAAGCTGTATCATACATGATCGCAGGGCCGGTCCAACCAAAGTGATGGCTGATCTTTCCTGCAATGAATGGCCGGATTGATCCGGTAAGCGAGAATGCAGATGGTGAATGGGTAGCCACATTCTCAGCATACTCATTTGTGCATGTGGCAAAGTAGCAGCCAATGTCCCGCTCCGTCCCTGTTGTGTAGGTATCTCGACTGAAGTAGCCGGCTGACTCGAGCGCCTGGTATGTGACCTGGAGCCCTAGTCTCTGTTGAGGATCCATGAAGGTGGCCTCACGGCTTGTAACTTTGAAGAACTTGTTATCGAAAGCATCTACATCATCAATCGTATTGGCCTTGAATGGCCTTTCATATGATCGTCGTGCAAAGCGATAATCTGGAAAACGGTCCTTGGGGAGATCACGGTATAGTGACGTTCCTGTTTCGAGGATTTGCCAAAGTTGCTCTAGAGATTCAGCTCCGGCGAACTTGCATGCCATTCCCGTTACGGCAACAGCTGTGTCTTCAGAGTATGGTAGAGATGTATCCATATCTGAGTTTCCACCCTCTGTTGCATCGTTCCAATTCTTGTTCCTCCAGGCATTATCCATGCCTTGTGTGGACGAGCCATGGCCCATCCCGTCGTGAACGGCCATTTCTGCGGGCAACCCAAGTCAGAATGGCGTGGGGCAGCTCGTTATTCGAGAGGTTATTCCAAAATCCTTGTAAGGTATTAGCCAAATAATAACTTAAATGATGAATGCTGGCATACGTACCGGAAAGAGGGCTTGGGGGCTGAGGATATCAGATACTCGACATCATACTTCGCACTGAAGGCCTATACATTAACTATACAATAACAATAAAGGAGACAATGTGGCACAAACAATAAATAGACAAGCTTGCCTGTCTTTTCATCAGGCTGCCACCTAGGATGATTTCATATCCAGTTTATATCCGGGTTGAATGAATCTCCTGTAAGGCGGCCGGTCATTAAACGAGTCTTGAGATCGGCGGTCTCTTACCTGAAAAGGGGAAGTAACACTTCTTCATCGGTCATTTTTTGGACTCCATAGTCATGTAGGAATGTAAAAACTGACCGCAATTCGGCCGCTAATTTAGCAAATCACATTATTTCACAGGCTGAAGACCGAAAATTCCTTCAGCTACACATGGCGCTGATATCAGCGACAGGTGGTATTGCATACTTCTCAAACGGCGAAAGTGGTCGATGTGGGCCATGTAGATTCAACCCCCGGTCAATCGACCGTTACAAGGTGGGATTGTTCAACGGCGCTACTTTACGAGCACTGTGCTGTCTTTTCTCGGGTTTTCATCCTATCTTTTCCTGAGATACAGGGTGCTGATCAGCGCTGAAGTATATCATACATGGACCAGGAACCTAGTCTCTACTAGCCCCGTGTTAACCAATTAGCCCTGAATACCAACCATTAGTCCGGCAATGTATGGAGATGGATCATTTTGATAAGACACGATTTCTTCAAGGTGGGGGGGCTTGCAGTTGAGTACCGATCGTGCTGACATTGCCCCTGGCGCCAGGTGGTGGTGCCACAAGACTTTGACATCTTAAGACACGGGTTACACCTGGCTAGTACTTTTGTCTGCGGGTTGTGCTAGCCAACTGAACCGACTTGTATGCAATACCACCTGTCGCTGATATCAGCGCCAGTCGGTTCCACCGAGGGTCGCTCCGTGCCGTTACTGTATTGGTGCTAAGTGATACAAGTATGCTAACACGGCACTTATAAGGCGAGCTAAGACGAGCATTTGAAATGAAGTACAGGCCGTGTGATAGTACTAGCGGTCGTCTCGGTACCGGGAACCTCGGTTCGTGATGAATAGCATGTAATGCTCATTAGCAGTTGCATACTGTAGCAGCGACATATGCCAGACACTAGACGTCGTAACAACCCAAGCGAAACCGGGGGGAGCCAACTGGAGGAGCTGAATCCCAGTCAATCCTAACCCGCTCCGATGCAGACGCTGCATCGGGGCAACCCTCCACCTTACCCGGGATCTTCTGAAATCCCCTCAACCGTTGGACACTCATGAAACCTCTCTGTATATAACGGCATGTTGAACACAATTCGCACATGCCAATTGCAAAACGAAGACTCTTCGCTATTCGACTACTCACCCGCCGGACAAAATGTCTACCGATATTCCCCTTTCAGGTACAAATCACCCCGTTTCACCTCACCGACAAGCTTATTCAATGCTGATGAGTGTGGATCTAGACTATCTTAGCATCCGCAATGTGGCCTTTGAATGGGCAGAGAGCTACGACACTAAGGACTGGGGCCGTCTGAGAGAATGCCTTGCCCCCTCGGTCCGCCTAGACTTTCGTAGTCTCCGTGGGGTACTACACGAGAATCTAACTCCAGAAGAATACTCGACTATTCTTATTGGCGTGATCGGAGACAAGCGATTGAAGACGCAGCATTTCCTTGGTGGAGCACAATGGGAGCTCCTGAGTGACGGAAGCGTTCGCGTCGCGCATCAAATCCGAGTGGCCCATCAACGATATGCCGACGAGACGCTGGCTGAAGTGACAAACAAAGGGCATGCCCACGGTGTCACAACCCATTGGTACAAAAAGATTGACGGGGTCTGGAAGCTGGAGGGCGTTGCACCCAGGCTTGAGTTCAGCGAGTATGACTTATTCGGCACCCTTGCTCCGCCCAAGGATGATTGAGGCAGCTTAAGGAGTCAAAGAGAATAGCGTTGCTATAATACATACTATTCATGCTAGTAATGACACGAAGGTCGTGGCTCCTGACTATTGTAGCGACTAATACTAGGGGTTCCATGTAACTTCAACCATAGCGAGCTTACATCCCTCTGGTCTTCGTACTCCTTCCATAGTGAAGCGAGAATCGCTTAGCTCCAGGACTCGTCTAAATTCTTCCGCTGATCTATCCTTTCCATTTGAGATTGTTGCCATGATAAAATCCTGCTGAAAATTGAACTTGCCGGATAATTTCTTGACCGGTCTATCCTCCAAGACGGAATCCCAAATTAGGATCTTGGAGCCCTTTCGCAAGCCCGGGATGAGAGCACGTAGGATGATCGCGCTGTGGTGATCACTCCAGTTATGAAGACATCTGCTGATTAAATATGCGTCTGGAGGGTTTTCTGATGACTGGGTTTCCATGAAGTTTTGCTCCTTGAAAGAGATTCGTTCTCTGAACTCAGATGGGAGCATTTTTCGACCCTTCTCCACAACATGTGGAAGATCGTGGATTGTGAAAGACAGATTTTGAGTCTGTTTGGCCAAGGCCTGAGAAATTTGCCCATATCCACCTCCAAGGTCAACCAATCGAGCGCCGGGTTTATCTAGTGTAGACCAGTCGAATCCATTGACAATGTCAAAGAAGTTGAAGTCTTTATCTTCGACGCAGTATTTCATCGCCCCGTCGAAGCGATTAGCACGTTCCGGCTCCTCAGCCAAAACGGTGAATAGAGATCGTCCACCGTTCTGCAGACTGAAAGCACTCTGATCAGGCTCTCCAGCATCGTCGCCAAATTTCTCCCAGGCTTCAATCAGCTTCAAACTCGCAGGGCCAATATCCTCGAGTTGAAGACCTATGGCGCTGTAGTAGCCATCATCCGCAGCTAGCAGCCGGGATATGGCAGTATGGCAAATTTGACCTGGCACCGGTTCGTCGAATATGTTCAACGTCATAGCTGATCGAATTGTTCGCGTAACGAGAGATCTTCCTAGCCCACTGGTGGCGGATATCTCAGCGTATGTTGCAGTACCATCAATGGGTATAGCGGAAGCTAGTTTATATCGCCATATTATACGCAGGATAAGTTGGTCCGTCCACTGTTTCCCATATGGATCAGCATTGACCTTCAATTATAAATGGAATATGAGAAAACAGTACCCCAAAAGCTATATCGAGTCCAGAGAGTCTAGCACCTCTGAGGAGTTGGGTAATGGTGTGGCTAGTATCAAGAAGGTCCCATCGTAGCTTTTGGGCATTGTCCGGCAGTAGCTCGAGAGTGTCTTTGTCGAAAGATGTGGATGGGAGATTGTTTTCCTTAAGCAGTTGCTCAATTTCTTTTGCCTGGGCTAGCAGCTCCTCTGCCAATGATACCAATGAAGACATGGTCACAACAGTTCCTCAATTATGGAATAATGCAATGTCTCACAACACTCGTACGCACAGTAGAATTGTATGCAAGATGAGCGAAGGCAGCTCTTGAAGGGACGTGTCCTGGGTCTGCTTGGCAGTCACATATCACAAACAACAGCTGCCACGTTTACTGAGCTTTGGCGATCTAATCCATATCTGCCATGGACGATCTGCCATCACCTTGTCGATGCCCAAGCAGACAGCTTGGCTCATTTGGGATGGGACGCCTACTCTGGGTTTAACTTAATCACTTGCGGATACGAGAGCCACTTCCCGGTCAGATATATCCCTGCGCGCTAAAGATGGAATGCCGTTGAAAGGTGTCTCATGAGTCACCTGATACTGTGCGGAGCAGGAGGGAAATCCTTCCGCGGCAAAGCGGCTTCACCTTGGCAGCTGAAGCAGGCCAAGCCCGATCGCGGACCGGGATTCGTCGGGCTCGGTGATGCCCATATCTACAAGCCGGCATTGCGCAGACTCGATTAAGCAGGTGCTGTTTCTATTCTTTTCTTTCCTTTTCTTTTCTTTCTTTTTTTTCCCCGAACTCAACTCTCCGATTCTCATCCCGTAACAAAATTTCCCACGTTGGTGTGGGAAACGGCGTTTCATGTAGACAGCCCGGTCAATCAAGGAGCACCTGTCTTAATACTAGTAAGACGGGACGAGACGGGACGAGATTTGCAGCCGGGCCAAAATAAGACGCCAAGCTCCACTATCTAATCAAATACAGAGTAAGAGACTAGATTGGTACAAGTGAAGGCGAATCTTTAGTAATATCTTATCGAGGAGCCTAATGCATGTACATACCAGTATGCAATAGGTACAGTATGATATTATTGCCAGGATCAAGGAGCCCCTTTTCACAAGGCCTATGCAGTTGGAAAAACTTTTCATTTTCAGCTCGGCTGAATAGAAGTGCCGATACTAAGCACATCCAACATGAGCTTTCCCTGCGTGATCGTAGCAATGTCAATGCGATAGTATTTTGCTTCCCCAGATACGTCATGCTGTCCCTTTGCCGCTAAGAAGAAAATGGTGTGAGAGATGTCGATCTTCTTTCATCCACAGAACGACAATGCACATACATAAGTATGCTGACATGGTTGCCCGTCTGGAGTCGTAGAGGGATTTACTGGCTTAATTCTACTCGCATATTGATGTATGGAGTGCGGAACATCCTTGGCCACTATTGACCCCCTACGGAGTAATCCGAGCTCCTACTTTCTTCCATAATACGACGTTGGAGTAACGAGGTTAAGAGGGTGACCAGCTGATGTCACCCCAGGCCCATGTCATATTATCCCAGAGCAGAATGAAAGCATAATACTACCTGGAGGGACACTTCGGCATGCCCTGCTCCGTGGTCCACATGTCGCATCTACTGTAAAACTACTACTCACACATGGGCCACAATTGCTACTACCTTCCACCATGGAAACAGGCATGCCAAATCGCATCTCCGGGGGGCCTTGGCGATTTACAGTACGACTTGGACCTCCCGATAGACAAAGATGTGTCGTTTTTCCTGATCTCTATGTAGTATTGGCTGATATTCATGTACTGTGTTACGTTGAAACGGCGTTCGTCCCTGTCTACGGGGGCTTAATGGTGTGATGCCCTCTATATTCAGCCGTGTGGTGGGGAGAAGGCCGCATGTGTAGAGATCCTGATCGATCTTTGTTAACCCACAATGCGAACAGTGTCAAGGATGCGAACTGCTGCATGCAATGAATAGGCTAAGAGCCTGCTTACCTCTGATCACTCCCAATTTTAGACTCATCATCTCACGCGGCCATTTTTTTCTTATTTTTTTTCTTATTTTCTTTTATTTCTCTACTATCAGTCTTAACTCTATCCTCGGCTAGTGCTTCGACTGTACAAGCCATTTCGTCCCTTTTTTTTGTTTTTTGTCTTTTTTTGTTTTTTTGGTGTATAATCGCGCTCCATCATGGCGGAGGTAGGCGGCGACAAAGGTCCTCTTTGTCTCGCAGTTATCATCGCCACATTAGCCGTCGGAGGCATCCTCGTCTTTACTCGTGTTTTAACTCGTACCGTTATCAGACCACATTTTGGATGGGACGATAGTCTCATAGTCATTACTTGGGTATGTAGCGAGCGCCGCTCAGCGCAGTATGCTTCGTTAATGTCAACTGACTTCGTCATAATAGTTTATTATTCTGGGCTACAATGTGTGCATGTTCGTCTCAATCAACCGAGGTTATGGTAAACGCAGCGCGACCTTGACGGAAGCGCAAGTTACCTCGGCGACTGAAGCAGAAGTTATCGGCCAATTTTTCGCCATCATCTCATTCCCCTCCGGCAAAGCCTCTATCGCATACCTGTTACAACGTATTTTCCCCGGCAAGAAATTACAATGGTTTTTGTGGACATTTGTTGCCGCCAATGCCATCTGTTTCTATGTTGACGCCATCTTGATTTTGGTCCAATGTCAGCCGGTGGCATTTCAATGGGATCATACGATTGAGGGAGGCAAATGCTGGGACTCAAGAGTTATTATTGACTGGGGATTTCTCACTGGCAGTTCGTACCGACTCATGCTTATTACGTTTTTGAAGTTCTAGACTGACATGATTCCTAGCTACTGGCGCCCTTACGGACTTTTGCTTTGCCGTCCTGCCTTGGTTTTACCTCAGGAAGCTCCAGATGGGCCTCAAAGAGAAGATTACTATTGGCGTTGCCCTGAGCATGGGTTTCTTTGCCACTGTTTGTTCCTGTCTCAAAATCTATTATACTTGGACCTTGGGTTCGCACCAAGACTTCACTTGTAATTCTTCCAATGATTACCCCCAACATACTAAACAAAGACTGACTTGTATACAGATGATACTGTTCCTCTAGTTATTTGGTCTTGTGTGGAGCTGGCCTCCATCAACATCGCTGCTTGCATTCCCACTCTCGGGCCGCTCTATCTATGGCTCGTTGGCGGTAGTCATGCCCAGAGCACAAAGGCCAAATCCGAATATGAGTCAAAACATGGGACGGGCTCTGGGGGATTCGGACGATTGGCACACCGGAGTGGTAGAGGCATTGAACTCGAATCACTCGATGACCGAGCTTTCAATATCTACCAATCTAAATCGTACAGAGTTAGTTTTGAAGACCGCGATGACAAACCAATAAAGCCTACAGAAACGGCTCAGACGACGCAAACGACGCAGACGATACAAACAGATGCCGATGCTGGGGCTACTATTACGGTTCAACATGCTTATGCTTATTAAAAACTTGATAATGAATACAACGTTTGATTAGCGTTCGTCATTGTACTCGTATATGAACTCGTAAAAGACCTTGGCAAGCTTGGTCGCGTACAAACGATCGCACATATAAGCGGCTCGTGGGCCATGATTGCACTCCACGTGGGTATTCTGTATCCACTGGCTGTTATGTGATTGAGCCCGATGGATCATGGCCAAATAAGAGGTGGAGATAAGTCCAGTGGAGTACCTTGGCACCTTGGATAGGGTTTACAAAAGTGCAATAAGTGCATTCAGAGCTAAGAAACAAGCATATAGTGAGCAAGGCTCCTAAGGTTGATTAAATTTCCCCAGATAGATCCGGTTTCTCCAGGTAGGCTAACCGAATAGACCATATATCCTTGAGAGCTTACATGGCGGAGTATAGTATTCAAAAGCGTCCAATACGAACCAAGAATGCACAAAAATGCACAATATCTGGCATTGTACTCCCAGATGAGTAGATCCAAGGATTACATTCGGCGTCATTTCTTTGGCTAGGCTTTCTTCTAATTGATAGAGCATACTACTCACCGTGTGACGAGTTGATGCTCCAAAATAAACAGCAGGCTATGTGCTGTTACCGAGTATACAGGAAGCTAGCTGTACACCCTGCCCAAATAATGCTGGGTCGTACCCAATCTTTTCACTTATGCGATGATGCGCAGAATCTTCATATATGCATTTCGATTCATATATCTAGCATTAACAGTACTCTAGCTTTGCGCCATTGCAGCAAAACCTCTTCTAGCAGCACAGAGCATATGCGTACTGTCATGCAGTTTAGTGGAGGTCCATGAAAGAAACTAAGACCTTGTTTAACACTTGAGTAATTACGAAGCCGTGATTCCATCGTCACATAAGAAAATACATAAAACAATCATGAATAATGTCCTCAGCGACAAAATCTCAGCTCTAAATTCACAGTGCGCAAATTGGTCGCCTGCGTCAATGATTCGCAGCTTTATAAGAGTTTGCTCTCTGGGGATGGTCAAAACCTGTTGCTAGAGAACTACGCGGCAACTCCTCGTAGAGCATTGCACTTGAACCAATTAAGCTATGATTAACACAGCAGAAATCAGAATTTTCTTTGCGGACGTCTGGTTTGGCTCCTCATAAGAATGAAGTCGAGGAAACAGTAACAGGTGCCTTGTCAACCGGAGGAGGAAGACGACGCCTATGATCTTGAGAAACTCCAAGCGTCGCAACACTCTCATTCTGGAATAGTGGAAGTAAGGAAATATTTGCATGGTATCGCACAGTGTCTTGCACCATAAAAGAGCAGGCAACGCACTGCTACGTTCCACAAGGACCTCCGTATTCGGTGCACAGACGGCGACAGTAGCTCCAGAGATTTCCACCTGCCAGAGCGTATCATCATCCTTACTCTCCCAAGATGATAGGCTACCTCACAATTGAGACTGTAACTGTTTAGATAGTTAACTTGTATCTAGGCATTGCGAATAGACCCACCTTGTTGCTACAGACGTAACGGCGCTTTTCTCTCAGGAGACCTTCCTCTTCCGTCCTCGTGTTACGATTCCTTCCATCGACTCTTCTCCCCTGTCAAACTCACCAATTTCTGACAATGTCACCTTCCGATAGCCGATTTGCCACCTTAATCTCCCCCTTAATTGCCAACTGCCGAGGCGCGGCTTCACAGGAACAAAATTGGTGTTAGACTTCAATGAACTTGTGGCTCGTAAAAGCGAGGTTGAAGGAATTTGGGTTTCAGGGTGAGAGGTCGAGGAATCGCTTGTATTTTATTACATTATTTACTAATAGCTCCCTTTGGTTATAGTAAGGGCTTCTCAGGACATATTGCTGCTTTTTAAGGCCGTTTTTTAAACTTGTGTGTAACTAAATTGTATGGATTCCAGGTAAATTGGCTGAAGCATCACTCGAATTGATGTCAGCGTACTTGCTTGTTGAAACTCAGGGATAAGGCATGAAAGAAGTATCCGAATCTAAAAGAAAGCTAGAGGATAGAGAAAACTTAGATTCTGTAAAGTGGTCATAAGCCTTTGTGCACAAACAGACCTGCAGTCAAATGTCTGTGTAATAAGCTCGGGAATATGCATTTTAACTCCCATGAAATGAATAACACTACCGTACGAATGTAGGTTAATTCACCAAGCCCTTTAAATATTTCTCTGCATCTTGCTTGATATCAAATATGAAAATGTTGCCATGATAAAGGAAAGTAGTCAAGGTGCTTCAATTCATCGTACTTAAAGCTATTGTATTGTATCTTCGTATATATAACATACACAAGAACTTTTGCTCTATATGATAGGAATATAGCTAGTGCTTTGGCAGCCAAGTGCCCTGCTCTTGTTGTGCTTCTTGAATTGCCGCCATCCAACTCGGGCGGTTCTTCACATAAAGTTCGACATCTGCTCTGCCATTTTCTATAGTTTGTAGACCGTCAATCCCGCCAATCATTACTGCAGCCACTTCATCGTTAAAACTTGACCTGCGATAGAGGGTTGAGCCGCAGTTTCCGCAGAAGTAGCTTGTCATAGTATTGCCAGTCTCGGCTTCTTTGGCGTAAGTTCTGAGTGTTCCCTGAAGAATCTTTAACCCAGCAATGGGTAGAAGTATGTTGTTGGTATTCGTAGAACCGGAAAATTTACGGCAGTCGATGCAATGGCATCGCATCTAAAACTTGGCTTAGTTTAACGAAAGTCGAGAAGGTGAAGGGTCGATATAATACCCGCACAATTATGTCGCCGTCAAAAGTGAGGCGATTCGTACCGCAAAGGCAACTAGACTCCAGCATAGTAAAGAAAGTTAATAGATTTGAAGATAAATTGTGTTCGGAAAATAATTAGATAGCTCGTATGTGTTTAGGAAAGCTCAACAGGTGAGGGATGCTTTGATTCTTGGGAGATTCTGACGGTATTTATAATTCAATTCCATTCCCGGTTATCATGGCAGGCGACTGATATTTTGTCGAGCTCCAGAACATTAATCTCGCACATGACGTAAATGGCCGGAGATATCATAGGTATAACAGGGATCGTGAGAACATTGGTTCAATACTCTTTGGAATTGGGCGAATCTAGATGTGCTTGATATCACCGCTTGTAATCGTAAATTGCTACAATTTCACTGTGTAAGCAGTGTCAGTCTAGGAATCGGGGCAGAGCAGAGAAGATTTTCGTCACTTTACCTTCTTTTACCTAATGTACTAGTAAGGATCGGATATAAGAAAAAATATGCCACAGCTGTAAGCACATAAGTACTAGCGTCAGCTGATATTTCCAATAGCCTTCTCGCCCCGTAAGTCCGCATTTATTGCAGGGTTCGGATATAAAGCCCTCAACTACCCACGCCCCCCTATCATCGGACATAAACCTCCAAACCTCACTTTTTATGTTAAAGTACTAGCAAGCTAGTTCCCCAAGGTGACACCTGTACGGAGAAGTAGTAGCCGCAGTGCCAAGTATGGCAACCCTGCAGTCTACCTCCGGCGGGCAACCCGGCGAGAAGAAACGTCGAAATCGAGCAGCATTGAACTGTGTTCCTTGTCGTAACCGCAAGACAAAATGTGACAGACAAATGCCATGCTTTGGTTGCAGAGAACGTAATATTGTTCATTTGTGCAACTTTGCGAAGCAACGGCAACGCGTCAACTACGCTGGTGCTGTAGCGTCCTCTGACAGGCCGCAAGCAGCAGTTTCGAGCATGGAGGGTTCCTCGGAACTGGCTTACTCCACGTTACTCCGGGACAACGACGTCCCGTGGAGAAATTCACAACATGACTCTCCTTACAATTCCGTTGGCACATTATATCAGCATCAAAATGGGGGCGTTATATACAAAGTCCGGCAATCCCAATGGTCATCTGCCTTACCGAGTTTGTCGGAAGCACTCAGCACAACGACACTACCGGTCGCGTCGTCACACCTCGCCCCATTGGCACTTGAGAAGACTGATTTGACAAATCGGAGCACAAGGAACGCGGAATCTTACCCCCAGCTCGCCTCTTTACCCGCCAAACAGCATTGCAGATACTTGGTGTCGCGCTTCTTTGCTGTCTTTTCTCCACTGATTCATGTGCTGCATGATCCCACCTTCCACCTCGAGTACGAGAACTTCTTGAAAGATCCTAAATCCGCCCCGCTCTCATGGCTAGCTCTACTATTCACTATACTGTCACTCGCGATTATGACACTAGATGATGATGACTGGGTCTTGGATGACCTGGGTAGAGAGGCTGATGGCCCGGGCAACGTGAAAGCCATTTCCGCTCAGTACAGGAAGGCTGCGATGAGCTGCCTCGAGGCAGATGACTATATGGTCTCCCACAGGCTTTCTACCCTACAGTGTCTGGTTTTGATGATTTATGCCATCAACCACTCTCAAGGTAGTGGTTCAAGTTGGGCTCTGTTAGGTAGGTGGCAAGGCAATCCAGTACACCGGCTATCGAGTGTTTGCTCCAACTAACACGGGTCAAAGGACTCACTGTGCATATTGCTATATCCTTAGGCTGCCATATTGATGGAGGAAACCTTGGTATCAATTACATAGAAGCTGAGCAGCGAAGACGGTGCTGGGCTGGCCTGAAGGTACTCTATATGACACAGGCTTTGTCGTTTGGCAATGTCGGTCTATTCGCATTGCCAAGGTTTCGTGTGAGTCTGCCAATGGATGTCAATGATGAGGATATACACCCAGATTCACTACCTACTCAGGTAGATGGGCCAACCCAAATGACCTACATGCTGCTCAAAGTTAATCTCTACAGTCTCGTGGATCGGATATCCGACCAAATCCTTGGCGTGGAGCCCCCTTCACATGCAAGCATCGCTGAACTTGACGCGGCCATAGAGAATGAGCAAGCCAGATGGGATGCTATATATCGTAGCCACCTTCAAAGCAACAAAATTCAAGGGTTTCAGCGAGTCCATTGGAACATTCTGCACAGCCATGCACATCAAATCTACCTGCTGATCCATCGACCTCTGTTTGGCGAGCCAGCGAAAAGTGGCTTTTTACAGCAGTCTAGAGCCAGATGTATAACTTCTGCTACTGCTTTACTGGATATTCATGCGCTTTTGTCTGATGAACAGCGCTTTCGGGAATTTCGGTGGTATGGATTCGGATTGGGGAGTTTCCATGCGTTCCACGGGGCAGTGACGTTGGCGGCTGCTATCCTTCAGAACAGAGATGGTGAATCAAGGCACCAAATGCAATCAATTCTAAACGGAACAATTGCCAGATTCCAGTCTCTTTCGGGAAGGAGTCCAATCTGCGCCAAAGCACACGCAATTCTCAAATATCTTCAGTAAGCATCCTTACCGCAAAGTTGAAGGATTAAAGCTCAAGACTTCATTTAGATCGCTGATATCAGACCATTTTCGCCTCCCACTTTCTGGTGAGAATGAAGAATCGACCCCTCTTTCAACAATGCTTGCTGCGCAGCTGAAAGCGGCCAGATGGCTTAGTCCAGCCACAGTAGACTGGGTAAGGTTGCCCGAGAATGGCTCGTACCAATTTTCTCGTTACTAACATGATGCACGAAAGGAAAAATGGAATAAATCTATAGAAGGAGCAGGGCTCTGAACCGATTGCAAGCAATACTTATTTTATCAGTGTGCTCAAGAACTTCATGTGTTGCGGATGTTAAGAGGATTTGTGGACTTGGGCATTCGCAGTGGTAATACGCCAATACCCACAGCACCTAGAAACAGGCATCCTTTTAGTGTATATTAGACGACGATCTCGGAAGAATGCTTTTGACAAGATGTAATGCCGAGCTTGAATGTGATTAGCGATCATGACGATTGAGTACCTGCTCTGTACTCGTACGGAGTAGACAGAGTGTCCATCTCGGGCCATGTGCCAAGGATCATGATCCAAGTTAAAATGACCCCACACGCTTTAAAAAGTGTACCTAGGTAGGATAGTATGGGTCCGCGAAAAGGAAGTCCGTCAAAACAAGCTTTTTGTGCCCCTTGCTGGATGGCAGATAAAGCAAAGCTGCCAAGCCGGGAGGCTCGAATGAAGAGCGCAGATCGACGACTATGTCACAGTTCAGTTTTTTTGAACCTGCTATTACTCTCTCCGCCTTCTTTTAGTACATATCTGCCTCTAGCGCCACCTTGTTCTACTCTATTGGACACTGGCGCAATATCCGAATTGAACGCAAAAGGGATTGACAATATGGATTGCAACAGCAAGTAATACATGTAAGTTGCCCAAAGGGGATGTTTGAAGCTCCTACGCAAAAGGGATAAAAAGTCCGCAAAACGTCAAGTATCTCTCGGTACCGTTTGGTAACTCGTATTTGTCGGTGGATATGCAGACAAGTGGGAAAATGGCAGCATCGTTGCATGCGCAACCTGCTACCTAGTTTAGCTGCCTGGCACAGCCTCGATGCTATACGAGGTCCTTTTGATGCTCTTGAAAAGCATCCAATTGGCACGGCAGGGTGTGATTTATGTGTTACAATGGCCTGCATTCACCAAGTGGTCTAGACCTGGGATACTGCAGTTAACAGTCTAAGTCTCTTACTTTGTGTGCCCCCAATTATGCTCACTGTGGTAGCACAGGATTTAACGATTCGAGCAATGATTGACCATGACAAGGCTCGGCAATCTCAGGCATGGATGCTGCACTGGGCAAGAAGGGAAGAAGGCCCTGTATCATAGAATGCTGGTCCTTTCGATAATACGGTGATCCCATCACAATGTCCAGCGTCCAATCACAACGCCGTCTCCATTTCGCGCTCTCTGTACCGCGCTCTGGATTCTCACGAACATGGCACAATGACAGTCACACCACGCTAATATAGCGCAAGGACAGGGATAAAAGCTTCAATAAAGACGGGTGGAGAAGAGGAGAAGGGTATGAATTGTGAAGGAATGTTGACACCGCAAGGGTGCGGCGCAAGGGGGGTGATGATTCAAAGATTCAATACTCCATGTCTCAAAGTCCTTAGCTTGGCTTATCCTGCTCCGTATTATCAGAATATTTGCTGAAGGAACAGTAACTTGTAGGCTGCTTCACTAAATAGATCCCCTTTCTTGCTTTGAACCAGAGGGCGGTATACCAATGGTGGCGGGTGGCGGAATGTACGTGCATGTAGTTGTCAGTGGCTCGTTACAGCACGTCTCAATGTCATAGATGGCCTTAATTTGCTCCGTCAATCATCATCCCCTTTGCCTGTTCTTCCAGCATCCGGAGGTGCTTGTCCGCTTCCGAGCCGGTGAGCCCGTGGCCTAGTGGGATTAGTTCACACTTAAGCTCTTCCTCTATGCATTCTATGAAGCTTAACTTTTTAGCTAGGTGGTATTAGATCCCGGCCACTTCCCCTTCAAGAGTACTCGTATTGGTAATCTAATGGCGCAGTGGATTGCCTGTCATTCTAAGAGAATGCTCACCGAACCCGGAAATACTGTATTACGGTGCTCTCTGGTTTCTAGGTGATGGAGAACTTGTGCAGTTGTTCTGTTGAAGAAGTGTAGTGAAATCTGCCTTGGATATTGATCTAGCTCTCGAGAATCCGATGGTGCAAGTTACCAGTCAATCAACGAAATAATAGTCGTCCTTGATGATAGTCTTCCCCAAGCCAGATTCTCCGTGACTAAAGGGAAACGGGACTTGGCTGCTCTTGAGAATATTCGGGCTCTACGCAACATTTCGAGAGACAAGAGGCCAGGGACTAGTAAACTGGCTTCTCTGCCCGCCGGCGCGCTTCGTTTGGAGTGTAGTAGTCACTAGACCTTTGACTAGGGCGACAAAGTAATCCTGCGTGGATCGAATGGGTCAGCTTCTGGAAGGCTGTCTATGCAAGTTATGGCTATTGGTCCAGTGATGGAACTTTTGCCCGTAGAAAAACTTGAAACTAAGCGAATCTGTGGAAAGGCAAAAGCCGTGAGTTCCGCCTGAAACGTGGTTCGTTGTGTATAATGTGTTCTTGCATCGAAAGTTTCGAGGGAGTAGCACTGTGGCTTAGACATGCATGGTGAATACATAACCTCCATTGAAGCAACTTGACATTGCGCCAGATAGTCATCGTTGGCATCGGTGGTGTTGCTTTTAGCAAGTTTCGGTAGTCGAACCCGTGCTATAATGAAACGGCCGTCTAGTTCAATAAACTCGAAGCAGCACGACGCGGGTTAGCCCAGTACATTAGAGGTGTGTGTCGTCAGAGTCGTCTTGTTGATGGATCCAACAAATTCGGGGCCCATCTCAAACTGGTTGTGCCTGATATACGATGTCCAGATGTGCTACTGGAGGTAACCATTTGATGGCCAGGGAAATACGAGTAGCATCGATGTTGAGGGGTTGTTCCAAACAAAACGGGACAAGGCAAGAATCGGCGAGTTGCGGAGCTTATCTGTCCCTTATCCCGGGCCATTGTCGACGTTGGATGGTAGGCACCTACCTGTACTCGTATTCTCACGAGCCATCCATGTAGGGATCAAGCAGTCAGACTTGAAAGGCGGTCGGGGGACTGCATTTTCCTTCTTTTTTTCTTGAGAGGCCTGATAGAAGCCCTCAAGATTCTCGTCATCATTGTCACGTTGAAAGCTCGGGGGGAGCGCCCGACGGAGAGGAGAGAACATGGCATTGGTGTTGAGGCAGGGTAAGTTGGCAAGTTGGATGCTGACTCATCTGGGTTCGTTCGTGTACGGGTAGCGGGTAGCGCACATGTCTCGATCTCACTCCCTTACTGGGAGCAGATACGGAGCAGATACGGAGCAGATACACTCGTAATAAGCAATGTACAGGGAGGTACCTGATCGTAGAGGCTACCCCAGGTACAGTTTTGGGACGGGTACAGTATCCAAGCCAGCGCCAGCGATTACGCGCAGCTCGACTGTCATCAATTAGTAACGAGACGCAGCGGGATTATGGTTTTATCTTTGCCTGGCGAGCGGTATAGGTAGGTAGGTACCTGATAATTCCAAGGAGTTACTAGGTACCTTAATAAGTGGTGTTGTATGTAGTACCTACTGGGTAGGTAGTGCCTGGGTACCTCTATCTACCAGCTTATTTGCTGCTATCGACAATGGATCTTTTCAAGGACCCTTACCTGTATAGGTGCATGTACCTGGGCACTCAATTGAACGCCATTAGATTCAAGAAGCGATACTGAGCGTATACATCCAACCACGCCCTCCATATATGTACTATAGGTAGGTAGGCACTGTAATACACTTTTGGGCTGAAATCCCCAAATCGTGGGAGCGACTAACTACATGTAGGGCGGATTTCTCAATATTCGATGCAGGCATTCGCCAATACGAGGCTGCGGCCTTGTGGGGACTGCAAAAGGTTTAAGGTATGTTGCATCCAACTAGATATAAGGTGCATATCTGACGAAGCTTGTCTTTCTCTCTAGGTACCCTGTGCCTTGCTCACCATCTTATTTTCTACTATAGCAAGTCAATCATTTCAACACCCCTCCCCCCCTTTTCCCCCGGGGCGCGTTGCCCATCTTTTGCCCTTTTTATTCGGGCCCCTCCTCATCCTCATACTGTAATCTCCAGTGGGTGGGCGGGTCGCGTTGAAATTGTCAAAGAACCAGCGCTAAAACCACCGACTGCCAGCATCTGCAGCGCTACTCGTCCTCAATCGCCTCCCTACTAGCGCCTGTCGCGCGCAACTTGCAACCTTTCAGTTCGCTTCAACTCTCTCGCACAACAGCCCGATCGTTCGCTGCTCCAGGGCTTCTTTTCCCTCTCTTCCTCTCCCCTCCGCGCTGGGACCGACGCATCGAGGCCCCGAAACCAAAGGATGTTGCTGAGCTTTAGCAACAAGCACATCGTGCACTCGCTGCTCGCCGCCTCGCTTGTCTTTGTCTCGCTGCTGGTCTATGTCTGGAACTTCCGCCTAGTCCCAGGCGATGGCTTCCACCCGCACGGAGACCGAGACCGAGACCGGGATGACATGTGCCCCAGGGGCTCGCGGCGGCATGGAAACTCGACATACTGCGTGCCCAGGGAAATCGGCGGCATCAAGTGGAAGCGGCCGGCCGAAGCCAGCAAGATCATGGGCCTGATATTCTACGGCCGCCGGTCTACCGTGTCCATTCTCGATTGCTATCTCAAGGTATGGCGGTCAATGCGGTGTCTACGAGTACTCGTACGTCTGGCGGTGCTAATTTGAGGCCGGAAACTCTAGCGCAATCTCGCCAAGAACGGAGGCATCCTCGACGGCGTCATCTTCCTGCAGCGAACAACCGACGAAGACGATCTCAAGTTCCTCGACAAACTCCTCGACAGCGAGCCCGACTACACAAAATGGGTCATTGACATGACTGAGGGCGGATTCGCCTCCTCATACGATCTGATTCAAGATGACGTTGTGTATATCAAGATGGATGACGATATAGTATGGGCCCGAACCAGAGATGCCAAATGTGTTGGATTGCCGGACTGACATATGCCATCAGGTCTATATCGAAGACTCTGCCATTCCCTCCATCGTCACGACCAGAGCTGAGCATCCCGAATTCTTCGTCGTTTCGTCCAACGTCATCAACCAGCCGCTAATCAGCTGGATACACTGGAACCTTGGCGCCGTCAAGGCCTATCTACCCGAACTGAACAAGGCGTATCCCGCTCCCCAGCCTGGCAGCAAGCTCAATTGGCGCCCTTCAGTGCTGCCATCCTGGCAAGGCGGCGACGACTTCCAAGTGAGCGAATGGAATCCCCCAGACCACCAGAAGCACCGATGGCTGCCCGTCAAAGGCCACACCGACCACATTCTCGACCGCACGCCCATTGTGGAGACCGAGTACGATCCATTTGGACCTGGCTGGAAGAAGTGGCAGGTCGCGGCCCAAGAGCACTATAGTCTGTTTGAGAACATTGAGAACAACAATCTGCGCCAATACCGCTTTGGGACATGGGACTTTCAGCTGAAGCGCATGGGTATTCAGTTCATCTGCATGATGGGCAAGGACATCAATCTGGCCAAGCCCATTGCGGCTGATGACGAGCATCACTTTGCCGTCACTATGCCTGAACAGACTGGTAGACGTATGTTTCTCCTTTCCTTTGAACCAGCAGCACCCTGTTCACAATCGCTAACATTTCCGACTACAGATGCTGTTGCTGATGGTGGCGGTGTTGTCGCGCATTTCAGCTTCGGTGCCCAGGCTGGCGACGAACAAATTGAACAGACCGACGTTCTTGACCGCTACCGGATCTACGCCGAAGAAAACATTTGCAGGGGCCCCTTGCTTTGGGACCCTATTCTAGATAATCACAAGTCCCCTTGATCTGGGATATTCGCTTCTCGCCCCCGCTGTTCTTTTCAACGACAAATGTATTATGTACATCCCCTTCTTAAATTTCCGAAGCGATGTTTTCTTTCTGGCGAATATGGAGTTGGGCTTGCGGTATCGGTTTTTTTCTAGACGGTTTTGGAACACCAAAAGTTGCAAAGGGAGAACCTTGGGGTTGAAAGGAGGGAGCAATGCTAAACAAGGGAGGAGTGATGAATTTTGGTCGTCTTTGTCTTCTTGGGCAATATCTTTGTTACCGGACAACACAAAGAGCACGTTATAATATCTACTAGAAGAATGCCGGCACGAGAATATAATGAACTAGATACATGTTGTCTCATAGACGCAAGGGCCTATCTGGATAGATGTCTATAAGCTATTGGTTCACATATTTTGCATTGGAACGGGATGAGGAAAGTTGAAATAAAAAAGAGATGAATGATAGGTGCCATACCCTCTGCTAACTTCCAAGCGGCTAGAATAAGCTACATTACTCAGCATACCGCGATTAACCATTGAAGCTATCCTATAGCAAAGTGATGAGACTTGTTCATGTCTGAAGAGGGAAAAAGCATATCAATTTTTGCTTGGGAGCATCTCGCTAAAAAGCGCTCGATATTATAAGCATTAGTGCGGCTTTTATAGGCGATCCGTCATAAAGCATATATGCAAACAACTATTGAGCTCACAACTGCAACCTTAGAAGGCCCATAATACCGTTGACGATATGAGCCCTCCATCTCCCCCTAAATCACTTGATTGCATAGGCAAGCTACTTCCAAATTCCGCAATCTATCAATCATGCAAAAGACGCTGCACTCGTCGGGCGTGTTGGCCGAGGTACGTACCTCAGCCTTGCGCTGCCAGAATGCCCATTGGGCATCTCCGCTTGACAGCCTAACATCAAAAGTACATATACGCGGCATGCTGTCTCTGCCTCCATCTGCCATTGTTACATTCACCTACTATCGCTACTCACCTTCATCAGCATCAGATATCACCAAAAACCGTCATAAACTTGGCCTCATTCCATCACCATCGCTATGCTACTCGCTGCAGCATTGCGACGTTCAGCCGTCCCTATGCTGGCGCCTAGTACTCTTGCGCGAATGAGATTGCGCCAACAACTGCCTATATCAGCTTTATACGCCCTAAATTTACCAAGCTGCTCTAGGGAGTATGCAAAGTCTAGGAGGAAGAAGAAGAAAACGGTCACAGATGATGCAGATATCGTCAAGTCTGCGGAACTCGAGACGCCGTTATCTGAAGCATTGTCAACTGTGAATTTAACGCCGAAGGAAGCAGATGAAGTTGGAGATCGTCCGAAACTATCAACGGAGCAAGAGGCCTTGGTTTCGCTTGCAGTCCAGGGTCACAACATCTTCTACACCGGCGAAGCAGGGTGTGGGAAATCGACAGTACTAAGAGAAATCAGAGACCGCCTGAAGAGCATGGATAGAGCTGTTGAAGTTTTGGCACCTACGGGTAAGGTGGCGATTGCAAATGGAGGCATGACGACCTGGTCTTTTGCCGATTGGACGCCCAATACTCATAAGTCCACTCTATCTGAGCTGACATCATTCTCATTTGGCTCTGTACTGGCGAAGCGTCTGAGGGACGTCGAAACAATCATTATTGACGAGATAAGCATGGTGGAGAGCATGCATTTTGACCGATTGAATCAGATGATGAAAGCTGCATGCTCTCCATTTGACAAGAGATCTACTCTGCCATTTGGCGGTACCCAAGTCATTGTTACAGGAGACTTCTGCCAATTGCCCCCGGTTAAACCGTTTTCACACTGTTACGAATGTGGTAGTGAACTTATAGCCGACATACCACGAAAGATGTACACATGCCCGAATCTCGAATGCGGCATCTCCTACCGTGACGAGGATAAATGGGCATTTAGAAGCAGAGCGTGGGAAGAATGCAATTTTGAGCACATATATCTCAAAGCTGTATATCGGCAGAATGAGCCAGAATTTCTCAGAGTGTTACAAAGATGCCGACTTGGTCTGCAGCTGAGCGATTCCGATCTTAAACTTTTGGCGAACAACAAGCCAAAGACAGGTCCTTATGCGGTGAAACTCTATCCTACACGAAATGAAGTACGAAAAGTCAACGACACTGAGTTTCGGCGCATCCGTGCTCCCATACAAACTTACAAATGTGTCGATGTATTTCTGTGGAACGAGGAAAAACATCCGCATTTACGCAACAAGGGAGCGAGAGATCCAAACGGCTCTCTGAAAGCACTAAAAGAGCACAGGTTTGAAGCTGAGCTTAATCTTAAAGAAGGGATGCAGGTCTTGCTCTTGCACAATATTGACATTTCACGCGGCCTGTGCAACGGCGCCCAAGGTGTTATTACGGGCTTTGAACCATTCAACAATCCGCCACCCGACTTCTCGATTCACAATGAGAGACTACCTGTATACTCTCCAGGCTACGACGTGACTAAGCAAAGCATTCTGGATTTTATGAGGGCATGTAGGAATGCTGAGGGCTGGCCGATTGTTAAGTTTCACAATGGCGAAAAAAAGACAATCTATCCAATATGCCAATCAATTCTATATGGAGACAAGCGGCCATATACACTCCTTGGGAGAATTCAAATCCCTTTAACCGCTGCATGGGCACTGACTATCCATAAGTCTCAAGGAATGACATTAGATCGCGTGGGTGTGAAGTTGACGCGAGCTTTCGAGGAAGGTCAAGTTTATGTGGCCCTCTCAAGAGTGAGAAAATTGGAGGGATTAAAAGTGGAGGGTGATTTGGCTTCGCTACAGAAATTCAGGGGACATCGAGAAGTGCTAGAATGGCTGAAAGATAAGTTTGGTCAGAGCATAGTAGTGGACGAGTGAAGTTGGAAATACCCTCAATTAATTAGGAATCCAATATCCTAGCGATTATATGCAGAGTATCTACAATATCATCACTACATATAAAGGAAGTGGCTTTAATCTATCTAGGTATCTTAGTACCTAGCTACCTACCCAATTTTTCAGTATCTGCTACTACAGCTACGTCTGTCTACTATTACTACTCGCTACTTCCTCTAGGGATAGGGTTATGAGAGTCTGACAGTCTTCCAGAAAATTGACGATTCAAGCACGGGATCTTTCATATAGGTGCAGCAGTAGGCGGTCATATTCTTCTCTTGTCATTACAAAAGCCATCACTTTAACATAAATAATTATTTACACTTACGCTAGCTGATCTTAATATAGTAACAGTCGAGGGTAATGCGGTCCCCGCAGCGCTGCATACAGGTAGCTTCACATAATTTCCGGTTGAAACTTCTACAATAGGCAGGCTACACACCCCAAGGGAGGAAGTTCCACCAACCAGAACCTGGTTCTCTTTCCCTGCTTTCGTGAGTGTATGATCGCACACAAAATAATATTTCACTTAGGCTGTTTCTTCGCGTAATTTATCGCGGGGAGAGCTTGATTAGGAATGCAGACCTGTGGAGATACAGTTTACCCGCATAAAAGCAGGTAATATTGACGAAGAATACTCAAGCAGCGGACCCTGAAGCCTGGTAATGCTCTGCATTTACCCCTCACTACAAAGAAACGGAAGAATATATGTGACAAAATAATTCATAATAGCTCAGGCATGTATTAGTATAGATTTCGCTGTCAATCTTTACATTTTTTTTCCCCTTCAAAGTCTCCGATACCATTCTTCTCCAATTCCCACGTCGTGGTACTCTATTTAACCCGTCTTTCGGTAGCTGAATGCTGAAAGTTAAAAAGATGCTTCTTCTGCCTTTTCTCCCTTTTGCGGCTGCTAGCATGATTGGTGCTAGCAGTAATTATGGCGAGATTAAGGAACCGTCCGCTAGTAATAAACATCCTTGGTTTGGTGGTAAATTCAAAAATTTTGTTGTCTTCGGAGACAGCTACACTGATGAAACACGATTGGACTATTTCACAACTCATAACAATACGCCTCCACCAGTGGGCTTACCGCTTCCTGAATCCCTTGATGCATCCGATGGCGGGCGCGTCTGGCCTAGATGTATGTATGGCCGTATTTGAAGTCTAATATGAGAAAGAAAGAAGTAACATATAAGAAAAAGATGTTAGCAAATATTCAGGTGCTAAGCTTTACAATTACGCGATCGCTGGTGGCATATGTGCGTGGTTCTTTGCACTTTACTGATCATCCGTTGTGAGATAACCTACAGTAATGACGAAGGCTAAATATTCGATCCATTAGGCACAACAAGTATCGTGCCACAAGCCAGAGCAACTCCTAAAGATCTTTATGCCGCTATTTTAGAAACGGAGATACCTACTTGGCTCGCTGAGTCTCATTTAACGAGTGCCCTCTCACCACATGAAAAGTTTTACACTGGTTCTGCGGACGATACTCTCTATGCTATGTGGATTGGCGTCAATGACGTTGGCAAAAAGAACATATTTATTGACAGCCAGACGCCTGGAACGTCTCTCACAACCTTTACTGATTGTGTGTTCACCGCTTTTGACAGCATCTACAAAAATGGAGGGCGGAAATTTGTGCTGATGAATGTACCGCCGCTTGAGCTGCATCCAATTTACGCAACACCTGAAAATATGGGAGTTCCCCCAGGTTCACCAGATTGGCCAAATAAGCCATCAAACCTAACCGAGGTCTCTTTCAAGATGTATGAATACACGCGTGCGGTGAATGAGATCATTAAGTTCCAAGTCCCATTCCAGCAACTTGTTGCTAAGAGATATCCTGGTGCTAAGTGGGCAATCTATGGTAAGTCTACCTTAGTTTTCTTTTTAGACCCCTTTCATTAACAGTTAATTAATATTAATCGTCCTTTCAGATGTAAACTCTTTGTTTAAAGACATCCACCAGAGCCCAGGAAAATATCTAAACGGCACAACACCTCTTAACGTACTTGACTATATACACCATTGCCAAGCTGGCGGAACAAATTGCACAAATTTACCGGGCGATCCAGATTCTTACATGTTCTATGATTCACTTCATCCTTCTGAACAAGTCCACCGCATAGTAGCCCAAAACTTCATGGACGTTATCAGCGGGGGGAGTAAATTTGCAACGTATTGGTAGCTATAACGCAATGCATCTGTCACAGCCTATCAATATTTCTCACGATTTATCTCAAGTTGATAAATGCAATAAATAATTCTTTCAAATAGAAATATCTCATCAGACATCAAGGAATCTACTCATCGACAAGTATTCTTCGTTATCTTGCAAGTTGCAGTAGCCACCACGCTTGGATCAGACTCCGATGTAGCCGTCAGCTTTACAATACCAGTCGTGTCCTTTGCGTGAACCTCCGCACCCACTGCTACATAAGCCATCGCGGTTTGCCCAAATTTGATAGGTATCACTGCATTGGGCAGATTCGCCTTCCAACCGGACCCCTTAATGTCGGCCTTAAGTCGGAAAACATCCCATCCGAGGTGATCAGCCTGGACTTGAGCACTGCCTTCACTAGAGCCTACGTATGTGCCGTTGTTCGTGAGCTCGAATTCACAAAAGATACCACCGGCAACTGGACTGCTCTTGCCATATGTAAAAGGAACGCCAGAGGATAATTGGACACCGTATTGGCTTGAGCTATCGTCGGCTAGGGAACGTACACCGACGGTATAAGACAGCACGCCAGTTTCATCTCGATGAACGTTCAGGATGTAAATATGAAGGCCGTTTGGTTCATCCACAAACTCATACTTGCTTCCAGATCCAGTGCCAGCGTGGAATAACGCATCGGCTAACTGACGGTAGTCACCCATAGTGATATACTCAGCAGTTCCGTTGGGTCGGGTAAAGTCAACAAGCTTGAGATCTTGGGGGTTGGCATCGATCGTCCACTGGAACGGCTGGCTGTTGCTAGTCTTTGACTTGCTGATCATGACGCCGGAATCAGGTTGGAATGAATCGGCACCCATCCGATCAATCACCTCGATGTCGTAGCTGTTGTAGCGACCTCCATCACAGAGCACGTCAGTCGAGATGTTGCATGCTGGCGAGCGATCCTGGTCTATTACGACCCTCAAGCCGATTAGATCAGACACAACAGATCGCGCGGTGATTTGGGCCACGACGGGGCCTGATTTAGTCAAGGCTTCTCCCGATGTGGTCACCACTGTGTCGTTAGAGATGAGCCCGAGAACGAGTTTGTCACGAACAGTGTGTAAGGAGCCCATGGAGCCACCCTGAAGCGCTGGGATTTGGTATCGAGTATGCGGGCCTCCTGGACCATTGAAAGACCCACGGGACATCATTGAAAAAGGCCCGGTATAGTCTCGTCGCAGGGGAATGCCAAACGGGTTATTATAGTTGTCACCAATATTCAACAGATGGCTGAGCTCGTGGGCATATGTACCCATTCCGGAGCTTTCACATTGAGTCGACGAACCACCACCAGCATTCGGCCAAATGGTGGACGCAGATGCCCACGATGTCCATGGAACATATCTTGTTGAGGCGTAGTTGGGCAGTGAAGTAGAGCCATCGGCATTCTTAGGAGGTCCATAGGCATCGGGAACATCCTCTGGGGATGAAAATTTCATCTCGCCAAACTCTTGCCACGTCGATGATTCATCCTGTCCTGCGGAGAGGATAAAGACCAGCTCAAACGAATTGCTCGTTGTGTTGCCCACCTCCGCCCGCCAAGCTGCATAGGCGTCCGTTCGAATATCCCGATTACACGTGTTATTCGTAGGGCATGCTCCGGGATTGAAGCCGTTGTCTATGCCATACTGATACGACAGAGAAGGCATACGATACGGTCCAAATGATGTCAGATCGACTCCATATCGGCCGTGGGAATCTTCCATCCAGTACTCGTGCAGCGTATGACCGCGATTGAGGTCGGTAGGCTTGTTGAGTAAGTCGCGGTAGTACGCTGGCACATCTTCTCGGTCGAGGCCGGATACAATGGGGAGTGGATTACCAAAGACTGTCGAGTTAGGCTCTCGCGTTACGACGAAAGTCTCGTCACTATAATCCACGGCTATCAACGCAATGTTAAAGTTGCGGCTGGAGCCTCTCTTCGTCGCGTCGTTCCATTGAGTACCGGGTGGCGCTTTGAAGTCGTCCCAGGTCATGTCATCAGGATTCACCCAGACTTGCGGGTCAATTGGCTTGAACGGAACACCCCATGGTGTTTTTGAAGCTGCTTCTGCAGGGTGGCCTAGAAGCCCAATCAACAGCACTGATGCAAATGCAGAGGCCCCCATCGCAAGGCGATGCGGCCTGTATATGGAGATTGTCATCTTCCTCCAGAGCCGTCGCGAGTCTTTGGCCGATGGAAGGTCCTAGAACCTCCGAGGAATTTGCAAGTAAGATTGCATACTCTCCTTATATATACGTTTCCATCATCGTGGTTACCTAACAACAGAGCTCGTCCTACAGCAAACAGCCCCGCCCGCGGAATCGTTGTAGTATTCAAAAGTCTCCATCACCGACTGATCGCTCTACTATTATGCTTGTTGCGTTTATCCGGTGCTATTCCCACCTGCTTCATACGGGATAATGACCGGGTGATTGATGCGGCTCTCCAATCGGAATATGGCTTGGCAGTTGATAAAGCGCGTGGAGTTGGCGGTTCTGGTGACACGGTGCACTAGCGAAGCTACTTGGATAAGCATAACATAAGGGTATCTTAGTATTGGAGACAGAAGTACTTCTCAATATCCATCGAGGATACCAAAGGTGCCGCTATCTTGGGAAATGGTATGTTCTTGGCAAACATGGGGTATCTCGGGACTTTGCTATTATAATATGTCTATCCGAGTACGCCGATGAGAGGCTATGCCGATGCTTGCCAGTCTAGTAGTACTCGTATACTATTATAGGAGACTCTTCAAATTAATACAATTGCATTCGGCATGGGGAAGGGAGGAGGGTAGATGAGGGGTCAAGAGCCTGCTGGCTCAAAGGTTTGATCTACATGACGCATTTTGGGCATGCAACTGCACATATAAAATCACCTCTATCTGATGAAACTTTACAATCCTATTAGCATTGGTGTCGCTGGCCTTCTGGGTCGACATTGTACCATGAATGACATCCGCCATGCATCTCCAGAAACGTGGCCAATCTAGAGATACAGCAATCCACCCCGTGATACTTAATCTTTACCTACTTCGTTTTTTAATCTATACACATGGTTTTTCGATACCGCAAATACAATCCGGAGTGTACTCCGTATGCCAGGGTGCAATCCAAACGGCTACCAACGCTGACACTCGTAGCGCAACTAGACCCAAAGGAGGAGCATCAAACGAGGCAATTTCTAGCCCTTGCTAGTGCAACAAGTGGCACCTATCGTCAACTGGTTTTCTTCTTCTCATCACAGTTAGCCACATAATAATGCTATCCCCAAATGCGGATGCAGGCACGCTCTGAGATTCATGGCCTTGACGAGCAATACGCGAATACTTGAGTTATTCGCCTGGGTGTCTCGACTGAGGCTTGTTCTGGATTGCCCTAGGCCTGATAGTCGGAGTTATTGACGCGTGGGGTATTCGAGATGCGAGAGGCTATTTCTCACCCCTGGGCTTTCATGTAAGCATACTCATAGTGGCCTCTGCGTTGCTATCTACATGTACTAAAGCCTTGTTAAAGTGGCCTATCTTTATCTGCCTATTTGCTATCCGCTAGGTATTATACTAGTGCTTCCTTTGGTATGGAGTATACCTTTACGAGAAACAATGTTACAAGGTGTATGATCACGATGGTTCTGACCTGCTTACAGAACGCCCTGTTCACTTTACAATCATCACGCTCCTATGTACTGGGATTTCCTTGCTAGTTTCCGCATATTACCGGGGGCTTCAAGTCGAACGGCAATCTCTTACGGTCATTGCAAATCATAAGAGCTCGACTGAGGTTATTGCTCCAACAAGTACAGTTGTCAAGTATTTTAGAATTGGGCGTGAAAACTTTCAACATTTACATCCATCTTTTCCTTTTATATTATGTTGCATAGCGCTGCGGACGTGGATTTACTGGGGCGTTATCCGAACTTCACAATGTTCGCGGTCTGGTTTAGAGGTAGGTCACCATGTATGAGTTATTCTCACCAAGACTAAACATTTCATGCAGGCATTTCTACCGCTGCTTTGTTTTATTGTCGAAGCAATAGGACCTGGGTTCGGGCTCCTAAATTTACAACCTAATAAGCGACAGTCACGATGGTCCATGCCATCAAAGTCTCAAATCATCTTCACATTTCTTGCCGCGGCATGGCCACTTTTCGTCATTTCAGCGGAAGAAAGCTCAAAAATTGCTACGGGCACTGTTTGTCCCATTGGATGGGGGCGTTTTGTCGCATTCACGCAGCTTCTCAGATGCCTAATCGATGCCGTGATCATAAGTCATACATCTCACCTAGCACGTACAACGGTAGAAGATGGAGTCGACATCTCCGAATTCATGGGTAAGCTTTCGCTTGTCGCAGCAGGGAGCATTCTGCTGCTCTCATTCCCATCTTGGCTTTCAGATTCGGAGTTTATCATGGCATTTCGCTTTCGAGCTCTCGATAGTGCGGATTTTGCTGGCGACGGGTTCTTCGCTACGATTGGTGTGCTCTCCGGCTTAGCACTGGTACCGTCTTTGCACTCATCATGCCTCGCTCTTCTTATAATCACTGCCACATTTATGGGTTTACAGATACCTGTACAGAAGGCTATTCCACTTCTGTCTCCGTTGTCATATGGAGAACTTGCGAAGCATACAAGTCTTGCAGTCGTCCTAGCGGTACCTCTGTGGTACCTTACCATCACCATTCACCATACTGGAGACTCCAATGTGTCAAGAAACATCCGCAAGTGCTTCATCATTTCCGGTAGTGGATTTGCAGTCATAGCATTGGTGGTGGTATCCCGACTGCTCTTCTTCGGATCTCCAACTACGGTTCTAATCGATACTGCCATCAAGTCCCTCGTATCAGAAGCATCTGCGGAGTCATTTGCGTGGGAATCACAAGCCGCAGCTAGTAAATTACTGGTCGATGCTGTGAATGAGTACACCAAAAGGTACACGATCCTACCTCCACCAAATTTCGACAAATGGTACGAATTTGCAAAGGAGCACCACTCTGCTGTCATTGATGACTTTGACCAGATCAACAATGACTTACTTCCTTTTTGGTCGTTGCATCCTGCACATATACGTGATCAGACTATAAAGCTGTTTGCCTACGGGAGCTCAGAGATGGGCGGCATGCGCATTAGGAATGGTTTGGTAGAACAGTCACCATATATACCAGGATCACATCGTTGGATGACGGAATCATTTCAGAGGATGATTGAGCCTTTTGCCAAGTGGTTACCAGACATGGATATAGCCGTCAATCTGGCCGATGAGTGTCGTATGGTATTACCATCTGATCATATGGAGTGGCTTAAGTTCAATGCACGAGAGAAGAAGAGAAAGATTTCCGGTAAAGGGGGACAGAATACCTGGCCTAACAGCACGTACTCGCAATCTCCTTGGCCTAAAGACTTCCCTGAGCCTCTGCCTAGGGCTACGGATGGTAAAAAGGATGCCATTGACCCCTCCTTTACGAATTACATCCGCAGGCCAATGTTTTACGACTTCGTTGCTGCTTCATGTCCGCGAAGGTCTGCCGTGCAGAATAGTCGTTGGTGGGACTGGGGCAATACTTGTGTTGACTGCCTCAAGCCACATTCGCTACTCACAAGCAGTGGTGCGATACTAGCAAATGTATCTCTTGCTCATGATCTTTGTCATCAGCCAGACGTCGCATATTTAGATGGATTTCTCAATTCGCCATCTGCCATGGTAGGCACAAATCTCTTCTTTCCCATCTTCAGCCAGGCCCGCGTCGGCGGTTTCTCAGATATTCTAATTCCGTCGCCGTGGAATTTCGACGACAAAAGTGCCTTCAAGGAGGACAATGGCGTGGCATGGGAGGATAAAGTGAACAGCTTATTCTGGCGCGGATCGCGATCAGATGGATTCTCTGCTCATCAACGATGGCCTGGATTTCTGCGGCCGCGTTTTGTACATGAGGCTTATGAAAAGACTATGGCTTTGCAATCGTCGGATATTGAAACTCCAGTGCACATTAATGTCTCTTTTACTGGAGAGATATCCAAATGCGATGGGATGGATTGTGCTGTTGAGTTGGAAAATTACAAGCCATGGGGTCTTGCCACAATAAGCAACGCTTCATCTGCCGACAAGGAAGCAAACGAGCTTCCTCCTAGCGTCCCGTTTGAAGAGCATTGGAAATTCCGGCACTTGATGGACATGGATGGTGCGGGATTTAGCGGTCGCTTTCTGCCGTTCCTGGAGAGCCGTAGTTTGCCCTATCGTGCCGCGCTCTTTCGAACTTGGTACGATGAGAGACTCCAAGCTTGGCATCACTACATTCCTGTGGACATTAGGTTTGGCTCAGGATTTTGGTCCGTTGTGGAGTTCTTCAGTGGGGGTACTAATGACAAAGATGGCGAGGGACCTGGGATGGCTAAGAAAATTGCAGAGCAAGGGAGAGATTGGACGCAAAAGGCGCTGAGAAAAGAGGATATGCAAATATACATGTTTCGATTGCTGTTGGAGTGGGGAAGAATTACAGATGATGACAGAGACGACTTAGGGTTTTCAATATAGAACGAAGGGTAGACTCATTCGAGCATAAAATAGCGAGAGAATTAATAGTTGAATTTAAATGCAAGTCCTATACGCCGTGATCTCGTATCGTCGTAACTGTAGCTTACTGCCTTGGAGAAACTCGCCAAAAGCTGATTTGTGGCTACTAACAAACAGAAGACAGAATAGTGCCGCAATGCGCCTCTCAAAGTCCAATACCAAATCTAGAGAACTCTAATGCTGGAATCTGAAGTCGAGCCTCTTGTTTCCTTCATCAGTTGTTGTAGCGAGATAGTCTAATCGTTGTTCCTCGGTCATGGCGTCCCATTTCTTTGCACGGGATCGGTTCCGATAAACATAATACAACTTGGTGAGGATGTATATGACTATGTTCATGCAGGCAATGGCAAGGAGTGAGCGGTTACCACGAACATAGCGAGGAGCATCATCTATCCGAACTAAGTTAGTATATGGCAATGAACGAATAAGAGGAGTTGCTTGCCTGCTTGGTAGATATTGGCGGAAACGATTCCACCGGCCTGGACGAACATGTTGTAACATGCTGCTGAAACAGTTCGAAGTCTGACGGCATTGCTATTGCGCGAATTCCAAGCTACTTGAATCGGATGGGCTACATTAATTTGTTAACGGGTATACATAATAAAAGGGATGGTTTCTAAGAGAGGATGCACTTACCATTCGGGTATGCAAGGAGAAGTGTAACCACTACCCAGAACACCCACTTGTTTACTAACTGGGTATTGACGACATTTAGATAGATTAAGAATGGAAGCACCCAAATTTGACCGATTAGAGAGGTCAAGGTAAGTTCACCCCAAGCTTCGGCAAGGTACGTAAGGGCCAGCATCATGATGACTGAAATGAAACAAATTAGTGAACGGAACCACTTAAGTTGCATATTTATTTCTTACCATGCAGTACTGTTGATGGAATAGTAAGCAAATTCGTCTGGAAGGTATCGAAACCTAGTTGCTTGAGCGTGAGAGTGAGATAGTTCGCCGGCGGTGTAGCGGGAATCTGGAACACAAGCCCAAGGATGTATATCGGCCTATTGCATTGGTAAATATCAGTGATGCCCGGTAGTTCCTCGTATCCCTAATTGGAACTCACCAGAGATCATAGTCCTTGAGACTCTGCCAGAGCAGCTTGGGCGTGACCGGTTCGCGATTATGCATCGAACTCTTGCTGGGATCTTCGCGAATTACTCTGTTTACGATGATTTTCTCCTCTCGTTCGGAAAACCATCCATTCTTGCCTCTAAACCAACTAGCCGTTTGACAAGGACCAGCAGGCATGAGAACCCAAGCCAGCAACCCAACCACGAGAGTTAGGAGGCCCTATTGATGCTTGTGAGCATATGCCCAAAACCAACTCACGAATTTCACCACGCGCAACCTACCTCAATAAGAAAAAGCCATCTCCATCCGGCACGGCCGCCGATACCTCGCATGTGCAATAATCCGTACGCGAGCAATGCAGAGATAATATCTGCCAAGCTCAGAGCGGTCCAGAAGAAACCCAGGCGGATTGTCAACTCTGCGTGTTTATAAAAATAGGAGAGATACAGAATGACCTATTTTCGTTAATTAGCGAGTAATTGGAGATAATTGTAGCATGTAACTCACATCTGGAATAAATCCACCCTGGATAATTCCCAGCAGGGCTCGTGTAGCAAGGAATGAGCTTCTACCTGACAACCAAAATTGTGCGCCGGCGACGACGCTCCACAAGCACATTTGCATTGGAATCCACCGATCGGGGCCCATCCATTTGGACACTAGTTGCGAGGGGAGCTCTGCAAGAAGAAAAGACAGCTTAAACACAGTATTGCCCAAATTGTAGTCTGAATGGTATATCGTTAGCGCTACTATAGGATATGGCTTGTGGTTATCGTGCATACCGTTCGTGTTCATATGAAGGTCATTGAGGAAGTTGTCGGTGAGTGCTTGTGAAAGGTTGGAGCGGTCGAGTTCGAGAGCCATGAACATTATGCATGCCCAAAGTGTGATATAGAGGTCAATTTTCCGGATAAGTTTTCCCTCTTCACGCCAAGTCCATCGGAAGGATGGGTCGAATCTATGAATATTTTCCCTAAGTCACTTCAAATTTAGCTGTTTTGGCCTTGGATATTGGGGGAAAATATACATCTACTCACCAGTCTGGCCTCGGTTGATATTTTTCAGCCGAGTCTGGGTCGTCGAATACTGAGAGCTACAGCCATGTCAGCACAACTATAATAAACAACCCATTCGGCAGTCACATACCTGTGTTGCAATGGCATCTTTGTCGATTGCTGATCCTTTCTTGAACCATGAGCGTCTCTCAATTATGGGAGCTCCAAGTGGTGGCGAAGTGCTGTCCAATGAGGTTATTGAGACCGACGACGGGTCCTTCCCTCCTCTCGCAAGAACGGTCGCCATGTTGCTGGCAGATGGGATGCAGGATTCTGGAGAGGGAAGAGAAGAGGGTAAGTGTCTAGTATTTACATATCGTCACTTTTTTTCTAGGTTGGTTATATAATGCTGCAATCTTTAAAGTCCGCCTTGATGTGTGAATGTGGCGATCGCACGCAACGAGCCAAGGAACAATATTGGAGACCCGGCAGGTGCGGAAAGGCATGATGAGAATAACCCAAGTAATTACGACGAGAGGGCTAGACTCGATGGAACTTAGGACACCCAATATTCAGATATGCCGTATGGGGTACCAATGAGCAACTAGTTGTTACCAATATCAGATGGGACTTGAACCCGGACCCTGGTCCCATCCTTTAGATCGTTACCCCGGGGGATGAGATCATGCATATGCGTACGTAGATAGAGATGTAGATGTTCGGCAGTATATTTCTTATCAGGTTGATCTATAATCCCCATTAGTTACGTATTTCGTTCTCTTTGAGCTACTGCTTTGCTATTTTGGAATTCAACTAATGAATATGCTTAGTTGCCTATCTTCTTGCAGGTGTTAGAATGCCTACAATTTGAGCCTTTTTACCCCAACTTTAATTAATTCCTTTTTCTTCGGGCAATCAGATGTGAATAAAGTTTTTTTTCTTACTCTTTCATGAAGCTGACATATCCGAGTCTTATGCAGCGTAATGCGCCTTATCTCCAACAATTCATTGTGCGAGTGGCGGGCACAATCACGCCATCACGACCTTGAATCTTGATCCTCACCACAAACGGCAAACCGCGTTTTACCAACAGCAACCCAAAATACGCCCGAAGCACGCAATTCTAGGTTATTCGTAGGAGCTACCGAAATAGAGGTTTCGGGAAGATTTTATCCATTGGGGGCGCAACGTACTATGTACATGTCGTTTTTGCCGCACGCGACTCTCATGTGAGATACCCTCGTCTTGACGGCCTAACAGGCTATTGTGCATGCTGTCGTGCTTCGACAACAAGTTGATGTGATCCTAGAGCTGAGGGGTCTATGCATTACGCCCCCGCGTCCAAAAAGCGCAGCTGATTGTCCTTGAATACGCCATGCGGTGAATCGCTCCGTTTGCGGGCATCGCGTATGATGCGATATTGCCCAGTTCAGAGACATCCGCACCGTCGCTTTGGAGATGTGATTAGTCGTGCGAAGTCCCGGACGTTGGTCTTGGGATGCAGACATCTCGCCATCGTGGGTGTTTCTACTATTCCTACAGGAGCTAGATGCCATGCAATGCAACTGAACATACAGCTTGCTAACGATCTGGTTGTACCGACAGTCCGACTGAATGCTCCAATCGCATGCTTTACACGCCAAAAGTCGAAATGACCGAGATCCCTAAGTCCGTAGGGCTACATGGATATTGTTATCACAGGTTCTATTAGTGAGCTTCTCTCCCCTCACTGACGCAATTTAGCAATTGATGTCGAACAAAACGGCGTCACTTATTGGCCTTTTGTCAATGAGCCTAAAATATGTAAACATGGATGGCGGTTTGGTTCCTAGCACGTAAGAAGGTGGTGTTGGATGGCATCGATGATATACTCATATAAAATACATGTGACGATATCTAGGTAAGGATACCAGGGATTAGAATCGCCGTATAAATATGGATTGAATTCCACAAAATCATGCCTTGTAGCGATATTAACTTGTGATTCATCAGCTATTTTGACAGTTTGTACATCTTTGATTATCAAAGTACACCAAAAACAATGGCTCCCTCAGCAGTTGAAGTACCTGTGGTCATCCACGATGTTCCTATCAAGACCAAGGTTCAACAAACCATTCCCCTCGCGGGCACATTAGACCAGTTTGAATCATTCGACATCACACCAGTCATTGGTCGCGAATTCCCCAAGGCCAATCTCGTGGACTGGCTCAATGCCCCCAACTCCGATGAGCTTATTCGAGAGCTTGCAGTCACCAGTAAGTAACCTTAGAGGATATTATAGACAAAAATCCAGTGGCTCATGTAATTTTTCACAGTTTCACAGCGCGGTGTTGTTTTCTTCCGCGCCCAAGACGACCTCACCAATGATCTCCAGAAGGAGCTTATCTTCAGACTTGGCAAATTGACTGGACGGCCCGCCACATCTGGCCTGCACATCCACCCTCTCTTGAACAACGAGCGAGAACTTGGTGGCAATGATCCTGAGATTAGCACCATCAGCTCTGTTCAGTTCGACAAGTACTACAAGCAAGCCAAACCCGATGAGCTCAGCCCCAAGAGGCAAAAGGCTGCTGGCTGGCACAGCGACATCGCCTTTGAGCCTGTTCCAGCTGATTATACTTCTCTCAGACTTGTCAAGCTTCCCAAAACTGGAGGTGGTAAGTGAACATGAGCTATATCTCTGCCATCTTTGGTGGTACACAGTCTCTAACCCTTGACATAGATACCCTCTGGGCCTCTGGTTATGAAATCTATGACCGCATCAGCGAGCCTTACCAGAAGTTCCTGGAGTCTCTGACTGCTACCTTTGAGCAGCCCGGCTTCGGCGATATCGCTAAGAGATCTGGCTTCGAGCTTTATGACAAGCCTCGTGGTGCTCCTGAGAACGTGGGCACCGAGCTCAAGGCTATTCACCCCGTTGTTCGAACCAACCCAGTCACTGGATGGAAGAGCATCTTCCCCGTCGGTGGCCATGTTAAGCACATCAACGGTCTCACCGATGATGAGAGCAAGAAGCTGCTGCAGTGGTTCTTGGATCTCGTTCACGACGGCCATGACCTGCAAGTCCGCTTCCGGTGGCAGAATCCCAATGACATTGGTACGCCCCTTTTCATTACTTCGCTATAGTGTTCTCATAGCTAACTGCTTGAAATAGCTATCTGGGACAACCGGAGTGTATTCCACACTGCTACCTACGACTACACTGGTCTGGGCGAGCGATTCGGCAACAGAGCCGTTGGTCTTGGAGAGCGACCATACCTTGATCCCAATAGCACGTCGCGCCGCGAAGCCTTGAGCAAGGAAGCGTAAAGTTTTGTAATTAGCATAATGAAAACTCTGGTCAAAGTATCCAATATTTGAAATATGTAGTTGTATATCTTGGTGTATGTAATAAGCTGTCAGATTGCTAAATCACAGTACATCCATTGAATATTTACCTGCTGTATTTTTCGCTTTACCGCTGTTTGAATACTACAACAGCTCCCTAGACCACATAACCTAGTGCTAGGGATGATTTTGATGAACTTTTATCTACATGTCAAATCTAGATAACCTTGATGAGGTTAGATGAACTGAATCTATCTAGAAAAACCTCATCACGATCTGTTTTAAGTTCTGTATGTACATCTAGAAACTTTTCTGAGGCTCAATTACCCTACATAACTGAATTATAGTCTTGAAAACAACGGATCTTGGATCGATTCTCGTAAAAACAACCATATGTTAACCGCCCTTCATATGCTGAGTTTACGTTGGAGGTTTCTTTTATTTGCAATTGCTTGCTTTCACCGAATATCCTCATATTATTCTCGAGTTGTATGGAAATTCCTTTCTTTCGTCAAGCTTACCTGGCATTATGAGAGTTTAATAACGAATTTTAGGTCAAAAATTGACATATTATAAACTATTGTTTATAATTATAATGGCTCATCTAGTTTGTTACTTTTCGTTAGCCCTATGATATTTAATCATAGTACTCAATGTTTTCTTTATCATTGCCTCCTATACCACATATCAAGACAATTAATTATCTACCAGAATGTATCTCGTATTAGTAAGCTCGTATCAGTAAGTGTCTTCGCTTTTTATTTGTATATGACGGTAGCTTTGGTCGTTGAGTATAACTGAAGAAATATTGGTGTGTGAATATATGTCAGAAAGAACTAACTCAGCAAACTGTGGCGTAGGAATTCCATCTTTGATACTTGAGTGTCAAAAAATGATTGTTATTTCTCTATGACAGACATCATGCTTAACTAAAAACGCGTAGAGTCAACTTAGGTGTGTGCTTAGAAGCCATATATCCCTAGCTTTGTGTACATTTTACATGCGCTCTAACTTCTTTCCAAGGTCCTCACGGATGTAAACCTCATTGAACTCTCTCAAATAAGGAGAGTCCGTTAGCTTCTTGAACGCCTCCTTCAGTTTTCCATCCTCATCCTTGTCCAAGTGGACAACTCGCCAAACGTTCAGAGGCTCGTCTTCAGTGCCAGTCACAGAATGCTCAACATGGAAGAGCGGCTGCTGTGTTCCAGCAACAATCTTGCGACCATCCGGACCATCAACTTCTGGTACACCAATAAAGAAGGCCTTTTCCTTTTCGTAATCCAAAAAGACCTGCTCAATGACAGTGTTGTACTTGGAATGATCCAACCAAGTTCCCTGATCCGTAACTCGGACAAATGTCTCCGTGGGACCGTTCTTTTGTACGTTGAAGACTTGAAGACTTCCTGGACGTAAGAGGTGTCGTAAGTATTTGGCTGGGTTGTGCGCTTTCTTGACTTCCATGTCCCAGAGTTGGGTTTTTGAGTAATGCAAGTCCGGATCAGCGTCATAGTGGCGGCTTTTGATGACTTGATTTACATTAGAAGGTTCGAAGACAATGGTAGTGTTATTAGGATCGTTGAAGGCGGCCTCAAGAATATCTTCGTGGTTCTGAAAAGCGGCCATTTTGGTTAATGAAAAGGCAATCTCAGAATTGAATAGGCCTTGAATTTGGGGTTGATTGGTTGGCTGGATGGTTCTTTGTTTGTCTATCTGTTGTTCTGAGACTAGATCATGGATTGCAGATCGTGAAGCGGGGGAATTGGACTTTATAGACATCTGTCATCCACGCAGGCTTCAAATAATAACTCTTAGCTCCAGATGCAGCAACACTCAGTGCTATCATCATGTAACGCCACTGTGTGTATGTAGACCAAGTTATGCTTAACATTTTGATTTCGCGAGCAGACTATTCGCGTGCCACAATGTCCGATCTGCCGAAAGTTCACGCAAACTTGCCCTCGGGCTGAAAGTGGGATTTCTTCAGAGGCCGATGTGGCAGCTTACTCAGCCACGTTTATTGTTAGCATTAACCTTATGCCTGCCTTCAGCTGAGGAGGAAATGGCAGCCGATGGTTATTGTTAATTGCTTAGGAATCTTAATCGAATGGTCACGAAGTCAGTTTGCGTTGCAGTGACTTGACACAAGATATCCATCAAGAGTCAAGACTGAGATTGCAACAGCTGACAATATGGGGCCTCGGTAAATTCGGATGTCCGAAGTCTCGCTTCTTCGCTCAACCGCGAGGCTGCAGTTGACTAAATGCTTGAGATTCGTATTCTTCTAGACGAGTCGGTTATGATGGTTCATATTGGCCAGTGCAGTGATTGTTCAATATACAGAGTTAAAGGTTCTCCACTACAAGGCGCGATTCGCTCGTAGCCGTGGCCGATTACCGCAGCATACGCCTCGTCATATAACCAAGTGAAGTAACGACAAACTTGTTGACTAAGCTATTATCAATGATTCCCATTATACAATCACGAACTGCATTTACCACAATATCCACATTCTTCATTGCATGCAGTGAAGTCGCCGCTATCGCTGTCATTGTCACTGCCGCAGTCGCCGCTTCTTTCGCCGCTCCCATGTGCTTCTTCAACGTCACCACTGTATCCAAGCCAATCAAGCCATTGCTCTTTCACATGGTCTGAAAATACAATGCCAGCATCTGGAAGACGTTGTCGAATCTCCAATGACTCCCCTTGCTGTCTAACAATCTCTATTGCAGTATCCTGTTTCTCTAAAGCCGTGGCAATTATGCGATGCAAAAGAGCGCTCAGACGACTGAGATCTTGCTGATGAGATTTTTCCCAGTCTTGAATTTCATCGCGTACATCAGTAACCTCGATATTGTTGAAAGTCCCACGTGAGTGATGCGCAAGTATAAAATTGGGGATTTGAGCTAGCCACAAACGTGGGAGTTCCTCTCCGAGAGTGTCCTTCTGGATGGCTTTGATCGAGCGAGTCTTTAGATCAAAAATGGATTCTTGAGACGTTGGCTGACCACCATCAACTACCTCGAGATACCCAGAATTAGGAGGCGAAGCTGACGATGTCCCGATGGAGAGACTCTCGAGGTGACTGACTAAATCTTTACCATTAACAGCTGAAGGCTCTGCGGCTGTTATGGTATTCGTGTTTTTCTCTTCGATATATCCATCAGAACTTTGTCGCAACAGAAGATCAAGTCCTCCGAACTGGTATTTGAGAATTCTATGGTGTGATTTAGATGGCCGGACGTCAGGAGCCCATATGGTGTAGGCTTCTGGGAACGCGTGCCCAAAACCTCTGACCCCCAATATTTGCTCCGTCGGCGAGTTCTCCCGTCGTATAAAGTGAACGGTCTTACCCACGACCTCCACAAGCATACGAAATGATCGGTCGATGCCTTGAACGAACCGTAAAAGATTTCCAATAGTGCTATTACATCCGACGAGGTCTATATGAAGTGAACTTGGATGCATCTTCATAACGGAAACAATCGCGGGCTCAAGTGGATGCTTTGGAAAGAAAGCCGAATTATTATCGCGAAAGTAAACGCCATTATCCTCAAGAAGCTCTCGTGGCTTCTCTAACGGCTTCCATAGAGGCGGACGGCCTAGAATAATTGGAGTCAGATATTTCAGTTTAAAATGGAGTTTGTGACTACACACTCACCTGGTACGATAATTTTTGGAGCCTTCTGATCAGCCCAGTTGTATGAGGCCACCAGCTCACTTCCGCTGATCCCAAAGTGAATAATTTCTCCAGTGGTTCCCTCAATGTCTTTCTGGTTGATTCTCTCAATCAGTTCTCCAAGAGGAGGGGGCGGTGATGCCTCTGATTGCACAAGGGGGTTTCGAGGCCTGAAGTTCTGGTGGCCTCCACGACCACGCCATCTCTTGTTGTAGTAAGACATGGTCTATGTGCGATTAATTAAATGGTGTGAAGTTATGTTGTTCAGATCCCTTGTGCATTGTTCTCTGGGAATACGCGATGTGCTGAGAAATAGCGATAGCAGCAAATACTAGAAAAAGGTAGCGATGGTAGCAGATACTACAAAAGGCACCTATACCCAGATACTAGGTGATACCTGTGGCTTGAATGCTAAATAGCAGGTTTGGGCACTGAATAGGCGCTCACTATATGTATATCATAGTGCCTGAATTATATCGTTGACTGCTCTTTCGGTCCTCAAGTGAGTCAGGGAGGCCTGCAAAGACCAAGTGCGTCATGGTGAATTCATATCGGGAGGCCTACAGCCTTCTGGCAACCTGCAGACGTGTAGAGGCGCAGTTGGCCCCATATTCTGGCCAACACCCGACCATTATGCTGTGAAATGCGAGCTGGCGGCATCTTGTACCACTCGCTTATATCTTTGGCATCTAATAGGTCACTGCAGCCTGATAAACTGCAAAAAACCCCTGTCGTGGCCGAATCAAACGGCGAGGCTGTGACTTGGCAGAAGCTGCTGCGGGAGGGCCACAACTTTGGGCCAACGGGACGAGATATCCCCCCACCATCGTAAAACATAAGGTGCAGCAAGGCTCCCTGCCTAACTTTCTGCTATCTAATAGAACTGGGTCGATGTGCCTTATTGGATTGTAGATTTCGAGCTATTCACCGACGCAAAGGGATGTCGCTGGTGTGACGATGGCATATATATCATGAATGCAACCCCCATGCCTCCTAATCGTCAACACATGACACACCTCATTGCAATTACCATCGATAATTCTCAATTAATTGACTTCAATTTGCAAAATGGTCACAAAACCCGTCCTCTCCGGTCGCGCCGCGAAGCTCGAGAAGCTTTTCTACTCGTTCATCAATGGCGATCGCTCTGTGCAAAATTCGCAAGAGGCCAAACAATTCTTTGAAGCAGTGGACATTGTTTGTGAGCATACTTCGACTATAGCCTGTGTTGAACGCATGCTTGGAAGAAAGGAAGGATTGAGCGCCGTGAGAGTCGCAATTCGCAGCAATCTGTCGCGTGCATTCATTACAACCACAACAACAGCCTTCCTCAAACGGGTCTTGCACCCTAGTGTCAAAACCATCAATGATGGGTTATTTCTCGAAAAGTTGTTGATCGAAATTCTGTCACCTTCTACTTTTTGGACTACGTTCCTTGGATTTTATCAATCCAACGAACTCGAAGGCGAGAGTTTATTTGCATTTGCGTCTCTCTGTCTGGAGATTGTGTGCTCGTCGTCGCCCGACATCCAAGTGCTTTTCCATGACGTGGAATTACTCATGAAAACTTCTCCCTTAACGAAATCCCCTTCGGAAGACGTGCGCACTATTGGCTACCGCATCGAAAAGGTGATTCAGCTTCGCAAAGGGCCGGCAATGGCATCAATCAAGATGAACTACAGCCCCGGTGGCAGACACGACAATGACTTTGCAGACTTTCGTCAGATATCCATATTCCCTACAGCAGATGAAGTGAGCTCTAAGGAAGAGCCGTTTCTCCAACGATTGGATGATGTGTTTGAGATTCCAAGGGAGTCACGAACAAGCAGTTATATTTCTTGGTTATTCAGGCTTCTTCGTGAGGATATGCTTGCAGATTTGAGAGAAGATCTGCAAATAGCGTGGGGACAGAAAAAAGCCAAGTATAAGCCACTATGCTTGGGTGGTCTCAACTTGGTAAACTACGATCTCGGAACTCCTTTTCGCGCGAAGCCATTTACGTTGATGGTTCAGTGCAAGGAGGGAATCAACTTTCCTCAAAACAAGCGTTCCCCGGAGGCCAAGAAGAAGCATCTCGACGAATACAAAAATTTTATTAAGCATGGGTCCATCGGAGCTCTTTGCGTGGATAAATCCATCATCGCATTTGGCTCTATCATGCGCGAGGTAGATTGGCTTATTAGAGATCCTCCGGTGATTGGAATACAACTTACGGATAATGCTGGGCTGAAGTCGGCAATCAAAACTTTATTGGGAAAGAATTGCTCTGAGCTAAAGTTTTATGTCGTCGACACCGCAACATTTTCCTATGAACCAATTTTACAGCGCTTGAAGGAGGTCACGGAGATCCCAATTGAGAATGCCATTCTTGATCCTGCGGGGCCTCCGTCTGAATATAACCCTCCCCCAAAGCTCCAGGCTTTCATCGAAGTCCTCAAATCGAGCCTGAAGCGTAAAATGGCGGTGGATTTGGGGGCCACTTTAGGCATCAGCCTCGCTGTTAAGATTCGGGATGCACAGCTTGAGTCGCTAATCAAGGGTTTGGAGAATCCTTTGGGCCAGATTCAAGGTCCACCAGGAACTGGCAAATCTTTCATCGGGGCGATAATCGCACGAGTACTCATGGAACTTACTGATTATCGAATTTTGGTCCTAAGTTATACAAATCATGCCTTGGATCAATTCCTTGAGGACCTCATGGATATTGGCATAGACGGTGGTCATATGGTTCGGATTGGCTCCAAGGCTACACCGAGAACTGACGCGCTGCGAATCGACACCCTCTCAAAAGATGCTCAGGTTCGATCCAGTGCTGATGTCAAGCAAATGCTAAGTGCAACCAAGAATGAACAGCTGCAGACCAAGACGCAACTAGAAGATTTTATAACAACATTGAAATCGCAAGTTCGGCATCAAGATATTCTAGATATGCTGGAATTTTCTGAGTCCGGAATGAGCTACTGGAATGCATTCCAAATTCTTGATGATGTACAAATTGCAGGAAAGAATAGCAAGGCTCTGAAGCCTACTGATATTCTCAATTATTGGCTCAATGGAGAGTATTTATCATCATTGGGAATGGTGGCTGCGTATATAGAGCCTCAACATTATCCCATTTGGAATATTCCACCGCCACGCCGAATGGAACTTTATGCACTATGGAAGAGCCAAATTCGTCAAGAGCAGGTTGACGAGTTCGCCCAACTAGCGGAAACTGCTAATAACCTCTACCGACAAATAGATAGCCTTTTCAAGGAAAGCAAGAGAAACGTCGTGAAGAACAGACGCATTATTGGCTGCACTACGACAGGAGCAGCAATGTACCAGTCTATCATTAGAGCGGCTAGCCCAGATATTGTTCTTGTTGAAGAGGCCGGCGAAATTCTCGAAGCTCATGTCATCACCTCCCTCAACCCATCCGTTAAACAACTGATCCTTATTGGCGACCATAAGCAGCTTCGTCCTAAAGTCAATAACTACAACCTCACCGTGGAAAAAGGCGAAGGGTTTGATCTTAACGTGTCACTTTTCGAGCGTCTCATCAGACAAGGCCATGAGTTTGCCGTTCTCCAGGAACAACACCGGAGTCACCCGGATATCTCTCAATTTGCGCGTCTTTTAGCATATCCGGAGCTGAAAGATGTACTGAAAACGCACAGCTATCAGCCGATACGTGGACTGCAGAAGAGAGTTGTATTTGTACATCATGAGCATCCAGAGGAACTGCTGAATAATGTTTCCGACCGGCGAGACCCAACTTCAAAAGCCAGCAAGAAGAATACATTTGAAGCGCAGATGGTTTTGAAAACGGTCAAATATCTGAGTCAACAAGGCTACAAGTCAGAGAACATGGTCGTTCTCACTCCGTACATGGGTCAGCTTTCATTGCTGAGACAAACGTTGAGCGAGATAAATGACCCGTATCTGAACGAATTAGACACCCATGAGCTGGTACGCGCTGGATTAATGACGCAAGCTGCTTCCAAGGCCGCCAAAGCAAGACTGCGATTGTCAACAGTCGATAACTACCAGGGAGAGGAAAGTGATATCGTGATTGTATCAATGGCCAGAAGCAACAAAAACGGTGATATCGGCTTTCTAGTAGCCCGAGAGCGACTAGTTGTGCTAATGTCACGAGCGAGACAAGGACTTATTCTGTTTGGAAACATGAACACTTTTTTGGCTAGCAAGAAAGGCAAAGAACTCTGGAAAGGCTACTTTGATGCTATGAAAGAGAAAGGATTCCTGTTCGATGGATTACCGGTTCACTGCGAACAGCATCCAGACCGGCTTTCTCTTCTCCAGAAACCTCAGGATTTTGATCAACATTGTCCTGATGGGGGTTGTGCAGAGTCATGGTAAGTTGGAATCCATCAATTGAGTCAACGTCTTCCTAACATTCTTAGTGGTGCTACTCTTGGTTGCGGGAAGCACACGTGCGAACGTAGATGTCATCGCTTAACGAATCATTCTCAGGTACCTTGCACGAAAATGATGCAGAAACTCTGCGAACGCGGCCATAAGATGAAGTACATGTGTGGCAAAGAGAACCAAGGTTGCAAGTCGTGCGCCAAAGAAGACGAAGAAATGCGACGGAGGATTCAGCGCGACTTGGAGATGGAAAAGAGGAGACAAGAGCGACAAGATAAATATCATCGTGATCTACAGGAAATGGATGATGAAATTGATCATCATAAACGCCTGATGAAGTACAACCAAGAGGAGGAAGATCAAGCAAAAGAAATCGCAGAAAAGAAAGCACACTTGACAAGGCTTAAAGAAACAAAAGCTAGAATGGAAGCGTCAAAAGCCGCAGCCAGCAAACAGAAGAACGCCAACGAAAAGGAAAAGGAGAAGATTAGAGAGGAGCGATCCTCCACTGATTGGACAGATCCGGACCTCCCAGCACAGGAATGGGAGACTATGAAACGAGAAGATGGAGCTCGCAACGACGCTCTGGACGAGCTCATGGGACTGATCGGTTTGGAGTCAGTAAAGAGGGAATTTCTCTCGATCAAATACAATGTTGACACTAAAATCCGTCAGGGCGTCGCCCTTTCCGACACACGACTCAGTTGCTCACTCCTTGGAAACCCTGGAACAGGTAAAACAACTGTGGCTCGTATATGGGGTAAATTCCTCACTGGAATAGGAGCTATCCCAGGCGACTGTTTCAAGGAAACTACGGGGTCCAAGCTAGCAAACATGGGTGTCAAGGGATGCGAAGATCTACTGGAAAAGATTAAAGAGGATGGCGGCGGCGTCTTGTTTATCGACGAAGCCTATCAGTTGTCATCAGGTAACAGCCCAGGCGGCAAAGCAGTGCTGGATTATCTCCTTGCCGAGGTTGAAAATCTTCGTGGGAAGGTTGTCTTTGTTCTTGCTGGCTATTCCAAACAGATGGAAACCTTTTTCGCCCACAATCCTGGGTTTCCCAGCCGGTTCCCCATTGAAATGAACTTTGAAGATTATACTGACGAGGAGCTGCGGCGAATTCTCAAGCGTCAGGTCAATCGCAAGTATAACAACAAGATGGGGATCGAAGACGGTCCAGACGGTCTCTACTTTCGCATTGCCGCTCGTCGCGTTGGGCGAGGTAGAGGCAAAGAAGGCTTTGGTAATGCGAGGGCCATCGAGAATACCCTCGCTCGCATAGAGAAGAGACAGGCAAACAGAATTCGGCTTGAACGCCGAGCCAAAAAGTCTCCCAATGACTTCCTCTTTACTAAAGAAGATATCATCGGCCCAGAACCATCGCTATCTTTGCAAAATTGCAAAGCATGGAAAAGGATGAATGAGATGATAGGGCTCAAAGAAGTCAAGCAGCAAGTGAAGATACTGCTCGACTCGCTGACGACCAACTACGAGCGCGAACTTGCTGAAGAGCCTTTAATACAGTTTACCCTCAATCGAGTATTCCTTGGATCTCCTGGAACAGGCAAAACAACAGTCGCTAAGCTGTATGGCGAGATTCTCGCAACGCTTGGTCTCTTGTCCAATGGAGAGTTAGTGGTGAAAACTCCGGCAGATTTCGTCGGCTCTCACTTGGGACACTCAGAAGCTCAGACGAAGGGCATTCTTGCCTCAACAATCGGGAAAGTGCTTGTAATTGACGAAGCATACGGCCTATACGGCGGAAAGGGGGTTACCGACCCTTACAAAACAGCGGTTATAGATACGATTGTGGCAGAGGTCCAAAACGTGCCAGGCGATGATCGTTGCGTCATCCTCATAGGCTATCAGGAACAAATGGAAGAAATGTTCCAAAATGTCAATCCAGGTCTAAGCCGACGGTTCTCAGTTGACACACCATTCATGTTTGAAGATTTTGACGATGATGCGTTGAGGCAAGTGTTGGATTTGAAGCTAAAGGTTTCAGGCTTCACCACAACGGGAGAAGGAAAAACCGCTGCACTCGATGTGCTTATCAGAGAACGGAACAGGTCTAATTTCGGCAATGGTGGCGCAATTGAGAATCTTCTAAGTAAAGCAAAGGCTTCTTACCAAAAACGTCTTTCTGCTGGAACAATAAAGAAGAACCAACTGGAGGCAGAAGACTTTGACGAAGACTTTGACAGAGCCACAAGAAAGGAGACAAACGTGAGACAGCTGTTCCAAGATGATGTTGGACGTGAAGAAATTATTCAGAAGCTCGAAAATATCCAGTCACGAGTGAGACAATTGAAGGCTGTCGGAATGGATGTCAAAGAAGAGATCCCATTCAACTTTCTGTTCCGAGGACCTCCTGGTACGGGGAAGACGACCACAGCGCGAAAGATGGGCAAAGTCTACTACGATATGGGCTTTCTTTCTAAGGCTACGGTGGAAGAATGCTCGGCCACAGATTTGATTGGGGAGTATGTCGGCCACACCGGACCCAAGGTTCAAAAGGTTCTCGAAAAGTCGCTCGGAAGGGTATTGCTCATTGACGAGGCTTATCGATTTGCCGAGGGAAAATTCGCCAAAGAGGCTATCGATGAACTCGTAGATTGCGTGACGAAAGTCAAGTATCAAGGAAAACTCATCATCATCCTAGCTGGGTATGAACACGATATAAATCGGCTATTGTCTGTGAACGCCGGTTTGACAAGCCGCTTCCCTGAAACCATCGACTTCAAGCCACTCGAACCAGATGCCTGTTTCCGGCTTCTTTGTGACCTTTTGAGAAAGAGAAAGGCCGATCTCTCAAGTAAAAACAAAGACATGGACATAAGTTGCCTGGAAACCCCATCTGCATTATTTCTTAGCAGGTGTACGGCCATTATTACCTCACTAACAACCACTGAGGGATGGGCGAGTGCACGAGATGTAAAGCAGCTTGCTAGAAACGTCTTCCGAACGGTAAATTTGGAGGCACCATCCCTCAAACTGGAAGACAAAAGAGTTATCCAAGAGCTTAATAGAATGTTGCGAGACCGCCAATCCAAGATGAACAAATCCGGTTCTCCTGTTAATATGGAAGATGATGAAGCGGATTCTTCGTCCACGCCACCAGCCCCTCCTAATACTGGTCTACCGAGTCACAGCCATACCACTCAGGAATTCACGAATGGCGGTGAGACAAATGATATGGATGAACCGACTGATGAAACAAGTAAAGAGCTTGAATCACCAGATGATGGCAAGTCTCGTCGAGCAGTTCGAGACGCAGGTGTAAGCGATGAAGTCTGGGAACAACTGCAGAAGGATCAAGCCGAAGAAGCGCGGAGGGAGGCAGAATATCGTGACCTTTTGGAAGCCCGTAAAAGCGCTGAAGCCGCTCGAAAGGAAATATCGAGAGAATTAGCTGAGGGCAAGGAAATGAAAGAAGAAGAACGTCAAAGACTGGTGGAGGCGAAGAAGAAAGCTGAGGCTGCTCGCGAAAAGATTCTGCGCGAGCTGATTGATCAAGAAGAGCGTCGAAAGAAAGAGGAAGCACAAAAGGCAAAACTAAGAGTCTTGGGAAAGTGCCCAGTAGGTTATGCTTGGATTAAACAGGCGTCGGGATATCGTTGTGCTGGCGGCTCTCATTTCATGTCCGATACTGAGATTGACAAGTATTCAGGGTAGATTGAGCTGGACCGAGATAGGTAGATATGTTGACTTATGTGCACCTCCTTCATTGGCATGATTCCATAAGCAAAACTGTTGCATCGATTGAACGAGGCTCTGGATGGGTGTAAATCATCTGGATAAATTACCGTGTTCAAAAGTGTGACCATCTGACCCCAGCCGTATCAGTCTCGTCGCCATATCTTTCTGCCTACTGCAAGCGAGAGTAAAGAGATTGATATGTAATTCCTACTACTATTTCTGATTTATTCTGATATCTTAGGATGCATATATCAGTATTTTCTCGTACTGTAAGACCGGGATACTGCATACCAAGTTTGGGTGCAGGATTGCCACTCTCTTGTTTACTTACAGTTAACTTGTTTCAATGAGGTAATCAGATTAGCCAAGATCACCTTGTAGCTACATATATGATAAAAGTTGGTTGCATTAATTAAATTATAAGCCCAGTCATTTTAATTCACCTTTTGGGCTATCACTGGCTTTGGCGTTCTTGGCATACGACATATGTATAGTAATGTAGAAGGCTAATAGTGTATTCCAAAACGTAAAATATGCCTAGAAAGAGAAATACCGACCAATTGACAGTCACTATCTTCACTTGCATTTTAACATTGTGGTGGCTGGTCGGCATTTTCTCCAACAAGTAAAGCAGGGCTGCCTTCGCAGCTTTCCTTGATCGTCACCCGCTCGTGTTGCTATCGTCACTCCCCCGCTTCCTCGGTTGTAAGGAGTCGGGGTAACATTGTCTTCCGTAACAACGCACATCTCAACGGAACTCTCGCATTTTCTTCTTTTAAAAACCTCAACCAGCTGTTTGGACTGGAAATAATCACATACGAAAATGGCACAAGATATAACGCCCTTCTCGATAGCCATCCCAGACTCTGCGCTGGAGCAGTTAAAGAACAAGCTTTCTCAAGCCACATTCCCGTCCGAGTCCGACTTCTCTGACGACCGAGACTATGGCGTATCTTTGAGCGATGTGAAACGTTTGACTGAATACTGGAAAGATGGCTTCGACTGGCGTGCTCATGAAGCGAAATTGAATCAATTTCCGCAATTCACGACAAACATTTCCGTGGATGGGTATGAATCGTTGAACATACATTTTATACACCAAAAAAGCAGCAGGCCCAACAGTATTCCACTGCTCTTTGTTCATGGATGTAAATCAGCATCCAGAGTCCCATCTCAATTCGTGCAAGTACTAAACTTCTTTTCGCTACAGGGCCTGGCAGCATTGTAGAAGCAAAGAAAATTATTCCGTTACTTGCAGAGCCAAAAGATGATGATGCACCGTCTTTCCATGTTGTGGCACCGTCTCTACCAAACTTCGGTTTCTCCGACAAGGTTACAAAAAAAGCCTTTGGTGTTCAACAATACGCGGAGACGATGCATAAGGTCATGCTGAAGCTAGGATATGACAAGTATGGTACGTGAACGTGCAAATCCTATTCCCTCTCCCAATAGCATGTTACGTTGTCTGGTATATACTCATCCTTTTGCGACTTATTAGTGACACAAGGCGGCGACTGGGGCTTCATGGTCACCCGTGCCATCAGCCTTTACTATCCCACGCACTGTCTCGCCACCCATGTCAATGTTATTTGTGTCAGACCAACTCTCAGGCGGTCTTTTTGGCTTACTGCTCAATATTATCTGGGCTTACTATCCGAGGATGAACAGAAGGGCGTATTCCGCTCGTTCTGGTATCTCAAACATAGCTCGGGATACATGCTTCTGCAAAGTACGAAGCCTAATACGATCGGGTTTGCGTTGGCGGATTCTCCCGTCGCGCTGCTGGCATGGATCTACGAGAAACTGCAAGAATGGACGGATGAGTACCCCTGGACAGACGACGAAATCCTGGAGTGGATATCCATATATTTGTTCTCCAGGGCTGGGGCCGCATCCAGCTTGACGATTTATTACGAGCTAATCGGGAAGCAGAAGGATGAAATAGCTAAAACGATGGAGTACATCCCCAAGGTCCCTCTTGGGGTATCACTCTTTCCGAAAGACATATTCGTGCCTCCGAAGTCATGGGGTGGATACCTTGGCCCAGTAGTTTTCGAAACGACACATAAGAGAGGGGGGCATTTCGCTGCATACGAATATCCTGAAGAAGTTGCAGGTGACTTGAGGCAGATGTTTGGTAGACAAGGCGGTGCTGCCAAAGTCGCTCGTGTTTTTGAGTCTACCTGACAGAATATATGTCTCCAGATTTCAAGGTGGATATCTTGTATGCAGAAATACTATTCAATATTATTTTCTATACAATGATACCTTTATGCGGTAAGGTATATGAGAATGCCCTGTAATTGCGCTGATATATGCATGTAAATGTAAAAGGGGACGAGATAATCAAAACTCCTCGCTCAAATGCCTTCCGACTATCAAGTGTCTAAACCAGAAAGAAAATCTACCTGTTCTATGAGCTTTCTCTCAATGCGACCCAGATTTCTCGGATTGAAGTCTATCCTTTTCCCTATGTTTTGCTTCGTGTTTCGAAATGACAAAGTATGTACCAAGCAACTCGGCTGCATAGCGTTCTTGATATTTGAAATGCTGGGGTCCGACTTTCCGCACAGTGTCTTGAGCGATCTGAATAAATGCAGGGTGCTTATCAATAGGCAAAGCCAGGAGAGAGGGGACATCGATATCGATTTCTGCTGGTGTATCGGAATAGCCAATAGTTTTCCGAAGACCTTCATCCTTAACAAGTCGTTCGCAAAATGGTTCCAGCAGCTCGTTTTCCTGGATAAACATAAGGACGGATTTTAGAGATGTTGGGTCCGAGACAAAGCCATTGATGGGTGTCTTTTTCTGCTCCCTGATCTTGGCTTCTGCTCTAGAAGCAAACTCTAAAGCAGTGGAAAGCTCGTCGACATTCATGACGGACAGTCCAGACGGCACCAAATCTCGGCGCGTATAGCCAGCTCTTGTACGCCACCAGAAATTACAAAACAGGGAGGCCAAGATGACTGGAATCAGCACGACATAACCCCACCACATCGTTGCGGTGACCATGGATCCGGCGCCTCCTACAAGCGTGGCAGTGCCGTTGATGGAGGCATAAATTTGCACATTTCTGCTGCGTCGCTTGATCAAAGTCAATGCCCGTGTGCTAGGAATGGCTTTCGATGCCGCATTGATGTGTCCCTGGGCCTTGCAAAAGATGTAAAATGCCCAGCAGGTATTGATGGTGCCGAAGAGAGCGATAGGAGCATTACCAACATATCCAGAGAGAAGGTTACTGGCCAAGAAGATGGCATCATTAGCTCCAGCAATGGCAAGATATGTGCCCACGCAAATGAGCACGGCGCCAACACCCATGAACATGTTGAGTCCCCAGCGGTTAATACCTTCAGTGCCGATCTCGCGGTACATGACGGACAATAGCGTATCCAGATCCGTAGTCGGCTGAGACTTTGCTACTCTACTAGCACGCGCCTCTTTCAGCTCTCGCTGCTGCTTACGGAGGAACTTCAGATTCCTCCAGGCACGTCTCGAGTCGAGGAGGGCAAAGATGGACATGACGCCGGCAAATGTCGCCCCAACCGCCATGAAGACAGTTGCATACACCGGGACTGGGTACTGGTTCCACACATTGGCGGCAAAATCGCCAGCGTTAGCTAGCTCCAGTAAGCCAACGGCTGGATAGAGATTGTTCTTCAGTTTGCTGCCCTGGGGCACGTAATCATCTCCCTTCTCGGTCTTCTTGATTAGGGTGACGCGATCTGGCGGCACTGATTCCGGAATCTCGCATGCAGGAGGCGTCGAGAGCAGACCAAAGGAGGAAGACGCGGCAGTTAATGTGGTAAGGGTGGAGGAAAATGTGCCGGCACGCGGTAAGACGGTTGACTTTGGCACAGTAATAGAAACGTCGGTTTTTTCGTTCAATGCAGGAGTGCGGGTTTCCTCATGCCGAGGAATGTACTGCTGCTTTTCCGGATCTTGCTTTTGCTCATTTGTCTCGTGAGACATCTCTTGCCGCGCATCATTCCGACGATCGTCATCTTGAGAGATGGCAACGGCATCAGCATTCTTGGTAACGGCATCAGCAGCATCAGCGTCAGTGCTAATTACCGCCATATGTGCTGTCCTCTCTGTCGCAGTACCGTCAATGGGACCTTGCGGAGCGTGCCGCAGTTCCTCAATTGAGGCTGTGTCACTCTGTGCCGAAGCCATGGGGCAGGTAGAGAGGGTGTGCCGAGTAGAAGAGGGAATGAGGCAGTGTCAACCTCCCGAGAGGCTACCGATTCCTCGATGGACAAATAGCGATGGAGAATACAAAAGAGGAGGAGTCGAAAATTGGAAGGTGAAATGAATTAGATCGAGAGTGGCGGGCGGGAGCAGTAGCGAAGATCCGCTCGGTAAAGGAGATCAACCTCTCATCGCCAAGCTGTGTTTCTCTTATTTCCCGGCCCTTGGCTTCAAGAAAGTGAAAGTCTCTCTCTGTTTGGGCTTGCTCATAATCCCAAGACAGGTAGTAATCGGTTTATGAAAGCGGTAAGACGGGAGCAGGAGGATACAAAAGAAGGGAAAAGGTAACAGGGAACAGCCTTGTTTTCTTCTGGATGGCGCCCCTACTGCCGTCCAGCCGTCACCTGGAATATAAATTCAAGGCCCTTTTGTCTAATTCTAGCTACCACCAGCTCTGGTGCCATCTTACGAGTTCAAGCGAACCGGAGATGCCGCTCTTGCCCATCAGCTAGCCACGGCGTCCAATAACGCTGACAGCCCAACGCCCCATTCCAAGCTTCGGCCATTCGGCATGTGGCTGATGGGGTGGTTTGGTCTTTTAAGGGTCTCGGCTCTTTTTGCGAGCCCCAAACCAGGATTGGCAAGGCTGTCTTGTCTTGTGCAATTACAGGATGCAAGTGCTCGCACTTTGATTACTTCGTGTTTGTCTCAATTAATTGCATTCTATCTGTCATAGAGACATGTTGTCTTCTCATCTCTCAGCCATCAACGTCCACATATTGTTTCCAAATAAATCTGCTGCATTGGATTTAGCCAAAACACAATAGACAACCTTCCATGAACGCGCGTCCGCCCATCCACGACTATGAATTGGGAAACCGAAGCGATCGCCGGCGCGCAGAGCTGCCGCCACCGGTCAAACCTTGGCGGCCAAGCCGCCGGAAGCTACACAATAGAGAAGCCGTCAAGAGGCAGCACCGTAATCTTTTGGGCGCTTTAATTTTTAAGTATTTCCCATTAGTATCGGGGGGGAACTGTTTGAGCGACGGCCCCTTTGATTTCGCCGCAATCGCATTATGAGAATATTCATAACAATATCACGCAAATCAGCAAAAATACGAGTCGGGGAAACGATTGATCGGCCAACTACCGTTCAATTCAGTCAGCCTTATGCTCTGCTTTGCCGTTGCGATTAGCCCCTCGACGTCATCACAAACGACGCACTGGCCACGTTGTTTTGATCCAATAATTTCTATCAAGAGTTCTCTCATCCCGCAACTTAAGTCTTTACTCTCATCGGATACAAAGTACAGAGCCTTCGTTCCATCCCACTTCATTCTCTACATTCCCTCAATCCCCTCTTCTGTTTTCCGTTCTCATCAAAGTTATTCTCATCCAGCCAGATTTCAAATCCCTTCTGCACAGCAGGCCATTCATCATCTATGATACTAAGCCAAGCTGAGTCCCTGCGTCTGCCTTTCACAATCATATGTTTCCTGTAAACCCGCCAAGAATATTAGCATATCCACAGCACCGTAATGAATGGGCCTTTTGACCGCTGAGGTTGAATCAAATCTCACCTGAAAACTCCCTCGTACGTAAAACCCAGTCGCCGAGCCGCTGCCAAGCTCGGTGCATTGAGATGATTGGCCTTCCATTCGACACGTAGATATCCCAGATCCACAAACGAATGCTTCATGAAGAGAAAGAAAGCTTCCGTCGCTTCTCTAGAGTGCTTCAAAGCGTCGCCAAGAATCACCCATCCAATTTCGATTCTACGGTGGTTGGGAACGATCGACAAATATGACAGGATGCCTGCCGGCTCCGAGGCGGGATCGGAAGCTGGACCCGAAAGTACCGCATAGTACAGGGGATCCTCCGAAGCACACCAGGCCTTGATCGTCGCCTCACATGCCTCCTCGGTAAGGAGGCCCTCGAGCGGCATGTATTTCCATCTCCAGGCGTTTTCTTCTCCTCCAAGATGTTTGTATATCGCTCGCCAGTGCTCAGGCTGAAGCGGAACCACCGATGTGTAGCTGCCGTGGAGAGGCGTTCGTGGCGGAAGAAGGGCCGGTTCAGCTGACGCTACAGGCGGCCCAAGCGATTCGTCCATCTCTGGGAGCGCCAAAGAAACAAAGTTTTATTTAGACTGCTGAGCGCGGCTTAAAGGATTCAATTTTGGTTTATCCCTTCTCTGGCTTTCTGGTTCAGCCGTTGTTGTTTATACATGTGAATATGAGGTGGATGACTCATGTCAAGTGAGATGCCACTCATAGGGCGCCGCTGCTCTAGGTCACTAAAAGAAGGCTTCCGTTGTGTGTATACGGAATAGGCAGTGTGTATTCCATTAGCGCTACTATCTAATTACTTAGTATAGTTAGTTTGATAATTCATGATCACTATTCATATGTGCTTCATATCCAGCTCCTTATACTCTCTCCTGGGCAGTAAATGATCAAGTTGATGTTGTTTCTGGCAGGGCGTATGTGCAACTGCTGTTTATCTTTCTGAACTTCGCAAAACCGTAACGGAGCCTAGAAATCGACTCCGAGACATATTTATTAACGCTCATCTATTTATCTCGCCTTTGTGGGCCAATCCACTTAAAGGATGAACACTCAGGGGCGACTCCTCGTAACCCGCGGCAAAGCCCCATTCCTGTGGCAAAAAGTCGTCCAAGCAAGCTAGTCTCCATGTAGGATCTACCAGTAGAAAATAAGCGAAACTAAAAACAACATAACGTATTGTAGAATTATCATTAAGCAGGTGTTCTTTAATATGAGAGAATATTTCAGAATGGAAAATTAAGGAAGTAGATATAGCATGACTATTTCCGTAATGGCCGATTTGCAGAGCAGGCATGATACATGTGTATGCCGCGCTATTAATTACATTTGTAGATGATGAGCAAGCTGATTAAAGATGGTGACAATAAAATTTCACTCTTGAAAGACTTTTCTCTCCAGATTTATAAATGCCCATATAAGCTCCTATGCGCTGCATGTCAATTCTACCCTTTCCTAAACCAATTGATTAGACCAACACGGCTTCATGTAAGGTGCTATAAAATAGACTTCTCTTTTGGCAAAATTTAGATGACATTGTTCAACTATTCTGCCTTATTAACATACAACTTGGCAGCTATTCGTCCTAAGTTTCAATACAAGAATCACTGATTACCCTATGGGCTATGTGAGCTTCCGTAGTAACAGTGTTAGACGCATCAAACTCCGTCATTGGCAGCACTGGAACAACTCCATGTCTACACTAAGGGCAACTGAGGACCTGTCAGTGAGGCTCCTAAGCTCCATCATCGTCTCACACTCGCTCTGGTGTACAACTTTATCGGGGTTAACAATCTCTCATTTAAGATCAGTACGACTACTCTCCCAAAAACCACCTACTCTCCCAAAAGCCAACTACTCTCTCAAAGACCAACTACCGTACATTGTCGCAACTTTGATGCCAACAAAAGCCGTTTTGATACCAAAAGCAACGTTAAGAGCGCGTCTCGAATGCCTCCTGCCATTCCTCGAATTTTGATGCCATCAATAGCCGCGTTGATACCAAAAGCAACTTTAAAGCTTCTCGAAAGCCGCCTTCCATTCCTCGAAAGCCTTCTTCCATTCTGCGATCCAAGTATTGGTCGCATCCGGGTGCCAGCAGCATCCAACCCCGACAGTTCCCTTAGGTCCACAGGCCAGGCCGGCCAAAATAACATCCTTCGAACCACTGCAAAAGCCGCCGGTAATCCCGCCGGTAACCGGGTCGCAAGATCCGCCAACCCATTCGCATGGGTTATGGGGGAAATCAATGTTGAAATCGAATGGGAAATCGAAATCGCCATCCCAGGGTCCGAAAGGTCCGAAAGGTCCGAAGCCAGGTCGGAAAGTGTCGGCAGCCATAGCTCCTAGAAGAATATCAGTACTAAAAGTAATGCATATAAGATATGATGCAACTACGAACCGGAGAAGGTAAGGCTAGTGGCATTGGACGTTAGCATCATGATGAAGTCACAGCTGGTAGAGATGCATACCTGATGACAGCGAAGATCGAAGTGTAACGCATTTTGATTGAGTCGAGAAAAGACTTGAGAAAGATGTGTTGTATGTTGTCAAGTGAGTTTGCTTTGCAAGTGTGTTTGTTTGTTGGATGATTTGTGATTTTAATCCGGGGAGATACGATGCAATATATACTCGATATCACAAGGGGTTTTCATTCCCTAAAAACCTGTTGATGTGGTGTGCCACGGTAGTTATGCAATGTTAATTTGGATAGAATTCCAAGCATATGAGTTTAATTCCATATCATGGCAAAATCAAGGTCTGCTGATAGACCTTCGTCTCTAAATGGCAAGTCTGACATGTGAACATTATTGCAGAAATTGACTTATCGACTCAGACATGTCGCACTCAATTGATCATGTTGTCCATTTAATAGTTTATGTAGGGCGAATGTCTCAACCTATTGCTCGAATATAGTGAAACACTATTATGATGATCCTTTACCATTAAGAAAGTCTTCGGCAAGTTCGACGTACACATATCGCATTAGGTAACGCTGTCAGCCTATGAGGGGCTGTGGTAATTAGCTAAACTTCCAAAACACATATCTATTGCTATGAAGTCAAGATATGCAAAGTATAGATGGAATCCGCGTGAGTTGCATCGGCTAATCAAGGCTCATCGGCTCATCGGCTCAAGGCTCATCGGGCTCAACGGTTACATCGTTGCGGGCGCTCCTATTTGCTTCTTAACTCCAGTGTCCGATTGGAATCTGTCGCAGATTGCTCATTCCCTAGACAAGGCCACTATATGTGAATGCAGTGATAACATCGCAGTAGAAAGCTTCGCGAATGGGTATAGAGATGACGAATGTTTATTAAACTGGACAGTTGCCTAACTAGGTAGAGTGCCAGCCACTTTCTATGTGGTGTGTAAGGAATGGGTTAACGGAGCATATAGTCCTACAGTTAAGAAGAGCTCTATAATTGAATGATTTGAAAGTATATCAGAGTACATTGGGATGAAGGTTACAATGAGGGGTTAATATATTCTATAATGCATATCTTCATACTGATCAGTACTACGGTCGCTTCCTACAAGGCAAAGATGATTAATCCAGGCTTCAGCTTCAAGGTAGTAATTAAAGTGCCAAGGGAATGAAACACCTTAGCCGCCACCATCTATTCCATCAAGTTACGCATATAATCCAATTCAATTATCACCTTATGTCAAGAACTCATACATAAGCACTGTATCCTCAATTGAAGCTAAACTAAGCTTTATATACACCTTAAGGAATGTTCAACCCCAAGTCAGCAGCGACATCCCTTGCTGACCCGGTACATCTCATGTACAACATGCTTGCGTGCTTTACTTCTTTTTCATTGGCTTGCTTTCTTCGCTTATCCAGAGGGGTTGCCGTTGAAAGCAACAGCGTTGATAGTACCAGAAGGGATACCGGAAAGGAGGCTCTTTCCAGCAAGCGACTGGATACGCGAGCAAAGTGCCTGGGGGGCGATATGACCCTCGAGAGAGAGAAGGTAGGCACCAAGACCAACAATGTGAGGAGTTGCCATGGAGGTACCAGAGATGGTGTTGGTACGTCCACTGGGCCAGGTGGAAAGGATATCCTGGCCGGGGGCAAAGATATCCACGACGGAGCCGTAGTTGGAGAAGGAGGCTCGGGCATCAGCAGAGGTTGTGGCACCAACAGTGCAAACAGTGGGCTCGGAAGCGGGAGAGGTGTTGCGAGCATCAGTACCATCATTACCAGCAGCGACGGCCAGGAAGACGTCGGCGGCGATCAGGGCGGCAGCAGCTTCGTTAACAGCAGAGGAAACACCACCACCAAGAGACATGTTGGCGACGGAGCCGTTGGGGCAGTTTCGGGTCTTTGAGTCACTGGCAACAAAGTCCATGCCCGCAATGACGTTGGCGAAAGTGCCACTTCCGGAGTTGTCGAGGACCTTGACGCCGAAGAGTTGAGTCTTCTTCGCAACGCCATAGGAACGGCTACCAATAGTACCGGCAACATGAGTACCGTGACCATTGCCGTCAGTGTTCTGGCCAGAAACATAAGTCTTGAGGAAAGTAGCACGGCCCTCGAACTCCTATATAAAGCATCATTGTTAGCTGCTGTTGATGGCATACTACTTCTTCTTCTTCAAGGCTCGAGCTTTACGTACGGGGTGAGTGGCATCAACTCCAGTGTCGATGATATAGGCGCAAGTTCCCGCGCCGGCACTGTCGTCGTAGACATAAGTAGTGCTGCCACGGGCCTTGTGAGAAATACGGCCGAGGCCCCATGGAGCGCCAGTCTGCTGAACAAAGGCGTTCACCTTGACAATGGCATCCTGCTCAATGTACTCAACCTGTACAAGAACCTTGTAAGTACATATGCCTTTCTATCTTGTCGATTCTATGGTTATATACTCACATCAGGGTGGTTGCGAAGAGCTTCGAGGGTCTCCTGGTCCAACTTTCCGGCGAAGCCATTGAACACATGCTGGTAGACATGGTGGGCGTCAGAAGCAATTCTGGTAAGAGTCTCATCAACAGCCTGAAGAGAGCTGCCCTCCTTGAACTTGACAATGTACTGATCGGCAACAAGGCCATGCTTGCTAGTGGGCTTGAAGAGGGGGGCAGGCTCTGCTCGCTTCTCGATGGCTGGGGCAGCCAGCACCATGGGAAGGAGAGAAAGGAGGACGGACAACCGCATTTTGAAGGATGAGAATTGAATTCTTGTCTAAGAGAATTGCTTGAGGAAGAGTGTTTGGAGACCAGATCTGATGTCCTTGAAGCTTGTGCTGATGATCCAAGGATGAAGAGAAGGGGCCTGTGTCAAGAGAAGACTTTCACGTCTATTTATGTTTTCCCAATAGCTTGATATCTTGTTGATGATGAACAACATATTGCCGCCGACAACCCCGATCATCCCAAAGCTGAGCCCGAGTCTTATCTCCATCACCTTCCTGGTGTGGAAACTCTGTACGAGTTCAGCCTGTGTTGTAACACCAGACAGTTCTCCCCGAGACACCAATAGCCAGCAGACTATTGTTATTTGGGAAGCCCACCGGAGTAGTATGGCTGTCTATTGGTGCCAAGGCAGACTGCCAGATCGTAAAGACAAAAGTACGTATGTATGATATCCGGATTAAGCTGAAAGCAGACTCTCCACAGGTGCTGTGATAATGCTAGTCGACATTCCAGACGAGCTTCTATTCTGCTTTCATGGAGTTACACGTAAATTAAAGATCCTAATCTTATGGCAGACTCCTTTCTTGATAGATGGAGAGCGTGATACTACCTCAATGGCCGTCACGTTGGCACATCAGACATGGGTCTGGTTTGTCCTCCAAGGCACTCTCATCTAGCCTCGCAGTAACGTCAGGATTAGAGACGTTATACGTTGCCATGATATACTCACATACATATCGTGCTTTCTAGTGTTGTATCTGGCGGCTGAATGCAACGCTGTTCTATCAATACAGGCCAATAGACGAGCATATTTGTAATACTGATGTGACTAAACGGACGTCTCCCATTACCCAAGTAGTCATAATAGATGTTATCGATATGGTTCCATGTGCGGGGAACTCTGTAACATGACAGTTGTTGGGTACTGATGTCCCAATTACCTGGGCGTATTGCGTGTCTGATGCTCATGAGCCGCATACACGAAGTCACTGCATGCCGAGAAACAAATGGACATCGTGCAAGAACTTGCGATCATTACCCTTCTTCCCCGCGCGATAAGCAATCTATCGGCAGGTCTTGAAATAATACGGGATAAAATAGATTTGTAACATCTGCTTGCATCTTCTTATCACAGAATGGTGAATATGCCGTGCCGATCAAGCACCGCCGGTAGAAACCGAGCCAGCCAAATTGCCAGCCCTCCATCTCAACGGAAATCACATCCGCCACACCACCTCTTTGCGATTGATAACTATTCGGGTAGAGCGGCCGCTTGAAAACGTATGCTCGGATATTTGAAGTATATCCGAGGGGTGTTGCCCCCATACTCATGCTGCCGCCAATGTGTTTATGCGAGAGTATTATCCCACTCTCTACTACTCAAAATTTAAACCTGCCCCATACAATTTGGAGTCTGAAAACAATCCCCGCTGGTTTCTGCGTCCATTAGTCCAATGCTTTGATGTAATTATGTACCCACTTGCGGAGTATTCTGCTATCTTTCGACATGCAAACTATACGAGGCATCATGTGAAGGGACTGGAGCCCTAGTTGTAATAGGCAGTAAAGTCTCCGAAAATAACGCTATGCAATAAGGTTGTAGTATTTGGACAAACGAGCAGTGGCTAGATAAGATGAACTTCCCGATGAAGGCGATGGCCGATGATGGCTGCCGATCTTAAAATGGCCTTCCCGTTTGATGTGCTCTCCGGCAGCTGATTTCCAGGCACGCACCACTTAGATAGGGAGAGGTTCGGAAATTTAATATTGAGTTATACCGGGACGCCGAGTCGGAAGGGCGAAGCCGAGAGGGTCGCCATCTCATGGCTCGTCCGATGGAATGCAGTCGTATTTATATTACGACTAGGTTTGATTGCAGGCATTGGCGGTAGCGTCCATATGTTCGTCAAATGAGTATGCATTCCATCAATGGATGGCATTGACGTACCGCCACTGCGCACACTGTAAGCTACCTGTACTCAAGGGCGGCAACCTATGTGCTTGACACTGGCACAGTACATGCAGTAACCATCCAGGTTCTTAGCCATAATCCGAATTGAGTGTGTTCCAAAAGGATCTTTTGTGCTGGCCACAAGCAAAGCGAAGGAGACAAGGTAGCTTGATTGGCTGATGCCGTCCGGCCCAGCTTCGTTGTAACCTCATAAATGCTACCATGCGATCCAACTTTCGAGACTGTAGGCTTCGGTTTGGTTTTGAACCAAAATAACAGACGCCCACTCATAATAACCGCTCTCAGTACGCATGCACCCCATCTCTGCCCGTGGGGTGTTTAGGGGATTTTTTAACCTTGACATTGATGCTTGTTCAGAACCGTATTAAATAACCTTACGCGCGAGCGAGGGAGTAGGATAGAGAGCATGTGGCTTGCTAAAACAACTCACTGTTCCATTGAGGATAAAGCCTGAAAGGTCATATCACCAACTAAGCGAAGGGGCAATATTTATCCATAGTAACATTGAAGAGCAGGCAATTACAAAGGAACCAGCTGTTAAAAAAAGTCCCCAAATCTTTTATTCGACCATCCGGCCTATCAGTGACATTGTTGCATAAAGCCCCAGATTGGTAGCCAAGCCGCCAAGAGTCATGGATAGCAACAGAAGAAGATAAACCAATGTGCGTGCATATTAAGCGGTACCTCAAGGGAAGATTGATCGGCTAACTTCGGCATGTTGCACAGAGAGAAACACGCCACTAAGTAGAAAACCAGAGACGCAAATGCTTCCATTCATAGTGTCGTTGTGTGCATGTGAGGCCGTTATTATACCCACAGAATGTAACCAAAGGGTATCCCCCTCAATCCTACTGGTCTCCGCAATGCTTGCTACGTGAGTCTCTGTTCCGCTGTCCTATAGAAGTCGACGCTGCTTCATGTCGTCAATGCAATGTATAAGAGTGCCGAAAAGGGTAGGTCGATAACAAAAGAAGCGAGGCCGACAATGATACCCTAACCTATACCAATTGCCTATTCTGAATACCTTAGATAATGTGCGCATCTTAAAGAAACATTACAAGCACGTGGGTATTCACAGGTAGGTGCCTGATAGTGGTGCACGTGTATGACATTCTGGTCCTGCAACGCAATAATTGGGTTCATCACATCGCTAGCAGGGATATATGCGTCATGCGGTGCAATTCGTTTCTGTCCTATGTTCCACTACATCATAGAGAAGATCACATTTCAACTGATGTTTGCAGGGTAGCAGAAAACACCATAGAGTAGCATTATAACCACGTCTTCAACTCTACGACCACGCGCAGAGAAGATAAGAAATGGAAATCTATAACGGGACTGTTTACGATATTCAAGTCAAATTATGGATCATAACAGCAACGCCTTGTGTATGTTGAATTGTAAAACACCACTGTACACATGTATAGATGAACTGGCAAAATCTGGGTGCAAAAGCACACTGGCCAAACTTAGAGTCAGCCACGCATTTATGCAAATACCAGATCTCTTCTGTGCGGCTAAACGGTCGATCGGCCCCAGAGGCTCCAGACCCTTTAGTGCGCAGACTAGACAAGAAGAAGAACACGCCTGTTATGGAAGTCTTCTGCATTCTGAGAGTAGACTTGCCGCTTTCCACCTCTATTTTACTACTTTCTGCTTCCCCGCAAAAGACTGTTCAATTGGTCAAAAACGTCTGGTGGGCCCATTAGATGATGTGAATCCCGTTACGTTTCTTTGTCTAATCGATCACTTCGCGACTGACAAACCAGCGAAGAAACACGCGGTGCCCTTCAATTTGTCGCTTCTGAATACCGCTCAGACCCAATGCCCCGAGCATTGAATATAGCAGGTAAGCGCCTGGCGTCGAACAAGAGGCTAGCTTCGGCCTATTCGTTTGTTCCCTTGTGTCTGAGGGTGCACATACATGCGTCTTGCGCGTCCGCAGTGGTGTGTGTGGACATGTTGCTTTTACATCGACTCCCCTGGCTCCATACCCTGTTGTTTCTGCTCCTACTGTACTGACCTTGTGATATCGCAGCTTGGTGGGCAATGATTCTTCTTTCAGACTATTGGCACAAGAGACTAATCATATCTGCCGTCGGCTTCTGCTTAACAGCGACACATGCAGGCAGCGCAAGGTAAAATGTGAGTGATACAGGGTTTCCGTTAGACTCCCAGAGCTACCTATTCACCACTAGCTTTGAGAGATATTTGCTCGCCCGGGTTATACACGCCATTGGAATGACTGACATGTGCCCCTTTCCTGACAGGCGATGAGGCAAGCCCCATCTGCGGCCAATGCACGAGGTCGAGGAGATACTGCGCGCGTCCACAAAAGTCATCTAGATGGTTGGCATATCATCATCCATCAGAATCTGCTGCTGCTGCTAACGGTGCGTTTGAACCGTGGTCAAGCCTTTTTGTATATTTTCAAAACTTCCTTCTCCATCTCCCCGCATTCTTCCCTTGTCCCCCTGATCTCAAAATCTCATCTCCTGAGCTAACCGAGCCGCCACATTCCGCAGGAGCCGCTGGAAGAACCAGATTCCCATCTCCCGAGAGTCCCCGAGATGCTCTTGAGTTGCCAGATGTGGCTTGGTATTTCCACAACTACATCACAGAGCTGGCAAAATGGTACGACCTCGGCGATGCTTTGCGCCAATTTGCCACAAAGGTGCCGGAGCTGGCTCTTGACGAACCGCTTCTTTTCAGCGCCGTGATTGCGTTATCAGCCGAGCACCTGTGTCAAACAACGGGTCCCAAAATTGCAAGGGAGATGGCTGGATTCTACCACAGCCGTTGTGTCGCCTACCTTATCAAATTGGACGAAAAGAGCGAGTTGCTGACGAATGGCGTCGCGCTAGCAGCGGCGTGCTTGTTGCGGTCGTACGAGATTCTCGATGGTGAGATTAGAGAATCTATTGAGACAGATGCAGTCGAGGTTTCAGAACCAAGCTAACATGGATCAGAGGATATTGACCCCAACAGACACCTTAGAGGAGCATATTCACTGGCATCATGTGAAAGCTCCATTGCAGGGAGCCCCCCGGAAAGCCTCCTCGCCGCCGGATTTTGGAACTACCTTCGGGAGGACATCACCTTTAGCTTGTTCGAGGGCTGTCCGTTGAAGATGGACGTGACTGGGTCTGCTGCTCCCAGATTGACTAACAGCCACGACCAACTCCACTCCATTTCGCTCATACTTGGCCAAATCATCAACAAGGCCTTTAACTATCAGATTTCTGCGATTGAGTGGCAGCAATTTGCTGGTATGGTACACGCCTGGCTCAGTGAGCTTCCACGACACGTCAAGCCATTCTCCAGAGGCAGGTCTGTGACCTTGTCGACAGTGGGCGAACTGCCAAGCTTCTGGTTCCTACAAGATTTTCACGGTGTGTTACCTATCGCAATTTCTCTCTATCATTTTCAACAAACCTCCAAATGGCTTCTATGTTGCTGATACTCGGTTTTGCTTTGCAATTAGCATCTGCGAGGCAATACGCTCTCGTCTCGCTCTCCATACTCGCCGTGTTTGCACCACCGGACCAGCTTTCATTACTTCAGACAGTGACAAAGAACATCGGCTTTGCCGGTCACGAGTCAAGCAAAGAGGAGCTGCTAGATGCCTATGCTCTCGAGATCTGTGGGATTGCGTTTACGACCAACATACCATCGGTGATTGTAAACTCTTTCGGCCCTATTGCCTATTGTAAGTGGTCCGCCACGAAAGCCATATCCGGCCCTCGTTCTCCATCTGACGATGCAAAATCTCCTAGGCGGCAAGTTTATACGGTCCGAACAAGCCAGGCAAGAGGTCATCCGCCGCTTGGCTGCGTGTAAACGGCCTGTCGGATGGCCCGTTGAACGCCTGATCTCCAGTCTCAAGGACTCATGGGCAGCAGCAGGACTCCCCGAGCTGGAATCTCCAACTTTTTCTGGGGAAGCGGGGCCGAGTCCGGGTCTGCTTAGCGACATGTCCCCCGCTTCGTATTAATCGAACCAAGGAAAATATCCCGAGCTCGGGTTTCAGTATAGCATCACTTAATGCGGCCCCCATGATTAGTATGGGAAGTATAAAAGTGTAAATCGTTGCATTGATGGACGAGCGTCTTATCTTTTTTCAAGCCTTTATTAAATCGATTTATATCAGAAAACCACTCTCAATCAGGTACCACGCACCAGAAAACCATTATGTTGGCCGTCCGATTTCGAGCCCCTCGACTTATAAGTCGAGGTCTGGCGACAGTTGCTTCCGCAGCAAAAGCTGCGCCAGCTCCTGGTCTTCACTGGCCGGCTGTGGTCCGCCCAAGTGCCAACGAGATAAAGAATGCCCAACTTGACGAACGCAACCTTGAAAAGGCCGTGCGACACATCCATCAAGATGGTCTCGTGGTGATTGAGGATGTCGTACCACATGAGGATATTGACAACCTCAACGACAAGATGGTCCAGGATGCTCGTGTGCTCCAAAACATGGGCGATAACGGGCCGTTCAACTACAATCAGGGAAACCTGCAGCAAGATGCGCCTCCCGTTGCCGAGTTTTTCTACCCGTCAATATTCACAAGTAAGATGGACCCTTTGATAGGACTGAACCAACGCAGCAGCATCTTTTAACAATTCATTTTTCCACATAGATACCTTTGCTACTCAAGTGACTTCAGCTGTCCTCGGTCCCCGACCCAAATGGACGTTTTGTTCTGCCAACTCGGCCATGCCTCCCCTCCCTGGCGCCTCTCCTCAGCGACAGCCGGTGCACTCGGACGCTGATTTCGCTCACCCAGCACACCCATTTGCTCTTGTTGTCAATGTGCCGCTGGTAACAATGACACCAGAGAATGGCTCGACCGAGCTTTGGCTGGGAACACACAAGACGGACATCTCCTTTCAAGAAGGTGCTCATGGAGAACGAGCAAGTGGTCGAATCAAGGAGAGCTTCCTGCGTGAGCGTGAGGCTATTCGCCCACCCATCCAACCCATCGTGAAGAAAGGATCAGTCGTGCTGCGAGACCTGAGACTATGGCATGCCGGGATGCCGAACCCATCTGAGCAGGTCCGGATCATGCTCGCCATGATCCATTTCGCCCCATGGTACCGGAATCCCATGAGGTTGCAGTTTGGAGACAACTTGAAACCAATCTTGGAAAATCTCGACCAGCAAGGCAAGTTGGGTCTAGAAGTTCCAGTTGATTGGGTCAGCTCTGAGGAAGCCTTGAAGACGTATCTGAACCGTGGTTTCGGGAACAGCTATGACTTTAACCAGGCCCCATGAGGACGCTAATTCGGCTCGTGCTGTATTATTCGCGTAATTAGCCTATGTATAATCCTGTAAATATACTAAGTATCCGTCTTTCCAGAACTGACAAGATTGGTAGCACATAGCAATAGCCATTTAAGCGGCCGGACCGGCGCTAATAATGCACATCTCACAATAGCTTCACAGTAGTTTGGTATTATATGGAGAGAGCTGGTAAAGCTCGGTGCGAGAGACGTTGTATTCCAGGGCACCCTGCGGGCAAGGCAAACCAAGTTATTCTATTGTAAAGCGAGCTACTCCCACAATACTGAGAATCAGCAAACCATAGGCAGATAATTCCCAGTTCAATACTATGACAAACAAAAACGAATGACCCCACCTGTACCGGATTCTCCGACTTAGGCAATCCAAAACCAGATCCTCTCCAGGAAATTACGTGGTACTGGCTTGACCCACGTGGATTCCAATCTATCAATCTCGGCTTTCCCTGACCAGAGATCCATCTCTGACAAACTAACAAACTTGGTCTTCTTGACAAGCTTGTAACCGAAGAACAAGCACAAGAAGATGGGGATGTCAATATATGGTGGGATGAACGACTTGGCACTGAATCGGCCAGGAAAAAAGCAGTCGAATCCATTGAAAAGTGCAACAACGAGACAGAATACGACGGAGAAGTATCCCAAATATGGCTGGAAGGGGGCTTTGAAGGGTAGAGTATCACGGTCGATGCCGTTGTATCTGAGGGCGTAGTAGAAGCGGAGGTACATGAAAGATACGCTGGCCCAAACAATGAGCGTGCTGACAGCACTAAGGTTGCTGATCCAGAAGAAAACCTCGGCGGATTGATTGTTGACGTTCAGATAGACGAGGCAGCTCAGCGCCGTGGTCAAAGCCACACACGCATACGGCACACCAAACTTTTCGTATTTGAGAATTGCAGGAGCTTTGCCGTCCAAGGCAGCCGAATAGAGCACTCTGGTGGAAGCGTAGAAGAAGGAGTTGCCAGCAGACCAGGCAGAAGAGAGAACAACTGCGTTGATAATGTGTGGAAGAACTTTGATTCCCGCATTCTTAATCGCGATAACAAACGGGCTGGCGCCGGCACCAGGAGCAGAGCTGTTGATGGCATTGAGCAGGGAGGGATCCTCAGATGAGACGCAAAGGCCCACAAGGAAGATAGAAAGGACATAAAAGATAAGGATACGCCAAAACACTCGTCGAACAGATCGTTTAATGTTTCGTCGCGGGTCCTTGGTCTCACCCGAAGCAACTACCACAATCTCACTGCCACCATAGGCAAAGGTGGCTGAGATGAAGACCTTGAAGAAAGCGAGGAAGCGCCCGAGTGCGCCCTCCTCCAGGTAAGTATTCATCGGGCCGGGGTGGTGCCAGTATCGAAAGCCGATTGTATCGCCGGATGGCGACCCGCCCACGGTGATGATGAACATGAGCAGGATCAAGCCAACGATAGTAGTCAATTTGATGGCACCAAACGCGAACTCCGCTTCTCCGTAAATGCGTACCGGCAAGCAGTTAATGATGACCATGGCAGCAAAAAAGACGGTGATGAGTGCAGCCTTGGGCACATCATTCGGCCAAAAGTCGACAATGATGGCACAAGCAGAAACCTCAATGGGCACACCAATAGCAAATTGATACCAATAATTCCATCCCAACGTGAATCCCAGCGCCGGATCGACAAATCGCGAAGCAAAAACTGGCACTGCACCTGGAATCGGCAACCAAGCTGCCATCTCACCTAGGCTGTTGATCACACAGTAGAGGTTGAAGCCCGTGATGATGTAGCATATAAATGCAGAGAGCGGGCCCGCCAATGAGAGGACCTGTCCACTGCCAACAAAGAGGCCTGTGCCAATAGCTCCAGAAAGAGCAAGGAACTGAACGTGGCGAGCTTTCAGTCTACGATCAAGGGTACCAAGATGCTGCTGCTCGTTTTCTGCTTTTTGGGTATCGTAGTTGTCGAAGGTGCTGACGGGAGCAGCAGCAACGGAGATGCCATCTTGGGCTTCGACATCGCCGTACGGCGAAGGCTCTGCCTTTTTGGCCATGGTTCGCCAGGGCTGGTCTGAGAAAGCGGCAGATGGTTCTTAGAATGGAACTCTGGTGCTGTTCTTTAAACAATGGGATCGACAATCCCGGGGATATGATATATATAGGCAAGACTACACGTACAGGGACTTACACAAAGGATGCATGCGAATGGGGACCGCGTACAGCTCCAAACCGCAACCGGAGATCTTTATCAGCTGCAAACTCACATCTCGCCTATCAACGTATGAGATCTTCATATCGGCGAACTCATGTAACCTCAAGATGAGGGTTATCGTTGCCATCCCTCACATATTGTCCGCTTCCCCGCAATCAAATGGACAAGCTTAGCTCCAGATTGGAGACACTGCACAGAGCACAACGCGCTTAAAAGCTTCATATAAACCGGTAGCTCAGCACGCTAAACCTGAATTCCCCCGCGGAAAGACTTTTTTTGCTCAATTTCCCCGAGTCTTGTCTGTTTTACTAAAAGGCTTGGAACTACGTCTATGCATCAACCTTGGAGCCTAGGGGAGAAACGTGGTGGGCGAGATAGCTGCACGATTGCAGTTCTCCGGGGTAAACAGGTAACATAGTCCAGCCTACGTGGGGGAATAGCCATTTAGTGGGAACGGCAGGAAGAGAGGAGTCAGCACTTGGCCGATAATTTGGAGCCATAGCCATTCGCGGGCTACAGACTGCAGATCCGCTGGTCGGTTGAAGTACTCGGGCTTCGGCTTAGTGCGGCCGAGTTGCTATTTAATCGTCGATAGCCGTGTACGGGAGGCCGATATCGTAGCATGTTGCTGATGATAGGTATCAGATGATTGGTTGTCTGCATGTTTGGCTAGGTCTTTACGGCGATGAGAAGCTGATGTTCGAGGCGTGCATCAGTATAGCAATGGCAGTATAAATCTCTTATACATTGCCTGCCAGGCAAAAACTTGATAAATTTCGGGGGGAAAAGAAAAGAAAAGAAAAGAAAAGAAATTTTCCACATGGCTTGTAGCATGTATACTGAAGTACAAGTGAAATACGGACCACTAGAGCGTCAGTCCCGCAACTACGAATCGGAGAACTTTTAGCATCACGAAGCGAGAGCAAGTTCAACGGCTATTTGGCTTTAGTCACAAAGTCTTACCTCCACAAGAGCGACATTCCGACCGTGGTGTACTCCGTAGAGACATGGCATTTTTGCTTCCGGTACCCAGAATGGCAAGGTCCGGTGAGCGGTGGGCAAAATAGGGTCCGGGACCGGAAGGGGACACGAGCCGTAGAATAATGAAACAGCGACAATGTTACATGAAACATTACTTATAGAGTAAATATATCCGAATCCTGTAGAAGTAATATATCTATCTGCTAGTGTAGATAAGTAGATCTAGGACCTCAAGATGTAGATCATTAGAGCTTAAAGATCTTTACGAAGTCTACGGTACTGGGGTATTATTGCTGCACTAGGCAGTTTGCAATCCCGGGGGGGTTTTTTTTTTCACTGTCTGTCTAGTTACGTAGGAAATTGGATTCGATGATGGAGACAAAAATTATATTGCGATATCGCAGGCTAATGGCAAACATGTAGCTGTGGCACTCTTGACCCCAGTCATGATTTTTTTGTTCTCACCCACTGATGCCAATTGTGCTTCCACGAGCGTTCCTAATAGATTCTTGTCAAAAATCCATGCCCATCTCCTAATTTGATTGTCTCATCTTGTCAATACCTATGTCAAGAATGTCGGCTTGGCGAGGTGTGACCCCACTTTCGTTCATTCACCACTTCCCATCACCCAACAGTCGATCAACTTTTCACCAGCTGCCACAAAGTTTTTGCCACGAAGTTTACGTTACCTCAATTATTAGACTACTTGATTTATAGTATCACATATATTAGACAGGTGCCCGCCATCTCGAAGCTGCCGGCATCACAACGCAGGTGTGGCCCGTTGACGCATTATTCGAGACTGCGGCACCAAGCTTTTTCATAACAGCATTTCGAAACTACTCGCACCTGGAAGGTATAGAAATGTTGGTTATTTTTTCCCCCCTCAAATTCCCAGAAAATGGAATATCATTGAACAAAGTATACCCAAAGAAACTAGGCACAGAAAGAGTCTCTTGATCTTGATCTATTGTTGTTCACTCTTTTCGACTGATCAGGTAGGTGTTTTGGAGATTCTGTAGATATACTGACAGCTATCGAGTTATTCAATCACTTTCGAACAAAGTTTATGAGTAACTTATTGTCTGTATTAGATCTCATGCTATAGAGCAGACATATGAAACGCCATACTCGACACATACGTGAGCTAATTAATGACAAAAGTATAGCATAGCTGAACAGCCTGAATTAACTTACATAGCCTAGAATGCAAGGTATCTCCCACCTGTTGAGCAATTAGCCTTTAAATTGGCATTTATATTGAGGTCGCAGCTGTGTGGTGGTAATGAGATTCTGGCTATTGCAAGGGTGTATTGCCGCTCTTGGACAGCTAATATGCTGTCAGTCGGCCCATTTGCAAATGCTGGGGAATGGTGTGCAGTAGCCACGCAATAATGTCTTGGCGCAAACAACAATTAGCGCTCAATGAAAGGCAGAAGCTGCGTTTATACAAACTACGAGCAAGGGATTTGGAGATTTTGCAGCTTTGCGCTATCAACTGGGATACTAAGAGTGAGATCTTGACTACCACGTGACAAATATAAATTCATTGCACGATTACAATTCTCTCGATAAATAATCGCACAATAAGTGAGATCCAAATCGTTCTCGGGGGCACTACGGGAGGATCTCTGTCTTGGCGAATTCTGACGCAAATTATGGCATCAATACAGTCACTCGGAATTTAACCAGGGCTGTCGGCAGATTATTGAATAAGCTTATAAACTAGAGGAGACTTTGTTTCATCCGATCAACAACGGTAACGTTGCCTATTTGATGCATTTACAGTAGCTATGCATGCGTTTATTCTATACCATGCTTTTAGTATGCATGCAGGATCAATCCTCTCCATATATCACCATCCAACTAGGTAGTAATCTGGCATGAGGAGAGACGTTATTCTCAATGGCGATTAGCATTTCTACTCCTTCCAGGGCACTTTCCTACAATCCCTTTATGATTGAAGAAATAAGTGTACATTTCTAGCTGCTTCCTTTGTCCATTATTATCACTATGCTAATCTCGAAGCAGGAATAATATATAACCATCTCACATAGAGTTCTCTGCTTTAGATCTTATGCAATCTCATGCATCTCAAGAACCACATAGCGTATTCAAATAGACTACTGAATGCCTACATCAACATGGCGATTTACATATCTCAAGATTTCAAGTAGCCACCATCATTGGTTTTATGCATAATTCAGCCTAATTTCAGCCATATTCGACCAGATGTAACAAACATCCATTCAGACTAACCCCTGAGGAATTGTTTGGGCAATTCGTATTCGCCCGACGAATATATTAATTCTTGGCGTACTGCATTAGGTATGCAACTAAATGGGAATAAGATGCCTTCATAAGACGGAAAGGTGTGATTTACTTGGCAGATTGTAAAAATATAAGATGGCTTGGATCGGCTTTTCAATCATAGATGGTTACTCAGTTTCCAAAGCTGGAGCAAACTCACCACATTACTGCACCGTTCCAATCCCATCATCACAATGAAGTTCGTTCAGGTTTTATCTGCTATCTTACCGGTAGCTGTAGCTCAAACCAGCTGCGAGCAGTACGCAGTGTTTTCAGGTGGTAACGGATATACAGTCAGCAACAATCTCTGGGGAAAATCTGCAGGTAGTGGCTTCGGCTGCGTTACCGTAAACTCACTCAGCTCGTCTGCCTCCTGGCATGCAGACTGGCAGTGGTCTGGCGGCCAAAACAATGTCAAGTCCTACCAAAACGTCCAGATCGGCATTCCTACAAAGAGAATTGTCAACAGCATTGGCAGCCTGCCCACTACTGCCAGCTGGAGCTACTCTGGAAGCAACCTCCGCGCCAATGTAGCCTATGATCTCTTCACTGCGTCGAATCCCAACCATGTGACCTATTCCGGGGATTATGAGCTCATGATCTGGTAAATTGCAGACTCTATCTTTGTGGATACTTTGACTAATCAGTAATGTCACTTTTAGGCTCGGAAAGTATGGAGATATCGGTCCCATTGGATCTTCTCAAGGGACTGTCAATGTCAACGGTCAAAGCTGGACGCTTTACTACGGTTACAACGGAGCAATGCAAGTTTATAGCTTTGTGGCGCCCTCCACCATCACCAACTGGAGTGGAGATATCAAGAACTTCTTCAACTATCTACGAGACAACAAAGGATACCCGGCCTCAAACCAATATGTTCTCAGTATGCGACTCTTATTTTCATTTCATTGCAAATATGTTCTATAATAATACTAACTAGATGTTTCATAGGTTTCCAGTTTGGTACTGAGCCGTTTACAGGCAGCGGAACGCTGAATGTGGGATCCTGGACAGCAGCTATTAACTAAGATGGAAGTATTCTAAAGGTGTGGTTAGTATATACTATTCGGCTCGAGTAATCACATGTATATATGCACCTCCATATAGCAATTAGTTCTATAAAGCATATTGAGGGATCTTATGCAGCACGCTTCGAAATGATGTAATAGCAACTCTCGTCTGAACTTGGCTGTCTACGGCAGCTGAGTTTCAGTTCAACTTGTGTTTACCCAAAAAGAAATGGTACTACAAAAAGAAAGTGGTTGGCGGGGGCTCTCGAGCGAACTATCAGGCATCAGAAATTGCATGCATGATGTATGGGGGCTTATTCGATACCAGGCACTAGAAGAAGGCAACGATAATAGTAGATATTAGAACAGTACTAGAAAGTACAGATAGGTAAAAAAAAATGAGTGAATTAAAACTGTCGTTGCTAGTGTGCTGATTACGTCTTGCAACTCCCAAAAGTACCGACTATCGTCACGCGCAAGATCCTATCGCTACACGCACTCGCCCGTCAGTGAGGTGCAAATAGACCCATTGTCAAATAGCGTGTATTGGAGTATATTTCTAGTGTATGCATATCTACAGTAAGAGATGATTCACCGAATAAGAGTGAAATCGACACTAGAAAAACGCCCATACTTTACTGCAAGCCACCCTTGCGGCCCGCCTCTTGGGCTTTCTTACTTCCAGGCTCAAAAGACCCTCCAGAGGCCTGTCCGCCCTTGGACGCAATTTCCCGCTACAGTGTTTAATTAGTACCAAGGATGTCTTTTCCACTTCCTGCCAGATGCACAACAAACCTGCTTGTCAGGATCCATGGAAGCGAAGCCGCCCTTGTGACTCGACTGTCCGCCCTTGGAAGCAATCTGCTGCACTTCTTCTTTGGGACTAGTAATGATCAGCCATTAGATTTGAAATAGATTTGCAATACCATACCGGTTGGCAAAGTTTCCGGGATTGTTGTTGTCCGCCATGATGTTTCAGTGTGCTCAGTTTTGTGTTGTGGAATAGATTGGACAAGTTGGATATCGAGAGTGCTTGAAGAGGCTGAAAATAATGAAGAAAAGTACGATATTTATATTTAATCCTCTCGGACTTTAACTTTAGATTATTTTGTCTCTCTTCTTCTCCTCAGCATTGTCAAGTGGTTGTCGTCATCGAGTGTTGCTGAATCGCCTCTGAAGTCACCTTGAGGCATTTCGGCTCTCAGTCGGCAGCCGTCAAAAGCAATCAGCCGCCACAAATAATTTAATTTTAAGGCTCATTACCATGCAATTGTCAAGTATTCGACATCATGACGTACAGAATTTAATACCGGTAGTGCAAGAGTGATGCCGATCGTAGTAGTTGCTCTCCTCTTTGAAGAGGTACTAAACTCACCATATCAACCCACAGTTAATCTGTACTTTGTTAATGACTGTTGTTTCGCTGTAACAATCTGTCGCAATTCTTCCATCTTGTCCACCAACGTAAAGCTACACGAGAGTACAGTACGGTACAAGTAACCAATAAGGTATTGCAATAAAAGCCAGTAGGATGTGGGCTGCATCAATGACGCCAGAGATGGCTTTCATAGTATTGATGTTGGATGCTAAACTATTTAAGCTCTCGGAGCAGATACCCGATCTATAAATTAAAAATGGACGAAAGTGATCTCGCAGATGAATAATCCTCGATTAGTTACATCATTGGCATATTTTAGGTTGTAATGGGATGATATGAAGCGAAAAATAGCTCAACGGCAAAAGAGATATTACCGGGTAGCAGTTGTGCTGATTAGTAGTGTCTGATGCGGTGATTGCAGATTTGTAACGCAGATGCATTTACTGTCTCTTCCAGTTAGTAGATACGAAAAATTCAAGCAGTTGTCTTTTATAGAGATGATGGAATTGGACCAACATTGTACCGGCTTTGGGATGACGATTATGGCTGGAGAACTCTGGGAGCCTGTGAAATCAGTGTAGAGTGATGCTGACTAAGGGCATGAAATCAGCCACCCAGTTCCAAATGCTAGCTGCTTGGTGAACAAAAATTGAACCGAAATCCGACACACCAGCTTACCAGTCAGAACATCGCGGCGGCAATTGGTTTCCCTTTTGGAGAGATCCCTTGGATATAAAGTTTCCTGGGTAATGAACAGGCCACGCAACCGTCAACCCCGGTCCTCCGGACAAAACCAGCCGAGGGGCCGGGGAGGCAGATCTTCAAACTTGGGTCGACGAGCACCTGGAACGCCGCAGCAAGCAGCTGGGACCGTACCGACCTCTAGACAGGTGGTATCTGGTGCTGCTGTTTTCATTATTCTAAAGGAGGATCAACCGACAGGTCGAGAAACACAGGGAGTTGTGCAGGATGTTCTCACATCAGGGGACCACCCTCGCGGCATCAAAGTCAGATTACGGAGCGGCCAGATAGGTAGAGTGCAAAGACTTGATGATGGGTCTTCCGAGCCATCGAGCGGGACGACGTGGGCTTCGAACGCCTCCAGTTCAAGATTCAGCAGCCGGTATACGGACATCAGAAACGATGACGATTTTGGCTATCTGCAGGGACCGCCAGAGAGAAGCTTAGCAGACTTTATGCCAGACCTTGAACCGGCTGCAAACAGTACATCTTCTGATGAAGCTGGAGGAGTTCGAATAGACGAGAGCTCGGTTATTTGCCCGATTTGCGAGGCGTTTGAAGGAGACGAAGCTGCGGTTACACACCATATTGATCGGGAACACCTTGGATAAGCGACAATTTTTTATTGTAAAGCAACATGACCGGCCTGTTTGTATGACGATGAAGATCTGATGTGGCGAGGTTCTGTGGCGGATATGTACATTATGACAGGCAGATATTGGAAACCATGGCGTTGCAGGCGTTCAAGGACAGCTTTGACCTATATATCACTCAAAATAGATACACATTTGTGTTTTTCCATGGACGTGTATCTATAATGCCACCGTAATTAGTGTACCTAACTCAAGGTGACATAAGCAGCGTGAACATTGAGTTCATAGTCTCATCCTGGTGAGAGCGGTTACGGGTTTACTGTAAACCCAGCGATGAGATGCTCAGGGTATCCGCAGCCCTGCAGGATCCCAATCGCAATAGCCATGTCGCTTTGATCCGTAAAAGCCGAAAGACGGACCGGGGTGTCTGTATTTTTAGCAAGGCAGGATAAACAAGGGTGAAACAGAGTGAAACCCGGTGCAGCCACGGCCCAGCACTTCGTAACGGGCATGAAATTAATCTCGGGGATGCATGTGTACTCGTAGACGTCCATGTTAAAATATTGAGGCTCGCTGTAGAGAAGCCATGCAAGCGAAAAGGCAGCCTGAGAATTCTCTTCCTAGGCAGTCACTTTTAACATTGAGATTGGATGGATGTTATATTGCTGCCTGCCACAGGCTCATGTCCAATTGCTGATGTGTTGGTGAAATTGAGCTGACTTGACTGCTGCTAAAAAACTGGGGAGCTCAATAATGCGAACTGCCGTGCACGAGCCTTGCCCAGCAAACGAGATTGTCGACGCCTGTCCCTCCCACCACGCGCAGATGGCGGATATCGAGAGATGATGGTTGCAGAATAAGCTATAACCTCTATATTATTAACTATTCTTTTTGTATTGTTCGCGTCCCGGCGCAGCTCAATTGCTCTTCATCATTGATCCCCCATTCAGAGCTCCCCTGGCCGCCCATCCGCCATATTAATTCACTGCTGCGCGGCCAATGACATTCACGTGCGGCCTAGCGCGCCCGGAGCGGATCTTCGTTGCACCCGCGGCCTGCGATTGGCCGGCCCGGGTCCTCGCTCCTCCACGTAATCACTCCTGCCACCTTGCTGCTTTCTTTGTTGACGACCAATTCACTAGTGGGCTGTTGCTCCAGGCTAACAGCAAGCAGTCCAGTTACCCGTAGTTAATGCCTGCGCTGCGCTGCGAGGTGACCTGCCACTTCTCCTTTACCCTCACCTTGAACAAATCTCCTCTTTCGCCAATCAACCCTCCCCATCGCATCGGCAGGGCATCATCGCGACTCGCCTGCTGCCGCTTTTCCTTTCTTCGCTTCGATCCTTTTTTCCGTTTTAGTCAGTCCGTTCGTGCCGCTCGGCGCATGGAAGCTGTCGACGGCCTCTCCATCCGCCCCTCGAGCCTCAAGCTAGCTCTCCCGATCCTCAACACCGACCCTGTGAGCCGCGGCAATTTCGACAGGCGGCTGCCCTAGGAGTACCGAGTCGACGACGGCCCATACTATCTTATTGTTGGCTACTCTGGCGCAATGGCGCCTCTACCCATCAAGTTCCAGGAGCTGGTGCAGCTCAGCAGCCTGGGAGTGGACACGGCGTCCATCGGCTTCAACTCCTGCGTAAGTGACTCGGACCGTCTCTGTCTTGTTTTGTTTTGTTCTGTCTTGTTTTGCAACGCCAACCGCGACCTCAAAACCAACCTGCTGACCCGCAACCAAACAAACAGACACTAGAGTCCGACTCGTTCGTTTGCATTCGGGAGAAGAAGAACGAAGCCGCCCAGCCCGAAGTTGTCATTGTCGAGCTCAAGAATGGCAACCACGTAACGCGCCGGCCTATCAAGGCCGACAGTGCCGTCATGCACTGGAACAAGCAAGTCATTGCCTTGAAGGCTCAGTCCCGGACTCTACAGATCTTCGACCTTGAACAGAAGAAGAAGCTCAAGTCCTGCACAATGAACGAGGATGTTCAGTTCTGGAAGTGGATCAGCGAGTCCACTCTGGGCCTCATCACAACCAGCAGTGTCTACCACTGGGACGTCTATGACGCCGCCCAGGATGCGCCCGTCAAGGTCTTCGAGCGCAATGCTAACCTCAATGTGCGTCACTCTGTCTGGGCTGTTTCCCCCCTCTTCCCCCAACTAACCCAAAGTGACAGGGTTGCCAAATCATCAACTACCGAGTTAATAGCGATGGAAAGTGGATGGTGGTTGTGGGCATCTCTTCTCAGCAGGGACGAGTGGTTGGTGCCATGCAGCTGTACTCCAAAGATCGCGGCATCAGCCAGGCCATTGAAGGCCACGCTGCTGGTTTCGGCACACTGAGACTGGACGGTGCTCCTCAGGACACCAAAATCTTCAGCTTTGCTGTGCGCACCGCCACTGGTGCCAAGCTGCACATTGTGGAGGTCGACCACCCAGACTCGAACCCAGTCTTCCAGAAGAAGGCTGTCGACATCTTCTTCCCACCCGAGGCCACAAACGACTTCCCAGTCGCTTTACAAGTGTCACAAAAGTACGGTGTCATCTTCATGGTCACCAAGTACGGATTCATCCACTTGTACGATCTCGAGACGGGCTCGTCAATCTTCATTAACCGCATCTCCAGCGAGACAATCTTCACAAGCTGCGCTGATGATGAGTCTTCAGGCCTTGTGGGTATCAACCGCAAGGGCCAGGTCCTCTTCGTCACCATCGACGATAGCACCATCATCCCCTACTTGCTTGAGAATCCCGCTAACACAGAGATTGCCATCAAGCTGGCCTCAAGAGCTGGCCTTCCTGGTGCTGATAACCTTTATGCGAAGCAGTTCGACCAGCTCTTCAACAGCGGAAACTACCTCGAGGCCGCCAAGGTTGCTGCCGGCTCGCCCCGTGGATTCTTGCGTACGCCCGAGACGATCGAGAAGTTCAAGCGCCTCCCGACCCAGCCTGGCCAGATGGCTGTTACACTACAGTACTTTGGAATGCTGCTCGACAAGGGCGCGCTGAATATGCATGAGACGCTTGAGCTGGCCCAGCCTGTGCTGCAGCAAAACCGAAAGCACCTCCTCGAGAAGTGGTTCAAGGAAGGCAAGCTGGACTGCTCTGAGCAGCTCGGTGACATGGTGCGGCCGTACGACCTCAACTTGGCCCTGAGCATCTACCTTCAGGCCAAGGTCCACCACAAGGCTGTTGCTGGCCTTGCCGAGACTGGCCAGTTTGAAAAGATTCTGCCATATGCTGCCCAATCCGGATACCAGCCCGATTATATCCAGCTTCTCCAGCACATCATTCGGACCAACCCCGACAAGGGAACCGAGTTCGCCACTGCTCTCGCCAATCACGAGGGCGGTGCTCTGATTGACCTGGAGCGCGTCTGCGATATCTTCCAGTCTCAGGGCATGGTTCAGCAAGCCACTGCCTTCCTGCTCGATGCTCTCAAGGAGAACAAGCCCGAGCATGCTCGTCTCCAGACTCGCCTTCTGGAGATGAACCTGATGCACGCTCCTCAGGTAGCTGAGGCCATCCTTGGTAACGACATGTTCACGCACTTTGACAAGGGTCGTATTGCGCAGCTGTGCGAACAGGCCGGCTTGGCCCAGAAGGCACTCGAGCTGTATGAAGATCCCGAGGCCATCAAGCGTGTCATTGTCAACATTCCCGGCACCCCCAACTTCAACCCTGAGTGGCTGTCCACCTTCTTTGGCAAGCTCTCTGTTGAGCAGTCTCTGGACTGTCTCGATTCCATGATGAAGCACAACATTCGCCAAAACTTGCAGTCCGTTGTGAACATTGCCACAAAGTACTCGGAGCTCCTCGGTGCTGTGCACCTGATTGATCTCTTTGAAAAGTACAAGACCGCTGAAGGTCTCTTCTATTACCTCGGCAGCATCGTCAACATTTCCGAGGACCCCGATGTCCACTTCAAGTATATCGAGGCTGCCACCAAGATGGGCCAGTTTAATGAGGTGGAGCGCATCTGCCGTGACAGCACTCATTACAACCCTGAGAAGGTGAAGAACTTCTTGAAGGAGGCCAAACTGCCGGAGCAGCTGCCCCTCATCATCGTGTGCGACCGTTTCAACTTTGTGCATGACTTGATTCTGTTCCTCTACCAGAACCAGCAGTTCCAGGCTATCGAAGCCTATGTCCAGCGCGTCAACCCGTCCCGAACTCCGGCCGTCATCGGAGGCTTGCTCGACGTTGACTGCGACGAGAAGATCATCAAGGACCTTCTCGCCACGGTCGATGCCCAGCAGATCAACATTGATCAGCTTGTGTCCGAGGTCGAGTCCCGCAACCGTCTGAAGCTTCTGCTGCCCTTCCTCGAGGCCACCCTCCAGGCCGGTAACCAGCAGCAAGCTGTCTACAACGCTCTGGCCAAGATCTACATTGACTCCAACAACAACCCCGAGAAGTTCCTCAAGGAGAACGACCAATACGACACTCTTGTTGTGGGTAAGTACTGTGAGAAGCGCGACCCTAACTTGGCATACATTGCCTACTCCAAGGGTCAGAACGATCTGGAGCTTGTCAACATCACCAATGAGAACTCCATGTACAGGGCTCAGGCTCGATACCTGCTCGAGCGAGAGGATACCGAGCTCTGGCGCTTTGTCCTGAGCGAAAACAACATCCATAGGCGTTCAGTTGTCGACCAAGTCACCGCAACTGCTGTTCCCGAATCTACCGATCCCGCCAAGGTGTCTGTTGCCGTCTCCTGCTTCTTGGAGAATGACTTGCCCCTGGAGCTCATTGAGCTCTTGGAGAAGATTGTTCTTGAGCCCTCTCCCTTCAGTGACAACCAGAACTTGCAGAACTTGCTCATGTTCACGGCTGCCAAGGCCGACAAGGCCCGTGTGATGGATTATGTTCACAAGTTGGATAACTACAACGCTGACGAAATTGCCACTGCCTGTATCGACGTCGGTCTCTTCGAGGAAGCCTTTGAGATTTACAAGAAGGCTGATAACAAGTCCGCCGCCGTCAACGTTCTCGTTGAGCATGTTGTCAGCATTGACCGCGCTCAAGCATATGCCGAAGATGTTGACCTTCCCGAGGTTTGGAGCAAGGTTGCAAAGGCTCAGTTGGATGGTCTCCGTGTTTCCGATGGTATCGAGTCTTACATCAAGGCCGAGGATCCCTCCAACTACGCCGAGGTGATTGAGATTGCCACACATGCTGGAAAGAACGAGGATCTCGTCAAGTATCTCCGCATGGCTCGCAAGACTCTCCGAGAGCCAGTCATCGATACTGCTCTCGCCTTCTGCTACGCAAGACTTGAGCAGCTCTCTGAGTTGGAGGACTTCTTGCGCGGAACCAACGTCGCCAACATTGAGGAGTCTGGTGACAAGGCTTACGAAGAGGGTCTGTATGAGGCGTCCAAGATCTTCTACAGCAGCATCTCCAACTGGGCCAAGCTTGCCACCACCCTTGTGCACCTCAGCGACTACCAGGCCGCTGTTGAGTGCGCCCGTAAGGCCAACAACATCAAGGTGTGGAAGCAGGTCCACGAAGCTTGCGTCACCAAGAAGGAATTCAGACTTGCCCAGATTTGTGGTCTCAACTTGATCGTCGATGCCGAGCAACTCCAAGAACTTGTCAAGGACTACGAGAACAACGGATACTTTGATGAGCTCATCAGCCTCCTTGAGCAGGGTCTGGGTCTTGAGCGTGCACACATGGGCATGTTCACCGAGCTGGGTATTGCCCTGTCCAAGTATCACCCCGAGCGTCTTATGGAGCACATCAAGATCTTCTGGTCCAGAGTCAACATGCCTAAGATGATCCGAGCGTGCGAGGAGGCTAATCTGTGGCCCGAATTGGTCTTCTGTTACTACCACTATGATGAGTTTGATAACGCTGCTCTCACCGTCATTGAGCGACCCGAGAACTCATGGGATCACCAGCAGTTCAAGGAGATCGTGGTCAAGGTTGCCAACTTGGAGATCTACTACCGCGCCATCCGATTCTACGTTGAGCAGCACCCGTCTCTGCTTACCGATCTCTTGGCTGCTCTTACTGCCCGTGTCGACGTCAACCGCGTTGTCAAGATGTTCCAGAAGAACGACAGTCTGCCACTCATCAAGCCTTTCCTTCTGAACGTGCAAAGCCAGAACAAGCGCATCGTCAACGAGGCAGTCAACGACTTGCTGATTGAAGAGGAGGACTACAAGACCCTGCGTGATTCTGTGCAGAACTACGACAATTATGATGCCATGGAGCTGGCTGGTCGTCTGGAGAAGCACGACCTCATCTTCTTCCGCCAGATTGCCGCCAGCATCTACCGCAAGAACAAGCGCTGGGAAAAGTCCATTGCCTTGTCAAAGCAAGACAAGCTCTACAAGGATGCCATCGAAACCGCTGCCATTTCTGCCAAGAACGACATTGTCGACGACCTTCTCAAATACGTATGTTGTTCCCCAAACTTTTTGTGTTTTACGCGAGTATGACTAACCCCTGGATTTAGTTTGTTGACATTGGTCACCGGGAATGCTACACGGGCATGCTGTATGCCTGCAATGATCTCATTCGACCTGATCTTGTTCTGGAGCTCTCTTGGCGCAACGGCCTGAACGACTTCACCATGCCATACATGATCAACATGTTGGCCCAGCAGACAAAGGAGCTTGCACTGCTCAAGGCTGATAACGAGGCACGGAAGTCTAAGGAAAAGGACCAAGAGAAGACTGAGGATAACACACCTATTCTGGGCGGTGCTCGACTCATGATCACTGCTGGTCCGGGTGGAAGCGCTTCCCCAGCTCCTTATGGCCAACCCAATGGCTTCGCGCCGCAACCTACTGGCTACAACTACTAGATGCGAGTGCCAGTATGGTGCTGGGTCGAAACGCAGCATGTTTTTATCACTTAAAATGTAATGCGTAATCATTTTTTTCCGCTGCGGCACAACCAGCTGCTGCACAGCCTGGTGATATTCGGGCGAGGTATGGAGAGTTGGAAGGACAATATAGGATTGATGATATGTGAGCATTTTTTTACACTCCTTCATCAAGAATAATGATGGTTAGAGATAAAGAAAAAAGGCCATTGTCTGGAGAAGGCGACGGATTTTGGGCTCAGAGTCTCGTAAATCACGGACTCTTCTTTTTTTTGTTTTCACTATTTCCTTTGCAGTTAGAATGGAGGAGAAAAATTCCTTTTAACTTTTGGGGGGGAGTGACGCGGGAATGAAACTTGTGAGGGTGCGAAATGTGTATGATAGGCAATTCATTTTTTGTTACTTTTATTTGTGAAGTTTGTGGTTACCATGACTGTATGACTGATGTGATGGTGCGAGTTTGAGGAGTTGTATACCAGGTCCTTTTTACGAAAACAGGTTGATCTGGAATATATACATATACTAGTAGAGGCACGGATAATAACGAGACATCTTGCCACAATCTTGGCTTAAGTATTCTTATACCTACGAAGAGTCACAGATGACATCCCAGAGCAGTAATTTCAGAATAAGTTATATATAAAATAGTTTCTATTACCCCATGTCCAAGAAGGCTGTTGCTACATACCTACGCCATACCCAAATATTACAAACAGCGAAAAACAAACGGTATTATACCTTCTTGCCGTTGGGCTTAGGATGCGAAATCTTGAGCCACTCTCCGTTGAAGGCGTTGATAAGCCAGTTATTCAGCTCTAAAAGGGGAATCATTAGCCATGCCGGGACATAGTGTTGTGAAAAAGAAGGAAGGGAGGGGGAAACATACTATCGTATACAATGCGATTTGCGCCATGGAAATAAATGCCATGGTCGCTGTCAGGGAAAACATGCACGTCGTAGTTTTCCACGCCGGCCAAGTCCAGGTTATCCAGGAGCGTGAGCGAATTCTGAAAGTGCACGTTGTCATCTGCGACGCCGTGCATGAGCAGGAAGCGCTTGTTCTCGCCAAGGGCCGTGGCGTTGGATATCTTGGAGAGGGAGTAGCCCTCGTCGTTGTCCTGGGGCGTGCGCATGTACCGCTCCGTGTAGATGCTGTCGTAGAAGCGCCAGTCGGTGACGGGGGCCACGGCCATGCCGTAGGAGAATGTTCGGCCGGCGTCTTGCTCGAGCGTCTTCAGCGTGGTGAAACCGCCATATGACCAGCCCCAGATGGCGAGGCGCGTCTCGTCGACGTAGTCGAGGGAGGCAAAGTGGCGAGCGGCCGCGATGTGGTCTTGTGCCTCGAGGAGACCGAGCTTAGAGCGGACTGGCACTCGGTGTTTGCGGCCAAGGTAGCCCGTGCCTCTGGGGTCTACGGTGATGACCAGGTAGCTAAGGTTGGAGGCAACGTAGGACTGAAAATCAACGGCAAACGCCTTGGTGACCTGCTGAGAGCCGGGTCCAGAATACTGCTGGAAGAGAACGGGGTACTTCTTCTTGGGGTCAAAGTGCGCCGGACGACGCTCAAGGTAGTTGACGGTTACTCCATCACCGAGATCAATTGTCCCATATTTCAGAACAGGGAGCTCGTGTCTCTTGGCACGATCGGCGAGCTCGGCGTTGTCTTCGACAACAACGTCGTAGGAGATGCTGTTGGAGGGGGTGGACACGACTCTCTGGTGTGGAATCTTGGGTCCCCGGTACGAGAGCACAGCGAATCCGGAACCCGAAGAAAAGGAGGCCTGGTAGTAGGCCTCGGCGGAAATGTTTGTGAAGGGCTGCAAATCAGAGCCGTCAAGCTTCACAGAGTACACGTGGCGCTGGATAGAAGACTCTTTGGTCGCTACAAAGTATACAAGGTTGTTGACTAGGTCAACCGCCGAAGGGGCTTCATCTACCTCCCACTCGCCGGAGGTGAGCATGATGGGCTCGGAGTTGTTGAGCGGCGTAAAGTATCCAATATGTTCATAGCCATCATAGATGACGGTATCCACATACCCATCCTCTGGTCGGCCATTCTCGGGGTCTGCGGGGACATAGGTCATGGAGTGAGAGATCTCGAACCAGCCGCCGTCAATCTCGCCGACATCAATGCTATTGACTGTCTTGCCATGGCGCTCACCGACGTCGATGAGAATCACTTTGAGGATGTCACTGATGCGATTGGTTTGCTTGACAAGAACCTTGCCGCCTGCCCAGATGAGACTGTTGATGATGCGATCATCATCGGGAAACTCGTCACCAGTGGTGACCGAGAACACATCGCCTTTGGAAACATCGTAAAACTGGAGGTCTACAACAGGGTTGTGCGCACCGGCCTTGGGATACTTGATTTGCTGCACCTCGGGGTAGGATTCTTCGCCACTGGGAGGGGCGTGGCCGCTGGGGCGCGAGATGAAGAACTGCACAGGATACTCGGGAACTCCAGTTTCGTTGGTTCGAAGGAAGGCCAGATACTTTCCATCTTCAGACCACCAAGTGGCACTGTTTCCACCGAATACCTCCTCTTCATACACCCAATCGGGGATGCCATAGAAGTACTCTGGGCCGCCATCCTCTGTGATCTGGACAATGTCCCCGTCGCCGGTGAGACGGCGGATGTAGAGATTGTTCTCCCTGGTAAAGGAGATGGAGTCGCTCCTGGGGCTCCAGCCTGCAAGCTGAACTCGAGCTCGCGCATCCAATGGCACCAGAGGCTCCGCCGTCTGCGTCTCCACGTCGAAGATGAAATAGATGGCTGTAAAGGAATGTCTCCAAACGGACTCTTGAGATACGCCAATCAAGACCCTTTTCTGGTCCGGACTAGGCTGAAGCCATTGGGGGGTATAGGTCTGGCCAGCATATTCAAAATTGGCGTCCTTCATGAGGGTGCGAGACTTGGCCAGCTGAGTATCCGCATCGTCTGCCGCAGCAGTTGCAGTTTCGTTTCCAACGGCTGACCGAACATCCTGGACGACGAGATAATCCTTGCCCGGGACTCCGCGCTCGAGTAGCAGGCCGTCCTCGCCATCAGGACCTGCAATCCAGCTGATGGACTTGTGCTTGGCCGACCAGTAGCGATCGTAGAGCTGTTCCAAGGTCACAGGCTTGCCGGAGCCACGAGAGTCGGCGTCTGGGTCGTGCTCCACATCGCTGGCGTGTTTGTACGATCCCGTAGAGACGAAGACGACGAGCGATGCTATCCAGGCAGCAGCGAAGACAACGGCGCCGATCAAGAGGATGCGACGCAGTTTTCTGTCCATTGGCCGGCGTTGCAGGGCGGCGCCGGTTGAGCCCAGGAAGGCCTCGGTCTCGGCGTCGTCGTCGGCTTCGTCCTTGAGGGGATCCTCAGTGTACACGTCGGTGTATCCAAGCCTGGCGCGGGCCTTTCGCGGCACTTTCCCCTTCTCCATCTCCTCTTGTATTCGGTCGAAGACGATGCTAGTCGTCGACACGGACGACAGCGAGTCTGCCGACGGGGATCTCTCGGGCGCCATGGCTGGCGACGCCGCACGCAGGGGCTGCGGTCCAAGGGGGATTTGCTTGTGTGTTGTCGTCTCAGTCAAATTGAATAACGCCTCGCACCATCGTCCACCGGCGAATAACGATCGGCGATCCGAGATCGAGATGCAGCGCGCTCTGCAAGGTGGCGACGAGAGAAAAAGACGGTCAATTGCCGGTGTTGGTGCAATGCTATGCAGAACCTTGGAAGGTTATTGATGCCTGTGTTTGGGAGTAAGCAAGTGCTGGAGCTATCTGATTAGGTGATGTTGGCAAGGCGACAAACAGGTGTACCTACATACATGTACTCATACAGTAAGCTACAGGTGCCCGATTAGGCTTGGCGAGCCTCACCGCGCATAATCGCCCCCGATTCTGCCAGTATCAGGTGCCGACCTTAGTAGTGTACAGGCATATAATCCAGACTGAGCTGTTATACATACAGGTCGTCAATCTGACAATACCGAGATGAAAACGCATTGCCAAATCAGCATCAGCACAAAACAAGGCGTCAACTTCGCCATGGCCAGCCGCGAGCTGCTATTTGCCTGCCTTAAGTGGGCTCCGCACTGGTTGATCGCCCAAAGTGGAGTCGCTTGGCTCCGGCTTATACGAGGACGCCCTCTGGGCTGTAAGAGTCCTCCATTGACGTTAAAGACGCCTAACTCTGTGTTGGCCGCGGAGCATGCAAGGTACACTGGGTGTTAAAGTAGGGCTGTTTTAATTAATTCACTTGTTGCGAGAGGAGTGTAAAGAGAAGATGCAATGAATACAGGTAGGTAGTAGGCAGTAGCTACAAAGGACATGAAGCATGAGGCAGAGAGCTAAGGTATAACAACATGAAAACAACGCAGTAAAACAACATGAACCTATCAAATCTCATGGCATCGTGGCCCAATCACTCAGCTTCCCCAGAAACGCTATAGATAGAAGCATCGACACTGGCCACCCACCATCTTCGGCTGCCGCAGCCTTCTCGTGTCTCATAACTCACAACTCACAACTCACAACTAAACCCCAGATGGGCGTGATTTGTCCGCTCCCAGCCTCTCCTGGTGCCGGATTCTCCCCGTCCCAGTTACTGCGTTGCTCCCTGCAGCTGAGGGGGGACGTGGACGCTCGAGTCGGCAATCTTGACCACCCGGCACGCTGTTCCATACGCCGCCGTCTGCGCAAAGCCGCCCATATCACCGGCATCGAACCTCAGACAGATGATGGCATTGCCTCCCCGCTTCTTACACTCCTCCACCACTCTGCTGATGGAGTCGTTGCGGCACGAGTACAGCATCGAGGTGAACCAGCGAAGCTCTCCGCCGGCCATGCTCTTCAGCACCATGCCCAGGCTGGCGCCGATGTTGCGCGACCGCACTGTGATGCCGTAGACGGTGCCGAGCACTTGCTCGATGCGATAGCCAGGAAGATCCATCATAGCTAGATTATGCCATTAGCCATCTCTTGTATCTCTTTTCTGGTAGGTAACAGGGCTTGCGCATCACATCGCTAGCTTACTGGTTGTCACCACACCCTCGGTTTCTGTAAAGCAGTGCAGGTCAGTGAGATGGTCGGGAATCTCCGCAGTCTCCTGCTGCTTATGCTCTTTATCTCTTCCAAAGACCATGATGATGGTATTTATTGTGTTTATGAAGTTTGAGACGCTGCGGTAGTATAGTATCAAGTATATGAAGTCTGCTCAAGGCATCCGAGGCTTATTATTGAATACCTGATCTGCTCGTCTTATAGGTGAATCCCAGCTCTATTTATACCTCTTCGCGGAAACTCTAGACTAGGCCGACATCATCGCCATTTCTACCATCATCAGCATCTCCCATCACTGACCATCTCACAAATCCCCTCATTGATGATGGCATGGCTTGGGGCAAAATGCCTCTAAAGCTGCCGGTTCGCTCCATAGAGCCCAATCCGTGCAATTCCAGCCGTAGCGCCACCGCCTAGAGCGATCCTGCTGCAGGGGGCACAGCAACCAGCCGCCGTATTGCTCGCATTTGGGTGTGTTGAACAGCCAGCCTAGCCGCAAGAGCTGTTGAGAGAGTTTTTTTTCGTTCAAGGTTCTTGATTTCACTCAAGAGTCACATGTGCGATGTCGTAGCCATCATCTTATTGTATTACCTTCTTATGCGCAAATCGCCTGATCCTGCCCTGCTTCCTGAGGAGTACCTCGTCTCCGCGGTGCCCAACGTGTAAGATACAAGTACACCGCTAGACAATGTAGCATTCAAGGCACCACCCACTTATAGCTTCACAGGGAATGGATGTCATCATTGTATCAAAGGTCGAGAGTCATGTTGCATATAGGTAGCAGCCTGGGAGACGGGTACTAACCCAAGGGAGACCCATCAGGCCAAACACATTCACGGTCATCCGTACCTGACAGATTACGGGGTACCGCCTTCGGGACATTTAATACTCGGGCGGGTACTTTAGAAGGAAAATTCTCCTTGAGACGCACCCAGCACAGCGGTTTGCTATTAGCAGGAGGCACCTTCAATAGTATTCCTGATTCTCTCAAGGTGCTGGAGCTATTAGAGGTACGCAGGTACGTACATCCACAGGTACCAATTTCAGCGCCTGAGGTACTAATTTTGGTCAGCACAGTTCAACCGCCAACTTCCTACCTTCCATGCGACACGAAACAAAGAAACCTAGAAGAAACATCAATCACCATCGGCCGCTTCATTCGCCCGAAGCCTCGCCTGGCGCAGTCGCACTCAGAGGCGCATTGCCTCTCGTCTCTCCTCTCGGCAGCTCTTACACCTCGATTGAGGCGCAGCAGATGCTGCATGCACCAATCCCTGCGAAATGATACGTGGCTGGCCTGGGACGCCACAGGCGCCAAACCCACCACCCGACTAAGCCACCAGCCTTTTCCAAGACTCTTTACCAAGTTGCCAAGTGACCAGCCAAAGGGGGTTTGTTTCGTCCAATAGGATTGGGTAGTTTCAGACTGGTAGAGCAACTCAGAGGATAACCACCTGTCCCTTGTTTGGAGACGAGGTACGTATGGACACCTTGGAAGATGCGAGACTCTTATAGAATTGCTGTGAAAGCTGTTGCTGTAACAGCTTCGCCGGTGGGATGCCTGGTGGCCTCAGAGACCGAGTCAGTTGCCAAATTCTGGACCCGAGCAGCTTTTGTATAATAGTCATGACTTTTCACTGCAACACAGACTTCGGCAGTATAGACTATAAAGAACTAATGCTAATGGCGGAACTGCCCTTATAGTCTGGCCCCCAACTCTTGTTCTCGTCCACAACTCATGCTATACCATTTTAGATTCACCGACGAGCTATTACAATACAGCAATGACGCTATTCATCGACAAGAAGACCCAATTTCGACTCGACAACCATTACAAATGGCCTTTTAGGCATCGAAATTTTCCCAAGTGTTGCATCCGTCTTCCTCCCGCCTGTTGGTGAGAGCCAGCTAACTCAGTTTGGAGAAACCGTTGGCCAAGCACGGAACAAAAGAACAAAAGAACTCGGCATCAATCCTTGACCAGCTGAGAAGGAAGAGATCCTTTGATCCGCTTCCCATCATAGGAAGTTTCTATAAACAGAGGTTTTCTGTCTCAACCCGGCACCTACTTCGGGTCGTCGCTCTCAGCTTCTTCGGCTTGGACCACGGGACCCCCCGGATCCCGCCCCCCCGACCCCGGGCTCTCCACTCCCGTTATGATCCGTCGATTTTCGCCAACTTCTAAACCGACAACAACTACTTCAAACTATCAAATATCATGGGGGAATGGGCATAGAAGACAGGGTTGATGCGCACCGTCTGAAATAGTTTCGGTTGCGGCCCGACAAATTACCTTACCTTGACAGCAAATCGAGTCATGGCAGTCCATACAAGCACGAGGCATTTACAACTTTCGGCCGCGCCGATGCCAATTCCTTCTGCTCATGCCCCCTAAAACGTTCTATTCTCTGTCAATATGCATAGCCAGGCCGTACTTGACACCTCTTAGATGCGGGAAGGAGTTTGTTTCCGTGAAGCTAAGAGTCTTGGGGATGCCTTCATCACTTTTTTTGCTCACGTCACCAACGCCACCCGACCACGGTATGTGCTGTTTCGGTGCACACTGCTAATTACTTGTGTCGGCTAACAGATCTCTTGCCCGGTCGAATGCAAGGAGCCCACTCGTCCTCGAACCGCCGGTGGCGACCGAGCTGCAGCTCACAGCCTTGTGATGAGACTCGCGCATGCAAGGTCGAAAAGTGGACAGTTGAAACTGAAATTTGATACGCGCACCTTGCGGTGCCACCCCTTCAGCTTCGTGATTGCGCCGCAAGCATCTGTGGGCATTACTGCATGCCAGCGCACTTACACTGGTTGATGGAGATGGTACTCCGGACCTGGTTCAGCATTGAGCATCACCTTTCCGAAGAACACCTCCCAAGGCGTTTTACCGGTTTTTTTTTTTTTTTTTTTTTTACTTCTCCCCACCGCCGTTCTGGCTGTGCATCAGCTTCATCTATCTTACAGCGGTGGCTAAGCATCCAGCGAGCAACATAACAAGATGGAAGACGTGGCAACCCATCAACAACCATTCCCTCGGGCGCCTCAGGCCCGGCAAACCTCTCTCCCCTGCCTGCAGAGTACCGGGCGGGCAATCATACGCGATACACACCCCGCCATGCCATGCGGGAAAAAGGCGACAAGGCAACCCACCAAAGTCAAAAGTGCTTGGTAGGCGGTCTGTGCATCCTGCATCGCAGAACACGCCCAGGGGCGCTCTCTCCAAGGAATTATGTAGGGAAAATTGGCTCAAGTTAAGTGTCGGCGCCCCTAATTGCGCCTATGGAGGGGCGGGTGCGCCGTATGGTTGATTGGGCTCAGCCATTCAGAGCGGAGGACCCAGTTAGCTGCGGAACCACGCAGAGCAGAGCCGCATGCGATATTGGACTGACAGCAATTATACTGTTCATCGGGCCTGCCGCTGCTGTTGGCATTTTTTGTTTCGTCGCAATCCGGTGGAAACACTTAGATTGCATCAATGGCCATCGTCAGAGGGAACCTGCATTGTGCCCTGACATTCACTCGTCCATGTCACCTCGCAGAGCCTCCTGGTGGAGATGATGTTTCTGGTGGGCGAGTATGGGGACCTTGAGGACTGATGCAGGTGCTATGGAGAGGAAAGAGAATAAGGCGTCACTCGCATTGGCTCACCGAATCAACAGTGTGGTGGTCGAGTGATGCCCAGTTTTGCCTAACATAGCAGGACGAGGCTCTGTCCGGCAGCATGGGTTTGTGTGTCCCTGTCCACACGCCCTCGACGCCTTTTACTCAGCAACACTCACTCTCCAACAAAATTTCATTAGAAAAAGCTCTGCCCGTTCGTTTGTCCTTCTCTCTTCTTTTCTCCCATCCCTGATTAATAAAGGCCACATCCAAAGCTTTGGCTCGCCATGGCCTTCCAAGAGCCTTTTGACCAAGACATGGTTGCTGATCCACAATCGCAACTGCTCACTTCTTTTACTGGAGGGAACAACATGCTTGAGGCGACCAAGAATGACACTTCCTATAGGTAAGCACTGACTAGCTGGTGGCAATTTAATATTGTCGGTATGCATCCTATTCTTGCCACAGCTAACTCAGTCTTGAACAAAGGTCTTTCGCAGCTGAGGCCGATGGCACCCATAAATACCATGCATCATCCGGCAGCACGAGCTCATCCGAAGCCATTAGATCAGATTTTCAAAATGCTTTTCATCTGAGCAGCGATGTGCGCAGCCCGCAGACTGCATTTGACTCCTCTTTTCTTGTTGTTCCTAGCCGAGTTGACACTTCTTCTGATTGGCCTCAACAGCAGCCCTGTGCAGCCAATAACGATGGCCTGGTTTTCAGCTCCTCTGGTCAAGGATCCAGCCTCGGCCGCAGTCATCGGCCGCCGCTTGGAATAGAAACAGACAGGCTGGTACACTATGGCCCCCCGCAAGGTCATAAACACACGGTTCAAGAACTTCGGCGTGATTTCTCGAATCCTGAAAAGAAACATGCATCTTTCTATCCAGGAAGTTTACTTCCAGAGCCGTTCCCCCCGTTGAGACCATCGCCGCCCTTTGTAGTCGATGGTTTGTCAAGCATCCCAGTCACGCAGGCCCCCTTCCCTCCAGGGCAGCTACATGCCGTTAGCCAACCCAGTCCAAGCGTTTACTCCAGCCATTCCTCCCAGGATGGCACTCTCTCAGTCAATGTTTCCAATCCTAGAGAGGGGAAGGATGTGTTTTCTGATATACCCATGCCGAACAATCCAGACTATGCTCAGGATGCCTATTTCAAAACCCCAACCCACTTGATACATGATGCCAAGTCTCGGCCGGATATCCAGGCCATTGGAAGTGCTGCATTCTCCTCTCAACCTGGTAGTTGGCCATTATCGCCAAGTGTCGAGCCAAGCACGAGTTATACCTCATCAGAGGCTAATTCCAGCACTCCCTCTCAAAGCAAAAAAAGAGGCAAACGCCCTCGGGCTGCAAGTATGACGCGACCCCGCCGTCTCTCTCTCTCGGATTCTTATTTCCCTCCCTCTGGAAGCTTTGGATCCCATTTCCAGGATCGGCCTCGAAGTACTGGATTCTCCCGGAGACGTCTTTCAGCCGGACAAGTTCCTCTACTTCCCAGGCCTCGCCCACCTGGGGTGGCTGATAAAGGTGGTATGAGTATGTCGAATTCAAAACCAATGCCAAAGAAACCTCGTGGGAAACGCATCGGACCTTTGCATGAGGACAGACGGCAGCTCGCAACCAAAAGGAGGAACGAGCGGACCGTATGCATTGGCTGTAAAATGGCCAAAGTCATGGTAAGTCTTGAACTAAGTGAAAGCCTCGGAGCCATCTCTGAACCATGGCCCCCGTTGTTCTCTCTACATACACACCCACATGCCTGCCTACCCATCTATTATACAGAGTGTATAACTAACACGCTTCCTTGCCAGTGTGACGGTCGAGAAGACGGTCGGGACTGCTCGCGGTGCGCCAGTAGCCATAGTAATGCTCCCAAGCCATTTGTGTGTGCGCCTGCAAGCTTCTTTGAACTTGTTCAACAGGGTAGCACCGCCCTACTTGGTAAGAGGCATCCTACGCGAAAACATGTATCTAGCGACCTTTAGCTTTTTGCTAACGTGCCCTAATAACAGCCCTCCACATACTATATCCTTCCGCCTTCGCCGGCTACCGCCAACCGATTGAGCTACCTTCGGAGATCAATATAAGACGTATACTCCGCTGCATTGGCGATTTGCAGAGAAGTTACGACGCTATCCGTGTATACGGAAGGAAAGGACTGCTTTACGAGCTTGACCTCCATGCCTGTTGGGTATACATCAACTCCACCTGTTCTCCAGTAGTGCATCCTTTTCGGCAATTCATCAATGGACTCAAGGTCCAAAGGCAAGACACGTGGAAATCATGCATCAGAGATGGTCACAGTCAACCATTAAATGAGGAAAATCTGTGTGATACGCTCCTCGCGTTGGATGACATGGCTCCTTGGGTTACGTACACCCTAAGACCCAAACATAGTGACTCCTTTGGGAGGACAAACGATGAACTCCAGACAGCACTTTTTCCAGACCATCCATCCAATAGGGAAGTCATCATCATGGCTGCCCAGCTGTCTCGAATTATAGGACGCAAATTGGAGCTCCACTTCTACGACCATCTTAAAAAGGCCCTTGCCAATCCTAGCATCTGCCGTGAACTAGTTCTCGACGTCGGTCGCACGCTGATGTCTCTCCGCCGCCGCCTAACCCAGTGGACATACTATTGGGCAAATGTATCCTTCCATACGACACCTGAGCATGAATCGCATGTTAACGAAGAAGCCAAGGGTGACGATCTGGCTAGTGACTCTATGAATCGCCTTAAGCAACTTTGCCAGGTTCTCTATGTTTATTTTTGCTATATGAGACGGCGACTATCCCCCAGTGAGCACGAAGGCATGCTGACTATGATGGTGCTGTATCCTGACAGTGTGGAAGAAGTGGAGGAGAGCTTTCCGCAATACGAAAGTCTCGATGGATTCGAAGAGTGGCTTCTTTTTAAAGATCAGCCGGTTGCGGAGACGAATATGGACGATCAGATGTGATAATTGCGGTTACAGAGCTGATATGACTTTGAATTGGCTTGAAGGTTTATGTGTGTTTTTTTTTTTTTTTTTTTTTTTTTTGTTTTTCTTTATCTCTTTTTGTTTACTTCAAGTTGATGAAGCCTTATTGGGTGAAATTACGAAGTGATGAGACTTTTTGAATTAATGTGGGGGATGAACGACACATGAATCTACTGAGCCTATGGATGGATGCCTTAAAGAATGACAGATATGGATGACGATTGGAGCAGGCATGACGATATGACATTTCTTAGTTATCATTTTGACAAAAAAAAATTGTTGTTGTTTTTTTACATTGGCTCACTCTCTCTTTCTTGTTTCACGAAAATCACATGGATCAGGGCTAGCCATGTTGGCATGTTTATCTTTTATACCCTCGGGCTGGATGTATTAACCACAATCACAGGTTATGCAGGTCCTGATTCAAAAAGCATTCAAACCCCTCATCCTACCTTCTGCCCTCCTCCCAAATCTCTTTACTCTACTCGCATCCCACGAATCCAACTGCACCGCACTTCTCTTTGAAGACGCAGACGATGGCGCTGGATGGCCTGCCGTAATGTTTCCGCACTTTGGCCTCTTGAGCTGGTTCCCAAAGGTATCCACCGCCCACAGCAAGACGCCGTTGGTCCAGCCAAAGCCCTCGACAACCTCGTACTCGCCCCCTCCGCCAGCGGCATTGGTCGAGTTGTCGTCGTACTTTTCAAACATGATGCCGACGTCCTGGTCCGTCAGGCCCTGCAGCTTGGGCGTCTCGGACGTGGAGCCGCCCGTGGCTAGCCATGTGCAAAAGGTGAAGTCGAGGTACCGCTGGCCGAGCTGCAGGGCAAGCTTCTTGACGTCTTGGTATGCGGGATCGCGCGCGGTGAAGGTTGCGGGGACGTTGTTGAGGCTTTCCATGAGGATGTGCATGTGTGGCGGCCAGACGTTGGGCTGGTCCCATTGCTGGCCTGTGTTGACGTTGCTGGCGGGAATGCCGCCTGGCCGAGTGTCAAGATAGTTTGACACACGGTCGAAGATGCGTGTTACTGCGTATGGGTTGTTCTTGAGATAGTCTGGGGCGGCGCCCGTCCACAGGGGGTAGAACTGCCCAACGTGGAATAGGACCTGTTGGCCGGGAGGAGCCGTACGTTTGTCGATGGCGAGGGAGTCTTTGTCCACGGGAACGTAGATGTTTTGGGATGAAGAGGTGAGGTTGTAGTCAAAGTAGCTAAAGAGGGTTTCGTTCCAGAAGACGGCCTGGATGGAAGCGCTGCGGTTTGCGGCGAGGGCGCTCCAGGTGCGGGCGGCTGTTCTGTTTCCGGTTTGGCTGTAGAAGCGCGAGATGGCCAGCTCGTTGCCGTAGAGGATGGAGTTGAGATCGACGGGGACGATTTCTTTGTTGTTCAGAGACCGAAGCGGGAAATAGACGTCTCTCATTGCGTCGGATGGGTTGGCTAACCAGCGGGAACTGTAGTCGTGGCCGCTCTCCGCACCGGAAGCAAGATTCGCGTATAACTCTTCCATCTGGGAGGTGTTGAGATGCTTCGTTTCGGGATAGATGATGCCCGAGGCAGCGTAGTAGGAGCGGTTGTTGGCAGTGACATAGTCTTCGAGAAAGGACTCTGGCCGCGGCTGAGTATTCTGTACGGCGTACTGCTGTAGAGTATACGTCTTGTTGCCGATATCGACATTAACCGTCCTGTTCGTCGTCCAGAATTCGTGCTCTTTCACTAAGAGTGGCAGAGCTCTCTTCAAAATACTCGTGTCATTCGTATGCTCGATGTAAATCCTCACCATCCGCGACAACAGCGGCGGCTGCGACCGATTCAAGTAATACAGCCTCGCCCCATTCGGCACAAACCCAAACCTCTCGACGAAATCACAAAAGTTCTCAATCGTATTCTTCGCAATCCCGACAAACGCCCCTCCCGTACGCAACAAGCCCTCGATGATCCAATACGAGTCCCAATAATACGGCTCGCGAAAGCGCCCCCCCGCAACGACAAACGTGCGGTTCACGGGGATGAAGCTGTTGGGACACGCGGAGCAGTTTGCCACGGCGCTGCTGCCGGAGTAGCGACGCGTGAGGTCGGGCCATATGGCGATGACCTTTGAGACGAACTGCTTGATGACGGTGTCGTTGATTTTGGAGAGGAAGACCGGGTTTGTGGTGAGGCTGGAGCGGGGGACTTCGACGAGCTCGCCGCCGGCGTCGGCGAAGTAGGTTGATAGGAAGGTCTGGAGGGAGGAGTCGTTTGTGAGGGGCTTTTTGAGCATGTTGAAGGCGGCTTGGATTTCGGAGAGGGGTCTCTTTGCTGGCCTGATGTCGAGTTTGTGAGTTTTTTTTTTTTTTTTACAATGTTCTTGTTCTTCAGATGGCATTGGCTTACATGTCTACAAAAGTCTTGGAGTCGGAAAAGGGATGGGCCAGCTCGACTTCGCGGAGGATGTCTCCATGGCAGTAGATGGGTGAGTCGCAGGGGGCGATGACGGAGCCATTGGTGTAGAGGGCGTTGACCACATCCACTTGTATGGCGAGAGGTATCGCCAGAAGGGCAGTTACGAGGGATTGCAGTGAAGGCATTCTGAAGTTATGGCCAACAGCCTCAAAGGCATATCAGGGAGTCGACACAAACGGCGGACGCCTTGGCTAGAGGGGATGGCGAGGGGGATATTTATAAGATGCTGGAATTCTTTACAGGTCATAACTGAGCAGGTTGGTTACATCGATTTACGCAGAGCAAAGTACATGACTCTTGGCATCATCATGGCCCAATCCAAGTCTTTGGTCCACCCCTCCAAGTTAGCAGTTGATTGTTGGAGGGGGAACTATTGTGTGCCTGGGGTGTGGTGGCTTGGTATGTCGTATGAGGCTTTTGGAGCTGTCATTGGGGCAAATGATTGTGCCAAGATGAGGTTCATGAAGCATGTTGACGACTGAATATAGAATGGACAATCTCTTTGGTTAATTATGTATCTTATATATGGAGATTCAAGCTGTTGACCTGGATTTCCGCTCTGAAACCAAATTTACCTATTGGATCTCGGTCAATAAGTATCATGAAGTACACGAAACATCCAGATGCCAATTCGAATCCCCCACGGCGCTTCCCCACAGCATCTCCAATGCCTCTAGGACTAGCTCAGCCCCCGCACTGCACTATTCCATGCACCTATTCTTAATCCGATGATGCTTATTCCAGAAGCTGATGCAGGATGCAGGATATGTACAGCAAGTACGTGTACGAGATGAGACATGGTATTGTTAATTCCCCCATGTTTCATCAAGTCACCTCCCAAGCATCTCCTCAATTCATTCACCTTCCTCCAATACAAAACTGAATAAACAAGAGAACCACTATTCACTGTCCAGCATCCAACATCCCACCTCCGTGTCTTCTACCATGCTTCCATCGAACACCGCATGACGTCAAAACCCGCCAGCAAACCATCACCCACCGAAAATCCCCAAAAAGTGGCGGCCAACATTGTCATCCGACACTTTCCGTTGGTCCCCCAAGAAATCCCAGCACGGCAAATCCCTTGGGAACGGGCAAAGTCAATCGCTCACCGGGTTGAACAGCCTTCGGAGCATCCGTCTTGGGGTAAACGGGCCGTTGGGGTTCTTGGGCTAGAGGCTAGAGTTGGCCGAAACAAGAATGAGATTTGGAAGAGCCGGTGGTCGTGGCTTGGGGATCTGATGATCGGTGGCAATTGGGTGACATGCGGCGTGTAATTGACCGAAGTTATTAGCTGAGGGCTTACGTTGCTTCACAGTATCAATGAATATCAGGCCCTTGTATACGCGCTTGCATAAACTCGCCTATACCATCATATCGCTCATAGTGTATAGGTATGTGTGTATTTATGTACTCATGAGAACAATAGCAGTAGTGTATACAAGACAACTCATCTACTTCAGAGACTCGCATCTCGTCTCCATCTAAGCAAACACCTTCTTAAACACCCTCTCCAACCGCTGGAGAACCTCATCACCGTTCTGCGCAATCTGATAGTGCGTCACCAGCCGTCCACCGCTCACAGCCAATCCCTCCTCCTTGCTCAGCTCCGTAAATCTCTCCAAGCTGCAGCCAGCCGCGTCAATGTCCACCCAGGCCATGTTTGTCTGAACCGGGTGCACCAGCTTGCCTCCCATGCTCGTCCACAGCGCCTCGACCTTCTTGGCCATCTCGTGGGACTGCTTCAGCAAGCCGTCGCTGCCATCGGGCTTGGTTCCGAATGTCTCGTCCACAGCCACTCTGGCCACGGCCGTGATGAAGCCCGGCTGCCTCATGCCACCGCCAATCGCCTTGCGCGTCCATCGAGCATGATCAAGTGTCTTCTTCTCTCCAACAATGATGCTGCCGACAGGAGCTCCCAGGCCCTTGGAGAAGCACAAGCTCACGGTGTCAAACTGCGCGCAAAACTCATCCAGGGAGCCCGCGCCGGAAACCACGGCCTCCCAGAGACGGGCGCCGTCGCAGTGTATCTTAATACCGTTTTCGCGGGCAAACTGGGAGATGCGCTTGACCTCGCTCAGGGGCATGACCATGCCGTTGAGGGTGTTTTCGAGGCTGATGACGCGGGTGGGACAGTCGTGGACGTTGTCGCTGATGATGGCGTGGGCCTTGATATCCTCGAGAGTGAGGTAGAGGCCGTTCTTAGGGACAACAGGCTTGACAGTGGCGCCGGTCAGGGAAGAGACGCTATGAATATAAATGTCAATGTCAAATACAAATGAAATGAAAAATGAAAAATGAAGAGCACCAACCCTCCAGCCTCGTATAGAATAATGTGAGAGCGATGGTCTGCCAGGACACCGTAAGGAGGCTGGACCAAGAGGCTTCGCAGGGCCACCTGGTTGCCCATTGTGCCCGACAGAACAAACAGACCAGCCTCCTTGCCCGCCAGCTTGGCCACATGAGCCTCAAGATCCTGCGTAGTGGGATCCTCTCCAAAGACGTCGTCTCTGAGGGTGCACCTGGAGATGGCCGCCAGCATGGACGGCGTGGGGACCGTCATGACATCGCCTATAAGTGAAGGATGGTCAGCAGACTGATCTTGATGATCCATTGGAAAGGCAATGCTTCAGCTCTCACTGCGCAGGTCGAGCGATCCAGCGCCCTTGACGCCCACCCAGGCATTTGTTCCCTCTGGACCTCCCATGGCTGCGGCTGCACTGTTTCTGATGAGGCTGGTGGAAAGATGGCGTCTCAGGAACGGCGACTGGCGTGCCAAGATGTGCTGCGTGTGTTTATATACAACAGCTCGTGAGCTTGACGCCGAGGCGAGATGCAGAGAAAAGAGCGTGCCCCTCATTGATATGTCGTGGTGTTAATATAGACGGAAATCAAGGGCCACTATGGAGGGGTTCGAGGGGCAGTTTGTGGAGGGGCTAAACAATGAGCCGCGCCGCGCCGGCTCCGGGGGGCCGGACATGTCGTTGCGCCCTCCGTGGAATTAGAAGACGCCCTTTGGTTGAGTTGAGTTGATGACGAATAGTCTGACTATCGCTATTGTTTGTTGTTTGTTGTGAGTATGTATAATCACCAGTACTGTGGTGTGCTCAATTGTTGACAACTACCTAATAGAGTGTTGCTGTGTTGACTTGCAACAATTATGTAAAGTCGCCTCTTCATCTGGCGGCTAATAAAACCGTGATGGTAGGTTCCAGGTTGGATACAGTGAGCTTATAGCCAATGCTTCACAATCTCACAATTGCATGTCAGTTAAGTGGATGTGAGACAGAAGTAATAGTGAGAGCTTAGCTAGGTAAATGTATCTAGTCGCTATCTGCAATTGATGCTGTGTTGCCACTCTATTCAACCCACCTCAACAATAGTCTCCTCCCCTATGCAGCATCATCCGCACTGTTTCATAGTCTGATTTCTACCAACAGCACAAACGCCAACCTTTTCCCTTACAGGTTACAACATCAATTCCATCTTCACAGCTACAGGGTAGCCGACCTATGTAAAATGCTGGCTATAGGGTAATATAAGGGCACCTCGTAATAAAAAAACACCTACCCAAATTCACCCCCTGCAAAGCCGCTCGCTAAGCAATTTCTTCAGCGCCGTGTCGCACCGCAGCCAAGCCAAGGGAGAAGGGAGAAGGCTCCTTGGCATCAACTCCCCTTTTCCAGCGCATCAACCTCCTTATAAAACCCTCGGGTGCCCAGTAAAACCAACTCGACCAAAACCCTCCTTCTCCTTCCATCTCCTCCATCTCTTCCATCTCTACCACCTCTATCATCTCCCAATTACACACACATTCACACTCCCTCACCCCCTTCCAGCGCCACAATGAATCTGACGCTACTAATACAGCTCAAAACTTCCGCTTGCGGGTACCAGAACCGGTAATCAAGTCACTAAACCAGGCACCATGGGGGGGGCCATTTGCTGACGGCCAGCTCCGTTTGTGTCGTAGCTTTGCTCGTATCACTCGTGCGAATCATGGACTAGAAGCGCAGAGGTGCATCAGAAAAAAAGAGAGGGACCCTTGCTTTAGCCGGGATTCGACAAAACCGTGACGGGAACTGGTACGATGCCGGGAATCTAGCCCTTTGTCTCTACGCGTCGATCCCCGTGCGTGGCTTTTTCCCCGTCGCCTCGCCTCGCATTCGTCTTTCTCAGCAACCAAACACTTCTCTTCTCCAGCATGAGATGAGATAGACACCGCAAATGGCCTCCCGGGTTTCTCTCGTCTTCGTCGCCGGGCTGCTCAGCCTGTCCTTGTGGCTGCTCGGCCAGCCTCTCCTGGCCTCGCACCCCGAGCGACGCCGCATCTCCAACCTCGATCTCGTGCTCGGCGAGGAGCTGCCGACGCACCTCAACTTCTCATCGGAAGCGCGCCAGTTTTACGCCTCGGACCAGGCGCGGGCCTTTTGCGATGCCCACGGCTACACCGTCTTTGCGCCGCGGTCGCAGTCGGGCGAGCGCAAGATCTACGACCTGTTCATGGTCAACACGGAGCTGGACTGGATGGAGATCCGCCTCGAGACGCTCTACGACCACGTCGACTACTTTGTCATTGTCGAGTCGCCCAAGACGTTCCAGGGCAACGACAAGCCGCTGACGGTGCTGGCCAGCTGGGAGCGCTTCCGCCGCTTCCACGACAAGATGATCTACCACCAGCTCAACTTTCCCGCGGCCTTTGACCCCAAGCGCCCCTGGGACTATGAGGATCTGCAGCGCGACGCTATGTACGACCAAGTCTTCCCCCAGCTGGCCGGCCGCGCCGCCCCCGTGTACGGCGATGTCATCCTGGTGGCCGACGTCGACGAGATCCCGCGGCCCGAGTCGCTGTTCCTGCTGCGGACGTGCAACTTCCCGCGCCGCCTGACGCTGGCCTCGCGCTTCTACTACTACTCGTTCCAGTTCCTGCACTCTGGCCCCGAGTGGCCGCACCCCCAGGCCACGTACTACATGGGCTGGCGAACCGTCCGCCCGACGAACCTGCGCAACGGCGACGGCGGCATCCCCTTTTTGCGCGACCTCGACAAGTCGCGCCTCAGCAACGCCGCCTGGCACTGCAGCAGCTGCTTCGCCACCATGGAGCAGTTCCTCAACAAGATGGCCAGCTTCTCGCACGTGTGGATGAACCGGGACGAGTTCCGCAACAAGGACAACATTGCCAAGGCGGTCCGCGACGGAAAGGACGTCTGGGGCCGCGACATTGATACTTTTGAGAGGATTGAGCGGAACCAGGACATTCCGGCGGTGCTGCGGAGGGAGAGGGACAAGTACAAATACCTGCTGGACAGGAGCGGCAAGTCGGCTGGCTTTACGGATTATCCTTGATTATCCTTGATTTTTTCTTGTATTTTTCTCCTTTGGAGGGGGGGCAATTTGGACATGATCTTTTTTTTTTTATGGATATCATATTGGCTGGTGTACAAGGGAGTCTTGGTCATAGCTTTCACGCATGCATTTTGTACGAGAACAACCCATCAAATAGAGCTGAGAAGTGTGTGCCATTATAACCGAATATTGTCTAATGAAGCAAGGAATGATGCTCAAGGAGCATGACCCGAGAAGCGAACAAATGAATGTGATTTGTCTCAGCCATTCTCTTTTTTTTTTCTCCGCCATTATCCCATTACCATTAATGTCATTTGGTGCCATTAAAAGAAGGTGATGAATAAGAGCTGCCAGCACTCTTTGAGGCGTCTACAAAACAGACTGCAATCCATAATACAATCGCAGTGTGCTGCATTCTGTATGTCCGCTGGCAGTCTGATGGTTTGCGCCGGCCAAAGAGTGCTGGCAGCTCTAGTTGTGGTCTCAATCTCTCAAGATAATCATTGAGACGAAATGAAGGTGAAGAAGAGAAGTCGGTAGATAAAAAAGCATCCGTGCTAATAAAATAAAGCAAAGTCAGCTCATTAATCTGGAGAGGTGGTGTTATTGCTTGGGTACCCACCGCCATGAGCGGCATGTCTCGCCCATCAAAAGGTCAAATCTCCATTTTTAAGAGGTGTCTGGCTATCGGTTTTCACATGTCAGTCCCGTGCACATTTTCCAAAGTATCATCTCGAGTTATAAACTCACATTCACCTCTCCCCGGTTTAAAACTCCCCCCCAAAAAAGCAACCTTTAAAACCAACGCCTTTATAACTCTCCAAGAAAACAACCAAGAAAAGAAGAAAAGAAAAAAAAGCAGTTTTTACTCCCCAAACTCCATTATTATTAAAAGAAAGCCACAATGAGAAAAGAAGAAAAAAAAGGGAAAGAGAAATGGATTGAGAGGATGGAATATCTAAAAATACCTGCCCATCAAGGTGGGGGAGGGGGAGACTACTTTGTTGAGACCCAAAAGTGACGTTGTTGCTGCGGCGTGTTGCGGCCAGGATATTGGCAGATATGCAACGTCTGGCGGCCCAACCAACGGACTAATTAAGTGGATGATGAGCAGCATCCTTCGGATGTCTATTGGTACTACTGCTGTACTCTGTTCGTATTAGACTATCGGTTAGCTGCCTTTTGGTAGATACGGCACTTGGTTGATCTGATGACGGCGAGATACAAGCATCGTCCATACTCTCCGTTGCGGTATCTCTTCTAGATAACTAGGCATATTTCACTTCAAAACAACACAATTCTTTCAACAACCTACATAATAATCATCCTTCTTCTCATCTTCCCATACACATCTCATCTCTTCCAAAAAGAAAAACCACCCAAACATCGTCATCCTCCTCATCCCCTTCATCTATTACCCCTCATCACCGCCCCTCTCAACCCGCCCTCACGCGAGCAAATCCCCTTCAACCACGACCTCAACTTACATCAAAATCACCTACATAGAAAAAAACCCACCCATCTACGCACACACGCATTACATACATGACATTGCATCTGCCCCTAAAAAAAAGACCCAAAAACAAACGAGAAAAAAAAACCTCCCTTACATCGTCTCCCTCAAGTCTTCCCTTATCCGCCCAAACACCCGCTGCCATGTCATCAAAACCAGACTCTCACTTGTATATTACCTGCAGAGCCCTATAAACACCAGCCCGCATCCTTCCCCCTCTTTTTTTTGCTTTCTTCCGTTTTGTCATTTTTTTCCCACTCTTCTGCGAATTATTTTCTTCTCGTGCTGCATATGCACTTTGCTACGCACTACATTACATTACATGGCATATACATTGCATGACATTCGGTCAAGAGAGAGCAAAGCAAAGCCAAAGCAAAAAAAAAAGTCTCGCAAACAACGCAGCAGCAGTTAACAGCGAATGAATGCATGCATCTGCATTTGCATCTGCATCTGCATTTCAGCCTCTCTCGTAACCTCAACAAAAATTGAATAAAAAGAAAAATTCTCTTCGCTATGGTACGAGATTGGTCCAGCACGGCAAATGCAAATGGCCAGGTGCTCTCTCTCTCACCTCACCTCATCGGCTGCATCACCGTCCTCACCTCGGCTCAACCCAACCCCCCATACTCTCTCTCTCTCTCTCTCTCTCTCTATTCTCACTTCAGCCCATCAACCCCGATACTACAAAAACATCTCATTCAAAATACAAAAAAGAAAGAAGGAAAAAAAAAAGGCATCATCAACCCCCCGTAAACCTCCCAATAACCATATCCCTCCATCCATCCATCACCCCCCCAAAAATACCCCACGTCTCCATACAAAAAACTCACAGTAACCTTGTTCTGCAAATCTCCATCTTCCCATCTCAGCCTCCTCCTCTCTCCCCCTCCTAGTAAATCCCAAAAAAAATCAACCCACCCCTACTTGATGCGCTGGCATCTGCTCATCCCACCAACTAAACCGAAAAACACCAACCCCCGGCTCTAAAACCGCTCGCCATTCCGGATACCGTTTGACGGCAACACACACACACACTCATGTTTCTCGGCTCTCTGTCGTAAGTCTCCCCCCTCGTACAAAAAACATGGGACTTCCATGGGGCCCTTGGCTGTGGAAAACGCCCATCACATCATAGAGCATAAGACATCCATGCTGCAGATGCACATGCACATGCGCCATATAATACTATTGATGCTATGCTGGACTATGCCATACTTACAGACTACTACACGATAAAAAATCAGACAACCTCGAGTGGTAAATGAGTAAAGTAGAATCCAATCACGAGCAAATCAAATACAAACAACTACATAATAACATCCATAGACACCCTAGAATCCCCCACGCCCCATCCTCTTAAACAAATAAATAAAAAAAGAGAACCCAAAAAAGAAAAAAGAAGAAATACACACACCCCCCAGCAAAAAATCCCCCCCCAAAAGCAAGCAAATCACCAGACAGGGAATGCGGCGCTTGTCAACTGCAGTGATGAGTTGGCCAACGCATCAAGTGGTCCGTGTGTAGCCTCGAGATCCGTCAACCCACACGCATCTCCGTCTGCCGTCTCTGCCTCCGGCTCTCTTCCTTCCCCCCTCCCTGCATCTCGCTTTGTTTTTTATACTTGGGCCGTTGCTATTCACTTCTGCCGCTCTCTCTTTCTCTGCTTTTTTTTTCTCCTCGTCAATCACAGAGCAGCTGCTTTGGTGGTGACGGATTCTAAATCCTCCTCCCCCCCACACGCCCACCAATCAACACCATCCTCGTCTGAGCCCCGCGCATCCCATCCCATCCATGAATATGAACCTTTCCTACCTTGGCTTCCAGGACCAGACAGCCGGGACAATCCATGGATCTTGTTGTTTCCAGGTCTCCAGATATTTATTCTTTTGCATTCTACACTCTACATTACCTGCAACTCACTCTGCTTGACAGCTTGCTATCCTCGTTCGACTTCTTGTCACCGGTTCCCGTTTAGGAGCATGTCTGTTCTGTTTTTTGTTTTCCTTTTTCTCACAAAATGCTATAAATCATCATTCATATCTCATCGCCCGGATCGCTTGCTATACAAAGGCGCGCCTTGGAGTTGATCTTGTCCACTGGAGAGGAAAAAAAAAAACATTGCAACTTATCCAAACCAAAGAAACAGGGAAAAGGGGGGGCAAATCACACAAAGACACCGGGCAAGTGCCCACCATGCTCCAAGCCCCGGTTCCGTTTTCTATATCTCACACTCGATGCCTTCGGATGCCGCCTTCTTTACTTCCATCCATGCCAGGAGCCAAAGGGGGATTAGTCAAAAGGGCCAGCCCCCGTCGAGGGCCAAAAAAACAAATGTTGCCATGGTCGCCATCATCTTTCATGAGAGTTCGTGAGAGAGGAAATTTATATACCAACTGCCGTCCGTCCGGAAAATATCTCGCCTCCACGCCGCACAGGGCGGGGGGAAGGCTGTGGTTCGCTCAAAAGGTGCTAGGTCTAGTCGACCTCTTGCACTTGGGGGGGGGTTTCTGGGGCATTAGGGGGATTAATGGTCAGCATCCTTCTTCGTCCTGGTCTCGTTGCTCCCAAGCATAGGTCCTGTGCTGTCGTCAGAGAACCAGGCAACTCCTCAGTCGTCCGCTTGTCCAAGGCACACAAGCCCTTCATCGACCAGCCCACTTCACCAGGAACTGTACCACGGCATCGAGATTTGTCTCGTGCTTAGCACTGATGCCGTAGCAGCAAACCTCACGGTGCTGGATGCTTTTCAGGTCCAGCTCATCAATCAGCTCGTCGACGGACAGCTTCTCTGGGAGGTCAGACTTGTTGCCGAGAACGAGCAGGGGGATTCCCCCAAGGGACGGGTGGGCCATGAGGGAGTGAAGCTCCTCCTTGGCCTGGGGAATGAGCTCTACATCCGCAATGTCTACGATGAAGACGATGGCGTTGACACCTCGGCAATACCGCTCCCACATGGTGCGAAAACGCGGCTGCCCACCGATATCCCAACATTTTAGTGTAACATGCCCCCGTTGCACACGCTTCATATTGAACCCGACGGTCGGAATCGAGCTACACAAGACTCGCAGTCAGTAACTGGACCAACACGTTCAACAGATCTTCAGAGACTGCCATGGCCCCCGAGAGGAGAGCACCTGACTACTGCTGGTCGTCCATGGCAGCAAGACGAAGACGGAGATGGGACAAGGGAAGGGCATGCACTTACTCAAGAGTGAACTCTCCACCCTAAGAAATCATTCCAACAACTCAGTCAGCCTGGCCCCGAGAAGCAAGTCGCAAGAGGGGAAACCTACAGCCAGCACTCGTAGCAACGATGTCTTTCCGGCATTTTGCAGACCAACCATGGTCACTTCCATTTCCATCGCCCTACCGTCACCAGTCAGAACCCATAGACACAGACACAGACACACACATGGCCCAAGCACGGGGGCAGGCTTGGGGTTCGCGGCACGGCCATCATCTACGCACAGCAACGCCACACCACCAAGCAGCGCATCGTGGGACCCCCGCCTCTAACCCCGTGGGGGTAGAGCTACTCACCAAAACGTCCTCAACAACCAGTCATACACCTTTCTGAATAGCCCAGCCATGTTTAAAATCGTTTATGCGAGACGTCGGTCGGATGTTGGTACAAGGAGGGAAGAGGGGGGAGGAAGAGGGGGAGGGGGAGACGGTATCAGCAGATGGCGTTGCGAGAAGTCGATTCGGCGGTACGACCGGCGGTCAAACGTTGTCGATGTCTCAGGAAGTCGCGCAATAGCGACCGTCGTCGTCAAAGCTATAATGCGAATGGCACCGTCGAGGGGACGTCGCTGCGGGAGCTCGTGGACAAATCTATCGGTTTACCGACAACGGCGCAAAGGTCGTGCGGGTGCAAAGCTTGCCGCCTGGCATGCGAAAGGCCCGATGCGGCTGGATGGAGCAGTAGCGGTGGTCGACACTCTATAACTGTGCAAGAGTAGGTAAGCTCGATGCCGAAGCTCGTCGACTGCGTTTGGCGATGCGAGATTCCCTTGCAGGAAAGAGAGAGAAAAAAAATCAGGGAGGAAAAAAAAAGAGAGAGATGGGGCAAGATAGGGATGCGGAGAGCAAGATTCAAGGTTGTTGCGCAACGGTTGGTCCAAGTGACATGAGGGCTTGAGGTGACGCCTGGCGGCAGAAGTAGAGGGAACCCCACCTGGGAGATGGATGGTCGAGACAAGAACCGCGGGCTGACGGGCGTCGAAGCACGAGCTCTGGGGGTCTGGGAAAGCTAACCTGGGCGCCGCAAGCTCGTCTGGAATGCGAGGGAGGCCGCAGAGATGGAGCGTAGGTGTGTAGAGATGCGTAGAGATACGTAGCGAGCAGAGTGATGGAGCAGCAAAAATGAGAGTGTAGAGTGTAGAGCAGGGCGTAGGGCCTGGCGTAGAGATGGCGTATCGCAACAGCAGCTAGTACCTGTTGACGTAGGTCCGAAGCTGGCAAACTGGCAGCATGAGGACGGCAAGCTGCTCTGCTCCGCTATCTGAACGGCTAGTGGACAGAAGGATGGCCAGAAGAGAGAGCAAGAAAACAGCCAACCAGCGGGCTCTGTCGCAGCGGCGCACCAGAGAGAGCTGTACCGTGCGTGCGCAACTTCGGGACGTCGTATGGAAGCGGGTATGCTGTGTTTGTCGAGTCACCAGACCTACGCTGCCAATAGAGGTTAACCGCTGCCCTGTGCAAACTGAGCCGTCTCATTCGTTTGTGCAGACTGGGCCGATCATGAGCCGGGGGTTTGGCTCGTGAGGATGCATAAAAGCACCCCGTATCTTGTGCAAGCCTTGATTCGCCCAGTGGGTGTCTCAGACGGAGGTGCCTGTCTGTCTGTGGTACTGGGCTGTATTTGTGTATGTAGCACTTACTGGCAGAACTCGGTACAGTACAGTACAGTGAGTGAATGATGCAGATTAGTCGCTGCGGCTAGCAATGCGAGGACAGGCCTGGTGATGGACGATGGCCGGGCTGATGTATGTGGTGATTTCGTAGTGACAGGCTGCAGCTGTGCTATGCCATTTCCAGCGCCTCTAACGGTGGATTCTGGAGCACAGCGCCTAGCTGGGCAGGTCTGGCAGCTGCGGTGACTCTGTGCTGCGGTGTCTCTGCAGCGGGCGATTCTCTCTCTCTGTCTCTCTGTCTCTCTGTCTCTCCGTCTCTCTGAGAGTGTCTTTGTCAGTGCTGTTGATGGTGATGATGAAGCTATGCTGAGGAGTGGAGGAGCAGAAGAGCAGACGAGCTGCGATTGGCGATGGGCGGAATATCGATAAGGATTGATGAGGAGGAGGATGGAGAGAGGATTTGATGCGAGTCTGAGGATGGCGGGGTTGCAAAAGATTGGATGGACCTGCACTGCTTAGTACCTGCCGCAGCTAGTTTTGGGCGGGCCGGATAAGGTTGACAGGCAGCGACTTTTTTTTTTTTTTTTTTTTGGCTGCTGTTTTGTCTCTCAGGTCTTCTGCTCTCTGCCCCGCCACAGCAGCCATGTAACCTGTATTAGAGGGGCTATTATCAAATATCATGAAATCCCAATATCAAGATCCATGTCGGTTTCAAATCCCAAATCCCCCATCCACCAATTCAATGAAGCAAAAGTGAAAAATAAAAATAAAAAATGGCCCCCCCGAGTCCACAGCATAAACTTGGGTTCTGCACCTTTGTCACACACGCGAGCCATGAACCTGTGTGAACCTGTGCTCTGTTCACGAGGCACTGCTAGCTCTCTTCTGCCTCCTCTGATGGCTGCATCCTGATCTGGGCGATCGGGGCGAAGGTTTGCCAGAAAAACGAATGCGTCGACGTTTCCGATTTGGAACCCCCCTGCTCTGGCGCCTAGCACTTTGTCGACAGGTGCAGTATGGAAAGCGAGGGCTTGGAGGCAAAAGTCCCGGCGGCTATAAGAAACCGAGAGATATTATATACCCCCGGCGAGCTTTTAAAAACTCTGTAGCCCTGCTCTGATTCAAGGGCACAAGTGCAAGCTAGAGAGACCAGGTAAGGGTAGATGAGTTGAACACAACAATACCTGCAATTGCTACTAGCATGGTCAAGATGGAGAAGCTGGATTCAATGTGGAACACAGATACCTAAGCTCCATGTACGAGACAAGATGCGGAAATATCACGACCAGGGGGGCCGCTTTTGGGGGGAAGCTAGGCATTATTACGTCGAGCACCACTTTATGGCACCTTGATATCGGCCAAATAAAGTACTGGGCACACCAGCCAACAATCATGGTCATCCGTCCCTTGCGGGTTGTGATACTTGACGAGTGCTAGCTCCCACCCAGTACAAGGACACTAAGTCGGAATCAGACACAGCATACGAACACTGTCTTTGAATTAGAACACATACATGGTATTAGTCTGTTGTAGGACTGTCTGTCGATACGCAATGAGGCATAGCAGCCTCTGCCGCTTGGCAAATGCTAAGCCGTCACGCTATATGGACCCAGCTTTGCATCGATATCATATGTTCCCTCGCATTGCCTCTTTCTGAGGATAATGACTAATAGAATATGGACTGTGAAGACACCTGTTGATCATATCTATCTAGTAATCAGTATACAAAGAGCATGTGATTGGCGTTTATGGATATTTTATTAATTATCACTTCATCGCATTTCTTCTGTGTAGTCAGAGCACATGTAGTTAAACATGCATCAAGCGAGTTGCCTTATTTGGCCACCATTTAACCACAATTGCCTTACATGAAGAGCTATCTGCAAACAATAGTTTTCCATTTCGTATAGTGTAAAAAGAAATAATGTCAAGATATAAATGAAAAGTTCATGTAACTAGCGTATTCCGTCTTCCTTTGCCAACTGCTCCTGCGTCAATCCACCATTCAAAGTATTGATATACTCGTCAAATTCTCCCGCCGTTTCAATCACTTCCTTCATCACTTTATAGTTCAGCTTAAAATCTCGATCCTGCTGCCGCTCCCACCTAGCGTATTGTCTCGCCGTCGTAATGGCATTTCGAATCTCCCTCCCGTTCATCTCTCTGCTGGCTAGTTGCTCAATATTATCCTCCAAGTCCAGAAAATCAATGCCCTCCTCATTCAGCTCTTTCAGGCGTTTTAAAAAGTTGCCCCAAATCTTGGTTCTTTGGTGTGTCGACAGGCTACTGTAGTGGACTGCCAACTGAATGCGCGACTTGAATGCTTCGTCAAAGGTCCCAACCCGGTTGCTTGTCAAGATCAAGATTCCCTCGTAGTATTCGAGGACTCTTAAAAAGACCGATACCAGCGCATTTCGGCGGAGATCTTCCAAACTGCGTTGCTCTAAGAAGACATCCGCTTCATCGAGCAAGACTACGCACCCCCAGGTCTTTCCGAGATGAAGGACGGACTCGAGATAGTTCTCGACATCTTCTGGTTTTGTTCCAATATCCCCACATGTGACTGGATATAGTGGCTTCTTGGCGATTTCGGCCACGCTCTCCGCAGTCAGAGTTTTGCCTGTACCTGGTCCTCCATGGAGCAACATGATTAGGCCGTTTCCTTTTCCACTGATTAGATCTGTAGATCTCTCTGCTTCGATCTGGTTGCTAATGAGAGCCTGAATCAAACGCTTTGTTTTTTCCTTGATAACAAGGCTCTCAAACGCTTGTGTATTCCATAAAACGTCCCGAAGTCCGTCAAGCCGCAGGTCCACCCATTTCTTCCTCTTGAGGTTGTAAGCTTTTACTGTGAGAGGCGCCAGGTAAATGAAGTTTTCATCGGGAGGATGATCCTGCTTCATCTCCTCACGCTCAAGATAATTAACACCAACCTGCTTGGTTGCAAAAATCTTGCTCAAGTCCGATTTGTGTAGCTCGCGGTACATCATCATGTCAACCATATATCGCTCATCGTTAGAGTGGTGGAGGCCTTGTGGCGTGTCATCGTAAGTCACCATTCGTCTCTCGCGACATTTCCAGAGCCACTCTCCTCTTGTTTTCAATTGTTTTCCCGTAGCGCCATCCACGAAACGGAGTGGTCGGATGGCCAAATCGCTAATATTCTTCTCCGAGTAATCTTTAGCATCAAATTCCACATTTACAACTGATACTTTTTTTGAGAAGTCGCCATCAAAATCCCAGGACCAAACTGTCAGATCGAAAGATGCCTTATATTTAGTCTTTTCTAAATCTTCCAATTGGGCATATATATTGTTTGTCGTAGTCTTGCAGAGCCATTTTTTGCACAAGTAGCCTCTTGCTTCTTGATCTTTGCCAGATACTATGATGTCGCCGGGCTTGAAGAGATATTCGATGTATGCTTGTGTAATTTTGCCCTTGCGGGTCATCTCGTCAACAAGGCTGTAGTCATTGTCGTATCGAGAAAGTATATAATTGAGCACTTCTTGGAATTGAATATGTTGCCTGTCATCCAATGTTTCCATGAAGAGTGCCAACTCGTTTTTCCGAGCATGATAGATGGTGACGTATGGAGCTTCAAGCTTTGTTGAGTCTGAAGCAGCTGTACCATCCGTGTTGAACTTGTAGTAGTCAAGAAATTTGGTCATCGCGGTGGCAAGGCTTGTGGTGGCCGGCTCAATGAACTCCCCAGTTTGCTCTGGGCTGAATAGAGTGTCTGGGTCTTCATCCGGGAGCTCCGTTTCTATGAGGTGGGTAACATCGTAATCGCGATATACAATACAACAGACTTCTGGGTGCTTTGAAAGGTAGGATGGGACGCTGCGTAGAGGAAGGTTACCAGCAAAAGCCCCCCTCGATGATGTCGCCCCCTCTAACCAAAACGGTTGATCAAGGTACATGAGCTCAGTCCTTAAAGTTTTTTCACGTCGCAATACACGATGGACCAATTGAACGACTGGGACAATTGGCTTTTGCGCTTCCTTAGTCGAGTTGATGTCCAACAGGTATGCCTGCAGAGCCTCTATGGTCAAGGTTGGTTGGTCCTGGATATTTAATGCCCTCGCAACTGTTTGAAGAGCATCACCTAGTGGATCAGAATGCCCTCTAAGATTTTGTTGTCGCTGTTCCTGTTCCTGTCGTTCCTGCTGCTGTAGCATTTGTCGTTGTTGCATAAGCCGCATTTTGTTTTCTTGCTCTGTTTGCATCAGCTGCATTTGATAGCCTTGTAGTGCGTGGTTGCTTTGGGAGCTGTACCTTTGTGGCACAGAATTGTTACCGAAACTCCTCTTGCCTTGAGATCTGTTATTTGGAGTATAATGTTTCAAGGCAACGAGAAGTCCGCCGTTACGATCAAATTCACTGCCTTGGCTTCTGTCATCGGAAATCGTAGTATGCACTGATGTCGATTGAACCTGTCCAAATGATGTTAACAGAGTCGCGCGGTTTGATTCGGGTTGGGTTTTGAGACTTGTTTCGATAGCACGTGCCTTGAAATTCGATCATAAGCTCTGCTGTTGCGATACCAGCATAAGGGATCCCATCTTGACATATGAAATATCGCCATCTTACCTGTTCTAAATGGCTGAATACCGACGACTGTTGTGTAAAACCGAATGGGTCATCAATTTCATTATCCAGGTTCCATTGCTCCTCTTCGTTAGAGGCATCACCCTTGGCTTTGCCATGACTACCTTCTGCATATTTATTGTCCCAACTAGGGCGTTGATTTGTAGACAATAGATCTTCGGCAGTTAGCCCTGCGCTTTGCTTTCCACGCTGCCGCATCATACTATTAGCTTGTTGGTGTATTGTGGGTGATGAACCTGCGATGATCTTGTTTTCCGAAGTGCAAATTCGGGCTGCATACAGAGTAATCCCTCAGCCACCAGGTATACACAGAGCCAAACTAATGCTGCCCAACGCACATGTACCTACGTCTACATTAGGCAGCGGAGTGCTGATCAACCTCAGGCTCCCAAGAGCAGGGGGCTGTCAGTCAATATGGTGGCGCAGTTTTAAAAGGCTGCGACATGTACGAGTATAATACGTGCATACATGTAAGGCTACCCAACTACCTACATACATGTACTTAGTCACATGTAGCGTGCGGGCGGCAGTGTCTCATTATCCAAATGTACGCTGATGACTTCTACGTTTTGTCACTTTTTAGTAGCGGAGTAGAAGTGTTCTATTCACAAAATTCTCAATATCACTCTACAGATATTGTTTTTGACGATGGTAACTTTAGAAACTAATGCGTTTAGTGCTTGGTACACTTCGTCGGAAGAAACCGAATGGTGAGTGGTTTTCAATTGCCGTAATGAGATATAAATTCGGCTATTGCTAATTCTTGTGTGAAAAGCGTGATCGATGCTCAGGACGTTTTTAAAGAAGCTCTAGCCGAATTTTCTTCAGAGGTCTCGAAAGACAAAAAGAAGCAGCAGTGGATTGTTGACTCCAGGTATGGCAACCTCGAGAGCGTCCTCGCATCTGTTGAAGAGGCTCGGACTTGCTACGAAGAACAAAAGGGCAATTCAAAGCTTCGCAAGGCATTAGTGCAGCTATCGGAGAAATTATACAGCTACAGTAGTATACTGGACGTGCTACTCCCGCAACAACCAGAATACTCGACGTTAGCCTACGGTGCTATGAAGTTTCTTCTTCTCGTAAGTGTCCCCGGCCGTGTCATTCGTCCCTGGCCGTCTGAGATAAAGATTTTAGGCGGTCATGAACCATCATAAACTTCTTTCGCAGCTCTGCACCGGGCTCAATGGCATTGCACACATTATATCGCGCACGCAACTTATTATAAGGCTCTACCCAACTCAGCAAATCAGACAAGTAATTGTTGCGATATACGTCCATATACTCAAATTTCTCTTGCGGGCCCTCAATTGGTACAGAGAGAGTAAAATAACGCATATGTTACAAGCAATCAAGAGGCCTACGGAGCTGCGATATGGTGATCTTTTAGCAACTATATCGTCCCTATCCGACACAATGTCCAAGATTGCTCTAGACAGCAGCCACGCTGAGCAGCGAGACATGCATGTATGCGTTGCTCAAATAATGCATGAGCAAAAGCTGACCCGTGAAAATATTACAAATCTGATGACAGCAGTTTCGGACATTAAAATTTCCATGGTTACTGAGCAAGGCATCAATGCGTCGGCGATAATCGAGTTTCGGCAGAGGCTATCTGAGGTCCAACTCATGCAACTATTAAGCCAGTTGTCCGTTGCTGGCCTTCCCGACCCTGTCAAGGCGTTTCAGTTGCTGCTATTCATGTCGAAGAGACGGCAGCCGAAATCGTCGAGTAAGGGAGCGGCATTCTGGCTTGATTCGAGAATCCAAAAATGGAATAAAGGCAAAGAATCGTCTCTTGTTATAATTAACGGCACGTGGAAGACTCGATTCGAGCTTCAAAGCTTTTGCGCAGAGTCCATTGCTATACTCTCTAACGCAAAGTGTCCAGTTATCTAGGCCTTAAAAGCATCAAATACTAATAAATCAGCCGGTGGTCAAGTACACGTGTCGACAATCGACTTGCTGAAATACATTATTTCACAGGCTGTCTCGGTTAACAAAAGCATCCACACCGACGCGGCTTTAATTCCTCGCCTCATGGCTCACATTGACGCCAAGTCGGAAGAGGACTGGATTACTATTCTTGCATCAGTCCTCCAGGGTATTCCACTTCTCTACATCATCATTGACGTCGAAATCTTAGGCCAAAACTTGGGGACATTGACAGCAGAATTCTGGCCAGCAGCATTTTTAAGAATGTTCTCCAAGCTCTCGGCACGCAACATCGGAACAGTTGTCAAAGTGGCTTTGGTCAGCTATGGCTCGCCACTACTCAAAGGCCCGTTCAGAACAGATTGCCAGAATCTAATTGTGTCAGTTGGCGGAGTAAGGCAAACTCAAACATCTATAGCGAGAGCTAGAAACCAGCGTTCCTCTCTTGCTGGGACAAGAAGAAGGATTCGCCTGGAGGCCATGTATAGCAGACAATAACTGGCTTACTACAGAGGACATTCACCCACGACAGTTTCTAAGAGAGCTAGGATACATCCCCTAACCTCTGGTTAGAGATACGTGGTTTACGTAAGAATCGTATTGGATATCTCTTGATTCTCTGCCATATATAAAGCTACCCTATATCCTGACATGAGAGTATCTGCTACCAGGTCAGAAGAAGCTGTGCCTGGAGTGGCGCAATAAGGCGAAGCTATCTATAGTGAAGCCACAAATATGCCCCGCTCTCTTGCCCCGCCTCGTTTGCTTGCCATGGATGCTTATGTCACTGTGGATAGTCGCTATCGATAGTGCTATCTCGTGACCCACTCACCCATTCTTATCAACAACTTTTTTTTTTCTTCCCTGCAATCGCAAAGCTACCTGCGAAGGGTCTGCTGAATAGCCTCCAATTGCAATTGAGTTGGGGCAGGCGCTTCATTAATATTCACAGCGCACAAGGAGAAGCTGCCTGTCTCGATGCGCTAAAAATCAGGCATTGCATCTCATCAATCCCCTATTATCTCGTCATCCACCTGCGATTCGAGCTTAAAGCTACTTCTCTTCGACATCATGGCGCCATCAGCCACCAGCACGGAATGGGACCACCAGTTCCATACTCTGCGTCGCCAGGACCTCTTCAGAAATCCTCCTACCGATCATTCCGCATATCCTGCCCTCCAGCTGGCAGTCAACCCTCACATTGAGTCGTTCAACGCCATCTTCCGCGGCGATGGAAAGCCCGGCCTTCTTGCCCATGGCCTGGCGGATATCGGCACAAAAGTTTTCCTCGACGGCAACGACCGCGCTGGCCCAGAAGGCAAAAACCGCCTCCAGATTCGGATCAAGGAGGTAACCCTACAAAAGCCGCAGGTGCCGCCGTCCAACAAGCTGGCCTTGAACAGAGAAATTTTCCCTGCCGAGTGCAGAGAGAGACACGCTACATATAGAGGAAAGCTCTCCGCCACTTTCGAGTACAGCATCAATGGAGGCGACGTTGTCGAGTTCACTAGAGAGCTTGGCCAGGTTCCCATTATGATCAAGGTTTGACCCTCCTACATCTCTCCTCGTTTTCTTAGCCTCGAGGAGCCGTACTCTTACACTACAAACAGTCAAACAGATGCCATCTCGAGAACAACTCACCAGCCTTGTTGGTTTCACGAAAAGAAGAGTCTGAAGAGCTTGGTGGATACTTCATTGTCAACGGTAATGAGAAGATTATCCGTCTCCTGCAGGTGAACAAGCGAAACTTCCCCATGGCCATCAACCGTCCGAGTTTCACAAATCGAGGTGCGGGATACACCACATACGGTATCATTCTTCGATCAGTACGACCAGACGAGACGTCTCAGACAAATGTTTTGCACTATTTGAAGGATGGAAACGTGACGTTTAGGTTTTCTTGGCGCAAGAACGAATACCTTATCCCCGTCATCATGATTCTGAAGGCGCTGGTTGAGACCAACGACAGAGAAATCTTTGAGGGACTGATTGGACCCATGGGCTCTAAGGCGGCTCAGAATACTTTCCTCACAGACAGAGTGGAGCTCTTGTTGAGAACATACAAGGCCTATCGTCTCTACAGCAAATCCGAAACCCGTGCGTACTTGGGCCAAAAGTTCAGAGTTGTCCTGGGAGTTCCGGAAACCATGTCAGATTACGAGGTGGGAACTGAGTTCCTGCGCAAGATTGTCTGCGTGCACTTGGGCAATGTCGATGTCACAGAGAAGCAAGATCTCGACAAGTTCCACATGGTGCTGTTCATGATTCGGAAGCTCTACGCTTTGGCCGCTGGTGAATGTGCCGTCGACAATCCTGACGCCATCCAGAACCAAGAAATTCTGCTCGGTGGATTCCTTTACTCGCAGATTTTGAAGGAGAGGCTGGATGAATTCCTTAGCGTGAGCGTTCGTACCGCTATCCGAGACTATCTGAGAAGGCACCCTGCCGTGTCATTCACCTCCGAAGAGTTCCGAAAGGAATTCCCTGGTGGTATTTTCAGAAAATCGAACGAAAACATTGCCAATGGTCTCGAATACTTCCTTTCCACCGGCAACCTGGTGAGTGCCTCCGGTCTGGATCTACAGCAAACAGCAGGCTTCACTGTAGTAGCAGAGAAGCTCAACTTTTTGCGTTTCATCAGCCACTTCAGAATGGTTCACCGTGGTGCCTTCTTCGCCCAGCTCAAGACGACTGCCGTGCGTAAACTGCTGCCAGAATCATGGGGCTTCATGTGTCCTGTCCACACGCCTGATGGTTCTCCCTGCGGTTTGCTGAACCACATGACGCACAAGTGCAAGATTATGACTGACTATGTCGATGTTTCCAATATTCCCGCGCTGGTTGCTGAACTGGGTGCTGTCGAGACATCATCCGCATCCACTGACGAGAGTGTTGTTGTCATGCTGGACGGCAAGATCATTGGATGGTCTACTCCCAAGGAATCGCTTCGAATCGGAGATTGCTTGAGATACTGGAAAGTCGAGGGCTCGCACAACGTACCTCTGCAGCTCGAGGTTGGATATGTGCCTCCATCAAACGGCGGTTCATACCCAGGTCTCTATCTGACGTCCACCCCGTCCAGAATGGTTCGACCAGTCAAGTACCTGCCCTTACAGAAGGAGGACTACGTCGGCCCTCACGAGCAGCCTTACATGTCGATTGCTGTCGTCCCGCAGGAAATTGAGTCTGGTGTGTCGACACACGTTGAATTTGACCCAACCAACATGCTCTCCATTCTTGCCAATATGACACCGTTCTCCGACTTCAACCAGTCTCCCCGAAACATGTATCAGTGTCAGATGGGTAAACAAACCATGGGAACTCCCGGTACAGCCATTCGACACCGAACAGACAATAAATCTTACAGGATACAGACTGGTCAAACCCCCATTGTCCGTGCACCTCTTCACAACACCTATGGCTTCGACAATTTCCCCAACGGCATGAACGCTGTTGTTGCCGTCATTTCATACACTGGTTACGACATGGACGATGCTATGATCATCAACAAGTCTGCTCACGAAAGAGGTTTCGGGCATGGTACAGTGTACAAGACCAAGAAAATCACGCTCAAGGACGACTCGAGAACCAGGGCCGCCAAGAGCGTTGTCAAAATGTTTGGCTTCGCCCCTCACAGCTACGTCAGCGCGGCGTACCAAGGCATGCTTGATGACGATGGTCTCCCGCACGTCGGCCGGATGGTGAAGGAAGATGATGTTTTGTGTGCATGGCACACCGTCACTCCCGATTACAACGGAAATCTGGTCAACCTTGACGGAATCACGCACTACGAGAAATACAAGGACTCGGAGATCGGATTCATCGAGGAGGTCCGACTGATTGGTGCCGAATCAGGTTCTGAGCCCCTGCAGACGATTTCCATCAAGATCCGTATCCCTCGTTCCCCGGTCATTGGTGACAAGTTCTCATCTAGACACGGACAGAAGGGTGTCTTGTCACAGAAATGGCCTATGGTGGATATGCCCTTTTCCGAGACGGGTATTCAGCCTGATGTCATCATCAACCCTCACGCTTTCCCGTCCCGAATGACAATTGGTATGTTCGTCGAGTCGCTGGCTGGAAAAGCCGGTGCTCTGCACGGACTGGCGCAAGATTCTACCCCATTCAGGTTTGACGAGGAGAACACGGCAGCAGACTATTTCGGACACCAGCTTATGAAGGCCGGATTCAACTATCACGGAAACGAGCCAATGTACTCTGGCATTACCGGAGAGGAGCTCGGCGCCGACATCTACATCGGTGTAGTCTACTACCAGAGACTGCGTCACATGGTTAACGACAAGTACCAGGTGCGAACTACCGGTCCTGTGGTGCCCACGACAGGCCAGCCCATCAAGGGCAGAAAGAGAGGTGGTGGTATCCGTGTGGGAGAAATGGAGCGTGATGCCCTGTTGGCACACGGAACAGCATTCTTGCTGCAAGACAGATTGCTCAACTGCTCAGATTATACCCGATCATGGATTTGCCGTCGCTGCGGATCATTCTTGTCTGTGCAGCCCACGGTATCCCAATTTGCGCCAGGAAAGAAGAAGGCTCCCAGCATGGTCCGTTGCCGAAACTGTGCTGTCAGGCTCGATGACAGCGAGGGCATCGACCTGACGGAAATCCAAGGAGAGATTTGGGAAGATGGTCAGGGCAACTGCTGGGTTGGCGGCGACCAGACGACGCAGGTTGTGGTACCTGGTGCGCTCAAGTTCTTGGATGTGGAACTGGCAGCCATGGGCGTCAAACTGAAGTATAGGATAGACCGGACAGACGAGCCTCGCAAGGGACCGATGAAGCCGTTGAAGCAGATTTCGGCTGCTGCATAATTGCTTGTTTGAGACAAAAGTAATGTATTGGATGGGATACAAAATGGGGTTGTATATACGTTGATGGCTGCATTAGTAAGGTATTAGATGCATATTTGGGCAATGTGATTAAGAATTACTGTTTATCTAAGCCACGGCATGACGAAGAATGACGCCACGGCTCAATTTCTCAGTTTGTGAAGGTCTCATAGCTCAACGATCATAGGGTCTCGACCTGATGATACCAGGGGATCATTTTTTCTTGTGTGACGGTAGTCGATATGCAGGCTCCCGTCAGCTGTGCGGGGCGGATAAAGCGGCACGATGTGATGAAATTTGGATCTATTATTAAAAGAGATTTGTGTAACGGAGCATAAATGAGACGATCCAAGACGCTCCTGTCCTGTCCTCCTGTTGCTGCTTCCATCCAGCTCCAACGTGGTGTCTTGGCCCCTGAGCCCTGAAACTCATCAGACCACGCGAGAGTGAGAAACAGAAGCTCATCCTTCCTGTCTGGTCTTTTTCTTTCTCTGTTTGTTGAGCCAAGACAAAGCCAAGTCACTTGCTAGAGAGAGCATCGCCTCATGATCGGCTCGGATTGGCTGAAAACCGAATGGGCGACGGAATAGCAAGGCAAGAGAGACTCGAGACTTGACTCTTAGAGTTGAGAAAAGTAAGTTGATGTGCAGCTTCACGTGGCCAGAAGCTGATTTCCCAAAAGGCTGGAAATCCGGATATCCTGGCCGAGGCGGTACCTTGGCGTTGGTACCAAGTCTTCTGGGAAGGTGCCTTGAGGCCTACCTTTCCTTTCTGCCAGCTGCTCTCCAACATTTTTTTTCTCTTGGATTATTTTTTTTTCCCAGTCATTCTTCTGCTTCTCTTTCTTTTCTTCTCGTCCACAGAGTCGGCTGTTGCGCCTTCGTTCAATCGGACACCATTGAGCCGATATTCCTTTTTGAACTTTCCCTTATCTTGGCCGTCATTTGCAGGACTCTTCACCGCCGCTATTCTGATCTTTTGGCACAAGATAACCGACAGTTATCAGCACTCTTGTCTCTTGCTTTTCGCCATTTATTCTCTCTCTTTTGCCCTCTGTCAATCTACTATCCAACACTCTTAGCATATTGACGTGCGGCTGGAACCAGCATCTGCGCCCAGGCGCCGAACCCGGCAACCACTTATAACCGAGTCTCTTGAACGAAGAGCCAAGGTCAAATCATGCGTTTCCTTGTGTACATCGGCTGGGTCTTGAACTCCATTGTCTCTCTAGTATCTGCCCAGGATTATGACTTTGGTGTCGATGTGGTATCTCTCACTCGCCGACAAGATCCCAATGCACCAATCGTCGTCAGTCGCCTGCCGCTGGCATCCAATGGAAGCACACCCCTGAGACTCGAGATTCGCGACGTCAAGGCAGACAAATACAAATGGGATCTGTTCATTCTGGCTCTGAGTATGTTTCAGTCAGTCAGTCAGGACGATCCCCTGTCGTATTACCAAGTTGCTGGTGAGTGAGGTCCCATATCGACTCGGCATTGCCTACATCGCTCTGATGTATGTCTGCGTTTAGGGATACACGGTGTGCCCTTTGTGACATGGAACGGTGTTGGACCAGCAGCAGGAGCGAGCCAGTCAGGCTACTGTCCACATAGTTCAGTCCTATTTCCAACGTGGCACCGGCCATATCTTGCCTTGTACGAGGTGAGCCTGTTTTCATACCCAGATAGCCAGTGTCGGTTCCGGCTGTATATCGTTCGTTGGGTGAGACGCTGACTCTGTTTCCCATAGCAAGAGTTATTCAAGCTTGCCGGTGCCATTTCTCGCATGTTTAACAATGCAACTGAACGCTTGCTCTATATGCAAGCTGCCTCGGACTTTCGACTCCCATACTGGGACTGGGCATCTCCTGCACCAAATGGTCAAAGTCACTTCCCAGATGTCTTTTGGAATTCTACTATGACACAATACGGCCCCAATGGCGTTCAGATTATTCGAAACCCGCTGTACTCTTACTCATTTCATCCGTTGGATGGAGAAGCACTCATCTGGCCCCCGGTACGTGTGAATTTACGACGGCGTGAAACTCACCAGCTGCTAACAATTCACAGCTGCGAAGCTGGAATGAGACAAAGCGAGCTCCAAATACCGACATCAGCGAACTGGAACCTCCTTCAATGAACGACCAAGTGAACACAGCCTTGCTCGCCAAATTACCAGAGATACAGCAGCGATTATACATACTCTTCTCCAGTTATCACGAATTCGATTCGTTTAGCAACAAGAATTACGCAATCTCCCAGAATCTCAGCTACCTGGACTCCATCGAGGCTATTCACGACATTGTTCACATATATGGCGGATCTAGGGGCCATATGACCTATGTTCCTCTGTCTTCTTTCGATCCGCTCTTCTTTTTACATCACGCCATGACGGACAGATTGATATCAATGTGGCAGCTCCTCAATCCCACGGCATGGATAACACCCCAAGTGTCTGGAGAGACTACATACACAGCGTTGAAAGGAACGATGCAAAACTCCAGCACACCTCTTACACCCTTCATGTCTTCGGCCGACGGCACTTTCTGGGATTCTGACATGTCTAGAACAACTGAAGTGTTTGGCTACGCATACGGAGACTCGTCAGCTCTGCCCGGTGACGGTGACAGCCCACGAAACAAGTTGATCAGGAAGATCAACAGATGGCTTGGGAAGAACAGTCCGGCCATGATTCGGGTCAAGAGTCAGGCACAGCACCGGCGGCCCAGTGGGTTATGGAAGGGTACCCCAGGAGTCAAAGGGCCGCAACCTGGTTTCAAAATGGACGTGAAGAGCGATGCTGCAGACGACCATTATACAGAGTGGATCGCAAATGTACATGTTAACCACGGAGCCTTGGGTGGCTCATTCAGCATTTACTTCTTTGCCGGCGACCCGTCAGACGATGTCGACGCTTGGGGGGTTGCTCCAAATCTCATTGGATCAGTGGGAATCTTCACCATGAGCGGAATGAGCGGCTCTCATTCTAAAATTTCCGGAACAGTGCCGTTGACCATGGCCTTGATGAAGCTCGTTAACCTGGGAGCAATCACAGACCTTGAACCAAATTCAGTGGTCCCGTTTCTTCAAAAGACTTTGCACTTTCGCATTGCTGGCATCGATGGGAAAGAGGTCAGCCCAGAGCAAGTGACGGGACTCTACATCAGTATCAGCAGCAGTAGGGTGAGATTGCCCGAGAGCGAAGTTGAATTCCCGGATTGGGGTCGGCCGACGTTGAGGTTGGCAATGTGGGAGTAGCATAGCCGAAGGGTGCAAGACATGTCTACTCCTTCCGGCGTAACAAGTTAGGGAGATGAAGATGGATGGATCGTTGGGTGGTAATGTCGTGGGTAATTTTGGGAGTCTATTAACGACGGTGATTTGCATGGTGGTGGTTGTTCCACCGCGTAATGTACGTAATGTCTTGTGAATTCATTAACGCTGACAATTTAGCTACCGAAAACATTTGATACCAGGTGCTGTGTCTACGGTGCTCTGTCTACGGTGCTGTGATAGATAACACTCCCTGGGGGGTGGCTTTCGGCACATGTTTGCCACGGTGCCTCTCATTGAATCAAATCGAGATCAATCAGACTCGTAGTTGCACGTTCACCGGAGGGATATGCATGTGCCATTGCTTGAAGGAACCTGTGATGGTGGCAAAGTGATCTGCCGGGCAAGGATTTGCGGGGTGTTGATCGGGAGGTTCCCGATGAATGGAGCGTGTGGATAAAGACGAAGGACGATGACCGAAATGAAGTGTTGGTGTGTCAGACAAGGGCAATGCTCGGGGGGGGGGGGGAGGAGTTACTTGGCAAGTCTAAGGGTCGGAAGGATGGTGACGACCGAGCTTGAAGCTAATGGAATGTGCTCTGCAGCCTCATGTTGTACAGATGGGCATGTGAATCAGCAAGCAGAAGACACGTGCGTGAAGGCTACCGAGGTTGGGAACGATCCGGAATGCAGTTGACGAAAATGACGCAGCGATTTGCAGAATCCAACGGTTCTGAGGGGTTTAGGATCTTTTGTATTTGAGTTATGCATGTTGTGAGTTGCTCGGATGGAAGGGGACGGTTGATTGGTGTTCAAGGCATACTGTATGTCTAGCGTTTCGGCGTGGAATGTGATTTACAGCAAAACGTGCAGGTGGTTGGACGGGGGAATGGTTGGATCGGGACCGTCCTGAAAGATACAGGTCATCCAAAAGGCATGTTCCATGCAGCCATACATGTGGTTTATGGTACTATATATGCATGATACTCTATGTAGCACAGGCGAGGGGGGTCTTTGTGATTTGTCTGGTTGTTGGTCGTTGGTAATTAGAAACGGGTATGGGGGCCGCACTAGATTCTTGACGTGTCTTGTACGGAATTCCAGCGTGGTGGAAGGGTGTGGCTGCTGCACGTTTTCGGGGGCCAGGTTCTCTCTTCCCAGACAAGGCTCCCAGTCCAGTGAGGCTGATCGGGGGTCCGCGGGCCTTTTGAGGGGGTCAATCGTGGACCAAGTATCTGCGTATGCGTATATTCGGAGCGATGTATGCGAACTGATTCCAGATTTCGCAGTGGGCAGAAGAAGAAGAAAAAAAGGCAGCGAAGAGGGCGAAGAAGTTATACTCCGATCAAGGATAGGTTGGCATGGAGCGGAAAGAAAAAGGAATTCGGATATCCGACAAAGTGCGAGATGCGATTGCGAATTCAAATGAAGCCATGATGATACGATAGGAAAGAAGGAAAGTATTCGGAGACATACATGCGGGCTCACCGGGTTTCCTCGCCAGCCTTCCATTGTCAGAGTGTTGATGGGCGAAGTGATTACTATCTACTACAGGCGCAGCAAGTACACCGACACTTGCCGAATCGCGACGGCGGCATGAAAGTTGGGACTTGACTTGTTACATTGCGACTGTGGAGAGGGAGGAAAACGCCCTTCGGAATGTGCCCGCTCCTTGTGGTGGTGATATCTACGGATACAGTGGAACAACACGATGGGATTCTGCCATTGCATACGAAGTATTACGGAAACGGGAATTGCAAAAGGAAGCCTGGAGCAAAAAGAAGAAGGTCTGAATTGGACAATCGGCGGCGCCGGACTGCAGGGAAGGGAATCCGTTGCAGGGCCGTGATCGAACATGACCTGCGCTCGGGCACTGAAGCATCTACACAGAGAGGAAGGAGCTCGCAAGCCAGTCTTGAAGGGTGCAACCGACCAGACGACCAGGGTACGGAGCACCTTAAACTAAATTAAGAGGACGGAGGGATCGGGACCAGAGCCTCGGGATCCGGCACGGAGGCTTGCGATTTGCCAGATACGAGTGGCACGAAGAGGGAAAAAAAAAGAGCCAAGAAACAAAAAGCACGCAAAATGTTGTTGTTGGTTGTGTTGCTGCACCGCAGAGTGGCAGATGAGAGTCCCAGTTGTGATGCTGGGGCGGGACGAAGAGGGAATGGCCGGGGATACCGAAAGGGGGGCCGGACCGGGCCTCTTTTTGCTCTGTTGGTAGTTAACGAGGGTTCTTGACAGAGCGTTGGTTGGGTCAACGGGTATCACTGCGTCAAACAGCCTATTTGAAGACGTTGTGAAGCTCAAAGAGGCTCGTGTACGGCTATGGGGATCGCCTCTCTTGGGTCGTATAAGCAGATCTCAAAAAGACCATCCGAGTCTCCGTTTCCGCGCGCAATCGAAAAGGCTGGGCAAAGCGCACTCCCCCCCCCATGCTGGGTCCTCTACTTGCACATCTTGGCCCTTTTTTTCCTTCCAGAACGGAAAAAAGATCAGGAACAGTCGCGTGTTGGCGTATCATGGCGGCAACCCTTCCCCCCCGTTTTTTTCTCCCCCCCTCCTCCTTGGCTCTGCAACGCAACAATGCTTGCCCAAAGTGCTACAGTATGTACTCCGTACATATGCGTATCTGAATGTGGCCGGCGGATGCAACACTGCAAACTCGGCTGGGTTGGGCTGGGCTGGGCTGGGCTGGGCTGCAGCAGAACTAAGTAGGAATAAGCATCCTCGGCGAGTTTCGACACATTTCCTTGTGTAGAGCTTTTTGTTTTAAGCTCTGCCGGACTTTTCAGCTCCTAGCTCATCACCTTTTTACTTCATCTGTCCTTGTTTGCCTCCTTTTTTTTCTCCGTCAACGAACCCCCCCTTGCTCGCGCAATAGCAGAAATCGGGTTAGCCTTCTGAGGCAACCAGGACAAAAAATAGAATAGAATAAAACGGCCTCCATAAAAAAAGCTCTTTTTTATGCCTTAGGTAGGGCCGGAGTGCCGTCCATGAAACTTGTGCCGAGGTCCCGACTAGCAATAGAGTCCACTTTGTGGTGTGTGCGTGTTGCTGTCTTGTCTTTTTAGGTGCTGACCTGCAGCGGAGATGAAACACGAGCGAACCGATTCTGACGGGAACAAAGGAAGCGGAAAGATTTACCGTTGCGAAAAAAGAAAAAGACAAAAAAAAAAAAAAAAAAATCCAACTCCACTCCGGTTGTCTCTCCACCGGGACGGGAAAATAAGAGCTAGAAACACAGTTTGAATAAAGAAGCTTGAGAAAAAGAGGTTACAACGTTGGGGGGGCACGGAAACGGGAAGGCAAAAACAGAGAGGTGTCCGTCCATATGCAAAAAGTGGATGGATGGATGGATGGAGGGTGGTATGGTGCTGTATCCCAATGGGAACGAGGGAATTGCAGCTCCCCGGGGCCAACAATGGCGGAAACAAAAGACATGTGGAAAGTCCATGGACTTTGGGATTGACGCTTCTTTATTCAGCTGTTTGGGGTTTCTGCATGCTTGGTAATAATCCCGGAGACATGTGAAAAGAGAGAGACGAGAGAATGCCAGGGGGCGTGTCTTTGATAGGGAACTAGTCGTCGTTTTCTTTGCGAAGTGCCGTGCGAAAGCCAGTAGCAGCAGAGGGCTCTCTTCTCGTTTCTTTTTAGTCTCCGGCGATGCAGGAGTACGGAGCTGGGCGATATTAGACGGCGACCATATCCATATGTTTGTGGGTATTACGTCGATTCGCATCTCTTGGTTCAAATTGGCTGCTTGTGTCACTACGGCAAGGCACGGTATCGATGAAACAAGGCGAGGTGCTCATCTGCGCGACAGCTTTCCCATTTAGCTTGGGGGAGTTTCCATCACGTTTGTCTCAGCACAGCTGCTTTAGCAGCATCACCCATTGCTCGTAGTGCCATTGAAGATGGTCATCTGGCCAGCACGCCGACCCCTGGTCTCTGCTAGTGCTCCGGAGCATGTTCCGTGGCTGAGATGCTGCAGGGAAGTCGACCATTGAATTGCTGAGAGCGCCAAGCGAGGTCCAAATGCCTGCTCTTACAGCACCTATACGTGTACGGAGTGTACGCTCATGTAATGATTAGCTACAACGACGGATGCTTCCAAGACAGCCAAGACAGATGGACTCTGTCGACTACTGCAGCCTGTCAACCGGCCAAGCGTGGGACTAATATTACCAACGACATGACACCGCCGTCACGCTCCTCTCATCTTTATACAAAGCGTCCGCGTGCTCGTATCGCCATCGTTTGGGCAAGATTAGTATTCAAAGCAACGCTGATTCACCCATCACTTACGCAAACCGGGGGCGTGTCCAATGAATCGCGCCTCACTTGGGCTTCAGCCCCGATGGACACCCTCCTCGCCTCGCGTCCCCTTCCCTCTGGTCTGAAGGTTCCCTGTCAAGCCTAGCAAGCCGTCCGTGCGACACTCTGAGATTTGGCTGGAGTTTCTACCCTGTTTTGCACATCTTGGCCCGGCCCTAGACAAGAGACAGAAAGACGCTAGGCTTGGAGGCGCCGTTATTAGTGGGCTTTTGGTCGTTCTGAAAGTGTCCGTTGCTTTTTTTTTTCTCTCACTACTGTCCTTTTTTCAGCATGTCCTGTCACTCCCCTTGGCGGAACAAGGGAGACACAAGACGTTCCCTTTTCGTAACTTGTACGGAATACGGGGATTGGAGCTTTCCGAGCGGTGATGCTGAATCGGGATACTCCACGCCGGCTGTCGCGAATAGCAAGCCAGAGATGGGAATCCAGAGCAGGAGTACATACATACAGTACGGAGCATCGTGGCTAATTAGTCACGAATGCACGCGTCCGAGTGCATGCATTCCCACGTGCTGGCCTGTGTTAGAGCATCATGAACGAGTGTGTGTACGCCTTAGTACTGACGCGATACCGATGCAGACCCTCTATCAGTGTACCGGTACCCAGAATTGTCCGGGCCTTGAAGTAGCCCCCTAGCTTGATGGCTGCATAAACTCCGTGCCAGCCCTGATAGTACCTTGCCGTGCGGCGTATTACTGCGGCTGAGGAATGTACCGTCGGATCCGCACCCGCGTCGGTCTACCTGGCGCCAATGCTACAACACGTCTCGCCCACACATGTATGTCATCTTAGATTGTACCACGCGGTATCGGTCCGGTAGCCCCTAGAGGCAGGAACAGGTACAGGTACAGGAACAGCTGCAAAACCCGGGAACCCAGGCCAGAGGGGACCCCTACGGTGCTTGTACCTGTACCTGGGCTGTAGCATGTATCCAGACCGGGATCAACGCAGTGAGACAAGGATCAACAGTTCCCTTGGCTTGCCCCGTCACGCAACCATCTTTTCTTGCCTCGCTCATTCTCTCCTCTCTGTCTTTTTTCGGTGTCTTGTCTTGTCGTTGTCTTGCCTCGGGGCTGTACCTCTAAGTACGTGCATACAGATGCTGTACAACCAACCGTCCATCCATCCAACCACCACTTACAAGCAAAACGTAAGCCCATGTCCAGACTCATTCCATCTCCATCTCCATCTCCATCTACGAGTATACTACGAGTACATACTGCTACGTGTACTCCGTACGAGCATTATCCATTATCCATATCATATCCATACCTACCTATCTATCCCCCATCCAGCTCCATAACCCATATCCATACAAGTGTGTATGTACGTACATGCGAGTACAAGCTCCTTGATCCAGACGGACCCGGACCCGGACCCAGGCCTGCTAGTATTAGTAGGTACCTGTATATCCTATCCATATCCATATTCCATATCCATCTTCCATCCATCCATCCATCCCGCTGCTCGATCGCCAAGCCAGCCTAAACTTTGTGCTGGGACACTCCCGCTCTTCGTCCAATCTCCTCCTTCTTCTTCTCTCTCCCCGTTCTGACACGCTTCAGTCAGCCAAGTCTGCAGCCAATCCCTCTCGCGCCCCTACACGCACACACACACACACACACTCCCTTCCGTTTCTTTCACCTTAATACTCATTGGTTTTTCAGAACGGCCGGGATAGACTCCCCCCCCAACCAACATTGCATACAAAGCACGAGTGACAAACTCCCTTGAACCCAGCAGTGCGGAGAAGCTGCATTGCAGGTGCTTGGGCTTTTTTTTTTCCATGCAGGCTTCGCGCACGCTCTGCCAAGCTGCTGGTTCTGGACCCAGTCCTGAACCAACATTCCTCTTTTCGACCTGAGGGGGGGGGTGAAAGCTGGGGCAGGCCCTCTTTGTGTCCCTTTGTCGTGATCTTGTCTCTTTTCGGGGCCCGGACCCCCCATCCACGCCGCATGCCGTGGCGAAGAGACTAAGACCTGAGACCAACAAAGCACAGCATCGTCTCACTTGCCTGCGGCTGGCCTTTTGCTGCACTCACTCTCTCTTTTAGCCTTGTTCATCTTTTTGAAATTGTACCCGTTCCTCTAATCCACCTCGGCTACACCTTATTTCGACCCTTTTGGCATTTCTTTCATCCTCCTCCTGCCTCCTCCTCCTCCTCCTCCTCCTCCTTTCTCTTCTTCATGATTCCCCTTTGATGCTTTGGTAACTTTTTCAACCATTGTCACGTTGAAAACACGCATATATACACCGTATATATTACTCGTATATATATACGACTCTATCCCGGAGCGCATACATGAGCTCCGCACAAGCATCCCGGATCCTCAAGTACAACCCAGCTGAAAAAAACACTCGGACATCAAGCCCTATTGCCGCGCCGAGATCGAAAGGCCGGGCGTCCACAGCCTCCACTTGGCTCCCGAGGGCCCTTTTGCACTAGCTGTCCTGCTTGTTAATTGATAGAGCTGGGTAGCGCAACCGGAATTCCTGCAACTCCGTCTCTTTTTTGAATCTTTAACGGCTGGCATACCCACCCCCCTTGGCTCATTCTCAGCCGACTCACACACCACCACTCTCGCCTATGCAGTAGTCCAAGAGACTCTCTGCCGTCTTCCTCGCCCTCGTTCTTTAATTCGGGGTTTTTCCTTTTTTTCCTTTTTCTTCATTTCCATCTCCCAACCTTTGTCATCGTCGTCACATTGGGGGCACTTGATTCCGTTTTCTCCTTCATAATCTCTCCTGCTTGTAGCTGGACCACGGCATTATTCCCACGCCTGCAAGTCAGGTTCCTATCCGACTCTCTCACGAGGCAACCTCTCTTCCTCGGACGTAACTCTCAAAACTCATCGTCTTCTCTCATCAACATATCAAATCATGTCTCATAACGACTCTCCACAAACTCCTCCTCTGCGTTCTTCGCCTTATCCCAACGCCAGGGCAAAGCCTCCTCATCTCTTCGTTGTCGACACCTCTCTCAAGGCCCAAGAAGACGAAAGCAGCAACGACCAGCCGTGCTCACCCCTGTCACCCGTGTCAACGTCGCCCTGGGAGGATGCCTCGGCTGCATCAACCGAAGCCAGCATCCCATCGACGCCCACGACCCAAGTCAGCGTCAATGATACTCTGCCTTCGGCCTCTTTCCCTCTGCTACTTCGAGACCTCCCCAGCAGCAAACCCCAGCCTCTATCCCAATCACCCCCGTCAGAGACCATGGAGGTGAAGGTGCCCCCTGAATCAATGGGTGGCCCAATCAAGCATATCCCGCCGAAATGGGCCCTCCGCGGCGACATCTACACCTTTTCCTTCTGGACGCCTCCCTCAGCCGCTAACTCTCTGCCCGAGCATGCATACTCGCCGCTCGAGGGCAAGACGTCGTTTGCCGACGAGACGCTTAGCAGACCGGTTGGCGGGCTGAGCATGATCCAGATCCTGAGCTACAGGGACTCGCCTGTGGGGCCGTACGACGAGATGCTGGTTGCACCGGGCAGCTTTGAGTGGGAGAGGACGGAGCCCGGGGGCGAGAAGAAGAAGGGCTGCAATCCCAAGATTACGAGAATCTATGTTTCGACACCGAATAGTTGTTTCAACGGGAGGACGAGTAAGTTTGCTTTGTTTGTTGATAATTCACCTTTGTGATGGAACTGGGGGATATCATCATTCCCCTTGTCCCCTTTTTCGTTCTCATCCTCTCCAAGCCCCCCCTCCCATCCTCAACTCTGCTTATACAAGACTAACACTCCTCCTCTCAGACTGGAACACCCCCAAACATCTCGCCAAATTCGTCTGGGACCACCACCCCGACGGCTCCACCACCATCCAAATCTTCCCTCACGACGATCCCGCCAACCCGGACGAATCCCAGCCCTCGTCCCGGCCCTTCTTCACCACCACCTTCAAGCCCATGTCCCTCGTCCCGCGCTTCCCCTTCGCCACCAGCTGGGTCGACCACCTCGGCTTCAACACCACGCTCGTCATGCCGCCCCTCCCCGCCGGCAACGGCTCCTACGGCGAGCTCCCCGCCACCTCCCGCTGGATCAGCCTCGTCACCAAGCAGTACTGCGCCAGCAGCTCCGTCGGCTGGTACGACGTTGCCCAGCCCGACGGCGGAGAGGCCTGCGGTGGCCACGAGAACTTTTTGCCTTGGCTCGGGAGGTGGCAGGTCGGGCTCAAGATGAAGGACGCCGACCTGACGTTTGAAATCCCCGACGAGACGTGGGAAAGGGGCGACGTGATTGGTGAAGCTTCGACGCCGAGGGCAGCAGACGAAAAGACTTTGACGCCGCAGGAACAGGCAGCGCTGCTAAGACCAAGGCAATGGGGTTCAGGCAACTTCCTACAAGATTATTTCTTCTAAAAGAAGAAAACCCAAAAAACCAAAACAAAAAAAAAACCTCTACTATTCTTCAACTCAGGGGAAATAAAAAAAAAAAGTCATACGGAGGCAGTCTTTTCCAACGAACCAAAAATATACACGACGGCGCATCAACAGGGGAATCTAAGAAACGGAAACACGGCAAACCAGGGAAATACTCATTTTTCTTCTCTTTTCTTTTCTCTTTTTTTTTTTTTTTTATTTCGGGGCTTTGACTCACAATCCCTTCCATGGATATGCATACATATATACACCATCCACATCACATATATACACATACATACAACATACACACACACACCTTCTCTTTACCAAAACCTCTTCCATACAATGCAAAAAAACCAAACACAAAACCCACTCAAACTAATTCCAATCCTTTTAAACAATCCGAGCAAAAGAGGCGTTTTTTGTCAAATAAGGGGGTGGTGTTTTTTGCTAGCAATTCACGGGAACGAAAAAAAAGACGGTCTTTTCTGCGTTTTACCTTTTCTTTTTACACCCCTCTTATTATCCATCTCCCCCCTTGCTCGAGACACCAGCTTATTCTCTCCTTTAATTTTCCTTTCCTCTTTACATGTTGTATTCCATATAGCGACGAGTCGATTGAATCATTTTCCTTAATACCATATACCTAGATAGAGCTTTCATTGTTACAACGGCCTTGGTACATGTCATATACGGTCTCAGATTGCAAAATCTTCCTCAATCAAAATCTCACTATTGCCATCCAATCCATCCAAAGCCCCAACTCATTCTTCATCCTTCACTCTTTGTGTGATGAAAACGGGACAGATAGAGCGCGTAATGTATCGTATTGTGCAGTCATGAAATCTACCTATCTAGCATGCCAAAACAAAAAAATCCCATCGCCGCGCAATCTTCTTGCTACAGTCCGCCCCCAATTCATTCCTTCAAACGAACAAGAACAGAAGAATGAAGAAGAGTAATAAAAATCCCAAGGCCCAACAAACCCCCAGCGCCGTTGCAATGATTTCGCCAATCCCATCAGAGCTCCCCTCTGTCCTCCTTGCCATGTCATGCCTGCCTATGCAGCCTTTCTCCCCGGTCTAACCAAAAAGTCGTTTGCTAACATGTCATACACACACACACACGGCTCCCCCTCTTTCTCGCCCTCAATTAAGAAAAGGTCTCGTCCATGTAGCCTTGCCGTACGGCTCATGACAACCTCGGCGTGCTCACCTGCCCCCTTCAATTTCGCTGGTATATTGATCCAAATTTGTGTCCTTTAGATCAAGAAAAGAAGAAAAGAATAGAAAAAGAGAGAGTAGTGTCAAACTATAATCTTGCCTCTTGCCTCCAAGAGGCTTCTCTTGTCGTTCTGGCGGCCGCCATATAACATCCGCCAGGGATCGCAAGGCCGTTCTTGTCTTCATGGTCGGACTTGCCGCAGCCACTCTTTGATAAGAGAAATATAAAAATTCCAATGCGCGCACGCTGTACACGATACTTTGCTGTCGCATTCAAGGTTTCAAGATGAAGCATCGTGGCGCCGACTGAGATCCAGCGATGGTTCTGCCCATGTCACCGAGCCCGTCACAAGGATGGATTGCCGTTGCGCCCTGCTCCCGGTTCCCAACTTGGTTCCTATCTGGACACCACGGATTTCGCTGTGGTCCTGGGGTTTAAGTGCGGCGACTCCGAGGAGCCACCACCTCTCGGGCATAAAACTCCACTAGCATGGTGGCATATGCCTCCAGCTCTTCCACCGGAATGGCAAGTCGGAAGTCGTTGAGCACTAGGAATTGAAGTTCCAAGTGGTTCAACTCGGGAAGAGGAAGTCCACCAACCTGTCACCAAGGGGTTAGTTACGGTACAATCTCACACGTTGTTTCCCGTGGAAAAGTCTCTTTCCTACCTTTGCGTATCGCGAGTTGGTGTAAAAGACATCAGAAAAGAACTTGCTAGAGCAAGTTACTCCGGCGATGATGAGTCGGTGGATGTTGAAGCTGTCCACTACAAAATACGTTGCCGGTGTCGGCAGGCCGAGAGAGCGCTCGGGAACGTGCGTGGCAGCGCTTCTGGCCGCCTCCCGAGCGAACCTGGTCGGGGGGTCCACCATGACCTCGTCGTCGCTATCGTCGTCGTCGGCCAGATCCTCGTCGCTTTCGTCGGGACTTCTAGAGGCATCGCCCATCGGGGTGTCGTGCGACGCGACTGAGGCGGACCCTCGCGTCCGCGACGTTGACGACCGCCTGCTGCGCTCGGTGCGAGAAACCATATCGTTGACCCTCTCCGTCATGCGGTCAAAGTACACCAGCAAGCTCAAGAAGACCTCGTACGTGGTCGGGCAGTACTTGTCGATTCGCGAAAGGTAGCTCAGGATCGTTATAGCCGGAACGTTCTTCCCGTGGAACGCGAGCACCGAGTGGCTGAGCGGGCTCATCTGGGAGCCGCCGTGGGGATCCGCGGTCTGGTTGGCCTGCTGCTGGTGGGCAACGTTGCGCTGCATGGCATCGTGCTGCAGGTCATTTGTGGTTGTGATTTTGGTCAGCAGAGCAGCCACCATTTCGATGACGTCTGCAATGGGCATTGCGCTGATCTCGTACTTGGTCTGGTGCAGCGGCGGGTCGTGGAGGATGCCCGACCGGTCGGCGGCACCCGCCAGGTCGGCCTCGGCGAGCTTTTCGATGTGGGCAAGATCCCGGATATGGATGACATTCTGCTCGGGGGCGGCCGCGGCTTCGGCGTTGGACACCAGGTACGAGTCGGGCGGGCCAGATCGCAGCGGATAGTCATCTGAGGTAGGTGAAGGTTGCTGGTTCTGGGGCGCGGCTATGCTGGAGGATGGCGGCTGCTGGGGCAGGCCCGGTGCGGAGACGTTGTCTCCCATCTGTGTTGCCATGGACGCACGATTCGCATCGTCGGCGGCGGCAGGGCCGGGGGCAGCTGCCGGGGACGACGACGGCGGCGGCGAGGGGAAACGCGACGCTCCGCCAGAGGCCGCGCGCGATGCGGACTGTCCTGCCAGCGCCTGGCCCTGCTGCGCCGGTCTGGCTCCTCTGCTGGAGATGTCTGAAGCTGGTGTCTGAGACCGCGGCACGGAGCCAGACAACCGGTGCCGGCTGGACGAACGGTAGGGAGCAGCCGAGTCGTGGGCCTGGCTATCTTGTCGCTGGGGGATGGAGGATGTCGATGTCGATGTCGAGGAGCTGGAGATCATGCTGTGGAAGCGCGAGAGGTCAGGAACAAAGTCGCCGATGACGGCTGCCATTGCGTCGTATGGCGGGGGGGGAGAGCGCGCGCGTATTGGAGTTGAAAATGGAGATGGATTTGGATTTGGGGGAGGAGGATGCGGAATGCGGCTGCGACCGGCCCAGGTGGGAAGGAGAGGCACAAGGAAAAAAGTATTAAAAAGGGTGGCCAACTAGAAGCGCAGGACAAATCATTAAAAATTAGCAAAAAGGAGACGTGGGCAGTCGTTAAGGAAGGATTCGAACAAATACAGCTGCGACAAGCGCAGTTGAGGTTGAAAAGAGGAGAAGAGGAAGAGAGAAGAAAAAAAGGCAAGTTGAGTCCGGTAATGGGGAGGGGAGATGTTGGTTCAGGGAGCTGCAACGGCAGACGAACCGCTGGTTTAGCGGCGCCAGACAGTTGAAGAAGCGCGCTGCAGGGAGCGGGTTAGGGGCCACAGTGGTATCAGCAGTGGGGATTAGCGAGCAGCCAGTGAGGAGGATAGTTCGACCACATGCAATTGTCGACGACTCAGCGAGCAGAAGCAGGCCAGAGGTCGCGACAAAAAGCCGGAGACGGCGGAAAGGATGGAGGGGGGGAGGAACCAGATATGAGATGACGCTTGTCATCAAGGGGTTTTGGAGATGGCTTGGTTTGGTTTGTGTTGTCTTTTGTTCTTTTGTCGTCGTCTCTGCTTCTGCTTCTGCTTGTGCATTCATCTGCATGCAGTCTGTCTGTCTGTGATATCAACTCATCTCAACTCAGTCATCAGCAACTGACAGACGGCATCCCATCATCGGCACCGACATCGCTCTCCATCCGCCCGCGATCATCTCTCAACAACGCCATGAATCGAAACGAAAAGAAAACAGCCCTTCCGCCCGACAATCCCCCCCATTAAACCTCAAGGCGACCCCGATGGCACTCGCCCGGTCCTCAGTGGCGTCGTGGCCCATCGCATCTGTGGCGCCGCCGCTCAGCGTCACTCACAGTGGGTGGCAAATGCCATGAACGGCAATGCTGCGGATGGAGCTTGTGCTAGGCGGAGATAGGCAGGTATGGGCATGGCATGGCATGCGATGCGAGCAAGCAGGTAAGGGAGGCTCTAGCATGTGCCTGAGCTCGGGAAAATCCCCATGCAACGGCATCCATTGAATGGTTCATGAAAGCGGGGGCATGCAATGCGAGAGAGAGGGAGGGGCAGAAGCAGGGCGGGAAGACGGAGAAAAAGAAGAAGAAAGAAGAAGGAGAAGAGGGATTGGGAGAAACAGGGCAGAAGAGAAAAAGACACTCACTCACAGTCGATGTGGATGGAGGGGGAGATGGCAAAGCTCGCTATTTGATATGATATGATACCAAATAATGTGTGTGCGGGTGGGTGTGTATAAGAGATACCAAGATGCAAGTATCGTATCTTATATAAAAATAGAGGCCGGTATGAGGGGTTGGGCTCCAACAAAAATCCGACGTCGACCGACCAGGACACAGCGCAAAGCAAAAAAAGACGCCAGCGAAAAAAACCAGGATAGACAAGCGGGCAAGGCTCAATCTGCTCGCGATCGGATCGATCTCGCAAGCAAGGGTTGCTTCTCGGAGAGGCAAAACCGTTAATTAACCACGAGTTGCCAGCCTCAGCTCCGTGAGAAGCAACTTGTCCGGCCGGCTGGGTATGGGGCGTCCAGGTAGATAACGCTACTAAGGTAGCTAGCTCGTCGTCAAGCTCGCAAGCAGCGCTGATGGCGTGGATTGACGGCCGTTGGTCTCGTTCTGGGATCGGAGCTGAAGCCGCGGGAAAAAGAGGGGGGGTAAAACAGAACTGCAACAGGAGGAGGAGAGGAAGAGAGAAGGGGGGGGGGGGGGGGGGGGGGGCGACAAGAACAGGACAGAGATGAAGGAAATGGCCCTACTCGTACGTGCCAACCCGGTATGTGCCCGTGTATGTATGTATGTAGGTATGTATATGTAAGGTAAGATGTGCGTATACCTGGATGTATGTACGAGGATATGTACGAGTACGTATGACAAGAGTGATTGGCGGTGGAGATTCGTCCACCAGATGGCAAAAAAGACGTGGCCCAGAGCAGCCGCGGCTTTGCCTCTCCAGCGAGATTGGCGATGGGGAGGAGGCCCGGATCTCTGGGATCGATCTCAAGTCTCTCTCAGGGGGGGAGGCAGAGCACAGGCACAGGCAACCGAGTTATGGGAGGCGTTATTGGAATGAGCAAAAGGCAACGGGCAGAGGAATTAAAAAGGTTAAAACAAAGGGAAATGGGGCCACGCTCGGTCAGGTCAGGGCTCAGAAAGCAAACACGGGAGCGGGAAACAACGGGGTGTCCACTAATTAAACTGAAGGAGGACGAATTCGATCAACTACAGTCACTGGCTGGCTGTTCAAGATAGGCTTGATAGGGTACTTGTAAACTCGTATGTCGTTCCATCTCAGCTCGCTTACATGACAAAGTTCCGTCGCTGCCGCCAACACCAGTCAGATACTCGTATGACGGCACCATGAGGAAGAAGAGAAAGACAAAGTCAGCACCATCGAAAGAAGAAAACAAGCACAACAAAACCACAGGGCCAGCAAAAATACAGCGCTGTCCAACCCCCGTCCAACGTGCCCTGCTCTCTTTTCCAGCACAGCACCGCAGCTCCGATCCTGTACGTGCTTCGTGCCTCTGCCCTGCATCTCATAGGCCAGGCCCGGACCCTCGAATCGCTGCGCTCCCAGCCAAGACATGCAGCACGTGGGCTGTCCCAGAACCAGGGTCCCTTTTTTTTTTCTTGCGTGCGGCTAAAGCAGCAGCGCCACAGCAACAACAAGCTGCAACCAGCGCCACGGCGATTTTCGGCGGCCCTTCAAAACCGCATGGATGGCGACACACTCCGGTAACACGGCGGCTTGGCTTGTTGAGTTGACCTGCTACAGTAAGGCACATAATATGCATCGTGCCGTTTCGCCTTACTTTTTCGTCTTCTCACGCAGCACCAGATACCAGGCATCATCCTTGGCTCACTAATACAAATGCGTGCCGAGCTGGACTGAACCTGAACTAGAACTGAAGCAACAAGCTTCCAAGTCAAGTCACACGGACCCCTTTCTTCCACTTGCCTTTCCCCTCTCCAGATCAGATGCCAAATGACGCCTCTTGACCATCCCCGGTTGCTCTACATAGTATTACTTACCGTATACGTCAGTCCTGGAGTAACAAGAAAAAAGTTTGCCGCCCAGGACTTGGCTCAAGGCGTCACCCGAATGCTTAATTTCGCTGATCTGCCCTCCATCCAAGGGCCCAGTGGGGGGGGTTGCAGATCAGTTCCGTCAAAATCCAAGTGCTTTTCATCAGTCATTGGCGCAGGTCCACTCTGTAATTGGCCATTCGTGTGTGTACCTACTCCGTAGCTGTAGCTGCTTCGACTTGAGCCTCGCACATCATCGAGATCGTTCACTTCATTATACAGTTGTTGATCACCGTCTTTGTGCCCCAACAGTGCCAAAGATGGAGCGTGCTCGTATGACCGACCTGCGGTAGAGAACCTTGGGTAAGAAAAGAGCTGAAGCTTTGCTAGATAAGCAGCCTCGCATCTCTGACATACGTCACTTGTGAAGCTTTAATATCCTACTCCATAGTTCTAAGCTCTTCCTACATGGCAAAAAACCACCAACGGCCCGTTCTCCTCAGCGCCTGTCTAGCCAATTTGCGTCATATCTCTCTCTCTCTCTCTATACATATCAATAATGCTGCAATACAAACACATTCATCACACAGCATCAAACCACTCACTCACTCGTCCTTTTCCTCTTTTGTCTCGTTCTGCCCCCAGGGCTTTCGGGCCGCCTCCATCCCCACTCCCGCAACCTTGTTTTTAACACCACGCTCATGCACAAAAAGTACCCTGGTTCTGCAAAGCAGCAATAGCTTGATTCAATTCTCTTTTCATTTAGCCATTGGGATACAGTGAGGCATTTCGTGTCCTAGTCGCCTGCTCTTGAGGGTGCAAGCATGTGCCCGCACTATACATCTTTAACTGAATCCAATATCTACCAAAGTAGTCTGCGGTCATTGGCCGTCTTTCTTTCGTTTCTATTAAGCCTAGTCCCAGTCGGCCTGTCGAATCCTGACACATGCAGGGTGCTTCACCTAAGCTATCAAGCAAGGGCTCATGGATTATAACCCACGGCTACAACTGGCTCCGTCATCAATCATCCTCTACTCATGTCGCACCTTGTAGTCTGTATCCGGTAGGTACAGGTGTCGGTCAGCTCCCTTCTTGGTCAAGACAACCATGCGAATAACACCACCAGAGCTTCCGTCCCATTTGATGGCCTCTCTTAGCGCTCCCTTGACAAAGTTGACTGCCTCATCCTCTTCCATGCCCTCCTTCCAGTTGGCGTCACAGTATCCGTAGATGTATGTCGACCCTGAACCGCCAATTGCGTATGCCTGCTTGTGCAATGAGCCTCCCAGAGGAATAGAGTACACCTGGCCACCGAATCGCTCGTCCCAGCCCGCAATAATCAGACCAGCTCTATGCAGCGTCAGTATCTGTCCATATATGATTCGGAAGAGGGCATGTCACTGACGATAACATGTCCTTGTTGGCGTAGCAAATCTCTTGGAAAATGGAGGCCGCCGTTTGTGTCATCGGGGGCCTGCCGCTAGTCATGGCAAAGAGGCCCAGCTGGTACTGTACAATGTCGGCAACGGCCTGTGTGTCGGCGGCTGAGCCGGATCGGCAGCACCAGATGGTGTCGTGTACTCGGGTCAGCTTGTCTGTCACTCGGTTGGCAATGTAGGCGCCGGTTGTTGTTCTCGAATCGGCTCCTGTAGACCCAGTGGTCAGCTTTTCCCTTTTATGGGTAGACCGAAGAGTGCATCTCTGCTGATGCCCACATACCCAGGATAACTCCATCCTTGAATGTCACAGCCATACTGTCATATCGTCAGGTCAATTCAATGGATCGCTTCGGCGGGGTATGGAGCGTACATGGAGGTTCCCAAGCTAGACATCAGTCAGTAAAAGCAACCCAGACAGCTTCTAAAGCACCAACTCACTTGACTTCGCCCTTCTTCAACCGATCCATATCGACATGAATGCCATCTAATTGTCCAGCAAGTCAGCGAGGGGTCATCGGTAGAATGCCGGACAGAAGCTCGCAATCGCACCTTCATTCAGCACACCGGCACGGCCAAACTCCATGATTGCGGATAGTATTCAGTGTAGAATCGTACAAGTAGTGGTTATTCGGAAGCGTGGTGAAAACAAGAGTCGTGTGCTGTTGATTCGTCGTGGTTCTGCGGTTGTCTGGGAAGGCTGGAGCTCGACTAGCAGTTCCGCCACATCAAAGCTCAGGCAGCTCTGAGAACGCGCAGCCGCGCCGCCGCCCCACATTTCGGAGCAGCACATGATATCGCACGTGATGTTCAAGTTGCGTATACGAGTATTCGACAGAATCAAGCACGAAATAACGACGTATTTGAGGGAATCAAGTAGGATGAATAGATGAGTCCTTTCTCTTGAGGTGCTTTCAATGGTCATCCATATTCTTTCTGTCTGAAAGTAAGAGCGGTGGCATGTGCTATATAAGAGACCTGCCTAATAATAGGTAGCACCAACATGAACAGGAGATTGTTGCCTATTATAATTAATGGACAGTATATTGAAAAGTTCTTTGTAGACAGTTCTCTATATCTACCTCTAGATAGTCGTTATTACAATTAGTTCGGTTCTATTCTTTAATAATTTCCGTTTCAGCCTTGGCTTCCTCCTTCTTCTCTCCCTCCTTGCCCTTGTCACCCTTCTTCTTCCCACCCTCGTCTCCGCAGCCACAGTCGTAAAAGTCACCAATGTTGTTGCAGTCAAAGATTTCCTTCTTCAGTCTCTCGTTGACCTGGTTGTGCACAAAGCACAGCCACCCGGCGGCCGCATTCCGACTGCTCGTCTGGGGAGGGTATTTTGCCAGCAGCCCTCGGAAGTGCCTTGCGCAGTCGCCGCAGGGGTATAGGCGGCTGAAGAGGTAGATGAACGTCTCGAGGGTTTTGCGCTCTTCGGCTGAGGGCTCCTCGGGGAATCTAGCGACCATTGTGTGCATAAACTTCCATGTTGCACGACCCAGCTCGGCCCTGTTGGTTGCAAGCGTTAGAAGACGACTGGTCCTTGTATACCAAAGGCATGACATCAAATGTCAGATGTGTGTATATATGTAGAGACATACTTGAGCGTTGCATTCTCCAGCTTGGGGGCTATTGACTCTCCGTCAAGCAGGCTAGCTGGCATGCCACCCAGGTCCACTTTGAACTCCGACTTGGGCTCTCCCGCAGGCTCACGGATTCGGTCCACATCGTGGCTGGACGAGCCGGACAGGAAGTACGAGATGCTGAGGAACAGGACGACGACCAGCAGGATGGACGCGGTGAGGTGCTGGCGACGCGCCATGGTGGAATGTCAGGGACGGCGCTCCCTTTGCCGATTCATGAGAGGGCAAGAGGGTTAGGAATCCAGACGACTGGAGACACGGTTTCGATGTCGCATGATGGGCTCGCGCCACACCGCGGTCGGGGCGCCACAAGGGAGGTTGATGGGACCACGTTTTTTGGAGTAGTGGGGTCTTTGGTGCGCCACGATTACAGGCACGTTTTCGATCGATCTGTGGCTGAGATGGGATGCCATTATAGGCTACCCTACAACAGCCCATTGAGAAGGCGATTTGTACTCGACATGTATCCAACTAGCGGAGTTGGAGGGGGCTTTGGAGTTGTGCTTGCGTGGGTATTTAAATTGATAATTCTTTAAAAATATATACATATTCATTGTAAAGAGGCGTATGCTATTCATACCTAGTGAGCCATATGAGTTATCTTGAGAGTGAGGGAGGAAACAAAACACCAAAAAAAAAAAAAACGGCATTCATTCAACTATCATCCACAACAGCCTATACACTTTCATTCTATAATCAATCAAGCAGTATATTTATGATATCGACACTACACGTGCCACACGATTTGCCATCACCAACGCATACGACTGTAAGGTCATTGGCTGAAACGCCGTATTTCACCGCGACCACGCCATCTCACCAAAAAACATCGGTCATGATATAATAAGTACAATATCACTACCAATCATATCGCCGTAGATGTATTCGTAAAGTATGTTAGTGCACTATAAACTCTCAAGCAGAGGATACAACAGAAGCGAATACGCCCGTGGCATTTCGAATTCAGGAGATAAAGTCGGGGGCATCTACATACCCTGTTACGGTGAACTTAGGGAATGACTATCCAGCACTGTAAGTTGGCTACCAAGTATCCCGTACCCTGAGTTTAACAGATACTAAAAGAAAGTACCGATAGCAGAAGATACTTGAAGAACAAATTACCCAGCAGATAAAGTCGTTTCCTCTGTATCATATCACAACACTTGGACTTTATCTAATCTACGGGGGGGTTGAATAGCCATTAACTAATCTTACCATAATAGATAGGTAGGTAGTGCTAATCCTGAGATGACACCCGTATTTCTTGTCGGGTACTACATACCTTGAACCGTTTGACCGGTGGGTGTCTGGCGACCACACTTGGACGGCTGATAGCCAGACTGTAAACTCGATTGCACCATGACTCCCATTTTGGAACCACCAAGATACGAAAATAATAAGTTCATTCCACTCCATGTTGACGAAACTCAAAGCGAAACAACTGGCTACCAAACATGTTACTGCTACTACTACTGACTTTTGGATGGTGGCACATCGAAGATTATGTTACGGTACAGTGTAAGTAGGTACCTAGATAACAAAAAATATACAAAGACTATGTAGTCACTGCTGAAATACAGGTATTGCACACCCTTCCTCTCGGCATGCATTCTGCTTCGACATTCCGTTTCTTGAAGGTGGTAAACACAGACAGTATACATAGCAGTTATTGCTTCTTCACATATTAACATCGAATATACTCCGTATATACGTCTTTACGTAGTATACAAATGACGTCAATGGAGGATGTGACTCAGGTCGCAGGGAGGAGATGGACGCGAGAAACACGAGGGAGGTATCGAGTCTTCAAGCCACTCACTCCTGATCATATCAATGTGTTAGACTGAGACTAAGTTGCTTCTCTGCCGCATAATTCGTTATCTACAAACCATCAAATCCATCTTTTCAGACCATGTGTGTAATTTTTCTTTATTTTTGCTGGCAAAGGTTGGTAAAACATCATTCTAGCCGCAGAAGGACGTCTCCCCATTTCCCTAGGCCCTTGGACGACAGCAGTTTATCGTTGGTTTACATCGCTTCCCACCAAATGAAGGATCTGCCAAGACTCTATCCCAAGGCTAGGCGGTGATGGTCAATTTCAGTTAGCACCAGCTCGTATCCTTAGTAGCAATCCTCTGTTGGGTTGTATACAGACACCTCCTTTTTTGGCTGCCACTACTGCTTATACTGAAGGTACGTCGTAGAATAAGCCCAAATAGGTGCAAGTACATGTAAATGGATACGCTCTCCAAGTCTATGCGGTATATACTGCCAAGCTCAAGGTACGAATGACGACAAGTCACGATGCGGAGCTGACAAGGCTGAGGCTGATTCACCACCTGACATCTCCAGGGCGTGCAGCTCCCTAGCCTTGTAAGGTCGAGGTCAAGGCGCAACGGATGTCCGCTTTGAGAATAAGTCGACTGACACTATTTGTTACAGATGGAGCGCGCGAACCTGTTCGGCATGTGGGAGCGTGTTCTCGTATTAGCTCTACGCCAACACTGGTCGATTACGGCAGACTAGAGTAGTATCGCATGCCTGAAAAAAAGGAGGCCAATCCATGTCTCGGTTTGAGGAGAGAGAGGCTTCAGCCTCGACGAAACAAAAACACTGGGCACTGCCGCTAATGGTCTGAGACTACGGATTCTCCATCGCAATATACGCGTAGTAGTCGATCTTTTCGAAAAAGAACCTTAGAAACAAAAAAAAAAAAGGGCTTGTTACAGGTTGCGTCGACACGCATTCCAGCTCCAGTCCAAGTATGTACAAGTTCGAGGTACCGTTGAAATGAGCGGCTGCGGTGTTGACGGTGCGCGAGCGCCAATAGCGGCAGCTTGGCACCCCCGTAATCTCACGCCTTTTCGCAAGAGCCAAAAAAAGATTTGATTGAAACTTGAAGCTCCGTACGGAGGCGGTGGGTTGCATACGGCCATTGCCGTTTCTGTGCGCCTTGACGGCCAGAGACCAACTGGAGGGCCGCACGTGCATTCGACATGCATTTACAGTACATAGTACGAGAGGAGACGAGACGGGTGGCCTCACTTGGGAGAAGCAAAGGGCATTAGCTGCTGCTACTACTTGTTGGTGTGTGTACAGTAGAGTACAGTACGTGTGGGAGCCTGCAGCAATGAAATATAAGTTATTATGCCTGCAAAGTATGGCTCCTATACGTCAATCTTATTGAACAAGCACGAGGACTCGCATGTGGCAATGATAAGTCGCAGCAACTGGTTCGTTACACAGCAATTGGAAGCCGTGATTGGGCCAGCGGTTACATAAGCCGTGGATGCTCTCCAAATGAGGTGATTTTGCTGTGCATGTCTTTGATTATCCGCTGGTCTGGAAGGTGCCGGATGATCTGATTTGCATGAATTATCTGCTTTTAGCGGCTCGCTTCCTTGGAAATGACCATCTGATAGCAGTAATTGATCTACGCTCAGTGTGTGCCATGTATTGAGTACCTGCAACAGCTCTGCGCTCAACACTTGTCAGCATGTAGAGAATACCAAGCGCCTTGGCAGCAGGATTCCATCGAAGCATCTGAATCACTTTGTCGATGGCGCGCGTCCAGCCTCGTCTGCTCTCAGTCTTTAGCGCCAGGGACTATTGAGCCGGCGACGCTAAGGCCGGTGACAGCTAATGGCTTGCAGCAAAGAGGCGATTCAATGTCAACGGCGAGCCTGAAGCAGCCGCGGTGGGAGTGTACGGAGCACCGGAACAGAAAACAATAACCAGAAAAAAAGAACAAAAAAAAAAAAAAAAATCCCAAAAGAAGACGAAGAACCAGGATAAGAAAAGTGGTACGTGCTGAAGAGGACATCGTGGGCCATGGCCGCGAATCCAAGCAACACCAAGTACCTCTGCTGCCAATCCGCAGTGCCAGAGTACTTGCTCGCGGCCCCTGTCGTTAATATTAAAGGCACGACGCCAATCCTGCCCCGAGACGAGCTAAGGCTCCTAGCGCCCTTGCCATTGGTCCAGGAACCCTTCCGGCCGCCAGGGGTTGGCGCGGGTGCTCGTTGAGGGAGCGCAGGTACCTCGCAGGTCACTCGTCGCACATCACCGAGAGGCACGAGAGCTCCCACAGACGCCCTGGGGTCCCCTGTCGTGGAATCAAGGCAGCAAACTTGGACCGGTAGGGCAGCTCAGGAACGCTTCCAAGGGCTTCTCTCTCCACCGCCAGACGTGCAGATGGATTCCACGAGGCATTTTCGACGGGTTCGCCATACTGTACGGAGTATACGAGTACTCGTACATGCAGAAGCTGCCCATGGGAATCAGGCGACAACCCGTGCTGTGCGGGATGCATTAGCTGAGATGCCGTGAGCTCTTACTGCTTACAGGTGCTTGAACCTGCTCGTGGCGGAATACAAATCAATTGATCCAGTGCGTAATACGAAGCTCACGCGCGGTCGACCATTGGGCGCACAACGAAATTACGCCCAAGGAATCCAATATACTAATGCGCATTGCTGTCTGTCGGTGTAAGTACCTACATACAGTACTTGACCACTACTAGGTAATACTCATTACAGCACAGTATGATACTAGGTACTGTACTCGTACTTGTCCTCGTAAGTACGTGTAAATGGGCAACGAATAATTGCAAGCCACCACTGAATCGCAAACCTCTGGCGTCTGCTTGTGGCAGGTGATGCTCCGTTGCACGGCATGCCTCCGCCAACTTCGGCAATGAGCTCGACCAGCTTCTTCCACGGCAATCTGAGGCAACGGCGATTGATCGACGGGTGTAGAAGGAGGAGGAGAAAAAAAAAAAAAAAAACTCTCCAGGCGAGGTTGGTAGAAACAGCCGGCGGTACTTGCGAGGTACCTGAAGCCGTTTCGCCCGCCGCACCACACATCTAAAAAAAAATCACCCGTAGCGTGGGCCGGTGGGGCTCTGGCCAATGGATCAGAAGGTCACTGGTTTTACCCCTGGCCCGCCCCGAGTCGACTGTTGGGGCGGTACCTGACGCGTGTTTAAGGTCGGTGGAGGGCCGCGGTGGGCGCACCGCAGGACTTGGCCAGACGCCGTAACGCAGGCCAGGTATCGCGCTATTGCAGCGTCCACACCGGTGCGACCACGAGCTGGTACCAGGCCCGTTTTGGCGGGTGCAATTTCCAACCGTGGCAGTGCTTGGTTGTGCGAGACTCGCACGCATGAATCAAAAGTTTCTTTGACGCTCGCTTGGGGCAAGGGATCCCTTGGGAAGCCTGGAGTCTCGGCTACGCTTGCAAAGAACTTGCAGGTATCAACCTGGTATTCTGGGATCCTGGGATCCGCCGCTGGACGTACCTGGATGTATGTACCTGGACGTACGAGTGCTATGTACAGTACTGTACCTGCAGAGCGGCCAGAGACTTCCCGCTGCCGCTGACGGTACCTGGCTTGCCGCCCGTTGACGCATGCTGGCGCCCTGTACTGCCGCCAGACTGCGAGGTACTGCACTGGGGCCATGCATCGCGACGTTGGCTGGCGCTGTGTGCCCTCCATTCCACACAAGCCCGCGCGCAGGGACAACCCCAGTCTCATTGTGTGACATCGGGGGGTGTTGGTACGAGAACCTCTAGTACGAGTACGTGCAGTACAGTACTCGTACAGCACTCATTCTTGCTGGAGGTGACGAATACCGCTTGTACCGTACTGTATACGATACTCGTACTCCGTACCTAGCCTAGAGATTTAATCAAGCTCTCTCCCGGCCTGGCCTTGAAACGAGCCTCTGTGGGGAGCAGTTTGCAGGTACCTGCGCATCCCCTGTCAGCCCAGCACCCCCGTACCTGTACTTGCCTCCTCGTGCGCCGCCCCGTACCTCCACACCGCAGCCGCTGCCAAACGGTACTTGCCCTGCACCTGCCAGGCGGTATCGTGACGGTCGGGCCTACTGCCACGGGCGCTAGAGCTCTTACGACTTAACAATCTCTGTCCTCTCTCCTCTTTCTCGTTTCCCTTCCCCTGCCAGATGCCACACCCCCTGGGGGCCCTGTTTGTGTCTCCCATCCACTGTCTCTCGTTTCCTCTGGGCCATCTTCACGGCTGCGTCTGCGTCTGCGTCTTATTTCCTCCTCCCTCTCCCTCTCCCGCCCGTCCCATCCTCCCCCTCCCAATCCATCGCCATCCCGCTCATTCGACAACTTCTCGGCGACGGTTCCCCCTTCGGCTCTCGACCCAGCGCCGCCCGCGCGTCAACGCCCTCTGTCGAGATTCGGTTTCTTCATGACTGAATGACCTTGGGGCTTCGGGAGCTTCTTGCGACTCTACACCTTCGTTCGACTGCTTTTGCGGGACCAAAACGCCGCTGAGCTTCCCCGGTGACGGACGCTATATGACGATTGATTCAACACCACGACACTCCTTTATTACTTTTTTTTCGTCGCACATACGCACCGGTACACGGAGATAAAACCAAAAAGTGAGTGGTTATCAGATGCGCCAGGCTGTTGGAGGAAGGACTGTGTTGGACGAGAACAATAAGAGCAAGGAAATTGGGGGCTATCAATGGAGACGTTGTTTGCGCACCCGCACCAGTGGTCATCCGGCTGGCAGTTGATATTCTTGAATGGCATTTATGGAATTGTTCGATTGGGGAAAAAGGAAAAGAAGAAATCGACAATGGCCGGGAGATGACGCAAACCTCGAATGGGGAACTATTGGTGTAAATCAGTACTGAAGAATATCTGCTAACATGTCCTCCCAGACTAACACACGCTCATTGACACTCGTCAAGTACATTCGTTGAAACTTGTTTCTGACAGTGAGGCATTCTGTCCAATTTGCAGCTTTTGCTTTCTCATTCAATTACGCATGGCTGACTGGAGGAATAGTATATTTGCCACAACATAAAACTCCACATTCCTTTTTATCACAGGATATATACACTCATTACTCTAAACCACAACTGGGAAACGATTCGCAACCATGCAGACCAAGTCGCTTCTTTTGCTGGCCACCCTGGCCATGTCGGTGGCCGCAAAGGCTGATCGTCCTCACATCTACTACCCTCACAAGGTCAAGCGCGACTTTGCTGGTTCCAACTCAACCATGACGACCGCCTCATCCACAACCAGCACCAGCGCCGGCAGCACGACCAGCAGCGCGACATCGCACACTCCGGGCTTCCCTGGTGGTATTCCCGACCTCTTTGGGGACCACTCGACCACTAGCAGCTCTTCCACCAGCAGCTCGTCGTCGAGCAGTTCGGCGTCCAGCAGCAGCTCATCCGAGAGCAGCTCCTCGGTCTCGGGCAGTGTGACGACCATCGTTACGAGAAAGACAATCATCGTTACGCCTACGCCTGAGGGTGCTAGCAGCAGCTCGCCTACTCCCTTCAGGCCTCACAGAAGCCGCACCCGCAGGCCCCCTTCCGGGACGGCACCCTCAGGAACCTCCAGCCAGGCTTCCTCTACTTCTGCTCAGTCGTCGTCCTCTGACTCGTCTTCTGCTTCGACTTCCGCCCCTGCTGGTACCTCGTCTTCCCAGGCTTCTTCCCAGACCACCTCTGCTCCTGCCGGAACCAGCTCTTCTGATTCGTCCTCGTCCTCCTCGACCAGCTCTGGTCTGGATCTCGGCCTGAGTCTCAGCCTTCCCCTTGGAGGCAAGTCGACTACTTCCACGACTTCTTCTGCCGCTAGCTCTGCCGAGACGACACCTCCTCAGACGACCTCTTCTGACAGCGACTCTCAGTCCTCTTCCTCTTCCCGGGCCACTTCCAGCAAGGCCACCGAGACTGGAATTGTGATTGACCCCACTGGCGTCCGCTTCCCCTCGACTACCGCTCCGGCTCAAACTGAGTCTTCCAGTGCTGCCTCCACCAGCAGTGCTCCTGACAGCACCAGCGCCCCAGGCAACTCCACCATTGAAGATGTCAGCTCTACCTCCACCTCTGCGAAGCCGTCTTCGACTGGTGGTCTTTTGGACCCCATCAAGTCCATCTTGGATCCAACAAAGTCCTCCACTACCACCTCTCCCCCCGAGACAACCGGACCAGCTTACGAGACTTCTTCTGGCCTGCCGGTCCAGTCGTCGCTCCCTGGTACTGGATCTTCGACGTCTTCCAGCGGTCTCCCTAGCATTTCTCTTCCCTTGACGCTGCCACCCGTGATTCCTACCGAGACCTCATCGTCTGCTCCCGCCAGCTCGACCTCAGATGGAGCCAACACTACTTCTTCCGGAGCGTCGTCAACTTCTTCTGGTATCAGCATCTCGATCCCCACCCTTCCGGTCTCCGTTACCTCGGCACCTAGCTCGACGAGCTCCGACGTGACTGTCATCAACTCCACCAGCAGCGAGCCCCCTGCCACCGGTTCTGCAACCATCACCAGCCCTCCCTCAGGCACCTCTTCAAGTGGCCCCACTGCCTCAGTGACGGATACTCCTGTTAGCAACAGCACCAGCTCCGAGCCAACCGGCTCCATCACTTCGCCTACCGTCTCCGTCACTGGCTCCGTCACTGGCTCCGGCACCGTCTCGTCTTCTTCCGCTATCGAGACCGGCTCGGTGGGCAACTCGACTGATACCTCTGCTCCCGCGACCCAATCATCGACCCCCAACACATCAGCTGTCAGTGTTAGTGCTACTGCGACCAGCGACTCGGCATCCGGTTCAAAGGCCTCCACGTTGGTGACTGTCTCGAAGACTTCCGCCCCGGTTGTCACTGCCTCGCCAACCCCGACCTCAAACGCTGAACCTGTCACGAGCATTCGACCCACTGCCACGTTGACCAACACCGCCGACTGGCTGCCCACGACTATTGTCATTGAGCCTACCACAATGGTGTTCACCCCGGCCACTACTGAGACTGCTTCCGCTTCGACGGCCCTGCCCACTGATGTTCCTAAGATCATCTACCCCGATGATCCCAACACCCCCGCTGCTGAAGGCACAGTCCCGATCCAGGTTGGATTCCTGTATCCCCTCAACTACATGTTCGTTGCCAGCAACACTGTTGCCGCCGCTCAGATCTTCAAGTATCTGCCCCAGGCTCTCGCCAATGCTGCGGGCATCGACGTGGGCAAGGTTCAGGTCGCCAAGCTTGTTCCCTACGACACCCGATCTCAGTGGGGTTATATCACCACCCTTGCCAAGATCAACTACCCCCAGAACCTGATTGACAAGCTTCAGTTGGATATGTCGGTTGCCAACTCTCTCATCTACAATAACCCCGATCCCATTGTCCGCAACCTGACTGCCCTGATCAACCCCAAGATTAACATCTTTGGCCAAGTTACCGGCGGTGGTTCTACCGACGGTGGTAGCGGCAGCGGCAGCGGCAGTGGCAGCGGCGGAAACTCTCCTGCCGCTGGCCCTGGCAACAACGACGCCTTTGGCACCAGCAGCACGGACAGTCAGACTTCCAAGCAAAAGGCCACCACCGCCGGTATCGCTGTCGGTGCCGTCGGTCTTGGTGCCCTGTACGGTGGTGCCATGTTCATTATTGCTCGACGCTACAAGCGCAAGAAGCAGGCTCACCGCCGCAGCAGCTCCCTTGACGGCAGCCAGCGTTCCTCTGGCATGCAGTATGCTGGCAACGGAAGCCCTGCTCTCATGGGTGGTGCTCTGATGAGCCGTGACATGTCCAGCTACGGTGGAACCGGAATTCGCAACAGCCACAACAGCGGAACGAGCTCTGCTCGAACTGCCAACATCTCCGCTCCCGTTGCTGCTGAGAACTCCCTTGGCTGGAACTGATGATCTATACGCTTTTATATCGGCCTTTTTTTCGCCTCCATTTTATTTACTTTTTTCCTTTTGGATATCCGTGCATCATATTTTCCTTTTTTAAATTTCGATACCCTTGGGGGAGCTTTTGCTCATGAGGATGTAGGACGATGTCTACGAATTTCTTGATGTCTTTCCAAGCAGACTGGGGCTCTTTGAAAAACACACACTCCCGGCTGCTTGGGCCTCCTCCTTGTGGTAGTTTAGTCGAGCGCGCAGTGGAGTTGTCCTTGGCCGCTGACCACTCCTCCATTTTTACACTTACGCCGACCACCTGTTACAGGATGGCGCCGACCGTTGCTTTCTTCTTCTGGCTCCATCCTGGTGATCTTGGCAATTGTTTTTAATATTCTTAGCCTTGTCCGGAGTTGGAATGAGATAGATGGTCTTGTGACGATGCCTCTAGGGCCAGCGTTGTCGTGCAACCTCTTGGAGTGATTATATATTTTTTTTTGCTTGAAAAAAGAGAAAGAAAGAAAGAGGTGGACGTTGAGGCGGCGTCCTCGAAATCAAACATGTCAGATAGGACTGAGTGAGAGCGAGAGCGAGAGCGAGAGAGAGTTGGGAAGGTCGAGATAGCGGTTTCTTAAAACAAAACAATGTTTGACACTTCAATGGACTTTGTGTTGTGAATGGAGGGGGGGTGTGTTATGTTTTTCACATAGACGACAATAAATCAATTAATTCACAGATGATGCCGGGAAATGGACTTGTGCGTCTTTTTCATGTGTATAAAATGAAGGGGAGAGAAATGCAGAGCGGTGATGTCGGATGTGAAGGTTCGGACTTTGGTAAAACGCACAGTATAAGTGAGATATGGGCTTTTTAGCTTCTGGTTTGAGAGAGTCCACACCGCTTATAAATCTGGGGGCTTGCTTATTCCGCAGGGGAGAATTTACTCCGACTGTTTGATTTGCTGCGAGTCCAAGGGGAATAGAGCACCTAGCTGTAACATACTGTGGATTTATACTTGACGTGAGAGGCTTATTAGCTAGAGTTGAGGATCAGCCAATCTTGAAGCTTCTGGCATATTCACTCATTCATTGTCACCACTTGGTCACAACAACTTGAATATGCTCTTGTTGTGATTTAATTCTGTGTACTCTTTATACGTGTTGTGTGTGTACATGTGAAATTGGTTAACCAAGTATTCTGCGAGAGACCACCCAGTTTTGAGCAATGGCTTCGCGGCGGGCCAGCACGGCGTGCGTCAACTGCAGGCATCGGCGGATCAAAGTATGTCTGCTTCCTTTTACAATCTAGTTGCTCATCATCGGAGCTTATATATGAAATAGAGAGAGGACTAACAAATCATACGGGTAGTGCAATGAATCCAAGCCGCGGTGTGCGCAGTGTGCGAGGGCGGGATTGTTCTGCTGGGGGTATAGAAGCGAGACTGAGCTCCGCATCGTCAACATGACTGGGAAGCAAGACGGCAAGAAGCGGAAACAGCCCAACCTGAACGACTCTGATTCCACAGCCGATGACCCCTCTTTATCATCGAGATTGAGTCGTCGACAGCACGGGGAGCTGCTGCCGCTTCCACGGTTCAACTTCTCTGTGCCCGCGGAGTCGGTGGCGCAGGTGTTTTTCTTTCGGCACTATTCTATTGCGGGCGCGGGCAGCCTCTATGCGGTGCAAGGCGCGGCACCGCTGCCGACGGTGAAGATGCTGGGGATACTGGCCGTTGGGATGGCGGGCGTGGCGAATTCCGAGAGGGATCATGGGGTGATGGCGTTGGCGAGGGCAAAGTACGGGTCGGCGCTGCATTCGATCAATGATGCTATTCGGGGGCGGGAGGAGGCGACCGGGGAGGGGACGGTGGCGGCGGTGGTGCTGATGGCTATGTTTGAGGTGAGTTTTTCTTTTTTCTTTTTGTTGGTTTTGTTTGATGAGGGTGGAAAGTTAGAGATTGATGAGTTGTTAGATGATTGCGTGTCAGGAGAGGTCGTCGCTCGAGGCGTGGATTTGCCATATCCAGGGGGCTGCGACGTTGATACGGCATTGGAGCAAGGATGACTGGAAGAGGACTCTTAACGTGCGGGCCTTTCTTCACTTCTTTTACTTGCTGGTAATGATGCCCTACGATGTAACAGATACAAGTGGTGTTTGTCTAACTAATTGTGCGTTATAGGCGATGGGTTGTCTCATCAGTCGCATACCCGTTCCTACTCACATCCAAGAGCTTGCTCGCTCCTCTCCCGCCTTCAAGTCAGATATACATCTCTTACCCGCAAAGCAACTATTCAGCATAATATGCAGGTTCGCAGATCTACATTCATCAGATAACATCAACCAAGTCACCCAAATCACCGAAAATGTCTCCACAGCCATGAGCATCGAAGAAGAGCTGCTCTCATGGGAGACACATCTCCCCGATACATGGCGATATTCCGATCCCGACAAGGCCCATGGAGGTTCTTGTCATGTTTACGCATGCGCCTGGCAGGCGTACCTGTGGAACCAATACCGCATCTGTCGAATCCTTGTACATGCCGTGCTTTTACGATATCTGGATGCCCTCGATGTACCTGTCAGGCAGGCCCATCCCGTGCTGATGGCGGCGTATGCCTCGCAGCAGGAAGCCTCACGTGGCATTCTAGCGACAATGATGCTTGGCATTAGAGCCAGTGCGTCGTATATCCTCGGCCTGTATGAGAAGACAAAGGGGAGCAATGCTTTATCGCCTGAGCATTCGGGGGTGTTTGGGCTGCTAGGCTCGATGCAGGCTTTGATAGGCGTGGTGGAAGTCGGCGGTGAGGATGCTGATTGGTTGTGTGAGATGCTTGAGGTTATGGGGAGTCGATGGGGGATTGGGCAGGCTTTGGTGTTGGGTAAATATCTCAGAGCAAAGAGTTCAGTATAAGAAGAGCTTATGATGGGTTATATCTGGTTTTTTTTGGGCTGCACTCCTGGACAGGTCAGATGGGGTAGCCAGTATAAACAGTTGCGCCAAGTTAAAACCCTCTCATATTGCAAAAGAGAGCAAATACAACAAATATTCAAGCTAATAGGTTCACTGAACGCACGCCTTTGTTATACACAATGCCTCTACTGAGTAAAGGCCGACTTGCCATCAACAATATTGACCACCTTTCCGTCCTGCACATACACCTCGACCCACCCAACCGTGACCTGCATCTTGCCGTGATCAAACATGTACTGCTCGTCAGGCTGCATCTTGACAGGATACTCCGGGTCCGAAGTGGCCTTCCACAGATCCTCGACGTTGTGGACCATGAACTCGATGTAGGCATCAAACGGCGCGACAGTGGCTCCCACCGTCTCGGCGAGGCTAGAGGCTAGGTTGCGTTTCTCGGGGGGAGTGTGATACTACATGCCGGGTTTATTCGTTTCAGGTTAGCATTATTTTCCTGAGAATGATGGGGGTATTTTGGAAAGTGTAGTTTTGGGTTTACCTGAGTGTAGCCAATGATTCCATTACGTGCTAGCCAGCCAGAGGCCATTGGTGCGTGGTGCTCGCTCCAGTGTTTTTGGAATTCCTCGTCGGAGAGGCTGGGGTTCTTGTACTGCATGAGCGTCAAGCGGAGGAGTTTTTCCTTGGTGGCCATTATTTTAGGTGATGAAAATTGGTATGATAAGTGGAATGAAGGCGTGTGTGTTTAGAGATTGAGTTCAATTTGAGTTGATGGATGAATATGTTGGACATGGCAGCATGGCTTTATACTTGATATCCCTGGGTGATATTGGGGAAACAGAAGAACAAGTCATACATTTCTAATCACTACAAGCTTATACGAAATGGATATGTGAATTGAAGCTGGGTTTCACCCATCATGTAGCTATTCTTGCGCTACTCTGCGAGTTGTCTTCCGCTTTCAACGACCTTGCGTAACTACTATGGAGCAAGGAGGCTCGACTACGATTCCTTTGGAGCAAAGCAGATGGCGCTAAACAACGAATGTGTTGCCATTTCTGGAATGGGGCTTGAACATTGTGGGCTTACTTAATCCACAAGTGTCTATACGATTAACAATCAGGGCTGATCCGAGGTAAGATGAATAAGATGAGCAGAAGAGCGAGGAATTTGCCGGAGCGGACTTTGTATCTCCATGGAAGAGGGATGCTATTTTCTTGTTTCTTGGAATGATTGACCGTGGAAACATTGTGGGTGTTTTGGTTGGCAGCTGTGTCATCACTGGGAATCTCTAAAATTAGTTACTGGACAAGAAGTGGCAATGCTATTTGGATGGTACATGTAATAAAGTAGAATAAAGATTCAAAGCATTATAACTGAAATACTGTCGCCATTGAACAGGTTTCTAAGCTGCCATGTTATGCATCGAAAGAGACTCTTTTCGTGCACTGGAAATGATATATGCAATCCGCACCTCTCTGTATTTTATCTCACCGAACGACTATATAGGTAATTAATCATAAGCTATCATAAGTACTCTGCTCCATTATTAATGGGAAGGGTTGTCCATCACCCCAGCGACTAAGAGGAGTTCTGAATAAAGTAATAACGTATAATAAAGATCTTTTATTACCGCTACCTAAATATATATTACACAGTTCCTGGAGTAACTGCTACTATCGTGAGTTTCTACTACTACTGCTACTATCTACTCCTATCCATATATTCCTCTAATATCTGCTATTATTACCTGGGCTGCTTTACATTTACGAATGGGAGACTGAATAGCGAACGTGGGGCGCTGAATAGTCACTCCCTTATTAATCTGCGGCCAATAGCATATAGGCTCATAGCAAACGATGTATATCTGTAGCATATCCATAAACAGTATTCATCTGAAACGAAAAATAGCACAAAAGAAGCAAGTAATTAATCACAAAGATGTGCCAACCAGCTGCCAAGCGGATGACAATCCGACGGTGAGATGAAACACGAGGATTCTAGCCTTGGCCATGTCACCTTCCGGATTGGAAGATGATGGGCATTTTACTAGAAACAAACATTAAGAGTCATTTAGGATCAGTTTTACTTGGTTGTCATTTGCTCCTCTCCTTTGCAAATTGTTGGCGTTGTACAAGATAAGATGCTTTCGTATGTGATGAAAAGCTGATGCAGCAATAGCTTTTTGTGAATAAAACACAATATATCGTAGTGCTCGAGATCATTTTAACAAAGCATTCTAATTCGCACTGCGGTGTGGCATGCCCTGAAGAGCCGTATCCACATCATGTGAGAAGCTGCCCTGTCGAGATGACGTGGGATTGCACAATGAGTTTATGCTACATTTATGGATGACCGCTTTCGATAGAGGGACAACCAACAAGGAGAACATAGAGGCCACCTTGCAACCAGCTTTTCATAATTGTATGTCAACCAGTTATTCCGACTGGTATGTTGACAGCTTGAGAACTGGGTGATTGACAAGTCTCGACGTCTTCTGGTAATGGCGACATGGATTATCTCATCTCAGACTCAATGACATGATACTAATTTGAGTCAGATTAAAGGATTGCCGTGAAGAAGTTGGCATTCTTCACAGACGCCGATTCGCAAGTTTCCACGCATCGCGTTGGTACCAAGCCTTCCTCTCCGAAGCCACTCCCGGCCAGTGTCCGATCCGGTAACTCTTCCCGAAAATTCTAGCGCAGTGCCGTCTCTGTCCTCTACCCCAAAACAGTTCGACCATAAATCTCTTCACAGGCCGGCTTGTGCGCCTTCTGTAAGTGCTCCGTGCACAATCATGTTTTGTCACAGAAGTGAATGCTCCGACAGTGTGAGCGGGGCCCTCTTGATCTTCAGGGACCAAGTTCCGTGTTCCGCGCCAGCATCGGCGATCCCGGCTTGCTCAGTTTCTCACTGGCTAACCACTAACGTTTGCCATTTTGAAAACTTTTCGAGGGAGAAATCTAAGTGGCCAATGGCAGATCTAAAAAATCGGGCCTATAAGTAGGGGAAACCTGTCCGCGATACAATTCGAGGTAGGTCGGCTGTCGGGGGCTCGCCTCTCCACGTTGCGTGAAGCCGAGATGCATTGGTTCATGCCTCTCCTTTCTTCCCGGATGCGAGCTGGCTCGTTGCGTGAGCAGCTTATACTCTTCTGAGCTGAGCCACATATCAAAATCTCACCTCCTTTCCTTCCCATTGGTAGTCAAACGAACCCTTGGCTGTCAAACTGCGGATATAAAATTTCTCGCACCTAAAACAAGTGCGCTCTTGATTCATGGTTGGGTGCCACCAGAATGGTGTCATTCAGACCATGCGTGGCGTTGCACGCTAAAGCGGGATCCGTTGTCGCCCTGGTCTTCTCCGAAAGATGACGGCTGAGCAGCGCGGGGCAAATCTTGAAATCCCGTATGAATAATGGGAAAAGCCGTATTATCTGTGAGATTCTCCAAAGGTCTTTCGAGGCCATCTGAGAACTCAGCACGTAGCAAAAAGTTTAATTCCAGCCAATTCGAATCCCATATAAAGGTTGTGGTATGCCAATGGCCACCGTTTCGTGTCCTGTGAGTCGCACTTTGTGAAAACGTTGGCTGGCGTAGATCCGGTATTGCGAAATTTGAACCACGGTCCACCTCATTAAGTGCCAGCACGCAATCGATCTTGACCCTCAATATAGTAGGTACGCAGATGTCTCTGGGCCCATAACCCCACGACTCGTGGCATCATTGAGTAAGATATCTCGTGATTGCTCCAACACAACCCCTTAGCTAAGCCGTTGTTGGGAGCTGAGACGATTTCATCTGCGAAAACCGGGCGGTGTAAAGGCGGCTCGGCTTTGTGTCACATCCAGCCAGCCACTGCAAATAAATACTCTTTTGATCTCCCATTCGTCCCGAACCTTCTCTTCCCCTCTCTTTCACTTCATTCTTGCCCCCCAAAGCGAATTGATTCGATAAAACCGAATTCAGCTCTCCCCAGCAGACGATTCTCTCTTTGGAACACATTCTTCAGCACCTTTTAACATCGATCATCATGGCTGCTTCCGTCGAGTTGGTGCAGCCTGTGGATGTGGCCTCGTTGCCCAAGGAGACGACCCCAGTTCTCGAATTGAGCCCTTTGGACGAGGAGAGGTTCATTATCAAGTCGCCATACACAGACAAGGAACATCTGCTTGATCTGGATACCCTTTCTCATGAAGGCGCCATAGTGGCGAGAGCTCTGCAATCCCTCAAGTCAATTCGTGATGACTATGCCACTGCACCATATGCCGAATCTTTCAACTGGCCTGAAGTCCTCGATGAAGTAAAGCGCCTGGCTCAACAATCCAGAAGGCCGTTCAAGGAGATTTCATTCTACGTCGTCGCATTCCGGTCGCAGATCAAGCCGAGCACCGATTATGGCCACCTTGGCGCATTGGACAAGGCTGCCCATGCCGAAGCTGTTGCCAGCGGAGGCTTCTTGAAGTAAGAGAGAGATGCCTGCGTGCTTCGCCGCTCATTTTTGAAGTCGTGCTAACCGAAGGGAACAGATACTGGTTTGGTTCACCAGACCCAGAGCTGAGAAACCTGGCGACCTGCGTTTGGAGATCGAGAGAGGACGCATTGGCCGGTGGCAAAGGACCCGCACATCGCAAGGCAGTTGGCGCCACCCGAAACATGTATGCTTTCTGGAAGATTGACCAGCACCGACTCACCATCCGAGACAACGTGGATGATTGGGTGCTTGAGGACTGGGAGTGAAACTGATGGGCGAGCATCATCTATCCAAGCAACTTTGCTTGTTTGCCCGTTTATGACTTGAAAGAGCGTGAAGCAAGGATGATTGATGATTGGTCCTTAAACAAAAAACAAGGGACTTTGGAGTATTCTGGGATTTGTTTGGGTTTGAAAAGCGTCATTGCCAAAAGTGCAATTTTTCTTTTTTGTATGATATCATGGGGGACAAGCGAGCATCGTGTTGGCATTTCAAAACAAGCAACTGGAGAATAGAGTAGAAGAAATAGATTGAAGTAATACTTGCATGCTTTGACAAAGAGAAATGATGTGCAGTGAGTGAGGCGCGCGCACGAGGGACGTTGGCACGGCCCGGCATTAAGACTCCTGAATGCCTGGCAAGGTCATGTTGACTTTGGGATTTTGTGAGATGTAAATCTGCATGTATTCGTCTACTTAGGGCTATGTCTAGAGTCGCAAATGTCATTCGAGTGATGCTGGAAATGTCGCAAGATACAGTGAGGTTGGAGGACGAGAAGGTTGCAGGTTGGCGGTTTGGCGGCGGTATTTTGGCCCCCCTCCCATTCTGCCGCCGCCCACCGCCTTGAACCCACAACGCCCACAAATCTGGTACGCGAAAAGTTCGATATTCCCAACACCAGAGCGAGCGCTCCTGAAGCTCATCATCCTTCGAATCTCGGCGTCAACCTCGGCTCGACTCCCGCTCGACTCCCGCCATTTCTCTCTATCCCGCCTCACAGACCCTCCAAAGATGAGCGAAGCTCCGAAAGACGCGCCTTTCCAGGCGGTGCAGATCGATGCTCTGGTGAGTTGCAGCTCGCATTGCCCCACCTTGCCTCGACGAAGAAGCAGGACTGACACCTGGCCAAGGTCATTCTGAAAATCGCCAGACACTGCTCGTCTACCTTCCCGACCGTGGCCACCGGCTCCCTCGTGGGAATGGACCAGAACGGAACCCTGGAGATCACCAACACCTTTGCCTTCCCCACCGTCGACAACTCCTCAGCCGACACCCACCAGAGCGATGCCACGAACGCCGCCGCCGCCGCCCCCCGCGCAAAGTCCAACATTGCCTACCAGGGCGAGATGATCCGACACCTGAAGGAGGTCAATGTGGACGCCAACAACGTCGGATGGTACACCAGCGCAACCATGGGCAACTTTGTCAACCTTGCCTTTATCGAGAACCAGTTCCACTACCAAAAGGACAACGATAAGACTATTGCCCTGGTCTATGATACCAGCCGCAGCTCACAGGGAACCTTGGCTCTGAAGGCCTACCGCCTGACCAACCTCTTCATGAATGTTTACAAGGAGGGCAAGTTTACTACCGAGAGGTGAGTTTGTTTGGAATTCTGACGTTGGTGTGGGGTTGGATATGGTGCTGATGCCTTTTGAAATAGCCTGCAAAAGTCCAAGCTCTCGTTCCGCGACATTCTCCAGGAGTATCCCCTCACAGTCTACAACTCACACCTCCTTACCTCCTTCCTTCACCAGCTGCCCTCGCCTCCGGCGGGCGCCGAGGCCAAGGAGCCAAGCCTCAGCGAGCTCAACAATGACCGCATCAAGGCCCCTCTATACCCTTCCATCGACAACTTGGACCTGTCGGTCGACCCCTTCCTGGAGAAGACGTGCGACCTGCTGCTCGAGAGCATCGAGTCCCACTACGTGGACCTCAACAACTTCCAGTTCTACCAACGCCAGCTGGCGCGTGAGCAGACCAAGATCACACAGTGGCAGGCCAAGCGAAAGGCAGAGAATGCGCAGCGCACTCTTGCCAAGCAGCCCCTGCTGCCGGAAGACGAGTGGCAGCGGCTGTTCAAGCTGCCTCAGGAGCCCAGCCGGCTGGAGGGCATGCTCAACGCCAAGCAGGTCGAGCAGTACAGCAAGCAGGTGGACGGATTCACAGCCAATATCAGCGCGAAGATGTTCGCCGTGCGGGAAAACCTGCTGCCTCAGTAAGCGGATTTGTGCTCAAATTAAAAACTCTTGTAAGGTCTTTAGTGGGGTGAGGCAATTGGCGGCAGGGTGCATTGACGGCGTTCCGGTTTGGGTGGAATATAATAAAGTACTTCTGGTCTAGATCTGCAGCAGCGACAAGAGAGTCATAAAAAGAAGTGTTTGAAGCTTGAAGGTTGAAGGATTTCTACGGCCTCGATTGTACTTTGCTGTTAGATACCACTGTGAACTCTTTTTTCTTTTTTTCTAAACTCTTTTTTTTTCTTGTTCGAGATCCTTGCTCTCCTGCTCGTAGATTGTCCATCTTCCGCTTTGGGGTTTGTTTTATTTCTGCCGGCAATTGATAACGACGGCGTTGTTTACTTGAATGAATTCGGGGCATTTCCCTTGGGCCTGCTGCTGACATGCAGGATGCATGTGGGGAGACCTGGAGGGGAAAAGCACCGATATGGTTGAGAGCAACAGGCGCAGAAAAATACAATATCGCCGTAACCGTAAGACGAGACGACAGGACGCGGCGATTAGGCCGACTGAGCAGAGGCCCAAGTCGTAGTACGAATACGAGAGCAGATGTTGATGTCGAAACCCACCGGATAGTATAGAGCCAATCTCGGGGGTCTGGCGCTTTGGAGAAGATGCAAACCAGGCATCCACAAGATCCCAACACAAGGCGCCGTCTGTGAATTTTGCATGTACTTACGCGTACTCGTACTGATGATTCTTGCTTGTGCTCCCAATTGAGAGCCCAAGATGCATTCATGTCGAAATCCCCACATCAAACTGATGCCCAAATATCAGTCTTCCTGCCACTCACAGTCACAGAGATGCATTGCGATCTGAATCTGACAGACAGCTGACAGGCCTCGATGCCCATAATCACCGCAAATCCCCCAGCTGCAACCCCCCCGCCTTATGTGAGACGTGGCCTGGATGGCCTTCTTGCATGTGCAAGCCCAGGAATCGGTGTCATTACAGCAGGATCCCCAACGAATATAGGCCGTGTGCAATCCAGCCGCCCTTCTCATTCGCTCCTTGAAAAACCAAAATCCATCCGAATCTAATCTGCCCCGCTTGGTGAGAAATTTTGCCCCTCTAAACACACCGCCCGCTTTCCAACGGGTTTCCCCTCCTCGGCGGCAGGTGCTAACGTCGAAATTCTTTTTATTTGGGCACATCCCACTTGATTTTTCTTCCTCTTCCACCTCTTGCTCTCTCCATCCCGCAACTCAATTCCTCCTCTCCACGCATTTTTTGTTGTTCGAGTCTCTTCTCCAGCTCAATTCCTCACTTCACAATGTCTGCCCCCGCCCACAAGTTCAAGGTCGCCGACCTGTCCCTGGCCGCCTTTGGCCGCAGGGAGATTGACCTCGCTGAGAACGAGATGCCTGGTCTGATGGCCATCCGCAAGAAGTATGCCGCCGACCAGCCTCTCGCCGGTGCCCGCATTGCTGGCTGCCTGCACATGACCATCCAGACTGCCGTCCTGATCGAGACCCTCGTCGCCCTCGGTGCCGAGGTCACCTGGACCAGCTGCAACATCTTCAGCACCCAGGACCACGCCGCTGCTGCCATTGCCGCTGCTGGTGTCCCCGTCTTCGCCTGGAAGGGTGAGACCGAGGAGGAGTACAACTGGTGTCTCGAGCAGCAGCTGGTTGCCTTCAAGGACGGCAAGAAGCTGAACCTGATCCTCGACGACGGTGGTGACCTGACCTCTCTGATCCACGAGAAGTACCCCGAGCAGCTCAAGGACTGCTACGGTGTCTCTGAGGAGACCACCACTGGTGTCCACCACCTGTACCGCATGCTCAAGGAGGGCAAGCTGCTGGTCCCTGCCATCAACGTCAACGACTCCGTCACCAAGTCCAAGTTCGACAACCTGTACGGCTGCCGTGAGTCCCTGATTGACGGTATCAAGCGTGCCACCGATGTCATGATTGCTGGCAAGGTTGCCGTTGTTGCTGGATTCGGTGATGTCGGCAAGGGCTGTGCCATGGCCCTCCACGGCATGGGTGCTCGTGTCATCGTTACTGAGATCGACCCCATCAACGCCCTCCAGGCTGCCATGGCCGGCTACCAGGTCTCCACCATGGAGAAGGCTGCCTCTATCGGCCAGATCTTCGTCACCACCACCGGTTGCCGTGACATTCTGACTGCTGTCCACTTCGAGGCCATGCCCAACGATGCCATTGTTTGCAGTAAGTTTTGGCCAATCCCATGATTCTCCCATTGTATGTGTAAGTCTAACAGCCGCAACCAGACATTGGCCACTTCGACATTGAGATCGATGTTGCTTGGCTCAAGGCCAACGCCAAGTCTGTCCAGAACATCAAGCCCCAGGTCGACCGATTCACCATGGCCAGCGGCCGCCACATCATCCTCCTGGCTGAGGGTCGTCTGGTCAACCTTGGCTGTGCTACCGGCCACTCTTCTTTCGTCATGTCCTGCTCCTTCTCCAACCAGGTCCTTGCCCAGATTGCTCTGTACAAGAACCAGGACAAGGCCTGGTCCGAGAAGTACGTCGAGTTCGGCAAGACTGGCAAGCTCGAGGTTGGCGTCTTCGTCCTCCCCAAGACCCTGGATGAGGAGGTTGCCAAGCTGCACTTGGACCACGTCCAGGTTGAGCTGACCACCCTCACCAAGGCCCAGGCTGAGTACCTCGGCCTTGACGTTGAGGGCCCCTTCAAGGCTGAGATGTAAGCATTCTTCCTATCCATGACTGAGATCTAAACCGAGCATGTAACTGACCATACCTTTTTTATAGCTACCGCTACTAAGCATCTTTTGTGTATTCATACCCCCAGGATCCTTCAACTGGACTCCTACGTTTAACGACATTTCATCCGGGTCGATAGCCCGGTCAATGGGAACTCTTGTGATTTCAACAGCATCATGAACCGGCAGGGGGCATATTTGGGCAGGGAAATATAAAAGCCCATGGGATTTGGTTTTTTTTATGATTTGATTTCGTGCCCTTTTCTTCTTCTTCTTCAAAGACTTGGGGTTCTCTCGCTGGGCGGATGGGGCAGAAAAGAACAGGCCTTTTCAACAAAATCGGCGTAGGGTAAATTTATTTTTGCTAATGATGATTCCCCCATGGCGAGACCAGTGATAAACAAAGACACGAGACGGAGGGCTCAGCTCGGAAAAGCGAGATGGGCGGATTTGAGGAAGCCCGTCAACCGCGGCTGCAGTGGATATAGCAATAGAAAAATGAAAATGGCGGGCAAAGATTTTTTGCCTCTTGTCTGGGCAAAAACCAGTGTTTTCATGACTTGCGTGTAAATGAATAAATGAATAAATGAATCAATCAGTGTAGACTCTGAGAGTTCTTGTCTGTAAGGAGATAAATTCACGCACGACGATTGACCTATTCGGCACTGTAACAATACAGCATTCCATTCCATCACTCGTCACTCTACCGGTCATACTTTCAGATAATGGTCATAAAGTGGTCAATCTTATCAGACCACATTTTTTTATTCTCTCTCTAATTCTATAACATGACATGACGCATTTTCAACAAAGACACAAATCTCACAGCTTCGCGCTTCTAGCACCGGCACTGCCATGCAGTCACGCAGCCAACGCCTTCTGCTCAGGCACAATGCTCTTGAGCTTGCCCTCCTTGACGGCCAGCCGCACGTTGTCAATGGCCCACTCCTCCATCTTTTGCTGGGTCTCCTGGGTCCAGGTGCCCATGTGGGGGACGAGCAGGACGTTTGGGTTGGCGAGCAGGCCCGGGTGGATCTCGGGCTCGTTCTCGTAGACGTCGAGGCCGACGGAGGAGACTTGGCCGGAGGCGAGGGCGTCGACGAGGGCGGCCTCGTCCATGACTGCGCCGCGGGCGGTGTTGACGATGACGATGCCGGGCTTCATGAGGGCGAATTGGGGGGCGGCGATGGTGTGGCGGGTGTTGGGCTGTGTGGCGAGGTGATGAGTGTTAGTTCTGTTATGCTTTGATGAAGGGGTGATGTTGTAGCTTGATTAAGGGGTATCATGACTTGAAGAAAAGGGGGACTTACGTTGAGAGGCAGGTTCAGACTCAAGACGTCGCTCTCCTTCAGTAACGTCTCGAAGCTAACATACTCAGCACCCTCCTCCAACTCGGGACTCAGGCGTGAGCGATTGTAGTATCGAACACGCATTCCAAAAGCCTTCGCCTTGGCAGCGACGTTACGGCCAATGCCGCCCATGCCCAAGATGCCCAGGATCTTGCCCTGCGGGTCGTGGCCCAGCGCGGGAGGAGGAGAGCCGCGCCACTTGCCGGCTCGCAGGGCATTGATGCCGATCTGGAGGTTGCGCAGGGCGCCGATGATCAGCCAGATGTTGACGTCGGCTGTGGCATCGTCGACGGCGGTGGGAGTGTTGGAGACGCGGACGTCGTGGGCGGTGCAGGCGGGGATGTCGATTTGGTCGTAGCCGGCGCCTTGTGATGGGGAGGGGTTGAGAAGTTAGCATTAAGTAGTTATTTCCGCTTTGACTTGTCTTTTGTTCACGAATCTGTCTAGAGACAAAAAGTCTAGAGAAGGGGGCAGTTCTCACCGTTGTGGCACAGGAACTTGATGCTTTTGGGCAGCGCATCCAGCAGCTCGCTGTCAATCTTGCCCGTGACATTGACGGAATCAAACGTCCTGTAGGTCACGCTGACGCCATCCAGGGCGCCAGATTGGCACTCGGCGATGAATTCTGCTCGGTTGGTGGCCTTGGGCTGGATCACGTCTGCGATGTCGGCGATGGTTGACCATGCTACGTGGGCGCTGTGAACGAGAAGAGTGTGTCAGCTCTGAATGGGAACTATGTAGAAGCTTTTTGATTTTGAAGAATGGGAAGAGGGGAAAAAGCTCTTTTGGGGGGGATATTTTTTTGCGACGTACTGGTCGATTTTGCCTAGGAGGAGGACCTTGGGGCGGCTCATGTTTGGAGCTTGTGTAGATGGAATTGGACGAGAGTAGGAGTAGATGATGCAATTGCACCAGATTCAAGGGGGTATCTAGAGGAGACGACAAGGGAACAGAGAGGATTAAAGAATAGCAATTCTAACAAAAAGACAAGATCTAGTGGGAAAGAAGAAGAAGGAAAAGAAAGAACAAGGTCTACGGATTTAAAAAGACAGGAGAAAGGCAGCGCAGGAAAAAAAAAAGAATGGATTCAACCAAACCGGGTCCATCATCGCCGTGGAAGTTGTCGCGAGCGCCCGTTCGGCGGGGTAAAGGTTCACTAAAAACTTGTGGGAGTTGGGCCCCGTAGCGCGGGGGAAGTTTTTGGCGTCGAAAAGCGTGGGGTTTTTCTGGATGATTTGGTTGTTGGACTTGCTAAGAGATGAACAAGTTCCATGTTGTGTCCTCTGAGGTATACCTAAATATTTAGCATTATACAGTATTACACTGCTCATGGCATATTTACATGTAGATTTTCATGTATTGCATCAACACTGCCATCTCAAACAGCAGGAAATTCCAAGAATGAATGAATCCGATATCTCGCGTCTCCATCACCATCTTGGGCTGCATCTCCATTTCGGGCATCCCCCGCCGAACCGGGGCCCATTGAGACAAAGTGCCAGCCAGTGGGGGGCGGATATTTGAATGACCGTCTGCAATACGGAGAAATTGACACTGGCCCTGGGCACGCCCGCGTACACTCGTAGAGCATCTCATTGCCGTGGAAATGCTCATTGGGCTGGCGGGAAATTATCCCGGAGCTGTTTGAGTTTGTCCGTGTCCTTGAGGGATTGCATCGTGTGTCTGAATGACTTTGACCCTCCTCATGGCGTATATGCTATAGATGGATGCGCATGCGTGCTGTTTTATGCTGCGGATGGTCTTTTGCCGGGTTCAGTTCATGGCATTGGCGAGATCGGAGACTAGCAGATGGCATGGAGACACAGCTTATATTCCATCCATCGATGCTTGGGGGGTGGCAACCTGAGCTAACACTTCCTTATGCATAGATGCTCCATTAGTAGCTGCACGCTCTCGACATCTTTATGTGATGAAATCTACAAGCTCGTAATTCAAATAAATAGTGAACAGAGATTTCATTTCATTAAAAACATTCAAATCCGTAATCCGAGCATTATACACAACATGAAGCCGTTGGTCTAGTCGATATTCAATACCAAAACAACCCGCGCCCGGCCGCTAATATGTTTCTCATCCATGATGAGAAAGAAATCCCAATAACTCCCAAGAAATAAATCGTCTAGGATGCGAGTGTCTCAGCCGCTGCCCCTATATCATGGCAAAAGGCAACATCCGTTATTCCCATATCATTAGGATGTGTGCCCCCCTTGCCTATATTCATACTTTTGGTGACAGACTCGGCATTTTCCCCTTCATCTCTTCTCTACTCCCCACGGGCACATACACGCACCAGTACGTCGCAATGAATACGACAGGCGAAACTCCAAACCATCTCATTTGCTGACCGTCAAAGATGCTCAAAACTCCCAGGGCCCAAACACCTGTGTCATCCAGTTAATGTCACCAAAATCGGCAGACAGATCTTGGTCCGGCAGCATAGAGTGGTCCACCAACAGGGGAGGCTGCGGCGCCGTGCCCGGAATAACCTGGCTGCTCGGCGTTGGGAGTCCTCCCAATGGCTGCTGCACTATGGCTGGCTCCCAGTTGGAGCGCACATTGCGAAGCACCTTTGTACACTTCCCAAATATGGACACATCCTCGCTCCCGCCTCTCAAGGGGTACAGTGCTTCGGCCTTGGTAAACAGGTCGATGGTTCTGTCCAGATAATTGCCGAGATCTGCCGTACTACGGACAATCTCCTTGTCCCAGGCAGGATCGTCCATGGTCGAGACTCTGTATAGCAGTGCGTGGATCTGGGCAAGCTCCACGTAGAGAGAAAACGGCATGCCAATGAATTCTGCGAGCGGAATGGCAAACAACACGTCATACCATGCCCGGGCAGCGACGAGGCCCGCATACATGGAGTCGATGCGCGGCGTGTCTGGGATTCTCGTTGCCCCAAAGAGCCCGATTGAGTGAATCTGGGTTTCAGTGCTGAAAAGGTGCATTTGGATCACGGCTGAGGACCACCAAGAGTTAGCACGAGCTTACGCCGTCTTTTGCTAGAGCGAAACAATTTGTAGACTAACCTTTGGACGCTACTCCCGGAGGCAGAGTATCGCGAATCTTGTGCAACTGAAGGAGCAAACTTCTCTTAAAGACATAAGTGGGAGGCTTGTCGGGGTCGGCTCTGCCAAAATCGCGCCCGACAAAGTCGCATACTAAGAGCTTTCGCGCTTCCTCTCCAACCAGCTGAAGCCTCACCATTGCCGCCAAAAGCTCGTCTGATGGATACTCCTTTTCGTTCTCCAGGACTTCCAATGATTCTTGCATGTGCTGCGTCCAGACCAATGACTCCGTTCTACCGAGGAAAGCCGCGCATCTGTTGCACAAATGGTTAGGGAAGATGACAAGAATGAGAGAGGAAAGGGTCTCTTACACTGATGTTATAAACCAAAAGCCCAGCACCACCCTCCGCTCTTCCATGGTACGCTCTTTAGCTGGGGGGATAGCCCTGCCTCCCCCTCCCCAAGCCTTGAAACAGACAGTCGCGAAATGCTCTTCGTTGGGGAACTTTGTGAGATTCATTTCGTAGACGATGCAGCTGCATATATGCATATATAGAGTCAGAAAAGGTTTGGCACCGGGACCGGCACTCATTGTCGCCCTAAGGAAATTGGCCAGTTAGTACAAGGTGGTAGCACGCTTGCGAATGTCGTGTTTACCAAGAAATCAGAGCAATCAAACCCTGCACCATCTCTATACCCCGATCGCCATTGACAATCATTCGCTGTGCAATCTCCTGGCGCACTCTCTCTCGCATAGTGGCCTGCTGCGTCATGGACATGCTTGTGACGTTCATGATACAGAGCCAGAGGAAAGGACGCTCTCTATGCAGAGCCTCGGCCGTGAGGTCAGGCTCTAGGTGTATGTAGGGGAAGTACTCGAGCCATTGGCGAAACTTGACCAGATATACTTCAGCTTCGCTGGGAGTTGGCTCCGGGAGTCTATCGGTATCCAGCGGACGGGGGGTCGTCAGACCCAAGATGCTCGCGGAGCGTGGGTGCGACGTTGTTGCTGCGTCGGCCAGCGAGTCGAGGCGGCTTACATAGGGCTGGCCGTTGGACGAGGCTGACGACGATGAAGCGACGTCACAATTTGACACACCGTTTATCGGCAGCTGTGCAGACGGCAGCTGCTGAGGCTGCTGCAGATGGTTGACATGATGAGGTTGCTGCAGTTGCTGGGCATGCGGATGCTGGTGGTGCTGATGCTGATGCTGCTGCTGCTGCTGCGTGGCCCGCAGGATGGACACCAAGTCGTCGAGCTTCTCCTCCAGCTGGGCGGTCCTCGAGGCCGTGGTCCTCTTGGCCACGCGCTTGCGCGATGTCACCATCTGCTGGCACTCCTTGCCAAGGCGATGGCAGCGGTCGCATTTCCCACCCTCTGGCCTCAGGATGCACCGACACTTGGCGCGCGAGCAGTTGGTGCACGAACGGCCATAGCCGGCCGGGATGCCACCAGCAGAGACAGCGTCTGGCGGAGGCGGCGCTGGGGCCATTGTCTCACGGGATAGGATGCAAGCCCAAGAGCCGTTTAACCAAGTTGATGAGCCAAACCCGTCCGACGCAAGATTCGCAGTGGTGAGAGCAGAGCATCGACGGAGGCGCGCAGCCGGGATTGGGGCACTCCCTTATTCCGTAGAGGTTGGTGGATTGAAACTCTCGCGTTGGAGCGGTGCAATCAGGGACGGGCAGAGCAACGGGGTTCGTTGGAGCGACTAGTGCTGCCTTGATGGCGTGGCTGAATCAGCATCTTGCTTCGACCTCTTCGACCTGGTCGGGGTTCTGATCGGGGTCCCGGTCGTGATTACGATTCCGAAGTCCGAGAGCGCTGCTCCAATGCCGCACCGGGCAGCCCATTATAAGGGAGGCCGGCATTTGCATGGAGACGAGGCTTCTTGAGACGGCAGAAGGAATCGAAAAGCCGCGAGCCATTGCTGTCGTAACGAGCCGTAAGAGAGTACTAGGTAGGTATTGTGTGTAGGTAGATTGTGTACAATATCTAGTACCTCTCCAAGCGGGTGAGGCTGTGCTCCGTATCACCAACCCTGCTGGTGCTCCGGTTCGTGCGAGGGCGGGGCCGGAGGAAGAAACGGGTTCAAGGGGCCGGTCCAGCTCTTTCAATGGGCGAATTGTGTAGAAGTCATCAAGGTGACATGCCTTGGCTTTGATACGGAAATACCAAAGTCTGATGCGGGTAGGAGACCGACATATCAGTAGGCACGGTTCGGAGGAGGCCAGTCAGGCAATACATACCCCATTGATAGAGGCATTGTTGTCGATCCAGCTTAAACCATGGCAAAGAAGCAGTCTAGAAAATAGTAATGAATCGTCATATCCTCTCAAACTTGAACAAGCCCTCATTCAATGCGAGTTCCCACGACGAGGCCAGAGCTTGGTCCAGAGGTTTAAGGCATGGATAGCTTAATCCTAATCTTTAGGTACGAGTACCTGTACGGCAGCTGTCACTTCGGCAAATGTTTTCGCCGCCGACAACCGGCACGTCAACGATTATCCGAAGCTAGCCACCACCATTGAAACAAGGCCCAATTTACCAACTTGCACTGCTACTGCTAAGTAGAGAGACAACATATCACCCAGTCCCATATCCTGCTCAGCAATAGCCTCAAAATGGCCGTTACCGGGCTTGTCGCAGTCGAGACGCTGCCTCGATTCCTTCTTCCACGGCTCAGCTGGACTGCGCCGCTCTCAGCATCTCGACCTGCCGCAGTCCAACCCTTTGCTGCGCTACAAGCACGAACGAGCAACCGAAGAGCAATACCCGCTTTCAACACCGATTTCTCGGCCAGACGATACAACAATGGCCAGGCCCCGGCTCTGAGGCGAGGCTTTCATGCGACATGTCGACGGCCCCGAGAGCATCACTTCGACACGCTCAAGTTTGTCAAGCAGCTCAAGGATGAGGGCTTTACCGAAGAGCAGTCGGTCGCCATGATGAAGGTCCTCAACGATGTCATTCAGGAGAGGTTTGTGTTGCAGTCTTTTGGTTTCATCACGGGCGAGCTAATGCCAACACCCAATCCAGCATCCAAAACCTGACCCGAACCATGGTCCTCCGCGACGATGCCGCCAGAACCACATACACGCAAAAGGTCGACTTCGCCAAGCTCCGTTCCGAGCTCACTTCAGCGGACAGCACCGAGTCCAACACTACGCGCAGTGCCCACGAACGCCTCACCAACGATATCGCAAAGCTGAGCAGCCGGCTGCGAGACGAGATTGGCCGGACCCAGGCCAGTGTTCGGCTGGACCTTAACCTGGAAAAGGGCCGCATCCGAGAAGAAGCCGTGGGCCAAGAGCTCAAGATCAAGGAGACGGAGACCAAGATTGAACAGGAAGTCGCAGCACTGAGGGAGAAGCTGGAGCAAGTCAAGTTCCAGACGCTGCAGTGGCTGATGGGTGTGTGCACGGGTTTTGCGGCGCTGCTTCTTGGTGCTTGGAGATTGCTCATGTAAGGGGCTTTTTTAGAAGACGGGCATTTGTGAACCGGTGTGCATTATACAATCATCATTCGAACCCAGAGCGTTTATGAATAGTTTCAATTTTGCTCGCCATGATATTATACGACCTATTTCAACTTGTTCAAACTTGGGATTCTCGTAGTTTCCTATTAATTATGGTTTCTGCACATCCTACCGATGTAATATTTCGATTCGGCAACGCAGCTCGTTTTACGTGGTCGTATTCATCACTCAAACCAGTCAGCAGAATGGCATTGCAACGCATGTTTGACCTACATGGCTTTGAGTGTCTCGCTGCCTCATGCTGTCACCAAATTGAGCATCAGTGCCGCCGCCACCTTGCATGTTGCCAGACTTGGTTCCTCCAAGGCCGGACTGCTTCGACATATTCTCGGACATCTTGGAAGTGCCGAAATCCTCCTCAATGTCGTCCTTCATGATGGCGTGGCCACCTTGGAGAAGATGATCGTGGGATCCGGCATCTCGGGCAGCGTTTGCCGCAGGCGCAGCTTTCTTCATTGTGACGGGCGGTTGGATGATTGAAGCCTTGGTTATTGATTGGTTTGTATCAAGTGCATGGATGTGATGCTGCGATTTTGAGAATGGGAGCTGGACAGCAGCTGCGTGCCGCTTTTTATACGGAATGGCGGTTTTAGCTTTGCGCATGACAGCACAGTGACGATTTCTGGCGTGTAGTATCGAGCTTCACTAAAAGATACGGTGGACTTGTTTAGGGTTTGGCCATCTTGTTTGGCTGGGCGGAATGAAGTCATCCTTACAAAGCGTGCCTCGGCATTGGGGTAGTTGGACAACTTGTATTGAGATTGTTGCTGTAAGACGGTTAGCCAGATTGAACAAGAGTATGATGGCTGTGTTGATGGCAACTGGATTGTCACTGTTTGGCGTAATGTATTGTATAAAGTACGTGGACAGAGTTGGAGCTTGGCGGTGGGAGAATAATAAAAAAGAGGTTCTGAACAGCATTCGTTAGTTGATGGGCAAATCATGGACATCAAGATAACTACCTCCTATAATGCTATTTCATATTAGAGGACTAGGTATCTTCCCTGGTAATATTATCAGCCTCTCTCATATGGACAGTACATGTATTTCAGCTCTCACCACCTTCATCGCGGCTGCCGTCCAGCAGAGCAAAGCATCCTCCTTCCTTCTCAAGAAAAGTGCCTAAATTTCACAAGCCTGATAACATGTTGGCCAAACTCGATGGAGCTGCAGAATTTCCTCCTCCAACATCATCAGCGAATATTTTGAAAATCAGTCTTTTCCATGACCACTGGCTGCTTATATCAGCACAATACACATATATAACATGCACTACCAACGTTTCAAGAAAGAGACCAACAGAGTGAAAGGTGTGAACAAGCATTCCGCCTTGCCAGACAACAATGACCATATCTCGAATGGTTACCACGAAATTTCTAACCAGCGTTTGCATTTTGATGCACCGCCATCACACCCTAACCCATCAAAACCATTTTTTGACGAAGACGACATTGCATCACTTCATCTAAGCGGGAGGATTATTTCCGTCACGTTTACCATTCCCTATTCTCTACGGACCCTGGGAGACGGAGAAGCATGGGTGCGTATTTCTCCCATACTCACTCGAGACTCTGGTCAGTTAACCCGATCAGCATGTAAAACTCAGCAACCGTCTCGACCACTCGATACAGTTCGACATCCTATCTTACCTTTCCTCGTCCATGTCTTCTCAGGAACACATCATCATCGGTTGGACTGGAGAAATCTCAGATGCTGATGCGGCTGGCAGACCCCTCAATGGTATGTTCGTCAGCCACCGCAGCCAACAGATATTAGAAGAATGGCTAGCCAACGCAAAACTGGCAACAATACCAATCTGGATGACCGGGTCGCGGGATCCTTTTAGCAATGAGGATGATCAGGCCAGATAGCGACGGTTTATTGATGACATCCTCTGCCCATTTTTCTATGAGAGTCAATCCACTACTGAGACAATCTCCCAGGGGGAAAGTGCATGGTGCGACTATCTCGGCCTCATGGACGCCTTCGCCGACAAAGTCTGTGATGTGTATCAGCCTGGAGATATAGTCATGGTACACGACTATCCTCTTATGATGCTGCCTCACATCCTCCGAAGTCGCCTACCAAACATCTACCTCACTTTCTCTTTGCACGCCACCTGTCCCTTTTACACACCTCCCGCTGCAAGCTTGCGGCCACTGTCCAAAGTGCTTGCCGGTGCCCTCGGCGCGGATATCATATCTTTCCAGGCACCCATACACTTTGAGACTTATCTAGCATGGTGTGCTCTAGAGCTTCCTCAATGGGCCCCGTACATGGCTTCTCCGGCAGCAGACGTAGCAGAATCGTGTGCCGTATATCCAATGGCCATTGACAAATCTCAGGTCATACCAAGAGCACGGGGCGAAGCCATCGGCATATGTAACTCTCTGCTGAACTTTTTTGAGGGCAAGAAGATTATCGTTTCATACAGCACGGTTGACTTCAGAAGGGAGATGATTTTTGTGACACAGGCACTCAATCGACTTGAGGAGCTATTCCCCCGGTGGAGAGGGAAGGTGGTCTTGCTACAGATTACAAGTGTTCCATGGTTCTCCAGATACGAAGAGGCCAACGGGTTATGTGTCAACCTGGTCCAGACCCTAGCTGACCAACGCAATAGCCCTGGCCCTCGCAAGATGTTCACAGGGCGGCTCTCAAAAGCCGAATACTACGCTCTGCTGCGAGTCTGTGACACAGCCATCTTCCCCTTTGCGCGTGGGGGCCTGATGAAGGCAGCGCTGGACTTCGTCGCCTGTCAGCGATCCGGCAACAAACGGCCTGTCATATCAGAGATCAACCCGCTGAGATTCCAGTTGCCTGCCGCGATCCTATTTCCTCAGGGAGATGTCGACGGCATCGCATGGGCATTGAACCGTGCCTTGGAGTGCTCTGACCAGTCGGCGATGGAACCACTCGAGGGTTTGGAGCCTTTCATGTTACACTCTGCAGAGGAATGGGTGAGCAGCATAATGCAAGCACTTGTGGATAAACTGCTACGGCGTCGCTCCTCAAATCCAGTTCCCTAGGAGTCAGTTGAACGTGATGGGCTATACCTTCCAGAATGGAGACCATCTGACGGAAGTGGATGGGATGCAAACGACGGCAGTAGAAGTGATGGTACTTGGAGTCAAGATACTATTTGGAGCGAAGATTCGAGAGGTGGTTGGAGAGGTGGTTGGAGAGATGGTTGGAGCGGTGATAGCGATGAAGATGATTCCCGAGACGAGACGAGTCCAGAGCCTGATGACGCTGATGACGAGTTAGATAGCCTTCCATCTCGGGGACGACGACCCAGTGCGGAATCTGAGGATATTCAAAGTATGCGACCTCTGTTGTACATCTCTGAGAGGGCGCGCTCGGCTTAGCCACAGCCAATTTGGCAATGTTTCTCGACATGAGCCGTTTTGTGAGCATGCGAGGTGAGATGCTAAACACGGATTGGACACGGGGTTCGAGTTTAAATCAACAAACAGCGCGCACTATAAATAAAATACAGTTTGGTTTTCTCTCCGAAATGTCCATTCTCATTCCCATGTTTACGTCCATGCTCACGTCCATATCCATGTCCATGTCCAGGTAGGTCTGTGTAGGGTAGCATCGAGGCCGCAATGCGCAGAACCCGTGCAGCCCAAGTCACAAGATCTACCAACCACACGGAGCTAAAAACAAGCCTGTTTATCCAAACCACCTATCAGCCGACAGCTCTCGACCACGATGATCAGCAATCGACCCCCGGAATAGGAAACCACGGCCAAAAGAACAAAGGGGGGGAGAGATACCGTTGGTCTCGTGGGGGCCGGATCGCCTGTGTGTGTGAGCCGCAAGGTGGAGGGACAGGCAAAAGGATTTCTGGCCAGGTGAGCTCGTATGGGTCATGATTTTGCTTTTGTTCAAGGTTTCTTTGCGTGGGTTGAGCGGGCGTTTTTCTTCCTCTTGAAGGATGGGATGACGTTGATGCCTGGAATGGGCGTTTTGGTTGAGGAATGGCCGGGTGGTTTGTCTTTTTTGTGTGTGAATAAGGAGTGAGTGAGTGAGTGAGTGATGTGTTTTGGGGCTTATATTTGGGTTTATAGACATATATATATATATATATATTATGCCAGCCTATGTAGTGGTCAATGGACGTGGACTCTTTTTGGTTGCTCTTGTTCTCACGCCTTCATCTATATCACACCTCTCTCTCTATCTTTCCTATCATAACATAGATTCATGGCGGTGCCTAATCACCCCCTTATCGCCGCGTGGACGTCCACCCCGATCCCGGACCTGTCTCTCTCCGCGGGTGGTCTTCTCGCGCTCGCGGATCTCAACACGATTGCCCAGCGCACGGCGATTGCAGGCGGATCATCGTGGCTCGACGCCTTTGTGCTCGCTCCTGGTCTGCACTACCAGCAGGCGGCGGACTTGCTGACGCCGGAATATGGATCCGGGAAGCTGGTGCTGTCGACGCTGGAGGGCGGGGCTCGGAGGCTCGTCGTGAGCAACGTGGCCATGGTCAAGTATTTGCGGAGACTGTGGGAGAGAGAGGGAAAGTACGGGGTTGTGACGCTGTATGTGAGGATGGAGAATGGGGTTGCGGGCGTTTCGTTTGCGTCGTCGCTGTCGCTTTTGCTGGGGGGGGATGATTCGAGGCGGAGGAGCCAGAGGCGGTGGCAGCGGGATTTGAGGAGGCAGCTTGAGGCGGAGCATAAGAGTCACGTAAGGGAGGTTTTTGAGATGGACTGGGTGAGTCATGCGCTGTATCTGACGAGTCCGCTGCTCACGGTGGTGGCCATCGTCTTCATGGTGTTGCTGCAGGACTGGTGGGGGTTGGGCTTCCTGATTGCGCTCATGGTGTCGCGGCTGGCGAACATCTGGGCCATCAAAGAGCGATCGCGGCCTGGAGCTACGCCGCCGCCGTTGCCTCCCTTGGACGAGAAGCCCAAGACGCCGTCGCCTCCTCCTGCTCCGCCAGGTTCTCCTCCGCAAGAAACATCGCCAACGGCTGTTGGGGAGTCTAAGCAATCCCTGGCGCTGCCTCTCTCATTCAAGCGGCAAGACTCCAACATGACGCAGTACACCATCGACTGGGGCGACAACCGCCGCGTGATCCTCAGGGGCGAGGACGCAGACCTGCGAGCCGTCACGACCGAGGCCTGGCTGCGCGCAAAGACGACCTGGGAGGGCTACCTCGAGGCCATGTCCAAGCTCATCGTCTACATGGTGGCCTCGCTGAGCGGCAATCTCTCCCAGGCGGGCGCCGTGGTCCTCATGTCGCTGCTGCTCGTCAGCGCGGGCCTTCTCGGCCTGAGCAACGCGCATGCGACCAGCATGCAGATGCACGGCCGGCGAGTCGGGCGGTTGAGGGTGGAAAGGGTCAAGATTGCGCCGTTGGATCCGGGCATGGCCGTGTCTGGCCAGGCAGATACCACGACGCCGGACGGATTCCCTGTTCACATTGTACCGGTGGTCGGCAACTGACGAAGCTTCTTGTTTTCTTCTCTCTCTTTTCCTTTCTCTTTTCCTTATTGAAAGGGCGGCGCGTACTAGATATAGATATACACGAGAGATGTTAACGGGGTTTCTTTTCTCCTGCGGCCTATGCCTGGTTTCTCATTCTTATAAACGCTCGTATCAATAAAATCTTGCTCTCGTCATAACAACGAAAAAGAAAAGAAAGGAAAAAAGAAACATGACACACAAATAGGAATCGAGGAGAAGAAAACGTAAACCGGTCAAGAATGGAAACTGAGGCATTCTCGTCTAAAGCTAACTCGTATATCAATTTCACGGAGGACACAACCAAAAAGACCCAAAGAATCGAAACGCCGCCATATACAAGTGCATCTCCCTATGTGCAAAAGCCGTCGAATCCAATACTGAGCCGCCAAGACGACCTACGCGTTGGCTGGTGGGTCTTCCTTCTCCTCATCTGCAGCAGAAGGCTCTGTTTTCACTGGAGGCGTTGATTCCGCCACAGGTTGTTCCTCCGGTGCAGGTACAGGTAGAGATTCAGACTTGGGCTCTGCCTCGGGCTCTGCCTCGGGCTCTGGTTCAGGTTTTGTCTCCAACTCCAATTCTGGCTTTGATTCCGGCTCAAGCTGCGGCTCTGTCTCCGGAGCAGGCTCAGGGGCCTCTTCGACGACGGCCGGCGCGACTTCAGGTGCTGTCTCTGGAACCTCAGGCAGTGTCAGTTCAGCAGGGCTCTCAGGTTTGACCTCGGCGACGGGCGCAGTATCCGGCATAGCCTCTTCCAAGAGTTGTGATGCCGCTGCCTGACGATCTAGCTCCCCCATCAAGCCACCGAGAATATCTGGCTCAGTCTCCTTAGCCATGTCGGCGTCACCATCGACCTCGGGAGCCGTCAACTCGGGTTCGGTGGATTCTATCGCAGCGTCAGCAGGAGCAGTTTCCTCCATTGCGTCATCTATTGACGCATTTCCAACCTCTGAAGGTGCCTCCGATCCAGGCAGAGGCGCCGTCACTGAGACCGAGTCCTCTGGCTTGATAGTATCTTCGGTCATCGCAGACAGTTGGTGCAACAGCACCGGCTTTTGGATGTTGGTATCTGGCTGGCTGCTCGTTTGACCCTTGGGTGTTCCCTCAGAGATTCGAGAGTTGCCATCCTCGGTCTTTGGGCTGGAGATATTGCCCACCTGGTCAGGGGGAGGTAGCTCTTCAGCCTGTGGCATGTCGCGCTCAATAGCTTCCTCAGGGGCCTCTCCAACGATTGTTGACGGTGGTTCGGCGATGGTGGAGTCCGCTGTGTTATCAGCAAGGTTATCCAAAACAGGCGGAGCTGCTTCCGCCACGGACTCGGTGTGCACCGATGGTTCAGATGGCGACGGCACGATGACGGGATTCCTAGGCGGTGTATCCTCTTGTTTCAGAGGCACAGAAGCCGGGCGTTCTGACGGTTCTTCAAGCGCAGGGATGTCTGCTGGCTGAGGAGGTGAAGGCTCCCTGGGCGCTGGCTCAGATGGCGCCAGCTGCTCATCCTTCATTTCGATGTCGGGGTGGTCAATTATGTGAGAGGCATCGACCATCTCCTCGTCATTGTCCTTTGTAACGTCGAGGATTGATTCATCTTGCAGCTCAGTCTCGTCGCCTTCGCCTTCGCCTTCGCCCTCCTCTCCATCCTCGCCCTCATCCCCATCGTCACCCTCTTCTTCTTCATCGTCATCGTCATCGCCATCAACGTCACCCATCTCGCTGTCTGGATTCCGCGTTTCGCTCTCGTTCGGTGTGGGTGTCTATAAGCATAGAAATTAGCTTCATGACCAGGATGGTAGTATTCTAAAGCCACTTACGAGCAGGTCCTTGGCCTCCGTCTTGACCGCCGTTGCGGCTCCAGCTCCTACGGCCGGCACAGCTCCAGCAGCCTGTTGATCCGCCAATAGCGGCTGCTTGATCTTCTTCTTGCCTCTTCCAGGCCCTGCCTTTGCTTTTCTCTTGGGTGGCGGTGGTCTTCTTCTGACTGCCGATGGCGGCGGGGCTGCAAAGGCGTTTGGCTGCGGCGCGGCGATGGCCTCGACCCTGGTCGCAATGACCTCACCTTCCACACGCTGGCCCTCCGACAGTGTGACTTCTTCTGTGTAGGGATTTCCAGCTGCGTCCATCCGCCTGACCGTGGCCCGCGTCACCGTAGGTCCCTGGACCTTTTCCTCCACGGTCCGGCTAGCCACGGTAACGACATTCTTCCTCCGCTTTGCAAGGTGCGAGATGCCTGGCGCCTCAACATTCTTGGGGAGCTGCTTCCAGATCCTTATCTGATAGCCCTGCGCGCTTGTGTCCTCCTCCTTCTTCTCTGGCTTCTCCTGGATGTTGGGCTCGCCATCTGCCTCCTCGTCTTCATTAGGATGCGGTCGTTTGTAGAGGCGACCGGAACGCGCAGCGCGCAGCAGCTCCTGCGTGTGCGGAGGCAGCAGAGTCGCGTCCTTGGGCATGCCGTGGATAAGCTCGATGGCCCAGATGTCATTCTGCTGCTGCTGCTCTTGCTGGACCGGAGGCGCGACGTTGACCCATTCGTGGCGCCATTGTCGGACGGGGAGACCTGCGTCAATCAGCTGGTGTCGCGTGTTAATACGATGCGCAATGGCGGCGAACCTTCGAAATCGTCGTGCTCAACGTAGCCACTGCGGTTTGCGCGTCTGGTCTAGAGCAAAAACTGTCAGCTTACGACGTCGCGAGGCAATGGACACGAGGAGAGGCGTACTCCTGGCGCCATTGCGCCTGGGCGAATTGCTGTAGCGAAGGCCTTTGTCGGTTACAGCGCAGCACTGGAATCAGCGCTGCTGCAGATGGTCAATGAGGGCTAGGCAGGGTGAATTCGGCGATGCCCAGAATATCGGCTCAACGGCTGGAGTGACCGTGTTAGTGATGGAATCAACTGGTGGTGAACACGCTCCAAATGTTTGGTGAAAACGATTGTGACCATGTCGTATCAGCCAATTGGAAGGGGCTATGCGACGATGACATAAGCACGCATGTGCTGCAGTGGTAGGATGCATATTTAGTGCCTGCGCATATGTGAAAGACGGTTGAAAATTCATGGCTTTTGTTTGATGTAGATGCAGCTTGTGATTAAGAGACGTTGAGAGAGATTGTAGGATGAGAGGAGTTGATATTAAATAAATTACAAACTTGGTAGGTTTTTTTGAAGTGGCTTGAACCTTCGATAATCCCTACCTTAGGAGCACGCACAGAGCCTCACATGTGGGTAGCAAACATTTGTGTGTGAGTGGTCCATCCAGCATGCAAAACAAGATGGATGCTACTGCAGCGCATTTCTATGTCCTCAATTGACGAGCTGCAGCACTAATTCAGGCATCAGAGTCATGTAGATAAGCTGAAACTCCCCCTTGGTGATCCCAGCTTGGGTGCTTGCGAGTTATTGCAATCGGTGTTGAGATTGTGTAGTAGTCTAAAGTTTGTCCCGTAACGATCCCGCAATACTCCCAAGTCGAGTCGAAAAGCCGTCTCTCGATGCTCCTGTGATATATGTATGATGTACAAGCCCCATTGCCATCCTACTGTACAGCCATCATTCCATCCGTGTTTATCATTGTTGTTTCGTGCGCTTCTTTTTTAACTCAGTCGTAACTGAGGACACATCTGTTAGCGCGCGCCCTCCCGCTGTCGAGGAGTCTTGGCTCACACTCACCCTTATTCCCTTTGCCGTACTATCTCTCCTGATTTACTTTGTTTGCCCTGAACCATTTAGATTAGCGCTGGGGCCGAACGAGGCCAAAGCAAGGTCAAACCTACCGACTGTCCTCCCTCAACCACTAATCGATCCAGCTTGTAGAACTGTCCAATGACCGTTTGTCGCTGCCATGCGCCGTCAGCATCTTGCGTGCAGGAGGAAGCACAAGTGAGCAATCCCCTAGCATACCTTCATAGTCTGAAGCTCCTTCAACCCCTTCTGGATCAGCTCCTGGATCTTGCGCGGATCCTCCACCGCAGCGTTTTCTCGGAAAGCATCTCGGGTCCGTCGCTTCGCATACTCGCGGAAATTATAAGAGCTGAATTCGTTGCCTTGGCGCAGCAGCTGTCGATACTAGAGAGGTCCGCAGAGTTAGCCGAGTTGTATAGCAAGGCGAGGGACTTTGTTCAAAGCGAATAGAGGCCCAATATTGCTCTTTTCACGGTTTCCCCCACTACATCATTACGCCGCCTTGACGCAACAGAGCTTCTCGCACAATTCGCATCGCCGTCAACCAACTTACCAGTGATCGCGCCTGCTGCGGTAAGTCGCCCCGTAAGGTGCCGACTAAAGACATTGTATGCTGGTGATTTGGCGTGTAGTTGCCTCTGGCAGGTATGGGCTTTCAAATTCCCATATCCCAGACATTGATAATGACGAGCCGGGGATCCTGCGGTTCGGTGTTAGTCGGGCCGGAGAAATCCCTGCTCCGAAAAAGCTGCTCTATCCGAGCTTTGCCCGGTAAATCTCATCCACATCTCGAGTTTTTTGAGTCGAACTCTGGCCTTGTCTCCGAGCAGCCGAGAGGATTCGGTATATTGAGGCTGTAGCCCGTCTTAGCCAGGGCTTCAAGTTGCCCATGTCCTACGTGTAAAGTGCCTGCTAGCGTTAGCCCTGTATATCTGTAGCACGGTTTACGCAGACTTGTGCACGTGTAATCCAAGGAAAAGCATTCTCTCAACACTGATGAATTGGCCACCCTGTATCATGAATGAGCGAAAATGCCGATGAAGCTTTGTTATATCTATTTTTAACCAAGTGTGTGCCGGTATATTTACAAGAATATCCAAATTCCCATCTCTATATCTGCATTCATAAATTCACTTGTACCAACTCTTGGAGATGGAATGTAGATTGAAACCTGGTAGCCTGAATTGCATTTCTCAAACGACTTCACTTGCCGTTGTCATCTCCCACAGCTCCCTTAACAGCCCCATGCAATCAAGCCCATTTGGGTATCAAAATATTGCTGCACTCACCAAATGCAATCGTCAAGGGCTGAACTCCTGTGTGATTCTTATCCCTGACTGAAACAAGACAGCATGCGCTAGAACTGAACTGAAAAATAAGGGCGTGCAGAAGAAACAGCTTACAAGCCTGTCTGGCGATGATATTGAGACAGAGCTGGAGCGCCCCCCCGGGCAAAGTAAATTGACTTTTAATGATCCTCCCAATGCATTAATTTTCGTCTAAAGATATTTGGCAGTGTTGATTGCGAAAAAGAACATTCTTGCAGCCGTGATAGAACCAAAACTTCCTCAAAGTAGAATGCTTACTTTGGGTCATGAACTGGGCGCAGAGGCACCAAATGATGCCAAAGCCTGTGCAATGGTTTCGTCGGAGAAGCCATTGGTGTTAAGCATCTGATCAAATCTCGTTCCTTGGTTCAGATCGCCTTGCAACTGAGTTGTCAGGGTATATTGCCGTTGAGATTGATTCGGTTTGATGACCGTGGCAGCCTGGCTGTTTTGCTTCTCTGAGAGGAGAGGGGCAAACGCAAGGTTTGTGATGGATGCATTGAGGTTTGCTAATTCTGTGGGATGACTGTTATCGATGAGATTCCACTTCAGAATTTTACCCTTGGCGTGGCCTGTGACGATTGAGGTGCCATCATAGCTTACTGCCATGCAAGAGGCTGCCCCGGCGTCCTCATCGGCCACCCCCAGGGGAGAGTTGATTTGCATAACTATAGATGCTAGCTCAGCACTGCGGGCTCCCAGAAGCGGCTTGTCGCCATAAAACTCAACGAGATAGAGACTTCTATCTTCGGAAGAGACAAAGAGGGCTCGAGCACAAGGGTCTAATGAGATGCAGAGAGGAGCCGTAGGAAACAGCAGTGTTCGTAACACTTGACCTGTCTGGTAATTCCATAAGATGCAAGTCTTGTCCTTGCTCGCAGACACACACAGATTTGTCTCGGGGTTGGAGCCTGGGCCCAGGACAAGGTCAGTGATGGCACCTCGGTGATTGGACAGTGTCCTGTCTGGCTCATGTCCGATATCTTGCCCAGGCTCAAGGAGACGCGGCAAGGACCAGACATTGATGTTGGAGTCATCTGAGGCAGAGAGTACATGGTGGGGAGACACGGCAATGCAGCTTACGGCCTGCACATGGCACGGAGGCGTTGTGATTTGCCGCCCCGTACAGGTCTAGACAATGGTTGTCAGCATGCGTACCGTCTCCATCAGGGAACCTGAGCACACTGGCATTCTTGGAAAAAGGACCAATGGAACATGAAAGAAGGGGAAAAAAGGTTGAATCATACCTCCCAAAGAATAAGCCGGCCCTCGGCTGTTCCCAGAACGAGAACGTCACCGGCGAGGGCAATACACCGGATCCTTTCCTGGAAGGGCACAAGAGCTTCTTGGTTTCCACGAGCTCGAGAATAGACGTGAACATGAGCTTTCTGATCCTGGGCAGCGTACACGTGGCTATCACTTAGAGCCAGGCAGTGAACCGGAGCTGAGCTTTTCTTGAAGGATGCCTTGACGGCCCACGTGGGAGTGAGTGTGTGTGCGTAGATGCCAACGTCTTTTGATATCGCCGTGTTGGCAGCGATGGGCGGGCCGCACACCGACGAAAAGAGCTCGTCTGACAGCATAACGGCTATGATTTGAGCTTGGCTAGACGTTGGGCAGTGGCGTTTGGGATGCCTCTGTAGTGTTGAAGCTGCCGGTTTGATATCAATGCCGCCGGGGTTGAGAGGAAAGCTGCCTGCCGAGACAACAGCCCAGGTTGCGCCAAGAAGATGCTACTGCCAATGGTTTGGTCGCTAGAATTGGCTGCAGACGTGCGTTGCACTAACGTGTCAAGCGCTTGATAACTCTCCGCTTGGTCTTGTGGGCGTCGTATGATTTTCCACGTTGGAGTATTCGAAGCAAGGGAAAAAGGCTGGCCAGTCGTTGGAAGAAAAAAAAAAAAAGAAATTTGACGTCCGATGGAGTGCATGGTGACCCGCTCTGTGCTGCATCTGTACGGAGCTCCAGGCCATTTCAGCGCCTCCAAGCCCACTCGGCCCTCTGAAGCCGGCCGCTAGCGCTCCATTCTTAGTGGCTACTAGCAGCAGCAGCAGCGCCCGATCTAGCGCTCGTGCAGGTGACTTATCTGATTATCGCACCTTATCCAGCCCTCCCTGCATTGCCCTGCATTGCTTCGTCTCTGTCTCCCCAACTTCATCTCCGCCCTCAATTTATCACCTATTGCTGTGGCTGTCAGTTTCAGTGTCTCGCCGACCCGTCCAAGTGACTGGATTTATTACTATCGCAGCCCTTCAAGGCCGTGCCCCTGCATATCGCAGCTCTCGACCGGATGCCAACTCATCATCTGTGTCCCCTTGCGTCGAGAGCCTTGATTCTGACTGGACTGCCTCCCCTGGGCTATCCACGATCCCCTTCTCTGCCGCGATATCTAATCTAACTGCAGGTTGATCTGCGGGGTCTCCGGACATGCTCAGCTCGTTGTCCAGAGCGAGGCCATGTGGTGGTGGATGCCTCGAGACCCCACAGGAAACGCAGCTCCGGAGCAGAGGATGATAGGAAATGGCTTGCATATGCTCATGCCTGGATGCCCTCAAGGATACCCATGGCGAGGCGCCGATGGGCCAATTGGCTTCAAGTCTCCAATGGGCATCTATTGTCCTTGGAAGGCACGGGATACGATGCGGACCCTGTCCCCCCCAGGCCTGGGCTCGTGGCTCAACTTGCTTTTTCTTTCGTTTCTTTTTTCTTAGCAGCCAACAACAAGTGCAGGGGTGGCAGCCTCAGCGCCCCATATGGCACGGAACTGTGTCCCGTGCTAATATTCCTCCCCTGGCGAGAATCACCAGAGAGCTGTGACTGACTGCGGAGCTTTGCCCACACCATGATGCCTTGGTACTCTGACCTACTGGCCGTGCACAGAGACAGATATGATGCAATTAATTATCAGTACTACTTGATGCTCTGAGAGCTCCGCTACTCACGCCATTCTCTGACGGCAAAAAGGAATGAGAAAAAAAAGCCACACGCAAGGACCGCTGCTAGTTGAGTGTGTCTGCTGTCGCTTTGTTTCTGAGATTGATTCCGTGGGTTTCGGGTTGCAGTCACACAAGACTGTCTTATTCTAGCTCTCCGAGGATGGCAGAGTCCTGGCTTCCGGGAAATGACTGTCGCGCTTTAGACGGATCCATGCCGAGCCGAAATTTAGCATCGCCATCTTGGTACGACATGGTATGCATCGCTGGCTCGAATCGAGGAGAGCAGGTATCATTTGTCCTCGGCTCTCTAGCGGGCTAGGAATCCCCCGAATATGGCCAAGAGGGGTGATTAGCTGCGTATAATCCCTTGCAGAAAGCCGTGGAGGAGGGGGAAAAGGCGATACGAGTATGAAAGAGACAACATAGGCCGGCACTCTCTCGACCATGGAGCACATTTGCCAACATCAACGCCCCTCTTACAGGCTGTCATTTGTTTCATGCCACTTACAAAAAATGATACAATTCTGAGGCAGACGGCATCCAAGTAAGCCGAATTCCTGCTCCGTGCCTCTCTGGAACGAAGCGGCAGTCGACCGTCTGAGGATCCATGGCCAGGTGGCGGCCTGAGCTTTGGCCTTGAGAGGTTGGCCCTTGGCGATGTTCTAGTTTTGCTTTTGTTCTGGTAACCCTCCCTCTCGCAGTCAATAAATCACAGGCTAGCAGTGCCCTTGCACTAGACAAGAGCTGCATCTTTCTTCTGGTCCGCACCAACCCCTGGACATGGTCTTTGCTCGTTTTAGCCGTGCCACTGACCAGGATGCAGCCACCCTTCTCAAAAGTCTCCATGTTCTGTCCATCGCAATGAAGCTCCCTACAGTACCGCTGCTATTCTAGTCGAGACCCGAGATATCTTGTCCTCGTATGTATGCATGTGCCAGATCGGCTTCTCAGCCGGCGCTCATTGTACCAAGTTTCAGCCGCTCACCACATCATACAAGTATGGTCTAAGCAGTTGGAAACAAAGTCATCTCAAGCTGTCATTCTCCCAACGCCATCAGATGATCCTTCTCCCCTTCTCCTCCTCTTCCCCCTTCTCAAATCTCTTGTACGCCACACAACAGACACCTCACCAACATTTCATCCCTTGAGTTTGACTCTGTCCGTGTCTCGCTCTTTCTTACACCAATCGCCGCCCATACAACAACCCTGCCCTCCATCGGTGGCCGGGGCGTTCTGATAGATATAGTCCAGCTGATCCCTTTATGGTACAAATCTGATACTGCTGGGCAAATATTGTGACAGAGGTCGCCTAGATGTCGGAGACCAGTTCTCACGTCGCAACATCGCCAACTGGTTTTCTAGAAGGACCTGCCAACAATTCAAAGAGCGCACCGACCAACAAGACCCTGGCCAAGGCCACGCGGAGATCGGTATCAAGTATGAAGGGCCTGCTGCCACTTACATTAACAACCTCTTCCTGTTCCAGCGTTGCAAATCAACTTCCCCAAGAAGCTCTTGAACGACGTGTAGACGACTACTTCCCCGAGTTACTGGCTCAAGACCTAGAGTTGTCCAAGACCATCTTTGAATCTCGAAGTATGACAGCCGGCTCACCCGTTTCTTCCTCTCCCTCGCCGTTTGATGACGGCATGGACAAGTCATCAGCCGCAATGGGCCCTTATCGAGCCTCGCTTCTGTCGCCATACCAGTCAGGTTATTTGCGCGTTCAGACTCTTGGAGCTATTCAGGAGCGAAATTCAATGGTCTCATTCCTTGACCAGCAGGAAGATGCGAGGTCTGGTGTTGCAGCGTCTGAGTCGTGCTCCGCAACCGAAACCGATGCGTCGTCTGTATACGATGCGGCCCCCCCCTCTTTTTTCACACGACGCCAGTCTGCGGATACAAATGTATCCTCACTAGATCCGATAAAAGGGAGGATATCTCTGCCAAAGCTGTTCCCCTTGTCGCCATCGGAGAGCTCTCGCTGTGAGAGCAGCTGGATGGAACCCGATTCAGATATCGAGGAGGACTGTGAGGAAGATGCTGGCATTTATGGCACCATGCTTCACCTTTCACCAAGGCCGCCAACGCCCCCTGAGTTCGAAGCTGGGATTGACTCTAGATCCCCAAGTGGCAACATGCATAAATTTCTGCATCGGAAGTCCCATTCAGTCGCAGGGGCCGCTGTTCTTGTGTCACCTCCAGGGCAACACCTGAGCAACTCGACGGCGCAGGTGTGGCGACCCAATTCAACACAATACTCTAGGCATTCCCAAACTCAAATGCAGTATCCCGACAGCCCCGAAAGCATTTATCTACCCATGTCCCAATACACTCCTCCTACGCCGCACTCGCAAAGCATGCACTATATGCCTGAGAACGGCCTTTCTCGACGCACAAGCAATAGGTCAATTAAAAGACCAGCGATTAACCATGCCGCTGAGGCCGCACTGGTGAACAACGAGTGTGCCAGAACGGAATACAACCAGTTTGTGTCATCTATTGATTCAAAATATGCACCAAGAGTCGACAGTATCTATATCCGCCCCTCACCCCCTCCATCACCTCTTCCCAGCGTGCAGATGTGGCTCAACGGGAGCGCGCAGCTTTTTTCTCTGCCATTTCAGAGCGATGAGTTGGCTCGGGTGGTGCCTCTACCACCTGATGTTATGGAGACACTGAGAGTCACTACCGCGTGCTTTCCAGAGACAATGCTCCTCTCTTCTAGCCTGACTATTGAGACCATTCGAGCGTATTCCAGAAAGGCTAGGAACCCGGGGTCAGATGTTGCTCCTCTCCCAATGCCGCGAAGCCCGACTACTACGTCGAAGCAGTCATTATGGAGAAGGGTGGTAAAGCGCGGATCACAGTCGAGCCAACGCGCGCGTGACGTGCACACTCCGACTGCAAGCTTGCTGCAATCACCCAGCCTAAGCTCGCTGGATTCTCCTAAGCCGTGGATGTCAATCAAAAATGTATTCGGCAACTGCTCTGATTACATCTGTGATGCTCTTTATTCCCACATTGTTGCCTATAATTATATTTCCGCGCTTGTTGCGCGGTATCCGACCTCACTGGGCTACGGTCGCTCATGCTCGCCTGTTGGATCACAACATGAAGACATTCCCAAGAAGGCGGCTTCTCTGTTGGGTCTCAATGAACGGGCCAACTCGACTTCAGCTGCATCCATCCGCTCTGCAAAGAGGTTCAGCTCTTCGCACTGGGGCAGAGAAGATTTCATGGCCACGAGCCCAACAGCCACTTCCGCCAACCAGGATATGGTGATCAGGAGCATTCAGACCGAGCTGTTGCGGTGCATACGCCGTCTGATAGCAACTGCGAGGCTGATGGCCGAAAGCGACTCCACAGATGAGAAAATGGTGGAGATGGACATTGAAGATGCGGACGTGCTGTTTATGCGCAGCCTTTGCGAAATTGTTAGGGTAAATGAGGAGGTAGCTTATCTGTAAATTGATGTATCAACTTTGATTATGTCTATATACCGACCTTTTTATTCTATGGCTTGAAGGAGAATGTTGGGTTGATACTACATGGTTGATGATTATTCCTTGGCCTTTGTGTCATATTAGGCCAGCACAAAATATACTGACGAACATTTCACGCAAACGATGCTCTCCTTGTAGATTGTGATTACGAGTTTAGTAGGATAAATGGTGTGAAAAGTACATGATTATCGTTTCTCGACGGAAATTTCCCGCGGATCATGGTGGCTTTTAACAACAAGATCAGCCTTGATCCTTAATCAAATACACAATGTAATTAAAAGTGCTTTCTCTTTATAAAACAAGCGTCAGCAATGCATTAACAACAACAAAACCTAAGCTATGCTATGAGCCGGACTCGGCCAAGTATCAAAGGGTATCATCCAATCTCATCCAAGTACTAAAATAGCAAAAATCATCATCTTATCCCAAACTCTACGGCAGAACAAATCTTAGCCGTGCATCAATCAGCAATCATAGCTCATCAGGGCCGTCGTGGCTCCAACGCTCCCTTTCCATCCCCGAACAGCGTCTCGTGCCACGGCTTGCTTCCCTTTTGGCACACGCCGTCCCAGTCTATAGGCACAAGCCTTGCTGGGTGCTCTTCTTTCGCTAGTTCAAACACAGTCACTTGCTTATTCTGGCGCTGTATCCTTGGTGGCCAGTAGAGCAAGTTGGGCTCTCCGTCTTGCTGCGATGATATATTTAAAAGAGGCCCTGGTTTTTCGTTATTCTGCGGTGGCCTCAGTTGTGCGGACACGAGCTCTCGTAGCCGAGGATAGAACCACATCATTGACCACCAGTTGTTCAATCGCCAGGACTTGAGACCGTTGATGTATGCGTTGTGGTGGATTCCCACGGGGGCAACGCCGAAGAAGAAATCAGTGTAGAGAGGAACTTCGCCCCATCGGATTTTGGAAAGAGGACTTTCGTTGATATTTTCGTATTCCAATTCCTTAGGGATACTGTTAATGCGAGAGCCGTTGGGCACACCGGCTTTGAGTGATTCTTCTTCAACGGCCTTGTGGTCGTCGAGTTTGACGAAATAGCCATCTTCCTCTGCAGAGCACGTCGCCGGGATGGTAGTGAAATTGTAATCAAGTCCAATACCAAACTCAAACTGCTCGCCTACGAGAGCCTTTGCCGCAATGTCGCGAACCTCTGGGCTGAGAGTCGACAAGTCATATTTTGAACTGCTGCCATCCCACGAGCTGCCCAGTTCTCTCATCCACTCCCGCCACATCTCCTGATCGCCAATGACTTCGCCCAGAAGTGCCTGATCGCTCCAGAGCTGGCGGCCGCTGCGGGTGACGGTCTCGATTTTTCGCTTGCAGCGTCTGAGGACCTGGCGGAGGGAGCGCATGGTACCCATGATCATGCCGCTGTTGATGCAGCGGGGCCGAATCTTTCTGTATTTGCGTGCTGGATCGAAAAGGAGAGGCAGAACTTGGTCGGTACCTTCTCCGTACAGATCATTTGGCATGGGAGACTGCGGCCAATGGTCATAATGAGGATCAGAGCCGGATTCACTGTCAGGCTGGCAATCCTTAGCCGTGGTGACGATGATGGACTGCTTTGGAGGGGATACTGGAAAGGCAGAAGCTGTATTTCGTTGTGCAGCTTGCCATTGTTTACGCAGCCGCTCGTTAGCCTCGCTATTAAGCTGGTGGTATCGCTGAATGAGGACCGAGGGAGGCAGCTGGAACCAGATATCATACGCATCAACAAGAACCGCCAGGTCATCGTCGTCCGCGCCTCCATCAATCTCCCCTCCGCCCAGCATTTCCTCAATCACGGCGAGCAAGCTCTCGAGCTTTGCGATATGGCTTCCCGCAAAGTGCCATTCCGGGCGGTTAAATTCACCGTCCCAATTTAGCAGAGTAGGAAAAGGATAACCAAGAGCGACAGCAGACATGATGCTTTTGCATAGGTTAATGTGAGGCGAATCAGCTGGCATGAAGATTCGCAGCCGCCAATCGCCGCCTACATCTTTCGTGGCTACGGGGCTGAAAGCTTCAAGGGCTTCTCGTGACAGGACACCTGAAGGTGATGCTCTGCCTGATGGAGAGATGCCATATCGCAGCTGGGCAGAGGCAGACTATGGGTCTATTAGATTAAATTTCAAGTATAAAACAGGGAAGCGCATAATTACCAAAGCTGACAAGAAGAGGCTGACTGTGAGAACCGCCAGACCCAAGATCTGCCATAGCGCACCTCGGCATATTAATAGCGAACATTGCCGCAACGCAGTGCCTTTGGTGAACACATTTTGATGCTCATGATGCTCGTGACTCGGCAGAATGCGATACTCTTTATTCGATGCTGATCGGTTAAACAAACTGGTAAAGATTCGAGAGGATATGTGCCTCATCTTCCTTTTACACCCAAGGCGCGATAAGATGCTTGGACGATCAAAGTGGGCACTTTAGATGGTTACAGAGCTTCTAGATAACACCGCAACCAATACATGCTTTGATATTATCTCTTTGGACACAGAACTGCTAGAATACGGAAAGCGAAAAAGAAATATCGAACAGGAAGCAATAATTATTATTTTCTTCCAGCTCCTGAGACGATGCGTCTACTGTATGTAGGTAGTATTGGTTTGCCGCCGATGACCACATGCAATTCGCAACACCATTTCGAGCTCAGCTTGCAAAACGTGGGTTCTTGCGGCAACAACTAGCCGGATCAAGCAGTGATTTGCAGCGATAGGCACCTCAATTCAGGGCATTCGACGGAAACACGGCGCGGCGCCAGGACTTGGCATGTTGATTAGTTTGAAATCGGTTGATTGTATAGGGGCTTTAGTCGTGTTATCGCCTCTCCTCTCTGCAGCTTTGAGTCAGGCGGATCCGGGGTTGTTTGGCGCTATCGCACGTGGGCGAGGATCATCTTCTAAGGGGCCCAGGTGCAACACCATCAACGTCATCCTATTTTCTGGGCATTGACCGGTTCTCTGCTTGTGGGTGTGGACTTGAATGTGCCTCACACAAAGGCAAAAAGGGCTGAGTGCGTTTCACCGCAGCTTGGTCACCTGGGTGATCAATGCCCCCGTTGGCTGCCTGTTGGATGCCGAGCACGGCTCAAAACTCGTGTTATACATGTAATCCATCTGCATCGACAAGAGCTACATAGATGCAGGCTCGCAGACACAGGAGAGGAGGCCAGATCTTATACCAAACAATGAGGCTACTTGGGTTAGTTGGAGCTCTAACATCAACGCCGGCTTACACTGCTCATTCCCGCCTTACTCTTCCGTCATGCCGGCAGTGAAGCTTCCTGTGCGCGGATCCGGATCCATCTTTACTGCCGGATGGGACCTGCGGACATTTACTGCTTTTGGAATTGTTGGTGAGTACACGTATTGCGCTGGCGCGGACACCATCACTTGGAGCCATCACCAACTGCATGCAAACTAACATCACTTACTCAGGTTTTGCTAATACGCTTCTTCCCTACATCGTCTTCTCTAGCCTCTATCTAATTGTACCCTTTTCACTGCCTGTTGTATTGCTCATAGAGCTGCTTCCTGCTATTGCGGTCAAGCTTCTCATTCCACATATCTTGCACTACACACCACACTGGATCTGGCTGGCTCTGCTTTCAAGCTGCTGGATCTTGGCCACAATTGCCGCCAATGCCGCTCCTCCAAATGTTATCGCCCCTATCCGCACTTTGATCGCCGTCCTTGTTTCAGCAAATACCGCAGTTGCTGAGGTTTTCTTTTTGAGCCAGCTATCTCACTATGGCAAGACGGCTCTGGCAGGATGGGGAACGGGGACCGCAGCTGGAGGTGCAATGCGCGCTGTTCTACCAACAATATTGACGATCCACATGGGTCTTATGATGCGCAATGCTACGGGCTATGCCTACTACATGCTGTTGGCCATGATGGTTACCTATTTCCTGGTGTTGCCGACCCCTCTATGCCATGAGCCAGACACTATGACAGCTGATAAGTTGAGCGGCGAAGATGACGCTGAATCTGAAACAGAAAGTCAGAAACTCTTACTGCTTTCTGCGGAAATCCGCTCCAAATCAATCGGCTTTTGGGAGCGCGCCCATCGCAACATACAGCTGATGAGCAGTAAGCTCCTTCGGCTGTGTATAGACCCGCTTCTCCTTGTTGCAGCAGTGCAGGCTCTTGTGTCTTCAGGAACACCTCGTGCCAGCCGCTCGTTACGGATTTTCTCAGGATATTCAGCATTTTCGGCAACATATGGTCTTGCGTTTCAGATTGGAGATCTTATAGCTCGCTCAACCGCGCTTTTGTTTCGAACTAGAAGACCGAGACTCATCTTTGCCCTATTAGTCGTTTGTTGCCTCGCTGCCATCCTCAACACCTCACTTATGCTAAGTACAAACACATACGTTGTATTTGGCCTCATATCCTCCATTGGTTGGCTTAGCGGAATGATGTATATGAATATATATGGGGCTGCGATGGAATATCTGAGTAGGAATCCAGACGCCGACGCAGAATTTGCTCTTGGATGTATTGGGGTTGGAGAGACTGCAGGAATCCTGATTGGATCGCTTGCTGCTGTTACATTTGAATCACAGCTCTGTGGGCTTGCTAGTCGAAGCGGACGATGGTGTTCCACTATTACATAGATGGACCGATACGACTCGTTTTGTGTTTACAACTTCCGCTCAATGTTTATGACCTCATGATATTATGCAGGGTGAAGGTGTGCTTATGTATAGCTAGAGTAAACGATACGCCGCATCGGATCGCATATATCATCATATTCCAATGCGGAGAGGTAATGACTTCTACTAATTTCCCTCGTTTTACATAACAAGCGATGGAGCCAGGGTGTCTAAAGATCTATCCGAAGCAACTTATCCAGGAAGGCTATTGAACACTTCTCAAGTGTGTATTGAATAGTAGTCATTTAGATATTCCCGATGTGGAGGTGTTCAATTCAAGTGGCAAACTGGCAAATACAAATTCACCGTGTTATTAGTTCCTGTTTAAAAAATCTTGATACATCTGATGGAATTAGTGTCTCTATACATTCGCTCTCACATATCAATTATTCAACAGACGGCACTCAGACTTGTAACTTAAATGGTGTGGAGCAAGTCAAAAATAAAAGACAATACATATATATATTCGGCGTCTTATATTCTTGAGTTGTTTAGAAGGGAATTCCCCATGTGGTCTCCTGAATCTGCATTTCGACGGGAATGACCGCATAAAGAAGCTCAAGTTCGACAATTGTATGGCTGATGGGAGTTCCCATTGACTATATCAAGTATGCTACTAACGTCGTGATCTAAAAATACCGCCAGGCTCGAGATAATTTTTGCAAATTACATTATGGCTTATACGTTGCGAAGTTTAGCAAAATTGTGAGGATTATGGGTAGATCTGTATGTTACAGTTAAATCTAATCGTATGGTTAAGCCTCAAACTCCCATCGAATTATGTAGGGCGCTGCGATTCATTACTTTAAATAATTTATACAAGTAAAGTCTTTTTACCGCGCATCTTTGAGCTCAAGGAACTTTTATCACAAAACTTAGCTTCCACATGCCCAGCCGTATCCTTTTCCAATCTTCCAGACTCGTTGTGCTGAACTCCCGGGTTCTTCAGATATCCTTATATACCTACCATTCTTAATGAGGAATGCCTTTCAGCGATTACTCTGTCTTTGCTCTTGCTCCGGTTTCTAGGTACAAGAATCTATTCATTACTGTGTATGTACGTGATTGAGTAGAGATTGTCTATTGGACGCTCGGTGAGGAAAGAATAAGCGAAAAAAAGGTTTCGCACAGGCAGCCTAAAGAAGATGAAGGACGATTTGCTATATGCACAGATTTGAGGAATGGGGATGGACTCCTTCGGAGGTTGGCGATATATGCCGAGATTTGAAGCTTTGTTGTGTACACACTTCCGTGGAAGTTTACTTAGGGTGCTAGGGGGCTGGTCAGCAGTGCTGATGTATGCAACGGGTTTAATACGGGTTCCAGGCCAAATACTTGGCGCGAAACCTGTTTTGAAGCTATTGATCATTCCTATGCCTGACCGGTGAAGGGTCAGCTCCAAACGCCTCAAAGACCAGAAACGCTTACCGGTGAGTTCCGTTACATTGCATCACTGGTCTGTCTAAGGTAGTTAGCTGTTTCTACCCATAAAGATTGGTTGCCTAATGGAGAGGCACTTCCTGCAGAAACAAGGAGAAACCAAAATGGTAATTTTGGCTACATGTCGCAGATCTTTGCGGGGGGTCCTATCACTAGCAAGATATTTCGGACCAAATCGAATACCGAACACTACAGGTACTAACGGGATAATCAACCCGAAGGCAGGCTAATGGCAGGTAAAGGATTTTCTTGCAGTAAAAAAAACATACGACTTTGCACATGCCGCAGCCAGCGCCGTCACTCTGCATGCTTGGCAGTGGAAGTTGTATCCCGATTGGTATTTAAACAGTTACACGCCTGGCTGGTGTACTTCTCGGCAGCCCCGACACCATGATACAAGGACTAATAAGCATTAATACAACTGCGGAATTTGAGCAGCAGCCCCCAGAGAACGTAATGAACGAATGAGGCTCGCGTCTTTCAATTCAGACAGCGTCGGTGCCATCAATATTTCTTCTTAGGTTAGTTGTCTGCTCCGCAGCTGAATGTAGCGGCACTTCTGTGATCCCCTCTCACCCAAATAAGCAGTCTATCTTATTTTCCTTTGGATTCCATGATGGTCAACCCTTCCTTGCATTAACTTCCAGCCTCAAAAGAGTCTCAAAATTCCTGTGAGCCTCCATCTTCGGCGAATTTGTTGGTTAAGCTAGCTTCCTTCTTACAGGTATCTCACCTTCTCAACAAGACGCTGCAAGGATTTGGTATTTCAATGATACCTTGCTAGTAGTCAGGTACCATCCTCTTTCGCTTTGGTACGGGATTCTCTCTCACACCCTCTTTAGCTTTGTTTTCTCACTACCAACCTGCCTGCGCATTGACCTATCATCAGGAACTCGCTCACAGGGGATCATAATCGTAGGCTTTCTTCTAGTACAGAGTAAGCGACATAGTTTGCATCTGACTGGTGGTCGACGCTCCTCTCAGAGAGTTCAAGGTTAACGTACCACTGATCCTTTGAATCGTAGCAGACTGGCGGGGGATGCATTAAGCCTGCAACGAGCCCTGTCTGGTGTCTGGTTAGGCTGTCTCGTCCCCCACCTGTTTTCATCCTTACTACACCCACACCATCAGAAGCCTCCTGCAACCCTGGCAGCTCGAACCAATCGCGGCATTTAGTCATTCACATAGGGATGGAAATAGAGTGGAAGACTTGGAAGAAGAAAAAAGCACCTGCACAATGGTTCTCCGAACTGAGAGGGTAAGTTTTCAGCTTCACCTGTCAGGCTAGAGAGAGACCAGACACGTATCAAAGTCATGGCGGGAACTGACCCGAATCTAGGTACTTTAAGTGAACTGTTAAGTAGCGTCCCCCGCTAGAGTACGAACAGCAATTCCGCAACAAATTCCTTTATGCATGTGCAATAAGGGCGGTATTTCATGTATGGGAGGGATCACAGCAAAATATAGAATCGAGACACTTCCATGGTATGAGATTTATTCTGTTGTCTTGTTGATTACTTTTGAAATTTGCTCTTCTCTTTATCCGCCTCCCAAGTCGATAGCCCCACTTCTCTTATCCGCTCAACTATAATTGGTCCATGTATCAGACTGATTTCCTAATTCGGTAATCTTCCACCTCCGGCTATTAAATCTGTAGTAACGGGCAAAAATATGATGATATGTGAAGACAAACAGCCACCCTCTCTGTACTTATATACTTGAGTATATTCGAATTTGCTATGAGATTCAGGTGACTCTCAAAATTGCCTGATTGCTTCGAATTTGTCGATTGAGCGCGTTGAAAATCCAGGTAAGAAGAGTGGCCACGATGCAATGCACCACCAAAACCAAAGCACCTATTATAAATTATTTCTCACAGGGTGCTCGAGATAAAATTGTCATTATCTTGGAATAGTAGTAGCATGCAAACATCTTATAAAGATATCACGGGCATAGTCCGCAAAATTACCAGCCAATCACCCGAGCAATTTCACCACCAAGCTGGTACCCCCAAAATGCCACGATGTGGCACCACAATAGTCGATTTTGCACTGAACATTCCTTCTTGTCCTGCTGACTGCTTTAGTGTATATCCGCTGCAAACCATCTCCAACTCAATTCCGTGACCGAAGATATGCCAAACACTGCCTCACTACTCCATTTTCCGCTCAAAAAGCTGCTCAACATGGACTTCATCCAACCATCATTCCAGCTATCCAGATGAACCCACTGCAAATCAACCACGTGTCTAGCCCTCCACGCCACCGCGATTGCTATTCAGCTTTCGGATTTCTTCGGCCCACGTACATGCACGAATTAATAGTTTGAAGTTGGCGACGGAAATAGGTCTAGAACAACTCGCGATGCAAGTCACACGTATATCCAGATCCTGCAGCAAGCCACGCTGCCCACGCAGTATATTCATACAGAGGCGCCAATTGCAGCCTCTATGGGCACAAAGTCGTCAACAGCACTCTATAGCACACTCCAGAATATTTGTTCGAAGCGAGCGATGCTAAGATCATCTAGATTAATCTTCTCCCCACATTCGTAATAACCACTTGGGAATGGTATCTTCATGCGGGAAAATAGGTTCATGCAGAAAATAAATCTAGCTCCTCTCTTAACGAAAGCGGCCCTTAAATTTAGCTAGTATGCTAAAAACGCCCTTTCAAGCACTAGGGTCTGCGTGATCCCACTTGAAGTACCTAGAATTCTTCATATAGATCTAACCAAATTGTATCTCCAAAATACACAGTCATCACCTCGTAAGGTAGTCTTGGCCTCTGTTCGTTTCCTTCCGTCTATTTCGCTGCAGCAAGCACCTGACCCCCAACGCCAATGTCGTATGATATAAAACAAATAAAGGGAAAAGTCTTCGCTTCCCTTTAATAAACTGGGCTTCAAAGAAGAAATAAATAGAGCCAATAAATAACAAAATCTAGAAGCAGCACTATTGCTGATCGAGGCCCTTCCAACCAGCCATTTACTCAATGCAAGTAGTGTTGTGTGTCTAAGATCCAACGCTTTACTCTTCAGCTTCTCTATCCATCTCTTGGTCAAAGCCATAGTCATCTTCATACATATCCGAGCTTTCCACCGGCGGCATTCCCGCGCCCGACCTCTCGCGCATTGCACTCAACTCAGCTCGTATGTCCAAAAGGATTTCGGTTTGTCGGCGCATGAGCTCAGCTAGAGCATCTGTGCTCATGGCTGGAGCAGCAGCTGAAACAGAACCAGCCGCTGACGGCATTCTTCGTTTGGCTTCCCGGCGGGCAAGCAAGTTGTATTTGGTGGCCAAATCTTCGTATGCCGTGACCTGTTGATTGAGCAGGATGGAACTTGTTAGCTAGGCCGGTGAAGCCAACGCAAAACCGCGTTGAGAAAAACAATCGCTCAGACGCATTCACTCCCCCCCCCCCCCCCCCCCCCCAATATGCACACTAATGCTGAGCGTGGAAAAGACAAACATGATCAACAAATGATTTCATGATGAAACACTAACCTCCTCGCCCTGGGACACCTTGAGGGATGCGGCCGCAACGGCGCGCGCGGCAGGCTTGATTTTGCCATCTTGGTCTACGAGCAGCTATGTACAGGAGGTGTTCAGCAGGAGTTTTGTAATCAAGGGAATGACGTTGCTGGAGGCAGTCTAATAGTAAGAATACCAAAAACAGGCAACACTAATGACGACTGAAGGGACCACGTACGTCCTCGCACTTGTGGTGACCGGCGACGCAGTGAGAACACTTGGCGCTCTTCTCTATATTAAGCCCCAGCCCAACATTCAGGGTTCGTGTCAGCTATATCATATATCCACGTATCCGCAGAGGATCCGCAGCAGAACACCCCCCCGGCGTAGAAAGAAGAATAGAGTAGCTCGATGTGGAGAGGAGGGAGGAGAAGACGAACCACCCTGTCCACGGCAGACATGGCCGGGATTTTTTATCATTCGGCCGGCGCACGGCCGACAAGGTGTTGTCCATACTGGGCCCTTTTTCTAATCGAATAAAGCTTGTATCAGTGGTTTGGTGCGCGAAAATGCAAACTATTTCATCAATTGGAGATATGGAGCCAAGAGAAAGCTCACAGCTGGTGGTTCAGGAATCATATCGGAAGTTTTCCGGCGTGGCATCTAACACAAAACGGGTAGCTGTTCCGAGTTACCCCAAGGTGCTCAATTAACCCGTTGTCAGACGGTGGAGGACTCACTACTTGACTTGTAACGAAAAAGCAGCGCAAGAGCAAGTGCGAAAGGACTGTTTACTCAGGCCTAGCCTGGTGCCAAACTTGTTGTGCACGCACGCCCTCGGAGGCCCGCTTCCTTAGGGACCTGGGATAAAGTTGGTGTGGTCGAGACAGCGACAATTGGAGAGAGAAGATGACCCAGAGCCCGGCAGCAGTGCTTGATGGTTAACAGATACTAATCGGTGCTGGTAGGGCGTTGATGGCAAAATTGAAAGAGGCTATGACGGCAGAGTATGTCGTTCTAACGTTGTTGAGATTCCCGCAGCCTTGGTTGGTTGGAATAGTTAGAAAGCTGGGGTGGGATTCGCTCCGATGTATATAATATCAAGTCTCTTCAAGATGATCAAGCAAAGGGCTGTCTCCACACCATCAGGTTGGTCAGGAATTAAGTAACGTTTGAACGAGTGCGGATGACAAGCAGGTCCGGAGATTTAGGAGGAGGAGGAGCTAAATTAGACGCCGGAAATTTTCTCGTAGCTCTTGGTGAACGAACTATTCTTTTGTTATTGATGGCAGAGGAGGAGGATAATGAGGCTCGTACTCGAGCTTGTATGTTTTTCTCGTGGTGGCTGAATCTCCAGAGTCAAGAGTACAGCTACCGCCTGATATTGGTTCGCGCGCCGTCAATAGCCTCTCGAGAGGGAACCGGCCGGCGATACAGCCTTAGCCGCTCCAGAAACGCAATGGGTGCGGAGAAAGAGGGGGCAAAATACAGAGCGTGGGCTTACCCGTGGCCCCCCCAAATGCATCTCGTTGCAGGGAATGCCAACGAGTTGTCCCCTCAATGCTCCAATAAGCCTCCCACGCACGACACCACCTTTGAAGAGAAATGCTGCCAGCTCCTGGGCAGATTCCCCGGCCGTGTGAAATCAGTTAGCCGGTAAGGCTGAGTACTGGCTGCAGGAAACAGCAGAATGTCGGCTCTCGTCTAGGCTGGATACCGGTTTCAGTCCAGCTTCGGTTACCCGGAAATGGTGAAATTAGGGAGAAATCAATGGTATCGAATATTCCCAAATATTCCTAGGACAGGTTTCAATTTGCCCAAACGTATGAGATTAAGACGGATAAAAAGACAAAAAAAAGGAGGGAGAGAGAGAACATATTCGGAGAAGAGGAAGTAAATGGCCTAGCCGAATGAAGGGAGGGAGATCCGGGGACGAGGCTATGCAACTGCCGGAGATGCTCTGATGGACAGGATGGAGGCGTCCAAGCCTCAACGATGGAACGCCAAAATGGTAACCGGGCTTACTAGTAGAACGTCGACTTAGGTGAGATTATCGTAGGAAGGGGTGCAAGTGCCGACATCGCTATGCGAGAGAGCCAAGCTATAGAATCTGGCTGCACAACGTATAATGACACGTTTATGGCGTCTTCTGCTCGTCTTATGCGAAAGGCAAGACCTCACTTGTTTGCAATCACCTTCTTCGATTCTTTTGCATCTTCAGTAATTTTTATGTAGTGTTTTATTCATGGAACTAGGATTCATCTGATATCAAGAACGCTGCAGCTCTCCATAAAATGGGGACGAGTATGCATTTTAGCAATGTACTTCGTATTCTAGTACCTCTGCATGTAGGAACTCACATCGTATTGAGCTACCAGATTCTAGTCATCTCTTCTTCGGCATACGAAATCAACCAAGAATGGGCGGGAAGTGATGCACGGGGTGCCGCCTTTTGCCCCGTTCATGTGAAAACTTACTACATGTAGCTACATAGCGTAGCATTTGTGGCTGCTCTCCTAGGTTGCTTCTAACTAAGCCAGAGTGGTAGTATATGATCCTGCTCAACACCTTAAGAAAGGCATTCGGTCTGTTGTATTTTGGATAAATGACGTGACAGAGCACACAATCTGGCCCAGAGTGAGCTCGACACAGTCCATGGGGGGTCATTGATCCAGCAGCCCAGAATTGGGCATTATTACCTTTATCGGGGATTAAGACATGGAGGCGAACGGTTGACAGCCTAAAGCATGTTGGTCGGCGATTGTTTCACACAAGGCAACCGTATTGGCGGCCTTGAGCCTAAGCCGGGAATCTATGCTAGGGGCGGTAGAGTTGAGTTGGGTACTCTCTCCCTGCATAGCATGGCGGCCGGTTTGTTGGTTTGTGACAGGTAAGAAAAAGGTCCCTCACCGGGTTCAGCCCCCCACAGCTTGTAGTAAGACACAGAAGCAGCGGGCTCCTAGCGGTCGGGATACGAAGGTTGAAGTCCGAGTATTCGTGCCGAAGTCATGTGCCAAATTGATGAAGCTGCAACGGCTTGATTGCCTCACGAGAGGCTTGGCAATTTAATTTGTGTTTTTGGTGGCTAGTTTCTTTGAAACAGTCAAAGTTGACCCATCACTTTAGGGAGGAAGCCATGAAAATCATAGCACTAGATCCAACGGAGAATTTGAAACGCATCTTACTGACGCTACTGGAGAGACGTTAGCACACTGCGTTGCCTCGTATTTTTGATTGGTGGCTGTGACAGTCTTGCACCTTGGCACTAAACTTGTCAACGCCAATGATACCATGCCAGGGGAAGCAAAGGGAGGCTGGACGGGTAAGAATCAGGTTAATACAGTATTAGCATCTTTTACGCGGCCCAGTAAACTAGCTTCAAGATCTGCGGAGCTGGCCGAGATGTGCCGATCATTAGTCCCGTCTTGATTTTGACATGTGAGGCCGGCACTGGCCAGTGATTTTGACGGTGGCTTTCGTACTAGTGGTATGTCTACGCGTTCTGTCAAGGAGGAAGAAGGACTGCTGAAAACAAAGAGTGGGTGAACAAGAGCAGACCGCCTCCTTGAATGGCCTCAAGGCATCTAAAGCTTAGCTGTGCTCAAGTGCTATTCTTCTTAGTAACAAATGCTGCCGTTCATACGCCTTGATAACTAGATCTCCTCGAGGCTACTAGATTCACCAGCCACTCCTGAGAGGGAGAATAAGCTCCAGGTGTCTCATTTGGGATACCTGGATCAAGGAGAGTCGACTCAGATCAACCGGGTCAATGGGAAGTGTGTACAAGAAAGAGAAGGTGACGGCGATGGCCCATGCCATCTCCCTTGATGACCATTTGACAGCAAGTGCCGACGGCTCTCCTCTAATAGCTGATATGCTGAGATTACGCGAGTAGCCGGTACCTGCGCTCAATTCAAGGGCTGCAATATTACATGTACTTTGATACCTCATAGTTATCAGTACGCGCTGTGAATCGGCTCATACGCCACCTTAGGCGAGAAATAAAAGAAAACTATCCCATGGAATTATTATTTCGATTTTGTATGTGATTCGAGAAAAACCCCCACCCCTCCCTCTGTAGTCTACTGTAGAAATTCCAGGCATCCAAAGCGGTGCGATCAACGAGGCGGCTGTTTGCCGACAGCCCACGTCTGAGAAGCGACGTCGGGAATGGGTTGAACTGAATCAATGTGGGTGGAGCGGTCTTACAAATAGTCAATGCCTCGTACTTTGTGTACAGAACGAAGCATCTCATCCTAGAGCCAAGGGTTGAATCGCAGATGGATTGGAAATGGTGTGTGGGATCTGGAAAGTGGGAGGGGGGCTTTGGTGGTATGAAACCGGAGTGCGAGATGGCCTGACGTATTGAAGCAAGTACTGAACCAGAATATGCCCAATCAACAAGCAGGATAAAGCAATGTGCGGTCAAATATGTGCTCGTACATGTACTTGATTTATGGGAAGCCCCTATTCTCTAGCGGTACGTCACTGTATCAGAGCATCTCAAGTATACTTTTGCCTACCTATGTCTAGTACTTGCTGACACAAGGCTAAATTACCTTGTATGCACCTCCTGACTCTTCCAAGTCTCATCCAGTTCAGATCCGCATCCATTCGATCTTAACGCTGTTGGTCAGCTACTGGTTATGAGTACGAAACAATGAACTCAAGATATCGATGACTACCGCTTGATGTGGCCAAATAACAGGGGCGGGAAAACAAGAGGCGCTTAGACTTACATATTGGCTGTGCTTGTACCTTAATGCGCCGTGTTGGGTGTAGGCTGAGCAGTCGTCCTGTTCATTTTCGCTTTAGTTTATACAGACTGAGCAGTTATATTCATGAAGTGAATATTATGATCCACGAATGATGATGTTGATGCATGTTGAATCAACGGTATGTTGACATGGTTGAGATGTATTGGTATGAGCATTCAGCACGCCAAACACTCATTATGCTGCTTTCTTGCTATCTGGGGCAAGTAAGACTTGGAGAAGCAATTAGCCCTTGTACAAGCACTGTAGGACGAAAGCGTCTAGGGAGCTGATGTTCTGTTCAGACCTAAGTGGAGGAGGTGTTGCATTCAGGCTCCAAAAGCCAAGCACGGCATCCCGTGGTTACAGGCGGCAATTTAGCGGTCGTGCTGAGCTGCAGAGGACAAACGCACTCGTTACGAGCAACTGAAATTGGCGCGTTGTCTGCCCAGGTGGTGCAATTCTCCCCACACAAGAACCACCTGTTGATTCCTCCCGTGTACATCAATTTTTAGAGCGTGCTATCCGTTGATTACCACCAACTGATTTCAAGTCCTAATTGCTAAGCTGAAATGCAACTTGCTTTTCATTTCAACATCTAATTCAACCACATAGATCACGGACAACGCCCACCCGTGGCAAAAGAGACCTCTTTGTCGCACCGCATGCTGTGTATCAAGAGATCAGGAAGATCCTGCCCCCCTCCCTTCCACAAAAAACACACATAAAAAGCCTCAGCGGGCTTAAGGCGCGTTGGCAAACCCATGTGTTCCACGAGCCCACTTTGCAAGCTGCAGGAACGTGACTACGAGCTGCGGACTCTCACGGCCCTCATCGGCATATGGCGAGCGCTCTAGAGCAGCGAATGAATTGACAGACATCAAGCATGCTCCTCGGTATGAATGCAAATGTATGAATCTAGGTAGTATATGTAGATACAATTACGTACCTGGTATCAGTATCTCAGTCTAGGTTAGTAAGTAAATACCACATGCCATATTATGAGTAAGGAGACATAGAACCACCAATGCCTACTGATATATTTAACTGTAAGACGACATCTCGCTACTATAGATCTGTTCATAGCATATATTCGAGCTCAAAATGTAGTTATCAATATTTCGCTGTATAAAAGAGCATTTCTTTTACGCAATCCCATTTCATCTCAGGTGGCCCCCGGATCTGCATACGTGCCACCACCACCAAACCAACTTCTCTCTATACGAGCCCAATCTGCGCTCCATACTCTGCATATGCAGCCCGAACATCCAAGTTTCTATACAAAAGTTCGCCATTTAATATAGATATCACTTCCGTTGTGGGTGGTATTGCATCATCATGTTTTTGCTTTTCGTGCCGGCTCATGCTTCCGGCTTTAGCGTTCCGGGAGGAGCTGGAGGGTGGTAATTTAATTCTTCAACATTCGCTCACATTTCGAACTTTGAGGATCCGATGCTGTGAAGTAGCAGCTGTGAATTTTACGAGTGAATACATTTTGCCCAACTCCATATTTTGATGTAAAACGTATACTACCGCAATGCTTAAGCGCACTTGATATCGATACATGCGGTGCAACGTACCAACACCCCGCAGACTCCCTCCTTTCCTCAACTCTATCTGAGCTGCCAAGGTATATGGCGTTAACATTAACAACATATACCTCACTTCACGAGGTCTATCTATTTGCCACGGCATGTAAGTGCCACTACCTTTTAATCTGGCTTGAAAGAGATATGCTGATGAAAAACGCCATTTAATCAAGAGAACAAGCTTTCTAATCTAAATAGCCGACATGTGGCCGATACAGGTGCCGTCCATCCCTGGCCTGAGGCCGTCCTCTCCTGGGAATTTCTTCCAAATTTTGTCTTGTTCCGTTCTGCTGTCTTGCATCCCTTGCAGCATAACCAGAGTATTGGGATGGGAAATTTTGGATTCTCACTACACTGTTTCACTCATGTTGACTGTTATTAGCCATCCCAGTCGATTGCTACTGCGTGCTTGTACACATCTTCCGGCGATCGTCAACCCACTTTCGGACGAGCAACAACACAGGCCTTTATCCGCCATGTGTAAAGGTGTGTTTTTGTTATCCCAGGAGCTCCATGACAACGTAGAGTGCCACGTTTTGCCTTACACAGCTGCTCAACTGCAACACCAAACGGTCCTCTAGGGAAGCACCGACGTTGAGTACGACCTCGGGACGCTTCCCGGAGGGCTGCAATTAGCCGCCAACGGACCATCTCTGATGCAGTCTGTTCCGCGTCTCCGCACATACTCGTAGATGGCATTCTACTATATGCCGCTAATCATCCGCGCGTGTCTATCAATTTGCTCACCAGCGGCTGGAGCAGTCCCAAGGGCGGTCATGTGAATCTGCTGTAAGAGCCGTTAGAAAGGATAAGGGGCCTGAGCGATATGGACCTGGAAGTTCCTGTACATGCTGCTCGGAGTTCTTGTACGAGTTTCTCGATGTTCATGTACATGTCCAAGAATTGCTTCTCTCCGCTCGTAATGCATTCTTGGATTTCTGCTGCTCTGTTGTACAGCTGAGGCATCATCGGCGTTAGGGGCCTGCGGGACACACCCCTCTCTTCCGTCTAGGCTCGGAACGATGCGCCGCTAATGCGCCCGGATCGGGTCTCAGTCAGGGAACATGAACGCGGAGGCATATGCTGAGGCATGTCGTCGTGTTGCTCAGCCACCGCTGAAAACGGGCCGCTGCTCGAAGGAAACCTTGCCCCCAAAATCGCTACCTTCTAGTGGGAAGCGACTGGCATCTGTTGGCCTCATGAAAGACTAGAGAGCCGTAGTAACATGGCGGGTATCTTGGCGGGCGTGAACAATATTTTCAGCTTCTCACGCACGCCATACCCCTTCAGATGTTAATGGTGTGCGCATCACATGGGCATGTCTGGGTCCCGAACGCTCGCTGTTCGCTTCTCTGCGTGCCTTATTCGGAAGGGAACTAAAGTGCCATCCAATTCAAGTTAATTGACCAAAAGCTCTCGAAGGATCCTCTTGGAAGTTCTTCAGAGCGGCCAGCCCGATTCAAGAGGATGTGGTTGCGCCTGGCTTGCAGGCATTATAAAAAATAACTCCAATCAGGAGCCTCAATTGAGACGAAAGCCAATGAAACGTCTCATCATCAGCACCCTCCGTCGGCCTTGCATCTCACCACTAGGCCTTTGAGCTCTTGGCCCCTACGCAGCAAATCCTTTCTACGAGTCCCCGATTTCAAATAGGCATAGAGCTTATGCTGTAAACATCAATGTATTGAAAATTGGGGCGGTACATATTGGATGGTTACAAAGCTTCATGTTGTTGACATCCACATCGTTATCATGCTGCATATACCCTACTGGCAAATTTAGTATAGACGTCCAGTATTGGCTGTCGCGCCGTTTATTCTAGGCTTCCCCAGTGGTACTTGGAGAAATTATTTTCGTACTAGACATTAGCGATACTAGATGAGAAACAAGCTCTCGGAGGTCATCATGCCAAGCTCTTGCGAAGCAACGCTGACTATTCGTACCATCCAAGACAACAAAGCCAAGCAGTGCCTGGAGGGTTGCAGCACATAATGTAGCCTGAATGAGCCAAGCAGCAAATAGCTTCAGTTTTGTAGAAACGCAGGTGAACAAGGCGCCAAGCGCCAAGCTGATTGATCATTGAGCGGCCACCAATGTTGCTTATTCGCAACGAGAACCTGCATGCCATGCGCCACATCCTGTAAGGTGAGAGACAGACATAAGCGAGCGGTAATGAGAGAACACGGCGCTTTTGCGTTGAGGAAAGGTTACCAATGGACGAGTCTCTTCTTGATTTTCTTGCCGTGCGCCACTAGTGTCCAAGATTGATTTACACAGGCCGACAGCCAACGAGCTTTCGCAGACAGAGCCACCACTGGTATGTCTTGGAGTGGGCTGTTTTTGTACCTCTTTTTGACTATGACGGGATGAAAATGACGACATTAGAGTTCTACTTAGACACACTTGGGCGTCTGTCATGGTTTCACTTCAATATCAACATTGAATGTAGATGCAGTAGTGAGCTAGTATTCAACCAATGCGATCAATAGAACGCTGTGATCACCGTCAAAGTTGAGCAACGTTGACAGCCACCGAGGAATAGTTTCTGCAAAATATTCCGAAAACAAAACAAGCCAAGGCATTGAAGCGGCTCGTGTGATCCTAGGAAGCTAGCGGATCTGATTGATTGCATGTGTCCAGGCAAATTCTCCGTAGGTATGTTGCCAATCATAGCTAGAGGGCATTTCTCGCGTTGAACGGCGAGAATAAGACGCTATTCTCACTTGCACCGTGCCGTTTGCAATTGGGAGGTGTAAGTAAACAATACTGAGCAGGGAAGGATGTGAAATGGAGACGTGGTGGCTGCAGTTGCTTGCCTCGCTGGCTTCACTGTTTCTTTTCACAACATGGCGCTGGTGAGTAGCATTGGCCTGCATTCAAGAAATCCCTAGCCCATCATCTCCAACTCTGCTGTCACTGCCAGACCGATAGCTGGATGGATTGACCAAGCTGTAATCGAAGACAATGACCTCAGAAAAGGCCCACGTGTGCAAATAAAGGTCTTGCTTGTGGATTCAATGTGACGCTCGACCGGGCCAGCGAAAATAGAGAGGCGGATGGTGCCGTAGCGGCTCCGTAGCGGGACAGGAATCCCCCCTTTCCCCAGAAGGGACCGTCATGGTGTTGATCTTGGTGTATGGGGCGGTGGTGGACTAGCGTAGATTGTGCAAAATGTCCGAGCAATGAGTAGCAGGTGATGGCAGTGCCGTGCACAGTGGTACTGCGGTTGCGTTTGTGAAGTGAAGAGAGACGAGGGGAACGAACAGCATGTAAAGAGCCATCGAGAGCACGAAGGACGCCTCTGGCTCACCAGTGGCCAGTCAACATCAAGCCCCCTTCCTCTCCTTTTCGTCGCATTGCATCTTCGGCCCACCCATACCATTGAGAAAGAGTAAAAATTCAAGGCCATTGGAACCAAGTATGCTGTGAACAGGCGAGGTGGAGAGCCAGCATGTTAACCCGACGAGCTTAAGCAGCCACGCCTTGGGCTTGTGATTCACGTCGTGCTCAGCACAAATGAAGAGGGGACTCTGGCCGAATCTAAGCGATCTCGATTACTGGATTGGCGCCAGGAGAGATCTCCCAGCTGCCGGCCCAGGCTCTGTGGGCCTCGTCTGGGCGCATCCCTTGCCTCCATTTCGATCCTCCCCATTGGGCGATGCGCTGCGGACCCGATGCTCACGGGGTGCGGGTGCGTATCGGAACAGGTGAGCCTGGGAATGTAAGGACAAGCATCGTGTGGTAGCACTTAGGCTTCATTTTTATCCCTTTCTCCCGAGGCTGACTGCTCTCGCCTGCTACCATGTTGCGTCTAGGTATCCCTTCTTTCTTCTCCTGGGTTTCTTTCTTCAGCCTTTCGCTGTCTCTTTGCAAGAATCTGCCTGCGGGGGCCTTTATCCGCCCAGCCGTCGGCAGAGACCGGGATCCGTAGAGCACAGACCGTAGATGGACGGCGGTAAAATGGTGTTACTGCCCCGAGACACGATGCTCGCACCTCTTTGGAGGCCATGTCTTAGACACTGCTCATGTTACCTCACCGAGACAGCTACAAAATGCAGCAAGGTAAACCAAAGTACCGGTTGGACGGGAGAAGGAGCACCTGCTTGCATTTGGCCCCGTGTTTCGCGTGCAAGCCTCGGACCTTGTATGCGGTAGCCCTGTCATGGATATCAATCAGGAAACGCCTACATGAGAATGGGCAGCTGTGTTGCGACTATATGTGGTACCACTTACCAGTGCGCCACGCCATCTCATCTAAAGCCTGGCAAGGATGTTAATGGCAGGGGAGCGAGCCGAAGAAGCTAAGTGGGAATCAATGTGGACAGCCACCTTATTAAGATTGCTAACTGGTTTTTTCTTTCCTTTTTCCTTCCTTTTCTTCCTCTCGTGGCACTGGCTCTGTTCAGGTGTCTCGCTGACCATCACAGCTGGCGTGTTCTCTCTCCAAGACCGCCGCCCTCGCAAAGAGGCTGAATTTGGTGAGAATTGACAGAATTCTCGGCGGCAACCTCATGACTGCCCTGGTCTGTAATAGGTAGTACAAAAGTTCCCACACCGTTCATGCCCTACATTCCCCGTCAAGGCCTCGGAGACGGAACAATTTGGCAAAAGCCAACTGCCGTAGGCCGCCCACCTCCTTCTTTTTCGCCACCTGTCGTACAACGTGAATGGCATGGAGGGCCACGAGATGACAGCGACAATGCGCGAGGTTGAGCATATCTTAACAAAGCCATCCTGAACTCGAGAGTTGAATGCTGAAATGGCAGATGCCGTAGTGATACAGCCGCATTGTGAACCCGCCCGCCCGCTTGTGTACAACCGCGACAAGGTGCGGGTTACCCACGCCCGAAGAGGTTTGTAATTGATTTGTGTGGAAAGATCCATTCCCGGAATTGCATAGCAGAAAGCGAGATGATGGCTGCCATCTTGGCTGTCCACACGAAGAAACGCCACTGACTTGGGAATGCACTCTCCATCTCACACATACAGTGACTAGCGCCAGACATGCAATTGGCAAACAAGATTGGTTCCATGAATGCCCATTGGGTGTCCGATAAATGCCAGACCGCTCTTAGGCAGCGGAAAGGAGAGACCCCGAGCGGCAATATGTGCGCCGTCACTGATCGACCGAGACATTCAAGGGAAACTGAAGCCTGGGGGGGACATGATTGGACCAAGTGATTGAATCGGAATCAGCTCCGTAGTTGGCAGAGTAAAGGCGAGATTGAACAAGAAACAAGACAGCATGAAAGTGGAAACTTGAGGATACATGTGGCTAGCTGGACCAGAACATGCTTTTCCCGTGTGAAGTCGAGATCCAGAGACCCGGCAGACGGGATGTCGTACGAGATATTAGCACCAAGCGCCGAACTCTTTGGTTCGATGCCCTGCCCGGCTGAACAGAAACCTTAATCCAGCATCTCATAATACCGAGTGCAATAGAGGATGGAGTTTCTTTTTTGCTATCTGTAGAGTGATATATCGTAGCCTTCAGCCACACATCCATTTGTTGGACGCCAGATCAACGGCGCCCACGATGAGGACAGAACCCGAATGTGATATCTGACAACAGCTGTCCCTACATTAGCCTGTGAAAGTCGCAAATCACCTCATCGAGCCATGTCTCGCTTGAGGGGGGTGGAAATGCCCTTCTGTTAGTGCTTGACACTTTATTACATCACCTTTGTACAAACAAGACGAGGTATTCAAGGCGAAACAGCGAGCTAAGATCCTTTGGGGACCGGGCTGGAGTCCACATTCGTCCATTGAGTGATGCTCGTCTGCTGCTTTCTCATTGGCATCCCGTCCTGTTCGTCTTCCCAAGTTCTTCTCCAGCCACATGCTAGCTGCTGTTCGTCCAAGGTTCTCATATGGTGTATTCATATGGGGGTTGCATTGCGTGCTGCCGGGATGACTTCATATTGGGATAGGGCAGAGCCGGGGCTCCGGCCAGGCCAGGCCCAGGTGGTGCTAATTTGAGGCTACTGCACAGGCACAATCGGCGGTAAGGGCATGGCTGGAAGAGGCACTGATGAGCTGGTGGGTTCATTTGACGATGGATGGATCAAATATGGATGAACGGGCGGCGTAGCAGCACGGCCGATGAGGCGACTTGGTGCCGCTGCAAGGCCCTTGTCTAGTCCACTGAGGCGCCGAACACTCTCCTAGAGCGAGACCCTTACTTGGACCTGTGCCCTGCCTTTAGCTTGAGGCCAGCGCATGTGCAGCATGTACATGTACGGAGTACTCACAGGTACGCCGGTGAACCTGCACATGTACCTGCGCCTGTATGTATATGCAAGTCCAGCAGAGCAACGGCAGGGCTACAGGAGAGCCTGCAGGTGCTCCGCTGCAACACTCGGTCAATATAGTGGTGCCTGTTGTCTGGCGCCTGAACGCTCAACTTTGCTTGCCGCATGACTACTGGACGGTGACATACTCGTAGCTCCCAGTCTTCCAGTCGAGCAAGAGGCAGGCGGAGATGCTCTTCAGCCGAGCCTGCCCCGCGCTGCATTTCATGCCCCCAGATATTGCATACCTAATAGTAGGTATCGGTACAGCGCAAGCCCAGCCTCTTCCTTGCAGGGCCACGTACCTGTACTGCAGACTGGTAAGTGCCTCGTGCTTGGGCAGCAGTCCTGCTGGGCTGGACGTCGACAGATTGTGCCTGCCAGCCTCTGGTCTGTCAGTCGCTGAGGTAGGAGACAGGGGGGGTTGAGGGAGGGAGGTGTGGATCAGGAATTGGGTTAGTGGAAGCAGCAGAGGGAATCCTTTCGCTGGTGGAACACACCCGCAGTGGGGTGTGCGGGCGTGGCTCTACGATAGTCGAGTCAGGGCAGGGGTGTTCGAGAATGATGGGGGATCAGCTGCATCCACCCCCAGAGATCCCCCCTGGCTGCCAAGTAAGTGCGTGCTGTTGAGGTACGGGCAGCGTATCTGATACATGCGGATGTGTGACTGTAGCCGCGTAAAGCAGCAGCCCAAAGCCTCTTCCTCGTACAGGTACCATGAAAATACTTGCGCCTCTAAGCAGCTTAGGAAAAGCTACCCAAGTCCTCCGTAGACGCGGGAGCATCGTCTCTAATCCTGGACCTTGTCTGGGATGGTGGGATGCTGCTAGTGCTTTTTCTGTGGCCATTTACCTCGTATACACGCACACAATATAAGAGGCATTGCATCTCCAAGGCTTGTCTTGACGTCTGTATATATATCGAGCCAGTGCCGTTGTTCAGCTGAGGGATTCATGCTCCAGCTCCGTCAAGATCGATTCATCACATCTCATCACATCTCATCTCATCTCGTCTTGCCTTGCTGTGTATATCCTCTCATATACATACCTCGTCTTGCTTCTTTCTCAAACAGGGTTCATAGAAGATATGCCATTTACAGCAGGAATCTGGGACTACCCCTCGCCCTCTTCTATCACTCCTCCAATGACGGCATGTGCCTCTTCTACTTCAGTAGCTTCACCCTCATCTTCCCCTCCAGACTCAGCTTTCCAAGTTCAATCTCGACCCCTATCATCAGAGTCAACGCCTAGATTTTCTATTTCGACTCCGCCAGGGACTGTTGATCCTGCGGATATCACGACAACTCCTGCCCGGTCAACTAAGAAGAAGAAGGCGTTGATGCCTGTTAACCACGGCCCGCTCCGGGAAGAAGACGACTGGACAAAGGTCACAGACCCGAAGCAAAAGAAGAGGATACAGAACCGAGTTGCCCAAAGAACATATCGTATGACTACCTCTTTATTGTTTAGCATCTGCTCTCCCTGTTTTTTTTTCTTTTATTGATATTGGCTGTTATATCTTCCTACAACATTGCAATTGTGAGAGAAGCACCACATTACTAACTAGGGATATACCATACTTACAGGTCACCGCATGAAGGCACGCCTTGGCGAGCTACAAGCCCGACTAGATAGTCACGAACGGAAGAGCCAGCAGACAGAGAACGCAGAAAATATCGACTCTCCACCGTCCAGTGGACCCATTAGAGGCTTTACGGCTATCAATCAGATGCCCGGCATCGAGCCTTCCCCACCCCCAATGCCTCAGGATAAGACTCCTATTAGCCAACCCCAGATGCAACCAAGCATGTATGAACGGCCTGGCAGTGGAGCCGAGCTCATGTTCCAGCATCTGCCTCGCAACGCTCTTAACAGCCCACCGCAAACGCAGCCCTCCCCCGATACCAACGGCCTACTCTCTCCTCCAGGTCATCCCCTCTCAGAACGAGTCTCCAAAGTCCCCCACGAGTTCGTGCTCGACTGTTTGCGTTTTCAAACACAACTATTGCACCGCCTCAATAGTCTCCAGCAAGGGTCCAACTTCAATCCTTCCTATGCCCCCAACAATGCTGTACCGCCACAGCGTGAGTTGCAATCTGGAACCACCATAGAAACAATTCTGAGAGAACCCACATGGACTGACTTGGATCTAGCTCTGGGCAATGTAACACAGGCTGAGCAAGCACCGTGCCCCAATACCTTCTCTCCCGCACATGCAGAGTCTATGGAGTTCTCTTATGAGTCCACCGGAGATGTGTGGAAGACAGATGCCATACCCAAGAGTCGCCCTCCACTTGCATCTGATAATTCCATTGTCTTCCCATCACTTACTGCCGCCAATACTCCTAGCGCAGTTTTGGGCAGTCCCGTCGCTGAGGGCTCCAACCAAAGCATGCGACCTGCACTCCAGCCAGTTGCCCAAACTGCTCTAGGCGAACGCATTGGGAGTATCATGGAAAATATCCAGGCAGCTGGATTTGATAGCTTTGATGCCCTTGTCTCTGCTTACTACTGTGATACTTTTGGGGAAGCTTCTCCGTTGGCTAACGAGCAGCGTCTAAGTCGCAATAGACGGCTCCCAAAAGTAATTGATGACGTCTTCCGAGCTACTAAAGGATGGAGCACGTGGGAACGCCGTGGATTTCAGGAAGAGATACTTAAAACTGCCGAGTCTATGCTGATATCAGAGGGCGCCGGCGCTCGGCCATCCGTAATGTCCAAAATTGAACCTCTTCTCAACTCACACGACCCAACTAACCCGGAAGCCACCGCTGAGGCCCTTACTAATCTAAAGCGATCAATTCAAGATGAGGTGAGTAAATCTGTGGCTAAAGCTTCCTGAACCTCAAGACAGACCGCTGACTTCTACAAGCTACCCAACTCTTGGGCTCTGACCATGGCTCTGGCTTCTGGCACTTGCAATTCCTTCCAGAGAGACCGTTCAAACACGGCGTTAGCAACAACTCTCCTTGTCAATTTCTCGGGTCGGATGCCCAAAGACCAGCTGTTGCAAATTCTTGGCGCTTGTCTCTGAAACCAGATGCACGGTTGGTGCTACTTTCAACACGGTTCACATCTCTTGGTTGGCTTGGTCTGCTGTCGCAGAAAGTTGATACGTTGCCATAATACAGAATTAGTAGTGGCCCGTACCCCAATGGAACTTTAATTGACAGGTGCAGCTAGCTATCGGATTAAGATCAGCCTATTGTGGTAGCTGTGTGCTAGTTGGCATTTCAGGCAACATGCCGATTATCATACACATTATCCTGCGGCTCTGTGTGTATGGAGCGTTTTTTGTTTTCCCTGGATTTCTTTTTTTGTTCTTCCTTGTCCCCTCATTTAGCATTCAGTTCTCGCATTCCTTTTATTATCCATCCTCATACCATTACTACACAAAGGGGAAATGATTCTCTACGAACCAAATCACATATGCACGCGTATACTCGATAAAAGCTGCCTTGGAAGTCATACTCCTAGGATACATGGAGATTCTTTTTTACCATACATTAACGACTCATTGACGATATTTTGGGAGACTCCACTGGGAGGGGAAAAAAGGAATTCATGTTAGTATAATGTTCATGGATATATGATGGACGACTACAGCCTGGCTCTGTAGCAGGGACATTTAGTAAGAAGCAGGTCAAACACTTACAAGCCTGAGGCGTTGTGGGAGTTTTTGGATGTCAGCCAGCAGTGGCACTAAAATAAGCTCAGGACTACAGACCCTTGGCTGGAGTTCAATCTGTTGGTGATATGCGGTTTTATGTTTCATATTTTATAGGAATTTGTATCTTGGTCATTTGTGAGATGCAACAATCATTAAGAAACCATTCCAGATTCTCCTGCATTGCCTATGAATCTCCTAAAATGAATGTGATTGAGACAGCTTAGTAGGAATGTTGTCAATCTAATCAGCACGATGGAGGTCGAATTGGTTTAGGATACGCAAGAAGCGATGCTTATCCTGGCTGCTCTTTGCCAAATCCACTTCGAAAAATTATTTATGCATGTACTAAATGAAGCAATACGGGCTGAAAATGCCCCGAGCAAGGGTTGACACCGTCTGGTACCGCCATCCCCAGTTTCTTTACCGACCTCATCTCACCAACTATTATTATTCTCAGCAGATGTGGGGTTCCGTTGGTGATTATAGACTGTTTTTGAATGGCTCAATGTGTGGATTTACCAGTTTGCCCAGCGGCTGTATTCGAGGAGTATCGGGATCGGGAATGGTGGATAAACCAATATAGTAGTTGGGTCAGTCATCCTTCCATAATTTCGACTTCATCCCATGTTCCCTCTCTCTTTCATTCTCTCTCCTATTTAGGCTGCAGAATCTGCTCCATATGTGGTGTGCCTGTCTTAGCCGTGGATTTGAGACGAGCATGCTCCCAATGTAACTGTTCCATGAGCTGAAGAGTGTGAGGTATTGAGATACTGACGGTCGTATAACTATGATTTGGTCCGTTTCCTTAATTTACCGCCTTTTTCCATCGCCATACTTGCCGTCTAATGGTATCATTGCCTACAAAGGCAATGTGCGTCTTATTAAATGTAAGTGTGCTGCAAGCGACGATCTACATGAAGTGGTATTCCCCCGCAAGATCCCGCTATCGGGTTATTTTATTGCTGATATTACTCCTTTTGACAGGGGGATCGGGGGGGAATAGCCCGACGTTGCTTTAGATGCCCAAGCGCTCAAGCGCTGGATGTCTGATGTATGCAATGTGAGGAACACTTGACGTCTGGTGTAGTAGGGTAAGAATAGGTGGTAGTATTGAGAGTGCAATATTGATTACATGAGTTGCAATATGTATGATTCAACGAATAGTAAGCAATGTGCGTATATTGGCTCCTATTATGAGGTCGAAGGGGGAATGACGAAGCGTAGGCCACGAATGGCGAAGAAGAGCTATCCTCGACTGGCTGAACGGAATGTATGATGAAGCCAATGCCTGTATGCGCCAAGGAACACATGGAATAAGCTCTGATCCGGCATTGTCGTAACGCACTGAGGCTTTGTATCTTTTAATGGGACAAGAGATGTTGCAGCGAATAGGCTGAAAGGTTATTATCATCGGACTGTTGTGAGCATAATGCAACATCAGCGGAACTTGGTCCATAGCAACTAAATGTTCCCATCTATTCCCCCCTGAAATTTAGAATCGCCTATCCATTCAACATGGGAAGCGACCGACGGGAAACTTGGCGGTTAAAACATATGCGGTGCTAGAAGCGAAAAGGATGAATGCAGAGTAGAGTAAGCTGAGAATGCAGCATGATCTATGAGCCGTATACACGAGGTGGTTAGCTTATATACAAGCTGAATTTGACTATTGAGGGGCTTCTGCGCTCACACTCACACATGATATAGTCGAAAGTAGACGTTTCTGTCACAACCGCCTTTTACATCTACTGGTATATAGATTGTTTATATATCAGACACGTCCGATTTAAAAGTTTGTGTTAGACAAGAGGTCAGCTATGCTGGTAAATGAATTGGATTGGAAAATCGTTCGTTAACTTCTCTTGGTTCCCGTTGCCATTATATTGTAGTCGGATGCAAGTATCGTGATGTAGTATTCAAGTCTCATCCATCGAAGATCTGTTTCCATGGGTATCAATTTCTTTCTTTGGAGAAGAGACTGTAGAGATTCCGCCATGAACAGCTTAAAAAGGATAAGATTTCAAGCAATAATATTCGTGAGTATGGCTTACACTGAGACCACTCAAACACATCAGCATTTCCTGCCAGTGGCCACATACGGAAAGGGGTCATCGATCGACGAGTGAGCCGAGCTATTCTCTTCGATTTTGCTTCCCTGGTAATCGTTACTCTCTTGTCTTGATGTACGCGAAAACGCTTCACTGAGCCAGGAGCTAGGTGTTTTATTGAGATCCCTTCTCCATGTTAGTTTGACCAGATGAAAAGGATAGTATCCAGTGTCTCATTTTCTGCTGCAGTCTTATTGATGTATACGATTTCAGAATGATAACGCTGATGCTGTCTTGGCTGTGAATTAATATCGCGTAATGGATGCATCCCTGTGTTTTCCATAATATGTCGACATTCTTCTCTACAAATGAACATAATGGAGGTCGGTGAATACACTCTCAGTCTCAGCTTTGACCTTGAAACTGAGACATTATGTATTCTGATGGACTAGTCTAAGTAACAGCCACAGTCTTCTACATCAGAATTTGACCAGCAAGCTACATAATAATCACCTAGCTCACGCTACTAAGAGTATTAAATGAATGTGACCTGACCGCCGAATGCAGAGCTGATCGCATAACATCTTGTGATGACACCCATTCCATTTAAAAAAGGAACCTTAATGTACATATCAAGTTTACCACTTGGCAAATTGCTTGAATGTCCACTATACAGTACTTCATGCCGCCTAATCGTCGTTGGTCCGGGAGTAAATTACCCAAAAACAAGCATGGAGTTTGGTGCCTGACCGTCAAACGAGGTATCAGTTATAGTAAGGCCAAGAATGTAAGGTATTTGCCTAACATACTAGCAACAAATGAATCGTAGCTCCAGTTCATCTCAATGCAATGCGGCGTAGCCATAAAACTAGGTCTCCAATACGTCGTCTCCATAATAATTAATACTAAAACGACTCTTACTAACTGATAGAATGATCTATCTGCTTAATAAAGGGAGTAGCTCTTCAGCACCCCTGGGATGCAGGATAACCTTCGTTTAATAAACCACGATCTTGAAGAATCTACTGCGGAAAGTTGTATTGGGATGAGATATACATGGCGCTGGTCAATATGCAGGGGAAAAAACAGGTAATAGAGCTACATAATGGGGACAGCTAGAAGAAGAACAAGACACAAAGATCTAACACCGATTCTGATATATGCCTAGCAGTTATACTTCATATCGACGTTGATAATGAGGCGGCGTTCTATAATGGTCCTCCTAAGAAACCAAGCTCCCCTTATCTACATGGACGGAAACTATCATTGCAATCTTTCTATTTAGGAAGCTGCCACGCTCCACATGTTCGACCCATCAATTGCTGAATGCATATTGATGTAGCTTGTGCTGATACGCATATGAAATACCAATAGTCTAACTTCCGAAAGCTTTCACTCTGAACCCCTCCGTCTCTTTGCTTAACTCTACAATGGTATTGAACGAATGTCTTCTTCTTCTCCTTTTTTAAGACGCCACCAGGGAGCCCACACCATCAACCATAGGCAACCTTGGCCTACATAGGTAGTCAAGGATTTTACCAGTCAAAAACTCGCTGCCCCTTTTGGGATGTAGTATCTCAGCCGCAGCTAGAGGCAAGGGGTATCGCATTACTCAGATGGGGTGCGACCTGAGTAATATCCAGTTAATAAGGCTTAGTGCAAGCAAAGAGGAGACACGCCCTTAACCCTTGCTCCCGTCCCTGATCTCTTTGGTCCTGACTCCAGCGGCGATCACTGCGGTAGTGGATCTTGTATTGCTACTACTACCAGTCAACATTCTCAGCCGTTCGAAAATACGAGTACGGAGCTACAAGTGCTTGAGGCAACCCGCTCTTATCTAGACGAGACGCAAGGGATGAATCTCGAAATTATGTGTAATATTCGGTGCTTCGTACATGCACAAGGGGATAGATATGGTATTTCGGGCTGTAATTTTAATTGCTACAGCTTCTCTCTGCATTGAAGCTAATACTTGGCAGGACAAGTGCAGTATTCGCCAAGGGGATGCAGCAGACCGGGGAGGGCGCAAATGTGCGTTTTGAGGCGCCGCCTCATATGTAGGGAGGGAAATTGCGCCAGCTCATCTCATATTCAGGCATCTTAGAAGGCGGCTCCGAAGCAAAGCGGCGTTTTAACGCCGTTCTGAGACAAAGGAAGCTGCAGGGAGGAATTGTTCGCCTATGCTGCAATTCGATTGGCAAGAAGAAATTTTCAAGCACAAATGCCGAGGCTAAGTGCTTACTTGTCAATTGGTCGCCCTGTACGGAGTAGAGACGCCGATCGAGATTAACAGAAAGCAGCAAATCCGACAGCTACGCGGCGGGAGGTGATGGATATTGAAGTTGAATGGCAATAGTCCATAGATGTAGCTGCAGGGAGTGCTAAGAGTGAGACATTGTTGCAATTCTCTCTGCTTCGCGTAGCGGTGCCATGTCACACAGTGTATTTGTGGCATTGAATCACCTTCTCGTCTTCTTGAAATTGCTGCCCAACTGCTCAATTGAAGCAGCATGTCAACCCGCGTGAACTTGAAATGCGACATCCGATCGTGTATGGGGCGGCAGTCGCAACTCCAGCCCAGCTGTAGCGGATCTCATCTCCCATCAGCTGACCACTGTAACCGCATTGCCAAGATCAAACCTATAATACTACTATGTTTAGCTGGTGTGTGCTCCGAAAATATCGCGGGCCCGCTGCGAACCCGCTCTACATCCCTGTACAGATCGTTAGTTGTAGGAAGACTCCCTAGATACCCCTTACTCGTACTTGTTGCACTCAGAACGCAAGCTTACATAACTTATAGCTGCAGTAAGATAGTCGGCCTGAGAATCTACCAATTGTCGGGGTGGATTAGCTTTCGCCCGAACAGAGCCCAAACTTGTGGGACGTAAGACTCAAAGGAAGCTCGTGTCATCAGCCGGCGATGGCGGGGAGATGAATTGATAGCATTTCCGTTTCTTGGGCTTGAGCAAGCGCATTCCTTGTTTTGTGTCGCAATCCCTTGATTGTTTTCTCTCCAAACTCTAGCAGACAGTGAGCGAACATTACATCTCTTTATAATGTACGAAGGCGGCCCAAATCCCACCAGAGTTCAAGTCACTCCGGCCTACAAGCGGGCGAATCCACCCACTCCATTGGTCTTGATACACGATGGAGGCGGCACGACGTTTGGATACTTTCTGCTGGGGAGCTTGTATCGCGAAGTATGGGCCATGCACAATCCTCATTTCTTCGATGGAGGCGCCTTTGAGGGCGGCATGGACGAGATGGCGCGTTTGTACATCCAGAACATGATATCCGCGGGCATCAAAGGCAACATCTTGCTAGGCGGTATGTGTAGAATGAGAGGCGCAAACCATGTCATACTGGTACACTTCGTTCAGTGGAATTTCTGCTGGAGATGACTGTCTATGATTCGCACCGTAATCTGTAATTCCAATGTCCGCGAGACTAACATATTTATGTCATTCTATTCTGCAGGCTGGTCCCTCGGTGGATATCTGTCCCTCGCCGTCGCGAGATTTCTGGCTGAAGACCCCGAGGCTACTATCAAAGTTTTGGGTATTGTCATGATGGACACGCCATATCACATCCCTTACAGTCAGGTCGAAGGCCTTACCGACGATCCCGTCCTCGAAAAGATTCCAGAGCCCGTCCAAAAGTGCTTCGACCGCTGCGACGAGATGCTTGACGAGTGGGGAGTGCCCAAGTGGGATGGACCTGCATGCAATGGCAAACCCGTTTTCTTCGGTGTTAGTGGAAGGCGATACTCCGTGGCCCCTGGCAAAGTGTTGTATAAACCTTTTCAGGGGACATGGTCACCAATCGAAGTGCCAGAGTATAGCAAGCCATCCGAGGAATCGCAGGCTGAGGAGACATCAATAATAGCACCGCCCACAGTCTTGATACGAGCCACTCAGTTGATGCCACTCCCAGAAGGCAGAACGGAGCCGTACATAATAGACAAGTATCGTGGCGATCGTACTCTGGGTTGGGCAGGCAACTCCCCAGACTTCATAAAGGCGGTACTTGATGTAAATTCAAACCACTATGAGATGTTTGATAAGGACAATGACGCCCAGGTAAGAACTCCAGTGTCATGATGAGTGAAATAACCAGAAGATGGCTGACACTGCCCATCCAGATCAATGACATGACTAAACAGTTGAATCTGGCACTAGAGATTCTAGACAGCATTGGAAATACTGTGAACCCGACATTCGGTGGTAAGCCAAAGCTGGATTATTTCTAAATTGAGTGTTGGCCGTGCGGTGCTTGCTCGAAGCATGACTGGGAGATTGATTTGCGTCTTACAGGGCGTCTATAAACAGAGGTATGCCTGGTAAAGTGGCAACGGACCAAAAATTATTTGCAGTAAGTAATAGATGGAACAGAACTTGGAAAATGGGATACATTGAATAGACGAAGAGTTTTGAAATGCTGCTATGCATGACAGCTTTTTTCTTATTTCGCATAAACCATGACTGCTACATATGATTCTTGGTAATTTGAATGACTGATCTAGAAACCGAGACGGCATTAGGCTCTTCGCTCTGTATCCTCAATAGTACTTGCATATGAGCGCCTAAAATGGTCAGTTGGCATGTCTCTCCAATTATTTAGTATTCTCAGTGCGCAAGGCGAGTAGCCAGGTGTGCTTCAAGAGGAGTCAGGAAAATGGTATAACCGATTCAAATGTGCAAGGGTTCACCACCAGTCTTGTAGGAAGGACTAATCGGCTGAGAAGTGCTTCAAGACTCGATTGGGGCTATCAAGGGTTGCTCAGTGGCCGGCTAGACGCGGGATGAAGTCCTTCAATGCAGCCCAACCTGCTTTGTTAAAGGATAGATGAATCACGCATTTCATTTGTTGCTCCCGACAGTAAGCGACATCTTTTATGATTCATGGGACGGAACAGTCAAGACCCGATAACCAAAGGGTACAATTATGCAAGTTCAATGTCTCATGATGTGGCGATGACACGCTACCGTATCCAGAGCCTTATACGCATCTCCGCCGGGACGTAGGATGGCCCTTTCTCAGTGTAATACATTTTGGTCAGCATCATTATCTTGGAGAAGAGCACGCAAATTGGGTAACGTTATGCGGACCTCTCGCTATCTAATGAGGCAATTCGAGCAAGTATGAGATCATTTCGCCTTTTCTGGGGTATTCATACCTCGAGACATCCTCGTTTACTGCCTACTACAAGAAGCAGGGAGGCTACATGTAGCCAAGTGCTCTAAATATGTACTGAGACTCGAAATACACGAGAATTAGCAGTACTACGGATGGCATCTGTGAATACAAATGAGACTATCCCTTGCAGCAGCGACTGTTTTGGGCGAGCTTTGTGAATGACACCCAATATCCCGAATCAGAATTGTGATAAGAGCGTGATTGCGCATTACGTGTGACATAACATGATGCAAGTAAACGCGAGTAAGTCTAGAGGAGGCCATGAGAGCGTCATATGAAATGCCCCGCAATGACCAACCCCGCCTAGTTCACAGCTCCAGATGCTGCTGCATCGATTGGCGGGGCGAAACTTTAGCTATTTACGAAGATTTGAGCCGTACTCTGTCATAATAGATTTGCAATACATTGCAGTTAAAAGCCGGATATAAATTAAGATAGTCGAGCATCATCAGAAACGCAAGACTGAAAACGGGAAAGCATTTGCAAAGGAGAAGCAACTGTACCAAAGATGGCGACGACACGACCACTCACTTCTTTCAAAGCTCTCACCTTTGATTGCTATGGTACTCTTGTGGACTGGGAATCTGGCATCTACAACAACCTCCAGCCGTTGAATCAACAGCTCGCCGACTCGCATCCCCTCAAGAACGACCGTCTCGGCTTGCTCAAAGCTCTTGTCCGGCACGAGGGTCTCGTTCAGGCCGCGAACCCAACATACCTCTATCATGCTGTCCTAGCCACCGCATACGGCAATCTTGCCACGGAGCTGGGCGTCTCGGCCGACGGGGAGGCAAAGGCAAAGTTTGGATTCGGCGTCGGCGACTGGACCATCTATCCTGACACGCTCGACGCGCTGAAGCGGTTGCACAAGCACTTCAAGCTCGTGATCCTTTCCAACGTGGATCTCGACTCGTTCAAGCGCACTCTGGAGAAACAATTCCAAGGCTTCCCTTTTGATGCCATTTACACAGCTCAGGAGATTGGCTCATATAAGCCAGACTTGAACAACTTCCGGTACCTCATTGAGCACTGCGACAAGGACTTGGGCGTGAAGAAGGAAGACATCCTGCACACCGCACAGAGTTTGCATCACGATCATGTGCCAGCAAAACAGATTGGACTGTCAAGTGCGTGGATAGAGCGAGGCGAGGAGGTTGAGAGCGTCATGGGCGGAGATCCAGAGACCTATGCGGACAAGGTGTCGTATTCGTGGAAGTTTACGAACATGAAGGAGATGGCAGATGCGGTTGATTCTGCTGCAAAGAGTACATAGGTGGCTACATAGAAGAAGCAGATGTATGTATTTATTGGAATTGTTCCCTCCATATCTCTCTACATGTAGCATTGGTTCGATCTACCTGTCTTATCGTGGACGCACGAGCCCTGACCTTAATATGTCAAACCTTCAGCAGCATTCCTCGCCGTGTCCTGATAGAGCATAACCAGGCATTCATCGCACGTGTATCGTAAACTTCATCACCGCGATAGCACTCAGTTATATTTAGATGACATGATTTGACGCAATTCCCGTGATCATCATGGCCAACATGCTCTGCTTTGCATCACCATTGGCTCCCTGGTGTGGCTGTGCATCGATCCTTTCCGTAACAGCTACCATGTTGGCGCTCAACGCCTCGCCAGCGCTGGGTATTACCGCATTTGGCAACTCGGAGGGGCCAAGGCTGAAATAAGGATTATCGGGCGATGCGAGCAGAGGAACGGGTTGGAGATATAAAGCTGTTGATCTGGGAGCAATTTGACGGATATCTTCATCATCAGCATCTTCTCTTGTCGTCTACTTCCATCTTCAACAAGAATTCACCCATCTATCAATCCTGTGTTCACCTCTTCTCCCGCATCTCATATACAATTACAAGCCACATTCATCCTACATACCCTTGTCACAATGGGCGGTGCCGAATCAAAAGAAGCTCACCGGAAAATTCATAATGCCTCGCTTGACGGGGTGACATTCCCCAAGACTCTTGAGCTCAAATACGACCCCTCATGGAAGAAACTCAGCCTATCCCTCTTCCATGGCTCTGAGCCGCTCTACACATTCAACCTCCCAGAAGGTTGGTGGGGGGACCTCATCATGTACAACGGCCCTACCCTGGAACATCCCCCGCTCGCAGCAGTGCGCAACTCTGGCAAGACGGCCATGGGGAATGTCGTCACGCTGCCTCCTCTCGGGCCTGGTCAGGAAGTCATTGAGGAGAAAATGTCACACCGGAGGAAGGGTTTCAATTACCTGTATTCTTTTGCCGTGCCCGTGCCCGAGAGAGAGGGGGAGAAAACAACGCGACGTGTCGAGCGGTTTGAGTGGGTGGGCAGCGGCGGGAAAGAAGTCAAGGACTTGCATGAATGGACCCATGGATGGAAACTGAGGCGAGTCACGGAGAGTTACGCGGATGCATATGCGGGCTCGGACGACGAGAAGGATGACGGAGAGGCAACAACGTATGAGAACACGGACGGAGAGATCCTGGCCGTCTGGGCAGATGCGACTATGAGTGTGAAAAAGGCTGCCAAGTTCGAGTTCATTAATAGTGGAGCGACCGGTGAGCTGGGGGAGGCGTGGGCACTCATGGCGATCGTCACATTTGTGAGGGTATGGCAGAGATGCATGCAGGTGGTCGTGGTGTAGGTGTAATAGACGGAGCAACGAGGTGAGGGCACGAATCCCCGCAGGAGACGAGGTCGGATGGTGGCCTGGTTTGGGCCGTTTGCATTGCATGGGATGGCTGTAGAAGGGCTGTAATATAGGCATGTAATAATTCAAACTCCGTTTATGCGTTTTTGGACAACTATATCCGGGGCTATAACCCATACTGGTTGTTTTATTACCAAAGGCAAACTCAATTCCGTGGTCACACTCAATTGAGGTACGCCCATAGAAAGTGGTGGTTCATCTTGTAAATACATACGCTTGCTTGGTCTACTTGAAGCCAATCTCTTGATATATTCCCACACTTGCTCAATCGCTATCAATACTGCCATGTCAAGTATAAACGTAAACTCATACACGAATGCTGGTTGTTCCACAGGGACGCCGCAATCGTTTCAGGAACAAAATCCAAGTCAATGTACCAGGCTACGTGGTCAACTAAACACCAAGAGTAAAAGCCATTTCATTAACCCTCCCAGCCATCAATTATTCCGTGTTGCCTGGCATTTTGGACTGCATCTGCACGGGTACACCGCATTAGCTAATAAAAGCAACGTCTCTTCTTCAACCGCGCACTGCGAATCGCTTCGCTTCGGCTCCAACACATTGCGTCGGATTTGCGTCTCTCATCCCGCCTAGCTAGAACACCATGTTGACGTATCAAGTCTCACACCACACCTACCATCATCCACAGGTATATTGATTGGGCCGTGTATCTGAAAGTGCTACAAGAAGAGAGTGATACGCCACTTGCCCACGGCTCGGACCTTTTCTTTCCCTCGTCTCCGTCTAGGCCATCATGACTGACTAGATGATATCCCCACGCACACGAGGGGCTGCGTAACCTACAAAAAACAGTTGATAGTTCCCGTGTCCATGTTTCCAAATGGGGATACGTTTGCGTATGTGGCTTGGTAGCCAGACTCAGCCATCAGAGTAATAAATAGCCCGCTGGGAGTACATGCAGGGAGGTGGCCACAGCCCCAGATGCACTTTTGTCTCCTTCTGGCGCGGCGCGGCACAGGGCTGATGTGTCCGGCCGCTAGTAACACTCACCGGCTGCTGGTCTACCATCTCTTAGACAATAGTAGGGAGACTCATTGGCTGGCTGTCGATCCATAACTGAGACATCATGCAGGCCCCCTCGCATCAAAAAACGCTATATCGAGGCGGGGGTAATGCAACATGTGAAGTTCATATATTTACATCCACCTCATTCGCTTCGGGTTGAGCTCATCATAGTACGAGTACATGTACTTACCCAGCATGGATTGGGCGGTATACTCCCGATGCTAATACTTGTACAAGCTGTGTCTGGCTGTCCCGTCTTAACCTGACGTATCTGGACATCTGTGACGGGAAACATTGGCCTGACAGAGCTCCAATTTACTTGAGCATGTCTTATATGCTGTCGCATAGACATAAGCTTATGAGCCTATTATTCCACCTCGGTTTGATCACCGTAGTGCTGCGTCTGTCAGTTACATCTACCGGCGTGTAGACGCGTCGGATGTTCAGATATTGTACCGAGAATAGTCGGAAGGGCGTTAGGCGGCTACACTAAGCATGTCTGATCTTGCCCCTGCCTTGTGCTCGTAGTAAGCTGCATCATGGCATATTCTAAAAACTTGTGTGATCTCGCGTAGGCAACGACTCCCCCCATTTAGGCCTGTACTGGCTGACATCAGAATACCGCGCTAGGGTGTCTCAAGGATGGCTGAGGGAGTAAAGACGGCAACTGATTTGCCTTGTTTCTCATGGACGTGGTTCTCGGCAAGTATGGCGCGATGCTACTCTGTGTAGGACTGCTTCAAAGGACCCGAATCAAACGTCACAGCGCTTGGGGTTTCGTGATTGATCAGTACCTCCCTCCCTTCCCTTCTTCTCCTCCCCACCACAAGCCGTTTCTGTGTCTCAAAACCCTTTTGACCGTGGGCACCCCTTTTGAGAATAAGAAGGCACCATTTCCCATCTTCCCTTGACTCGCATCATCGCTTTGGATCACACAAGCATTCTACACTTTGAGCTCTTTTTATCAATGCATTCTTCCTGATTTCGTTATCTTACACAGGGAGTTATCCTAAGATCGTTTTCTTTTTTTGTTTTCTTGGAAAAGAATTTGACAGCAGAAGCAAGACTTTAATTGAGGGCTATCCTGAGCCATTAAACTCAAATCCTGATTTCTCTTTTGTTACAGAGAGCTATCCTGAGCTACTCTTATTCACTCCTGACAGAGAGCTATCCTGAGCTACTCTTACAAATTCCTGATAGGGGGCTATCCTGAGCCATCCTGAACTGACTCCTGATCATTAAAAGATTTTTGAAAACAAATTGAAGATCTTCTTGTTTTGCAATTTAAAAAAAACAAACTCTTCTAAATCTTATCATCTTGACGCATCAACAACATGTCTTCATTTAGGTCCGCCCAACGCGCAGTCCGTGCTTCTGCACCCCTGCTTCGTTCCTCACCCATCATCACCAACCGTGGCAGCCAACGTTTGTTTCACGAGTCTAGCAAGGCCAAAGCCGTAGAGGCTATCGCAACCCAGACGCCGCTGAGCACCGGCCCGCCACCTCCCCCCTTTGCAGCTCAACAGGTTCAACAACAGCAGCAGTCTATTACACAGCCGTCCCCCCAGGTAGAGGGTTACACCCAACTTAACGTCAGGGATCAAGCATATAAACCCAAGTTCTATGAGACTATCGGCAAGATCATGAAGCTCCGCGAAAAGTACCTGCGTGATCGTGCCATCTTCGTCGAGTCTGAGGAGATGATTGAACTTATGCTGGGACTCGGTGCCAAGGAATCTGACATCCCCGGCATGAAGACTGTCTCAGACAAGCTGTACCACGACCCTACTCTACCCTTCCGCCTGACTCGCAACAGCCGGTTCTGTCTCGACTTTGATACACATTCAATCCGCCGTCTAGAGTTCCAGCCCTTTGTCCTGACCGTTGAAGAAGACTTCAACCGTTACGACTCTGGTGCCATTCGCCGCTTTGATGAGGTCCAGAACGACTTGCAACTCAACTCCATCTTCCAGGCACTCTTTGTCTTCAAGGCCATGATCATCCACGGCATAGAGATTGCTCACCGCCCCAAGCTAGAGTACGGAATCAACAAGTGGGTGTGCACCCTGTTTAGTCTCCGCACTGTTACCACTCCCCATATTCTGGGAGAGCCTGCACTCGAGGGTGTGCACTCTGATGGCGTCGATCACACCATGACCACGTTTTTGGGGAGCTACAACATGACAGATAACAGTGCTGCTACATTCATGCATGACATGGAGGAGAAGACTGGTATTCCCCTGGAACAGATCCAGCCCATTCATTTGGTTGGTCGAGTCCAGCACAAGAGATTCCTTGACACCCTCATGGTTGTCGACCACGAGCGTAAGCATAGCTTGTCACCTGTTTTCCCTGTCGACAAGACGAAGGAAGCCCATCGTGACATGCTTGTGTTCTTCACTCGCAAGCCTGTGGAACGGACTCACGTGTCTGGCGCCATCGACTCGCTCAACCCTCACAAAGAACTACCTATGGAGATCCCGCTTTACTTGCCCGGTGCCAACTAGAGAATGCACTATGACTTGACTATTATTTAGAGGTCTTTGCTCACATATGGGATGAACTAGTGGGGCGATGGTGATCTCGGACATTTGGATGCGATTATATTCCGTTAGTTGCATCGGTGGGCGATCGTGGGAGCTGTGGGCTGCATGGCATGCTGACACTATTCTCTCCATGTTTTGGACGTCTTTTCACCCCTGACGTATCGTGCAAGGAGAAACAAAATGCGAGAATGTTGGCCCCCATTGTTGTTTTCAGGAAACTTTTATGTGTCATCTTGTTGGTTTTGACTCACGAGCTGGATTGCTTCCTATTTCACAGAACTGCACTCTTTTGCTCTTTATTTATTTCCCCCCCCTTCCAGCTTTTGAGACACGCATTATGGTTTGACGATGTCTACATATGTTTTTGGAATTCGGCAATAGGAAAAAATTGATGGAATCGTTTACTTGGCCTTGCTCATCTTACTATTCTGTGTTGCTGGTTTAAATGTTGCTCATGTGTCTACGATTCTCCATAGGTAGCTTTCACTTACAATTGACAAGGGTGGTACCCAAAATTGGTAACTACATCAAAGTACTCGAGCTTTAGTGATCATGATAGCACTGTATCGTATGACGAATCGAATAAAAGAATTTTTAAGATATGTAGTTCTAGTCAATTTTTACTTGGACCAAAACTTCCTTTCAGAATGAATTTCCAGTGTAAAAGATGAGAGTAGAGGGACGACACCAGACAGCTCAACGTGGGCATCGCAAAAACCCTGAAGGATTATATAAGATTGACGAAGCCCCGCCATAGCATATTGATCCCCTGTTTGTGCTTTGCCTTGGCGAGATGCATGTATATGTGTTAACTAATGGATCATGTGCTCAGGTTTTGAGTGTACATGAGCTTTGCAGCCTCCATATGCAAGCAATACATAGTATGGCCTACAAGCATGTTTACCCTTCTACTTGCATACCTACGGTATCTTGATATGTAGTGGGTGCGACATGCAATGTCCGCCCCCCCTTACAGGATCCTGCTCAAAGTCATCTCAGCCAGACGAATCGGCAGAAGGACGTTCTGCAAGGAGGTGCTATTTGAGTATGCTATTTGTCCACGCAATTATTGTGGCGTATTGTGAAGGATTCGGGAAAATGAGAAGACTATATTGACTTCACCGCTTGTTTTCATTCCGGCCCATGATTGCATCGCATCCCAAAGACAACAACGCAATGCAGGGAAGACAATGACTTGTATGAAACATAGCACTATCGCAGGCTGACTAAACTAAAACTGTACGTAAGAAATATTATTAAGAGAAGTACATGCTAAAAGGATGACATATTATTGAAATTGACATAGGAAATGGTGTGTCAATGAGAGAGCATATTCTTGGTATGACCATGTATCCCTTTCCGGAGCTAATTAGAGCACAAGATGCTCAAATTAGGTAGTTGACATGACAGAAATTTACATCTTTCAGGCAAAAATACAACGAAATTCATTAGGAATTCGCCGAAGAGGCAGATCAACACCATATAGGTAAGATGAAGGGAGGAGGGGGCTAGTAGAGCAACCTGGTGGATGGCATAGTAAGTCGTCAATGCCATGTGATTTCTATGCGGCTCTGTAGGTTTCCTTAATGGCCTTGGCAGCCAACTTGCCCAAGTTGGCAATGCTTCCAGCACTCATAAACTCAAGTACGCTGAGGTTGACTCCAAGCGTACGGCGCCACCAATTACGAATCTCAATGGCAACAAGCGAGTCAACCCCCAGCTGGGTCAAACTCAGGCCGAGGTCTAGATCCTTGACGTCTCGTGACATCAGGTTGTAAATGCACATGCCAATCTGAGCAGTCAGAAAGTCGAGGTTGCTCGGTGTATCAAGCAGCGAGGGGCTAGTATTGACGCTCTTCATAAAATGGCCAAAGTCCTCGGATCCGGCCGAAGAATCAGAAATTGCACCAGCATCTTGGAGATGTGCTTGGGCCATGCGTCGGTCGCGCCTCCATATAGAGCGATTGTTGGGATCAGAGAGCGGCTTCGTGCTCTTGAGGCCAACGGCGAGCTCCGCTGGGTTGAAGAAACCATCGTCCGAAGAGGATGCTGATGGATGTTGATGAGACATTGTATAAGCGAGGGCATCGTGAAGATCAGTTTCTCCCATCGTGTAGAAGCTCAGAGCACGAAACTGCTCCAGGAGAGCTGGGTTCTCAACCACATATCCAACGTCGTCCACAACACCTACATTCACCACACCGGCAGGCAAGCCCTGCTGGTGACGAAATTGAGCAAACGCCGTCAGATAAGCATTGGCTGCTGAGTAGTTTGCCTGGCCCACTTGGCCTACTACATAGGAGATGGAGCTGAATAGGGTGAAAAAGTCCAAATCGCAGTGTTCCAAAGCTTGATGGAGGTTGATGGCGCCGTCCACTTTGGGTCCGGCGGCTGTAAACCAGTCATCGTGAGAAAGCTGCAGAATACAGCGGTCCTATCCATATTTTTATTAGTATTTGATTGTAAATATATGAGACGTATGAACTTACCCTTAGAACCATGGTCATTAAGAAAACGCCTGCAATTGGCATTGTCGCCTGTTCCACCGCCCGATAAACATCATGCAAGAGTGTGACACTCCCCTTGATGGCCTGGACTGAACACCCTTGTGCTTCAATCTCCTGAAAAAACCTCTTATCTTGTTTGGAATCTCCAGCGGATCGTGACAAGTACATTATGTGACGGGCGCCATTCTCTACCATCCAATTGGAGACAGATTTGCCCAAGCCGCCGAGACCTCCAACTAGCAGATATGTTCTGTCATTTTTGAACTTTATACTTCGAAGTTTTGTCGCCGCTTGGAGATCTGATGGGTCTGTTGGCATAGACACAACAATCTTGCCGATGTGCTGCCCCTTCTGCATGTATCGGAAAGCCTCGATGATATCCGTGGCCTGAAATGACTTTATAGGCGTGATAGGCTTGATAACGCCCTTCTCATAATACTTGTTGAATTGTTGTAGAATTTTCTTACACATATCTGGCCTTTCAACGGCCATTTGCGACATGTCAATGCCATGAAATGAGCGATTAGACTCGAATATTTCCATCCCAAGTTGCCCCCTGCCGATGAAGTCGCGTTTTCCAATCTCTAGCATTTTGCCAAAAGGAGCAACGCATTTCCACGACATGTGCAACAATTCTCCTGACAAAGAGTTAAGCACTAGATCGGCTCCTTGCCCTTTTGTGACGGCCATAAGCTCGCCGTAGAATGAAGCATCACGAGAGTTGAAGATGTGCTCGCGAGGAATCCCAAAGTTATCTATCAGATACTGGACTTTCTCAGCATTACCAACAGTCGCGTATATCACGGCGCCTATCATTTTACAAATGTTAAGTGCCGCAATACCAACTCCACCACAGGCGGAATGGACGAGAACTGACATGCCCTCGCACAATCCGCCTAAATTGATAAGGGCATGGATCGCAGTGGCATAGACGCATGGAACTGTAGCAGCATCCTCAAAGCTAAGATTTTCTGGTATCTTAACAACTAGGCTTGCGTCTGAGATGAAGTTCGTCGTAAAACATCCGTGGCCAATAGTCATCACTCGATCGCCAGAGGAGAGACCTTTGACATTTTTGCCAACTTTACGGACGACGCCGGAACACTCTATCCCGAGGCCAGGCTTGTAGCCTTCAACAATTCCCATGGCAACAAGAATATCCTTGAAGTTCATACCGACTGCTCGGGGTTCAATCTCAACCTGATCACCTTGAATAGTGACTGCTTCATTCTCTACCCATTGTAGCGTTTGGAGTTGACCCAGGCGAGCAATTTCGAGCTTTTTGGGGGAGTTGAACTTTGTAGATGGCGCTTCTCCCATATGTTCTGTGATATCTATCCACTGGTATCGCGGGATCATGACTCTTCCATTAACAATTGCGTACTCCCAATCAGGATCAAATTCATCGTTCTTGACTCTGTTGCAGAATTTGTGGAAAACATATAGAACACTTTCGGCGTCGAAATTTGTTAAGTCCATCTCTAATGTAGCAAAGTCTAGGGAGAGCTCAGATCTAATATTGCGAGTTGCTCCAATGGTAGTCGCGTATCGAGGGTCTTGTGACCCGACCTGAGCGTGGCCAGTTACCCATAATAGCCCCCTTTCAGCAGGAAACTTGCCAATATAGTTCTGCCATGCAGCAAAAGTATCTTCAGTCATCTCAAAGAACATTGTGTCATGGAGGTCTAAGAGGGAGATGACATCTGCCTCCGGATCAGGCTCTTGTGTAAGAGTACGGAATTCGACCTCATAGCCTTGCTCACTAAGTAACTCAGAAAGAGCATATGTGTGATCCCGGGAATTGAGATGCCCAAGGAGAGTGAGCTTTCCAGGCTCGCGAATAGGAGCAGTTACGCTTGTGAGAATATTCGCGGTAATATGGTCATCGTCCATAATTAGGCCTTCGCTCCCCGAGAACCCAGTATCCATGAGAATCTCATGCCATTGGTGTGCCTCACACAGGCGCTCGTCAATGCGATCATCTGCCATATCTTTCCACCACTGTGGAGTGAATCCCATTATGAATTTATAAAAATTCGCACTAGGTGACAATTCTTGGATAAGTAATCGACCATTTGGTTTTATGAGTTTATGAACATTTTGAAGGGTATCTTGAATATGAGAAGACAAATGAAGGGTTCTGTTGGCTATGATAAGATCGAATAAAGAAAGGTCAAAGTCTTGTGATTTAGGGTCCTTGGAGATATCCAGGATCTTGTACTCGATATTGTCATATCCCTCCAGTCCCTTACGGGCAAGCTGGAGAATTTCTTCGCTTTGGGCTGTGTAGATGTATTTGCTGTAACTGCGCTCGCCGGCTGAGTTGATGAGGGCTTTTACAGCCTTAGGAGTGGTACATATGGACCCGGATCCCAGCTCCAATACTCTCATCGTTGGATAGGCATGAGCCAGAGAGCCAAGCAACACTGAGAAATCACTCTTCCCACTGATAAACCCGCACAAGTCATCAAATCCCGGGTCTTGCTTGAGTAAGTCATCGGCGTTCTCTTCGCCCTTAAAGATTGCCTCAGCTGCTGCAGCCAGTCGACTAAGAAGCAGAGAGATTTTGGCGCAGCTAGTGTGTAGAAGGAGCTTCTTTGTAGCTTCTATCTCTGCTTTGGCTTTCTTTGAGTTGAGGCGAGCGAGACGTGTGCAATCAGACACATGCTCGTACTTCCCGTTGAGAGCCTTTGTACGTTGCTTAAGGAGCCATTTGTGAAAGTGTGCCAGATGGGCAGGGGGTGAAAGCCGTTCGAAACGTCGAAGCACGTCTAATTGGTATAAAAGAGCTAACTTTTCAACTGTAGCCACTTCGCCTGGAGGCGAACGAACTGATTGAATGAGGTTATTTGGAGCAATGAAATCAACATGGGGTTTCCAGTGTAAGTGGGCAGCGGGTAGCGGAAAAGCTTCATCTGTATCGCCACTCTCTAGAGGACTAAACTCCCCGTTTCTTAGACTCAAAATTAATTCATTATCTGCCATGATGGTTGCAGAGCCGCGAATTGCTCCCGTTGCGCTTGATACTGCAGCCGTGCCGAGGCGCATCTCTGGCTGACCATTGTTTATATATAACTCATCGATATAAGTTGGCACACAAAGCTGTTTTAGTCGGCGAGTTAGCCCATCGGCAATCGCTACGGTAAAAGCTTGGAGTACCAGATCGATAATACTGGGGTGCAAAGGATAGTAGGGACCTATTGTTGGATCGCGATTCTTGATAGTAGCAGCAGCGGTATTCCGCCCTGGGTAGGCTGAAATGTCGGATAAGCCCTGGAATTCAGGGCCGTAATTCAATCCAACTTTCTTCATGATGCGGTACCATCCGGCAGTGGAAACTTGACGCGGTTGTCCTCCGACATCTTCGGAGCCAGCACCAATTTCCTTTCCTGCCCGGACTTTGCCAGTGCTGTGTTTCGTCCAGGAGGTGCCGTTGAACGATGAAATGGAGAATTCGTACCAAGCTGAATTAAGCTTTGAGGTAAGACGAACTGGTCGAAGATGTGTAACAATTTCGTGTACTTGTTGTTCCTTTAATACCAAGGCATTTTGGATGTCCACCTGTCTTAGAGACGCATCCGTTTTACCGCCATCATTAAGCTGTCTTACAGCCTCAATGGCCATTGCGATATAAGCTGCAGCAGGTAGAACAATATCATCTTGAATCTTATGATCCCTAGCCCAAGGAACATTATCCAACCGGAAAATGTTTCTCCAAGAAGGCTCCAAATCATCAGATTCGAGAATGCGGTTTCCAAGGAGTTCGTGAGGAGGAAATTTTCGAAGACGCCATTCCCGTGAGACTCGACTTTCATACCAGCATACGGTATCATGCTGCCAGGCGTAATTGGGAAGGTCTGTTAGCACAGTACGGCCTACCGTTGTGGCCGCAATGTTAACCGGGACAGCCTCTTGGTATAGACGCCCAAGTGAGCTGAGGATGGATTTAGGTCCATTTTCATCTCTAATCAGTGTCGGAATGTAAGTTGATGTATGGGACATGTGGATAGACTTGAATATATCTCGAAGCGGGCCAGAGAGAGCGGCATGGGGGCCTATCTCAAGATAGACTGTGTTTCTAGTAGCAGAGTGCATCATAAGCTGAACTGCTGGCGAAAACAAGACTGGATTATCTAAATTTTGTCTCCAGTACGATGGCCCCAGCTGGCCAGCTCTCTTGATCTGCTTTTTGTTGACGCTGGAGAAGAATGGCACGGCGGGCTTTGCATCTTTTACGAGGCCATCAAGTAACTTCTCGTATATATCGCCAATCTCACACATGTGATGTGAATGGTAAGCTCTTTCAACTCTCAGCTTACGAGTAAAGCAGTCGGGTATGTCTTTTTTGATACTAGAAATCACCTCATCTAGACGATCCACGTCTCCCGACAAAGTAACACTCTTGGGGCTGTTCTCACACGCCATCACAACCCCATCCTGAAGATAGGTCGTGACGTCTTCGCGACCGAGGCCGACGGCTGCCATAGCACCAACTCGCCCATGATGTTGTGTGACTTGGCCGCGATAGTAAGCGATTATGATGGCTGATTCGAGAGTCAAAGCACCAGCTGCATAGGCAGCGCCCATCTCGCCGCTGGAGTGGCCGACCACAGCCATAGGGATAACGCCCCATCCTTTGATGAGATTGACGAGACCTATTTGAAGAGCTGTGCATATTGGCTGCGAAAATTCTGGTTGTTGAATCTTGCTTTCTCCATGGGGTCTTTTGAGCTCTTCTTCTATTGTCCATTGTGGAGGATGTGACAGTTTCTTAAGAGTATCATCCATTTTTCGTATGTCACTTTGAAATGATGAATACTGTTCCAGAAGGTCGGCACCCATTCCTGCCCACTGAGCCCCTTGTCCAGTAAAGACGAAGTTGACTTGAGGGGGGCCCTTGTGCTTGACTATGGGGGAGAGCTCGGGAGGGTTCACGCCATCATAAATAGCAAAGGCTCGCTGGCCTAAGTCTTCTCTTCTCTCTCCCAGAGTGTATGAAAGGTCTGGCAGCCGATCTGGATGTTGTTTAGCATAACTGAATATCTCAGCCGCTCTTTGTTTTAATGAATCAGACTGGTGGGCGGAAACGACCAGTAGTTGTGGGAGAGCGGCATTAATCTTTTCTTTTTGTGAGACGTATGGCCTTGCTGAATCAACAATAACCTATTTGACTGTCAGTGAATACAATTCAACATCGCAAACTTATACTACATACATGAGCGTTGGCACCTCCCACACCGAAGCAATTCACAGATACACGCTTTAGGCGGTCCTTTGGCCATGGAGTTGGCTCTGTTGGGACTCTGAAATGATATTTATCCCATTTGACTATCATGATTGTTAGCATCACCAGAAGCAATGGAGACTCGGAATATCGCTTCACTTTTGGGACTAGGCTCGGAAAAGTTGACCTGTGGTGGGATTGTCTCATGTTCCAGAGACAAGACAGCCTTGATCAAGCTGTTCAAACCAGATGCACCCTCACCGTGGCCAATGTTGGGTTTCACCTGCAAGACACACTGTTAGCCTGTCTTTCGGGGAGACGGAAACCAATCTACACCTGAGATGACTGACTGATCCAATATAAATACCATGGTTGCCAAAGAATTGGCCTACCGCCCCTGTTTCCATCGGATCTCCGACTGATGTACCAGTTCCATGACATTCCACAAATGCTGTATCACTAATATTGGATATCTTGGCTACGCTATAAGCACGACGCATGAGAGCTACATGTGCCTCCTGGTTAGGATTTGTAATACCAACAGTCTTACCGTCAAAATTTGTGGCTGTAGCTCTGATGACGCCTCGAATCGGATCACCATCACGAATAGCATCTTCAAGCTTCTTGATGAAGATTGCATTGATTGCTTCACCGCGAGCATAGCCATCTGCTTTGGCGTCAAACGTCTTACATGAGCCCGTTGGTGAGAGGACTCCCTGTTCGGATAAGGCAATTGTCATAGTTGGCGACAGGAATAGACTGGTCCCAGCAACGACTGCAGACTCACACTCGCCCGTATAAATGGCTTGACAGGCCTCGTGGAGTGCAACAAGCGAGGATGAGCACGCAGTGCGAATGGTCATGCTTTCGACTCGTCAACCAGTGAAAGCATAACGCCAGATTATCGACATACCTAGGACCCTTCAAGTCATACTCATAAGACGCGCGGTTGGACAATGCGAAATCCCCTCCAGTTAAGATTCGGTGCGTACCGAGATGCTGAGGGTCTTTGGCGTATAGATCCAGCCAATCTTCACCAAAGACGCCGACATAACAGCCAATGTTGCGGCCGCGCCAATTCTTTTGTCCGCCATTCTCCATGCATTCCCAAATCACTTCCAGTAGCAGCTTGTGTTGCGGATCAAGCTTCTCGACTTCGGCTTTGCTCATGGAAAAGAATGATGCGTCCCATTTCTCCAGATCGCGGTCTAAATAGTGTCCGTATGTACTTTTCAACGTACCAGGCGTTCCCAGCTGGCTCTCGAAGGCGTGTGCTCCATATCGATTCGCAGGTACCTGTCGTCGTGTGTTTCTCTTATTTATGAGGAGATCCCAGTACTCATTAGTCGTTGTGATACCGCCAGGGAGCTTCAGACCTATTCCAACAATAGCAATGGCTGGTGGTGCACCATCTAGTGGTTCCATTGCAGGCATCAACACCTCACTGCATGTGTTGTCCGAGTTAGAAGCCCGCTGCGGTTGTTGAGCTCCTCTGGGGTTGGCCATACTATCATACCCCCTCGTGTTCGCTATTATGCCATTCGATGTCAATACGCTGACCGATGCCTTTGCCAGCTATTTCTTGAAGTCGTAAGAAAAAATTACAAGTAGTGGAAGTATGTGATTGCCAATGAAGAAAATTACAGCTGAGGAGAGGGCTGGAATGAGGTCGGTCCATGAAAGGTGTTCATCCCTCTAACCTGGCTGAAAGTAAGTATATACTCTGCCGTACTATGCCGAAGGAAGGGATGCGGGCTGCAAAGTTCGAACAATACCCTGAAGGAATGCGTTGGTGGGAGTGGCATGGTTGCTACTCTCCACTTAACAATTTTACTGCTGGTGATAATTTCTCCGATAGGATATGTACCCTTGTCAGGAAAATCTGGTGTTGGGCTACTTCAATCGTCTTAAGATTGGCAAGCCAATGCTCTGAGACAATTTGTGTCCATGTCTCATCCATCCCTAGGCAGTATAGTCCCTATGTTGTGGGTAACTGCCGGAGCTCTCATACCTGATTGAAGGACGTGATATATAATTCAGTAATTCTCTTTAGTCTTCGGATAATTACCCATATCATTTCGTTGGTTTAAATGGTAATTAATACGAAATGCTTAAAATATATTCCCCCCAACCTACTCACGACTGATGAGGATATGCAAAGGCAATTTGAACATTGGCTATTGAGTCTGTAAGTTTTCACCAATGCGCCCTCGACTGTTACTAGAGAATATTTGGCCTTACGACCTCTCAAACTGACGTCCTTCATGTGGCAGAGTTCCGATGGAAAGAAAAGACGGGAAAGGCACTCCGACGGTTTGCCGATGGCAATGCAAATTGGTCATGTCACATATAACATTCCGTCATCATGTCTAAAAGAGTGTTCAGAAAAGATGTGCTGCCGACGCCACAATGCTTCTTTCTATTCACATCTCATAATCTAAAAAGGCTACCATTACTCACTGGAGGCACTGACGAATACAGGAGAGACATATGAGACGTCGTGGCTGAAATCATTGGATGATGGACTTTGCTCGTATGATACATGAAGCAAGGGGGCAATGAGGCGCTACGGTAATGCATTGTACACATAAGTCAACTGATCTTTACGCAAGACTCCCGGAATTTAAAAGTGAACTTTTGTGATACAACACTACATGTATATATAAATTGGTAGGGTTATGTTGTTTGAGGCGGGACATATACGTCCCCATGTCATTAGAGAAGGTGTTCCTCGTTAAGATAAATATGTCTCGGAACTATTGCTTGCTAACACCTTGCGTGCTGCAGTTTCACCACCATAACATGGATGCCACAACCGTGACAACATGCTCTCCATAACAGAAGCCCCATAAGTAGTAATAGCCGGTGGATGATGTTCTATTTGCAACTTCATTGGCTCTATCCCTGTATCATCGAGGTTCGAACCTCCCATGTGATATATATAACGTACTCCTTTTATGACATGTCGTATAGTAAATGGTCCAGGCATAGCTTCAACTGTCCAGCCAAGTGACATCAGAAAGAGAGTATGTGTGGAAACCGACTGTGGCTTGTATCCCATGACATGTCGTGTTTCATAATAATACGACAGATCATTACTTCCCTGTTATCGATGAGATATTATTTGCACTTACGGCGCCCTTAAGCCTCAGTACAAATGATGTTTCAGTAGTAACTATCGCCATTACTGATGTCAGTTTTTCAAGCCCAACTAGCTTAACAAAAAGGGAGCGCATTCAATCTCATTGTACTCCACGATACGAGAAAGGGAGAAATAGCCAAAGGGTAAGAGTGGGCATAGTCATGCGAATGGATAGGGTTAGTGGGTTCTAAACGGATACAATGACCAGCGCCTAGTTTGTTGCGTAAATTGCAAAATCACTCATCATCCTCGCTATCCTCTTCATCAGAAGACTCGTACACATATACCCGTAGTACTCTTGGCAAAGTCCTTGCCCTACCTGTCTCAGATATTTTCTTTGCCCGCTCCTTCATCTCGCCTCGCTTCGTCTTGCCACTGGCTGATTTAGGCAGCGCTTCAAGGAACTCGATTCCTCCAGCTAGGCGCTTATACTCCGATAGCTCACTATCGACAAACGCGTGGATCTTTTGCTTAAGGACGCGCTCGTCTTCAGCCTTACCGGTAGGTGATGGCACGATGAAGGCGAGTGGCAGTTCGCCCGCAGAATCGTCTGGAATTGGAACGACGCAAACATCTGCGACGCAAGGGTGACGTGACAAAAGAGCTTCGATTTCTGTTGGAGAAATCTGCAGGCCCTTGATGAGAGTTAGCAGGAAAATAGCGTCTGGTATGCGCAGGCGGATCTCGAAGTATACTTACCCTAACCTTGATCAATTCCTTGACTCGATCGACAATGAAAAGATGCTCGTGCCCGTCATCACTCTTGCGAAATTCCATTAAATCGCCTGTTCGTAGCCACCCATCTTCTGTAAACGTCTCCTTCGTCGCTTTCTCATTATCAAGATACCCTAACATTACTGTCGGCGACCGTAAAAGAAGTTCTCCAGGAGTGCCCAGCTCGGTCACCTCTTCGCCATCGCGGCTTATTAGTCGACCTTCATATCCTGGGAAAATATGGCCGCAGGAGCCAAACATGATGTCTCTCTTGTTTTGCATAGATACAACGACCGAAGTCTCCGTGAGGCCATATCCTTGGATAAGCTGGCAATTGGGGAAAAGGCGGGAAAATTGTTCATTGACGTCTTTTGTGAGGTTGGAGGCACCAACTATGGTTGTCTTGACATGGTCGAGGCTGTATCTGGCGGTGATGGCCGAGTTCTTGATCAAAGCAACGATCATAGGAGGGACCTAATATCTGGCGTGTTAATCTCAGCGTCCTTTATAGAATCTAATTTTTTTACATGGCGGGCATCTCACCATCCATAGCGTCTCTATAGACTGCTTCTGCACGGCCTCCAAGACGTCAACAAGATCAAATCCCGGAAGTACGACTGCATTGTAGCCTCGATATACGCCAGAGTGTCCAGTGACGATCAAAGCGTAACTGTGGCTCATGGGAAGCACAGCTAGGAGCGACTCTGGCTTTCCGCTCTTGTAGTTGGATTCATATGTGCTCATCTGTAGAGTGTTGGCGATAATGTTTTTGTGAGAGATCATGACATTTTTCTGAGACACCTCTGTCAGTTATAGTGATTACAAATTGTCCATCGATCGAGCACATGCTTACCGGTAGTCCAGATGTCCCACTGGAGGAACATAAAAATGCAGTTTGACGGGCACCTTGACCCTGTGCCCACTTCAGTTCCGGCAGAGGAGCGAGTTTCCTTCCCTCGGCAATTAGTTGGTCGACCGACTTGATATTGGTCGGAACTATGGAGCCCTTCAGTGCCTTCTCCGGGATTTCCATCAGATATACGTGCGTCTTTGGGATACCCGCCGCAGACGCCGCTGCAAGGGCCGTAGAGAGAAGGGTCGCACATGTGAAGAGAGCCTTGCATTTAACTGCCTTGAGCTGTCTTGTGAGTTCGGTAGCGGAATACGAAGGGCTGATGGGCGACGACACTCCCGAGAAGCGATGGGCCGCCCACGAGACGGTCATGGTATCAATCTGTTCGACGGATAGATTCGTTTAGCTAAAGAATCACAGACTAAGCGCTCATGAATACATACTGTATTGACGCTGAACAGCCCTATGACCTTGTCAAACTCGCTCCCACCATTAACCTCAAAGCCCAATTCCGATGCGAGCGCAGCTGAAAGCCATTCTATACGATTCTTCACTTCAGTAGCGGAATGCGACTTTCCGGTGATGCCGCAGGTGAAGGGTGGGCGAGAATCTATAATCGGATATCGACCGTACTTGTACCCATCGCTGAAGAGGAACTCATGGATAGGTACCGAGTCTGGAAGGTCGAAAGGCAGTTTGGGGATGTAAGATGGGGTTGTGAACGGCATGATGAAAGCACTTTGCAAAATTTCGAGCCATATCCACGAGAACGGCGCTCCCCTGTATTTTTAATATGAAGACATACGAATACAGGACCTAAATTTATAAATTGGGATTGGCAGACAGGACGGCACAGATACAAACGCCCTCGTCTAAGTCTAGATACGAGTGTGCCAGTAGGAAATTAGGAAGTCCACATTACTTGCTACATGTAACCAAATAGCATCTCTGTGTCTAAAACATATTACGGGATCTGCGTCTAGGAAACCTCATGTCTCAAATTCTCTCCCTGCTACCCTTATATGAAGGGCAACAACAACAACAAACGCAAAGGCCGCTACGGCAGCCGACTAAACTCCCTAATTTTGGTGCGGCAAGAAGGTACATACTACGTATGGAATTTTGCATCCACCTCATGGTCTTTGCCTTATTTTGGCAGAATTAATACCATCATTAGCTAGATAGGAATACTGGTAGACTCAAAACCCGTTGCCAGTCTCCGTACACTTCGCAGAGAGGAAAGTCGTCTCGAAGAAGAGACAGCTCGTGCGCAGGCGACATATATAGAAGTATACGCCTTCAAACAGCCCTGTCTTCAATTGAATTCGTTTAATTTCTGTGTATACCTATCTTATCCTTGTTGCCAGCTCTTATATTTGGACTAACTGTCTCTTATCACGGTGACCCGTCAAAATACAGCAAAATTAAGTAATTGGATGCCCATACTAGTCAATAGAGACGGATTCGAATACTCAGATCACATCCGATGGCACTCTGCCCTATCCGGGTGATTTTCCCAATGGCACCAAGAGAAAATATGCCGCAATTGTCCCTGATCACACCATTCAAATGTTCTAGCCCTGCTGCCCAACACCATTGTCAGCGTAAGAGTGGCTCTTCTCCAACCTCACGCCCAGTATATATTGTTCTCGTCTAGCGCCCATTCGTCCAAGTTTGAACAATCCCCAAAGATGCGGGGGCCCAGCCAATTGTCAGACGCACCATCACGCTGCCAACAGCAAATCTTACCTTTACCGTCTCTGGTGCGACTGCGCTTAAATGTCAAGTCAAAGATGGCGGGTGACTACTGAACAGTGGCGTTGATCAATTGTGGATGGTTCGGCATTCCAGAATGCAGGGGAAAAGTATATATATAAAGGGCGGCTGGATCGGGCATTGAACGCAAGATCAAGCTTTGGATTCCTTGTTGCGAAGCTGAATGTTGCGATTCTTGATGCTGCATTAATCAACCAATATCTACTATCACGTCTCGCACGACCTCTTATACACAGAGATGGACCAGTCACTGAAGATGGACGAGGCTTCGTCGTCCTCGCAGAACCCTTTTACGGGCTATACCATTGACAAGAAGAAACACCATCATCATCACCATCAGCAGCAAGAACAGCAGCATCATGAAGGGCTGAGCAGCAGCCCCGAACGGGAGGCTTATCTCGAACGACGAAGCAGCAACGAATCCGCAGCGCGACGAATGAGCATGTCCCGGCCCTGCCACTCGGGATCGGGATTCTTGGGCACGATGCGATGATTGCAAAATCGGATTCAATTCCAATTTTGCTATGATGAGGATGACAGATACCTATTTTGGGTCTACATACATGCATGTGCTATGATATCAAAGACATGGTTACGTGGGTTTTAGTGGACGATGATGTCAGTGACGATGGTGTGGGGATACAGAACCAGAACCAGGAATTAATCTAAGAGGATCTGTTCTATGCAGGTAGTGAGAGCGCCCGGGAATTCGCGCTTTTGGGGAGTGATCGGCTTTGGGGGCAATTTGGCGTCATACGGAATCGAAATGAAGTGTTTTTACGGGCTTGGGATTGTTTTGCGTTTCCTTTGGGTGGGATTATCGAGGTTTGGTATTTGATATGGGTCAATCGCAAATGCAATTGCGTGGGAGTGTCGAGTATAGATGGAATATGTATGTACATGAATTAACCAACCAATCAATACATGGCAGAAACGAGCGAAAAGAAAAGGGCTACATGTACTCTGCGCAACCATGCATGTGTAAAATCATCGCATCCAGAAACCCGCATCAAAACCTCCCTCCAAGGCGTGTCTTCCACACAGCATATCCGACATAGCCCATGGCCGCGATAACAGCCATCTTGCCAGCCCCCACAACCAGATTGTCCCGTGCCCGTCTTAATGCCCGAGCCCTCCTCTTCCGCGTGTCCTTCTGGAACGTCTCGCGGTCGTTGACATGCGGGAACGGCGCCTCCACTTCCTCTCCCATCTGCTCATCCTTAACCGTCGGCACGGGAACCTCGAGATATGCGCAAAGCGGGCCCCAGCCGTCCTGGATCTTATACTCGAAGCGGCGCGCCTCGGGAATCTCATCGCGGAAGCGCTTGTATATGCCCGCGTACCAGGCGAGGGCCTTGTCCTTTTCCGTCCGGTGATTGTATCGAAAGGCGAGCCCGGACATGGCCATGCCGAAGCGGGCAAATGCGCGGGACGCCGGATCAAAGACGAAGCAGAAGAGCATCTGCAGCTTGACCCACGGCGATGCAGGATTCGCCGCCATGATGACGGACTCCAGGGTGCTGTAGTACCACTTTTCCGGATCGCGATTCAGGATGATGACTTTGGCTTCCGGATACATGGCCGCCAGCTCGACGCCGAAGAGCGCCGCCGGAACATCGACGCAAGCCTGCGAGTTGCCCAGCACCTTGTCAAAGTCGGCTCTGGTGACGGTGCCTTTTCCACCATACTGAGCCTCGATGAGGTGGACCCATTGCGGACATTCCTGTTCGGGGTTCTCAATGAGGTTCTGCATGTGGTAGCAATCGTTGAAACCCAGCTGTTTGAGAGCCAAACGCATGCCTGGCGCGGAAGAGTCAGAAATGTGAAGCATCTGGAAGAGACGGACTTACTCAGTGTTCCTGTTCGCTGCACGCCACAGACGATGACGCGCATCGGAACGACACGATCTGGCGTGGCCATGGCGAGTTGTGTTGACGCAGGTCACTATCAATCACAAAAAATGAATCAGAGGATATAATGAGCGAAAGAGTGTGATTGAAGGGCTGTGATGGGCAAGGGCTTGGTGATAACCGAAGTTTTGGAAAAGGCCCCCATCACATACTGTCTCACCTTGATACTACCTAACCTCACAAATCCCTGCTATTACTAGTATCTCAATTCCATCTCCAGAGCTACTACCGTATGTCATCGATCCACTCTTGGAGCTCGCAAATACGCGATGCCCGGCAAAAAAGTAAAGCGGCGCCCCAAGATCCAACAACTTACTAATGGAGGCTATGGAGTTGCCGTTGCTGACAGGTTGTGTAACTTGTGCTTGTGCCTCGTTGCGTCTGTTTTTTGCGTCTTCTCACAAGAACAGGGAGAAATGGATTTTAATGTTTCATCGGTAAGCATGTGATTGAAATGTCATATCGGATATTTATCCTTTTCTTTTCTTGGACCATGGAGGACCGGACTGTCGCTGCCCGAGGACCGATAGCCCAAACAGGCGAAGTTTACGGTGCGGCGCCAAGATGAAATGAGGAAGGATATACACCATTTGATTGCAAGTGATATAAGATGTTGCCTATGAATACATGAATGTCATATGTCGCCCATCTGGAGGTTACGCTTTATCATAGTCACGGGCATTAGCTTCCAGACATACCAACCAATCCTGTGAATGCGCAGTCAAGGCTGTACGAATCGAAATGTCGTTGGCAGCAACAGCAGAAATCAACTAAAGAAATCTCCAAGACATCTCAAGTGTTGGTATCTATTTCTCATCGTTTTAACCATGGTTTCAGCCTTTTTATATCTTGCATCTTGACCATCGTGTTCTCCTCCACATGCAGTTCGCTTATACGCAAACAATATCCCATGATAGACCTTACTACACACTGCAGGTAGTCCAGAATAGATGACAAAGGTATGATTTTGGGCTGGTGTCCTATTTTTTTCTTCATAGTGAATCCTTGACCTCCCTAACTCCCATCCAGGGTATAACTCCCTCCAATCGCTCACGCCCTTCGTCGCTTTCCACCCTCCGCCGCTTCAGCTCCCGTAGCTGATGCGCTGTTCGCGGCGAGAATCGCATCCAAGAGCTCCGGGTTCGCATTCAGCATATCTTGAGATTCCGACTTGATGCGCTTGGGGTCTAGCTTGCCGACTACGGGAACCGCCGTGGCGAGAATCTGCTGGAAAGGAGCAGCGACAAAGTAGCCGCTCTCGTCGAAGAAGGAGGCAAATGGCTTGGCCACCTCGATGATCCGTGACTTGGCGGACTTGTCCGTGACGGTGATGCTGAGTCTATACGTGGGGTCCAGCTTCTTCGTTGCGCTGGCTACTGTAATCTGCGCGTTTGTCTCGTCAGCTCTTGCGCTCGCCGTCAATGTTATATATTGGTTCTTTGGGTACCTTTTCTCCCGATGGCGCAATGCCCTGGTATACAACACCCTTCTCCACAAACATCATCCAGAACGTCAAGAGGCCGTTTAGAACGGTATAGACGGCCACTGCGACAGCTGTGTAGAGTTTGGTGTCTTCAAAGCCCAGCTTGTAGTCCCATGCGAAACAAGCGGCAGCGATGAGGAATGCGCTGTACCCAAGCCCTAGCCGTACATCGCTGAGGAAGTGTGTCTGCTTGAATTTTAGGGAGTTGAGGTAGTTGGGGATCGCATCGTCGCTCGTGTTCTTGAGATCTATAGCCACCGTGTCAGTCGAATCAGTGGCGACATGCTGGTAGCATGAGCAGCTCAACTTACCGGCGAGATTATATAGAGAAATCTTTTCTGCGGCCATGGCTATGTTATACTCCCGTTGATTGAATCGTCAGGACAGGTGTGATCAAAGCAAATGCTGCTGCTGGTGGTTCAAGTTGTGGCAGAGGTGGCCTGTAGTTGACTTCAATGCTTCGCTGTAAGCTGCCAGTAACGAGGTGCTACAGTACACATATGCACTAAGATCGTGGGGATCTGCCGAGTTCAATTGGCCAACACAGAGCTTGTTGCGCCAGAATGTGGGGCTGCCGGCTGCCGGCGGTAGGATACTCCGTACCTAGCAGACCTACAGTACAGTACACCTCAACATCTTCACGAGCTTATGGATTGCATAATCTCCCCCTCCATCGCAGCATCATTGCCCACTGCCGACGCCGCACGACTTTGAAGACAGCGTCGCATCAGCTCCGAGTGTGGCTCAACAGCTGAACGATCCCGTCATGGCGCAATTACCGGCTCAGACCCTGCATAGGGACCCCCAGCTCTTGTTCGTTGTCCTCAAGTACAGCTTCGGCAGGCAGAAGACGAGACAGCTAACATGGCATTTCCACGCATAGCTACTGGATCCTGATCCCCATCACCGTTGTCATGGTCCTGACCGGTGTTCTCCGCCACTACGCATCTGTCCTCATGGCGACGACCCCGAAGAAGGCCGACATCAAAGCTATCCGTGAGCAGCGTGCCCTCGCTCATGGTGCCGCTCTCAGGACAAACTACCACGTGCTATCGCGCAAGGCATTTGAAACTCGCCGTGATTTCCTCATTGACGGATTCGAATCTGGCGCCTACCTCAAGGCACCGCAGCAAAAGGGCCAACCTCCGGCGAACCCAATGTCGGATCCCAACGCCATGGAGGGCATGATGGGCATGATGAAGAACAACATGGCCATGATTATCCCCAACACCTTGATTATGAGCTGGATCAATGCTTTCTTCAGCGGATATGTCATCAGTATGTCACTACCGATATGTCTTGTCCTCTGCTAGTGCTGACCACAACAAGTGAAATTGCCATTCCCCATTACAATCAAGTTCAAGAGCATGCTCCAGGCCGGTGTTCTGACCAAGGACATGGACCCACGGTGGATGTCTAGTATCAGCTGGTACTTTTTGTGTATCTTCGGTCTCCAGTTTGTCTATGTGTTCCTCCTTGGAAGTGACAACGGTGAGTATCCATATATAAGCATCCCTGTATCAAGTATAGCAGAGTATATTCTAACGAATCCTCAGCTGCGAGCCAAATTGCCCAGCAGATGCAGCAGCAACAGATGCCCGTTGGTCCCATGGCCCCTGGCCAGGATCCTCACAAGATGTTCAAGGCCGAGGCCGAAAACTTGGCCGTCATCGAGCACTACTCCGTCTTGGACGGCATCGAGGAGCGACTGCTGGAAAGGATCAAGGTGTAAAATTGTGTAAACCCAGCAAGATGGAAAAATAGCCATTAATACATTATGCTCTTCAAACGCCTCTAATAATCCAATCAGGCACCATCCCACCATAGACACACTCCAAGACCTTCAGCAGCCATGCTTCCTTTGATCTTGTAAGGCGTCTTTGCCGGCGTGTCTTCCGCTTGAGTGGGGCCGGCTGGAGTCTGGTCGTGCCATTCTTCGTCAATAACCTGAAAACGAACCATTTCGTGATTGTCGTAAAACAGGCGCTCTTCATCAAAATTCCATATCCAAATCTGCTCGCTGTGGTTGCTATTCCTGCTGTTAGTTCTTTTCGTCTTTGGTGATTGAATCCCATGGTGGACTCACTATTCAGCCCCCTGGGGAAGCTCTTCATATGGGATAAAAATGTCGTCGAAGAAGTCCGTTCTCAAATGAATGCCGGACGGCGTTGAACTGCGTATTCTGCCCAGCATGACCTCTCCCTTGAAAGGTCGAAATACTATCATCCGAAACTCGACTGCTACCATGTAAGCATGGCTGAAACGCCGTAGAGACGAACAGGGGCTACTTACCATTGACGTTGACAAGGCCTGTTCCGTGGCCTATCAAGCCTTCAGACGTCCATAAAACATCATACAAGGATATGCACAGTCCAATCTTTTGAACGACCTGTACCAAGATGATCATTAACTGCTGCTACGCTTCGGGAGCGGATGCAGAGCGTAGGAAACCAACCTTGTTTGCGTATTTGGCATTAATGTTGTCCTCTATTGCTACAATACTGTGCTTGGAGAAGTCTTCTGGAGAGATCTGCACCAGATCGGAGAATTTGGTCTATGACTCGGTAGATTAGAAGCAGCATACATGAGGTGAACTGAGAGCACCAGCGACATACCAGGATAAACATGATGGCAAGATGTTAAAGGGTAGCTGCCTCTTCAGCTGTCGTTCATAAGCGGCTATAAGACTAAGAAACCATCACGGAGAAGACGCCGTCATATCATAGCATGCATCTCTGTTTGTCACCAAGAATAGCAGCTGAAGCAGCCGAAGCAGTTCTACATCATATATAATCCAGCAGTGGTAAAAAGTTAGAAAATCGGCGAAACGATTGCTAAACCGGACAGCACTAGTCCGGCTATGGCTAGCGCCGCTCTACTCGACACCACATGCTGCCTCACCGCCTGCTTACAACAGCCTAGTGGACCCTTTTGCCCAACAGCACTTCATTTTCCCAGAAAGTCAGACATCGTGGAACTTGCCGGCGAAACCATCATCTCAGAAGCATCTGAGCGGCGTCTGTGGCCCCAACGCCGACGATCCGAATTTCTAGCAGCGGCCCTGCACTTAGGACAGTGATTCTGGGTTATCCGTGTCTTTTTTTGATTTCGTCTTGACGCTGTTGTTGTCGAATTCCTCCTCCCGCACCGAACGGCCCTCTGTCGAAACCGAGAAGTCTCGAAGTCCGACGCTCACCGTCTCCTGTCCTGTCTTGACCCTTTTCCTCGGACATCACAGCAGCTGATCCTGCACCGAATTGCTTGGCCAGACCAGCTTCCCAAAAAGAAACCAAAAAACGCCCGTCCGCAGCGCTATATGACTCCGTGAACGATGTCGACGTACAACTACGCACCACCTCCCCCTCCGCCCCCTACTTCTGGCGGTGCCAGCTACGGACAGTCGAATTCGACTCCCTACGGCCAGAATCGCGGCGGCGGATCAGGCAGCCGTCGGGGTGGCCACTACCATGGGGGCCGTGGCGACTACCATAGCTCGCAGCCGCGGTATGAATACACTGGGCAGCCATACCCTGCCCAACACGCTGTGCCGTATGGGAGCTCCCATCCTCCAGCGAATGGCTATCCAGCTCCTCAGCCGCAGTGGGCTCCAGAGCATGGCCATGCTCCTACACACCACGCCCATCCCCATGCTCCTGTTCCGCTCTCTGCGTCGAATTACCATCCAAACTACGCTCCTCAACCTTATCCCCCGTCTCAGTACCCCCAGCAGACTGCTTATGCCGCCCCTCAACCTTACCCCTATCAAGCCCCCCCTCCTCCACCGAACCAGCCCCAGTGGAACAGTCAAGGAGCTCCTCAGGCATTTGGAGGTGGCAGCAGAGGCCGTGGAGGCTACGGCGATCGCGGGGGCCACAAGCCATCTCATGGGGTGCCTCCCGTCCGTCACGGCCATGAATATGATGCGGCACCCCCTCCGATGATTAGTGGCTTCCCTCAGCAATACCCCCCTGATCCTCGAGCTGCTCATTATCCCCCGCCGCAGTATGCTTATGCAGCACCTCCACCCCCTCCTACCACCTCTCGCCACCAAGATTCCTCACATAGCCAGTATTCTCGTCGAGGGCGTGGTGGGCATAGGGATGGCAGCAACAAGGGGCGAGGCGGTCATCATTCCCATCATCATCATGGAGCCGGTGACAAGTCACGCCTTCCAAAGACACCCAGTAACAACGTTGACAGCGCTTCAAAGCCCGACAAACCCGAATCTCCATCAGCTGGCAAAAAGAAGAAGAGAAAGACCAACACTCTGGGCTTAACCCCTGGAGTCGATTCGGAAACAGAAGATGACGAGGGAGAAGAAAAGACACTTACTGAACTCATTGGCCAGGAAGCCCTCAAGTAAGTACCGTGATGCTAACTTTTATTTATATACTGTGCCATTATTAACCATCTTCCTTTGGTTTAGCATTAGCGATGTTGCGGCTTTCATTGCAGAGCGAAAGAAGAAGTTTCCCACCAGAGCGCGCGTCGAAGCCAAAAAGGCCGCCGAGTTGGCGCAAAGAGAAGAGGACAAGGCTGCCTCTCTGGAGAAGGAGGCTGATAGACTGAGAAAGCAACTGCGCAGAGTCGAGTTTTCCATCAAAAGGAAGCGAGAACAGGGTGATGAGGGTGACGAGATGCGAGATCCCTCTGAAGACTCCTCCGATGATGAGCCAGAAGTCATGTCCAGCCGTACCAAAACGGTGCTTACTCCTCCTCCCTCGGCCAACAAGGCTGATATTACCAGACACTGCAAATATTATTCTACCGGTGGAACTTGCGGGAAGAAGGGCAAGTGCCGCTTCGTCCATGATCCCCAAGCTAGGGAAGCGGCCATCAAGGAACGCGAGGCCAACAATGGCCGTTTAACCATCCAGCAGCGGCTGATTCTAAACGACAAGGAGCAAGAAGACTTGGCTGTTCTTCAGTCTATTCAGTATCTTCGCGACAAGGGCCTCATGAACACTGCTGGAGCATCAGCAGCGGCCCAGGCCAGCGGCGAAGAAAAGCGCACACTCGCATCCATTTCTACACCAGCTTCTGCGTCCACACCTGCATCAACCTCTGCGCCTGCTTCTGTTTCTGCTTCTACACTGCCACCCTCCACGTCTTCCCTTCCTGCTATCCCTCCGCAGCCTGCCAAGAGGGAGCCGCCTCGCAGAACCAATCCGCCTCCCTCCATCATACCCACCGCTAATAGTATCAGCGCTCAGGGGGTAAGGCATTATCAAGGTTGGCTCCTGAAGCCGTACGGAAGCTCAAGTGGCAAGCAATCGCAGAGTGACGATCTTCCTTGATTCAACCGTTTGAGTCTGCATACACACGCATATATTCCCCATCTTCTCCCAATTTGTTGGAACTACTCAATGTTTACCTCAACATTTGAAACCTCGTATCTACAAACTCGTGGTCACATTTTTTCTCTATTTCTGCCTTGTTATTTCGGAATATACATGCTTTGTTCGACAAAAAAAAAACAATCATTGGACGGCGTTGGCTTCACTATTTCTATTTCTTTTTTGCAAGTGTAACAAAGTCGATTTGAAGGCAAAAGGGGGCGTCAATGGCTATTAGAATAGCAGGCGTTGCCTCCGGGCTTGATACTTTAGGAGACACTCTTTCTATTTGGCTTGGATACCGATGTCTCCTATTATCATCATTATCCACTCATGCTTTCAAAACGTGGGCTGGTGCATTCTTGGATGCTCGCCTGCGCTCACAAGATACCTAACTAACCAGGTATCGTGTGGGCGTGGCGAGCACCAAGAAGCTATCTGCCTTGACGACTAACGATTTTCTTACATTGACTGTTTATAGGATTCAGATTGATCTAATCGAAAAAGAAAAACGTAACCGTACAAGGGAACAACTTAGTTGATGCTATATAACAGCACAGGTGGAACAAAAAAAAAGACGGCCTTACTAGAATTGTGTTTTTTGTCATTTCTTTTTTTCCATATTTTGCTTCTCGGATATAGGTCGTGACTGGGATTTTTGTTACATGGGCTTCATACTAGGTTACGGTAGCCAATAAGACTTGTTTTGTTTTTGCTTGGTTTGGTATATATCAAAGCACCATATGACAATTATAAACGCGTTGACTTTCCTTGTCAAGAAAAAAAACTAGCTATGCTCACATAATGTCCAAACCAGGACACTTGGCAGTGAGGTTCCTATTTCTGCGCCATACAATGCAAATTCCAATCCTTTAAACACCGCTGACAGAAAAAAAAAATCAAGACGAAACTACCTAAAAAAAGAGAGGCAGATATGAAGAAAAAGCAAAAATAAACGGACTGGGGAAGTCAGAAATAGTCCACAAGTCTGGGGATAGCGCAGACCTGAAAAATAAAACTCCGTCGCTAATGACTTGAAACGGTAGACACACGGCAGCCACTTCTGCTGCAACGCTGCCACTCACTTTCTTTTCCCGATTTTCCCCCATTTCTCTCTTCCGTTGCGCAAACTCATCCCGCTATCCACTTCCCAAATCCGCAATGAAGCGATCCATTTCAAGAATTACGTGAATACTCAATCAATGTCCAAGGGTGAGAAGAGTTGTGAGAAAACGAATCGCATGCATTTCCAAAGGTAAAACACAGCTAAAGGAGGAACTTTCACCTTCCTTCCTTTAGCGTCGATTGGCCCGTAAGGCTTCGAGGGCTTTACGCTTCCTCTCTTCCTTTGCCACCTTTAGCGATCTCTCAAGTCGTTCCTCTTGCAAATCTTCGCGACGAGCAATTTGCTCCGCCATTCGTTCTTCGTCATCAATGTCGTCCATGCCAGCCTCCATGTCGGATGAAGCATCTGACGCATAACCATAGCGTGGATTGTCGTCTTCTTCGTCGTCATAATCGATGAAGTCGTCCATCTCCTCGTCATAGTCATCTTCGTACCGGCCTCCTCGTCTGGATGAGTTTGATCTGGGGGGAGGCGCATTGAGTAAGGCACCACCACGTTGAGCGCTGCCTTTCTTCGATATTGCGCCCGGTTTGGGACGGGCTGTCCCGGTGTAGCCGGTGGTTGCCACCGCTGCTTTTTTCACCTTCTTCTCCGGCTCTGGTTCGGGCGCCTTCCTTGAAGATGTCGTGGCCTTGGCTGTGGGTCGGGATGCCGCACCGTTCCGATCAGCTTTTGAAGTCGCATTCCCGTTGGTACCGTTGCGCTGTACCGGCTTCGACGACCCCTTGTAGCCAACAGGAGGCTTCTTCCCCAGAGCACCCGATGGTGCGGCCCTCACATCGCTCCTCTCTTTTTCCCTCTTGATAGCTCCTTTCTCAACCTTTTTGTGTTGAATTTTCCCGACTTGCCCCATCACGGCCTGTGCCCGTTGGGCTCGTGCGAGAATTTCGGCATAGGAACCCTTCTTCGGAGGAGCCTTGGGTTTGCTCGGGTCGGCTAAGGGCGCCGGTGGTGGTTTGCTAGCAACAACCGGCTTGGCTGGTCGACTAGCAATATTTACCGTCTTCGAAGGGATCGGGGTCGGTCTCGGCAAAGGGGCGGTGACGGGTCGCTGTGGCAACTTTGCCGGTTGTGCGAAGAGACGCGGTGTCTTGGAGTCATTCCTAGCGAGATCATCATCTGCCTTTCGCTTGATAGAAACGCTTGGTAGTCGTTGAACAGCGGGCGCAGGGCTGTCCGAGGACTTTCCACCGCTAATTTGGGCTAAAAGATCTCCAATCTGGTAATCCGCATTAGTTATCACGGCTACTGATGCCCAAGCCTGGCCAGGAAAGGAATGGGGGGAAAGCGGCGACTCACCGGCATCGTGTCTGTCGGGAGACTTGTATTCCTCCAAAATCGTGATTATTCCAGCGAAATCTTTCACGTAGCCCTCCTGAGATGATTACGCGCCGTGATTCATAGATGAAGTTGCTCCTCCGCTCAACCAGCGAAGAGGAGGCGAATCGGCGCCGACGCACGCTCCCCTCACGCAAAGAAACAAATGGCCCTTGGAAAGGTGCTTGTCGAACGGGTGCGCGCGCCTCGAGATAATCGGAGGAAGATTCTGAGGGAAGGGATTATGAGAGATGGATAAGATATGCAAAGCTCCGGTCAGCAGAGACAAGCGAGATAGAGAGTGTAGGTTTTTCAGCGAGTTGGCATGGCACGTCCAGAGAAAAAGCGTAAGGTGAGAGGCTGGCCAACGCACCTTTTGCCGGTAGAGCTACGGATGAAAAATAGTTGGCGCCACACTGCCGGGGACGAAGTAAGGCTGCACGTGACGCATCTGTGGCGGTGCGATCAGGGATTTGGGGCTGAACTCCACGCCCTAAAGCGGATCGCCCTTTCGCCTAAGCTACGATTTTTAGCGCCCACAGATGTAAATTGCCCTGCATCTTCTGCAAGCGGGAACTTTTTTTCTACTTTTGTTCCGACAACTAGCCATCAACCACCAGAACTCGAAGGCTTCAGTCTCCGCCCAACTTGCGGTTAAAGTGATTGATTTCTCGTGTTCCTCTTGAACCTTCTAAAAGTGAGTGCCTCATTCTCTCTGGAAGCTGCAGCAATTCCCATCAGCTCGAGACCAGACATCGCCGTCGCTTTCGTCGAACTGCTGCATTCCGCCGTGTGCAAAAAGACCAAGGATTCCTAACAAGATTTCTCTTTTGCAGCAACTTTCAAAATGAAGCACCTCGCAGCTTACCTCCTTCTCAACCTCGGCGGCAACGCCTCTCCCTCTGCTGAGGACATCAAGGCCGTCCTCAGCTCCGTCGGCATTGAGGCCGAGGATGAGCGTCTCGAGAAGCTCATCTCTGAGCTCTCTGGCAAGGACGTCAACGAGGTATGTTCCCTGCAACAATAATTGAAAAATTTTCTCTCCCGCAGTGCAACTAACAGTCTTTCCCTTTCCAGCTGATCGCCGCTGGCTCTGAGAAGCTCGCTTCCGTTCCCTCTGGCGGTGCCGGCGCTGCTGCTGCCGCTGGTGGCGCTGCTGCTGGTGGCGCTGCCGCCGCTGAGGCCAAGGAGGAGGAGAAGGTCGAGGAGAAGGAGGAGTCCGACGAGGATATGGGTTTCGGCCTTTTCGACTAAGCAATCTATTTCTAAAGATTTGCAAAGTTACGACCCTCTACGAATTTCGGAAAAGTTACGAGCACGTTGTGCGGTTAGTCTAGCATGGCTCTGGTGGCGTGGGAGGATTGACTGCTCATGGCTGGCATGGCGGCCTTAATCAGCTGACATACAAAGTCCAATCATGAAATTGACGACTTGCCGTTTTTCGAATACTCGTTTCTCCTATCTTGAACTGTGCGGTGTGTGATACTTGTGGGCGACGTGGGCGACGTGACTTTGACCGTAGCTGAGATGTGGACATGGCATCCCATTCTTTCCATATGAATTTGCCATTTTGAAACCAGAGAATATGGCTCTGAGTAGCGAGTTTATAATTTCGCAATCTGCCTGGTGCTTTTTACGCAAATACTCTACGAAATGGGTTCAGTCTTAGACAGTGGCTCGACTACCCTGCACCAGGGGTTCGTCAAGTGAGAATACAGCAAAGACCATTCAACAAGATAATGATTATAGGGTTGGAAAGTAAATATTTCATACAGCAATTAAATTGGATTGAATTATTTAATACACAGCAATAATCAAGCAGAGTGGTAAAATATTGTTCAATTAAACATCAGAGGCCGTAATTCTATCCAAACACAATACCATCCAAACATGAAGCTCACTCCCAAATCTATGACAACAAGCATGTCCAACCAAACAACAATAAATGCAAATCAAATACCCAAATAAACTTTTCTTTCATCAATTGCTATCCTCTATCCCCAACTTCTCCGGCCGATATGTAGACTCAGGCGCAGCCCACGAAAACACTCGATGTCTCTCATCCGTATCTAAGTCTTCATATCGCGGCAAAGGCGAATTTCCCGGGTCGACAGACGTGGGTAGTTCGACGGCCACGAACTCTGGTCGTTGGGATATAGACACTGGACTGAGATTTAAACATGTTAGTTATACCATGAAGTTCACCCAGCATATTATCTTCAGACTCACCGAAGCTTATTTTTGTTCTTGGAAGTTACTTACTTGTGTGATGCCACGTTACTGCCATCTAATTCTTCCGCAATACGCGTTGCCACAGGATGGTGAGAACAAGGCCCCTCCAGCACTGAAGCGCTTCCCCTATATTCCATTGTGGCATCAAGCTCAGCCGGCGGCATCACCTCCTGAGTCTCAAGCCCTTGCCCTTGTAGCTGCTCAATTGTTTCCCGATCCTCATCTCCCGTCCTGCGAGACCCGCCGAACCATCTTTTCAAGACTTCATAGCCACCGCCCTTGTGTAACCAAAGAGGGATGCATACAAAGAGGATGAAGCCAAGTATGATACATCCTATGGCTATGCCCCAGATTTTACCCAATGATATTGAATGATCGGTAGTTGATGGTTGAACGGTTTCTGGTTGTTGCGTAGCTACCGGTGTTGAAGAAGAAGAAGAAGGAGAAGAAGTCATGGTTGTAAACGAGAGGATTGAGTCGGTGGTCATCGTGTGCGGTATGCTTCTGGTGATGAACGATGCAAGCTGTGAAGAAGACGATCTTGATGGCCGAGGCAGAGTTATAAATACTGATGGAAGACTAACAGATGACTCTGTCGACGTCTCGATAGAATCTGCGAAAATACGACTTGTTAGTACACTCATTCAACGCTGCTTTTCGCCATGAATACACACCAGTAGGCGTCGCTGTTCCATCGAACACCGTTATAATCGTCGTCAGCGTTATTGCTGTCACCTCGCTGATAACATCTGCGAAACATGGTTAGTACACTCATTGAGCAATGCTCTTTGCCATGAATACACACCAGTAGGCGTCGATGTTCCATCGGATATCGTTATAATCGTCGTCATCGTTGTTTCCGCTATGAGGATAGCATCTGCGAAACATGGTTAGTACACTCATTCAGCAATGCTCTTTGCCATGAATACATACTCATAGACGTCCATGTTGCATCGAACACCGTTGTAATAGTCGTCACCCTCACTGGGTCCAATTCCAAGTCGCTTCCACTGACCACCGCCGCCACAAGCACGAGTATTCGAAAACACCGCATCATAGTATAGAGACAGAATTGTCTTCGCTCTAATTACCACATAATGCCCTTCACAAAAACACCACAAACCATCACCAACAGGAGGGATGAGAAGAGAAGAGATGGGATGCAGATTTTGTGGGCTGTCTCTAGTAGTATCAACCCTCAAAGACAAACGGCCATGGCACTGCGGAGGCATGAAACAGTTGACAACGTATCAATGGGGACAACACTAGGTGACACAGAATGCAAAGGCCACTATCCGGCTCTGCGTAAACTTGGCATGAGAGTTTTGATGAAAATCAGCCGGATACGGGCATAAGGGGGTCACTGAGGCTTGTTGGGTACTTCGCAAATGCTTCGAATTAATGTTGCTATAGAATTTGATGCTTAACTGATCGTCTATGGATCTATCGAGGGCGCTGAGGCTTTCGTCTACAGAATCTTTGCTCTGTGGTCCCTCTCTTCTAATAGGGTCTGTTGCTTCCATCAATACCTGACCGCTGTTAACTGCGTGGAACATAAAGTCCAACATGCATATTCTATCTCTAGTGCCAAGCATCTGTTGCACAGCCCATCTCGCCCAACAGGCAGCTGCTTTGGGCCAACGTCGTTTAAAGTCGACGGGATATGTAGAGCCTATGGGGATTGGCTTATTTCATCTTCAGCTATCACGAAATACACCTATATCCATCTCTACTGCGTCTTCGACTTGGTCTTTGGAGCACTTGGCAGAAATTCCGTCTCTCGTAAAAGCCTCCAGAGGCACCACAGATAGCAGATGGAGAAGCCTGCCGCGCCCACACCGACGTTGGCGACAACCCATAGATCAGGTTTGCCAGGTGGTGGTACAACAAAAGCCTCGACAACATGCCACGCCGCCATGATGACGTAGAAAGTGCTTTGTAGCAGAGCTGTGCCCCATTGGACAACTCCAGATTGTCCTTCCTGGAAGGGCGCGCTCCAGGAGGTTGGAGGGAGGCCAAGGAGGTACGCCCAAAGCAGGGTGAGGGCTGCATACGGCACCCTGAGGTCGACTCGATGCAACAAAGGAAACATAGTCCAAGCGCCCAGGAGGTTGGCAAAGCCCACCCAGGCACGGACCTCGCCGCTCATGCCTTGTTTCCCGGCCAGAAGCAGCGTCATGGGCATAAGTGGGAGCAGAACACTCTTCTCGTGGACCTGCCAGCTGAAGAGGAAAAAGCCCCATGCAGTGGCCGCAAAGGCAACCGGAAGTGCTGACTTGCGCGGGCGTAGGAACAGGATGAGATTAGGAGGGATGATGGAAAGAAGAGTTGCTCCCAAAGCAGCTTTCTGAAGAAGCTCCACCGGGAAGTTGCGCAACTTGATAACGGTGTTGAGGGCACACCAGAAGTTTGCGACTTTGTCCTCAAAGAGGCCACGAGAAAAGGGGAATACTCGGTGGACCATCTGGACAAGCTGCTCAACAATGGGATAGTAAAAGTTCTGAGGGTCAATGTAATTGACGATAAAGGGGAAAATGGGAAGTGGCGCCGTAGCTCCATTAAGCTCGGGCCTTGCCTCAATCCCGCGGTGTTTGTCGTAGAGTACGCCAAGTGCCAGAGGCAGTACAAGGACGCCGAAAGAGATGAGAGTCACCAACGCAATGCCAAACAGCCTACTGGGATTGATGCCAGTGGTGATGCACCTCCCCAGCAGATATGAGAAGACGCTAAAGGCATAGTAGAGTGCCATTTGCTTGAAGCCCAGGGCGGCCACAAAGAAGACGGCTGCCCACTTGTATCGCTCGGCGAGCATGCTCGACATGCTGGCCACGACGAATCCGAGCATCACGGTGTTGTATTGGAAATGCACATGGTCGATGAGAATCAACGACGGCTGCATGAGAATGGCAACGAGAGCCAGGTTGCTGGTCCAGGTATTCACGCCGTTGAGTCTGCTGAACCGTCGCACAAAGACCGTAGCGGCGGGGACAAAGATCAGATATTCAGAGGCGATGACGGTTGCCCTCATGAAAATCTTGAGCATTGGGTCGTGGGAACCGCGCGAGGACATCAGGGCAAACCACTCCGGGTTGATGAGAGAGCCAATCTTGCCCAGCGCCCAGCTGTGATACGCCGTGAGAGGCGGATAGTCCAGCCCCCACCACTCCAGATCGTGAAAGTACCACTGAGAGATGGGCAGGTTGGCGGTGATTTCCATCCAGTGGCGCTGAGCCTCGTAGTCGCCAAACAAGGGCGGTCGTTGGAATCCTGCATCGCGCCGCAGCGCCGTCTCGTCAGTCCCAGGTCGAGTAAACACCACAAACACCACGCAACGAGTCCAATCGCTCACCAGAGTACCCCCAAAGCCCGGCCGCCCATCGAAACAGCCCAACAACCATCAGAACCAGCGGCAGCACCTCCCATTGCGACAGCGACGTGCGCGCCGGCCACATGAAGGCAGCCAAGGGAAAGGCCGGGGTGCGCACGAGGGCGTCGAACTTGCGCGGCTTGTCGCCGTCATTTTCGGCCTTGTTGGCTTTCCGCCGAGGCTTGTGCGGCGCAGGACTTGGGGCGGGCATTTTGTCACCGCATGAGGAGGAGGATTTGCGGGCGATGCTGGCCTGGAGAGTTGCAGAGTTGCAGTTGAGATGCAGTTGAAGTGACACTTGGAGCTTTTGGCAGCATCTCCAGATTGGGGAATTTCAGTGGAGCTCCAATATCTGGAGAGAAACAGTGTGAATAAAGACACGGATCTGCACTGTATGGTGATGCTTGGTGTAAATGCCAAGGCCCTGGCGGATTCAATGTCTCTTTCTGCACCATCTCCAATTCCAAGCCTCGAAAAGACATTGAAACCGAATACCAGTGCCGCCAACAGACCAGCCGCTGATAATGCCATTTCCATTCGTCCTACCGACCACCTCGGCCTTTTCCTTCTCATCGTCCTTTAGCTCTGACTCTCACCCATCGCTGCCCCTCAGCGCGAGCACTTATCGCGGGGTTGTCAGAGACGCGCTCAAGAAGCATAAAAGACTGCCTCCCTCGTCTCAAACTGCAAATCTGAGCACCGTCATCTCCAGTTTAGAGCACTATCTTCCATATCTCGTCGCCATTGATGCCGGCTTAAGTAATCAGCCAGTTGGCAACGAGACAGTCAACACAGTGTTGGAGTCGACTCCCTCCATCTCATGGAGACCAACGCTTTCTGGCGACCTTGTGCCTGGGCGCGAACGTCCCCGGGTAAATATCATTTCATTGGAACATGAGCTTTATTTTACGCTGTCTACTTTGGGCTTCGCTCATGTCCTCATGGCAAGGGCTGCGCTTCAACCTCTGTATTCTACAACTCTGGATTTCCAGGGGACGCAAGAGCGGACAACCATCATGACAACAGCCACGAAATACCTGCTAGAGGCTGCTTCTATATACGACTACATCGCCACGAGAAGTGAGCAGGTAATTGGTAGCCCACCGTGTGTCGATGTTTCTCCTGCTACGCTCCGTGCTCTCTCTTCCCTCTGCCACGCCGAGGCCACGCTGTTGGCTGTATTAAAGGACGACCCCTACCCGGCAGCTGTGGCACAAGATAGGAATAAAAACGACAAGGAGTGGATGTTCAAGGCTCCAGACATTCCAAAAGTTCGAGCTCATCTCTACGCTCGTCTCTGCCTCGCCGCATCTGAACATGCTGCAAAAGCTGCCGCATTGTGCCAATCAGCCAAGGCTGGGCCAAGCGGTATCAGCTCTGGATTCTTGCGGTACTTGGAAGATTTACGGCGGACTAGCCGAGCAAAGGCCTGTCGGTTCTTTGGAATTGACGCCGAGCTGGGAGGCGAGACGGCAGAAGGGATTGCCTGGGCACGTGCTGGCTTACATGAACTCGGTGTCGAGGTCAAGGACGCGAAGAAAGGGTTGAGTTTTAGTCGTACGATGAAGGGGTTCAATGAGAAGAGGGAGGATCGCCGAGTTGACAAGGAGACTACCTGGGGAGCCGATGCTGGCAAACTGGAGGAGACGAGGATTCTCGAAATGCTAGACGCAAAATGGAACAAGATTAATGATACGGTATGTATTGCGATGATATTCCTTGCCCCCTCACTCCGCTAACTGGCGGTCTAGATGAACACACGACCTGTTCCTCCTATCAACGCTTTAATAAACAAGATGCCTTCGGGCCGTGAGATTCACACCATCAAACCTTATCAGCTCCCTGTTTTAGATCGAGATGTACTGGAGGCCATGCGAGCTCCCCCAGAACAGGGTGAAAATGTTGGGGGAGAGTTTAGTTCTGATGATGAGACTCTGGTTGAAGGCTCTGCGTCAAGGAGCTCGTATTATTGAAAGGGGTCTTGGGTACATGTATTTATTGGCATTAGCATAGGTATGGGTTTCACGGAGTATTGCATATCACAAAAATAGGAATCTTTAATAGGTATTCGAATTTTTCTACTGTAGGTATCCAAAAGTAGGTAGTTGCGTTCAAATTAGCTCCAAGCCGCATATCCTCTCTACCTTGTGCCACGAGAAAAAAAAAAATAGGAGAAGCCGTCAGTTGAACAGCAACAGAATCTTGAACTCCACCAACTCGTGATATTCAGTCAAACCAATCATCGAAGTCCCCAGGAATCCACGGGACTGGGCCATCTGCATCTTCATCTACTTCTGCCACTGGGCTTTCTATAAATGGAACTTCCAAGACTGGTGCCTCCAAAGCTGGTGACTCTGGGGCTGGAGTCTCTGAAGCTGGAATATCTGAAGGCGGAGTCTCTGAAGCTGGCGTCGACGGAATTGGGTTAAATGGGTTGAACGGAACAGCGTCAATGTCATCCTCTGGACATGGAGGCACAATGATATTCCACGGCTTGCAGTCAGGAAAACATCTGTATCATATTAGCAATCCTCGGCCTCTACAGGGCGACGGGCGATCATAATAAGACGTACCCTCCAAAGGGAATGCCACAGCTGTTTATTCCATCCACGCAGACGGTAATCGCGCTGCAATTATAGATTTCGACCGGAGAAGTAGGAGTTGGCATTGGTGTTGGGTGCCAGCTAGTCACATATGGAACCGTGCAAGGAGGCGGCGTGGGAACCGGATCGACACAGGGATCGTAGCACCTATCGCGTTCTCTAGCGTTAGCACAGATATTAAAGAATGGGAGAAGAATCAATACCCTCCGAATTTCTGGCCGCACTCGTTCACCTCGTCGGTGCAGATGATTCCACAGTCTGTATTCGTCGCCTTGATAGGCTTGTTCGCCACCAGGGCAGCAGCTCCCCCAACAAGAGCCGCAGCCAGTATCATTCTCTTCATCGTCGTAACGAACAAGATCTCTCGGAGAATAAATGATACTAATAATAGGAATAGGTAATACGCTTGAGGGACGAATGATGATCTGGGACTTGCTCTAAAAGATCTGCACGCTAATTTATACAAACAAACAGCGTAAAGTCGTGCCTGCCACGCCTCTTGCGACATCAGCCGGGATGGAGACGGCTTTTGTGCGACGAGAAAAGGCCATGTGGTGTAAGGGGACGGACCGACTTTGTGCAAGGGAGAGGCTGGTTGAAACGGTGGCGTCGGACTGAGTATGCTGGTGTTTTCAGAATGGACTGGCCAAGGAATGCACCGACTCGTGACATTTCACCATTTGCTGTCGCCAAGGCGGAGAGTCGGAATCACAGACTGCTAGACAAAATGAAACATTGCGAGAGTACAATGAACTGGTTATGTAAAAAAAAGATATTTTTACTCTTCTCCCTAGTCGAACATCGATAGATGGTAATTCCATCGGTGATTAATACACAGCGGCAGTGAATCCTCAAGTTATCCGCCCAATTTTTGTTTCCTATTCATTCCCCCCCAATAACAACCTAATTCGCTCTTTATGCTCCAAGAGACATTTGCTTCTTGATCTCGGCAATGGCCTTGCCGGGGTTCAGGCCCTTGGGGCAAGCACGCGTGCAGTTGAGAATGGTGTGGCAACGGTACAGGCTCATTGAGTTCTCGAGCTTGGACTTGCGGGCCTCCGTGCGCTCGTCTCGGGAGTCAATCAGCCATCGGTATGACTGCAGCAGGATGGCGGGGCCGAGGTACTCTTCGGAATTCCACCAGTACGAGGGGCACGAGGTTGAGCAGCAGGCGCACAGAATGCACTCGTAGAGACCGTCCAGCTTCTTTCGATCCGCCTTGCTCTGGCGGTACTCCTTGCCCTGTTTCTTATAGTTAGCAAAGCTTGCTCAAACTACACAAGGGTCAGGTTAGATCGGGATGCCGGCATACGTCTTCAGCAGGGGTATCGCGCTGCAGGTAGGGCTGGATGGACTTGTATTGCTTGTAGAAGTGCGTCAAGTCGGGCACCAGGTCCTTGACGACGTAGGTGTGCGGCAGAGGGTAGATCTTGACATCGGAGGCAGACTCGGTGGGGATTCGGCACAAGCAAGCCAGGGTGTTCTGGCCGTTGATGTTCATGGCACAGCTGCCGCAGATGCCCTCTCGGCAGCTTCTCCGGAAGGTCAGCGACGGGTCCTGCTCGTTCTTGATCTTGATCAGGGCGTCCAAGATCATGGGGCCCGTCTTGTTGAGGTCAATGGAGTAGGTCTGAAGCCGCGGCTTCTCGGTTGGGGTATCGGGATTCCATCGGTAGATCTGGAACGACTTGACTCTGGGCTGCTGCTCAGTGGTCTCGCTGACCGACGCCATGGAGCGCGAGAAGACGGCGCTGGGTCGGAAAGCTGCCCTCGTAGAGGAGCTGAGGATTCGAGTAGATGAGCGGAGAGCGGCCATGGTTGCGGTTGTCTCGTGTCGATGCTTTTGCTCGGGATTGCTTTTTTCAGATCCGGGAGCCCCGCGTTTGAAGCTGCGCTACAGTTGCTCACAGGGAGGGATCGGATTTGCAGCAGGTGATTGATTCGAGCCAAGGCAATCGAAGCTCTTGGTTCCTCCTGGCAGCCGCTCAATTGCAAAGATACTCGGTGGCGGCTCGAGGTCTCGTCGTCATGGAAGAAGCTGGGAAGATGGAAGTGGCTCTTCCTCGGCTATGAGACCTCGATTCACGGCCACGGGCCAGCCAATCACAGTCGTTTCATTGACAATTCGGCTAAGCAGGAGAAAGTCGGAATTGCCAGGCGGCAGCTCGTGACAGCCGGCTAAAGCCCGGGCCAGCAGCTGCAGACCCTTGCACGTGCCGACTTGGAAAATTAGCTAATCATTACGTGCCTTAGCGCGCAAATGGTCGTGGGGGAAGATTTTGGGGATTTTGGTGGGGTTTAATAATCCCGATTGAATCCTTTTGTTATCGCCCATACTGTAGAGTTTGTTTGCCTCACCTTTAATTTCAGCAGTAATTTTTTCTTTTTTTTTCGGCGCGGGCGGCTTTCTGACGACTTGGCCGCATGACCGTGAAGAGCCCGGATTGTGGCTATGGAATGGCGAAGAAGCTGCTTGTCTAAAGTATTGCCCTGATTGGCGACTGCGCGCCCGCTGCGGACTGCCTCGCCCATCGATGCTCGTTTTTTCTTTGCGACAATCCATCGCAGACGACATTTCCTAGACGGCCATGTTTTTCTCTGGCAGATTGACTGCCTCGCCATCACTGCGAACGCTGTTGAATGGTTTGTGGCCCTGCGTGACGCGACTTTGTGTCGCCAACATCGCCTTGCCTGCTAACCGTCCGAATAGCCTCTAGTTGCGCACCCAGGACTTGCCAGGCGTCGCAGTTTTTAACATACAGACACATGTCGCAGCCTCTGCGCTCCTATTCCGACTTGTCCTCTTCCTCCTCTTCGAAATTCTCCTACCACATTGCCGCGTCTTTTATCGCAAAGGACCGTCCGTACGACCCGTCGACTCACGTGTTCCACTTCAACCCATACAACCGAATCCAGCCGCCTCGCCACCGTCGAAAATCCTCGCGACCCGAATCTGGCCATGATGCTTTCTTCGTGAGCCGAGTTAACGAGTCTGGCTCTGTAGCCTTTGGTGTTGCGGATGGAGTAGGCGGTTGGGTGGACTCCGGCGTCGACCCAGCTGATTTCTCACATGGATTCTGCGACTATATGGCAGCTGCGGCATACGAATATCCCGCGGCAAGTGACAAAGCTCTCACAGCGAGGAAGCTCATGCAGATGGGATACGACGCGGTTTGCAAGGATCCGAATGTGCCTGCTGGCGGCAGCACGGCTTGTGTCGCGATTGCCAGACCCGGAGGTGTCTTGGACGTGGCCAACCTGGGCGATTCGGGCTTCTTGCAATTGCGCTTGAACGCAGTGCATGCTTATTCCGAACCACAAACTCATGCCTTCAACACGCCGTTCCAGCTTTCAGTCGTACCTCCTAGCGTTGCTGCCCGAATGGCGGCCTTTGGGGGAGCACAACTCAGCGATTTGCCGCGGGATGCCGACGTAACGCATCACCAATTGCGCCATGGCGATGTTCTCGTCTTTGCTACTGATGGCGTGTTGGACAATCTCTTCAACCAGGATATTCTCCGAATCGCGAGCCGGGTCATGGTCAAAAGCGGCGCATGGAACATGGCTGCCAACGAAGCAGTCACCGTGGCCGATTCTCTGGATAATCTAACCGCCTCTCCACACGACGGCAACACCCAGGACGCAATAATAAGAAAAGCTGTGACATTGCAAAGTCTGTTGGCGACGGAACTCGTGACGGCTGCCAAACTCGCGAGCGTGAACACGAAGAGGGACGGACCCTTTGCCAAGGAGGTGAAGAAGTACTATCCCCAGGAAGGATGGCACGGAGGAAAAGTCGACGACATTTGCGTTGTCACTGTCGTCGTCTCGGAAGATGCAGCCGGCATCAAGAGCAAGCTCTAGATATACGAAGAGGAGATGGATCCGACAATAGATATTAGACAGCGGCTAGCATACGGGCACATTGGTTTAGAGAGTTTTGGGTAGAATTGGGTGAAGACGGTTTTTTTTTCGTTGGTTTTTTGTTTTTGTGTGTATCAGTAATCTGCGGTATGGGCTATCCATTGATGTATATTAGTTATTTGGGAATACATAAAAGAAGACAAAGCCATAACCAAATATTTTGGTGTCATTAGACTTGTGATTGCATGAAAGCAAATTATTCTATGTGATGGCCTACACAAAAATGGATTTGCAAGGCTCTGTGATTGGACGTCACGTCAGCTTCATGATGTCATTGACCCTGCCATGATGGAATTAAAAGGCCAAATTCACGTCGATTGACGCCAATTGACCACACGCAAATCAAATGAGTGAGAAGCTTCGTATCAGGGTGATAAAATGAAGGAGATATATCTAGTAAGTTACTATTTATCTTGGTACTTGTTCATAAACTCGTACTACATATAATGTATGCCGGACACTTACAAACTGCTGGACAAGGCCGGCGCAGCTGCGGCCTTCACAGTCGACATGCTCATATATCCTCTCGACACGCTGAAAACACGGTATCAGAGTCAAGATTTCATAAAGTCTCCCGTCTCAAGACCCCTTGCCTTGCGTGGCCTCTACCAAGGAATCGGCAGTGTGATACTTGCCACTTTACCGGCAGGTATAGCATCATGTGTTCTGAGAATCTGGAATTCAAGACAATTACTGATTCACTCATTAGCCGGCGTCTTCTTTTCGACATACGAGACTGCAAAGGGGGTGTTCGGGCGGCATCTACCCGTGCCCGAGCCGATAACCCATTCACTGGCCTCAGGAGTCGCTGAGATGGCTTCGTGCCTCGTCTTGACACCAGGCGAAGTAATCAAGCAAAACGCTCAAATGTTGCAAGCCGAAGGCTCACGTAACTCGACGTCATTGATGGCATTCCGCCGCCTGCTCACGACGGGCTCTGCTGGCGGGCTGTTTACAGGGTATTCGGCGCTGGTTGCACGTAATCTGCCCTTTACCGCACTTCAGTTCCCGCTGTTTGAGAATCTACGAACACGCCTATGGGATCGAAGATTACGTTTGAGAGAGAATCAGACGAGGGGCGTAGGAGAAACGGGGCTGATTGCCGGAGCCAGTGCTGGAATGGCTGGAGGTCTGGCTGCATTTGTGACTACGCCGAGCGATGTGATTAAAACACGGATGATGGTGAGAGTGGATAGCGGGGATGGAAGGAATAAAGCGCAGCAGCATCGTAGAGGAATGTCCATTATGAGGATTATGAACGATATCTACCGTGAGAGAGGGATCCGGGGCTTCTTTCGTGGAGGAGCATTTCGCTGTGCTTGGACGGCGGTGGGCAGTGGTTTGTATCTGGGCATGTATGATGCCGCAAAGCTGTGGCTTGAAAGAAGGCAGTAATTAAGTGCAATAGTCATGTTTAAACCGCAAGACGTTGGTGATGGAGAGCCAGAGCTCAGATGAGGGTCTATGCACTTAGGAGTAGAGGCATCAGAACTAGACTTGTTGCCCATATTAAATGACAACAGGATAAAGGTGTCCAGGGACATAAGTGAGAAAAGCCATTTCTGAATATATTTAAAAGCAAAATGCTGCAAATTTCTCTCGCGAAAATGCCAGGCACCTAGATACCAAGATATGAATGAGAACAGGGTGTATCTTTCTGATGAGTCCACACTTCTTGATCCGACTCAGTAGAAAAATACAGGGCCAGGGCCAACCATCTCAACCCTTTTCACTTGGACAATTATTGGCACAATCGAGAAGATTGCTTGACTCTGCTTCAGCCGGCTTATAAAAGGACGAAATCGCATTCTGTCTATGGACTGAGCAATTCCTACTTCCGCCGCAACTTCCCTCCAATGCAGTTCAAAAATAGTGAACCTTCTTCGGGACCCTGTTTCTTTTTCTATTTTCTGATACTGGAAAAGACAATAACCTCCAAATTCCATTTCTTAGTCAAAGGATCAGTGACGTCGGCTCTTACTCTTTTTTATATACTGTCGATGGAGACAACGCGGGAAAGAGTCATAAAGCTCATTATTTAGAAACCCGCAAACCACACCAACGGCAGCCAGGATCTCACATGACTCTTCAAACTCCGTTTGCTCTTGTTCCACCATCACAGTCTTGAGCTTCGGGAAATGGCCCTCTCGAATTGCCATTGCCAGTATTTTTATCCCATCCCAATTTTTATGTGAACCGCAAAAGCCAAGGCAAATAAGTGATCCAGGCAACTTGCTAATCAAATCTTGAACGTTTGCCGGGAACGTGGGGATAGTTGTATCATCATCTTGCGCGCCAAAACTGGTCGTTCGCACCCACAGCGTCTCCAGCTTCTCGAAGTCGTGGAAACTGCCCAAGTAATCTCCCGGTTCTAAAGGCTCGTCCCTAGTAGTAAGGTACATTTTGCCGAACTCGAAATTTACCTTCTTCAGAGTCTGTCTTCGGGAGCGCAGCATTTGTTGCGCCTGTCCCCATGTAAACGGATCAGCGTCAACAACTCCGACGTCTCTAAATACGTAATTAAAACATTCCAATTTCGGACAAGAGTCAATGATTTTCCGTAGACTCCGCTTGCTAATGCAGCAGTCCTCGAGCGATAAAGAACAAACTTCAGAAAGAGGCAGATGCTCTGAAATGCGTCCGTATCGATGTATCTTCAAGTCCTTCAGGCATGGCATCATGGCCAGAAAGTCGCGCTGGGGGCCAAGGTCCATCAAGCCGCGGCGGACGCCAAGGCTATACTCTTCCTCAGGAATCATTTGCAACATGGTGACGGATTCCATGGGGACAAATTCTGTGATTAAGCTACTAAAGCCCTTTTCGTACCAGTACGGCGCCTCGAGTCTCAATTTTTCTGCATTCGGGAGGAGGCCTAGCGTCAATTCAAGGAGCTCCTGGTGCCAGTCGATTCCGTTCCACAGTGCCATCCCAAACCATCCGCCAATCCTGTTGATGTAAAGACGTAGTGCTGCTCCTCCAAAAGCCTCGATGTCCTTCCACAATAGCCAATAGGAGCTGCTATCGATATTGCTAAACCAGCGTACTTGGGCAGCCAAGTCTGGTCGCTCAAGGAGAGTACGCAGAAAACATATAGCATGCCCTCTAGTATCCCCAAGGCGAACATCATGATACTGAACCGGTTCCGCGATCTCGTGCAAACGCCGACATGTCTGAACGAGAGATCGCAGACCCCGTTTGTAATCTTCGTCACTCCATTTTGATGCAGAAGTAGAGCAGTGGGGACACATATCTTTACAAATCGAAAGGAGAATCTCGCTAGGCAAGGTGATAAGGTCGGCCGGTGCCATGGCGAATAGATCGTAAGAGAGCAGCTCTCTGACCCGAAATGTCGGTACACGCAGGGGGTTTGAAAGGCTGAGATATTGCAGAACAATTGTTTTTTGTGTCTGGTTGGTGTAGGTGATGGCGTTGCAAACGGAGAAATTATATCAGAGGGCAAACAGAGCAAGCGCTCAGACCAGTGCCGATATGCCCGAGGAGCACCAGCCTCAGGTCCTTCATCTGTATTTTTATCTTGGGGGGCCTTGTTGTGAAACATGTAAATGATGGCGGGTGAATTCTATCATAAGATACAGATATATTTCAGGAAATGAAAAGGAAGACACTCCCAGCGAATGAATGCCTTTAATGAGTGATGGAGCTGTACGTTTCTCATATTAACTGACTAATGGAAATAGAATTGTCGAGTCACTCTGTCCTATCGTGGGACAGGATACGGAAGGCAAGGTATGGAAGGCTGTATTTGCATACTTATATATGTATATATGTATTGTTTGCGTGATTCTCTTTTAGTAGGTTCATTCAAGCACGAACGAAACCATCATTCTCCTTCCGACTAAGTGCTATTATCTTGCCAACGCAATCCTCACTCAACGGAGTTGGAGGAATAGTAACATTGGTTCAATATCCCCTTTCATATTTCCCAACATTTCGCAAGTTCTACATCTAATTTCTCCGGCATCGTGACCAATTTTGGTAAACCCTTCCAGATTCTGATCGCTCATATAACAACTGGCGTTTCAACAGTCGACAATTCAACAACCGGCCATCAAGACTGACCACGTAGATAAGATCCGAAATAAGCATGAGTCTGTATATATCTTTGGTATAAACTTGTGCAGCTCACACCGAGCGTAGCAAGTTCTTTGCGAGACTCTTCAAATTCTGTTTCAACTTGTTCCACCGCCACATGCTTAAGATTTGGGAAATACCCCTGTTGAACTGCCAGGGCTAGCGTCTTTATCCCATGCCAATTCTTATGGTCGCCACAGAAAGCGAGACAAGTGATCGATTCAGGCAGCATGTCGACCAAGTCTTGCACATCTTCTGGGAATGAAGGATTTCGATCGCCATCTATGCCAAAGCTGGTTGTTAACACCCACAACGTCTCCAGCCTAGCAAACTCGCGGAAACTACCCAGATAAACTGCTGGGTCTGACATGTCGTAATCAAAATCGTCAGCCCGACCAAAGGCGATATTCAAATGCTTCAGAGTCGTCTTTCGTAAGCGTAATATGCGTTGCACCGATCCCCATGAACACGCGTCTTCTTCGTCCCCCGAATACCATGGAGGATAATGTCCCTCCCAGTCATTATACCCAAAATGTTCTAATTTCGGGCAAGAGCGAACAATCATCTGGAGGCTCGCTGCACCCATGCCGCTTCTTTCAATAATTAGGGAGCGTAGCTCGGCGAGAGGTAGAGGCTGCGTAATGCATTGGCACGCTTCTATTTCCAACCTTTCAAGTCGTGGCAACATGGCTAGAAAGCTCCTTAGGTGGCCAAGGTCAACTGGTTCCTGGGGAAGCAATACCAAGCTGCTGACGAACTTCATTGCAACGGGTAGCTTGAAAAAATCTTCTGATTGGTAGTCGGTGCCAAATGGCATCATGAGGCTCAGCTTGGTTACGTTCGGAAGCAGCGCCAGTGCCAGCTCAAGGAGTAGATGATAATAAGTGATTCTGTTATCCAGCAGAGTTCGAGCCAACTCGTTACGGTCTCTAATATTGAGGCGTCGTGCTTCTGCTTGGCATATCTTGATATCTCTTTGAAAAGGCTCAGATTCGTTGACTTCGTTAGTGTTTAATTGGCGAACTTGAGAAGCCAAATCTGGCCTCGCAATGATGGTCCGCACAAACGGTATCATGTTCCAAGGAGTGACAGTGTGATGCAAGACCGGCTGCGCGATATCTCGCAAGCGCCGACATGTCTGGCTAAGAGATGATAGAGTCGATTCGCAGTATTTCCAAGACGAGCCGGACATTTTCGATGGATGAGTGCAATGCCGACACATATTTCCACAGATCATGATGAGAATCTCATCGGGTAAAGTGGTGAAGATGCTGATCGGTTCCATGGCGAATATGGAGCTGCTAAAAGAGCATCAGTTCTTTAATTCGAGATGCCAGTGCTGAAAGAGGAGATTGAAAGTTTGGGATTGTGCAAAATCTTTGTTGTTGTGCGCACGGTTGATGCAGAAAGAGTTGCAAACGAGAAATATGCGTGTTTCCGATATCTCTCCTCTCGCCTGAGGTATCAGGCGCCAGCTGGCACGCATTCACTTTGCCGTTCACATTGCATTCACTTCGGTTCGCATTAAACTCATAGTTTACTTACGCAGATATATATGCATGGAAGAAGGGCAAATATCAGTATGTATTAATCGGTATTATGTGTACGATTGCATACATGATGTCCGACCAAGATTTCATTAATCCGCCTGGCTTAAACTCCATAAAGCATCAATACCGTTTTGACACAGGCCCTTGGTGGGTATCGGTGTTGATTTTGACATGTGTGATGCTGCAAGGCTGTGATTCGAGAGGAGACGCCTTCATTAATACATATGTGCAGCTTGTGTAATGTCAAAGTAAGTGCTTAAAACAAGCATCACACGTGGGCTCAGCTGCATACCTAGGAAATGAAGCTATCCCAGGAGACTAGAGGAAACACGCTCTTGCTGTGTAAATGTAGAAGCTATCCTGCTTTAGGTCTGTCGTAGTGGAAGGCGAATCAGATTAGAAGTAATTTCCCGGGCAAGTTCCGTTTGGTTCTACAATAAGATAGAAAAGCGAAAACATAACATCATGCTCGTCTCGTCAAGTTTCTATAATAATGGACTACTCGGTAGTCATCTTATGTCTCTACTACAGCAGGCTCATATGCCAACGAAATCATCATTGTATGCTAACTACATGTATATGTACCCAAGAATCTTCCATATCAACCGCAATTACTCCTCAAATGAAACTAAGAACTGACAGACGACTAAAGGATTTTTTTTTCTACCTAGTTTCTTTTCTTTTTTGCTTTTGGAAAATAAAGGAAAACAACTTGCATAGCTCGTAGGTAGAGGAACCTTCTTAACGAGTAAACAAATGCCACATGTACAGATAGCTATGCTCGTGGTTATGGTCGTGGTCATGGTCGTGGTTATTGTGGTTCTAGTCGTGGTCATAGTACTGGTCTTGGCAATGGCAGTCGTCGTGGCAATGACAGTGGTGACGGCCTTAGCGATAGTCTTAATTATGGGAATTATCATCGTGATCGCCCTCTCTCCCTCAGTTATCGCTCTCTTCATTATTTTCGCTATTGCTCTCTTCGTCATCACTATCACTCTCTTCATAGATATCATAAGACAAGTAGTGATAGGAATGCGGAACCCCCCAAAGGCAATCCGAGCATTCAAGAAATCCCCTGGTATAAAGCTCGTCATAGTCGACACCGCAAGCGGCAAGTAAGTTGTGAGACCTTTTATATTCCAGGTCCTCTTCTTTTTGTTCCGCCATCACCTCCTTGAGCCTTGGGAAATACCCTTGTTTAGTTGCTTCGGCAAGCACCCTTATCCCGTTCCAATCTTTGTGCGACCCGAAGAAGGTGATGCTAGTGAGCGACATGGGAAGCTTGGCAATCAAGTCTTGCACATCTGCTGGGAATTTTGGAATAAGCCCCTTGCCATCTTCGTCTTTTGTGCCAAAGCGAGTTGTTTGCAACGACAGTTTCTCAAGTCTATCGAAGTTTTTGAAACCGTCATAGTAATCCTCCGGTGCTAATGGGAAGATTTTGTCATGGCAAGCTCGCTCGAAATCAAGTTCGATTTGTTTCAGTGTCGTCCTTCGCAACTGCAGTATGCGCTGCGCTTGCCCCCACGTAAAATGGGGTCCATAATCTATCCCAGAGTGAAATTTCCCCCATTGAATATACCGAAAACATTCCAATTCCGGACAGGAGTTGATGAGTGTTTGTAGACTTGTCTTGCTGATACAGCTTTGCGTCAAACTTAGAGACCGAATTCTAGACAATGATAGAGGTTCCGTAACCCTTCCACACTTCAATATTTTTAACTCCTCAAGATATAACATCATGGCAAAGAAGTTCTTCGAGGCACCAAGGTTAAACAGCTGACCGGCATCGAACCATATGCGTTTAACAGACTCCATTTGAACGACTGCTATAAGGGCATGCGGTATCTCATCAGACTTATCCATAACTTGCATCTCCAAGTTCAGTGTCGTCATGTTCGGGAGCAGTGCCACTGACAGTTCAAGGATCCGCAGGCAATGGAATTTCTCATGAACAGTACGATTATGACGCTTTCTGAGCCTCCTGATTTGAGAATACATGGACTCCTCAATGTTCAAACTTTTTGCTTTCGCCCGCAGCTCCTTGACTTCTTCATTCGAAAGGGGATTTATTCGTACCCACCGGTAGAAAAAATTAAAGCAGCGTACCTGGGCGGCCAAATCTGGTCGAGCAATGATGGTGCGTAAAAACGGTCCTAGTTTGTGAGGTTTGACATCACGGTATAGAACTTGCTGCGCGATGCAACCCAGACGACGACAAATATTGCTAAGACGATATAGAGTTCCAGATTCTCGCCCAGGTGCATGGTGTGGACCCATATACTGGCATATTTCGACGAGGATCTCCACGGGAAGATCCAGTAATTCCATGGCAAATAGATGGCTGCTAAACGAGCAGCTCTTTGATTCGAAGTTCCAGCGCCGAATAAGGAAAATGAAAGGCGAGTTCCAATGTTCAAGCCGTTGATCAGTAAAGTCTCAAAAAGGTAATAGAGCTACTCGGCTTCAAAGACAAACAGCTAGGTAATGTATCTTCAGAGATTGTTGTATCGATATTTACCCTTCCTACAAGAAGGTGGAGGGAGAGAGCCTTCATTATATACATGTAGAAGCAAGTCCAAGCTGGAAATCTCTCAGTTAAATAACCGCCGAACTCAAAGAAAGCTCTTTCAAAAACTAGTCGATGTTTTGTGCATGGCTGGCTTAGAGGGCATGCTTGCGATTTCTTTGTCTACATACCTAGGCGCCTTCTTGGCGTAATGTTACGAGTGGTCCTTTGTGAAGACGATCCTTTTATAAACAGCTGGTCCCCTTCACGATAATTACTACCATTGTGATTATTGGTCAAATCTTGCACCCTGTTGGCGAAATTGTATGACGGGTCATTGCAAGTAACCAATTGTTGATAGGTTCGGATATCCTTCTGCCTCTCGCATTGCCGCTTTCTGTTCTGCAGCCATTCGCTCACTCTTTATACGAGACGGTTCATAATACACACCCCTGCTGAGCAGTAACTAGACAATCCTTTGACAAGTCGTCAGGGTGATTGCATACTGTAGCACTTGTTGGAGCACGACAACATGCTGGAGCCAAGAAAGCATCTTCTACCAATCACTCTATCAATCTTAAAAATGCTAGACACAGTCACATTATCATTCTGCTCGCAAGAGCGGTAGCACCAACATGCTCTAATCTGCCTCCTTGTGTACATCTGCATGCCCTTTCATTACATTTGCATAACCGCTACTCCATACAGCACCCACAACACTTCATCACTGCCATTTACTCATCGTCGTCCTCCTCGCTATCATCCTCTTCGCCCTCTTCGACCTCCTCCTCCTCACTATCCTCCGCTCCCTCCGGCCTCTCCACCATCAAAAACGCCGCCAAGCAAGTAACTCTGTTATGCGTCACATATGTCCCCCTCAACACTCCCGCCGGCTTCTCAACCTTGGCCTCCTTCTCCCTCGCCGCCTCCAGCAGCTCCTTCGCCTGCACCGTCCACACCCTAATCTTGCCATCACTGCTTGCCCCAACCACGTACAGTGTACCGGGGTTACCGGTGCTGGGTATAGCGACAAAGTCCTTGATTCTGCCCGAGACGCCTTCTCCTCCTACGTAGCCGACGAACTTGGCGACGGGGAGAGTTGCTTCCGGCGCCTTCTTGTCGTCCTTGTCTGATGGTTCGGGTTTTGAGAGGTCGTCTGCCTTTGTTGAGAAAAATGCAACACGACCATCCTCTGTCGCCACAGCCAACAGCGCATCGCCCGCCTCCTCATCAACCGTAACATAGCTAAACTGGTGTATCTTGACCCTAGTCGTCGGCATGACCCTGCACTTTGGCACACTGTCCATGCCAAAGACAACCACGTCGCGATCGAACCCAACTGCAAACTCGTCCGCCCCGTCCGCAGTTCCCCAGGTCACTCTCCGCGCCTCGCCGCTCGAATGCTTGCTCTCTCCAACCTCTCTCAGCATCTCCTTGCTAAAGCTTAGCACGCCCGCCTTCTTTCCGGTGACGAGATTCCACAGTCGCATGCATCTCTCGCCCTTGCTGACACTAATCATCAGCTTCATGCTGGGATGGATCGCAAAGTCGTTGACTCCGGACGGTGTGCCGCCGAACGGCGCTGTATCTCCAGTCGGTCGGCCATGTGCCTTTGGCTTCGGCGTCTTGATATTGCTCAGCATGCCCCAGTCTCGTGTACGTGTCACAGCAATTGTCGAATCGTCACTCGCCGAGAGTAGCTTTGACCTCGTAGGGAATCTCAGCGCTGTAATCGTTGAGTCGTGGTGTAGCAAGGTTCCCAGCTCTCTGTTCTTGGGGTTCTCCAGGATCGGTCTCGGGGCCACGCTAGCCAATGCATCGCGATTCTTCTTGCTCGGTGGATGCGCCGACAAATTGTATACGTGAACTCGCTCGTCAGTGCTGCCAGAAGCCAGCAGAACCTTCTGAGTTTGCCCTGGGATCGGGGGAGACACAGGAGAGACGGCGACGCATCGAATGGCGGATGCGTGCGCATTGAAGAGGAACGTATCGGCGAATTCGGCGTCTCCCTTGTCGCCAATTGCGGCCGTCAGTCCATGGAGAACTCGGTCGTAGGATCCGGCGACGATCTGAATAGTTTCCTCCACAAACTTTGTGCTGGCTGTCGTCGGCTTCGTCTTTGTCTGTGTCTTTGCTTCAACGGCCTTTGTGCTGTTCTTGGTGGGTTTTGTCTTTTCGTCGACAGTTTTTGACTTCTTAGTAGCTACAGGCTCTGCAACAGGCTCGCTGGCAGCAGCGGATTGCCTCTTTCTTTTCGCCATCTTGTGTCGTATTTTGGTGTTTGTTGTACGATGTATGGGAGAGCAATCCAAAGTCTAGATGCAGCCTCTCAATGGCAAAAAAAAATATTATGGGTACCTGGGCGATAAGATAAGCAGAAGGTGGGTGTGTATCTTTAATGCATATTATTGGCTTGGTGCATAACTACCAAATCTCAGCAGAGCCAGCAAAAGGAGGACCATTTACTGAGTACAACCAGACGATTATTCACGAAAAGAGAAAGAAAAGAAAGGAGGGAGAGTAATATTGTATTTCCACAGCCCGTGAATGCTCCCATATATGCTTCAATATATTCTGTATCTGCTTCGTGAAATTTCGACCCAATGCTTTTGCCGACAAAGGTGAAACGTTGATGTTAATAATAGTAAAAAAAAATATAAAAAGATAAATATATAAAAAAAGAACGAAAAATCTCTATCATCGCGACGCATCCCTCTCCCGTCCACCCTCTCGGCTCAACTCTATGGTACTCAGACTCGGGAAACGCTTTGAAAAATCCTCAATGTAGTCCTCCCTGTCGCGCGAAGTCATTTCCAGCATCGGCTGTCCGGGGAGGTCGATTGCAATCAAACGCTCAAATGTAGGCTCATCCCTCTCTTTGGTTGGTGAGGAGGCATGTCTACCTCCCGTGGGTATGTTGTTCAGGTGAACAGGCTTCTTGGGGGCTGTTGGCTTGGCTTGACTCTTGGCTGGCAGGCTCGCAGAAGCTGATGCCGAACCTGCAGCCTGTTTACCATCGACCAGGGAGCCATCGCTTCGTCGTGGGTCTACAACGATAGGCTTTGCAGCCACGATTGGCTTGCGCTTCACCTCAGGACGGGGCTTGTCTGCCTCCCCGGGTGCCGGCTCAGCATCTGTAAATCTTCCGTACCCATGGGCTGTCCGCGGCACGTTTGCTGGCTTCTGTTCTTCGCTCAACAGACTCTGGACCCTGTTCTGTATACTGGCAGCTCGCGCTGCTCCCATGGGCTTTGGAGCCGTGGCGGGTCTAGTCTTGGAGGGTGATCCGGCGCCTTCTGCAACCCGTCTTCGATATTCTGCTTGCGCAGCCTCTACTCTAGCTTCCTCCTCTTCTAACTGGCGACGCTCCATGTCACGACGCATCTCGGCTGTCATGTGGCTGTGTCCTTCTCCATCTGAATCGCTCCGGTCGTCTGCTGCTTCGGAACCCTGGATCGGCGTCAATGCACGACGTCCCTGGTCTTTGCTGGGCGATGAAGATCTGACTTCTGGCTCGTTATCGGATGAGGCATTGTTTTCGAACCTCTTGAATGCACCACCAAACTTGCCTGCAAGCAAATTCTTGGAAGTCGAGGCAGGCGCCTCAGGTCGTTGTCCTTGGCGATCTTGATCGTATTCCTGTACTTCGATACTTCTGGAGCTACGAGATGTGGGTTCTTTCGAGCTCGCTCCGGTATCGTTATTCCGTCCTGTGTTGGAATGTGACAGAGGTAGATGCCAAGAGGAATGTCGGTTCGTGGAGGATTGGCGAGAAGAAGGCTTTGATGCATTTTCCCTCTCGCGCAAGTACTCCAGAGTGCTGGGCTCAAATGTAGAGCTAAGAGGCCGCGGCTTACCGACAAGATCGCCAGCAGAAGACCTCATGTCTATCAAGTCTTCTTGGGAGCTGAGAATATCCAACGACGTCCTAGATGAGGCAACAGTGCTCTGGCTCAATCGCGGCTGGACAGACGAAGATCGAGTGTTTGCCGACGGCCAGTTTCCGCCAGAGTGTCGCTTGGCGGTATTTTGTCCTGTAAGAGCTGCCGCACGGGCTACAGGCGCGCGTGGGGTTTCTACATCTAAAGAGCGTCTGCTTCGCTCCACGTCTACCGCTCGCTCCTTGTCGGGGGATTTTTCCGTCATTGTCCCCGTAGAAACATATGAGGAGGTTGCCGTCTTGTTAGCAATGGCCTTGAGCTCAGGGTTGCTCGTAATAATAGACTGTGCTCGGCTAACTCCGGACTGCGCCGTGGATGAGGCCACCAACTTTGGAAGAGGCTTGTTTTCCAGGGATAGTGCTGAAATATCTGGAGGAGGACGAGACGAGATTGGCGCAACAGAGTGTGGTCTAGGGGCCGGTGTTGAAGGTCCGGGGCTCCTAGAAGATGCAAATGCTTCGTCGGCCAATCGTTCGGCAACCTTTGTACTCAAATCTTTCTGAGGACGAGGCGAAGCTGGGGTGGAATCAAAGTTGAAAGTCTTTTGGTCAAGAAGCAAGGAGAATTCGTCGAGACGAGGGAACCTGGATGAGAGCTCATCAGGTTCTGCCCTGCGGACGGCGGCGGCGGCGGCAGCTTTCGAGTCCAAAGCGGCAAATGGATCGCCATCGGTGACTTTTCCTGGTACAGGTGTCCGAGATGGTGAAGGAGTCGGACGACCTCTTCTCATTGGTGTGATGTCCGGAAGGGCCTGCTGTTCATTGACGGGTGCTGACGAAAAGACAGCACCCACAACAGGCGCCTGCTGTGATTTCGGGTCTGTAGCGGAAGCATGTTGGCTCAATCTGGGGTCTGCGCTCGCTCGGCCGGAGTAAATCTAAGGTGACGTGGTGTTAGTTTCAAGACGAGTACTGTGTTGATATTTCTTGCATAGGGACTAACATCGTGGATTGGCATTTCCCGGCCCTGCATAGCACAGGCTTCTTTTAGAACTTGGTATATATTGGGTCTCGATTGCATATTTTCTTTAAGCATAGAGGCTATTCAAAGTCAGCAATTTGCAAAGTTAGGAGAGGCTCAGTTCGTACCAATGAGCTTCTTTAGTCTGTCTGAAAAGACTGGGTAGCTGGGGTATCTGTAGCTTGCATTCAAGATGGCCAGCTGCCCTTGGTCTTCAAAGGGGGTCGTGTAGTAGCAGAGCTTGTATAGCAAAACGCCCAATGCCCAAATATCCGACTTTTCATTAATTGGCTGTTTTCGGTAGACGTCGACCATTTCGGGGCTTCTATACTGTAATGTCGTGTGCTTCTGAACATCTTCGTCCATAAGGCGGCAATCGACTACCGTCATGGGGGCTGGTCGCGGAGGAGCAGCGGAACCAAAATCGCACAGCTTGAACCGCTTGCCAGAGGCGCGATTGGTTATTAAAACGTTTTCGACTTTGAGATCTCGATGCAGCAGCGGTGGCTTGAGATAATGCATACACGCAACACCCTCGGCGATGTCCGCAAAGATGTTGATGATCTCGGGCTCGGTCAGGCGGTGTTGCAGGCGGGTGTTCATAAAGTCAATCAGACCGCCGCCATCGCAAAACTCCATGAGCAGAAACACCTCGTAGCCGCCGCCTTTCAGCTCGGACGCGTGGGAGTCGATGTAGGTGACAATGGCCTGATGCCCCTTTAGACGCTTCATCGTCTCGACTTCGGTTCGCATGCCCCGCAGAGCCTCCTTATCGGGCACAGCAACTCGCTTCAGCACGGCCAGATCGGTGCCGTCGACGGCCTTGGGCAGCTTGACGAGATAGACATGGGCAAAGCCGCCCTCGGACAGGTATTTCTGGATCTGGACGCGGTGGTTGCCGACCTGGATCTTGGTTCCCGGGGCAAAGGTGCCGGCCGGGGGCACGTTTGCTGGCGGCACCCCCGAGGCTGGATATCCAGCGTGCGGATGGTGAGCCTGCGGGGCCATTCGATGGCCGTACGAAGCCATGGCGTTGAGGGCGTCTCGATCGTCTCGATCGTGTCGTGTAGCAAAGGCCAGCCTCGTTGGGTGCAGGAGAAAAGGGCCCGACGTGGTGACGTACTGGACTAGCAAGGGCGGAGGGGCGCGCTGGAGATGGTGATACCGCCAGATGCGAGTGAGCGATCAAGACATTGGCGGGCGAAAACACAAGGGCCGGGCAAGGCTTCGGATGTCGTTGCCTAGCGATGGCTGGAGACGCACAGGCCGCGAGATTTCGGTTTCTTCTTTTGTTTTTTTCAAAGAGGACACACGGCCCTTGGGATTGAAGACAGAACAAGGCCTGCCTAGAATCGCCAGCCTCGCTCCAAGACTAAGGTCCGACTAGAACAGCCAAGAGACCCCCTGGGCTCCACGTCGAGATGCGATCGGGATATCGTCGGCTAATAATTGCTGGGGTCAGGACGTCATGGGCCCGGCATTTGGTTGGCCCGCGGGAGAGAGTCGCTGGAGATGGGAGAGCGTTAGGCATCATCTCTGCTTTGAAGCTCACCCAAACCCAAAGACCCAGAGACCCTAAAAGATGGGGGAAATGGCTGGATTGAAGCTGGATGTACAGTAAGACTGGACACCGCTTGGCATCAAACAATCGCCGTCCAACGGGCCAAGGAAAGGACAGTGTCCGTCTACTGACCCTCCCGCGTGATCAGGGTCGCTTGACAGGTCGATGCTGGCTACAATCTAGAGATCAGGTCACGATGGCGATCTACCTATAGTAGTAATTAGGTGCGGCTTTTTTTTTTATGGGCTAGATCCGGCGCATCGGTACGGGGTAGATAGAGCTGGGAGGTTAAGTAGCGAGGGGTGTGCTGGGCTTTTAAGCATGAAAGTAGTCGTGATTGAGTTTATTGACGATGGTTCGACAATCTACAGACACCGATGCTGGGCGTCCCACTCTGAATCAAGCATTTTCTAATCGACAAGCACAGACGTTTTGACAAGAGTGTTGACTCGGTTGGGCCCTCGTTTTGAGTGAGACACGAGCCGTTGACAGAGCCTGGATCAATGAATGGTATGGATGATATGGGCCTGAAGTTGTCCACTGCACATCAATGTTTGCTCTCTCTTCAACCACAGATTACTGCCTGGTGAAACTCAAAATTATGCAAGGTTTCCCGCGTCTGATTCCCTCTGGAGAAGCTTGACGGGCGTTTAATTGGCGGTGTCGCAGATTTACATGTGCAATGCCACTCCATGTGATTTTCAGGGACCGCCAGCATGACGCAGGGCCTGAGTGATTTACACCACAAGGTACATGTACATGTACTTGTGTGTTCACCGGACTGAGGATTTAATATTCTTAAGCCCCTATTTGCCTATGTAAAAGTCCAATTACTAGAGATGCAGCATCAGGAATGGCTTTCTATTTTTATTGGCATATTCGCCTCTCTGACGTAGCCGCCCGTCCATCTCCTCTCACCGTAAAAAGGGCACCGTTCCAGATCCCGCAAGAACAGCGCACGGCTTCAGGCACCATATGCCGAGAAGCCGTGAACAGCCACGATTTCGATGGAGCCCCCGCTTGAGCTACATTCCTTCGATTTAGGAAAATGAACGGCCAGGGATTTTGTTTCCCTTTTGTGATGCAACGCAGTTCGTCATGCCCGAATACCACGCCCTGTGCATGGGGATGGGAATACAAAACAAACACTGTAAAGCTTGTACTCGTACTACTGCACCGCTTCTGCTCTTCAGCCAGCCTTATCCCGAACTAGCTTCAATATTCTGTGGGATATCTTTTATTTTATTTTATTTTATTTTATTTTTCTTTTCTTTTAGTGTGTTGTTTATTTGCTCTTACTTGTCCTCTTTTGATTTATTGACTTACTGCTTATACCTGTTGTAGGAGTGCGTATGCGTGTGGCTGTTGCTAGCATCAGATCTTTATTCCTGTGACCTTGGACGTGGCTGTAATAGCGTCTGCAATTGGACACGGACGTGTTCCGTGGGAACGAGACCCGGGCTACGCGTTCGAAATATCTCTGAGATGGGTAAGAATTCCGACGGCTGGTGTTTATACTCGTATTCATATTTTGCATATGATACCGCGTACATGTAGGAGATGGAACAGAGTGTCTCACGGGGCTGTGTCCGTGTACTACTACTTGTATATGGCCTCATCCTACAGTATCATCTCCACGAGTGGACTGCCCTGCATCTCAAAGGACCATGACAGCAAAAAAATATCCTATGGGAGGCCGCAAGGAACAGAGCATGAAAAAAAACCACCCAATGCCAACACACTTGCAACTCATCCCAAACACCACTAGCCCCATCTCGACAATCCCAAGCCTCGTCCACCAATGAGCAAATCCCATGCTAAGCACCGCTCGGCTCATTCGTGCCGTGCAAACCGCCCGCCCATGTCGTGTCGTGTACCAGAAACCAAGAAAGCCGGCGAATGGCCCACCCCGAGTTCCAAGCCCAGTCGATAAATCCGTTTGGCAGTGTCCGCGGACTAGGCGAGATGTGGTAGTATCTACGCATGGGAAACCTGTATAGCGCCGTGGGAACAGCAAAGACGGTACCTTTTACCGCCAGCCAGCGAGACAAGCAGGATGGCATGTTCGGCTGCTGTTGGGATCGTCCTGATGGGCTAGCTGGCTTGGGAATTAGCAATAAGCTGATGCTGCGCCCCTGGGTGTGACTGATGCGTTTGCGTCTTGCGTCTGCCGGTTGCTATCGAGGCAGAGCAGCTCGCCCTCCCACGATAGTTGATTTAAAAAGAGCCCATGGGTCCTCGCCCTCCACCCGTTTAGTTCCCCCTTCTCTTTTCCTTCTCATCTTGCACTATTATACAATAAATACTCACCTTCACTTATTCTAAACGGTTCACGCCTTTCTTTTATACCACAATCTACAAAATGTCTTCTCCTCAGCCCCAGATGGTCGCCCAGCAGATGACTGCCGAGGCCCCTGCCCGAATCAGCTCCGAGCAGCCGGTATGTGCCAACCCAATGCGCCCGCTGTCTGCCAAGCTTCAGCGCGATTGTTGAAACGGGAGACGAGAAAAAAAAATCTATATGCAATACAGCTATAGATGTAAAGAAAAATGTGTGAATTGTTGTTTTGCTAACATCTCATTCGCAGCGTCCCGTCCAGCCCATGGCCATGGAGACCACCGCTAACATGCGTGGTGGCGAGGGCGAGAAGGGTGTAAGTGCTACTTCTATATATATCCCAATCCCGCTCCCTAAGCAAGCCACATCAGCGATTCTGACTATGATTTCTGACATTCATTCTCTATAGGCCATCTGCTGCGGTATCTGCGCCGGTCTTGCCTGCTTCGAGTGCTGCGAGTGCACTGAGGACTGCTGCGAATGCCTCTGCTGCTAAACGTTGTGCGAGGATCATATATGAATATTGAACATGGAAATACATGGATGGAGGGAACGGGAGGGTTCCAGGAGCTTGTTTCTTTGGCCGACATCGCAAAACGGCGTGTTGGCCACTTAATGATATGATATCCCAGACTATTCAGTCTCGACGAATAGAGCAATACCCACAACTTTTACATATCAAGAGATTACACATTCGCGTGCAAATTCCACCATGTGCTCACAATGCCATGTTCTTTTATCTATCTAATCCTATTGGCTTCTTTTTCTTGCGATTGCTTAATATCTAGCTTCACGCAGCTTCATGATATATCCCATCCTATACCACGATTTCCGCCAGCTTCTTCACCACATCGTCATAGTATCTCACCGACAACCGCTCCGCCACCTCATCTGCCGTCTCGTCTTCACCAGCCTCCAAACCCAGCTCGTGTTCGCCCGTCAGGCATCTCCTCGCCGCCTCTTCAAATCTCTCTCCCATCTCGGCGCCAACATCAGCTACCTGCTCTGCAGCAAGTAGCTGGCTCCGTACGTGCCGGACCACATCCGACTGGCCCTTTGCCAGCCTCATCTCAATCCCGAGCACCGCCTCCACGGGCTTCCAGTTCGCCAGCTCCACCAATATGACGCCGAGGCTGTATATGTCGAAGCTCTTTTTCGATCGCTGACGGCCCTTGCCTTGGTTCGACTGCGCCAGCGGGTGTCGGTACAAATCGTGCTCTGCGTCGTAGCCGGGGATTTCTGTAACCTCGTCGGAACCGCCGGGGCGGGAGAAGTCGAAGCCTGAGAGGTAAACTTGAGAATAGTCTACATGGCCCGACTTTGTTCTGAAGAAGAGAATGTTGTGGCTGCGAAGACCCTTGTGCAGCCAGTTGACCGCATGGAGATAGAGCAGACAATTGCTAAGGGCGTGCGCGAGCTTGACTCGGTCTGTAACCCTGGGTTTGCGTACTGCTTTGTCCAGTAGTAGCTCCCGCAAAGACACGGGTGGGAGGCTATCGTCCACATCGCCACCGTCCGGTCGTTCGAATATCAGACCTAGTCGCCGGTCGAGGATGTCGACATCATCTTCTGGAACATCTGGGTCGGCTTTGTCGAAGAAACCGATGCAGTGAGGTGTCCGGAAAGCTTCGGGCTTCGGGCTATGATTGAGCAAACAAGCCAGCTTTCGCACTCTATCAACAATGTCCGCCTTAGACAGGCAACCAGGGTTCCCAGCGGTATCATAGTCTTTCCACTCAATCCACACCTTTTTTCTTCCCTTGTCTGTCTTCATGATGGCCTCGCACCGCGGGTCATCCAAGTCATCCACGTTTGGGTCTAACTCTATTAGATATTTGGGAATCTGGACAAGGCGCGGGTCCCCGGGCTTGGCAAGCCCGAGAAACGATGCCACAGCCTCATCAATCACCGTGGGACCATCTGACTTGGGGTCAATAGTCTCGTTGAAGGCCTTGAATTTGGCCAGCTTGGAAAGCTGCCTCAGCTCAGCCATGCTTGCTTCTCTCTCAACATTGGACATTCGTGTGCGTGTCGATGCACCAACATCTCTGGCTTCCAGTTGAGCCTTGAGAGCCAATACAAGATGGCTAAGGTCAGCAATTTTGTGATGAAGAAGCAACACGCCCCGATTTGTGTCTTGCACCGTGTGTCGGATTTCAACCTGCAGCGAGTGGTCCAGGATGTTCATCATGCTGTCGTTCAAGAGAGTAAACTTGGACAGCAGGTGCTCAAACCCTTCTTTGTCAAATGATACCCACTTGAGCCTTTTCAAGCCCTCTTGAGACTTTTGCTTGAGGTTCATCATGGCCTTTTTAATAAACATCCTCTTTTTCTCCGATATGGGAAAGCTGGCCTGCTTGGCATCCTGCTCAGGGGAGGTGAGGAAATCGCCATTGTCGCGAACGGGAGTCAAGTTGTTGTGCTTATTCTGATATTCGAGAAACTCGTCAAACAGGCATTGAACTTGCACCAGCAGATCTAAAACGGTCTGGCGATGGAGATTGAAGACGTTTGAATTTAGGATACGCTCTTGGTTTTCCGTGTTCACGTCCAGCAGGCCAGACGTCTCGCTCCAGGCGAAGAGACGCTGCTGCTCCAGGCGGAGGCGCAGATTGAGGTATTTACAGTCATCTTCATAGCCGAGAGCCGTGACCAGCAGTTGTATGCCTTTTCGCAGGGGAAATCCAGCAGAATGTTAACATAATTTTGCACACAAGCTTAATCACATGAGTGAGTCTAGGCCAAGCACATGCCTTGGATACAGCCGGTATAGACTTGCAGGCCCAAGGATGCAACGCCAAGAGCCAGGCCAGCCAGGGAGACGGGATCCATGTACTCGTATGTAGACGGGGGTTATAGATCTCTTTCCAGGCCGTAATCTCCCTATGCAGGCGCTGAGGGATGTGACGGTTGTTGGGTGGTGGTTGGAGGCTGGTGCAAGCTCAGGTAAGCTCAAGCTATTTCATGTTGCATGTGTGTAACGAGGGCTGGACCAGACTAGCGAATTGCCTACGAGATGGTGTGGGGATGGAGCGGAAGAGGACCGAGGCCATGGCGAATCGTGGACCGAACCGACGGCAGAGGGATGAGGCAAGGAGAAGGGGATTGGATTGTTGGTAAAGGAGCTGTGGTTGGGATGAAGTACATGTGCAAGGCACCGCCTCATTTCACAATTGTTGGATGCAGCTTCAGGTTGTCCTGCCCTACCTTCAGGTCTCTACCTCTCCACCACCAGGATGCCTGCTAGACCCGTACTTTGTTGAATCAGACGCGTACAAAGAAAGAGAGACAAAAAAAGCCATTTCATCCGGAGGCACATGTCCCGCGGATAAGGGATCCAGAAAGAGGCCCGATCCAAGACTTGAGACAAAGTCCCGAGGATGGATCCAGCCATGTTGCTGGTGCTCTTTCGCCCCTTTGCCTCCCCCCTAACATAAGGCTTAGATCGTCTCCATCCACGTAGTCGGCACGAATAGCCCATGTAGCTTCCAACTAGCAGCTGTTAGTCCAATCCTACTGGTGGCGCTCGCGTCTCGTCTCGGCGTCTGCTTGGTTACACAGCAGCGAAACACAGTCGTTGAGTAGCACTGTGAGATGGCGAAAGCGCGTGTCGGGACGATAGGGCGCCGCGATTGGCCCGTGAAAAGACGGCCTCTCTGGATCTCATTTCACAGATTGCATTAGCCTGAGAACAATGTCGCTGGTTCCGCGGTTGTGCTCCCTTGCAGTCGGGGCCGGAGAGCAGAGGCCTTTGCTTGTTGTGGGTGGGTTCAAAACCATCTTCCGCTGCGGATGGCGCCAGAGATTTAGTCTTAGTGCAGTTGCGGAGAAGATGAGCACTACCTAGGTATATTGTCCACGCTACCGCAATTGTGAAGAGGCACCTGTGACATAGTACTCGTACATAGGTACTACCTAAGATCAATCATAAGATCAATCACAAGTAAGAAAGCACATGTATCTCGGGGGTCTTTACTCCGTAGAGGCCAGTATTACCCGCGACTTACAAAGTACTGCCCACTAATGCCCAATAGTGCATCTACTCACACGCGTGACCGATTCCACTTGATCCCATTCGGATGTACCTGCAGAACTTGGGTATGGTGTGCTCGACAACGGGACGGCAGAAGAACAAAAAGAAAGAAAAGGAGTCCTCGTACTGCACAAGACAGCATCTTAGGCTGTTTCAATGGCCATTCCCCTGTCTAACAACTATTACTAGGAACCTAGTTCGCACCCACCGTCTTATCTCTATGCCCCAATATCAACTGGATTCTTCTCCCGTACAGTCCCAGCTTCGGCCTCTCGCACATGGCCAGAGTGGCGCTCCCCTAGCATCTGACAGGCTTTCAGCGTTCTTACAGGCGGCTTGACCTGCGGAGAGGGTTCCGTGATGGCGTCCAACCACTGTGCCAGGCGCCTCTCTAGTACGAGTACAGCTAGGGCGCTAGATCGCGGCCAAGAGCCCGCCTAATTTCTGCACCTCTGCGATTAGCCTGGCCCTGTCTCACATCTACCGGGCCGCGGTGCTGGCTGCATGTCCGGCAACCCGTTTGGAGATGTGCGGGCTGTTGTGCAACGTTGAGAAGGCGGGCATTTGCATGCAAGGCAAGGCCTAGCCCGAGGAGGAGGGCGACCTGTTTTGTGTATTGTACTTCTGCTGCCCTCTGTACTGTCCTCAATGGATTGATGCTGTATTACAGCACTGCCTCCACTCAAGGACCAATGTACAGTAGGTACCTACTGCGAGATATACATCAATGATATCAATGCACTCGAATGTCATTGCACATCTTAGTAATGGGGAATGATCGGACGCTTGATCCAACAGCATTTGAGCCGGTCGAGATTAGCAGGGCCCTGGGCAGGTACTGGATGGTACCACAGATGCATCGCCCAACTCTGTTTTAATGTCTCAGGTACATCTTACGCAATCGCCCCCGGTACCCTCTACCTGCTCTGTGTCTGTGCCTGTGTCTGTCTGTTTGATTTTTGAATCCAGCAATTGTGAATCACAGCCTTGGAGCCTTGGAACTCGAGAGAGGCGCAACAGCAGCTTTTTCAAGGCCATTGCCCGAGATATCCGGGCTTCCGGATCGCAGTTAAACCACGGACAGCACCAGGCAGACACAAGGTGGCCATTTCATTTCATCTCATCTCATTTCTTTTCATCCCGACTCCCTGCTTCCCGGCCGCTGTTACCGTAGGCACAGCCAAAGTGACGAAAACCTGGAAATCCAAGACCAGACAAGACACAAGTACCAGCTACCGCCGAGTGGCAGAGCCGGGAGTCCCTGGACCACCAAGCGCAGCACCTTTGCCCGCACCGTTGAACCATAAAATTTCCCCACCCGGGCGTGCCCAGCGAACCTCCTCCCCTGAGCTTCAGTTCAATCAAGAGTTCCTCTTCTCCTACTTCTTCTTCTCCGTTACCAGCAGATACGAGCCTCTCTCTCGCCATCAAGGCCCGTCTGACAACTCAAAACCCAGCATCATGGCCAACAGTTCTAGTGTGCAGCAGACTCCCGCCGGAACCCTGTCGCCGCCCGACTCCTCGTCATCTGCATCTCAGTCGCCGATTTCCCCGACGCATGGAGTCCGGATTCCTCACGCAGTCGCCGACGTGCCCGAGGCTGGCCTGGCTAACAGGAGCCCGGAGGACCCAGTCAAGGCATCCGATCTGAAAGACGACGCCGACGGTCGCTCACGCGAATCTGCAGTTCCTGCCGCGTGCTTGGCTTGCGTAAGTGGACGCTGCTTATTTTCTTTCCATGCTTTTTGTCATCGCCGACCTCGCTTGGAGATGGCCGTTTGATACCCCAGCGACAACTTCAGAAACCCCATTTTTTTCGATGCATTGGTTCGGTACGAGGTACTATCTGGGAAAGAGAAGAGAAGATGAAGATGAAGAAGATGAAAATTATGAGAGGAGAGGAGAGGAGAGAACCGCGACAAGAGAAGAAAGATGCACCCAGTGTATCGCGTGTTGGTCGCTGTAGCCTCCAGCCATGAAACTCGTACCGTTTTGCCATGTTGATGATTGCCAAGATCCCCGACACCCGACTTCCACTTGATTGCGCATTGACACAATGGACCACTCTCGCTAACCACAAGTTTGTTCCTGGTCGAATAGCGGAGCAAGCATCTCAAGTGCGATGGACAGACTCCGTGCTCTCGATGCGTCGGCTCCAACTTCGAGTGCATCTACGTAGCATCTCGACGCGGCTACAAGGGACCCCGTCGAGGACCAGCACACAACCCAAACAAACGCCACGCCACATCTCCTCCCGACACGGATTCCATCAGCCTCGCCCCGTCAGAATGCCCCATGCTGCTGGGCGCCGGCGTCTCCAGCGCCATGCCCGTGCCGATTCCCTCGACCCCGATGGGCATGCAGAGCTTCAGCCCTACCGGCCTCCTGCCCGACGCTGCGCCAACAACGCCTTTCCAAACCACCCCTGCCGTCTCGCAGGCACAGCTGTACCGGTCGTATTGCAGCATCAATGGCATTGAGCCCGGCAATCTGGTGACGGGTACCCACCTGCCCTTCCCCGCTCACTTTCCCATGCAGACCCTCCAGGAGAGGTGCATCGACTCCTTCTACCGTTACTTTCATGGATCACACCCCTTTGTGCTCCCCAAGGAGCACCTGCTTCGCTTTTCCAATGAAAACTCCATTGACCCACTCATGGCCGTGATCCGATGGGTTGGATCGCTTTTCATTGATGTCGGCAAATCACGGCTGAATCTGTACGATGACGCCATGCGTCTTCTAGACGACCCGACCCAGCCTCAGGACGGTTTCAAGGTTCAGGCCATGATGCTGTCCATTGTGGCGCTGGATGGCTGCTGTCAAAATGAGAAGGCAGCTCAGCTGCTAGGCCGGACCGAGACGCTGGCTCTTCAGATTGGCCTCAACAAAGCGCACTTTGCTACGCTAAACGGACGGAGCAACCCAGTGCTAGAGGAGAGCTGGCGGCGAACATGGTGGGATCTGTTCATCATTGACGGCATGATTGCCGGCGTCCACAGGATGACCAACTTTTTGCTTTATGACGTGCCCGCTGAAGTCAGCCTTCCTTGTGAGGAACACCAGTATTTGGCCGGTGTAAGTGACAATTTCTTTATTTCCACATCTTTCCTTTTCCCCCAATCCAGACTCTTTATTTAACACTCCTTGTAGCATATTCCTCAACCTATGAGCCTGGAAGATTTAGAAGACAGAGAATTTTCTGGCGACGAGCGCCGATTCTCCTCGTTTGCATATCGAATCCTTTGTGGCCGAAACCTGGGCAGATTCATGAGAACTCCTCCCATCTACGGACCAGATGACGAAAACTTGGAGCGGATCGAGAATCTTCTTACCAACTGGCGGCTCCATTTGCCCGAGGACAAGAGGGACTCACTCACCTCTGACGGTAAGCTCGATGAGATGATGTTCCAGGCGCACATGATGATGTATGCCACGTCCATCCTTCTTCACCAGCCTCATTCGCAGCTCGACTCTTCGCCCTCTCAGAAAATCACCTCTTGCGCACCATATCAGCTGGTTCCAGCGGGAGACCTTTTCAACAAGCACACGAAGCACACGATGGCGTCAGCAAACGGAATCAGCAAGCTGATTACACACCGAGTGCCGCTGCTTTCCCACACCCACTTCTTCACCTGTGTCATAACCCTTTCTTCCATCGTGCATCTCAACAGATGGGCGCTCTTCTTCGTTCAACACGACGATGACGACCTAAGGCAGCAGATTCGCCTCAATATCGGCGCCCTCAATGAGCTATCCACCGTATGGGGCGCCGCAGAGAGAGCGCGAGGACAGGTCAAGGGTGTGGCCCAGGAGATTTACCACATCAAGAAGGAGCAGCAAAAGAATCCACAGTATTGGCTTGGATTCACCCAAGAAGACGTCATCAACAGCATTGCCGCCGACGAATCCATCATCAGCAACTTTGACAGCATCCCGCCGGCCCATTTGCTAGGGTAAAGCATGGTTTGGTTTAGCTCTTCCTCTTGGCAAACAGAGAGGGTGAGATTGTAGATATGATGTGTCTGTTGGAAAAGAAGTATAGAGATGGGGGAATGTCATTTACGTGTATGAGGACTGCCTGCCCATTAACTAACCAGGCAGGCCTACATTGGAGGAGTTTGCATTTTCCTTGCTATCAGGAGCATTGAATAGGGTCAGAGCGTCGGCTGAGGCGCCGTTGTGAGACGACCTCTTTTTTCGAATAATTGGGTATCCAAGATTTGTTTGTATATTAATGAGCCATGAATGAATCTCATTTAGGAATTTCTACTCTATAGTTGGAAATACCATTGTTTGTGCTGTCGTTATGAGTAGTGACAGTTGATAGTTTTGACTTATGAGGAGCATGCTTTAATAGTAGGTAGCTATGCTCACACATCATTACAACAGTGATATCCCATAGTGGTCATCGTTCTCGCTCACCCAAGTTTAATACAAATACTAATGGCATATAAATCTTTGGTTAAAGCGTGATTGTACCATAAATGTTTGAAACATCGCTTCATCTTGCCTGCTATTAACGCGTAACATTTGGCTTGGGTGGTTGGTTCTAGGGTAGATTTCGGCTCGATGAAGATCTGCAGCATGGCAGTGTCGAGTGAGCTTGGCCTGATGGATGGAAATCATAACAAGCATGGACAGCATGGCGCATCAATTGTATCAACTACACGGCACGGCACAGTCGTACAAGTATGAAGCACTTGCATAATGTATTCTCCGTGTCCAGGTGGCAAATCACAGATAACCTCCCCTTTTGCGTCGATCGATGAGCTGGCAAGCCGGTAGACCGCCAATCGCTCCTTGGAGCCAAGACGGCCACCATCTCACTCTTCAAGCACCAACAAGGGGGGGAATGGACATGTGCAGGAAAAGGAAAAAAGACGATTTCACCACTTCCGATTGACGAGAGACAACTAGCCATTGCGGGATTGCCTAATGCAGGAGCAAGAACAAGCGAAAAACAGCCTGGCCTCAGCGCGCTTCTTTTTTTGTTCCCTCGTATGCCGTACTGTACTTATAGCGCTGTACTGTAGTGTTGAAAACGGCCTGGTGGATGCGCTGTGCCCATGTCCGAAAAAAAGCCACCTGTAGGGGTCTTAAAAAAGGGCTGGACGCCGTGGCACCGCGCCATTGGATCGGCTTGCCGACGTTGACAAAAAGTGTGCGTGGTTGATGAACATGAACGGATGCAAGCAGCAATTAAACTCGCAAGGCGGCAGTAGTGCTATAATTAGTGCAGATACAGTACTCCGTAGTGCAGGCAAGTAATTGGCATCCAATCCATCAAATAGCATACCGTAGGGCCTGTAATACTGCTCTGTCGAGAAGCGGCGTGCCTGGATGGATCCTTGATCGTAAAGAGAGAAAAGAAAACAACCTGGATGAGCTAAAAATTCACACAAGCTGACCGAAAAGTGGCGCCCCTTGTTCTTGGGTCGATGAGGCGGTGTTGTCACATGATCTGTGTCCAATGAGCAGTCCGCAATCGCATTACATAACCCCATTTCCAGCCTCTTCAATCCTCTTAGCGGTGTACATGGGTACATCCCGTCGCCCCGCCAACGGGAAGCTGCGCTGCGCTGCGGAGGGTCCAGCTCCAGCTCTTGCAGGCCTCGTAAGGATGCACCGCCTTGTCCGTTTAGCCAAGGAGCTGCTGCATCTACTTTGTACTAAAGCGGCAGCAATTGACATTTCTCTGCCCTCCCAACCTTTTTCGGGGGGAAGCTGGTTTTTGCCTTGTTTGTTTTTGGCATTTTGACTCTTGCGATTTGGCCATGTCACACGCGATTTCGGATTGATTGAATGAATGAATGAATGAGCATCGCACTGCAGTGAGACGACACAAGACGACACAGTGGAAAACATCACCAGCCCCCCACATTTCGACGACTTACAAACATCAAATCCCATTGCCCGTCGCGGCGGATCGCACGACTCTGGCATTCCTGCGACAGCCCACGACGGAACACGCCTGTTTTGGCCGGATACACGGAGGGGGAGACTGATTGCGGGCACCCCCAGAGACGTCGGCTGAGCAACATCGCAGCGCATCGCATCGCACTCAGCTTGATCGCATCGCCAGCGCCTCCCGTCCTCTCTCGTCGTCGCCGTCATGGCGCCGGCACCAGACCAACTCTCCTCGCCCGGGTCCGTGAGCTATGATTCCGACACCATGGTGGTGGGGGATGGGACGTGGGACTTTACCAAGAACACGTTCCTGCTCCCCAACTTGCAGGGCACCGACTTTGACACCATGCGATACAATGGTGAGTTTGAACTGTCTGAGTCAACCACGCTCGTTCTTGTCTGACAGGCTTTGACGCAGGAATGGGCAATCGCTTCTCCACGCTCCACCAGTACCACACCATCATCTTGGCCCACGGCATACTGGCGGCCATGGTTTTTCTCTTCCTGATCCCCTTCTCCGTGATGCTTATTAGGTTCTATTCGAGAGACCCGGCCTATACGATTCGATACCACGCCCGCCTCCAGGTTTTCTCCTGCTTGCTCCTGACGGCAGCCTTCATATTGCCCTTCTTCGCCGTCGGCCCCAAGCGAGCCCTGTCGAACCCGCACCATGGAATTGGCGTTGCCATCTTTGTCATGTTCGTCGTTCAGCTCGTCGGCGGTCGAATAATCCAGCACATTGCCAAGATGCGGTCCCTTCGCAGAATGCTTCATCAGTGGCTGGGTCGAGCCATCGCAATCCTTGGAATCGTCCAGATACCTCTCGGCCTCACCTTGTACGGATCGCCCAAGGTTCTTTTCATCTTGTACGCCGTTTGGATGGGATTCCTGTTGCTGGTCTACTTTGTTCTCAGCTACCAGGCCGAGGGCCGTCGAGACCATTATATTTCGGGAGGTCGCTCCGAAGCAGGCACTCGCATCACCGAATCCGAGTACTACTCTGAGCATAGAGAGGAGCACCATTCAAAAATGAAATGGCTAGGCCCCCTTGCCGCCGCCGCAGGGGTGTTTGCATTGACCAGAGGACGCAAGAATCATGATGATGATCGTAGCCGAGTTCGCAGCAGGTCCCCATCCATGGCGAGAAGCCGTGGCCCAACCGTCATCTCATCACGGCCAAGCTACTTTTCGGAGAAATACTCGGATCTTCCGGCGCAGCGAAGCGGCGGTAATGGCATGCTAAAGGCATTAGGGGGTGCAGCAGCCGTTTTTGGTGCTGGAAAGCTCTTTTCCAACTTTATGAGCCGTCGTGATCGACGAGATGAGGAATACTCGGCTGTATCTACCGAAACCCCGCGCCGCAACAGGTCTGGACGCGCCATGACCATCAGCGAATACGCCAGCGAGTATACCGACGATGCATCCACCATTCCGCCGTCGCGCGCCCCTGCCCCTACTCAGACCGCTTCCGCTTTTGGAGGCCGTGACTCGGTTCGACGTCCGTCACCACCTCGTTCGAATGTCCGCGGCAACGCACGATATGATGATTCCGAATATTCGTCCTACGTTTCTCCTTCGCGACGGCCGCAAGATGGAGCTGGCGGTGGTGGCGGCGGGTTTGCCAAGGGCGTGCTTGCTACCTTGGGAGTCGGATGGCTCGCCAAAAAGTTCGCCGGTAACCGCGCCAGGAAAGAGGAAGAAGAACGATTCAGGGAAGAAGAGGAGATGAGGTCTGGCACTCAGTTCTCTAGGTACAGCAACACCAACACCGAATACACATCTCCGATTAGAAGGGACTCCCGCCGTCCGCCCCCCCAGAGGCGTAGCACCGTTACAGGAACCGAATTATCTTCAGACATGACGGAATCTACGTTTGACACTCAGACTGAACTCTCTCGCCCACCTCAAAAGGCGCCGCTGAGTGCCGCTGTCAGAGTGCCACCTAGCACATCCGCGTTGGCCCCTGGCGGATCGCCCCCAGCCAGGCGTGGCGAGCGTTTGTCCATGCCCGCCATGCCCAGCGACCCCCACGGCATTCTCCATTCCGAGGTATCTGATTTGACTTCTGTTGCCGACCGGCCCACGGGACGCAATCCGTCTCGACGACAAATGGACAGCGAAAGAGCTGCAGCTGAGGCGGCGGCGCGTGCTAGCAACCTGGCGGCAAAAGAGCGAGGACGATTTGGTAGCTCGTTGAGCCAGGCTGCAGGCTCCAGGTCGCGGGTTCAAGACAAAGACCGAAACGTCACACTGCGAAAGCTTACTGAGGAGGAGTCTTTGGCGCGGAGAAGCCGAATGAACTCGCAATCTAGCCTGTCCGAGTCTCCTACCAAGGGGGGTCGCCGATACCGCAGGGATGATAGCCAGAGGAGGGCAGAGTCGGCAGCCGAAAGCAGGGTCGAAAGCAGAGTTCAGGACGATGTCAGCAGAGTAGGACCGCTCTCGCCGCCAAACCCATCGTACGCCAAGGACAGACGCGGCAAAGATTCAGGTTACTACTCCGGCCAGCCTGCCCAGCAGCCCGGTCAACCCGGGCCCTCGGCTCACCTAGCACCGCCGCCCATGCAACTGCCCAATGCCAGCGTCTCTAGTGTCGGCAGTCATGGCACATGGAGTGGCATGGGACCTCCGACGGAAGTCCCAAGCGGACCGCCGGTCGCACAACCGGTTGTACCGCCAGTCGTACCGTCAACCGCACCGCCAACAGAGGTCAAGGACGACAAGGGTAACGAGTCGGCTGCAGACAACAGAAGAAGGCGGCGAGCGGAGCGACGACGAGCCAGCAGCAGCCACCCTCCCCCATCTGGAACGGACACATATACGACTGACACGTATGATGATACCGAGAGGGGATATTGATTTAATCTCCAACCCCCCTTTCTTCTCTCATCCAGGTTGAGCAGTCTAGCGGGTCAACGCAATGCTCGTCTCCCGATAGCTTCATGAACATAGCCATGGGCTGCCTGTGTACATACAGAACTAGGCTGTGGAGGTTTGTGATTTATCTTTTTTTATCTTTTTCCTTTCTCTTGATGGGATGTCGCATATGCGTTGAGGTCGTAGGATACCTTTCCTTATCTATTAGAGGCGTTTGGGATGGCATTCTCAAGAACTCTGCATTTGCTGCATTTGATTGATAATGTTTTTTCTTCTTTCTTTTGTCTTTTTCATTTCTCTTCTCAAAGATGACGACGGAATGGGATGCCTGAGATGAATGGGAATGTTCCAAGGATGATGGATGATTGGGTTAGAGATGGGCCATTGCGTATATGACTGTATATTTTTGAGAGAAAAAAAGACAGATGGGGGTGATGGGAGATGGGGTTTGCTGGGAGGCTTACGTTTATTGATAGTATGGCAGTTATGAATGAAACGCTGTTTATTTTTTCGCTTTTAATCTTGTTAATTGAATCTCCTAAGTGAATTTTGAATTGAAGTTGATGTCAAGGTAGATACATATGGATGCCGAAAAGTACATACAGGATTGACGCCATAGCGCGCTTCCATCTGCCGGCAAATGGCTTAGGCGCAAGTCTAGGATCCGCGACGTCATCAGGATTCAATTGCTAACGATTCCCCAATTCCGGCGCCAATTGCAGGGCATTGCCGCCCAAATTGCAGGTAACTATAGCATTGGAGCACTGTAGCACGCAGCCATTATCAGGGCTCTGGAATTGCCGGATCCCCTGGAAGCTTAAATGTCTCAGCGCAGATTCTCCAGCAGCGATTAACCACGCACTTCATCGTCGGCTTCGGCACAGCTCCACTACAGCTCTTAGCCAACCAGCTTTGCTGCTGTCTAGCTAATGTGGTTCTGCTGGGGAACACCGTAGCCCGACGCTCGACTTTTCTCTTTTTCTTCCCTTGTTTCCATATCCATCTCTCCTTTTTCTGCTTTTCTAATCTTTTTGCAATCTTCTCCAGCATCACCTCCTTGCGTCCAATCTCCCGCGCATCCATTATTCACTGCCTGAATCCCAAGAGGCGGCCAATGGCCTGCGTCTTGACTGCGACCCGCGGATAAAACCATGCCTCCAAAGAGCTCCAAGGCGGGCGACGGCCTCGACTACAAGGCCATTGCAAAGCAGTTTGCAAAGGCCAAGGCGGCCAGGGAGGCTCGGGAGGCCCGGGATGCTGAGGCCAAAGAAAAGGGCCTGCCGACAGAGAAAGAGCAGACGGAGATTCTGGAGCGGCAGCGCGAACTGCTCAACAACAAGAGGCAGAAGGCCTACGAGCGGCGCTGGTGGTGGACGGCCGCCTTCTGGACGTGGCTGCTGGCCGTCCATGGCATTGGCATCTGGCTGTTTGCCAGCGGCTTCCTGCTGACGAGGCTCGTGCTCGACGACAAATCCAGCTGTGCCGCGCCGCCGGTCGAGGGTCTGGCAGTCGGCCAGGCTGCGCTGGATGTGAACAAGGGATGCTGGCATCCGAAGCAGTTTGACCGGGCCGTGGTGATTCTGATTGATGCCCTGCGCTACGACTTTACCGTTCCCGAGGATCCGGCGACGGCGCATGCCTTCCACAACTCATTCCCCTTCCTGTACGACACGGCAGTCAAGGCGCCCCAGAATGCGTTTCTACGGCCCTTCATTGCCGACCCGCCGACGACGACGCTGCAGAGGCTCAAGGGCCTGACGACGGGGACGCTGCCGACGTTTATCGATGCGGGGAGCAACTTTGCCGGAACCGCCATTGACGAGGACAATTTGCTGATGCAGCTGAGGGACTCGGGCAAGAAGATTGCGCATCTCGGAGATGATACCTGGTGGTCCTTGTTCCCTGGTTATTTTGAGCCCAACATCAGCAAGGCGTACGATAGCTTCAATGTCTGGGACCTGCACACTGTCGACAATGGCGTCATTGATAACATTTTCCCACTTCTGGAGTCGTCCAAGGAAAACCAATGGGATCTGCTCATTGGCCACTGCCTGGGCGTTGACCATGCTGGACACCGTTACGGGCCTGATCACTCTGCCATGACGGCTAAGCTGCAGCAGATGAACGAATTCATCACCAAAGTTGCGGGATCCATTGACGATGATACCCTTCTGATTGTTATGGGCGACCACGGCATGGACGCAAAGGGTGACCATGGAGGAGAGAGCGATGATGAGGTTGAGGCCGCCCTGTGGATGTACTCGAAGCGACCCTTTTTCGGCAGAACGTCACCTGAATTTGCCGTCCCGCCGGCCAATGCCAAAATTCGCCCCGTCAACCAGATCGATTTGGTGCCGACTCTTGCGCTGCTTTTGGGTATCCCTATCCCATACAACAACCTCGGAAAGCCGATTGAGGAGGCTTTTGCGGGACAGAAAGGCAATGACTGGGCCAACCTGGCTGCTGTTTCGCGGCTTGCATCTGCTGGAATCGAGAGATACCGACAGTCGTACTTTGGCGCCCGTGGCATTTCGCAGACGAAGGAGCCGGGTTCTCCGGCTGCTCTATGGGTAGCGGCCAATGCTGCTGGGCTGGGCCACAAGGACGCTTACAATGCCCTTACGGAATTCGAAAATGAGACTCTACAGGTCTACAAGGGGCTGTGGGCTCGGTTCGACGTGCCTAGGATGGTGGCGGGCGTGTTTGTTACTGCTGCTGGACTTGTGATGCTGGTCATGTATTCGTCGAGGCCTGCAGACGAGGAGTTTGTCGTGGCCAACGATGCCGAGCTTGACTATGCTGAGAGGCGGCTGGAGCTCATGAATCTCAAGCACGAGGACCAGGAGGAGCACCCGGACCAGCACCTCCACCGGAATCTCTTGGGCGGATTGGCCGATGCCCGAGTGCTCTTCGTTGTGGGAGTCTTGATTGCCGTGGGATTGTACCGCAAGCAACCGTTGGATGGCCTCGCAGCTCTGGTAGTTACGCTCTTGATTACTGGCGTCATTTCCGCACTATCTACCTCTGGCAGGACCATCCTCAATATCCTTCCGCGCACGTTCTGGGGTTGGTTGTCTGTTGTTCTCACTCTTAGCCACTCTATTGGGTTCGCCTCCAACTCGTACACCATCTGGGAAGACTCCATCCTCCTGTTCTTCATTGCGACGTTTGGTGTGGCTGCTCTGATATCCTCGTTCCGCATCGAATCAAAGGTGGACCGCACAATGGCCATCTATCACACAGTCATATTCATCATCATTGGGCGGCTGGCGTCGTACTCGAAGCTTTGCCGCGAGGAGCAGATGCCCTACTGCACCTCGACCTACTATTCGTCCGTTACGTCTTCTACCTCGGCCCCTTGGCAGCTTGTCATTCCTTTTGCCGTCTTCCTCGTCCTTCCCGACGTTATCAAGGCTTTCCTCATGCCTTCCAAGTCATACGAGGGCCTTGCTCCCACATGGATCGGATACGCCTTCCGTGGCGGCCTCTTCCTCTCCGCCTTGTACTGGACCATTGATGCCGCCAACAACGGCGGGTGGCTCGCCGACAGGTTGTCCGAGAGCACCCTCAAGTCAGCTGGTGTCTATTTGGCCCAGGTGATCCTGGCGCTGTCTCTCATTGCCGGATCGACGTCGTTTGCCTGGGCGCCGCCAAACATCTCCATCCTATCTACGTCAGCCAAGACGGGACAGCTCGTGACGATTCTGGGATACGGCAATGCCATGGGCGCTCGCTATCTCTTCCTGCCGCTCAACTTCCTCGCCGCGTGCATCCTCGTCACCAAGCCCATGGGATCAGGTGCTCTGGCGCTCATGATGTGGCAGATTCTCTGCTTGGCTGAGATTATCGATCTCAACCAGCTCAAGGGCGAATCCATCGGCCCCGTCATGCTCGCCATCCTGGGCAACTTTTACTTCTTTAAGACGGGCCACCAAGCCGTCCTCTCCAGCATCCAGTGGGACAGCGCCTTCATCCCACTCTTCTCAATCCGCTACCCATGGTCCCCCCTCGTCGTCGCGCTCAACACCTTTGCAGGCCAGATCCTCGCCGCCGTGTCCGTGCCGCTCATCGTGCTGTGGAAGGTCGGCCCCAAGCAGCGCGGCGTGCTCGAGACGACGGCCCGCGCGCTGGGCGTCTTCGTGGCGTATTTCGCGGTCGAGGCCCTGACTACGATGAGTTGGGCGGGCTGGCTGAGGCGGCATTTGATGCTGTATCGCGTGTTTTGCCCGCGGTTCATGCTTGCTGCCTTGTTGTTGCTGGCGATGGACTTGGTGGGCATTTTGGTGGCGCTGACGGGAGTGAGGAGTAATACCTTGGCGGTGTGCGAGGTGTTTGGATGGGCGGAGTAGTGATAGACTTTTTCATGGTTGGACTATGATTTTAATATATGAATACCTATATCTTGGTGGTGTAATGGAGGAAGAAAGGTGGGAAAGGGAGGTTTCTCTGGTGGATGGGGGCGGCGCGGGTGATTTTGGAAATATGGAGTATAAAATGGGCATCTTGATTGCTTTCAAATAAATGAATACATATATACAATACATCAAAAGGATGATTTATACAATGAATAAGTTGTGAGGTGCTCTACTCTGCGTCATGTCTGTGATGTAGGGTAGGAATATTAGCAGCAATCAAACGCTCGGGAGAGGTTAAAAATGCTGTGAAAGCCTGCAGCAGAATGCGCCCTGTGACGCATGGAGGCACATGGATATGCACTAGTCTCTACCTATGTTGATATAAATACTTCCTCGGGGGATGCTAAAAATGCTGTGAAATCCATATCCGCAGATAAGGAAACGAAAAAGCTACATGTATGCAAGTGTGACGTGGAGGCATATGATTCTTCGCAAGGTTATCCTGTATGCGGGGAAATGTTATCTAGTCCCCCGAGTGTCGCTATCCAGTACCCTAAATTTGAGTAGGGAAATACCATGAGGTACTTACGCTTTTAAGTAAAACTCTACATTTTTCACCTGAAAAAACCTATTCTATATATTATTTTATATTTTTAAACAATCCCAATACTAGAGATGTGTATAGCTGCTTTTTGTTATTCAAAATGTGGTACATTAACTAATATTTTGATGTAAAAACATTATGGGGAGGTAGCTTTGCGTACGCAAAACGTGCTTAGTCGTTGCTCATTTTGCTGAGTCATGCGAAAAGTTGGCACCCTAATTTTCTATGGCCTAGGCGTAGCAAAGCCAAGTACCTGGGGTGCTGGATATAGGTAGCGAGATTTGGGGTAATAAGTCTCTATTTTGGTATAAATGCTCCCCTGGGGGGAGCTTAAAAATGCTGTGAAAGCTCGCCACTTCATGCATACCATTCAACTTGCAGGTAATAATATGCAGTACAGAGTAGTCTTTATGATATCAACACTTCCTTGGGAGAGGTTAAAAATGCTGTGAAGATGGAATGAAGATGGAATGTAGAAAATGTTTTTGGCAGAAGTCATCATACATTTAAGCATAATACATTTAAGCGCATGATAATTCTGGGTGCCTAATTTTGACTTTAATACACAAAAGTTATAAGTACTTACTGCAGTGGGGTTAAAAATATCGTGAAATAAAAATTACCATAATAGGTGCCTAGGTAGGAGTTTCTGAATCTCAGGCACATGATACCTACCTAGGTAGTAGTAGTTGTCCAGGCACTTTGACATGTTACACAACGAAACCAGTAATTATATTTGGCATTTTAATATGTATGATATAGGCATGCAAATCAAGGGCATAGGTAGTAACTCATCATTCCAATCTGTAGCCACATAAATCACACCCTCGACAATCACATCTCCCATCCAACATCACGTTTTCACATGCATCAAAAATAAATCAAAAATATGGCCCGAGAAAATTACTGCATTTTGTGAGAATGCTATAAATTACAAGCGTAAAAAAAGAAAAGCAAAGAAAAAAAAAGTATCATCTTCCATCTCGAAAGATTCAATCTCTCCCAGAAATTGGAAGTGACGAGAAAGTATTAAATCGGGCCTCGCCCGGGATATCGTACAATATGAGCATATACACACAAGTATGCTCCCCTTCCCTTCGTAGCACAGGGACCATTAGACATAACATGAGAAAAATTTAAGGAAAGATTTGCAGGTGAATGCACCCTTTGAAAGTTTGATGACATAAAAGAAAAAAAAAATAACAACTCTTACTCCGGGGCGGGAGTAGTTGGATTATCAGAAGTAGTTGTTGAAGATAATGACGATGCTGTCGGCTTATCTGACTTACCGGTACTCTCCTTGTCCTTGTCCTTATCCTTGGTACTCTCCTTCGGCCTTGAGGCTAGCGAAGTAGAAGAAGAAGAAGGTTTCCTGGTTGATGAGGATGAAGTTGAGGATGAGGAGGCTGCTGCTGGTTTTCTAGTTGTAGACGAGGACCGAGTGGAAGAAGTAGTAGGTTTCCGTGTTAATGAAGGCGAAGATGGTGCTGCAGAAGAAGACACCTTCCTCGTTGTTGAAGAGGATCTTGCTGTTGAGTTGGTTCTTGTTGTTGACGTGGATCTCGCCGTTGACGAAGACCTCGCTGCTACTGAAGAAGATCTTGCTACGGAAGACGTTCTTGTTGTTGACGTGGACCTCGCCACTGAAGGCGTTCTTGTGGTTGACGTGGATCTTGCGACTGACGGTGTTCTTGTTGTAGAGGTAGATCTGGCTGTGGAAGTTCTTGTTGTTGAAGTTGATCTTGCTGTCGAGGGGGTTCTTGTTGTGGAAGTCGATCTCGCCGTTGAAGAAGTTCTCGTTGTTGAAGCAGACCTTGCTACTGAGGAGGAGGTTGTTGATGTAGATGTAGAAGCGGAAGAAGATACCTTCCTCGTCGAGGAGGACTGCGTCCCGGAAGGCTTTCTAGTGGACGAGGAGGATGATAGAGAGGAGGCTGGCTTCTTGGCCGAGGATGGAGACGCCGCAGGTTTTCTGGCAGACGAAGATAGCGTTGACGTTTTGGATTGAGGCTTCGCCTTGTCCTTGTCTCCGGGCTTGGCGTCTTTAGAAGCAGAAGAAGAAAAAGAAGTTTTTTTTTTGCCCTTTTCGGCGCTGGACGACTTTTTGGCTTTTTCGTCCGAGCTGGCTGTGGCCTCTGGGGCAGGCTCAGGGGTGGGCTGTGATGTGACGGCTTCTCCCTCTGCGGTTCGCTCGGCCTTTTCATTCTCCTCTTCCTTTTCATTCTCAGCCTCCTTCTTTTCATCAACATCGTCTTCGTCGTCGTTATCATTATCGTGGTCATTGTCAGTTCCCTCCTCCTCCTCCTTGACTTCTTCAAGTTCCTCATGTTCCTCGTGTTCAGATCCGCCAACCTTTTCATCAGATTCGTCTTGCGCATCCTTTGCATCGGGCTTAACTTCTTCGGCCTCTTTCTCCACGACCTTGTCCTTCACGGTATCGTCTTGCTTGGCTTCATCTTCTTCCTTCTTATCTTGATCCTTATCGGCCTCCTTCTCCTTCTCCGCCGCTGGCTCGGGCTCCTTGGGCTCCTCAGCCTTTGTTTCCTCGATCTTGACTGGCTCTTCTGCTTTCGATTCCTCGGTCTTGGCCGGTTCCTCTGTCTTCTCTTTGACGGCCTCGGGCTCTTCCTGCATCTCCTTTGGCTCCTTTGGCTCCTCCTTTGGCTCCTCCTTCTTCTTTCCATGCACCTTTTCTCGCAAAGCGTTCAGACGAAGCTCCTTAGCCTTCTTTGCTGCTTCGTCGGCAATAGATTGCACAGACTGCACAGACTGTACGGATCGCACAGTATCTATGCTGGCCCTTGGGGTTGGGCCACCGCCAACCTTGGGCTCAGGGACTGGGCCAGGGGGAGGCGGAGGAACGGCAGCATCAGTAGTGGCAGCAGGTGCAGCTTCACCGGCGGCTACGCTGGCGGCAGCAGCAGCAGCGGCGGCGGCAGATTTCTTGACCGTCTTCTTCTTCTTGACCGGCTCGGGATACTTGTGGTTGATGTCGGGAATGGTGAATTCGTCGTAGTAGATCTTGATGTGCTGCTTGAGCTCGCCATACTCGTTCCACTCTTCGATTTCGACAATATCCTATCCCGCTACGGTCAGCTGAAGTGTCCCAGATGCCCCGTGGAGGGAGCTGTAAGCTGCCAGCATAAAGGCCACCTTACCCCTAAAACAAGCCCCTCTTGCACCAGCGCAGGAAACTTCCTCGCCCTGCCGTTCTCGTCCTTGCCGGCACGGCGGCCCCAAAGCATGCGAGCCTTGTCATCGGTAGAAATGTCGATGGCCTTGAAAGGAACGCGGTTGGCTCGCAGAATCGTCTCGAGACGCGATGTCGCGGTGACAATGTGTGAGGAGCCGGCCGTCAGAGACGTGTAGATGTACAGCGCCGGATCGGTCGAGTAGGACGCCATGGTGCTATGCTATGCTGAGTAAAACAAGACAGAAAACACACAGAAGCAGCTGCACAGAGGTTAAGCGATCGCTAATCTTGATGCTTTGGATTCCGAGTCACGATGTCGCGTCCAAGTTTCCGCAATGCATTGAGCTGTTTGCATCTACCCGGGAGATGGCCCAAGCTGTGGGGGCGGGGTTGCAGCAAGTAATTATGGATACGGAGTAGAGTAGTGCCTGGATCGAGCGCTGTGGCTGGCAAAAAGGGGTCGCTTCAGCGGGAAACTGTGATGGGCAGCGCTAGGATGGGCCCTTAATTAGCCTGCAAGGGACCTGTAAATTGCAGCTTCATTTGGGCTTCGTATCGCCAGGCAGGGTGGCAGCAGTGCTAGGGATGGATCTGGACATGTCTTTCAGCTGCGATGAGCATCTACGAGCTGTGCTTTGGTGTTTTTGTTGGCCTGCGGGATGAGAAACAGGCATAATTAGCTGCTGAGACAGACAGCATTTGAGCCAAGAGAGAGAAGAGCTGAAGATCGATCTAAACTGCTACAGTATAGCTCTCTATACTCGTACTTACAAAAACAGAAACAGACACGGCCATTCCCGTAAACCGGCTGAGCCGAAGCTGAAAGATCGGCGAACCTTTTCTGTAGGATCCAGGTAGATGGTACATAGCAGAAAGCAACATTCACTGCACAGTAATGATGTTCAATTTGTATTTATTCTTCATTTTTACAGCCCATCGTACAGGTATTGCTTTTCAAGCAAAATAGAACGCCTTAGTCATACAACGCGCAATAGCAGACCAATGGTCGCCTGAGGCATCCAGCTGCAGCTGAAAATAACCCTGACTAAGCTGGCGGACTTTTCGGTCTTTCCATCCAAAGCTGCAGTAATATGGAGCACGCGAGAAATATCGCGCCGCCACTCACAAACCGGTTTGAACAACGGCCTCTCTCCACCGACGAGAGAAAAAAAAAAAAGGAAAAAAATCCCAATCAATATTAGTGTGGCGTCTGAATGCACGCTGCCAATTGATAGACCTAAAGTTCTCTGCCTTGGCAGAATCTCGACGAGCGAGTCAAGCGCGTCCATCTCGTGAGTCAGCCCAACAGGAACTGCTGCTCCAAGCAGCTAATTGTCCGACACAGTATTAGCAAGGGGCATCGAGCGTCTCACAGCACGGTACCGCCTCTTGTCGGGCGGGGGAGCAAATCGCAAATTGCCTGTGGGGAGAGAACAGCCTGGAAACACCCAATTTCGCCCTTCGAAGGGCCTGGCCTTTTGTTTGGCGCTGCCGTTGTTTGGGGTTGAAGCGCGCGCAATGGCCTGGGACCGGGGTCGACCAAAGCTTAAGATTAGGGGAACGAAATGAGGTCGCCCTTAATAGACTGCACTGGCGCTGACAACGGCGAGCTTGAAACGCCCACGACATGCCCGGCCACGGCTACCGGCCTAGAGCCAATTTCAAGCAGAGCAAGCACAGGCACAGGCACAAGCACAAGCACAGGCAAGGACCAAGTGGGTGAGGGATTATGTGTGACGGCGGCGTACATGCACACAGTGTCCAGCTCGGACGTGGATGGGAGAAAAGCCTCGAGTGACATGGCGAGAATAGGAAAAGTTTTTTTTCCCTTGCTGTCGTCAGCTTCTGCCAATAGCTGCTGAGGTTGCATTCTGCCCAGCGCCGCCGAAGAAGCATATCGAGCTCAGCACATGGCCAATCCCGGCTCCCGGATGCAAGAATAGCTCAACGGAAAGGAGGGTCAATGGATCTAGGATGCGCTTCCGAGAGGCCATTTATGCAAGGTACCGCGAGATGGCCAGTGAGATGCTGGCTCAGGTCCACCATCGGGTCTTTGTTGCGTGGTAGTGTCCAATCACAACAGGTGCCTGGATGCGCCAACCCGCCAGCTCACAAAGCCAGTCCACAAGCCGCTCGATGGTCTGCGCCATGCCAGGTTGACCGGTCGCGCCCAGGCTCCGTTGGGATCCATTGCCATCCTACGTGGCCGCTGCCTGGTGGAACTGTCAGAGATTTCCCACCTGCAGCAGACAATCAAGACAAAAGGGAAACGGGCCCCTTGAGCCCTTCTTTCGATTCTTCTCTCTTTCTCACCACTCACCACACTCTTTCAAATCAAGCTGTCTCGACGACATTGCTACTATACACACTCTCTTCTAAACCGCTATACGCATACTAGCCCGGTGCTTCTTGCCCACTGCTCTCTTTCAGCAACAAATCAAGTCCGAATTCAAGTCAAGTCTACGACTCATTCCCAACAACCTTCAAAATGCAGTTCTCCACCCTCCTCATTGCTGCCGGCGCTGCCGTTGTCGCCGCTGAGAGCACCTCGACCCTGACTGCCACGACCACCATGACCTACACCATCACTCAGTGCCCCGAGACCGTCACAAACTGCCCTTACCGCACTCCCACCGTCCCTGTGACCACCTCTGAGGCCGCTGTCACCACCACCGCTGAGAGCACTACCGTTGAGGTCACCACCTCTGCTGTCGAGACTTCCTCTGCTCTCCCCAGCTCTCACTACCCCGTCTGGACCGTCTCCAACTCCACCTCTGCCACTGCTGTTGGCACCAACCCCGTCGGCACCACTGTTCCCACCACCATTGTCACTGTTCCCTCTGGCACTGGTGCTGTCCCTACTGGCCCTGCCGGTAGCGGTCCTTCTGGTACCGGAAGCGCTCCCCCTACCGTGCCCACCAGCGGTGCTGCCAAGGATATGGCTCAGTCTGGCGTCATTGCTGTCGCCCTGGCTGCCGTCTTTGCTCTCGTCTTCTAGACGCCCAACCTTTTCTATCTGGTGCCAAAAGCTCCGGATATTTTTCACAACCTTCTATTCTTCCATTCTTTACTCTTACATATTCTTCTACGGGGAAGGACGCTTGGTGGTTTTTTAACTGGTGGATTACTATGTGGATAGATGACATATGAGTTGGGTCGATACCCGGTGTTTTTGAGGACTTCACTTCTACGCCCTGGATGGGCGGGCTGATGTTTGACGACAGCAATGTCGATGCATCAGATGGGCGTATGGATGCAGCATGGGCTTTTTGGTGCCCTGGCTGCGGCGAACGCTTTTTTTTCTGGATATGCCACGATTGGGCTCTCTTTGGGATGAGACATGAATCAAAAAGCTTTTAGATACCTTTGCATTTCAATCAACAAGGCTGGCTTGTCATGATTACCTCTGTGCTTTGCTGTGCATCTGTGTGGAAGTGACTCTCGTAGAACGTAGACTCGCTGCTTGGAAGCATGTAGGCAAGCATATTCAAATTATGCCTGAAATAGAGTTTGAACAGTGATGACATCTTAGTTTGAAGCCATCTTCATTCACAACGAAGTCCCTTCCCACTGAAACTTACTGCTTGCATACAACATGTCTGCAGAACGCAAAACATCAGCAAACCGTAAGCGCTTGTATGAGCAAACCACAAACGCCAATGATCAACAGTAGAATATAAAGTTCCCGTGGATTGAGTTCGTCTACATCATCAAACACGCCCGTTTCTCGTCCCGCATCTGCATACCCAGCTAATGCAAGGGGAAAGGCAAAAAAAAAAACCACCAGTTCGATATACACTTTTGACATCTTACACCTCGCCAATTAGCGTTTAGAACTGACAGTTTCCATTTTCGATCATTGACTTTTAAGGGGGGAAAAAAAAAGCCCCGTCAATCAGACATGTCGATCTCTATGTAAAAAAAAAAAACAATTGATTGATTATCAAACAAACGTGGGCTTATCCGATCCGACGGATGTTTTAAAAAAACCTGCTACCAGTCCAGTTCTCCGGGAATCCATCCAAAATCCCCAGAGTCGCCGACCAAAAAACGCCCCTCCGTAGCCCGCATTACTCGTATACCCACACAGATACCTGTATTAGCATAGAACGAAAAGAGAAAAAGAAGATGAGGGGCAAATTTGACAGCTTGGTCCAGACAGCCAGAGAGAGGAGAAAAAAAAAAGGGAGGCAGGGATTAGATCCATAGCACTCTAGCCTGGATATGGGTTGAAAAAAAGCACAAGGGGATTGGAGGATTTTGCTCAGTCGGCTTGATACGGGCCGATGGAGCTCTCCACCTCGGATGAACGAGGGCCTCGGCGCCGAGTTACGGAGTCGAATGGGCTTTGGTGTTGTTGCGTAAATGGAATCTCAAAGAAGGGGGGGGGGGGGGGGGGGGTTGCTGTGGACAATAGTTGCGGGAGGAGAGGAGAAGATGAGGAGATGAGGAGATCTGGTGCCGGCATGGTCATGGCGTCATCGTCACCGCTTAGACATGGGGTTTCTGCACCCAATGCGCCTTGTCTGGCTTGACTTGATCAGGAGATGCGTTTTGAAACCAGGAGCTTGAATGCAAGGACACACAGACATGGCAAGGGGAGTATGGAGTCAACGAGACTGGGCTTTAAATGAGCAGGAGACGACGCTAGAGGAAGGAATCTGTATTTCTATGTTACATTAGTAAGACAAGAACCTCAAATCCAACACGCTGCTTGTGTAGATGGAAAGACAACAAAGAATATATAAAAAAAAACGACTGTGATCCTGTCGGTGCGTCATGTATGCCCCCCTTGTACGTGTATGGTAATACTGGGAATGACAGAATGACACCCTCCAACCCCATCCACTTCTCGTGGCCTCGTGATTAAGAACCGCAGATAGAAAAGGCAGGAAAAAAAAAGAAAAGCAAAAAAAAAAAAAAAAAAAAATAGGGGCCCTGTCATGGTCCCGCATGAGTTATATCCCTTATCGTATACCCCTCCGAAATGTGCCTTTTGCAAGGCGCACGCAAGTCTAGAAGCTGCGTCAAAGCTCTTTGCATGCCCAAGAGCTTCCGTGTATCCCATCCAAGGAAAAAAGAAAAACAGCAAAAGAAGAAAACCCGAAACAATATGGGAAAGGAAGTGGACAGACAGAGAAGAAACAAGCACGGCAAACGTGGGACCCCGGCTTCCAGAAGTTTACGCCCGATCTGGATATTCCGACAAAATCACCCTCGTTTGCTGCACATTCCATCGAGTCCGGTGTCCACATGCGTGTTTTAGAATAGCCTTGGCATAAGGGGGCCCCAAACATGGACAAAGCATAAACACAGCCAGGTTCGCGGCTCCAGCGCATGTCTCGGCAGTGATTTTAATGTTCAAGGCTGGCCGGTTTGCTTCCATCCTTTCACGTCATTCCTGCCAGGGGGACCCCCATCAGCCGCACCCTTTGCCAGAAGACTTTTTGGTCTTTGCAGCAGAAACGAACAGCCCCGAAAAATCCTCCAGTGGGAGGGCCAGCCCTAGCATGGCATCAATCAAGAACATGGCTGACCATTTGCAGCAGCGTAGGCGCATGCAGTGCAGAGTGCGCAGTTGGAGTCAGCTAGAAATGGACAGTCGTGCGTCACGGCGTGAGCGCATTTCTTATTGGAGAAGGATACAATGCCAGGGGTGAGGTTCTCAAAGTATATGTGAACGTCCTCTTCTATTGGTCCGCGTGATGACAATGGAGGTGGCATGGCTTGCCGTATGTCTCTGTCAGAGAGGCTTCTCATGTTGACAGAACGGATATGAATGTGATATAAAGGGCCCCGTTGGAGCTTTAGCTGCTTCGCTAATTCAGCCTCTTTAGTTCAGAAAAGCGGTAGTCTGCGTCCGCAAACAAGACTTATCGAACAACAGCTGGAGATTTGTATCGAAGAGTTCCGTAGACTGCTCTGCCTGTGGAGTGGTAGAGGAATAAAGGAAAGGAAGAATGCGTCCAATGGTAGGTGTGATGAGAGATGTACTGGTGATTGTGACAACAAAACCTGGGATATGACTGGCCTTATTAAAGTTTGGAAGAGGAGCAGGAGAACAATCCGTGGCCTTGATAAAGACAAATGAGGACTCAGAGACAGGGTTTCTGGCAGATGTAAAGCTGGCAGGCCACATGAACACCTGCTGCGGCGCTTACTAGTATGTGGATGAAGGGCAATAAGGCTGCTGTCAATGGATGCTAGTAGTAGTTCTTACTGTACATTGGTAAACTGGGTCAACTTCTCATGCTCCACTTCAAGATACAAAGTAGGGCTGAGGACAGGACCTGGAGTAAGGTGATGGGAGTGTGACTGGACGGGGAGTGTGAGCAGGTGAGGCGTGTGCAGGCAACGAAAAAAAACCGAATCATGGCAGTTGATGAGCAATCCATGCTCGCTTCGGCATGATGAGCGACGCCGCAAACGACGGGTGGGCAACCGGCCCCTGGTATCTGTATCTTGGTGTGTGCGTGTGTCCGCCGGTGTGTGCGCTAGGTGTGAATGAGTGAATGAGTGCGCGCGAGTGAGCGAGTAAGAATCAACAAGCGCCAGTAGAAGAGAGAGAAGGAGAGAGAGGCAGACAAGCCGGCCTGTGTGCGTGAGAGTTTTCAACACACCCCCCTCCATGAGTCTGGCCCTTCATCAGTCTCCACGCCGCCTCCGTGACGTACCGGCCGGCCTTGGGGAGGCTCCGTCGACGGGGAAAACAAGAACCGCCATGGATCAAGGAGGCGAGGTTCCGAGTCTTTGGGCATATATACTGGGGTAGAAGGATTACTCCGAATTAGGGACGGGGTTAGCTGCAAGGCTCTTCTTGAGGGTGTTCAGCTCAACCATGTTCTGCCGAATGCGTATATCAGGAGTGCCAAGCGCATACCTCTGCATACGAGTATTGCACGGAGCATGTATCATTGCTGCCTCTCGTGATATGACAAAAAGGGATTTGGTCACCCCTCCTCCTTCTGCTCCCCTCTTCCGGTAGGTCCATTTTGTGCCTGCCGCTCAATCAAGAGACGCACGCTCGCATGGCCGCCTCCCCTCTCTTTCTGACGAGTACCGTCATGTCCCGTTCAAGCCAAGCTGCATGCCTGTACACACACATCCGCGACCCAAACACCTTGAGGGCTGGCGGTGAGGCGCGGCGGACAACAGTCGCAAGAAGCTGGTTGCAGATTTGGTCACGTTCATAAGAGAAGCCTGTCATAAATGCCTAAATCCTTAGATTTCATAGCCACATCCCGATTCCGAGCCAGCCAGTGACGACGCCTCACCAGACCGGCCAAACTGGGACGGGGGCCGGGATTACCACAGATAGGTCCAGAAGGGATAAGTCTATACCAGATGGCCTGCTAATGGATGGCGGCAGGACGCCGCGGCACTGGCTGTTGCTCGCCTGGTGGTAGCTAAAAGACTGGCCTGGCCAATGGATAGGCGGGGATACCGCGTGGGAATCAATGCTTCTGGGCAGCCCGGTACGAGGGTGTCTCCAATTCAAAAAAGGCCACCCATCCATCCATTCAACCCTCCATCCCTCTCCATCCCCATCCATGCGACGGGGCGACCTTACCGAATGCCGGCCGAAGACAATGGGGGAAAGACGCCACAGGAGGCCATTAGCGAGACCGACTCAATGGGATTTTCTTTACCGAGAGAAGTGTTCGGTGAAGCTTAGTATAGGGCGGAGCTGGCTCCGTCGAGACGCCCGTCAGGGTGGTCGTCAAAGGTACTCGGTGAATGACGAGAAAATTTCCCTGTCGCCACCATTATTTTGCGAGCGTACTTCGATGTATCACGGGTGGAACAGATAAACAGAGAAGGAGCGAGCCTGAACTGGGCACATGTAGGGCCATTGCGTAATGCGTATTGTAACTGGCTGGCATACGAAGCGTATTCATCCTGACGGTACGAGTACGATGTAGGTAGTCACTACCTATGCCAAATTAAGCCAACTGAGGTAGCAGTTCATGTATCAGGTAGAGAGCAATTAGGCCAAGGCGATGTGATGCAAGACGTCCCGGGCTTAGTTTGAACGTACAGTACGGCACGGAGTTGATTCCTGGGATAGGGCAATGCCACGCCGGCTCCTTGTCAATGAACCAGGCTCTGCTCTCAGCTGTGCTGTGCTGTGCTGTGCTTAGCCAAGACTGGCGATTGTCGATGGTCGCGCACGGTTCCGATACGGCGTTGACTCTGCCGTGGGCCATGTGCGGGCTTCGGGCAGCGCAGCAAGCCATCGGCACTCGTTGGAGACGCCTCCGCAAAAAGGGACCCCCATTAGAGCGGAACCGTCGCACTTGCATGTCTCACACCCGCAACGGATTCCGCTTCTTCTAGAAGCCGCAGCACAGGCATGCCGAGACAGCGGCGAAGGAAGGGCGCGATGGCGAGGTGGCAATGAGGGAGGAGAGAAGATGGAGAAGAGCGCAGAAAGTCAGAGGTCAGAAGTCAGAAGTCTGAAGCCTGAAGCCTGAATCAGAGTCATTCGGTGGTTCGGCAATTGGGGCAACTGACTCTGATGACGACACAGCGCTCCAACGTGCCTTCCAGCGGCCGCTGAGGCCAAAATCACTTGACTCGGCACTCACAGCAGGAGCAATCCGCGTCCACGAACAACAACCTATCAAACACAAGGTCGGTGTTACCGCAGAATACCGCAATATTACCGTAAAGGGCTGCTAGCCCTGTATTAGGAAGCATATGCGCATTTACGAACATTAAATGCCCGCTCTGCTAAGCGGAAAACAGACATTTACTACTTGCCTTGGCAAGAAGAGTCAGCAGTCACAGCCGTTTACCTCCTCTAACGCTGCAATTGGAAGGCTCGACGATAACGATGACTCTAACAGGTCCCAACAACTGGTGGATTCGACGATTCATTCTCCTCCGCCTCGCAAATGGCTCGGAGAATTTTGATCCACGACATGACATGCCTTTCATCCCGACTCTCACGCGGCCTCGCAATCGACTGGACCCTGGCTTATCAGACGGACTTCGCCTGATCCTCCGGGCTTACAAGCTTTCTCTGGGCTTTAAGCTATCGCCGCAATCTGTTCAAGGGAAAAAAGGCGTCTGACCAAACTACGACCGGTTGGTACTAGAACATGCGGGTGGCTGGGCCAGACTGTCGGGAACAGAGCTTTCCTCCTTCGACTACGGTACATAATTTGCAAGCAGCCCAGCATGGCCATTCAGCTCTTGTGCCTGTTCTAGTGCAAGCCAGTCTCTAGCACGGCTGCGCGCGCGCTGAGGAATCCCTGCGCCCCGTCTGATCATTCCTAGACTTGGTAGTGGCCGGAGGTGCTACATTAACCTACTGTACAGGCAATGCCGTTGTGTCAATGCCAGTGCAGATTGAGACATGTGAGACGAGGCAACGAAAACAACGACTAATTACGACTACATTGGGGTTCTAGTTCCACTGCAGACGCCTTCTCAACACACTTACGGAGTACAGAAGCTATATTTGCAACGAGGGCCAAGGCCAAGGACGAGACAGGCGCAATGCTACTCTTGCTCCAATCGATCTAGATCCCTGGCCAAGACGGACTTCCGTCATGTTTCTAGAGCTCACGCTCGTCACACTCGTACATACATGTACTTGAACACGAACCCCGAGCTCGTGCTACGTGACAGACAACAAACTTACGGCATCGGCATCTTCTGCCGGAAAGCTGAACAGTAGCTCTCGTGCCGTTTTGACCCATCAGGCCAGGATCAGCGCACCTTTATGTTACCCAAGCGCTACAGCCTCGCAAGCATACAAGTATCAATGCACTCTTGTTGTTTGATGACAGAGTTGCCATGTCCAAGGCAATGATGTGTTTTAACCAGTGTTAACACTATCGGTTGTCACGCTGTCATAAGAGAGATATAGTATCCACCCTGGATTCATATGGAGAAATGTGTGATTCGCTAAATCGAGATGCGTTTCTCTAAGCAAACGCTAGAACCAAAGACGACTCGCATCTGACAAGCATCATCCATATTTGGTCCATCTCAACATGATTGGACCGCACTGCTGGGGGCCGGCCATGTCGCGCTCGCATGCGGGCTTTTCTTCTCTCTCTCTTGCCTCGTTTTCTGATCTCATATTGCTTCCTGTGTTGGCGTGATATTATCGCGGTATCGCCAATCCCTCATAATGCAAAATAGAGCAGGGCTATCATGCTCACTTAGCGAGGACGTACCTGTACGCCCACATGCCGTTGCCGCCGCCGCCGCGAGCCCAGATCTCCGGTTTCCGAGGTGCCGCTTCGATGTGGAGGTGTGTCTCACTCCCACTCCTTGTCTTTTGTTCTCGCTCTTATACGAGGACTCCGTAATAGCCGTACCGTCAGAGCGATGGGCACAGGGGGTGTTGTTATGCTGCACAGCCTGGGGGCCTGGTAATCGAAATTCCTGCGGGTGCCTAAATCGCATGCAGTGTTTTCCATGGCGATGGCTATGATTTCCTTGCCCAGCCTTCTTGCTACGTGGCGCAATATGGCCACAAGGTGCAGCCGGGAGTCTTTTACAAGCCGCTGAAGCCGCTCCTGCGACACGCCATGGGCCTTGTCTATGTGTTTCTTGGCCCATCGTCATACATTTTTCTTGAACTCTCATGGGGCTGAACGCCTGGACCGTGATTGGTCTTGTCTGTGGTGAAGGATAAGCCACCCTGTGTGAAGAAAACCCTAGCTTTGGCTGTTTCATCGTTGTTGCTAACCATCATCCCCTGCCCGCCCAGTTTCCTCGAGGCTGAAAGGACGAGGTTTTCGGGAATCGTCATATACTCGCGCCTAAAACGGACAGTCAACTCCAAATCTATTTCACACAAAATAACGCCATAACGCCATTACCCAGCCCTTCAGCGCAGGGCCAGGATAGCTCACCGTGAAGAGTGCATCTCGCGGACCAAGATATTTCGCCGTACTATGGCTTCATCTTTCAGAGCAACATCACATCTCATACAAGTAAGCCTCGTTTATACTCGGTATCGTGCTATCGTGCCATCCTCGCATACATGGCTTAACGGGTACCTTTGCTCCAAATCCCAGCAGTGTGGTAATATTAAAAAAAATGCCTGGAGGCTAAACAGAGCTATACCGCCCCCGAGGTGTTTGCTGATAATACAGAGCGTGCGCGGTTGACTCGGTAGGTTACACTGCCCGCTCTGTCATGTTTCTGCCCAATCGTATATATGACCGATAACATATCAACTTTGTTGAGATTTGGCGTCATCATTCACGCCTCTTCCAGGCAGATGATCTGAAATTCGCCCCAACTCAGTGGCAGATGATCCGCCCTGGCCCGCCCAGCATTCACGAACTGCTGGTACGAATATGGGAGGCTAATTGAGCTAGATTGGATGTTTCATTCAAGCATCCTACGTCAACAACTGTGGGGTGAGATGAGAACTGAAGCGGCTTATGCGCACACTTACACTATGCCAGCGTGGCTGTTTTGCTCACTTACAGCTATTATTGTGCTTGTTCATTCCCCTCTCAGCGCAACCTAGAGATTCACCCCATGCCCTGTTTATTGCCTTCTGACTATAACAGGGGAAGCCTGACTCTTGCGCCTGGTGCCAGGCAAGTTTCTGTCTTCAAGCCGTGTCTCCGCAGGTGTGGCGCCATACAGTACCTATATGACGCCTTTCTTCTAGCCCCCCCTGGCTAGGGAACTCACAACATTGGACCTGAATCCAGCATCTCGTCCTCTTCAGCCACATGGCGCCGCCGATGTGGTTTCGTTATAATCTGCTACAACTGCCACGGATATGGGTGTCTGTCGGCGCCTCTGATGTTAGTGGCGTTCCGGCCTAAACCGCGACAATTCCGTGGTTTAAACACACACACCCACCACACCGGACGAACTTGACATGTCATAACTATTCTTATGCAAGCCGACTCAGCCGTAATGCCCAATGATGCTTGTTTGACCACAAGATCTGTTGTGCCATGCTTCTATCAGCCTCAATCAGAGCCTGTCTGGCCTTGACGTCGTCATCACCGCCCCCGTCGCCACGCATATGCGTATGCACAGGTAAAAGGCAAGGCGACGGTAAACGACGTACTTGCACTGCTTCTACCTTGGTACACTTATATCTAGAAATTGGGCTAAATGCTCCTGATCGATGAGATCTAACTCTGGCGCCACGGCCGCTCAACTCTCTGGAATGATCTAACCCCTGACCAGTATCTGATTGTCCAGCTAGGTCCTAACGGGACGCGAGCTAAACAAATGCTCTTTGCAGACATCATAGAGAGGACACAACCCGCCTAGACGCTAAAAAGGAACTGCTACGTAATAGGCGAAGAAGGTAAGACGAGCTGAATCAACCGCAACTGGAATATGTATGTTCTGGCTGAGCTTGTAAAGGGTCCGCGGGAACTTCGCTTGTCTGATAAAATACTACTGGTAAGACGGGAAGGTGTCGACAATGTCCTACTGAACTGCCGAGATGGATGCTTATAGACGACGCATCGGTAGAACGCTTTAACCAGTTAACCATCAAGCTTTTTAAATATAGTAAGCGATGCGAAGGCGATGTCGATGCACGGGACATCTGATGATCAAATCGATATGGGATGCCAAGGAGGAGCCGCAGCAGCAAAATTCCCATCACCAGGCCATGCTACAGCACTAGTAGTCCATCGACAATCTTACATGCATTTCATGCAACCCAGATACGCCACCACCCTTATGCGCAGCCGAAGTGTGTTTCAAGGTCGATTGCACTATATTCCGCGTTCCACTCAATGTTCCGTACCTCGTGTCCCGTCTTGTTCATTGCACCCCTCCCCAAGCTGAACTAAGCCGGACCGTGGGTTATTTTTATTCGACGATGAGTGTCTAAACTCCCTGTCTGACGCAACGCCAGCGGTTGAGATGAGGAGAAGCAGCCAGATAGGACGACCTTCGCGTGGATCAAGGCTTTGGAGAATGAGTTGGTCCAAGGATACCTTGACTTACCCAATAGTGCCTGTCTGCTCCGGCGGTTAAGGATGCTAATCTGATATAGGCATTTGCATGAGTACGAAGTTGTACTACTGCGTGAAGTTGCTGCTACCTTTGCCATTCATGAAGCGGTTGCAAGACTTGCATAGTTCTGGTATTTCAAGCTCTTGCTACTTTTCTTAGGTAAACTGTCTGTATTGACACGACGAGACTATGGATCTTGCTTCTCCATCTGGCAAAATCCTATCTGCCTTTACAAGACATAACCTCCTCAAGCATTCGCCCACTTACCTCCACCGCGATTCAGATACCCTTGGCAGGGTTGCACAAGCGGCGAATATAAAGCGAATAGTAACCGAAGTTGATTACTGGCAGGTAATATTGATAAGCCGCGTAGCTCGGTAGCAAGCCTAGCAATTCTCAAAATAAGAGGCCTGACCTGGTCCTGTCATCCCGTCTTTCCCATGGGGACGGGCCTTTGTAACTGCCTGGGAAAATCTCCCGCATTCCCGGGCTGATGCTTATTTACTGATTTATGCTCTTTCCCCCCTCTGTGGCAACAAGGGGAGGGGAGCATGGGAAGATACCCCGCCTATATTATAAGACAAACAAAAAGAGAGAGAGAGAGAAGCAAGGAATGAATACATACCCTTGAAACTGGCTCCGCACGTTTATCTGGATCTGTTCAAAAGTACCCGTGTGTAAGGATACGCTGATGTACTCCCGTATTTTGGCTCTATTTGCTGCTTGGCGCGGCATAGCTCCTGGCTTAACTTACGTGATGCCACATGGTTTGATGACATGCGGTTTATTAAGAATGAGAAGACAGGAAATAACGCTAGGAAATAATACTCGCCAGCGCCCGCTCAGCTCAAGCCACCCACATGTTCGCCGATTCTTCTTTGCTTACATGACTGCTTACGGGGTTCTCAGCTTTCAAGCAGCGTATTTTTGCCTAGAAAGAACGAGGTTGGCTATGGAGTTTACGAGAAGTAATCAAAAAATAATTGAAACCAAAGGGGAGCCAATAGCGAAGCAAGAGAGCAAGACAGTTCCAAGCCCTTAATCCTTGCCTTATTCTCAGCTTCATTGGGGAATATCATCTACTACTACTACTCTTGTTGCCAAGTTTAGCTCGTCGCGGTGAGTTCCGATGCGATTAGAAAATAAGTGATTACGAAATGTAGAGGTTTCAGCTTGCTTCGATCTCGAACCAATCGCTATTTTCTCAAGGCTCATGTGACTCTGTGACTACAAAATCTTACTTGAAGCGGAGTCATCTCTCAGCTTTCCTGCAAATCACGGCCCGTGTCGACTTGAACTGCTGGGACTGGGGCGCGAATACTGCCCTTTCAGGTTCGCGTAAACCCTCTTGTTGGCTTCATGTAAGGCTTGGTAAGGCGGCATGAGATGCACCTAATATGATGCTACCTTCCTGGCGCGGTCCGAGCCATTCCCCAGGGGCCGAAACTACCACCCCCTTTCCTTGCTTCCGAGAGAGTCGATATCTCTAGAATGCAACGGGGGTGCATGAAAAGAGCGGAGTATGATCGCCCGCTTGTCAGCTTTCCTGGGAGCCTCACTATCCGAAATCCGGGGACGGGGTCTTGACGATGATCCTCGACCGTGTAAGTGGAGCCCGAGGCCGATAACCATAACGCTAGATACCATGGCAAAGAGCCATGGGCAATGGGGGTGTGATGGGTATGCATGAAGGTGTCACTGAACCCACGCCGAGCAGAAATCGACGGGCTCGTATTTGCAGTCGAGTACGATGAAGAAACTTGGTGTGGTTAGTCGGTAATAGTTGACGGCTGAATACCTACATACATAGATATGTAGGTTATCACAAAGATAAAGGAGCCCGTTGGTCACGTTGGGGCGTGCCTTTTCATCACAAGACCCGTTCAACTGGTAAACCTTGTTGTTTTCCCATAGGAAGGTGCATAGGTGTAAAGCAGGTATTTACCAATGCTACCCTGCTCGGCCGTTGACAAGGGTTCGGTATCCGTGTTGAGAAGTCAGCCGGGCCAAGTTGGCGGCGACCCGCTGCCTGTCGACAGAGATTCCCTCCAGTAGACGGCCAGAACAGGCCTTTGCATTGCATACCGGCGCACTGCTATCGTATTCTCATCCTCACATCGGGATAAGCAGCTCAATATTCCATGTCGGGGGACCATCAAAAAGCAGGCTTACTCGCATTCGATGCGAGGGGAAGACAAGGTTGGCGAGCCTCGTGATCGATTTCTCGATGAAGGAGCTTTGAGCCGTGTCCATGGTGTGAGGCCTGACACCAAAACGGTGCGTTTTCCCTATCTACTACCAGCGTATCGGTATTAGATATGGCCACCGGGAGTCGACAACTTCATGCCGCCAAGCACTAGCAGCCTGGGCAATTAACCGTAACAGCCGGTTTTGTCCGTTCAAACGCCACAGGTCAGAGACTGATAACATCATGGACCTGGGAAATTGTGTCAGTGCGGGATCTCTGGTGGTGCTAAGTGTTGAAGCGGTGAGACTTGTTCTCGACTTGCAAGAAGCCTGGATCTATGCATCAAGGGTAGGTGCGCACAGTGGATTTGCAAAGCAATAAGGCCAAGTGACTCTGACGGGGGCATCGCAGACAGTACCCGAGTGAGAAATCACATCACCAGAGGATTCGTCTCTGCTGTGCTTGGTAGTGGAGATGATGGCACCTGAGCGATGATAGGCATGGTTGATCTCGATCTGGGCTTATCGGCGATGAAGTGTCCTGATAAGGCCGGATAGGCGGCCTTGATGGAGCACGTTCCTCCAGGACCTCGGAGGAAAAAAGAGAGCTTGCAGGATGAAGAATCCACAGCTTGGCGGCATGAGGCATCACGTTCTGTGGCGGCACAGCCTCGGCGGCCCTTGGATAGGCGCTAGGCAGAGATTGATAACGGAAGAGAGAGAGAGAGAGCCCTGGAACGGAAGAGAGGAGAGACGTGCTCCTGTCCTGCGTCGGTGTTTGCGCTGTGCTGCGCTGCGTTGCGTTGCTTTGCTGGCGGGAGGCATCCTCTTGTCGCCCTGCTACATTAAGTGTAATGAATGTTAGCACCTACTTCGGTAGTGGCACTAACAGTGTAGGGATGGAAGCAATGAGGGGTTCGTCGTCGTTCTGGTCGCTCTGGAGCTTGCAGAGGTTAGGTTTTCCTTGCAGCAGAACCGGTACCTGCTCGCGAGCTATCTCTACAAGCTGCGCAAGCTTCCCAGTTAGCAGCGTCCAGCCAAATCACATGCGGCTGCTATTCCTCGGCTACGGGTTGCGTGTACAGCGCAATAGCCCCTCCGTCACCCGCCCGCCAAACGCAGCTACTGCTAAGGTATCTGCCCCTCACCGCCCCTCTCACAAGCCAGCTCAAACAACGGTTTCTCGCCCTCCAAAAAAGCTCGAGTCTTGGTCGATGCAAAGCCGCAGATCCAATTGAAAGCTGTGCAAAAGCTGCAGAGCGAAGCGCCGGCCCACAGCTTGCTCCACCGCCCGGGGCCACAGAGAATCTGGCCAGAACTCGCTCCTCTATTCTGCTCTGCTCTGCTCTGCTCTGTGCTTTCCTTATTGCAACTCTGTCACCATCTCCTCCTCCCTTGACCTCAACCGCCAATTGACATTGGCAGCTCCGTCAAGATGTCCAAGCCCACGAGCGTGACGGGCAGTGAGAGCGAGTTCGAGTTCATCGAGACTCCCAAGGCCACCGCCCCTACCTTTGAGAAGGAGGAGGACTGCGGCGTCCGCACCACCAAGGTACGTTTTTTTGTTTACCTACTTATGTTTACGCCGAGCTACCTCCATGGACGTCCAATGGCGTGAGACATACTATATGCTGCATGTCCAGCTGCAGCATCTCAGCAGCCTGCCCCAATTGGATCTTGAAAGAGTAGTAAGCTGATTGCTTTTCCTCTAGTACCCTGCCATCAAGAATGCGCCCCTCCCAGCAGATGGACCGGGTTCCGACTCTTTCAACAACAAGATCCTGCTCTCCATCCTGGGAGGAGTCCCTTTCTGGTTGATGTGGAAGGTTGGCGGTGGCCTCAAGACCTTCATCTTCTTCGCCCTCATCTTTGATCTGCCCATCTTGGCAGGATGGTGGCTCACCATCTCCGCCATCTCCCCTCGTAAGACGGACAAGGCCAAGTTGCCTGGCCGTCCCGTTGAGTACTACCTCGACTTTAAGAAGGAGGCCGACCGTCTCAAGTACCATGGCACCAGCAAGATCCCCATGGAGACCTTCCACGAGATGTACTTTGACGGCGATGTTGACTTCAAGGGCGACTGCCTCGAGGTCATGGAGTACCGTCACGACTGGGCCAGCTTCCGTTTCACCGTCAGCCTCATCAAGTACTTTTTGACGGGCATGATTCCTGAGCTCATCATGCACACTCGCTCTCAAGGTGAGCCCCCCTCACGCATCCTATCGTCGTCTCTCCTCATTGTGAACACATGTGCTGACGTTGTCCTTTCCCCCCTCGTCTAGATGAGGAACAGGTCCGAGACCACTATGACCGCGGCGATGACTTTTACGGCTGGTTCCTCGGCCCTCGCATGATCTACACCTCTGGTATCATCTCTGACATCAACTCTGAGGAGACCCTGGAACAGCTCCAGGACAACAAGTTGACTGTTGTCTGCGAGAAGATTGAGCTCAAGAAGGACGAGCGACTGCTGGATATTGGCTGCGGCTGGGGCACCCTCGCCCGATTCGCTAGTGAGAACTATGGTGCCAAGGTTACCGGTATCACTCTTGGTCGCAACCAGACTGCCTGGGGCAACAGCGCTATGCGCAAGGTTGGCATTCCCGAGGAGCAGAGCAAGATTCTGTGCATGGACTACCGTGACATTCCCGTTCCCGAGGGCCGCTACAACAAGATCACCTGTCTTGAGATGGCTGAGCACGTCGGTGTCCGTCACTTCTCGACCTTCCTCACCCAGGTTTACAACATGCTTGACGACGATGGTGTTTTCTTCCTCCAGATTGCTGGTCTTCGCAAGGCTTGGCAGTATGAGGATCTCATCTGGGGTCTCTTCATGAACAAATATGTTTTCCCTGGTGCTGATGCTTCCACTCCTCTCGGCTGGGTCATTGACAAGCTGGAGGGCGCTGGCTTCGAGGTCAAGGGTGTTGACACCATTGGCGTTCACTACTCTTCTACTCTCTGGAAGTGGTACCGCAACTGGATGGGCAACCGTGACAAGGTTGAGGCTAAGTACGGCAAGCGATGGTTCCGCGTAAGTATTTTCCTATTGCTACATGCTTGATACCAAGGCATTACCTGTGCTAACATTGTTGACTGCAGATCTGGGAGTACTTCTTGGCCTACTCCACCATTGCTGCTCGACAGGGTACCGCTACCTGCTTCCAGATTGTGCTGGTGAAGAACATCAACTCCACTCACCGAGTGGAGGGTATCCCCAGCCAGTTCGCCCTGTCTGGAGCCTATGACAACTCCGAGGCCGACATCAAGTCTTGGGCCACCAAGAACAACGTCACCTCCTCCACCGCCTACCTCTCGTAGACGGGAGTCATGTGGCATGTCTCTATATAGACTGAATTTTCAACCGCTTGCTATCTCTTTTGGACAGACGCATTGAAATTTCGTCGTCGGGCAATGTCAAGGGTATCTTGCAGCCACCTTTCACTTCGTTTCAGTATGGAGAAACGGGTTGAAGTGAAGAAATGGTTGCTCGTAGTGTGGATTAGTTGAGGTGGCACGGGCAGTTGTTTTAATGACAGTCACGACATCACCTTTTATTTTCTGATTGGTATGAGGCAAACGGATATGATACTAGGCAAGGCTAGGTTAATGAAGGGTATTAAAAATTGCAAGCTCCCATCTCGCGATGGTGTGCACGAGTGCTGCAGGATTAGTTAGGAATAGATTGATTCTATAAAAAAGGACTTTGTCTAGATTGTTGGGCCAATCGTTTATTTTGCTAGTGACGAGCTTTTACGACTTCTTCACCTTGGTGGATGAGTGATCCAAGCATCTTCTAATAGCTGCCTCTCTAGATGATTGCTTGTGTACCTTGACGTCATACTAGTATCCCGCGCTTCCCGTGTTTGATGATCAATTCGTATAGACTAGACTAGGAAGAATGTGAATCATCAAAAAGGTTAATCTCTTATAAGTCGTGATTTGGAAAGGCATTTCATGCGATTCCGATGAGTGCCGCTCATAGCCGGATGTACAGCTCTTGGGGTGCATTGGACCGAGGTGCTCGATATCGATAAGCCTTATGGCAGATGGGAATTGACGTACTAGAACTATATCCTGACACTTTCAATGGCGTCCATCTTTAGCCATCTTCTCTCGCATAATATACACATACATATTTTATCTCTCTTTCTTTTAAAAATTGATATATACACAGATTTAATACATATACTATGCCGCGCAGAAGGCTAGCAACAAGGCTCTTCTGCCGCCGCGAATGGCAGTGCATCGCCTCAGTCCACGCCTCGGCCAGAGCACCCTTCTCATCGCATTCAAGCAGCTGCAGCCCGGTCAATGTCCAAGAAATGAAGAGCAGGCCAGCAAAAGTCATCCACGACTATCTTATTCCCATGCCGTCCCATCTACTCACCACGACGCTGTCTGATCTCTTGCACACACCGCTTGCCTCGGGGTCGTCGATGGTGATGGAGGGGAGGACTTTGCCGCAGGGCCATCACTTGGTGTACTTCCCGCTGCAGACGCCGGCTTCGGGACTTGCTAGTGATGGCGCGGATCAGGATCATGCGCCCGACGAGGAGTTTACGAAGAGGCTGTGGGCTGGGGGGGAGGTGCGGTTTGGGGGGAGGAGGCTGGTGCTGGATGGGAGGCCGTGGGTTTGTAAGGAGGAGATTGGAGATGTGAGAGTTAAAGGGGAGGGATGGGAAGAGAAGGTTTTTGTTGATGTGTGGAGGAGGTATGGATTGGGGCATGATGGTGATGCTGGGGAGTGGGATATCGAGGAGAGGAGGACGCTGGTGTTTATGCGTAAGACGGAGCATCAGGATCAGGGGCCTGGTGGACGGCTTGTCAAGTGTGAGTGATTATGATATGACAGACATTACGGTTGGTCGTATAACTAATGCAACAAGACAGATGCTCATCCCCCTACACATTCGGCCTCTCTCATCCCCACACCAACGCATCTCTTCCACTTCTCGGCTCTCACGTACAACGCCCACTCCATCCACATCGACCCTCTCTACGCGAAATCCCAGGACGGACACCGCGCATTGCTCGTTCACGGGCCATTATCACTGGCACTCATGCTCCGCGTCCTAAACGACCATGTTGCGCCAAAGGATGGCGGCGGAGTGGTCAAGTCTATTGCGTATAGAAATTATGCGCCGTTGTATGTTGGTGAGGAGATGAAAGTTTGTGTAAGACGGACGAAGGGTAATGCAACTAAGGAGGAAGAGGAATGGGATGTTTGGATCGAAGGGCCTGAGGGGGGATTGGCTGTGAAGGGCAGTGTGGTTGTGGGAGCGAAGTAAGCGAATCTGTTGTAGATTGTTTTCTAAACGGGGAATGAGTACGGAGTACATATGTATATATATCTGGATTGTTTTGCTCTATATCCTTTCCATCTATTTAGGTTACCATTATATGTACTAATCCTATTTTCTCACAAAGCTCAAACACACATTGCTTGTTTCAGCCCCAGCCTAGACTAACGATTCATGCTAGGAAAACACAACAGCTCTTGCAAATTCTATCCTTTATTAGGAGTATCTATGCTAGGAGTAAATCACAGCTTATCAAATGCGATACTCTACCTATTTATTCTAAATCCTTTCCCATTCCACCCATCATGATCAACCAATGCTAGCATAGTCATCGCGCAAATCATTGCTATGAATTACAAGGGTTTCTTCGTAGCCACGTATATCTAAGTGTTCCCCTGACTTACAGCTCATCTTTCTTGAGGTGGCTCTTCTGCTTGATCTTCTCGCCGCTCAGGCTACGCAGGCGGAAAGCCTTGCCAGCATGTCTGGGCACGCGCACATCGAGGCGGCCGCCGGACTTGATAGTGTCAACGCGCTCACCAAACAAACGGGGGTCCTCACGCTTCAAGCCTTCGGCATAAGAAAGCTCGGTGGAGTTGTACCATCCCAGCTTCTGGAGCTTCTGCTTCCGTCCCTCGGCGCTGTTGGCGTCAAGGATGGACTGAGCATCCTCGTTGCTCATGGCACCACCAGTCTTGCCCCAGAGATCGTGGACGGCCCAGTCCTGCTTGTTCTGGGGAGCAGTGCCACCGACACCGTTGGTGAGGAAGATTTCCTCGAGAGTGGCGCCCATGTCAAGGTCCTCGTTGGCAAAGTTGAGGAAGACGAGGATCTGGTCTCCGTTGGCGAGAGGGCCGCTCCAGATGTGAGTCTCACCAACACCCCACTCATCCTTGGGGACGTTGAAGTTGCGGCGAATACGCTGAACAGCGCGACCTCGGGGGTCCTGGTTGATGGCAATGACGGCAGGGTTGGTGACAATGGCAAGGTCAGAGCCTGACCACTTGCGAAGATCAGTGCCGAGGAGGAGGGGAGCCTTTAGCGCAGCCCAAATCGTGAAGTGAGCTCTGTACTGTTCGAAACTGTTAGTTATCTACGTTTTCGTATATGATATCCCATTAAAGAAACAAAAAACTTACCTCTTCCTCAGTCTGGCCACCGTGGCCGACTTCAAGCATGTCAAGATCGTTCCAACCACCGGGGAGACCACGGTCGATGTAAGGCACGACGCGGTTGATAATGGCGAGCACCGAACAGTGAGTGCCAGGAGCAATGCAAGCCGGGTTGGCGGGGTCGTTGCAAGAGCAAAGATCATCCGGGCGAGCAAAAGAATCATAGATGTCGCCGAAAATGCGCCATGAGTTACCAATGGACGCAGCCCACTAAACAGTTTGACGCGTGTTAGCCTCCCTGAATCTGTAACTGACGGACGCAAGGATTTAGCAGGGCTTACGCTGTAGGAATAATCTTCACCCCAGTTGCAAAGACTGTAGAAGATGTTCTTTCCGGTGGCCTTGAGAGCTTCTGCCATCTTGTTGAAGCGCTCAAAGGAGATGAGGGGAGTGCCGAAGCGACCCATGTGGTAGCAGTTGTCGTACTTGAGGTAATCAACACCCCAATCCGCAAAGCTCTGGGCATCATCCATCTCGTGATCCAGCGAACCGGCTATCTGAAGGTTAGAGACGCCGAAATATTCGCTTGAGCCGACTCAATTGTCGTGAGAATTTAGAGCAACTCACCATATCGCGCGCAAGTCAGTTCACCAGCGCTGGAGTACATGCCGAACAAGAAGCCCTGGGAATGCAAGTCATCCGCCACAGCAGCCATTCCACGGGGGAACTTCTTCTTGTCTGCAATGAGCTTGCCCTTGCTGTCACGTCCATCGGACCAGCAGTCGTCTAGCACAACATACTCATATCCCAAGTCTTGAAGGCCATACTCTGTGATGAGCTTGGCGTGGTCAAGCAGCAGATGCTCAGAGACGTCACAACCAAAGGAATTCCAGTTGTTCTAGTATCAAAGTCAGTAAACCTCTCCATCATCCCTTGGAAACTCATTCGAATTCCTGGGAAAACGGAACGAAGGCTTACCCATCCCATCTGCGGGGTTCTTGCAAGGCCATTGTCGATTGCCTCTACGACAATCGCCGAGACCGCGACAGCCAGCGCACCTTTGGAAAGCATCTTGTACCTGCAAGATGAGTTTGAAGTCCCCCAGCTAAAAAATGAATGATTGACGACGCTTTCGAAAAGCCCTACAGAGCAGAAATCCTCACAGATAGGGACCATATAAATACAGAATTCTTCAATCCCTCCTAGACAGCTTCAACGCTCACCCCGCCAAGCCACCTATCCACCTATCCACCCCAGGGTCTATACACGGAATCCCGTTTTCCTGATGCGGGGTTCCAATTGGGGATATCACGAGTATTTGTCCGATGCCACGAGGGTTTTCCGCCTTCCTCATAATGTGTCTAGCAGCCCGGTTTAGCAAGAAACGTGGTCACGAGGAAACTAGTGGCCGATCGCCCGTCTGTTGGAGAATTGTTCGGGGTAATTGTGCAGCGGCACGGATAAGAATGGTCCGAGGCCACGGAAAAGCAAGCCGAGGGCGTTACATCGTCATCTACGAAGCACTGCCGTTGAAAATTAGCCTGGTTGAGGGATTCTGAACCTGGTTACCCGGCCGGGACAATTTATTTTTGAAGGTTTATTTTGATCATGTTGCACTAATTCGCGGCTAAGTTGCGTTGTATTGCACGGTCGAAATGGATATTGAATCAATGGGGCTTTTGAAGTCTTTAGTCATTCGGCAATTCTCATCAGTGAGGGAGGGGGAAGGGAATCGTGTGCCTTGCCAAAGTTTGCCTGCTATTATTTGAATTTGAGGAAGAAAGAATAGTTTTAATATGGCATTCTTCAATTTTATTTCGTACACTCGACTATTGCTTCTGGAGAGAGATTACGGCGTGGTCTGCTGAAGGAGACTGTTTCTTATTGTATGCCTAATCCTCTATTCAAAAACGACCTCAAACAATGTACCAGAGTCTCTAGAATTCCATAGAGTTATGCGGCGCTCTTATTAGCAGCTTCTATACCCCGTGGAGAGAGTTAGGATTAACATAGACCAACGAGGATCTCCTTCATTTCAATGATGCTTCACTGCCATCCGGTACTTGATATATGTCGTATATGGCAGAGACATAAAATAGGTGCCTCAAATATCAATCGATCGGAGATGGCGATTGACTAAGCGTCCTATTCAGAACTTCTCTTGTCTGGGCACGGAACGCCGTCATCCACCATCCAATGCAAGTCGGAAATTTAGGTGCCTATGCAGGGCCGGAAGAGATCCTCTGATGAAGTAACCCTAGTTTATGCAGTGTGAGTTTATAGTTGTGTGGTGTGGGAGTTTGTGCAATCCATGATTGGTTGAATGTTGCGGATGAGGAAGGAAGGTCGATGCATGATTTCGAGACCCTGCATCATTGCCTGAACTGGAAAGAGATGGACAGATGATTCGTTGTCTTAGTTGGCCGTTTAATGATGTGCATACTAGCAAGACTCTTAAGAGTTGTTGGTTCAGGATGTGGATACTGCTATTCTTTTGGAGGCTGTAGCGAAGAACCTTTGCACAGTCGACAAGGTGTTGAATGAGTAGTTCATATGGCGAGATTTTTAAAGCATTTCTCTGCCCAGTTCTAAGCTCTATAATGTAGTAGAACATTATTTTCATTGTAAGTCCCTGTAATTTTCCGTAGATGAGCGGTATGCCTTCATATGATTCGAGCGATGTAGGACACGTTCGGTATGTCCACATTCTAGGGTATCTCTCGCTACTTTACTTGTCGCTCTGTTTCTTCTATTGTTTTTATAGTTTGAAAGTATGAATGTTTACATGATCACGCTGGACAGGTGTAATTTCAAATTGATTTGCAGTATCACAATTGGACCATCTCCCTCTGTGTAATCGACCTCGTCGTCTCTAGCATAGATATTGCTGCGATAGGATTTTGCTAACATCTCTGACCCGTTCATATCACCCGCTCATCTCCGACATGAATTATGCTTATTTGCGAATAATTTGAATATTTGAGCCTAACGAGTAAACTTGAGCGCCTGATAGTAGACTGTAGACGACTTTGACTCTTCTCAAGCTGCCATAGCGAGCCTTAGTATTTGATTGTATCTGAACATTTCCTATAAATACAGCGACCCAAAGATGTATTCTATCAAGACCACGACGCATTTATCAGTGTTTCCATGTTTGTAAAGCTCTATTACCACTCTCTGATTTCACCGTCCGGTCCTCTGAACGAGGGAGACTCCCACGGCAGGCAGTCCTTGGACAGCTTGCGGACCATGTCCTCATCGACTTCAATTCCCAAACCTGGGCCTGAAATCACGTTGATGTAGCCGTCTTCAACTTTCCATATTTCTGGGTTCTTGATATATGTCTCGATATCCTGCCCTGTGTTGTTGTAGTGGATGCCTATGCTCATTTCCTGGATAGCGAAATTGGACGACACAGCATCGACTTGCACGTTTGCGGCCAAGGCAATTGGACCCAATGGGCAGTGAGGAGCCAAAGCAACGTCGTATGTTTCAGCCATTGATGCGATGCGTCTCAGCTCAGATATACCACCGACGTGGCAGATATCGGGCTGCAGCACGTCCACACAGCCTGCCTCCAAATACGGACGAACGTCCCATCGGCTGTACAGTCGCTCACCGAGGGCAATTGGGACACTCGTGAGCTGCGACAGCTCCTTGATGCCGCCCAAGTTCTCGGGCAGCAATGGCTCCTCGATGAAAAGTGGTCGATGCGGCTGGAGGAGAGTGGCAAGCTGCTTTGCCATGGGTTTGTGGACACGGCCGTGGAAATCGACTGCAGCATCCATTCCAAGGTTTTTGACGACCTTTATCCTTCGCACTACATCGTCAAGCACTGATGGTGAGTCGAGCCAGCAAACGTCTCCTGTGCCGTTCATCTTGACTGCATGGAATCCTTGCTCTTTGCGAGCTAGGCTGTTTCAGATGATCAGTACCAATTGCAGGTGAAATAAACACAAAACAAAATAAATAATCAAAAACGGAATCAGATAAACCTATAAAGAAATCAATATTAAAACTTACGCTTGCTGTTCCACCTCATCTGGGCGGTCACCTCCAATCCAGGCATACACTTTGAGCTTGTGCCTCACTTTGCCTCCAAGGAGCTGATATATCGGGACACCGAGTTTCTTGCCTAGATGTAAGTCAGCTTCAGGCTGGCGCGCAGAATGAGAAAAAAAAAAAAAAATTATGCCATTCGATAATTCTTTCTCGCTTTGTTCATTTACCTTTTAAATCCCATAGTGCAATGTCGATTCCAGAGAGCGCACTCATAAAGACTGGTCCACCTCGATAAAATCCAGTCCGCCATGCCATTTGCCAGATGTGCTCAATGTCACTGTACATGAATTTGGTAAGCATGTTTCCTATTTGGTCCATATGCTGGATCCAATGGGACGTACTCAGCATCGTGGCCTTTGAACTTGTCGAACCACGCATCTAAGCATCCCTCGACCGCCTGTGTATGTCCCTCCAGCGAGGCCTCACCCCAGCCGACATTTCCATCCTCGTCAGTGACTTTTACGAACAGCCAGCGGGGCGGGACGCGAAAGTATTCCATAGATTTGATTCTCGCCATCGCGTCGATTTTGCCGTAATTTCCAACACAGTCACAATCACACTTTCATATGAATGTCGGTGAAAAGACAATCTTGCACTCGTGCCTTCTGGAACCTTTACATGCTTGTATAGTATCAGGTCCCCGGCGAAAAACCAGGGAGAAACATAAAAGAGCCATGTCGCCGCGGAACTCCACAGCCTCCTACGGCTTACCTCTTCGGGAAACAGGGTCCCCCGCTTGATTAAATGCTTGCCCCCACCATTCCCGTTGCTCTCCGGACACGGAAAAGCAGAGAGGGGGAATCGAATATCATGTGGGGGATGGAGCTGCTGCCCGGGAGAGTGTGGCCCGAGCAGCAAGGTCCGATGATCCTCCGACAGGGGAGTTATTTGAAGTGGGAGGACGCTCTGATGATGGGATGGGGGACAGCTTGAAGACTTGAGATACTTTGATTCCTTCGATAAAAGGCAGCGGTTTGGCATTCGTCAAGGCCGTATAGCGACACTCACAAGCTCCAGCTACAGAAATGGCCACCTCCGCATCTCAGACGGCACCGCCTCCGGGCGTCTTTGTGCCGGTTCCAACCTTTTTCAAATCGGCTGCTGATTCGAACGGTGCCGTCGAGCCCAAGGTCGATATCGAAACCCAGGTGGCTCATACCGTGTTTCTGGCCAAGGCCGGCATCACGGGCTTGACCATCCTCGGATCAACGGGCGAAGCCATCCATCTCTCCCGGAAAGAGAGATCCGACCTCGTTGCCGGAGTACGGGCTGGGCTGAACAATGCTGGCTTCGAAAATTATCCGATAATGGCTGGGGTGCTTACAAACAGCACCGAAGAGACACTCGAATGGCTGGAGGACTATGCAGCGGCCGGAGCCCAGTGGGGGTTAGTCCTGGCGCCTGGCTATTTCGGAAAGGCTGTTAATCAAAGTAACCTTATTGACTGGTTTACTTCGGTTGCAGATCGCAGCCCGATCCCCATTTTGATGTGAGTTCCAGGCCTCATCTCTCGTCCCGTGTGCAAGGGTCTGATGAAGCCAGATACAACTATCCGGGGGTTACGAATGGGCTTATCGCGGAACCGGATACATACAGAGCACTGGCCAAGCACCCGAAAATCGTCGGATGTAAAATGTGCGTGTTGTTTTCTAATCCTATTTTCCGTTGCGCTTCCGAGAGATGGCCTCTAACCTGAGACGTGGCAACTAGGTCGCATGGAGATGTTTCTTACCACGTCCAAGTATCCAATGACCCTCAGATCGATCACAGCGCGTTCCGGGTGTACAGCGGTTTCGGCCAGCAGCTTGGTCCGATAGTTCTGTTTGGCGCCGCGGGTGTGATTGATGGGCTGGCTGCCTTTTACCCCAAGACGGTCGTCAGGCTCATGACGCTGGCAAACCAGACATCTTTCACCGAGGATGTCTTGCGCGAGGTTCGAAAGCTACAGTTCGCTGTTAGCCGTGCTGAAGAGTTTATTGTGAGAACTGGAATCATTGGCATCCGTGAGGGTATCATTCGCAAGACTGGGCTGGGAGCTCTCGAGGGAGGCCGACTGCCGTTGAAGGGTCGACTGCCTGAAGAGAATTGGGCAGCGCTGCACAAGTTGTACCTATCGGACATTGAGCAGATAGAAAACACATTGTAAATCTAGCTAATATAGAACAACTCAATTCACTTCATTTGAGACAGCTGACGCGGATGCTGCTGAGATCCTGATACTCTGTTTGCTATTTAGAAGAGGACTGTCGCCTTTTTTTTTTTACTCTATTTAAAGCAACGATAAAGCTCTGACATGTGATTTTGCACATTAAAGTGAATAGCACGTGGCTTACACATAGCAATCTTTGAGCAAAATGAGGTGGTGATATGCAGTGCATTGAAGTCTACTCCCTACATCTATCTATTTTTCTGAAGCTTCAGGCCTTCACTCATGGGTCGCAGCTTCAAGCCCTTCTAGAATACAAACGACACCCTGCGCTCCAGGATCCGGTACCTGATCCCATACGTTCTCAGGCACATAAACGGCACGTCCTAAAGACGCCTTCATGCCTTTTGTTGCCTCCATGCCAGCTTTCGCCGCGGCAACAGCATCAGCCAGCGATCTTCCTTGTACTAAAGATTTGATGAACGGCTCTAGCGCATCCATAAGAGTTCTATCGCCCTGTCGCGCAGGCGTGGCCTGCTGCAGCTTTTCAAGAGACCTGTTTGCTGCTTGAACCCAGGCCTCGTGGTTCATAGAGCTTGACGTCGTAGCGCGTAGTTCCGCAGCTAATGCTGTGAAGAAGATGCTATAGATGGCTCCCGAAGTTCCATCAAGATCGGTTTCCATGATGCCGGCTAATTTATTTATTGTGCTAACCACGTCGGTTGGATCGGATATTTCATCCACGCGACTCATCACAGCTCTTGCGCCCCGCGACAAGGTCACTCCACAGTCGCCATCTCCAACAAGAGTGTCGTACTGAGTAATGAGTGGCTCTGTATCGATGAGGTTCTGGCATGATCGAAGGATTCCGCGTTTGAAGATCGCAGAGTCAACTACCAGCAATGAATTAGCGAATAGTTCTCGGGTCTTTGAAGACAAAACGACCACTTACATGCTATTCCAGAAGATTCAACAGCCTTCGCGTGGCCCTCATCCAAATTGACCTGAGCTAATGCCTCGGTAGGAGGCTTGTCATGTAAGCGGCTGACATTGAGAGCTCCCCACCCGGCTGCATTTGTAGGAGCTTCCAAATATCCGACCATCTCTGATGTTGCCTTAAGAAGGGTGATGCTGAAACCTGGACCGTTCAAACTCGTCATGTACGTTCCTGAGAGAACGAGGCTGGGAGTGATATTACGGGTTTCTGAAATGGTAAAAGAGTGTTAATCTCGTGGTTTGTAGCGAATAGACATTTTGACCTACTTATTGCTTGAACCACTTTACCAGTGATGCCACCAAATTCAAGCGGAGAAAGGCCACCCAGGTTGTTGATCATCAAGACAACATGCTGAGCATCGGCAAAGTCAACATATGCTCTATCTTCATCCTTGGTATCTAGCAGCTGATCCAGCATCATATTAATGATATCCGCCAGTGGTGGTCGAGGGCTTAGCAGCAGACAGCCTGGTTCATTATGGATTCCCATTCCAAGTTCCACTTGATCGCCAACGGCTGCGGGAGCTGCATCTCTACCGGGGATCTGAACATGCTCTAGTGATACTCCTGCTGTAACGAGATTCGAAACAACCTCGTTTCCTAGCTCCAAAAGCTTAGAGAGCTGCGCACCAGTATCACGACTGCAAGTTCCCAAGATCTTGTGAACCAACACTGTTCCGGCAAGACCACGGCGCCCAACCTTTCCACTCTTGCGACGGCCGACAGATACATCGTCACCAACAGTGAGGACTTCGACTGGGATTCCAAGAGCAACTCTGGCCTTTTCAGCTGCCAATCGAAAGTGAAACACATCACCTGTATAATTCTTGATGATGAGCAGCACACCCGCCGGTCCAGCAACTCTGGTGATCGCGGATAAGATTTGTGCAACGCTGGGGGAGGCAAACACGGATCCAGAAACAGCAGCCGTCAGCATTCCATCGCCAACGTATCCAGCATGGGCAGGCTCATGGCCAGCCCCTCCTCCGGATATCAGCGCAGTTTGAGAATCTTTACGATCATGCAGCCAAACAGCTAGATTCAAGGATGCGTTAGTTAATAGGGCAAAGGTTAGTCTGCATCGGAAACGCCATACTCTTTGTTGCTTGGTCTAGAGAAATGTCTGACCTGAGCAGGGCAATTGACTCAAGCCCGTCGAGAACTAGGGCCTCAGTGTTGTCATAGAAGCTTCTAACCATGGCGACTAAGTGATATCGTGCCTCAGGGTAGCTATTGGCAATGATTGGTCCAGTGGCGCAGGAACGTGAACAGCTAAACTTTGCCAGCCCATTGTAGGATATCTAGAGAGTCTTTATGAAATACTATGACGATAATAATTCGGGCAAATTTGAAATAGTATACAATGTATCGAAAACTTCCCTATCGATTTCATAATGCAAATTGAAACTCATGACTTGTATCACATCGCATTTCACATATCGGCCCCGGAGAGGGGCCTTTGATGCGGAGTAATGGCCAAGACAATGGCTGTACCGTTTCCGTCACAGGCTTCAGACACCGTGGAGGGTTAGTAAGGTTCCACGACAGCTTTTGTTCCGTTGCCTTCAAAAAAAGGCCGCGGATTCTTGGGCGGAACACGGCCAATAGTGCATCGGAAACAGTGGAGCTTGCCCGCACTCGGGACAACTCCTCCACATGGTGAACTTGTGCTTGCTCAGTCTGCTGACTGATGGAGTTATCGAAATCATCGCCAATATCTCTCAGGGCTTCATCGTTCTCACTGTAGGTATATAGTGTGTTTGAGAGTCAAAGGTATCGAGACTGGCTCATCCATCATCTCCATCTCTCTGCCCATCCAGCTCGCGGTCCACTGTTCACTTTCAGGTGCTTTTTACCCCATCTCGACTGCAGAGATAGTCAAAATCAACTTTGTGTCGGCGCCAACGTCTTGAATAGGGAAAGGATTATAAAATGGCATTTGCAGGCAAGGTTTACGCCATCACTGGTGGTGCCAGTGGAATTGGGTTAGCCACGGTGAAGCTATTGGCTGAGCAAGGTGCCATCGTGTGTTTCGCAGACGTCAACACAACCGCCCTGGCGGAGGCCGAGGCTTACATGAAAGAAAAGGGGGCAAAGTACTCGGCCACCAAGGTAGATGTGTCGAAAAAGGCGGAGGTAGAAGGCTGGATCGAGGGCATTGTCAAGACGTTCGGAGAGTTGGATGGCGCCGCCAACATTGCGGGCATAATCGGCAAGCACCACTCCATTCATTCGGTCGGGGAACTGGACGACGACGAATGGGATAAGATCATCGCGGTGAACCTGACCGGATGCATGTACTGCATGAGAGCTGAGCTCCGAAATATCAAAGACGGTGGCTCCATTGTCAATATGGCTTCGATCCAAGGCATAACCGGTAAGTGGCCATTTCGGTTACATGGTTTCATTTACACATCATCTGACGCCTAGCCACTCGACAGGTCTGGCCTATCACGGAGCTTATGGTGCCAGTAAGCATGGGGTTGTTGGCCTGACTCGGATAGCGGCCAAGGAGTATGGCAAGCGGGAGGTGAGGGTGAATGCAGTGGCCCCTGGATCAATCTACACGCCAATGATGCAGCAGTCCTGGGACGCGACTGGACGCCCTGCAGATGCCCCTTTTGATGATCCCACCGCCTTCCAGAGGCAAGGGAAACCAGAAGAGGTTGCCAAGGTTGTTCTGTTCTTATTGGGTCCTGACAGCAGTTTCGTCAGTGGTAGCGTTTACTCGGTGGATGGTGCATGGATTTGATTAATAGAATGTAACGTCAAAAATCATATGAGCTTTACACCAATTTCAGGATACCTTCGCGTAATATTTTGATCGTCAGCTACATTCTACTTTGATATTCTCAGATAAACGCCTGTTCAATATGTTGGACCATCACTTCACTCGACAAGAGTTCACACTCCGCTAAATATGGCTATTGAACTTTGCCTCCACATTGACAAAGGTCCGACAAGAGTGGCAAATATTTTCATACAGCTACGAAGTGTCATGTCTCCTTGGTGTATGGCCAGTTACACCCGTGTCCACCTGTTGTCACCCCAGCCTGCCAATAGGTAGGCGCATGTGTCTTCCCGCTTATGCGAGGCAAAAGCTATCTGCAGTCTAAAGAACTTTTGCTCCGATATTCATTAGCCCCAGTTACGCTATTTGTGATTTGTTTTTGTCTTTGTTCTTTTGTTTCTAAAAACCATGCCGAAATAAATCATGTATCTGCTGTAGCATCGGCCTTGGCAGTTTGCAAATGATCTTAGCGTCCTTCTCTGCTACATGGACATCTCTACCAGCTACTCAATTTTCAGCTCGGAACATTATTCGGCTATTAAGCCGCTCAATTAAAAGAATTATTGAACAGGAATCATTTTTTAACGCCGTATTCATATAAACAAGGCTGATAATTACTGATGTCGTGCGTATAAGTGGTGGATTTTCCGACGGAAATACAAATATCTGTTGGTGGAAAACAGCTCCCATTTTCCGCCATCACTCGACGGCGGCGTATTTTGTGCCGCGGATAGTTTAGTCAAGGCGCTGTGCTTTTTACGGAAAACGAACAAGGCCGCTAATGTCACTGGGAAAGAAATCCTTGCTTTTAAACTAGATCTCGCTAACATGGAAGTCGGAGCATTACCTGGCATTTTACGAGGACAGTTTGTGGTGGCAAGCAGATGCGGGTCGGATGAACTGAACGTGACTCTGTTGCAGGGGAGTCTACAAGCTTACCCTTCGGACCGAAAGTTTGCAGCGGCATGGACTCGGCATTTGTCCAAGGCATACGGAGGTTATGTGATGTGATCGGGGCTGTGCTTGGGGATGCAACACTGATTCCACGAAGATCCCAAGTACCTGGATTCTAGTGCTTTATGGGAATAGATAGTATCTGTTCCTGAGTATACTACATGTGTTCGTATTCATCTGTTGCACAGTGGTGTTAGTTAAAGCCGTTTAGTGTTTAGTATATGCTCCGGGGTAGGTGGATCCAGGATATTCTCGTGATGGCCTGGGGATGTGCTAGCGGACATGCATCGGACTTGTTTTCCCTAAACGATCGACTACTCTTATTCCAGTATCATGCACTGTGATAGACAATATGGGTGTATGTTATGACCTCATTCATCCAAGGTGCCATGTGCCGGTACAAGCCAAGACAAATTAACGCTCAAATGCCGTGTTAATGGTGAATTTCTCTGGTATTATCAGCATAATGTATACTCTATACGCCCGAATTGGTACTGAATCTATATCCTCTTCATCTCTCTATGTCATTTTATTAAGACTCAAGAAAATGCCCCAAAACAGGCCCGCTGTGCTGCCAACCAGTTGTCGGTAGTCGAAAGGCACGACACTCAAGTTCAGCAGCCCAACGAGGGGCCACACGCGATATCCCGCAATTAGCATGGGCCAGAAGTCCTGTATGCTGGTCGTTAGCTTCGTTCCTTTCCGTCCTACATTTGAACCAGTTCGTCCATGAACTGTGGAGACTCACATGCTGGATGTTGCTCCAAATCTGAGCATTACTTTGGAATGTCATACCACCCATGAGATATAGAAAGGCCACCGTATTAATTGGTGCGCTAATCGACTGGTCTAATATGAACTTGATTGCCGTATTAGTTATATTGAGACGGTCTTTGACTACAGTCTGGCTGAGCTTTTCCGACGATTTTGAATCCGATTTTGAGTCCGGAGAAGGTTCATCGATAGGTGTTCTGGACGGCCATTTGCGTTCCAGGAATTCTTGCCACTTGTAATTGGGGGGTGTAACAAGAGCCGAGTACACAACAAACCGCAGAATGGATTCTAGCTCGACTTCATCGAACGACTTTGTGCCCCGCGGAAAAACAAGCAATCAGTCAAATAGCCCAGGAAAAGGATCATTATCCAAATGGGGAAATCTTCAGCTAACCTTGTTCCTATAGGCGGTGATGCCCTGAGCGCATACTCCAGACAATCCATTGAGCAGCGTGGCCTGGATCGTGGCCTCCGTAACTTTGGCGTCCAATATCATAGTTGACGGCCCCTGGCAGTATCGAGCAATAACAATAGTCCGCTACGGAATACTCATGGTGAACTTCTAACGGTAAACTGGAGATCCAATGAGGCTATTTGAACGCCGCCACTCGGATATGTGAAGTGTTGCCGGCACAATATATCCGTCAGGCCATGAACCGCTGCCACGGGTCGGAGATGCCCTCTCCTGCCAAATCCAACGAGCAACAGCCAGTGACCAGCGTTCGGCGCCAGTGAAGCGGCGCTCCATAGTCGAGTCTTTAGCGGCAAAGCTGAAGCCACAAGCTCCAGCCCTCATGGCTCCCCCCCCCCTGTCGCCATTCCAGCATTCAGGTTGGCCGAAAGCCGGCGTTACCCCGCGCCACAGGCAGGAGAAATGTTCGGGGGTTGGCAGCCAACTTTGTTGAAGAGCCTTTGGGACGGATCAGCGATCCGTCAACAGTTGCTTCTTGTGGGGGTTAGCCGATTGTGGGGTATGGGGAGTCTAGATCTCACCATGCCGTCTTTTTGGTGAGCAAGGGGTCAAAGCAGGGTCAAACCCTTGGAGAAGAAAACTTGAAAGGTCGTTGATGGTGGTTGGCATGCAGGTGAGACAATCTATAAAGACCACCGACCTGGACATCCCCAAAGCCGGTGTGAGTCGATCATCAAGAGGTGAGGTGAGCGAGCCAAAAACACCACAAGACAACCCATCTTGGCGCTTCTCACAATTGTCAATTCGTCTCCTCTGGTGCTTTCTTAACTGCATTGCATTTTCACAATTCCACTGCGCCTGTCGATCGTCAACATGGAAAAGGGTGCCGTGTCCACTCTCCACGAGGAGAGCCTCCCAATTGAGGCGGGGGAGAAGGCTGGAATCAACGAGATCGCGGATAACGCGAAGCACGCCGCCGAGCATGAACATGAGCTGACGCCGATGCAAGCTGTTCGAAAGTACCCCAAGGCTATCGCCTGGTGTCTTCTTATCTCGGCCTGTGTCATCATGGAGGGTTACGACACAAGCTTGCTAGGCAATTTCTACGCCTATCCTGAGTTTGCGAAGCGATATGGAAAATTCAATGAGATCTCTGGCAACTACCAGCTGACGGCGCCATGGCAAGCCGGCCTGAGCAACGCCTCCGGTGTTGGATCCTTCTTCGGAACCCTGCTCAACGGTTACCTCGTCCACAAGTTTGGCCACCTGCGTGTTATCTCAGGTTCCCTCTTCTTCCTCAGCTGCTTCGTCTTCATCGTCTTCTTCGCCCCCAACACTACCGTGCTCCTGGTGGGCGAGCTGCTCTGCGGTTTCCCCTGGGGAATCTTCGCTACGACTGCCCCTGCCTACGCCTCTGAGGTTTTGCCAATGGCGCTGCGAACTTACCTTACCAGCTGGACGAACATGTGTTTCATCATTGGACAGCTGATTGCTTCTGGAGTTTTGGCTGGATTGGTCAACAACCAGACCCAGTGGGCGTACAGAATCCCCTTTGCCCTCCAGTGGTTCTGGCCTGTTGTGTTGGGTCCTATCCTCTTCTTCGCCCCTGAGACCCCGTGGCACCTTGTCCGAGTTGGAAAGATTGAGGAAGCCAAGAAATCGCTCCGAGCCCTGCGTTCTAACCCCACCGAGGAGGAAATTCAGGAATCTCTCAACCTCATCATTTACACCAACAACCTCGAGGAGCAGCTCGAGGTCGGAACCTCATACTGGGACTGCTTCAAGGGCTTCGAGCTGCGTCGAACTGAAATTTCGTGCATGTGCATGGTTGGCCAGGTTCTTTGCGGTATTTCCTTTGCTTACAACTCTACCTATTTCTTCCAGCAAATCGGCTTGACCCCTACGCAAACCTACCACCTTAACGTTGGCGGTACTGGAATGGCCCTTTTCGGCACACTTGTCTGCTGGTTCTTCATCATGCCCAACTTCGGCTACCGAACCATCTACTGGGTTGGAATGGGAGGCATGTGCGCTGTTCTTATCCTCATCGGCGGCTTGAACGCCCGCACCAGCGAGCACTCTTTCGCCATGGCTCAGGCTGTTCTCACCCTTGTATGGACTCTCATCTTCCAGCTCTCTGTTGGCCAACTCGGATGGGCTCTCCCAGCTGAACTCGGATCAACTCGTCTGCGCCAGAAGACTATCTGCCTTGCCCGAAACTCATATGCCATCACTGGTGTCATTTCTGGTGTTCTCCAGCCTTACTTCATGAACCCCTCCGAATGGAACCTTAAGGGCTACACCGGCTTTGTTTGGGGTGGCACTTGCTTCTTGATGACTGTCTGGGCCTACTTCCGTCTTCCTGAATCCAAGGGCCGCACTTATGAGGAGCTGGATGTCCTCTTCGCTAGAAGGGTTCCCGCTCGCAAGTTTGCCAACTACAAGATTGACGCCTTCAATGACGACAACTTGGCATAAACGTCTCATTTTGTTCAGGGGGCAGGGTTTTGGGTAGCGCGCTGTCGGCCATGTAAGGCGAGATGCGCCTCAGAGCGGAGAAGAGATCATGATAACATGGATGCTGATTATGTCGAATGCACGACGAGTCATTCGACTATCCCTTGCTAGAGAGAGCATATGAATTTAGTGTTTGGGGTTGTTTCAGTGTGATTTTCACCGCTTGTGATGCCGCTTCTTGTCAGAATGGCGATGGAGTGTGGGGTTTCTCAGTTACAGCAACTTATTTACTCTAGTTGTTCGGATTTAATCAAAAATGTTATGATGCAAACTTTCATGGTTTCAATTGAGTTGTGAAGTACTTTAGTGTAATATTACATACAAAAAAGCATTTCGCTGGGAGGTAGTTAGACGTAATGCTATGTGTGAGGTGTATGTATGCGTAAACCAACATCTAACCCAGGAAGCGCAGGAAACATGAAGCATGAAGATGTAATTAAATGTTCAATTTGAAGGATAGTAGGGACAAAATTTTGTCTTTAGTTCTTACCTGTAGCGGGAGGATGACTACTTCGTACTGGGCCATGAGCCGTCTTGGAACCCATGCTCCGTAAGCGGACATCTTGATATCACCCCAGTCTCACAAACCCTGCATTATTCACCGCAGAATGCCAGTGCCATTCATACTCGTACATGGATCACTCGCAAGATAGGCGTTCTCTATTAATTCTCATTTACCGGTGTTGGGGTTTTCGTCTTTGTGTGCATTTAGAAACAACGCCTCTTATCCACCTTTAATATCCGGCGACGCGGAGAACAGCCCTACTCGTATTGAGCCGTCAAGAACCACGGTTCCACCCGATTCCATCTCCTTAGGGGCCAAGTCTGGAGTACCTTGTCCAAGCGCGGGGAACTTTTGCCGCCGGCATACTCGTACGGTATGCAAGGTTTACATAATGGTCTCTCGCAATCTAAGAGGTGAAGAAAAGCAGTCTTGCCCACCTCTTGTTTGGTTGGCGCGAAGTGGCCAGGAACAGCTACAAGTTTATGTACATGGTGGAATGATGAAGACAGCTAGCAGCACGCTAGCCGGACAGACCCAATCGGCCGCGGCGTTTGTCCTTGTTCCCTCGTGTGTTCCTGTGGCTAAATACGGAGTACGTGGTACTATGCCAATAGGCAAATGCTGGAACCGCCCACATTACATGAGATTTCGCGAATTGATTACATGTAGGCACTGAAACAGCTCTTTCAAACCACTGCCGGCCCGTCAGATTTCCCGGCAGCATTGCCCAATGCATAGCCGTCCTTCTCCGTCCGTGTCCCGGAAGTCAGTCCTGTTCGGATATCAACGCTCAACATGGACGGGTACATGATATCCGTGGCCGATCACGACGGCGCACACCCGTCGACGCCTCCGCGCCAGGCGGGTAGAGACCACAGAGATTCGAAGCGGATGCGGGTGACGCGTGCCTGCGATAGGTGCAAGAAGTGAGACGCCATCCCGAAAGCCCCCTTGACGTGTCTCAGCTCGAGAGCATCCCCCACTGACATTGCCATAGGAGAAAGATTCGCTGTACGGGATTGCAGCCGTGTCGGCTATGCATAGAGGCCAATGCAAGCTGTACATACGATGCCGCCTACACTCGCGGCAGACACGCCGCAATGGCTTCTCGACGGAGCAATCGCGCCTCTCCGCCGCCACAGCCGCAGACCGAGCAGCAGCAACACCATGAGCGCCAGCAGTCCGAGTCATCGCGATGGCATGCCGCAAACCGCCAGAGCCCCGGAGTGAACCGGCAGCAGCAGCAGCAATCCAACGGCGAGCCTCCGGACTCTTACTCTGCTCTCGGTGACCCCACACAACCCGGCACAGAGCCGTTATCACGGGCCTCTCCGGAACCTGTGCAGACCGACCTCGAGGGCCACTACGTCGGGCCATCCTCCGGAGTTTCCTTCCTGCTTAGGATTCAAAAGAGGCTAGACCAGTTTGTGTCGTTTCCGCAAGGGTCCTCCATCTTCACCTTTGGCGATGCTCCCTTGCCCTATCTTGACTCTTTGCAGACCGAGGCGCCGTACTTTGACCCGACGCTGTATATGATGTTGTCTAGAAGTGACACCACGCGTCTCGTCCAGAGGTACTTTGACTTTGCTGTTCCCGTGGACAGGTTCCTGCACCAGCAGACCATAGAGACATGGCTGGACGAGCTGTATGAGACTAAGGGGAAGATGCACAGCAGTGAGGATGCATCGACCCGGACTGCAGTATTGTTTATGGTGTTTGCTTTGGCCCAAGCGCATATGAGCCCGAGGCCAACGTCTGATGATGCCGACGTGAGGTATGTTCTCTACGAGCCCTACCTCGGATCAAATGCTAACTGGCCTCCAGTGTCCGGTATTTCCTTGCCGCACATCAACTCTTGTCAAGAGAACAGGGAGCTATCCGCCTAGCGAGTATCCAAGCTCGACTGCTGCAGTGTCTTTGGCTCCTATCCGAGTCACGCATCAATCATTGCTGGAACCTCTTCGGAACCGCCGCACGCCTTGCCTATGCCATAGGCTTACATCGAAAGCGCCATGCTGATCGCATCGATCGCATTGAGGTAGAATGTCGGCGGAGGACGTTCTGGAGCGCATATGCCTTGGATAACTACCTTAGCATGGCGCTTGGGAGGCCGCGTACTTTTCATGACGACGATATCGATCAAGAGCTACCAACCTGTGTAGACGACCATCAGATTTATGCTGATCATATCAGCCAGGGTAGTACACATGGACAGTCAGTAATGCTGGGGCCAGTTGCATATGCCAAGTACGAAACTCTCACCTTTTCTATTTGCTCTTATGAAAGCTAATCAGTATGTCAGGATGTCTCGGATACTGAGCATGATTCTCCGCAACGTCTACTCCATACACACAACCTCGCGAAATGACAAACACGCTTTTGCAACCATCCACACGAAGGAACTCGTCGAGTGGCGAGCAGATGTCGCTCATTTTCTCGATCCGGTGACAAATATGCCGCTTATACCCATCTTCCAGCGCCAAAAAAACGTCCTGAACCTGGCCTATTGGCACACTATGATTCTCACTCACCGGCCGTTTCTGCTTCGCAACTTTGCGCAGTTGCAGAATGGCAGCAGACCTCGACGAGACGATCATGAATTCGAAGCACGTATAGAGCAAAGCATTCATGAATGTTTGCAGGCAGCTACAAACATTACTAAAACAGTTAATGACATGTATCAAGGAGGACAACTCTTCCGAGCATATTGGGTAACTCACGCGATTTCACTTTGTAATTGGGCACTTTTAACTGACTTTCATAGTTCACGTCATATTTCGCCTTCTCCGCTGCAGTTATCCTCTACGTTTACACTATCCAGAAGAGTAACGAGCCTGAAGAATCATATTCTGGTTACCTCGCTGCCGCGACCCGTTGTCAGGATCAGCTCTCTAATCTAGCAGAAGACGGGTCTTTGGTCGCACGATACTGCCTCGTCCTAGAAGAGCTACGCCTTGAAGCGCTGAGACAGACGAAGCAGGGCCAGATGAATAGTGCACGATCACCAACCCAAAGACAGGCTGCTGTAATGGCAAACGCCGGAAATGGAACTGACGCATTTGGAACTACTGATGATGGAACAATGGTTACCGAGTTGGGGGCGAATATGACGGATATGGGCGGCATTGGCGATATCTACGTGACTCCTACCGACTCTCTTGCCGAGATGACGGGCTGGGCCCAGTTTGATGCAATGGTTAGCGTTTCTATGGACGGATTTCAGCTGAATATCTAATGTGGGCCATCACTGCTGTGGTCCGACTTAATTCTTTCATGTACTTATGAGCTATGCGTACGAAATAATATATCCACACTCTGTATTAAGCAACTCTCTACATCGACGCGGACCTACGCCCTTGACTGAACAGCTTCAATAATCCAACTGATCCTCCCATCCTCTGCAATCTCTGCAAACATGAATGTCTCAGCTGATAGCTCCTTGCCATCCTGCAGCGTTGTTACCGACGTATGGCGCTCCGCCAGCTGATTCCCATCACGCAAGAACTGCACCGTCGTGAGATCGACATCTAGCTTCATTTCGCGCAAGCGACGCATGTGCGCTACGAAGCCGGCGAAGTCATATTTCTCAGGACCGGCCTCGAATTTGAATGAAGGAGTAAAGATTTTCGAGAGATCTGCCTCGGTGTCCTCAGGATTGCCGTGGAAAAGGCTTTTGAGTGTGGCTTGGTATGTTTCTGGTTTGTCGGCGAATGTGGCTGGTGGATGCATTATGGGTAGATTGCAAACCAATGAATACGCTCTCTTTCGACTTGTGATTTCTTTTTTACTGGAAAATGTTTGAATATTGATGACTTTGGTGGGAAGCTCAATGCTATTTTATGGTTGGAGCAAATATCGCTGCCTGATCACTAGTTTCAACATCAAGGGAGCCTTTGCGAATATTGAGAATTCCGAGAGAGAGAGGTTGCGCCATTTTAGAATGCTACTGCCTAGATATCAATGACGAAATTTTTAGACTAAGAGTGATATATCGGAGAGGAGTATCTTTGACTTGTGTAATTAAGCATCGGTATGCGTCCGAATTTAGATGTATCGTGACTTGACGAAGTACGACCCCAAGGAAGAATAATGCAAAAAGATGACAAGTTTGTGTATCTCTATATAAGAGAAAGAATATACCATAATTAGAATATTCTCTATTGACCCACTATATAAATAGGATAACATTTGGCTCGCTGAAACAGTCATCCCATTCTGTTTTCCCAGACGCCCAAGCTCTCCTTAATATCACCAAAGCCTTTGCTGACCCCGAGCATGAATACGGATTATTTATTCCCATTTCAGTAGCTCTCGTACAAATACTCACTCTTCAAAATTTCCACTCGATGCAACTACGCCTACTACGACAACTAGCAAACAAGTGGGGTGCAGTTGGATAGGTGACCCGATTGCCGTTATCAATATACTGAACTGTTGAAATTATTGTGTATAGGGTGTTGCAATACGGACGACATGTGAGACAACTGCGGATGTACCATGGGCTGGTTGGCACAACCAGTGTGATTTGGAGAGAAGAAAGACTTTGGGTCCGATTGTTATGGGATACTTGCCCACCTGGGCAGTTTTGTTTACCGTCCATAAAAAGAGCAAGGTCTGGATGGCCCAATATTACGGTACGTTCTCGTCCGCAGTTGAATAGCCGGATTCTATAGCTATTCGTATATGGCGTTTATACTGGCATTATCGCAGATAACACGCATCTAATCAATTTTTGGTGTTCCATCTTTGCTGGTGCCAGTATTGCTACGAATCTGATCTGGGTTATCAAGACCCGGCTCATGTCACAGAGATATTCTCCCGCCAGAGATCATGCACATTACATGCATCCGAAGCCTGGAAACACTTTGACTGCCAGACCGACGCTGAACCATCCCTGGCACTACCGATCTACTCTTGATGCTACCAAAAAGATGTACACGTCTGAAGGATTAGTATCGTTCTACTCCGGTCTCACGCCTGTACTCCTCGGATTGACGCACGTAGCTGTGGAATTGCCTACTTACGAATATCTCAAAACTAGATTCACTGGACATGGAATGGGTGAGGGTTCAGGAGAAGCACACTGGTTCGGCATTCTTTCAGCCTCGATGTTGTCCAGGATTTTGGCCAGCAGCGCTACGTACCCCCATGAAGTTATCTGAACACGCCCGCAGACTCAACGGCGGCCGGCTGCTTGTGAACAATTTCTACAAGACCTGGGTATCGCTGTGCTAAGGCTAGGCAAAGGCGGAATAGTCGACAACCGCAAGTATCGGGGCAGCGTGATGACTTTCAGAACTATCCTTCAAGAGGAAGGATGGAGGCCTTTGTACGCCGGACTGGGAAGCAACATGATGCGAGCTGTGCCCGCCGCCACTGTCACGATGCTGGCATACGAATACATCATGCGATTCCTGTACTGTGCAAAGCAAGAAGGCCAGCCAAAATCCACGGACACGAAAGTCAATCATGAGTAGGCACCTAGGAGGAATTGAACACCGCAAATCACAGGGAGCCTTCCCTGCAAGCTTCGGAAACAAAACTCATCTTTCCTGAACACATACATACTATGTATACAGATTTATCGGAGGACGCGGCTGCTCGAAACGAGAAAAGCCCGAGATACCCCCACATGGAAATGGTTGTAGGTATAGACGAATCTGGTTCACGGAATGGAACTTTTCTTTTGTCAGAATACGCCTTCCTCCAGACCATTTTCTCTTTGTTCCAGACATCTTACCAAGATAGCGATGAAAAGTATCGAAATACAGAGGAACATTCAGATGTAGGAGGAAACCCAGAAAGGAGGAAGGCACAATGTGTAGAGCATACATGTAGTGTAGCATTACCTGTACGCACACAGCCTTGGAGTTTCGTTATTAAATAAAGCCATTACTTCGATTATGTGTGCATTTAATGTCTACATGCTGTTAGATATTGTGTGTGCTATCCCCGACCTGATTCTCTTCTGGCTGCCCTTATGGACGATCTCGTATAACTATGCCGGTTAGTCTCACTAAAAGTTTTTCGAACGGCTTAAGGCTGGTTGGGCGTACACAAATAATATGCTTGCCATGGTGAATGCTGCGATTGGCGCCATGAATTTCTGTAGACTGTAAGAACATGCGCATGTTTGTTGTTTGGAGTTTTAGATTGTAACTATTTTGACTTACTCGAGGGCCCATGCCTTGGATTTGAGTATATGAGTGTTTTTTGGGTGACGATGGAAAATGATCCTGGGCCGTTTTCGCTGGTTTAAATTGATTAATTGAGTGTACGTATGTCTGCGCCTGTGGACACTTTAACAAGGTCCGTGCACCGGGTATTTAATATACTTGTGTTTGTGAATGAGGAAGCCGAATTCGCATGTAGTTGTAAGATTGGTTTGTGCATGTGTTTTGTTCAAGTCGAGGAGCTATGACTTCAAAGGGTTGGTGGGTGGAAAAGCTAGGATAGGACAGTACTCGTATGTTTGCTGCTTTAAGCACAAGTTTATTATTAGGTCAGCCCAATTCTGGCTGTTATGGAAGAGACTTTCCAATCACAAAGGCGCACTGTGCTCCATACTTATCTGCCTAATTGGATAAATCTCTATGTTAACAATGCGGACGCTGAACCTGGACTTGACTGTATATTAACCAGCCACTCAGCCCTTAAATCCTAGTCTATATAGCTTAAGCTTCAATTCCTACAGGATTGATGAGCCTCATTGTACGTAAATGATCCCTGGCGATGCTTTTCGAGCTATTCCACTCTAGACGACCCGAGGCCGAACCCGATGCCGAGTCGGCTTCGGAGTCATTCTACTTATACAGAACGAGACCATCGCTCCGTGGTCGGCTCGACTAAATTCTTGAAAAGAATGGGTATCATATATTTCTTATTACTCTTACGGCTGCCACCAGCACCTTGAGTTCTTTCACCCAGCCACTCACACCTTTCCCCATCCTCTCGACTAATACGCGTGTTAAGCACCGATAAGACAAGAGTGTCGCCACATTCAAAACATGGCAACAGGATTGATGTGACGTGGACACCCAACTCCTACAAAACCTTTATCTCCTGTAAGTTCAGCTGATTATGCCTTCTCTACATCCCTAATCACCGTTTCCTGCTCCGTCTCCAACTCTCCGGCTTGTGTTAGCTGAGCCTGAGACTGGGTAGGTGTCTCTTGTTCCAACATGTATATATCATCATCAAGCTTATGGTGCCTAAGCCAGAAGACAATCGTCTGGACGAAGAGTGCAATTGCTGGACCAGCCCATACCCACTATATTAACAAGGACAGTTAGCAACCTGTTTCACCTTATTTTGGTATAATTCGATCAACTTACAATCAAATGCGGATCGACGATGGCTGGGATTAGGATCTCGCCAAGGGCACTCGATAAAGCGGTAGTGAACAAGAAGAGGGACATGACGACGGACTTGAGATGAGGTGGAGAGCGCGCATATGCCATCTCATACGCAGTCACGTTGCAAAAGAGCTCGGAAATGGCACCAAGGGCGACGTTGGGAATCTGCCACCAGATGTTGATGGGTGACACGTCGTCACAAGTGCTGGCCTGGTAGCCGCAAGGGCTTGTCTCATACACTCTCCATTGCACAATGGCACCGATAGCACCGGAAATTGCTGCAAGCATGAATCCGAACGTCATACGGCGGATAGGACCGAACTTGATGCCATATCTAGCCAGCAGCGGATACAGGCCATACGAAAGGACTGGCGCAACGGCGATGATAACGAGAGGGTTGAAGTTTCCGAGCAGATCAGTCGGTGCTCCATTGTTCGTCATGGACGCACCTTGGTTCGATTGCACAGCGCCCACACCTCCATCATTGATGTTGTAGACGGGGAAGTACAGGAAGACGACACAGGCTTCAAAAGTACGCTGCACGTCCAGGACAGCTCGATCAGTCCATGCCACCTGGATGCCACGCTCTGCCAGCTTGGACGGCGAAGCAACTGTCCAAAAGTCCTTCTTCCAAACCTGGAACTTGTTATACTTGAGACCAGTCCAAACGATTTTGAAGAAGTTGGTCAGCTCAGATCCGTTTGGCTTTTTGATGACGAGTCTCTTGTACACGGCCAACAGAAGGAAGGGGAGCAAGAAGTATACAATGCCTGGCAAAAGGAAGGACAGCCAGAAGCCGACGTATTTCTCAGTGTACGTGGTTGCAATGGCAAAGAAGGCGCCGACATTGATCATGGCATAGAAGATGAGCATCACCCGCTGAATCGTGCGCTCGGGATCGACGATGACCTTCTCGCCTGACTCGAGTACCTTGATTACTTGTCGCTGATTCGTGTACTGGTCGATGACAGTTGGTGCCACATTGGGCTTGAAGATGCCTGCACCGATGGCCAGAGTGAAGAACGAGACAATAAATGGTGCGAGGCCTTTGCCAGCCTTGAGAAGGGATGGAGCAGCGCCACCAATCATGATAACGTGGGCAACAGCGCCAATGGTGACACCAAGGAGGATCGTCTTGCTAATAGAGAGAGCCTTGTCAGCACTTTTGCGCCTACTATTACTCTTTCCGCATCGATGACACTTACAATCTTCCGAGACGCGTGTCTGCGATGTAGGCACCAAGGATTGGAAAGACATAGGCCAAGAACGTGAACAAAGTGCTGAATGCAGAGGCAAATTGAAGGCCCTCGTTCCTAAGACAGAGACGAAATCGGTTACTCTAGGAATTTTCCTTGGTGACTATCGTGGGGATGGCGTCTGTCACTTACAGTGCACCAGCATGGCCGTTAGGATTGCTCTTTGGAACAGCTCCGCTGCCATTGCCGCCCTCAGGAAGAGGGAACTGCATAAAATCATTGAAAACCTGGGTGGCGCCATAGTAACTCGCACGTTCGGCGAGCTCGGCTACACAAAGTACCCAAGAAATGGTTGGAATAGAACCGGCGACCTTGCGGAGAGTAATCTTCTCCTCCTCCGTTGGTTCTCTGCCATCGGGTGATTCTAGGGAGACCTTTTCGATATCGTCATGGAGTCTATCGATAGTGATGCCGAGCTCCTCGCTCTCGATCGGTGCTGCGCCGGAGAGGATCTCTGCGGTGCCACGCTCATGCGTGGGACCATCAGCAACGTGGTTTGCGTCTGTGTTGTCTGGTGAGCGATCCCGATATGCTAACTCATGCCTCAGGGCAGCACATACTCATCGAGGAGGGATTATCCAAACAATGCTTTGGATAGCAAGCTGGTTTTCAGCTGAAGCAGGCTATGTCGAAAGCGTTTCTACTCTTACCTCGATACGACCTGAGAGTAACACTCGTGGCAGTCCTCCCATACTTATTTATCACGGAGCGGATGAACTTGCTATACAACCACCACTACACACGAAAACGTGCAATCTGTACACCCCAGTCCCGCCCACAATTAAACCGCAAACTCGCAGGGTGGAACACGACATGCAGCCCAGGGAGCTATTCCCTATCACGTCTTTCCTTGTGGAAAATTGAGTCGACCAGATCATTTGGCTTGCGAGTCAGATCGGCACAAACACCGAGGCTAGGCTTTACTTGAGACAAAAGTTCCCAAATATTAGTATATTGCTGCGATTTCTCTTTCGATATGATGGGGTGAGTCCGGCCGATTGCGTGCGTCGGCAAGCAGGTGGCCGTTCTATGGACCATTTCATTTCCTTGCTTGGGCATGGGAAATGGTATCATCCCTTCCCTCTCGCTCTCTGCAGGTTGGATCTTCCTGACCATGCGTCGCCGTTTTTACAACTCTAAAATAAACATATGCAATACCCCGAAAGCGCCAACTCGACTGCTACGCCGCATCTAAAATAGAGGTCAAACCAGAGTCATTGACGACGGATATTGGGAGGGGGCGAAAGAGAAGAATGAGGGCTACTGTAGACCCAACCATCACCATCTCTTTCTCTCTTATCACCCACCGGCTCGACTATCTCGTTTGCCCATGGACTTTGAATATCCCTTAGGGAAGACCAGCCAATAATACGCTGGCGATTCCAGGCTTGATCATCCTTGGGCTATATCGTTACGGACATAATCCCCAACTGAGGTCCATCAGATGCCACGCGATCAGGACCTCCGACACAACAATCCGGCAATTCGGCACCGTACCAGCATTTGGCGCAATGGAGAAGCATGGTTGCGACAGGCGCTGATTTGTCGGCATTGACGCATCCAGCGGCACCCCAGCTTTTGCCCTTGTTCGTTTTATCCTCTTGGCATCTTGAAAAAGGCCCCTGGAATGGAGGGGAGGCAGGTGGTGCGGTTGCGTGATAGCATCGTTGCGTTAGGTGCGAGGCCCTTCTATAGTCTCAGATTCCTGATAACGAGTGCGTCGGCGCCGGAAAGACTACCCCTATGTGGACACAAGTGCCGTTCTTATCTCCTCTTATTCCTGAAAATGGCGATTTCGTTCTCTCGTCTTGCCTTTTTGCCGTCCTCTTCTAGAGTCTGCCTCCAACTTGCTTCATCATTTGCGTACAAATCACCACCTCGAAGCGTTTGTAAATTGGAAATTCACCGCTTGAACAACGATCAGACATTAGCTTGTAGAGGCTAATTGAACACGATCTCACTGAACTTCATCATACACAATCATGAGCTAGACCCCGCAAAGTCTCGCCCAACTGTCACTCTACCTGCATTTGCCGATAGCAGTAATCTTGCATGTTCTCATTCTGCTCCATATTATCCGAGCGATGCCTCATTGGGTGCCACGCTTTCTAGAAGAAATTGGTATGGTTCCGACGATCATCCAAGCAAAGCAACGTGAGTGTGGGGGTTTTTCTAAGCGACGGCGGATATACTAGACCCATGGCTCAATAATAGCGCAGATGAGATAACGACGAATGCCCGATATGTCTGCGCTATTGATCAGGTACTCGTAAGTGTGGCCGCTTCAATGATTAGAAAGAAAAAGCCGTTGGACTTCCTTGTACCATAAACAGACCCCACCCTGAGATACGGGTATGAGATGGATATAAAACAGTCGCGATTCCTTACTCCCGATACTAGTACTCGTACAGCTTACTTCATTGGGACTATTGGAATCGGGACATGATGTCCGGGTAAAAGTAGGGGTTTACTCCGTATAAGGTGCAAATTCGATGGACTTAACGAAAATGAAAGTATTCATCAAGCCTGCTTCCTGTCGCTAAATACTAGATATAAGAAGAAAACATGCCACAGAAGCAACTGCCTCTCTATGTAGGCGTGGATTCGCCCACAGGCATAGATTCGGGCAACGAATATCCCTCCATCTTCGCAATTTTGTTCTACGCCGGGTACCAGGTGGCTAGATCTGAGTGAGTACGAGTGAGCTTTATATGCCTTGTTTGTTTCTCTACAAAAAATGTTCAATCACAAGCGAACTTTCGCGTAGTCACTGCGAATACTTCGGAGGCTTCTTTGCTAGAGCCTACATGCCTAAGACACTGGCTTGGCAGGCGACCGCCCTGTGGCAACGAATTATCGCAGTGTTTTCCTTCTCAGGGAATAAGTTCTTCTATAGTGCTATTTCAGATACATCAACCATCACTACTGCGTCATATTTCCTTTACCGCACCTATGAATCTTGCGCGACTCAGCAAAGTCTTCTTGGACATATTCTAAGCGCCAGGATCCCCTCCCAAGATGTGATTACTATACCTACCTCGTTCAGGGTATTCCTATCGCTTCACCATAGTATTTGAAGACTGTATCTATTCTTGCATCACCTATACATCTTTGCTCATGATACAGAGCATTACCTAGCTATGTGTCAGCTGCAAAACACATGGTATGCTGTCTGATATGGGACGGCAGAAGGTAAAATAGTGACCAGACAGAGGAGGTGTTGAGGGCTCTTCATGGAAAATCGCCTCGGATAAGGAGGAATTGGGTCACACTCTCGGAAATTTTATGCTACAAAAAAATGAAGGATATTATAGAGGCAAGGTATCGAAAATTTCGAAAAGATTTTTTCTATTAGGCAGCAAAAAAAAAAAAAAAAAGAAAGAAAGAAAGAAAGAAAGAAAGAAAAAAACCATATATCAATATTCTACACCAACCACCAGTTAAGCTCGAGAGCATCATCGACACCACTCTGTACTCCATGTCCTTGCATCCATAACTCCAGTCCTCACAGAAATCTGTCTAAAGTGCTACGCCTACAGGACAGGGGAAGCGCCACCAAATCAAGAGCAGCTTCCGTGCCTCCCAACAGCATTACTGTGGCAAAACGCTTGGACTCTACTCATTCGGCCAAAGTAGACACGTGTTGCCGCTGCCTGTTGCCTAAACAACTTCATCATGCACAGAGCGCTCAGTGCCCAGCTTCATGCACAGAGCGCTCAGTGCCCAGCTTCAGGCGGCTAGCAGCAGGGCTGGATAGCACATTCCCTGCTTTTGTGTTTGTTCAATTGCAGCCAGAATACGTTGCTACCCGCTAGTGCTTGGTGGCAACATTCACGCACTGGCAGTATGTGTCATCTGTGAAACCGCCCAAAATTCTAGCTCGTCTCCTGTGTCTTTGTAAAGCTTAAAGCCTCACTGTGCTGTTGGTTTGTGCAACTTTGGCTGCTCACGCAAAGGATCTGCCCGCAGAACTGCCTATGGTGGAAAGTAATGGAAGCTATATGAGAGTACATATTCATGTATTGACCACATACATGGAGGGAGGTAAGCAGGTAGTTAAACCTACTAAGCACGTTAGTTACTACATACCTACTTAGATAACAAGATCTGGCATTCAATGATGGCGATGAGTACAGTGATGTAATGTCACCTCGTACAAATACGGCTCAGGCTGTGATGTAGTAGGAATAGACTCTGGGGCAAACGGATCTGCAAATCCATAATTCCGCCTAGGGTGGGGCTGCAGGTCAAAGGCCAAGGGCCAAGCAATTGAACATTGGTACGGAAGATGTAAGTGTGACTTGGAGAAGCGTCAGACCTTTCGCCTCACAACAACTGTGCAATTTAATCATTCTCGCTCTTTCAATTTCATTCTATTAGGAAATCAGCTCTCTCTACACAATGCCGCCCAAGAAAGTAACCCCGATGAAGACGGATGGGACGCGAGAATTTGCCACCAGCATCGTGCGTTTCTCTGTGCAGCACGCTCATCGCGATAAAATCGGCGCCTCTAAAGAATGGTTCGCAGTTATGGATAACATCAAGCGACAGCCTGATTTCGGCTATGTATGCAAGGGAGAGCTAATTGATGACGAACTTGATATCGTCTTGTTCATCGCCTGGGAGCATGCTGCAAAGCCACCAGCTACCTTCTCGGAGAATCTCGATTCTATATTTTCCCCCCTACACAATTTCTTAGCGAAGCGACCGCAGATTACGGACACTGTCTATCGTGTCATGAAAATGGACAGACAATCTACTGGAACATTCGACACAACGGGAAGCGGCTGCCACAGCCGCTTTATCAATGAGTTCATGACAGTACGAGGACCAGCACAAGCGATTGAGCCAGAACTTGAGGCTATCCAAGAGATAGCCAACAGCTATATGAGGCAGAGAGAAGTCGCAGAAGTTCTCCATGGCCTGCTGTATGACACGTTTTCTGGATTAAAATATTTCCGCCTCGATGACAACGATAGCCCCGAAGCGAATGAAGACCCTCTAAGCCACGCTCCATGTGCTTTTGCTCTGGTTATACGATGGAGTGACGAACAAGGCCGGGCTGAATTCCAGGATCCCAATATCCCTGACAGCTCTCAACTTCCGGGATTTCCTAGCAACTTCTGGCAAGAAGTTGTGATACAGAGACTAGAGAAGCAGGGTGCCTCCATTTCATCCTGGTTGTATCAAAACGCAGATATTGCTCGAGATGAAAAAAATAAGCTGCTAATCGCAGAGGAGTTTGAAAATTTATGGCCTTATAGTTACTAGAGCACTCACTTACGACTGATTGACCATTGCGGGGATAGCCAACATTATGCCGCGGGGGGGGGAGGGGTGCAGCATCAGGAGAGGAGCTACATAGCTAGGAGTGAATACATTGTAATACTCGGATTTATTGAAGCTAAGAATATGAATCAGAATCTGGATTTACTGTTGGGCCTGTAGGATTCATGATTTAGCCAAGAGCAGGGCTAGCACTGTCGCATACATGGCCTGTGCTACCGTGAATCTTAGTATGTGGTTAGCAAAGAGAATTGACATCCATTAATCGGGGCGAAGGTAACTGCTTGTGCTTGTCACACCCCGCAATAGTTTGTCTTCTTCCACTTCGTTTCATTAGCAACTCAAAACTCTTTCGATTACTGTCCACAACAACGACAAAAGAGCTCACCATGGATCAAAGCGAGGAGCGACCGTATGCGCTTAGCGTCGTGCGTCTTTCCTTCCATCCCGACCATCGCGATAAAATAGACACCTCTGAACAATGGTACAAAGTTATGGACACGATCAAACACCAGCTCAATTTTGGCTATGTTTGTAAAGGAGAATCGATTGATGATGAACTTGATGTCGTTCTGATTATTGCCTGGGAAAATGGCGCTAGACCACCAGCCGCTTTCCTCTCAGGAAATCTCGATTGTATTTTCGAGCCCCTCAGCCGTTTTGTCGCCAAGAAGCCTCAAATTATGGTTACCCTCTATCGTAGGATGCGGGGACATAATATTAGAGAATTCACCACTCGCGGAGCCGGTATGCAGTTCATGGCGGAAATCATGACAATTCGAGGACCAGTCCATGTAATCGAGCCCGCCTTGAGGGAAATCGAGAGCGATATCCGAAGTTACTTAGACACGCAAATGATTGCATTTGATTTCTACGATATTACGGATTCCTCTTTGATGCATGGGTCTCTTTTCCATGTGGGTGATGATTGTAAGGAACACTCTGGTGAAGATGAAGTCAGCTTCGTTTTCCATTTAGAGTGGCGGGGCCAAGAACAGCGCAAGGAATTCCACGATGCTGATATCCCCGATCGCGCTCTACCCCCCCACTTACAAGAGCACTTTCCAAGCAATTTCTGGCAAGAAACTGTTGTCGAACGACTGGAGAAAGTGGGCGCTACCGCTTCGTCATGGACTTATCACAAGGGAGAGATTGCCCGTGACGAGAAGGATAAAGAGGTAATTGCAAGTGAATTTGCTCACTGGTACCACTATGGACACTGGTATTAATATGGGCAAGCAAAGCTATTGCGCTGAATCATCGAGGTCAGCTAGATGGATTAGGATTACAGCCTACCTTCATGTATTTTGATCGCGGAGGCCTTGGTAGATCGATGCCACAGCCCTAGATAAATTGACTATTACTACCTCCCTAGGTAAAGTCAGCTAGTTTCATAAGGCCGCTTAGGCCCCCGTCATACGCACTCGAGTTAACCTATGTCTACATGTACCTACCTGCCTCTAGTAGTAGGTACCCAGTAGTGTCTGCTGGCTATCCTCTCTTGCTTCTCTAAAGGCGTTCTGCAACCCACCTTTTCCATACCTCTTTCGGCATGATTTTTTTTAACGTTAGACAACAATTAGGAAATGCCCTTCAACATTGTACAGTCCATCCATGGACGACAGTAGTGGCGAGCTGTAACGTATATGCCATCAGCAAACTGAAATCCCATCTCCAAATTCTTGCTTGGTGCTACCTACTAAATATCTAATTACCTACCTGCCTGTGCAGCGAAAACCCTCCATGATAAACGACCAGGCTTATTCTTCCCTCTAGAGCATGCCCCATTTTTCGGGAAACTCCTCCGTACATAGGTACCTACTAGGTAGATACCTATTGGGGCCACTACATGAACCTACACGATGTATTCCTTCCTCCTAGCCTTTCCATCAGAAGATCAATCATAGTTCCATGTGTTTTGCCAACCCATCTACAGCCCAGTCGAAATTATCCAAGTATCTAGAAGAATGTTTTGTCAGCACTCGCTACCTTTGACGGCCCGTAACCCAAGGGGCCGAGGAGGAGTCGGGGACGTACGCCATCATGGCAAAGTAAGCATACGCTTCTGCTGTCTCAGTGGCCTTGCCCGGTCCTGAATTCTGGGCAACCGCGCCATCATATCTACGTGCTAGCATTTCGACCCAACCGAAATAATCTATTTTGGCAAATCGAATTAGCTTCTTGAGTACAACAAAACAGAAACAACGAACAGGGGGCAGAGTTACAAGTATTAAGAGCATTCCATGATTTATCAGGTCGTTCAGGAGCAGCCTCTTTCTCGAACCTCTCTCCATTCTTTCGAAACCACATAAGTTGACCGGTTTTTGAAACCGCCTGTTGATCAATAACTAGACAGGATAATGAAGTCAGTTGACAGCACACACCAAATAGAGTTAATATGCAAAATTTCGCAAGTCACTTACGTCGTTTTTGCCTTTCCACGCCTTTGGATCCATACCAATGTACGAGCTCATGAAACATTATGCGCGAAAGACTATATCGCCCGAATTCATCAAGGTTTTTCCCCACCACCACTCCATTCTTCCCGTCGACTGGCGATTCTGCCTTGGCAACTTTACCAGTGAACGAAGTCGGACAAAATGTTATCATGTCGTATTTGACATGCGTTTTGGCATGGGAGTCGGGGCCGCAGATACCAGGGCTGCGGGAATCATCATTGGTGATATATCTGTCCCGATAGATCCAAACTCCTTTCTTACCTTTCATTATGTCCTCCCTGGATTGGAACAATGGGAGAAGCGATGGATTATTGGGGTCGGACATTCCACTATGATGCCATTTCCATAGCTTATCGTCACACAACCACAAAGCCTTGTTGTGACGTTTGGTGAATCCGTCCTTTGGAAGGTTGTGATCGCCTCGGAGAGCTTCGTTCATCGTCTGGTAAACATCTGATACAAACTCAAGTAAGAAACTTTTTCCAGGAGAGCCAATCCATGCAAAAAAAAAAAAAGGGGGGGGGGGGATGAAAGGGTTGGTTGATCCTTACAGAGAACTCTTGCCATATATTTGTCGGTCCCCTGCTCACCTGGCATAAATCCAAACATGCATTTCATAGCCCTTGCAATGCGATCCCATTGCATTCTCTTATTCGATCGGGTATTGTACTGAGGTCGGGGTTGCTGCACAAACTGGATGTCTTCCAGAGCTTTGGCTGCCATAACGGCGACATCATTGTAAGCTTTTTGCAGGACTGGTAGATGGGGTTTGCACGTCTCATCTATGTCCCAGATGTCAATATTTGGCGGTTTCTCTAACCCAGAGACACAATGGATGCCCATCAGAAGCCCGAAAAGGAAAGATATGAGCATCGCGAGAACGGAAGAATGGGAATGGTAAACGTAAAGGATAGACGATTATTGCAGAAGTGTATGAATTGGTCAATGTAAAGTGCGCAACGTTTGTGAATAACTCTTGAGCAGTAATCTATCCACTATATATACTTGGGAACTCTCTAAAAGATGGCCCTTTTGTGTAGAAACAACTTCATGGCGATGAGCTATCCTCATGCTGCTGCCTCAACGCTCTGACATCTCATGAAACGTGAAATCTGTTGGCGGGTAGGTTGTTTGCTTGACAGTAGTGGCAATGTTGATCCTTGTGGCTGATTTACCCACACATGGGAAGGGTACATACATGGCTGCTTTAGTATGCAATGGCCTTTTTTAATTCGTTCATGTGTATCTACTCCATCTATCTCTGTCCCCTTTTATCTATATATGTTGACTTTCTTTAAATGTGTCTAATTTGTCTGCTTGCGTATATTTCCTCCAGTATCATTTACTTTCCCTAAATACAACACTTCATCCCCTTGAATCTACTCCATCTAGCTTTGTAGACGTTGTATCTCATATAACACTATTATTTCATCAAGATCACAGTCCGACATTTCGATTTGTTTTGAGTAATAGTCGTGAGTGATAGTAAGCGCGGCGAGCTACCGACTCAAAAATGCGCCCCCTGTATTCCTTCCCGTTCTTGGATTGTGATGTGAGGTCGGTAAGGGCGCTTGCAGACGTGGCGGCTCACAAACACCGTTGATTGTTTCGAAGTTACAGAAATATTTTACACAGATTTTCCCACCAGGGTCCTAATATGAAGTCGGTGAGGGCACTTGCAGATTTGGCGGCTCGGGGACGCCGGCAAATATCGCCAATTTATAGTCATAGCGTTCGGCAACAGTTTCGACAACAAACACCATGAAACTTGCTATAAAATAGCAAACAACATGGGGCAGCCTCATTCAATCAAATCTGACTTAGCTTTGCTTATCGCGATCGAAATCTGAAGTATGTGAGAAAGCTTGCAGTTTTAGCAGCCCGGAGACGCCGGCAAATGTCTAGAGGATAACGGATTTGGACATGGCCTTCGGCAACAATTTGGAAAACAAATATCATGAAACGCATGATCAAACAACAAACAAGTAACAGGCAGCAGCCTCAATTGTTGGTAATGAGAAGAAGCGCCTAAATGATCCAGCACAGTTCTCCTGAATGATAAGGATGGCATTAATGACTACAGGTGGACGTCTGTTGAAATTCCGAGAATATATGAACTCATCACGTCGCAGTGTTCTTCTACATATCACGACCACTGCTCTTGATTATTGCTTCTCGATTCTAAACCCACTTTTTATTATTGTGTTTCTTGCTCTGCTGAGACATACTTCCCCCATTCTTCTTTGTCTTCATGTATGCTAAAGCGCATACAATTTGGAAACTATGTTTCCTTATTGTTCCTTGCTTAGCATTCCCATCTATACATCTCAAAGATGGCAAGCCAACTACTTCTTCCCCTTATGGTCGCCTGCCTACTCCGTTAGCCTACACGAGCTCAATTAGCAAATCTGTCTTGCCGTCTTCCTCCGTCGCAAGGCTACCCTCTCTACATACGAGTGACGTTCCAATCAATCATCACAGCCCTATGCACAATTCAGCGGCCTACCAAGGACCGGTTTTGACTATGTCTAGCAGCCCGAAAAGTATCTTCATCGCGACACATACTTCAAACGCGGTCATCGTTTCTCTTCCCGTTTCCCAACAGTATCCAGCTCCCCAGTCTCACACTGTTTCCCAGCATCAAACTGTTTCTGAGAAGTATCCCGTTTCTCAGCATCATGCCTCTTCCCATTCTCCCACCGTTTCCCAGCATCATATCGTTCATCAGGACTATACAGTTCCCCAGCACTACACCAGCGCTGAGTCTCATTTTTCTACTCCCGAACACGTCAGTACAACCATCTTCACGAAAGACACCCGAAATCTCAGTAAGAGTCAGTCCCATTCTGGGATTTCCTCCCATCAAAAAGTTACAAAGACACTGGTTTCGTCGGTCAATCAGCCAAAATCTTCAGCAGCCCAAACGCACACGCCCACAATGGCTTCTAGCCAGACCAAGGCGACTAGCGGCAAAAGTCGAATCAATTCTGCGAAACCTACACCAAAGACTTCAGCAGCTACCCATTCAACGACGTACGCCAAGACTACCACCACACCCATGAGGAGCATAGCTACAAGGACTACCCGACCCTCTAATGATGAAACTTCTCGACAATCTCGCCAATCCAAGTCCACAAAGGGCTCAGAGAAATTTTCAACAAGTCTTTCGTCTCACCCACTCGACAAAGGCAGCTCTACCACGCAGAAAAATTCGGTAAATACCACGACCCCAGCTTCCACCCGATCTAGACACACGTTAGAGACTGATATGCCTCATTACGACCAGCAATCAAAGACAATGACCGACAGAGAACATGACACTACTGCTTTTCCTTCGAAGAGTATAGAGGTTTCTACTGGAAGATAGATAACTAAGAAGACTACAGCTTTTACCACAGCAGCTTCTTCCCAGAAGACTACGGGTTCCGACTCTACCCAGAAAGCCAACCACTCAAATTCTAGCAGAAGCCATACGATTTCTACCAAGAAGGCCTCTGGCTCAAATTTCAGCAGCACCCATACCACTAGCAGGACTACCGGGTCTGATTCTAGAAGAAGCCGTACCACTGCAGTTTCTACCATGGACTCTACCAGTCTAGATTCCAACAAAACCCGTACTAGTACAACTTCTACTAGGAAGACTACCAGCTCAGGTCCTAACAAAAGCCATACCACCCCAAATTCTATTGGGAAAACCACCATTGCGCATTCCAGCAAACGCCATACCTCTATAGCTTCTGCGAGGAAAGCTACTGGTGCACATTCTAGCGGAAGCAATATTTCTGGTATTTCCGCTGAGAAGAGTACTATTTCCGTCTCTACGATGCAAAAGGCCAGCTCACTTACCTCTCAACACAAAGCCATCACAGCCACTGAGGGTCCATCGGCTAGCCTCCCCCACCCTACAAAAGCGACAAAGACTACGAGAACCAGCGGCATAATTGAGACGATAATCACAGGTTCCAAGGGGGTTGTAGCAACTTACATAGCCACTCGGGATCCCAAGTACACCACCAACACGAGAACAACCACTGCAACTGACGGTCACGAAGATGATGTTATCATATATCCCGGAGGTTGGCGATGGATTCTACTTGGACTACCACCATTGAAATTTCCACCATTCAAGCTTCCCTCGCCTCCAGCATTTAATCCAGATCCCAAATCAGGACATCCAGGAGATGACCATGTCCACGATGACGATCCTCAGGGCCACGATGATCACGGTGACAATAAAAAGAGCAAATCCACCACCAAGACTGCAGAATGTACCACAACGAAGCCACCCATGTGTACCAAGACTGTGTCATATATTTCTAGCGGGACAGGATTCACAAGGTAAGCATTGTTTCACCCTTCGAAGGGGCAGGGGCCAAAGAAACATAGCTAATAGCAACAGCACCATTCTCGGAATATGCTCCTCTGTCAGTGGCTGTGTGTCAGGGAAGCAAAGCACCATTACGACAACCATCACAACCTCGGTACCCATCATTTGGAGCGATGAGCCATTTCAGCCTGATGTAGATGTGATTCTAGAAATTACCGGCAACGATACAATTCAATACTTCGACGACTTTTTCAAGAAACAAGGCATCTCACTTGAAGATGATGAGAATCTTGTAGCTTCTTGTGGCGGTAATACACCAGGGATCCCCGTCTTCTGCTTGAATTCTTTTAGTACCGATTTCTGTCAAGAAGTACAGGCGGACCTAGGTAAAAGTTTTACCAAGACTTTCGCGGGCCTTGATGGTACATTTGGACCGATTGGACCCATAGATCTGGGGGGAGGTCTCACCGGCATACACCCAAGGAGATTCCTGACCAAGAGAAACCTCTGCAGCGATTGGAGCTTCGAATTCCGTTGGAGTGGAGCTCTTTTTGAGTGCCGCAAGTCATGTCTCGACTACTTGGACATTATCAGAAATGAGTGCTTTCAATTCAAGAGCAACGATGAGGGTTTCCTTGATGCTGGATGTGGTACATACAATCTTGTAATCAAACCCATTCTCTCCACCTCCACCTCCACCTCCACCACAGAATCACCTCCTGAGCCCACTGAGATGCCGAAAACTCCCCTGGAGGTAAAGCCCGTCGTGTGTGAAGATGAGGCCAATTTTCCAGGACATGGCGACGTCCATAAAGGAGACCAGAAGAGACAGGCCGAATCATTTTGTGAGACATATTTTTTGGAGGGCCAACACGACCTTTATATGGGCCCTCAAAATACGACCGTCTGGGCCACCACAGGTTTCATCGAGACAAACCTATACTTTTCCGTTTCCTGGATTGATGGTTGCGAGACAACAGTGGACAGTCAGAACGCCATGCTTCCTCTAGGAAATGACATGGCCTGTTCGGATATCTTAGTCAAGACATACAGGGATTGTAAGTTTGTATCATCCTCTATGAAACGATCACAGCTAACTTGTGTTGTTAACAGGCATCAACGGCGGTGTGGGCGGATACATTGATGCTGGCTGCCTTCGATACCAATTCAATCCAGCAAAGTAACCAAATCCTCTCGGCACAAACACTTAAAGTAGTGCCCAAACAACTCCTTATATTTTCTTGAGCAGAGCTGGCTCGAATGGGAAGTGGTACATCGGCGGTCGTATGTGTTTTTTCTCTCTCTTTCCTATGTCTCGAATATTCATTGTTCAACAAATGAAATGTCCAAATGAATCCATGGCTTGGACTCTAATAGCTGCTTCAACAGCACTTCCAGATTGATAGATAGATAGATTGGCAATATATTTCTTTACTGATGACAATTTTCCCCCATCACACCACGTCGTCAAGAGTCTCATCTTTATTTTCTCCATAAATGGGTTAGAGTCACAAAATCGTTTACATTTTATGCAGTGAACTACTGTGATCTTCTGTACCTACATGGCCTTATCCTCGAGATAGCCGGCTTATCTAGATGGAGTAGATATAGCTAGATAGCGTCGGTTGAGGGACAGAGTAAATATAGCTACAGAAAATAGTCTCAGAAAGATGACTCAGATGCACTTATACGCTGCATGCCGCATATATGTCCTCCATATATGGAAATATGATTGTGGTAGAGAATCAGAACTTAAGCGGATGAATCTTTAACCCGATGGATGTGCCTTGTGGAGCCGGTTCGCCCGCCACATATATACCTGGACTGGATGTATTGTAACTAGGTATATATAATCACCAGTAACATATCATTTACATATTGCATCCCTTGCAATAAACTACTTTTCGTCATGGCGCAACGAATTCTTCTTATCAATGGCCCCAACCTCAATCTGCTGGGAACTAGAGAACCACAAATATACGGCTCAGCAACACTAAACGACGTCGTCAAACAAGCAAAAATACAAGCAGCGGATCTATCTATACAAATCGAAGCCTTTCAATCCAATCATGAAGGAGCCATTGTAGATAAGATCCAAGCGGCGCGAGGGGAAATTGATGGAATCGTCATCAATCCCGGCGCCTTTACTCACACGAGCGTAGCGATTCGTGACGCTCTCCTTGGCGTCGGAATTCCGTTTGTTGAGATTCATGTCTCGAATGTTCACGCACGGGAGCAATGGAGGCGTCATAGCTACTTGAGCGACAAAGCGCAGGCGGTCATTTGTGGATTGGGCGTGTTTGGATATACTGCCGCAATTGAGTTTGCCGCGAAGCATATGAAGGTTAACACTGGAGGATCTAAGCTGTAGAGTATACATGTTAATAAACAACAAATTTTTTATCATTAAAGCTTCAAAAAATAAATTTACAAAAGAGCCTGAGTCTTATAATCCATAATTGACCGTCCAAGAGACAAGTCGCGCTCCATCCGCCTCCATGACTGTGCCGCCCTCCTTGCCATTGTTTCCGGTACTCGCCCATCACTATCTAACAATACTCTGTTAAACACTTCGAAGCTCAGCCAGCCTTGATATCCAATGTCGCGGATGATGACGTCCAAAATTCGCTTGATTGGTAGATATCCACCATGATGGTTCTCCCCGTAAAATAACCTGGCATTCCGAGACCAGCTCATTCGCGGCGGCTGCTCCTGGTTATAGAATGGGTGGCTATTGTCAAGTGGCTGAGATAGTTTTTCTGCGTCTGCCATTTGCACCAGAAATAGTTTTTTCGGGTCGATGGAAGCAATCATCTCATGTAGAGAGGCTTCAACCGCTTCATCGCAATTATCGGTTCGGCCGGAGGATACCGATGGGTCTGCATAAATTCGGCCAGCAATGTTAAAAGTGTCGAGGCAAATACCAAAATTTGGGCGGTTGACTCTTTGCACAACATTCCAACTCAGTTCCCACGTATCGACTCGCGTGCCCCAACATAGAGCCTCGTAAGCGAATTTAATGGCTGGTGAGGCCTCAAGGCCAATCTCGGCAATCTCAACCATGTCTTGGACGATCAAATTCATATCCGACGATACTTCTGAAGGAGAGAGAAAGCTACTCGGAAGCAGTATCATATCAGTCCCGAGAATATGCGCCAGATGCACCCATAATTTCGCATCTTGTATTTTCTGCTGATGTATTTCTCGGTCTAGTAGGCCCTCATAATGCATAAATGGTTGTAAACATAGTATCGATAATTCCCGTTCGTCACATAACTGACGAATCAAGGCCGCAGCTACAAGTTGATTGTTCGGCTGGTCGCCTCCAGGCATTGTCTTCGTCAAATCGATGAGATCTTCGAAGAACAGCTCGATAGCCCGGAATCCGTACTTTCTTGCCATGTCAAGTTTGTGCTCAAGAGAATGGCCTGCGGAGCACCGTCCAAGTGACACGGTACAAATACTTGGTTGATACATCATGTTGATGAATTGATTATAGACGAAAAGGGGAGATTGTGTAGTATGATGATGATAATATTCTTGGTAATTTAGTCCTTATTCATGAGTTATTCTTTTATTGAATTCTACACTACCAATGGGAGATTCAACTATCTTATAGCAAATGTTAGACGATATTATCAAATCTCACCTTATCACATCCACCCAAATCAGACCATAACCCCTTGTATTTAACAATGTAAAAAGTGAGAAATCATTTCCATGAAATCATGTCGGATAAAGATTAGCCCTTTCGGTGTACGAAAGATTGGCAGAAACCATGAGTGACCGAGACGGCTTCATCATCCGCTACGGAGCGGCCTTGATGGTGCCCGAAAAAATCCACTAGGGCCATCACCATTGTCTTGAATTTTGTCAGAGAGATGTAAGCTTCGTAAAAGGTGCCGTAAAATAACATAGCCAGCCAATCGAGGCGCTCGCCGGTTCTTGTCTGGATAAGGCTTTAACCGGATCGCGGGGAACCTCGCCTTCGATCCACCGATAATCGCGGCTATGTCATCACCCCATGCTCCGTATTATACAGTAACCAGTGACTGAATCCTAGCAAGGGGAGAAAGCCGGATATTCGTCGAAGCGAGCGCCCTTGCCAGTGGTCCGTCAAACTCGCTTCCAAATCCACAGTCACTGTAACTTGGAATTTATTCTTAATATCTTCACTCTTCAAAACCACCATGCGAGTAATCTTATGACCCAGTTCAGACTCTCCTCAACTATAGAATTTGACAAAGTTCACATCACTACTCTGCGACATATTCCCCAGCGTTCGAAAATGGCTTTATCAACTGAATCTATTGTCAATGACATTGAACGTGCGGGTCTCGACAAGCACGGGTATCTCTTCGGCCAAAAACTTACACATTCGCTGTCTCCCTTCCTTCACCAAGTCATATACGACGACCTGAACCTCCGCTGGAGCCAGCTTCGTCTTGATTCGGCAGATCTTCAGCTCTTTTTAAATCTGTTGCAGCATCCATCATGCTACGGTACGTGAATTTAGCCATCTTCCAAACAGTCACGTCGCAATTTAATCTCATGTTTCTCAACTAGGTGCATCAGTCACAATGCCAAACAAAGTGGCTATTATTCCTCACCTTGATGAAATGACGGACGAGTGTCGCGATGTGGGAGCCTGCAACACAGTCTTCTTCAGAGAGAGAGACGGTCAGCGAATCTTGTGTGGTACAAACACAGATGTCATTGGTATCCGCGACTCCTTTTTCTACAACGTCAAGGATCCAGCCCACACATATCATAACCGGCCAGCTCTTGTTATCGGCGGAGGAGGTGCCGCAAGAAGCGCCATCTATGCCCTACGAAAGTGGATGAACGTCAAAGAGATATACCTCGTAAACCGCGATGCTTCAGAAGTCGAGGCCGTCATCCGAGACTGTACATCACGAGGCTACGGCAAAGATCTCTTACATATTGCCACAGTAGAACAGGCGAAAAGTGTTGACGGGCCTGGTGCCATTGTTGCATGTGTACCAGATTTCACCCCCCAAACAAGCGACGAGAAATTAGCAAGGCAGATCACAGAAGTCTTGTTGGAGAAGAAGCACAAAGGCGCGATGCTTGAAATGTGCTATAATCCCACGCCATTTACCGCTCTGGGTATGCTTGCAGAGAAAAAAGGTTGGAATGTAATTCTGGGAACTGAGGCACTTATATGGCAGGGTTTGGAACAAGACACGTATTGGACTGGAAACACGATTGATGGATTACCAGCTGAGAAAGTGAAGGCCGCGATTGCGGCGAGTGTAGCTCAAAGATCTCAATCGAAATTGTAAATAAATAAAAAAAGAATTACTTGCACATTCATAAATAGAAATCGGACTATTCACTAATTAATGCTTCAGGTGTAATATATGCTTTAGAAATACTCGTAGGAAAAGGCCTTGGAAGAAGAAATCGGTCGTTGAATTCAAGTCGGTTACAGGTAACTTGAAGTTTGCGTTAAAGTCACCCGCTTAGCATAATCTTTCTGATCAAGTTCAATTTATTGGAGTATGTTCATAATGGCAACAAAGGCTCGCAAAACAATGTTTATATGCAAATTTATGGTATGAGTATTAAATTTACTCATGGAATGCAGCATTTACTACATACTGATCAAACTCTACACATTTCCAGTTCCGCATTCTACCTGCTCGGCCGAAGTATCCTTCTCATTATCCCAACCTATCCCTCGCGTATTCTGCTCGAAATCCTGATTCTCAGCTCGAAGTTCTTCCAGCAAAATTTTGTTCGCCTTCCATGTCGGCTTAATCTTGAACAGCCGGTCCATGGCTTCAAGAGGTAGCGCCTTTGTCTCGGGAATGCAGAAAAACACAAAGACGACGGAGATTATCATGAGAGATGCAAAGAAGAAATAAACACCATATCCCCACGCTTCAAACATTTGCTGCGTGAATCTCGCAATGATGAAATTCCATAACCAGTTGTTTGCCGCTGCATTAGCTTGACCAAGAGATCGGGTATTTTGGTCAAACATTTCTGAGTTGATAACCCATGGCGTTCCATTCCAGGATGGGGTGTAGAAAGCAGTCCATAGGTAGAAGAAGAAGATGGCGGCAATGCCACCAGAAGATAATGTAGTGTTGGTCTGGTTGGAGGCAGGATCGGAAATCTTGATGTAAGCTCCAATGAACCACATACAGAGAGAACCACCGATGGCACCAATCATCAAAAGATTGCGGCGGCCCATGTGGTCGATGAGTACTAGCAGCCAAACTATAGTCAAGGCTGTCTTAACGACTCCAAAGATTCCTGTGGTGAGAAAGCTTGTATTTGTTCCTTGGACGCCGATACTACGGAAGACAGTCGGGCTGTAGTAGTTGATTGCGTTGATGCCAGACCCTATAAATCATTAGCAAGAAGTCATTTCATGTAGCAAGTTGTAAAGAACTCACCATTCTGGAAAATGAATAGAAGAGCACCAAGACAGAATCTCCACTGAATTCTGCGCTCCTTCAGAGCCAAGAACGGCTTCCAGAAGCCAGCGCCGACTTCTCGGCGATAGCGCTCCAGATCTTCATCAATGAAGGCCACTTCCTCCACAATATACTTGTCATCACGGTCAAGCTGTCTCATCCAGCAGAGGACTTTCAAGGCTTCTTCCCGTTTACCCTTTAAAAAGAGCCAGCGAGGAGATTCGGGAATGAACACAGCACCGATCAGGAGCATTCCTCCGGGGATCAGCTGGACAGCAAATGGGATGAGCCATTGTGTTTTGCTGGGTGCCATGGTCGTGTTTACACCATATGTTATCCAGAATCCAACCAATCCACCAATTTGCCACCCAAGTTCATAGAGACCAACGAGGCGTCCACGCACGGCTGGTGGAGCAAGCTCAGAGATGTAAATAGGTGTCATGTTAGAGCATCCTCCCACTCCAAAGCCAGCCAGCACGCGGCCACCGATAATCAGGCCAAGGCCGCGACTACCAGAGGCGCCCAGCATCATGCCGGCTCCAATCATGAAGAAGGCGGCAAACGCGAGGAGAGATTTCCTACGTCCAAGAAAGTAACTCGAGACATAGGCGGCCAAACTCCCGAAGAAAGCTCCAGCCTGGTAGACGGATACAATGTTTTGTTGAATAAGTGTGAGGTGTGACTTGGAGTATTGCGCGAAGTTGAACTCATCCTCAAAGGAAGGGAGGGCAAGAGTGGTGCCAATGAAGGCAGAGTCGTATCCTATCATGCATGCTGCAAAGGATGCTGTAGCAGCACAGGCATACACCCTCCAGTTGTAGACGGCCTTGGGCGTAGGCCGATCCTCCTTCAAAGTAAGAAGAGTCATGGTGAAAGATTGTCCAAACACTTCGAGAGTGCTAGTTGACTTGGAGCCTCTAGAATCGAAGGAAGGCTCTGGGGATCATTGATTGACTTATAAGGGGATATGACAAGCCATTGGGCAGGTTACAGCTTCCCCCACGGGGAAGAAGTCGGTACTGAAGAGCTAGTCCATGCACACTTGGTCGGGATTGTGATGAATCTGGGGTCGAAGGACTGGGAGCGGAACAAAGATCTTGGTGGATTGGCGTCGGGATGTGGAGCCGCCACCCACACTTGGATAAAGAAATATCCAGACGGCTCAAAGTGGGAAGCACTTTAACCAGCGTCAAACACTGGCTGCCACTAGACTATCCATGTGACCTTCACCAGCCTCCTACGTATTATGGACAATGATGGAAACTACAGAGGTGCTCGTGGTTCTGAATTAAGAGTATTAATGTTATGAAGATTAAAAGTGCGTAAGGATATATGGATTCTATGAAGCAAACGCTCTTAGCCTCCAGAGTCCACATGAAACATCTCTTCCAACGTGCAACCTGGAGCGAATCCGAGATTCATCATGAACTGGGGGTCCATGTCAATGCTGTCAGCATAATCAATGTTTCCTAGTTCCTCTAAGATGGCATCGTAGTCGACTGAATCGGTATGGGATTCCCCCGCCTGTAGAACGCGTCCAATTGGCTGTATTGGGCCTACCGAGGGTGGTACAAACATCATACCAAGATTTGGTGGGAGTTGCGCGGGAGAATATTTATGCTGATTTGCTGTATACACCTGGGTGCTGGCGGGCATGTGTACATCCGTTGGGAATAACCCATATCCTTGGTTAAATGATCCTGTCGGAGATTCTTGGTAATCATCTCTGCCTTGACCCATTGGATTATCCCGGCCCAATGGCTCCAAGCCGACGGTTCCTCCCCAGGAGTTATTTGTTGTTAATGTCTTGGGCGAAATGCATGCAGTACTTTTAGTTATTTCATCCTGGAGCCACACAGCTTTGATCGTGGTCAATGCCAAATTCCACCTGTTTGCTTCAGATGTCCGCATCTCATCCATTATTCCCTTTTGTTGAACAAGCAAAAAGAGCGCAACAGTGATGGGCGGGGTGCCACAAGCCCCAAAATTCGATATGCTAGACTCGACCACCTCCAAGAAGTTGGATATAAGCGACGATCGCTGGCCCGGAACAAGTTCTACAGTAGTGGCCAAGAACATGGCCTGGGCGAGGAAAGCCGACGGTAGCATTGGCGTTGCTTCTCCAGCAATGACAGAGTTGCAAAAGCTGAATTGTGGATTCAAGGATGACACGAGATCTCCGACAGTAACAGCTTTGACAGAACCGTTTTGATGAATCTTTCCGGCCGCGTGCGTACTTAATATCCGAGCGAATCGACTCAATTGGTCCAAAGCGATAAGGGAATGGGTGGTTTGGGGGCGGGCAGACTCAGGATTTAATGAAAGCTTTCCAAAGCCGTAAGTCGGACAGAAAGAATCACCAAAGCCCAACTCATCCTGAGATAGATCGGCTGTTTGGAAATTCTCCGTATCCAACAAGTGCGATGGCTGTCCAATGCACATCGATGTCAGTGCCTCGACAAGATTACAAGCGGCAGCCAATTTCGCTAGAGTTGATCTTTGCCCGTCGCTGTGCATTTGGGATATCCTACTGGATCGCATATAAGAAATAAGCCGCATGGCCTTTCCTGCTATTAAAGACGCGGCCAGCATACTCTCACGACCGATAAGAATAATTGCATGAAGGAGAATTGCTTGAATATCCAAAATAGTAAAATGATCCTCTTCTTGAGGAATCAAGCTGCGAGCCACTGTGAAAATTTCTGCTGGCGACATAATTTCCTCGCTCACGGGAGGAGCTGAAGAGTGTGAATCTTGGAAGGCCGCGATGGCCATAGCAGACCAGAGAACGGCAAGCCTGGACGGGACGACATTATTCTCCCCAGTATAACCAGGTACATTTTGAATTTGTGAATTGCATATCGCTGCAGTTGCAAAGACTTCCTCTCGGTCGAGTATAGGAAGCCAGCAATGGGTATATGAAAAGTAAATTTCGAGAAGGTGTTGATGATTCGAGGGGAGCTTTACAGCTCGATCTTTCGCTGACTTGGACTCTTTCAAAGAGAAAGCCTGGTCAAATTTTGCCACGTTTTCCGGATGAGATCCTGCCAACGGCAGTCTCGTTATGCTGGCCGATTCTTCCCCAACATCGTCGTCTGTTTCGGAGTCCTCAGTATTGGACGCTTCCGGTTTTTGCGTACCACTTTGGCAAAGCAATGATTCAATCTCTTTATGAACCCGGCACTTGCTCCATTGTTTATGCAACTTGTTCGCAGATTTGCCTTTGCTCATAAGAATACTCGCGCCATCTTTTCCATCATCCTTGACCAGTAGTTGATAAAGCGCTTCCTCGCTATCAGGAATACTCTCCAGCAACCATGCCAGCGACAGCTCAATTGCTCTCAGATACCCGCTTTGGATACCTCTCTTCTTGGATGCTGGTGTATATGAGCAGGGGCGGTTTTGAGACACGCAGCGGCCACAGTGTGGGCGGCTACCGTCACATTTTTCTCGAGCTGTTCTGCAACCATCACAGGCCAGAGACACTCGGCGTCGTTTCGTTGCTGCGGCGGTTGTATCCGGTTTCTTAGCAGAATCCAGGTCGTCCGTGGATCTCTTTCGGGGCGGCATTCTGGCCAGTCATGTCTAGCTGGCAGTTGCTATGAGAGATGCGGTCTGAATCGTTGTTTCGTCAAATCTCCAATTCCCACGCCAGCATCATTTTACTCGACGCCAGCATCAAGTTTGCACAAGTCTGTATGAATGAATGCTGAGAAAAGCTGAAATACCTTCACAATTCTCTCTCAGCAGCTTTTTGATAAACTTGCGTAATTCTTGTGATTCACAACGCTGCCATTGGATGGACGCATGGCTGGGGAAAACCTGGGGTAAAACGAGGCTAGAGATTTAGTGGGTGGCAAATTCAATCCGGGTAAATACTTATCCCCAGTTGCTATGAACAAAGTTTAGAATTATCGGCAGCGCCTTGTTGAAACCTCATCAGCAGAAATCTAGCACTCATACACATCCCAAGAAAACTACAGATACTCTTGAATTGAAACAGAATGAAACATCATGGCTGGCGTCAAGAGATCGTTGGCTGCTATGATGAGTCTCAGTGAAGGGCCGGTCGGTGTCGATGGTCGGCTGAGGCCATATGCCTTCATCAATTCATCGTCTGAGTCAGAAGTCACATCACGAACTCCTACGCCGCCGTTCACTCCTACCAGAGGCAAGATTCCAAGCTTCAGTTCCGATGCCTCTGTAGCATTGGTAGGGCTGCGGGGCTCCGGAAAATCGACATTGGCTATTATGGCCGCGTCCGCATTAAAAAAGAAAGTCATCAATGTTGAGGCGGCATTCCAGTCAGTTACCGGCTCTTCCAGCTCAAACTTCAAGCAAATCAATGGAAACACCGAGTGCCATCGAAAACAAGCCGATGTACTTCAAGAAATCATCGAGCAGAATCCGACAGGATGCATCATCGTCTGTCCCTGGATGGAGAGGAAAGTCCAAAGCCTCCTTCGACAGTTTGCAGTCACCAATCCGGTCATCCATGTCCTGCGGGATATCGATGCTATCCAAGGTCACCTAAAGCTCAAGGATAGGACAAAGGTGTACAACTTGATGAAGATGAGCAACTTGTTCTATCGCAGCTGTACCAATTTGGAGTTTTTCAACGTCTCCGAGATCCGCGAGACCAATGTTGAGGGGAATGGGATCAACGATCGCGGATTCACGACAAATGCACCGTATCTTGCTCTAAAACAAGCTGAGAGGCATTTTCTCAAATTCTTATCGCTCATATATCCGGCGGGTACGATCCCGTTCTTTGAGTCTGCATTTCCGCTTGCCAGCATTGCACCTGAGGATAGACAATTTACATACTGTCTCTCGGTCCATATTCAAGATATCTTGAGCGAAACTCAAGATTGGGAAGAATCAATAATCGGTGTGGATGCTGTTCAGATCTTCGTCAACAACTTGGCAACAACGGGAGATCTCTCTGACGGCGCCGATGGGTTAACGAACAAAATTACTGAGGCCGTAGGAATTGTACGACGAAGCACCATGCTGCCTATTTTGCTGCACATCAAGTTGCCTGAAGTTCCAAACAATATGGTAGTGCGATCATACTTGGATCTACTTTCACATACCCTGTCTCTGGCCCCGGAAATGCTCACAGTCGATTTGCGCCTCGATCATTCTGATCTCTCTAGAATCATTTCAGCAAAGAGCCGATCAAAGATTATTGGAAACTACTTTGTATCAACAGATTCTCAATCTTGGGAATCTCCAGCTTGGACATCCTGGTACCAGAAAGCGTGCCAACTTGGTTGTGATATGGTCCGATTAGTTCGACAAGCCAAAACTATGGAGGATAATTTTGTCATTTCACGATTCAAATCAAAAATTTTGTCTCTTAAATCTCACAAAATACCACTTATCGCATACAACTGCGGGCATCTCGGTCGGCACTCGGCCTGCTTTAACCAAGTCCTTACGCTGGTGGCTCCCAGCCCTGTGATACGAGCCGACGAAAGATGCGCTCCTTTCCCCTACATCACAGCGAAGGAAGCTACAAATGCTTTATATGCGTCTTTTGTATATGATGCAATGAGACTCTACGTGTTTGGAGCCAATGTGGGATACAGCATGTCCCCAGCGATGCACAATGCTGCATTGTCATCCTGCGGAATACCACACCATTATGAACCCTATTCCAGCGAGTCTCTCAAAGGCGTGGAACATTTAATATACGACCCTAATTTTGGCGGAGCATCAATTGGATTACCTTTCAAAGTTGAAGTTACGACTTTGACCAAATATCTCAGCCCCCACGCCAGAGCGATCGGTGCTGCCAACACTCTAATTCCCATTCGCCAGCTCAAGCCCGATGGAACTATCCCAACAGGCTCTGCGCTTTTAGCTGGCGTCAATAGAGCTGGCCCTGTTCTTGCTTTATACGGTGAGAATACGGACTGGATCGGTATCCGAGCATGCATCCGACGCGGATTATCCCCAGCCAACGCCGTAAGATTGGCCACATGGGGATTCATCATAGGTGCAGGAGGTATGGCTCGTGCCGCAGTTTATGCCATGCTCCAGGTTGGCATCAAGAACATTGCCATTTACAACCGAACGACAGAGAATGCGGAGAAACTGGTTTCCCATTTCCAGAAACTACTTCAAGAAACCGAACAGACTTCTCTAGCCAACGACCAAGAGATAAAGTTCCATATCTTTACTTCACTCGAGGAGCCTTGGCCATCGGAATATAGATACCCATCCGTCATCATATCCTGCATTCCAACTCATCCGATAGGCAACACGCCCTCACCCGAGTTCAGAATGCCAGACGCATGGCTAGGCCATCAAACAGGAGGCGTCATTATCGAACTTGGGTACAAGACGCTAAACACGCCGCTCTTGAAGCAAGCTAGGGATGGTGCCTCTCGAGGTTGGGTGGCTATGGACGGTCTAGACCTGCTTCCAGAGCAAGGTTGCGCGCAATTCGAGTTGTTTACAGGAAGAAGAGCTCCGCGACGAGTCATGCGGAGAGAAATCTTGGAGAATTACAGAGATGAGCATGGGAAATCACATCTTGAGGAGTTACAACACAGATTACAGTCCATAGTTGAGCAGGACTCATGATGGTGTGGCCGAGGCAAGCTATGAGTGCCAAGTCATTCCTTTAATGAGGAGGCGTTTTATTTGAACAAAAGGCGGTATATAACAAATTCAGCTAGTTCCAGTGACATTCAATCACATTCTCCATATATGCAGGGCTAAGTATTATAAATCATGCTAATCAATTCAACGCAAGATCAGTTCTTTGTACCGTTTACTTAGGTAGGAAACATTGACCTTCGCGTCGGTACTGTATAAATACTCGACCAAGGTACCCAGCTTCATCCGGATATTCGTCGTCAAGAAGCACAGACAGCTCTCCATCTGTGCTCTGTGATCTTTTCCGCAGTTGGCTGTGGTTACCCTGATGTCTGGTCCTTACAGAAACCCCACGTGCACGGTCCATCGTCGAAAGATGTTGGCACATGCTCAAGAGTTTCATCGTTGTCCAACCATAAGTTTTCTGTCAGAATGGACAGTGTAGAGCGTCTCATTTGGATGTATGCTCGTGCTCTCTCTTAGCTTCAAAAGAAGGTAATCATGCAAAAGATAGTCATATAGGCATCTCCAATAGTAACCTGGCCAGCGAACACCTCGTGTCATACAGCTACATAATAACACGATACATACGCGCTCATGTTGGCAAAAAGACTAGTAACATGAGCACCATCTCGGGGGCCGCATTAAGGTCTGTTGGTCTGGTGAACCTCATACAGTGCACCGTACTCAATGCAGGGAGCTTCACCTCCAGTAAATGAATCAACCCAAATATATTCACAGCCAGGTGACAGCCAGGTGACAACAACGCATGGTTCGTTTGAGATCCACTACGATAAATTGTCTTTGATTCCACATGCCTTGCAAGCTTATTATAGGAACGGCCCGGATCGTCGTCTTGGCAATTATAAATCTCAAGCTAGGATGAAAACCACTCATGGCTTGGCCTCTTCCAATGCATTTTTATAGCAGGTAGAACAAGCAGAGACAACTAGAGAAAAAGACGATAACCCCAAGGTAGAGACCCAAGACCGCCCTATGGAAAGCAAATTACAACCATCCAGTTTCCTCTCCAAGTCCTAGCAAATGCAGGCTAACTGTCTGGCTGCATGCATTATTTGCGAGGTCGGAGGACAAGCGTGGCGCACATTCCGATAATTATTAGCAGAGAATTGGGCCTCAGTCTAGATGCCATACCAATCTTATTATTGCAGCGTTACAGCTCTAACCGCCAAGGGCTCTGCCATATCAGCTGCTGCGATGACCACCAAGTATTACATGTATGGATTGAAGCAACTAGTTGTGCACTAGTGTTTCCATCAGCTGTTACCAATGACAACCAACAACATGGACGGTTAACGCAACCAATATTAGATAGTTGCAATTGTTAATAAAGAGCCATTGCACCAACTGTCAGAAGTATTTTAGATGCATTTTCATTAGCCAAGGTAAAGAAGATAGCAAACAAGTAAGTTGCGCTTCTGGATCAACCACGTTTCAATTTGCTCATTCTCACGCTTCCGAGGCCGCTCATTAGGTCAACATGATACCCAGTCAGAAGGATCAGAGGAGGCTGTGCTCAATATTCTTCATGGGTCGATAGTTCGTAGGAATCAAGATGCTTGTAGCAAATAGTCGATAGACCATGATGGCCATAATAGAAGAGTTTCCAAATACGGAAACACGCCTCATCACTTGCCAAATTCGTCTTCAATATTGGAAGTTCAGAGTATTCCTATGACCTAAAACTTTCATCCTGCCAAGAGAAATAGGCATCAAGATATCTTCCCGTAGTCAGCAAACTTCTTCCTAATACATTCCCATCAAGCAAATATTTTCTTTCACACGCGTTCACCGAAGGTTCTAAGCCCAGGAAGGAAAGTCACTTGAAAAGAACGCATCAATTAAACTCAGGGTTGACATCCCCGTTGCCGCACATCCCACATTGTCCAATGGCATCGCCGTGCCTGACAGGTCATTAACCTAAACAGGCAAAAGACAAGACCCGAACAAGGGTCTCTCTTCTAATCCTTTCGACATATCCTTGAGGCAATCGATTCCATCTACCGACTATAACGGGCCCATTGGCTTATGGTGTGTTTTTTTTCCTTCTATGAATAGAATGGAAAAAGGAGATGTCCGTTTACGTACATTGTAGGGCCAGTGCATGAAACAATATGTTGGAGACTGTCGTGAGTAATGTCTCCCGCAGGATTCATCCTCTCGGCCAACCTGGCAAGGAGGTTTGCGCAATGCATCGGATCTCAACCCCCCGTCCCAACACATTCAAGGACTCACAGCCACGAACAAGCCTATCCTATGACAGGCAGTAAGATTGTCACATTCCAACTTGATCGATTCCGGTGATGCATGCAATGGACTAGTGAGCACTAAAGCAAGCAACTCCATAATGTTATGCTTGGCCAAGAGGGGAGGGCGTAGGGTGATCTTCATTTTTGTTTCCTCCGAAGTAGCTATTTCGTGAGGCAGGAAAAGACATATAAGATCCGACCAGTTCCTCCTCGTAAGCCCCTTTTTGGAATATCATCATCAGGCAACAAGAACAACTTGTCACTGCTTCTTGACAAGACCACACTCCTTTTAAGACCACACTCCTTTTTTAAGAAAACAAACTCATTTCTTCGAGATGCCTTCCTTCCTTAGCATCGTCGGCCTTGCAGCCGCTGCCGCCTCTTCTGTCTCGGCCGGTGTTCTCCCTCGTGCCAACACCGCCTCCGTTACTCCCCACGAGCAATACTCGTCTTCCGTCGGCGTCCTCGGCTGCCTCATCAACACCAACCGTGTTGCCTACTGGCCCAGCTCTGTCGACTGCAACAACATCTGCGTCGAGCTCACCTACCAGGGTCGCAGCCTCACTGTCCTTAAGATCGATCAATCTGGCGGAGCCTACGACATCTCCTACGATGCCTGGAACCAGCTCATCTTCGGCCAGCCTGCCACCGTACAGCCTCAACAGGGCGGTGGTGTCAGCGTTCAGTGGCAGTACGTCGACAACAGCCGCTGCAGCGATCTCCTGCACAACGGAAAGCTTCCTCTTTCTGCTGCCAACAGCATGAACTACGTTGCCAGCTGCCTCAACCAGCCCAACTCGTGGGTTGCCAAGAACTACGAGCTCATCAACCTTCTCGACCCCGTGTGCCACTGGGGCTGGAATGAAGTCTGCAACCTCAACCTCAAAGTGAGCAACCAGGCCAGCTGCCCTCACCAGCTCGGTGACCCTCACCCCAGCGGATTGACTGTCAACAACATCCAGTATGGCACTGGTAAGATCGTCGCCGCTCTCTAAGCAGTCTGGGTGATGTACATTTTCAGCTAGCATTGAGTTCCCTTAATGCATTGCTGTATATTGGTGATCTCAACGGGGAGGAGGGGTGTGATCATCTGAGAAATACTCTTTGGTGAAATATTTTGTATATAGCAATACGCACTTTTCTTACTTCAATAGTACATAGTCTTACACACATGCCTGCTTATCTCTCTTGAACTTTTTGACGCACTCCACCGCAGCTAACACGCAAGCGACTCGAGGAAGAAAGAAGTCACTGTATCCCAAACAAAATGTATTTATCGCTAATAAGTTTTATGATTGTCAGGTTGGGGTATCTACAGTTCTATATGTCCCACCAAGTATATTATGCCCACCTCATAATGCCCACTCATCAGGGTTATCATCCCGCGTGATAAACGGCTCGTCTATTCTCTTGATGGCAAAATCGCTACATAGAATGCTATAAAACTGGTTAGCAATGTGAAATAGGAAGGTGTCAATGCAAATAAAGAAGAGCGAGACTCACCATGCTGACGCCACCAAAGCATCAAGCTCAGCCACAACGGCTTCCCGCTGCGTTCCGCTCACAAGACCCTTGTGGATTTGCATCTGGAGTTCCTTGATTCGGTTTGACTTGGCAACACCAGCTTGCTCCAACACTTTCCGTCCCATACAGTCCGAGTGGAAAGAGTGTTGGCAAGGGAAGACGAAGAATTGTCTGCTCAGCAAGGGGAGCCCACACACATAGCACTTCTCACCAGGCTCCACGATGGCGTATCTGTGATCCAGAGCAGCAATGTCCAGCTTAATATTTGTCGCCGTCTGCGAAGATTCATCCATTTCTTTCTTCAAATTGTCAATATTTCGGCTATAGTCTTCCAGGGCTTCGCAGATCTCCTCTTTGAAGTCATCGATGACTACAAAGTCGGGGAAGAACGGAATTAGGTCTTCGATCCTTAGCAAGTCGCATCTCTTCAGGAATTCGATAGCGGTTTTGATGCCGTCAGACTGAGAAATGACTCTCCGCGCAACAGCTAGCCATAGTCTTTTTCGCAGTTGGGGATTTGACATTGGTCTATCAGCGATAACCGCAGCTAGCTCAACCTCGTTATGGGAGAGCGCTAGGTCAACTGCCTGAAGATATTGTTCCATACTGGTATATATATGAACGCATGACAGTGTTCGATGGTGGTGGATACACTGACGCAAAGCAAAGTCGGAATCGTATCGAGGCTCGTCACCCTGTGCCTGAAGATAGGATAGCAGCCCTGACTCGTCTTTGGAGGGGTGTGAGGCATAGATGGACACGAGCGTGTTGTGAACTGCTGCGTCCGTCGAATTGAGCTGGTAAACTACGTAGTTGAGATACCTTATGGCCTGGTTCTGGGCTGTTGCTTCACCAGAAAAGCCACGGTGATATTCTAACAAGGCCGGAATCAGTCGTCGCGGGTTGAGATCCGAGTGTCTCATGAGAATATCCACTGTATCTTGGGCAACGTGTGACATTAAGACAGTGCTGTATCGATAAAAGACCTCCACATCTGTCTGCTTTTTTAGGACATTGAGCGCCTCAGTCCATCTCTCTCGTTGTACCCAGTAAGATAAGACGTAGTTGTAGTCATTGATAGCATTCGCGAAGTAGAGAAGCTCTTCTTCTCTGCCATGACTGCTAATCACATCGTACACCGTCTTGTGGTCGAGATCACTTTTGTACTTGTTAACAAAATCCTGAAATTCCTTCTTCGCTGAGAGGATCAATTTTCTGGATTCTGCAGGATTCATTTTTTCCGACAGATCTGCATGGGTGATGATGGCATCGTCGAGGGAGTTCAGCTTGGCCATGAAGATCTCGACCAGCCAGCTCGCAATCATTATTCTTTGCATGACGGCAGACTTTTTGGTCGTGCCTAGTTTAGTGAGTAGAAAGATACGCAGCGCATCTGGCTGGTTGCTGTCAATCAGCTTGAGCGCTATTTCCTCAAAAGGCTTGTTGCTCCGGCCGTATATCATGGCAGCTTCGCTCCAATGGCCTTTGGTAGAAAGGTAGTCGCCAAATGCCGCAGAAACAGTCTCCCTCTGGATTTGCGAGCGGGCCTGTTGAAGAGCTGGTTCAAACTGTTGCGTTTCCATCATAATTTTCCAAATGTTCCGATCTTCGTCGCGCACCACAATCTCAAAGATCTCTTCGGAAGTGAATAGCCAAAAGGTGTTCTTTTGAGAATCTACCGAAAATCCGATAGGCTTCTGGCCAGCAGAAAGCACATCGTGCTCGGATACCATTTCTCCGGTAAGGCGATTGGTAGTAATAACACGGCCACCAACCAGATTCACAATGTGCCACTGAGTGAGAGCAATGGCATCAATGGTCTCGGTAGACGGTTTCCGCTTGCTCCCGGACCCCTGTGTGACAATTTGAGCTCTTGGGAGCATCTTGGACTCGGCAAAGACTTTGGAACCTAGCGCAGAATCCGTAGGTGAGTTCAGTAATTTCCCATGATAGACACCATGCGACGATAGCCATGCATATGCTCGATCCGGCACATCGTCATCATGAGGGCTGGTATCAAGCGGATCGGGAGACACGACGAAGGTGGAGCTCGCCCCCGAAGTGACTCTTGAAAGCTCGTGGATGACGGGTTGTTCCGTCTCAAACATCCTGGTATAAATAGAGCCGCTGCCATCGTAGCCATGGCTAATTCTGCCAACGAGGTGGAACAGCCTGCTCTGCGTAGCAATCATGACCCTCCGCAAGTCGGTCTTGCCATGTAGGTTATCCACCCAGAGGCCTGTGATGGGTCCGTCAGGGAGCTTATGCAAATTCTTTAGATGCTTTACTTCCTTCTTGTAGAACTCGTTGGACGTTTCTATGAAAGCCTCGTAGATGTTGCCGTCTGCGGCGCCGATGAGGATCTCTCTCGTAGAGGCGGTTGGCAGGGATGGGTTCCATGCTATGCTATCGATCAAGACGCCACGCAATTTTGTGAGAAGCCTAGGCTGCTTGGACTGCGAATGTAGGTAATAATTCTCCCCAAGTGATGTGCAGACCAGGAGATGCGACGCCGTGGGATCGAGGAACATGCGTCGAATAATACCGATTTCGGACGGCTTCTTTGGTAGGTCAATGTCTGCGCCAAACAGTGCAGGTCAGCCAAAATGCTCTCCCTTGTTCCCGCTTCGCTCCCACCCCCAACAAGATCCTCCGGGTAGGCTCACCGTCAATATCTTCGGGTCGGTTCAGGTCGATGCGCAGAATCCGGCCATTGGACAGGGCTAGGATGATGACATTGTTGGCAACCTGTGCGGCTGCAAAATCGGCCGCTATGGAGAACTGCAGCTGTACTCGCTCGATGGTGAAGATTGGCAGGTCGCCGGTCTCCGGGTCTGCGGCCTCGGCGGCGACGAATCCGTCGTTGGGATCAAGCGACATGGCGTCGGCTTCTCAAGCAGGCATGCTCGCGCGGGGCTTGGACAAGGCGAAGTCCTGCTTCTCTGTCGCCAGAAGCAAAGACAAGCGCAAGCTGCTCCCACAAGAGGCGATCGGAATGAGAGACGGGAGGCTGTAAGGCTGAAGGGAAGCTTGGTCGGAGCTCGAGGCTGGTGATGGCGGAGAAGAGTTGAATCACCAGGCTGCGTCACTGGCAGCTCAACAGCCCTTGAGCTCTAATTCGCCAGCAGAAAGCGGTGGAGGAGGGAGCTACAGATGGCACTAAGCCGTTGTTGCTTTAGGGAGGTACGGGAGTACTTCCAGAGCCACAGGCTCAAGTTAGAAGACGGGATGTAAATTCCTGCCCGTGCATGTACTTATTGGATGCAATTCATGTTTTCCATTCATCCATTACTCTAACGCCCTCTTATCCAAAAAAAAAAAATTATCAAGATGGCATGTAACCATACACAAGTTCACATGTCGGTTAAAACAAAGTGGTAGGCTACAGGTACTCTTCAGCAGCTTGGTGCCTTAGTACCTTGGGTATGTCAACTCTCCGACTCTCCTGTCCCTCGATTCCCCGCCTCCAACCTATGTACAACCTCGGGGAATATGGGATATCTCAGCAAGGAATTACACAATAAAATAAGGGCCAGGGGGGGGCTCTATTTTAGTCGCTATCCAGCCGAGAAAAAGAAAGCCAAAATAAATGATTCGTGGGCCAAAGAAACCTATCATCTGGCCATGGTTGTGAAAAAGGATATCCCTTTTGGCAAAATGGAAACAAGGATTCAAAAACGCTTGCTTGCGGTCGAGTTCGTTGTGTTCATTAAAATTCGTCATTGTAAATAGCATCATGTCGCTGTCGCGTGTCTGTTTGATAACAGGAAAACCAGGGTCCCTGTTTCAGATTCAATTTGTACCAATCGGTATGGCATCGCGCAAAGGACGAAGCCCTGTTAGGTCGTCACCTGGTTGAGTCACCTCGCCCTGTCTAGACTCAGGCTCCGGAGTTCCTCCCTCCTTCCGAGGCCGCAAGCTAAGGGGCTCTTCTGCCGGCCAAGCGGCATTTGTTCTGGGTGCTTGAAGAGGTTTCCGCGCTATGACGAGGCGAAGCTTGATAACAAGATCCTTTGCGGCGGCATTTCTCGATAGATTAGCCATTTCCCTAGCTACCTGCTCGCAGACGGCCTTGCACTCCTCGGGGTCCCACCCCATGTGTTCGGTGAGAAGACGCAAAGCTGAGGGCTCAACGCCATCTATCAGAGCCATTAACCAAAGCCTGTCGACCGACGGCTCACCAAACACCATGGGAAGCGAATATTCCATCACTCTAACATCCACGAAGCCCGCGTCTATGAGATGCCCCGCATCCAGGTGATCCATGGACAGCTTTCGTCCTGCCAGCTCCGCAGCTTCGTGGATATCCTTGACCAGCGTATGGATGGGGGATTCGGGCGGGAAGTGGTCGATACAAACAAGGCCATCAAACCCGTCAAAGTCAATCACCTCTATCCAACCTCCGGGCTTCAGCGAATAGTAGGCGCAGTCGTAAACGAAACCCCAATCGCGGAATGACCCCGCCAGCCAGCGCATGTGGATCATGTCATAGTGGTCCGGCGGCCGGTCCCAGTCTTCAGCATCCTCGATTTCGAAAAACACATTGACGGGGACGCTCTCGGTCTCCGCAATGGCGGATATGTCGGTGCCTACAACTTCGCATTCCGGAAACATCTCGGCCATCCTGATGGCCCAATCTCCAGTGCCGGTCCCAACATCAAGAATATGCGTCGGCGGCTCCTCAAGCGGGGCAAGAGTTAGTTCTCCATCGAAAATGTGGAGGAAAACCTGATGCAGCAAAGTCACACGCAGCTGCTCAAGCTCATCGTTTGGCATGAAATAATCGCGACAATACCTACGGCCATGGAGCTCACGATAGTCTAGGTCCATGGTCCATAGAGACCGAGTTGACGCTCTTTTGTTTGATAGTTAGCACCTGTTGAGTCAAACAGCCAAATAGTCGCACCAGCAATTCACTTGAAAATAGTATTTGGAGGGGGCAAGAGCACAATGGCCACTTACAGGTCTGAACCCATCGCTTGCGAATCCCCCGTCACAAATTGGCCGCCTCCTAATCTATAGGTGCTCATTGCGCCGCGGGGAAGCTGGCTGGCCGGGTAAAGAGAGGCTACCTCAAATTCGTCTTCGTCTTCGTCTTCCACATGGTCAGTCTCGCGGCCCATCTCGTCTCTTTCCTCCTGGCTGGCCTTGATGGTCTGATGGTCATCGTTTGCATCATCGGTGTTGTGTGACTGAGAATCGCGGGTAGATGTCTTTTGCGGCCCTTGTTGACGAGTCCCCTTGCGACTTTTTCGCTTCTTTGATACCATCTTTCGTAATGTGCGTTATAGGACTGCGGAGCACAACAAGAAGTTGCAGTGTGATTGGTTCGGACAGGAGAGTTTATCGAGAATGGACGGCCGCGAAGGTTGAATTAGAAAACATGATACTGGGCATCCAGTACAGGCAACAAGGGACAGGCGTAGATGTCCCAGTCGGATCAACGAGAAAAGAGCGATTGCATGTCCCGTCAACATGTGGTTTCGTTCGACTAGAAGAGAATGCAAAAACGAGAGGCAAAGTAAGACGGAATTAAGCCAAAAGAACGAGTGACTGCTGCACGGACAACTGGAGAGGGGGGCTGGCTGATGGACGATGAAGAGGCTGAACGAAACCAACACAACAAAGTTGAAGCTGCAAAAGATGAGAGCAAAGAGAGGATAGAAGAAGAAGGCCGGCCAGCACAAGCCGCCTGGAATGGAACGAGGCCTCAAAAGCACTCGCTTCGCACACAAGCCTCGACGAAGAGAAAAAGTTAAAGGTTTGGTACAGAGGCAAAAGGTGCACGAGAGAAGCATGAAGACAAGTTGAGACAGTCGATCAATTTCCTGAGTGGGCCGCCAGGCGAGGATGCAGCACTGTGGGCTCGCTGTGGGTTCGGCGGGCACAGCGGGTTGGGAGGGCCCGGAGCGCGCCACGGAGGGGTCTTCCAGGGCACTAGGACACTAGCAAGGCGCTGGCAGCGGCTGCACGAGGCAATCCCGGCCCTGCTAGCAGCCTGCGCCTACACTACGGCTGTGATCCACGAAGCCGGCCAGGGGAGTAGCGCGTGTCATATCCGTCAGCCATGGATGCATCGGATGAGATCCTGGGATGGACTCTGTATTCCATCCGTTTCCTTTACGAGCTCATCCATTCAGAGCTGCAGACATATGCGAAGAATTCTAGAATTAGCAGTCGTATGCTTGGCGTTAAGAGCAAGATACGCTGTTGCTACATCCCATTTGATCCAATCCTTATTGATTGTGCTGAGAGTTACCCAGTTAGATTGATCAGGAATCGCGGGGAGAAGGAATACATGTCGTCTTGCTTTCTCATCTTGTCTCCCCTTCGTTTTCCGAAAATAGAGCAAACACAAGAAAAGGCAAAGAATAGAATAGATGACCTAAAACAAGGGGAAATGGTAAAATGGTAAAAGAACAAGGCCGAGAAAAAGGAAGCTAAAAAAGTACCCTCTCTTCGCTTGGCTGGCGCTGTGGTGGCCAAATTCCAACGTTCTGGGCGCTTTGGTGGAACTAGCAGCACAACTCTGTTTGATTAGCTGCGCCACATTGCGGACATGGCGCGGCCACTTCGGGAACGACAGGGTTAGGGTTCAATGACAGCTTCCCAGAGTGCTGCCTGCACTTTGACAATGACAACAACAAGGGCTCTTGATCGAATAAGCATGTGTCCACTTCCTCTATCGCAACAGCACTCGGCAGCGGCTGGCATTTGAAACACAAAGCGCTCATGCACGAGTTGCAGCGCAATTCGCTCGCAATTTGTTTCCCGCTGCGTGGTGAGATGAGCACCTCAGCATGTCGCCATCCCCCTGCTCGCTTCGTCAAATCGCAGCGCAGCAATGCATCTGCAGAACCGGGAACAGGGCACCGGGCTGACCAACATGCCACACCCGCAGCCAGCCAACGGGCTTCGACCCGGAAAAGAGAGGCCAAGGAAGCCAGAAGCGTCAAACACTGGGCACCGAACAGGCGAATCAGCATCTGCAACGCCTGCCTGGTATCCATACCTGCATATACCTATGGAGCAGTGCATGTGCAGTATGCACTCGTACATATACAAAGGTGCCTCTTTGAGGCCAGCTCGTCTCGAGTATAGGCATGGAGGAGTGCCAGTACTCATACAAATCCAGACTGGTAACCGTCATCTTACGTGTATTTGCACGGCCATCCACAGTCCGTCAGCGTCACGACCCGACAGCTTGGGCCCATTGGCATGAAGGAATGGCCTGAATGAGTCCGTGCCGCACCAAAGTCGCCCAATACGGGGTTACATCTTGGTTTCAGGAGCCATACCGAGTCTGTGCATATGCGAACAAGTCCTGCTTGTGCGGACGCAGGCAGCAGGTAATAATAGCCGGTCCGGTAGCAGGTACGTATAGCTTCCAGTTCATCCATCTTCAGTGTTTGCTTTCCACTCTTTTCTGGTTTCATCATCTAACCAACCGCGCATAAATGATCACATCATGGGAGAGCCAACCAAAGATATGTCTCCGTACGGCCAACAATAGAAGCTCCAAATCGACCATCGCATGCTTCAACTATCCTATACGTCAGAACAAAACAGTGGTAGCAAGCCGCTCGATACTGTCCGGACGCCGATATGAGTGATATCTTTATATTAAAAGAAGCACTGTCACATAACTCTTTGAGCCTCTTCTCCACCATCAGCACCAACTCCCAGCCCAAAGCTCTCCAGTTGCGCATACCTAGGCTTTCTAAGCAACCATGGCCCGCTGCCCTCGCTTACTCGTACTTGTACTTGTGTATCCAAGCTTTTCAACATCCATATTACCCAGAGCAACCCCCCGTCCAACACAATACTGGGGTCGAGCCATCTCGCTGGGACGCTCGTAACAGAGCACTGCTGCCATGTGATGCCCTCTTGCTACGGGCATTTGTACTGCCGGACAAAATGACTGAAGAATCCGTCTTGGAAAGGGCGATTTCTCCTAAGTGTGTCACAGATAGAGATAATTCAACATGCTTTCACAGGAAACCTGCGAGCACATGCAGGTAGGTGCAAATCCGCCGACCCCAATGTCGCTCTGCCTCGTACTTTGTATGAACAATAAGTCGATTGGGCTACACAAGTATTATTGGTCGCAGGCCGATCGGATCTTAACTCCGGCTCCTCCATTGACTGCTCCGTGGTCAGTGGCATTACGAGGGCAAAGGACGAATTAATATTTCTGTTTTAGTCCGTGCCTAGTGCTAGCACTCGGACATTTTGCTTCACACGGCTGGTGCTAAGGGCGAATGTGAGCGGGTAGGATTTCCGCTGCGCCTTGTCCCGTTCGCGAAAGCAACCTCTTTTGTACGACGCCAGCAACCGCGGCTAAGTTCAATGCGCATCATACGTGTATCGGTCAGCAGCTTGTCATGACAGAACCTTGTGCTGCTTATTCGGACCGGAATTGCCCGCCAGCCAGGCAGGGCTGCCATGCGAGAGTCCGCGACACTGACGGCGGAAAACGTGGGAGTTTGGCGCCATTGCATCCACTTCCCGGTCAGTAAGGGGCCGTCGCAAACGCATGCGATGCAAATGCATGCAAAAGCTTATTTTGAGACCTCAAAGGCACCCATGATGCTCTCTAGAAAGAAAGGGCCACTCTGCCACGTCAAGATAATACTACGCTGTCATCTCCAAACGGGCCACATATGCCGGAATTCACTCTGGATTGCTGAATTCAACACATAGTAAACCAAAAACGAAAGGTAGTCATTAAAGCGCATACAGCAGAGATTCGTCATAAAAACATAAGTTCTTTGGCATGAAAAGCAACATTATGCCATCCCCCGCATTAATAAACATACACAAAATTCGGATTCTCCTTATCCGTCATATCCACAAACGCCGTGGCGTTCAATTCACCAGCAATAAGTTCACCGCGGTCCTCCAGCTCTGCTCGGAGCTTCTCTTTGCGCTTGTTCTCCCAGATGAAGGCGTATCGGAAGACAAAAAAGAGCGCGAGCTCAATGCAGTTGGCAACAAGGAGAGAGCCAATGCCCAGGTGGTATGAGGGTGCCTGGTTGGCTTTGTAGAAGAAGGGGCCAGCGATATTGCCAATGCAAGCGCCGAACCAGATCATGCCGGAGACAATCATCTTCTTGGACTGGCCGCCTGTGTTGGATGTGATGAGGGATAGTGAGATGACGAATGACGCCTGGTATGAACCGGTGAGGTAGCTATTTGGAGTCACACATTAGTCGGTGATGTGAAAGTCAGGTCGACAGGATGGACTTACAAGCAAATCAGTCTTCCTACGTATGCGTCGTTTGGAGCAAGCAGGAATCCGAGCGCGCCCGCAATCGTGGGCAACATGAACAGAGCGCAGACAAGCGTACGGCAGTTGTTTGGCATGAACTTGTTTGCCAAAGCACCCAACCCAATCCAAATCACCACCAAAACACCCTGCGGAATGCCCAGCAGAGCTGTATGCAGGGTATCAAAATTCAATCCCTTGATGACCAGAGTAGAGAAGTTGGAAATGCCGCCATTTGGAATGTTGGACACAAAACCAAGCAGAGTGAAGAGCCAAGTCTTGTAATCCAGGTACGCCTCCTTGATTTGCTTCCAGTTGATCTTGTTCTGCTCTACACCCGTCTGGTTGCGTCGCATGCGGGCAATCATGAGCAGCTTTTCGTCATGGCTAAAGCCCCAGATCGTTCGAGGAGAGTTGGGGAGACAGAGGAAGAGGCAGATTCCCCAAACTGCGCAAAAAGCACCGACGATGATGAATTCGTAGCGCCATGAGGGCAAAGAGCTCTTAATTTGACCGATACCGTATCCTGCAGGAGATCAATCATATTAGCACCACAGCCTTATATCTAACAACATTCTCCACCCCAAAGACTCCATATCGAAGATGCCATCACTCACCAATGAGACCACCACCCGCAACACCAATTCCATTAAACGCATACCAAGCCGAAATGCGTGACGGCTGCTCCGCTCTCGTATAATACATCGACGTGATAAGCATAAACGCTGGGTCTGCAATGGCTTCAAACGCTCCGGACAAGACTCTCAGGGCGAGCAATCCCTCGAGATTCTTCACTGCCGCTTGGCACATGAGCAGGGCACCCCACATGAAAATGTTGAAGGCAAGATAATATGCAGGCGGGCTGCGCTGCATGAGAAGGTTGGACGGGATGGCCCAGATCAGCCATCCAAAGTAAAAGCTACTAGACAGCCATGAGTAGTCGTCTCCCACAAGCTTTAGGTCGTCTTTGATGCCAAAGATGGCGGCGTAGGAGAGGGTTGTTTTGTCGACATACTATGCCACAGTTAATCCCCCCTCATCATAACCAAATGGCCATTGTCCGATGGAAGCTCACATAAAAGAAGTAGCAAATGCCTAGCAAGGGCAAGATGCGCATATCCAGCTTGCGCAACAGTCGCTTCTCGTCAGCTTGGTCGATGGCCTCGTCATTGGGATACCGCTCCAGGGCCTCTAGGTACATCTCATGCACCGGGCGGTCAGTGACCGCGGCCACGACTGTCTTGAGATCCTTCTCAACATGTTCGACATCGTCCAAATCCTTTGCAGGAGAAGGGGGAGGATAGGCGGCCTCGTTTGATTCAGTGGCCATGATTTCGGATATCTATTTTGGAGTCAAGACCGCTGCACAAAAGGATCGGCATAGAATCAGAGAACCCACAGGTTCACCCTGGGGGACAGCTTCCCCGTTATATATCACGGGAGCTGCATTCCAAACACACTGCATCCCCCTCTCTCCTCATCATGCAACACGAACCGCCCAATAATGGCGTCGGCAGACCGAGAACCGAGCATAACTACCGCTAGTGAGCATGGTTTGTGGGGGTAAGAAAAGTCGGGGAGCTGGGCTAAACGCGTACGAGGGGTTCCATTTGTGGGGGAAGACACATGGAGGAGGCAAATGCTATTGAATTCCCAGGCATAACGTGGGGTCTTCCCCAGAGTCCTACTTCCTGGGGAGAAGCGGCAGTCTCTGATTCGTTCTGTCGGTAATATCTATCCAAGTGGCGTCGACATCACGCTTCATATCCGGTTTACCTCCATCCCGCTTGGCACCGCTAGATTGCGCCTTTCCAGGTCCACAACCATGGCTTCGTTCACCAGCCAGCCAGAACGTTTACCCGCTCTTCTGGGCGCAAAAGGGAGCAATTCGTGGAAAATGGCCCGCTCAGGCCTTGTTCTTTGTCCATATTTTCTCCGGTGGCGCTCAATGGTTTTCCATTAACGGCAACTTTGTTCTGGCTAGCTCCAGCTTATATATACGGCTCTTTGCTCTCGTCGGACAGGTGCCGATAGAAGGCGTTTTTGACATTATCCACAAACCCGCCATGGGTTGGCTTTTGCGACGCCGCGTTTCCCCATCATGACTCGTATTTGATGCTTCTCTCATGTGACGCACGTGGGATTCCCATGACCGGTATTCGGAATCGTTGCTTCTCAGCTCCCTTTTTAGCGACTTTCAGGACCCGCCAAGGTGGTATTCGATTCTGGGGGGATGAGATCAATGACAAACTAAGTCCTTGCGGGGGAAGGAGGTTGGGATGAGAGAAATAACTGGGCTACACAATGTTAATCACTGAGATCCTTCGAAGGCGCTATATGGGTTTCCTGAACATTGATGGGAAATGGTCCTCTCCATCCCGAATCTGATGGCTACATCGGTAACAACGACGACTATCATCGCAAATACACCACGAAACGTATCGACCCAGCCTCTCCAACTATACGAAATACAGCCGCAAGAAAGCAGAGTAAGAAAAATTAGTAAAGGTGCAAAACCAATTTGGGCAAGGAAACTAGGCCACGACGTCTAACGCCAGTCTATTCTTGGTAGTCATTCATAAGATCTAGATCATGTACTTCATGACAAAAGATGCAAAAGAAAAGAAAAAGGTATAGTCGCTAACTCCCCATCATTTTCGTCCATCTATTGGGCATACAGCGCTAGCTTCTGGAGCGATGCTTCGTTTTGGAATTTCCGCAAATCGAAACTCATTCGTTTTGGAAGGACTAACAGAGAGAGTCGCTCCAATCTCGTCCAGGTGGCGCATGAGCAAGGCCGCTAAAAAAAAGAAATGCTTCACACGTTGCCCCAAGCTCCTAGTGTCCAGTTGGTATGATGGCCTCCGCTGCCGCGAATAAAGCCTCCTGCGCCCATACTCTGTCGTTGTTGTGCCTTGACGTCGATTTCGTTCGGACGCGTCGCGCCATTGGCTCCCTGCTGCAGCCACAGTTCGCGGTCTACCGTGGCCATGGCGGGGATTTTGAGTTGGGAAACCAAGCTTGCTCCAGCCCAGGGCCCAAGGGTATGAAGAGTGCGGAATTCGCCCTGCATTTGCGAAATCTGCGGCCGATGGCGTGCTACCTTTGCCTCGATGGGATCTGAGATGTCGGACTGTGAAGCTATCGAGCTTGGCCGTGAAGATTCCTGTTCTTCTCCGAGGTCAGACGCGGTCGCTGTTGAGCTGACTGATCTAGCGATGCTCGCTCTTCGATCAGAAAATTGGCTGTTTCGTGATTCTTCCACATGCTTTCCAGAGACATTAGCCCACCCTTTCCGCTTTACCATGCTTGTGACCTCCTCCATAATGCGCCCCTTGATGCCCAGAATGTTTGAGCAGCCGCCCGTGAAGACAATGCGAGGCATACATATAGCTCTCACATCCATTGGTAGCTGTAGCAGATGGCGATAAATGAGTAGATGAACCGGGAAATCCTCATCATCAAACTCTGTCGGCGCAACTGACAAAGCAAAGAATGTATCGTCACACACGTCAGCAAGCTTATCAAACGACACTTCAACCGTCCTGGGTGGGTTGATGGATCTCAGCGGGATGCTTGCCACGCTGTTTTGCAGAGAGTGTTCGGGCTCGGGCTCCGACTCGTCCTGCTCCTCCACTGTGTCCAGCTGCTGTGACTGTCTTTGGGCCGGCTTGTGTGCCTGAGGTGATTTTGATGCCGGCGGCCGACACCACATCAGACGACACATGATATCCTCGCACTCGGCAAAGCTAATGACCCGTGCACCGTCGTCTTCCTCCTTGCCAGTCAAGAGCTTCTGAAGAAGCTCGTAGAGTCGATCGTTGAGATATCTGCCTCCCCTTACACTGCGCGTGCATTTGACCTCCCGGTACTCATACACACTGGTGACTACCGTCTCAGCCCATCCCATGTCGACGACCAGTCCTGAGCGGATTCCAGCCGCCACAACAGACATGGAGGCCGTGGACATGAGAGAGATCATTGGTGTTTGAAAGCCCTTGAACAAGAGGTCCAGTACAGTAGACAAGATTGGAATCGGCACTCCAGAGTCAAGAACGAGGCCTGCTCTTCTTGGCCGAGAGTCAATCAGCAAACACCTAGAAGGAGTGTCAACATCAGCGTCCCTCAGTGAAGCCCAGCTCACGCTCACCTTCCAAACGCATCTCTCAGCAGACGATCCAGCTTGTCGTAAACAAGCCCCAGATCGACCTCTCTCAGGTCGTACCGCCATAACTCATGATCCTTATTCCCCGACTGGAGGTCAACATCCCCAGCCGGCTGCCAATCCCTGAAATCTCCAGCCCGTCGCTGGTCCTGCGGCCCACATGTGAGCACCGCCTTGGGCTGGTTGTCCCCCGCGAATCCGGCCCGGACAAACCTTGAGCCAATCTGGATAATCAGAAAGTCGTCATCCGCTCTAATCGTAGCAGGCGAGCCGTATGTGTTTGAGATTGTTCGCGGAGGCGTATGTGGCGTTGTGCCTGACCCAGCCTGCTCCTGGAGAATTGGGGCTGAGCGGATGCTGGCCACGCTACGATGAGCCAGCGCCGGCCCCGTGCCAGAGGACATGGCCCCTACGGCGGCTATAGCAGATGCTCTTCAGTGGCTGTGAGTGATATTGAAGGGAGAGGCTCTATGTGCAGTGAGTTACGGTTGCTTGGGTCTCCTTTTCCTGGTCCATGAGCGAATCACGATGCCCGAATCGCAATTCAATCGCTCTCTTAGAGTGTCTGAGCCTGTCCTATGAAAATAGGCGGGTGTTGCTAGCGCCGATCCACCGATATCGATAAGGCACCCCGGCCGAGCCCAATGTTTTTGGTTCTGTCGTCACGGCTTCAGCAAGTAAACATCACCATCATCCGCCGTTTCTCAGCTCATGACAGGGCCGAGGGTGGGAGCTGCTAGAGGGCATCAATGGGGATCAAAGGGTAAGTACCTCCTTTTTTCTTCTTTTTTCTTTTTGTCTTCTTCGTTCTCTTTTGAAGTCTCCGCATTGTTTAATAGAAGTCTCACGCTCTGTAGGATTTATCGAGAGCTAGGCCCAGGCAAGAGGATCTCACTGTCCAAGCTTGCATCCGACAGCTTCGCCGAGCACAATCGACCCTACCGTCTCGCCATTGACATTGCCATCTGGCAGTTCCAAAATCAGGCTGCTCGTGGTAAGTTTGCAAAGCCTCATAATAGCCAGCTTTATGCAAGTTTCCGTCTAACATGTTGGTTCAATCAGGTGGCACCAACCCCGCCATCCGAACGCTCTTCTACCGACTCGTCCGTCTTCTGGGCACGCCGATCCAGCCAATCTTTGTTTTCGATGGCCCGAATAAGCCTAAGTTCAAACGTCATAGGCGGTCCGGCAGGGGCGATGGATTCGCAGCGGCTCACGCAAAGAGGCTGATTCGACTCTTTGGGTTCGTGGTCCACGATGCACCCGGCGAGGCCGAAGCCGAATGCGCCTTTCTACAGAAGAACGGCATCGTCGATGCGGTGCTGAGTGAAGATGTGGACACAATCATGTTTGGATGCACACGAACGCTGCGGAACTGGTCGGCTGAGGGCAAGGCCGGAAAGCCAACCCACGTCTCCATGTACGACGTCGAGGATTTGAACATGGCCAACCTTGGTCTCGATCGAGAAGGGATGGTGTTGGTTGCCCTTATGAGCGGCGGCGACTATATCCCTGAGGGAGTGCCCGGCTGTGGACCAAAGGTGGCATGCGAGGCTGCCAAGGCAGGCTTTGGGAAGTCTCTGTGTCAGCTTCGGGCCTCGGATACAGAAGGTCTCCGCCAATGGAAAGAGTCATTGAGACACGAGCTTCAGACAAATGAAAGCAAGTACTTTCGCACTCGCCACAAGGCTCTGGTCATTCCAGAGGATTTCCCCAGTGTAGAAGTGCTTCGCTATTACACTCATCCTGTGGTGTCTCCGGAATCCACACTGGAAGTTGTCAGGCAAAGGTTGAATGAAACCAGGGAAATCCAGCTGGATGGTCTGAGAGAGTTTACTAGGGAGACATTTAACTGGGATTTCCGCATCGGTGCAATCAAGTTCATCCGTGTGCTCAGCGAGGGCCTGTTTGTAAATCGCATTCACCAGGACGGCATTAACGGGGACTCTTTCGTCAAGAAAATATCAGCGCGCCGGAGCCATTTCAGCACAGACGGCACGCCCGAACTACGACTCGCTTATATTCCCGAAGAAATTGTGCCCATCGATATCTCAAATGAGGTTGAAGAAGAAATCACATATGCTCGGAGCGGCCTGGCTCTCAATAGCGACGACGAGTTTGCAACGGCTCCAGACAGTGTTGAGGATCTCCAGGGCGGCAGTGGAAAGACGTTTGACATTACAAAGCCAGAACTCACCTGGGTTCTAGAAGAAGTGGCGAGGAGGTTTGCACCAAGAGCTATCCAAGCTTGGGAAGAAGGGATCCAGGCGAAAACAAAACGGAAGCCAACTAAAAAGAAAGCAACAACATCGAAGGCGAAAAAGGTTGACACGATGCCTCATGGGGCTCTCGATAGCTTCGTTCGCATCACCAAGGCGGTGGAAACACAGGAGAAAGCTACCAGCAGCGGTGCTTTCGACGCGAACAAGGATGACATGGAGGCTAGTGAGCTCAGTGAATCATCAGAAGTGTCTCTCCCTCCTCTCCCGCGACCAAGCCAATTGCTCCGACCACAAACACCGCCATCACTACGGAAGCCCAGTAAGCAACCCACGCCCAACGCACCTCCTAGCTTGGACGGTTGGACAATAACCAGCTCACCAGACTCAACTAGACGTCATGACGATGCAGGAGTTTTCGAAGCTATCGTCATTTCGTCCAGCCCTGCCGGCAGCGCATCGCCACCTTCACGGTCTTTGCCGTCATCGCCAATTGCAGCCACCTCCTCACATCATGGTGATGAGGTTCCCAGGTCAATACGGTCGGTTCGTGCGGCTGGTGCTACATCGCGGGTAAGAGGTGAACACGATACACCGACTTCTTCAATAACGAAACCAAAGCAAAAGACATCGTCCCTCCACAAGACGTCTCAAGGAGCAACAAAGCTAAAGCAGATGTCAATGGACATGTTTACACAAAAACTTCCCGAGACGGATCGCCCTGGATCGTCCAAGAGCAGCATATACAACCCAAACTCCAGCCGAGAGAACGCTACTACACGACTGACGAACAGGGAAATTGAGATTATACCATCCAGCAGCCCCGAAGCGCCACATACATCGCGTCCTACAACAAGCAAAGAAAGGGCCCTCTCTCCTCCGCCACAACACGCTGACAGTCCCACTCCCGCGCCAGCAAAGAGACTATATATCCCTAGTAACACCGGCTTCTTTGTGGAAGTTGAAGTCGACGAAGACGAGTATGAAGAGAGACTCGCACGAGAAGTACAATCGCTTCAAGCTCGTGGCATCGCAGCTAGTGTTGTTAGGCGGAGCGATGTATCTTTTATCGATCTGACGGGAGGGGATGACGCTACCAACAGTTAAAATAGCATTATACGATCTAGGATATTGGCGTTGTTGCATTTTTTGATATGGATATGAAGGAACGTTATTGCATAGTATATACCACATGCTAGAGTTGATGTCTTGAAGTCTTGTAATCATCTAATGGGAGTCATGTTCACTTTATTCACGGAGGTCTTTGTTCTTTCGAATAATATTATATCAGTCTATGAGCCTATATTGCTAGCTCTCCATTAATCCTATTGTGCTACTGCATGTAGCCATACTGCGCTTTTGAACCCTCCAATTATCGTCGACGTAACATGAAAATAATTGGCCTAATTTTTTTCGTTCATCGTCCTAAGGATCCCTCTATATTCAAGAGTATCTCTTCTTGTCGACTCGAAATGTCCCCTCGATCCAGCTTCGGGTCCTAGTTACCTACTCCCTGCTTCGTCGCGGCAGGGTTTGCGGTGGTGCATGTAGCATCATATTCCATCGATGCTTCCTTTCTGCATAACAGCAGGCCCATCACTTTATCCTCCTCTCTCCCTTTGCGCCCAATGCTTCTTATATATATACATATTCCGGGTTCGAAGCTGAGAGAGATTGGTGTCCCATCCGAGGGATGCCCTATACGTGATGCCTGAGAATCTGTTGCGTATCGTGACATGTCGTATATACATATACTTATTCTTATTCAGCGGTGTTGTTTCCGGTGTTCTTCGTGATATCGAGTCTCTTGCATAGTATCTCTTGGTTCAAGCTGGCAGCAAGAACTTTCAACCAGTCGTGCTGGGAAGCTCACTCAAGGGTACAATCTTCCATGCAGGCGGTTCCCAGGATGGATACAGCTGTGCAATGCTCTGCATAGCCGTCTGGATCTGCCTGGTCATGCGCTCGTGCACTACAGCTTCAACGGCGTTGATTTCATCTTCCCACGGCACGAAGATGAGCTCCTCCAGCCCCTTCATGCGCATGCAAATCTGCTTCAGCAGCTCCAGAGTGAAGCTCGCAGCCGTCAGGGAATTGTACGTGTCGCCAATCCAGAACAAGGCATCACTGATGGCCAAGCGGCGCACGCTCGCAAGCTCTGCCGGATCACACAGCGTCATGCACGTGTGAAACTGCGAGTCTGCGGCCATGAAGCCCTCGCGAGGACCAAAGTACATGATATCGATGCTAAAGTTGAAAAAGATCTGGCCAGAGCCTCGAAAGAAGCCAAAGCTGGGGCGGTATGTCTTGAGAGCTTCGGCGCGGGATTCGGCGCTGGCGTGGAGGCTGGCTGGGATGGGAGTCGGCGATGTGCACCCAGTGTTCGCGCTTCGTGGGTTGGGCTTGGAGATGGACGAGATATCGCTGCCGCATTGGATGGAGACGAGGCGTGGGCTGGGGCGGCTCAATGCCCAGATCTTCAAACGCAGTTCTGCGGGAAGCTTATCGAAGGAGCGCTAGACACGAGATGAGGTGTTAGCTACGAAGTTTGTCTGTGATGAGGCAGGATGAGGAGGAAGCAAAGGCATTGGACGTACAAACGAGCCAAGCTGCTGCTGCATTGCAGGCTTGTGAGAGGGAGTCTGAGAGAGGCTCTGAGAAGGAACCTTGTTGAAGAGTCGGGGCTTTGTGACGACCGAAGATCTGGTCTTGCGAGGAGAGGAGGAGGCACGAGAGCGCGCTGATGTCGGTCGGATCGCCATTGCTGCTGCTGGTGGAGGAAGATGTCGATATGTGCCGAGTTCGGTGGGAGGGCTGCGTGACTGTATGTATAAGAAACACTAAGGCAATGCCACTTATATGTATGCCCCAGATCAAAAGCCGGGGGTTATGCAGAATGGAGGACCCTTGGCACGGGTGGTTCCTTGTTCTGCCGTGCCTTGAAGCTCTGCCGAATCTTATAAGAGCCAAGCAAGGTACGTATCGTGGCAGCGAACTCGAACCTGAGCGAGCAAGGAAATAAGGTTCGTGTGGCGTCAAGGATGAAGCTGCTCTCAAGCTCTGTAGCGTTGTGCCTAGTTGAACTAGGTAGTAGTACTTGTGGGCTTTCAACAAGATGGATACGCAAGTGTCCCCGTTTCCCTTCTCCGACTCTGCCAGGAGGGGGTTCGACAGGACGAGGTACGAGGACCTGGGTAATTGCTGGACCCAATGAGGTAGTTGGTACCTGGAAGTCCTAATATAAAAGTGGGAGCTTGATGTACAAGCAGCCAACGATGTCAAGGGCGTGGGTCAGAAAGGGTGTTTGTTTATATGAGGAGGTCTGAGCTTGCGGGGGGAGAAGCAGAGAATGGCACAAGCTTCAGCGATTTGAGGACGAGGCACTCTATGGCTATATATGATTTCCACTCAGCTCTTGATAGAATTGAAAAGGGTTCAGCTCGTCATAATGAGCAGCCAGGCGAGCACAGAGAAAAAAAAAGAAAGGAAGAAACCCGGGCTGCGAGGGGTTCATGTTCACTGCAAGGCTTGACAGCGACTCTATGTACGGAGTACCCACCATCGTCATCCGCGGCAGGCTGGCCTCATTACGCAGGTTGACACTTTTTTTTTTTTTCCTCTTTTCCCTTTTCTCCCCTTGGCGTCGCCGGATCTCTTCTCTTCCGGCAAGCCAAGGCAGGGCTCTCCTCGCCCCGGGCTGCATACCGAGCATGGTCGACATTGCATCAGTTCGGGTGACCGGGGGGGATGGAGGGACCGTGTGGGTACCTTGGAGGTAGCTAGATGCCAATTTCTGGCTGCTCTCCGCTCGATAGACTACAGGCAGTAAACAAATCCAGTACAATGCGAGGAAAGGAACCCAGGCGACATGGGGGGTGGCAGATGAACAAAAAGCCACAGCGACTCTGTATAGTGTGCCAATGTGCTTTGGTGGCAGCGGGACGTGAAATTTGGCAGACAGCACAAACAGGTCGCTCGATCGCCGTGGCAGGTCCAAGGATGGAGGAATCGGATTTTGCAAGCGCCCATCGAGAAAAAGAAGTGGCAATCTTTTGGCCTTTCCCACCCCCCCTTGCCATGTCTCAGACGGGCTGAAGGCGACCCTGGATCGGGCAAGGCGAGAGGCGCGACGCGGCGTGGCGGCATGCGGGCAGGGAACGAATGCATTGCCCGGATTTGGAAAAGGTCTGAGACCTGTCAAGTTGAGGTTGTGTCAAGGCAAGGGGAGGGATTGAAGAAGAGGAGGAGGGCATGATCAGGTTGGCAAGTTGTTTCACCCATAAGGCGGGCAGACAGAGAGACTGAGGCTTGTTCACAAGGTGTAAGCTGCTCAAGCAAGCTGTGGGCCTAGAGTATGATACGTCACTGCGAATGCCATCCAGACAAGTGGCGTACAAGTAGTTATGGGTATTCATCTTAGTATACCAACAGCGGAAATACTACATGTATACTAGGTAGGTAGACGTGGAGAAGACTCGACTCTGGAGGCACAACAACCACTTACGTATCAGCACACATCCATGCTATCACCATACAGTAGCTCCTCACCTGCCCAATCGCACAGAATCAAGGCAGAAAGGAATAAAAAGGTTTCGCACTCTGGCCAATGACAACTTCTGTATTTCCAGCGCATCGGTGACGGGCTGCCTAACCCCCGACCGGCCACAATCTGTGTCTTACTCTGGACTGTACGAAGAGGACGAGCAAGATGAGCAGCCAGGGGATGCCAAATCCAGTGATGTGCAAAATTGCTTGCGGCCTAGCCAGGTGGATCTTGACGGCCCAAGAGTTGGTGACCCCTGCACGGCTGTGGACTGGGACGAGGGGCCGTTTAGCCTACATGGGGCCTGAACGGGAGAGGAGGTGGTTGTACGGAGTGCAGACAGATAGGTAGGCAGGGAGGTCTTGGCGGACGAAGTGGCATGGATATTATTATACGTGCAAGTAAGGATTCATCTTGAAGGGTTTACAGTAGACATGGAAGAGCAATCATCAGCAAGCAAATCTCGACGCAAGCACTTCGCGTCCAAGCTGGCACGCACGCTGCAATGCACATCAGACTGCCTGCCAACAGCATCAGGCTCTGGGCACCTTGATGTCCCCCTGTGGCGTTTTACCGTCACGATAGTACATGTATCCCGTGTTACCAACGCGTCAAGCATTGACCTGTGAGTACCGCATCGTGCTAGTAACAAGCCATACTCGTACGTGTACTCGTACACAGCAGGTGAGACATCAGAAATCTCAGCAACGCCGAGTACACGTCCGCGCTATACTCGCACACCAACAAGAAGGGCTGAGATTCGAGACCCTTTTGCATGAAATGACGAAGCAAGAAGAAGAAAAAAAAAAAGACCTCCTCTTCTCTATTTTGGGGCATTTTGTCCGCCTGTGTCCTCGTTCTCCGCCATGATGCTACCTCGACACCAGGTCGCGGGATCCTGACTCGACGTCAAGGTTTAAGACACGCATGACCGCCCGCGCAGGCCATTTTTCCCACCCATTGAGGGGAACTTTTTGGAGGCTGAGGTGGGATGGGGGATTGGAGGGTCTAGATTTGTGTAATTACGAGTGCAAGTTATGCTGTGGGGTGCATATGTCAAAACGACTTGGCGATTGCCGTGTAAAAGAAGAAGAAACTACTGGGGCGTCGTGGGAGGAATGTCGCCTGCTCACACCGAGAGGACCAGAGCTCTCGTTTCTCCATAGTTCCTGTTGCTTGTTGCCACTGTATTGCTTAGTGTATATAACTCTATGCAAGTAATGCTCCGTAGCTATGCAAGCTCGTACAAATATGTACAGCTAGTACTCCGTACAGCTAGATTAATACAATACGACGCTGGCGTTGGAGCTCTCCATCTGGTTAGCCCAGGCTGTCTGTCAGTCCTGTCCTGTGCAACACCACGCTGGAGCCGATCATTGCAATGTCCCATCCCAAGGGAAAACGCCCAGAATCGCAGGCCAAGGTAGACATCGACCCCGTCGGCCGCTTCGATGATGGGCATGTTAAGACGATAAAGTCCGATGCCCTCATGCGCTGCCAGCATGTCCTGCTCCGTGCTCCGTGCTCGTACACGTACATACATAGGACGACGATCAAAGCTGGTGGCTCCCTGGTGGAGGCGGTAGCTCCCGAGAACTGAGACATGCGCGACACTGATCAAATTGCGGATTAGCGCAGTAATCCCCCAATTACTCATACAAGTAGGTGGCACAGAGGAGTAGCCATGGGAAGGTATTGATAATATACGAAGTACGAGCGTGCGGACAAGGTTACATGTGTCTCTTTCGATGCCTGGAGAGGTATTGGATAGCCAGGTGATGCGTATCACGTCCACACCCCTGGCAGATACAGGTCTCGGTCCAAGATGCCGGCTGCCATCTCATTACAATAAAATAAATAAATAAATAAATAATAAAGCCAAAATGAAAGAGGTACAATTACAGCAGATGACAGATGGTGCTCGATAGAACCATCCCAAACAGCAGCGCAGTGCCAAAGCAGTTTAGATTTCGGGGTCCATTAAACATGAAATCGCCGAACTACAAAAGTCTCCTTTTGCTAGTCCCGTCCAAGAAGACCACCCCGGCGGATCCGCTCTCGACGATCCATCGTCGAATCTAGTGACATCGTGCTATCATAAAGGATAGAAGACAGCTGACGGATTTGAGAAAGGAGAGCGTGGACGAACGACTAAACACAAAGGCAATGGGGAAAGGTGCCTGCGAGAATCCATGTACACTACAGCCTGCGAGAATCCATGTACACTACATGCTTTTTTGAAGCCGTCGGGGGTGTTGAAGCAATGCGTGAGATGGAATCAATTGGGAACTGGAACAATCTACAGGGATCAATCCAAGGCGCAGGCAGACAGTGACGTTCCAGTTCGTTTACCCGCGAATAGCATTACAGGGCTACTGCTTGGTAGGCGTCCTCGTTGACTCCCTTTCAGCCTCAAAGTGGTAGACAAGGGGCCCACGGAGGGGAGCAGTGAGCACCCAACCAACACACAGTACAGTACACACAGAGCAACTGCCTTTGTCAACAGATTTGATCCATGTCCGCCGAAGTTTTTGTAACAGGCATCATGGCCGGGCATAATGGGGACGACGGGCGCTTTTGCCTCGGCTCATGGACGAGTACGGCGTACCTAGGCTCGTCGCGATAGACGATACAAGCTACAAGCGAATGATGGGAGCAGGACGGAGCACGGAAGGTCCCCTGCTCTCTCGGATCCCGCACATCAATTCACTTTCAAGAACATCTATTAATGGTGGCAATGAAGCCAACTCTATAACCACCAGGCCGGTAGTATAACTTGCGTGTATATAGATGCAGACCAGAGGTGCGTATAAGTGCCCACCCTGGATTGTCACAATATGCGTACTGTCGATGTCCTTGTCAATTCTCTCTCTCTCTTTTTTTTTCCCCCTCTTCGTTTTCGGGTTTCCCTTTTTCCTTCTTTTCCTTTTTTCTGAGCGTATCTCATTCACCTGAACTCACTTGACGAGTCATTCCCAATATGACAAGCCTCTTCCCTTGGCATGCCACCAACACAAGTCGAGTACATGTCGCAAGCCCAACGCCGTCTTTCGCCTTCAGCTTTGCAGGTCTATCAAGAGAGCTGAGCCTCAGAAAGCCATCTAAAATATATTAATCGACTCCATCTCACCGGCGGTGCATAAACAACCTCCAGCTCAGCTCATCTTCCCCATGACTATCAATTCTACTATTGTAAGCTATGGAAAACCTCGTCCCAACAACCATCCCCCACACAGCATTCGCACACGACCGTCTCCAGGGCTGAGATTTGTCTGTTCGTATATCTCAGTAGAAGCCTGTTCCTTGAACAAGGACAAGGAAACACTCTTTGATTTGTTTCATCCACACCCCCCCTGTCTTAATGACATTCCATCCGCAGGCTAAGCCGAGGAGAGGCAGAATCCCCACCCGCAGGGTTCTGATGGCAGCTGAACAGCTAGGTGGGATTACTAGCGGTACTGAAACGGAGCACAGTAATCTATCCGTGCTTAGAGTTGGTGGTTAAACTCCATAGTACTAGCAGTATAACACGGCGAGAGAGGAGATGGAGAGGAGACTCTGACACAGAACGAGAGAGGAAGAGTGGAAGACGCATAATACGGAGCAAGTGGAGTGGCGATGCTTTAATTTTGCTGTGCGGGCCGGACCGTGCAAACGTCGCCTTTGCTGAGGCTTTTCCATTCTCACTTTTCCATGTTGGCGACGGAATTCCCATGGAAATCCCATGTTCACCGTTTTCCTCCCCACAGGGCTTTGGCACTTGACTGTCTAGTGAGTTGATGCTTCTGTATACCTGTAGTTACATGATATAAACACAATGTGCTATGTGGATATTGTATCCGTTTCTAATTCCTGGCAGTGGAATAGGAATTTATTCCCAGCTGTAAATCCTGCATAATGCCTCGTCGTCGCAAATACTTGTCGGCTGCGAGAGAGCGACTCAGGATAAACATGTAATCTATCTGTCGTTCATGCGAGAGCAAGTTGAGAAGAGGATGAATGGAGTACGAGTACAGCAAGTGCAGCCCTTCATTTGCATCAGGTATATCGCCTTGCCACACGGACTCGTAATTTGATGCTCTTTGGCGCGCGCGACAGTGAAGCCTTAATCTTACTCCCTCGTCTCTTATCCCTAGCATCCTCACCACATGCACCCACCATCCACCATCACACGTACATTCAGCTCCCAGATAAAGAACACCAAGAAAAGAACCGGCAATTTATCATTGATCTCGGCAATTCTCTCCGTAGCACGCCAGCTTCACCCAGAAAGTTCGTGCATTTTAGCCGCCCGCCTGGTTCAAAATCCTGCTAACAAGCCAAAACAAAACATCGTGTTTCTATTTCCGGCCATCTCGCCTCGGCTCTCATTGGCCCGGCATTTCGCCCAAGCGCCGTGCCCAGGAAACATTATGTGACCCCAGATTTTTGCTCACACAGAACCAGCCAATCCCGTTTCGCGATGCGCAAGATTCGCGTCTCTGGATAGGCGAGATGGTGGACGGACAGATAGATGGGCGCGCCTAGGAGGAGAGTTGCATCTGGGCTGCATCTTGGGCCTTGAAACGATACACGCCATTGGCTGGGCCTCACCTCCACGAGGCATCGGAGATTGTCGAAGCGCCTGGAGATGATGCTGCTGAAATGTACATTTACGCTGCGTTTCCCTCTGTATTTCGTAGTTTTTGTTTTGTGGCAAACAGGTCGTGTCCAAACAATTGGTTTCCTTTCCTTTTCCTTTTGGGTTCTATTCGAGTTTCTTTCTTCTTCTTCTCTTGCCTTCTGTTGATCTTCCCTCGGCACTCGTCACTGGTTTGACTTGATTCGCTCATGTTACCCCAATCCACCAGCCCCAAAATGTCTTCCAGTCTGAAAAACGAGCTCTCTTCTTCTGAGTTTGAAGTCGAGGCTCAAGATCTCCAGCTGCAGGCCCAGCTCCAGTCCAACCTCCGCCTCATCAACGTCGTCAACGGCTCACGACTTGCCCTTACGGTTCTGGCCCTGGCGGCTGGCATCACCGTCTTGGGCGTTTCCGCCAATGGACTGATGGTCTACCACCAGACATATCTCCCGGTTGATTTCTATCTTCCGCTATGGCCGTCTCAGTTTGACCTGCGCCCCACTACCGCGTTGGTTGCTGGAGGAGTTGTTGTTACGGTGGCCAATATTGTGTCTCTCTTCTTTAGCAAGGTTCAAGCTGTAAGTCTGGAAGAATACTCAAATCTATCTTGGGGTGATTCATATTCTAACATTACTGGAAAATGCAGCTACGAAGCCTCACTGGCCCCCACGCAATCGCCAGCCTTGCCGCTCCCGCCGTAGGCTTCATTGCCTCTCTCGTTGCCATGTCTCTCTTTTATGCCGTCAATTCTTCTTCTACAGTAGACAACTTCCAGAGTTGGACATGCCGCTGGAATGATGTCCCCATGAGCATGCAGCCGCACTTTGGCACTCTGTGCAAGCAGAGCCAGGCCGGCGTGGTGCTCTCTGTGCTGCTTGTTCCCCTGGAGGCGGCCATTCTTGCAGTTGCGGGCTACCAGGCTGTCTTGGAGCGACAGACTACCAAGGCATAATTTAATGAGCATGGACAAGAGGAAAGTTGGAGAAGCTGCCCATATAAAAGAGGCAGTTAATAGGAGCAGCTTCGTGCTCTCCTACAATTGGCACGAGCTGAGATGAGGTACACGACGGGAGAATCATCGGACACTGTTCAATTTAGTAGCTACATGTAATATAATTTCTTATTTCTAGTGCGAGAATAGACGGCATCGCGCGTTGGCTATCTGAAAGGCACATATACAGCACAAACAAATATTCTAGGGAATTTAAATGAGTTTACTCAAATAAATTAAACCGCAATATACTTGTATGGGATACTGCATATAAACCAGCAAACATTGATTAGATGGCAAGCATCCGCCCGTGTTTCTGTAGGCTACCCGCAAACCATTCAATGGTGACTGTGCGACCTTTTTTTTTGTCCACGCACCTGGATAAACCATAGAAGATAATGCGGGTACGGATGTGAAACAATACCAGTTATTTACCAACACGGGTCAAAATACTCTCACTTGGGAGTAACAGATGCGGTGAGAGCCTTTTCACTTTGGGCTGACTTTTCTCCAGCAAGAAATCGATATTTTTGTATGCCAAAGAAAAGAGAGCAATTGACAGCAGGTCTCGAATCTTTCTACTGTCACATCATCTCATCATGGATCAGCTAGCTCTATTCCCCCAAGCAAACAAATCCCCAGTTCTGAGCATTGTCAAAGCAACCCCAGATCCATCCGCGACGGCTCCATCACCCGCTTCTGATCGGAAATTCAAACCCAAAAGCAAGATATCGAGTTTGGAGACTGTTCTGGAAAGCGAATCTCGGACCCAACCTCAATATGCTTCATCCCCAGCTGAAGCTTCAAAGGGCGTGTCGTCAACTCACAGCAGCGATAAAGAGCGTCTGGCTGCGAAACGAAGCCAGTATTTCCACGATGCACTCCATGAGCGATCTGGTGCCAATTCAGCTGCAGCAGCCGTGCGGGGAGAGGCTCTGATTTATGCGGAAATCAAGACGAACGTCAAAGCGAGTATCTCCTCGATATTGCAGTACAATAGCATCTCTAACTAATCTACTAAAACGAATAGATCGAGAGCGAGCATCACTTTCTCACCACATTTTCCCACCAGCTTGCAGCAAGATATAACCGCTATCCTTCTTCCACCGTCATCTCCCTGCATCATAGCCAATGCCTCTTCTTTGGCGGCTCCTTGGATCCCGCCTACACCCTCACCATCACGGCCCTCGCCTCTGAAGTCCAGCCTGCTACCAACAAGCGCAATGCCGCTGTCTTGCAGAAGCACATGGAGGCTGTGCTCCGCATTCCGCCGGCCAGAGGGATGGTGCGGTTTATCCCCGTGACAGAAGAGTGTCTCGCGTGGGGGAGCAAGACTGTGGCGGGGAGGGTTTCGGAAGCCGTAGCGGGTGAGAGGGATATTGAGAGAGAAAGAAACAAGGTGCAGGAGAGACGAAGACTAAAGGTTGTAATGCTGTGTTTACTCTATTTGGTTGATGGCCTGAGAGGATGTGGACTGTGTTAACTGAACAGTAGTCGCTCTCGTTGAAGAGATCCCCGCAGACGGATCCTACGTCTCCAAATACACAACCACCAAACACTCCACAGCATACAAAGGATTCCAATGTCACGTCGGCTTCAGAGATGGAACCCAAGAATGTGCTTGGGGCAGAGGAAAGCGTCAAGGTAGTTAGGAAGAAGAAGAGCATCATTCACACGCTGTTTAGGACGTCTAGGGTTGAGGATGGGGATACCTCTGGGTCGTGAGGGGGCAGCAAAAAGTATAGGGAGAAAAGACTCAGGATTGAGGGATGATATATTTGAGAGGGATTGAACAATCTTGAAAGCAGCCATTTGTTGACATCAATGCATCTTGTTAGTCTTGCACGTTTATAATCCCCCAGTTGATAGTGGTTATTGATATGTGCTGCTTTCATCCCACTTTCAGCTCAATTTGCGTTGGCCCAAGAACCTAAAGCTGAATGATTAAACCCAATGACTTAGCCATTCATGCTATATATAGTATGTAATTATAAGGCTACAAATATAAATATCAGTCTTTTAATTGCTTTTATGCCTTGTTGTCTTGGATCGCGTGCCAGGCGCGTTCTCCATCAAAATAGCTGACTAACCTAGACTCGCGACCAAACTTGCAGCTACACCGTCCAAGTCAATTCAGCTGCCAACTTCAACTCCAACTTCAACCTCATCTTCTAGCAATGCCAAAGCTGCATGGGCTTTAGCTACAACACACTCAATTTAGCATTTGCAATACCCGTCGCTTTTACAATTCCTTGTATATTCTCTTCACATTCAATACTCTCTCTCATTCCCCCTCCTCTCCGGCCATGGCAGTCGCCTGCCCCATCTGCAACAAACCCGTCAAACCCACCGACATCAACGACCATCTCGATTCCAGTTGTACCAGATTCATTTTCGACAGCTCTTCGACTCCTCCTCAGACAAGCGCTCAGAATGGAGCGACGCCTGCTCCTCCACAATCACAGCCGCAGAAACGCAGCGCTTCAAGCTTCTTCTCAACACCCGCGCCGAAGCGGCAGATAACCGATCTCAAGGTCCAGACACCACAGGCCCAGACACCACAGGCCAATGTCGTGTTCCCGCCGCTGGCTGGCAAGAAGAGGGGCTTTGGGGAAGGACCCGGAGAGGGACAACCTCAGGAAGACAGGCATATGGAGGACAGGCAGATGGAAGATGTGGCAGACGTAAACGGCCATGGCGCAGACCAAGACGGGCGGATATTGAAAAAGACAAAGACGCATCGCGCGGCCCCCCTGGCCGAGAGAATGCGGCCCAAAACGCTGGATGACGTATGCGGGCAGGAACTCGTCGGGCCTGATGGCGTTCTGCGCTCGCTGATCGAGTCGAACCGCGTGCCGTCCATGATCCTCTGGGGAGCGTCTGGCACGGGCAAGACCACCATCGCCAGATGCATCGCCCACATGGTCGGCAGCCGCTTCATCGAGCTCAACGCCACCAGCTCGGGCGTGCAGGAGTGCAAGAAGCTCTTCCAGGAAGCCGCCAACGAACTGCAGCTCACGGGCCGCAAGACAATCATCTTCTGCGACGAGATCCACCGCTTCAACAAGGCCCAGCAGGACGTTTTCCTGCGGCCCGTCGAAGCAGGCACAATCACCCTCATCGGCGCCACCACCGAGAACCCGTCATTCAAAGTCGCCAATGCGCTGCTCTCACGATGCCGCACATTTACGCTGCGATCGCTCACCACCGAAGACGTCGTGGCCATCCTGAGGAGGGCTCGCCAGGCCGAGGAGTCTGTCTACCCACCTTCGCCCCTGATCGACGATGAGATGATGGGCTATCTGGCTCGCTTCAGCGATGGCGACGCCCGCACGGCACTCAATCTTCTCGAGCTCGCCCTATCTCTCACCCTCCGCGAGGGCATGACAAAAGATGTTATGAAACAATCCCTCACCAAGACGCTCGTCTACGACCGCGCCGGTGACCAGCATTACGACACCATATCCGCCTTCCACAAGTCAGTCCGGGGGAACGACCCGGACGCTGCCCTGTACTACCTCGCCCGCATGCTCCAGTCCGGCGAGGATCCCCTCTTCATCGCCCGCCGCATGGTTGTCATCGCCTCTGAGGATGTCGGCCTGGCAGATAACACTCTGCTGACGCTCGCCACGTCCACATACACGGCAACGCAGCAGATTGGGCTGCCCGAGGCTCGCATCCCCCTGGCACATTGCGCCGTTGCCCTCTGCCTCGCGCCCAAGAGCACCCGCGCATACCGCGGCCTGAACAATGCCTTTGCTGCCCTTCGAGAACCTGGTGTGGCGAGCTTACCCGTGCCGCTGCACCTGAGAAACGCTCCAACGAGGTTGATGCGCGATCTGGGCTGCGGAGCAGAGTACAAGTACCCGCCCAACTACAAGGACGGCAAAGTCAAACAGAAGTATCTCCCAGAAGAGCTCACCGGCCGCAAGTTTCTGGAAGCGAGAGATTTGGGGACGGAGATTGATCCTGAATGTGAGGTGGAAGATGACCCTATGAAAACTTCTCGGCCGATTTGGTAGAGATTGAAAATGTTTTGGGGGGAAAGGGGAAAAAAAAATAAGGATTTGGATATCAAGGGGTTTGAGTTCTTAGGATATTGGAAATTTGGGCTCATTGGATTGTATTACTACCCCGGAATGAGGTGGCGGCCATTGGATGGATGCTATTTGTGTATACCACAGGTCTCCATGAGGGAGTTATTTTGTATACGATACCATCGATGACGGCATGCATGCATAGACAGCGTTTGAAATTACCCGGGGGAAAAAAGGACATACGGCATCATCACAAGATATTTACAAGCAATGCACATATATACGTATATACATAAGACATGTTTGCACAACATCATACAAAACTAAATCATGGGCCTTTTTCTCCTATTTTTCTGAGAATTTCAAAATGATGCGCCCCCTTACATTGTATGTACATGTATATTTGTTCGTGTTTGTTTCAATATGCAAAGATGGGTATATAGAAGTACAAGTACAGGTAGATCGAGGCAGGGTAAGCGTAATGCTGCATGTATGTAAAGGGGGGTATGATGCGAATGCTCATGTTTTCATGTTCATGTTCATGTTCATGTTCATGTTCATGTTCATGCTGGGATGCCTTTGCTTTGATATGCCATAGTGACTCGAAAAAAAAAAAGATATCGGGAAAAAAAACAAAAACGCTCATGCTGAATGTTGTGGAAATCATATGCTGTGCGTAAAATGTGATGGCGTGTGTAGTTTCCTTTTCCCTCTTCAGAAGACCGTCATCGTGGTATGCGGCTTAGGAGGTTTGAAGCAAAGGAAGAAAGAGAGGAAGAAGATGGCGAGCAAGAGAGATGGCGAGCAAGAGAGATGACGAGGAAAAGGGTAAACAAGCGACTACGGCGCTGCTGCTGGGCTGCTCACGGCACCATATCCAATACCCTTCCGTCTCCCCTTGAGAAGCGCCCCCAAGGCCTTGCCCAAAGCCGGCATGTCGCCCATCATGGAGACGTGGCCTCGCTCGGTGCTCACCCTGCCCCCCTTTGCAATCGAGTATCCGTCCGGCAACATGCTCTCCTTTGCCAGCACGACGCCATCACCAGGCCGAAAGACCAGGTCGTCGTACGCGTCGGAGCAAGGGATCGCGTCCCGGCCGTTGACCCGCGCGGCGTACACGGTGGGAATGCTCTTGGAGTAGATTACGGCCAGGGGCGGATATGCGTTGGCGTCTTGATGGGCCGGGATGTGCGCCAGCTCGGACCGGAACTGCTTGATGGAGGCCAGGGTGCGGGTGAGATACTCGTAGTTGCGACGGAAGCGCTCCGGATCCATGTCGGACGAGGGGGGAGACGGCGGGAGGGCGGTGTTGGAATAAGGGGCCTGGGCCGGAGACTGAGAGAGCGGGATGCTGAGGGTATGGCGGTGATGCAGATTGCCGTCGAGCCGTGGTGCCATGGACGCGCGGTTCTGGACGTTGCTGACGACATCCTTGGGCGCGCCGGAATCAAGCCCCGACATGGAGTTCCTCCTCTTGTCGACGCGGCCGTCGCCGCCACGGGGCCACAGGCTGTTGGGGAAGAAGGCGGCCAGGGGCGAGTGCGCCGCCGGGCGATTAAACGGAGGCAGCGCCGGCGCCAGACACGGGCTGAGATGCCACCTGACCCAGTTGTCCGGGTTGTAGAAGTCGACGGGATACGACTCGCCCGTGTAGCGGTCGATGAAGCAGAAGCCGTCGTCGGGCAGCAGCGCAAACGACGTGCGGATCGAGAAGTTGACCTGCGCCGTCAGTAGCTTGTCGTTGAACAGCACCGCGTCGCCGTTGCGCAGGGGCCCCAGGATGTTGATGCACCGCATGGGCGTCCCGCAGTACAGCACGCCGGCGAAGAGGTGCGGCTGCTGGTTGACGGCATGGCGCGTGATGAGCCCGCCGAGGCTGTGGGCGACGACGATGGCGCCGCGCGACTCCGCGGGCACGCCGGGCTGGTTCGACGGCAGCGTCTGCAGAAAGTCCTGCAGCCCCTTGGAGAGCCGCGAGGGACTCAGGCGCCAGTCGTAGCCGTAATCCCACACGCGCAGGCGGCCGGTCCTCGCGTTCTCGCACGAGCGCAGCTTCTTGAAGAACTTGCGCGAGATGTCAATGGGCCCGATGTGCTGCAGCATGCCCGACGGGATGATGCGCTCCTCCATCGTCTCCTCGTCCTCGTCGTCCAGGCCCACCTCGAGGTTGGCCTTTCGCATGTTGAGCCCCAGCTTGACCGGCGCCCACAGCTGCTGGTGAGGCGGCTCGGCAGACCGCAAAATCGAGCCGCGGTAGCCGCCCATGATGACAATGTCTCCTGTCAGCTCCTCCAGCACACGGTCGAGGCGTTCCGAGTCGTCCTTGGCGTTGCTGCTCGTCGTCGTCGTCGGCTCCTGATCCAGGTTCTGCTTGGAATGTGAGGCTGGCTCATTGAAAAAGATGTTGTTGAGCGAGATGGTCGACCTCCTCGATACTGCCTGCAGCTTGGCCAGGCTGGGCATGCTGGGCATCTTGAAGTTGGGCACGTCGGGCAAGCTGTCCTTGATGGCCATGAACCGAACGTTGACCTGGCTGCGGACGTCGGTGAAGCGATCGTTATCGCCCAGGGAAGAAGCGCGAGACAGGCTGTGATAGAGCATGCTATCGTCAGATGTCACCCTGCGCAGCAATGGCGGTCGTTGCTCTGTACCGGCAGCATTCGGATCCAAGTGCCCGTTTGCTGGGCTCTGAGACGGCGAAGAGTTCGAATTCGACGAGGAATGGCCATGGCGTCGGGGAGCAGCCGATCGACTGCGCTGGCTCTGCTTGCTGTCGGTGAAGCTGGACAGGAACGACTTGGGCAGCGACGGCAGGAAGTGTGACGCCTGCTGAAGCTTCTTCAAGGCCTCCTGGCCCGCGGATCTCGAGCGTTGGCGTGTGGGCTCAAAGGCGGCTTGGAGAATGCCGCGGGCGTCGCTGAAGGGCCCTCCGTCTTTTGTCAGCGCCTGAGACTTCCATGGGGATGAAGGAGCGAGTCGTCGTGGCTCGTCTTTGAGGCCAGGCTCCAGCTGAATGGTGGGTTTTCTCGGGATGTGCGAAGGCGACTTGGGCGACGTTGCTGCTTCCGGCGTTGTGTCTCCGTCTCCATCTCCATCTCCATCGTCATCGCCGGACACGTGAAGCTCGGGCTCGTCAAAGAAGCCATTAGCTCCCAAGCCTTTCAGGGCAGCAGCCTTTTCAATTGCGGGCGTGTGTAAAGAGGTAAGATGGCTGGCTGCCGCGCTCATGGCGGGCTGCAGAAAAGCCTGGGCGTCATCCTGATCCGGAATCATCAAGTCGTCCGAGAGGTTTCCCTCCTCGGTGAGAGAATCCCGGCGCATCGGCCCCGGAGTTGTTTTAGCGTAGGTCATTGTTTCTGAGACGGTTGTGCTCCATATATCCGAAACTCAGATGGACGACAAGAGATCAAGAATAGGGAAACGGGAAAAATCTACAGCACGGGGATGCAAGGCGGTGGAGATGGAAACGAGGCAACGCAAGCATGTGCAATCTTGACGTTTTGAGATGGGAATGACAGCCGACCAATAGGGGCCGCGGATTCGCCAACGGTGATGATTGTTCTTTAGCGAACTAATAGTACCGTAGCATGGAAGGAGAGGAGACGACGAGAGAGAGCTATGCGGTCAAGGATGAGATTGAATGAGACAGAAAAGGGGAGAATGCTTTGAAGCAAGGCCGAGTCATCCAAATGGTTCAGATTCAGAGGGATTCAATAGATTCAACAAAGGAGCAAAGACAGGGCGAAAGAGAAGGATTCAAGAGACTTAAAAGCACTGGGCTGTGACAAGAGAGCCGAGCCACCCGGCGCAGCGCCAAAAGCTGAAGCTGTGGCCAACGAACTGCTGGATCTCGAGTCCTCTGCGTGATTGGCCGCCGCTGCTAGCTGGCAGCTAGAGCTTACCGTCGCCTCCAGATCTGAACAAGGCCGCTGGGCTCAGATCTCGTCTCGTTCTGTGTCGAGAGGAATTTAAAGGGCTGAGCTAAGCCCCGGAACCTGTTGCAAAAGGAGCCGCCATGGCCAAAGGGCTGGGCGTCGATCTCCTGTCCAAGTGTCAGGCATTCGTCATTGATGCAATCATCAGCCATCTAACATCATCCTGCGGCGACGCAAAAAACAAGAACAAAGCAAATCAAATCGCACAGGGAGCTCCCTGGTTCTGCTGCGGAGAAGCGAAGCCCGATAGACCCCAGCCTCCAAGTTTCGCAATGCAATGCAAAAAAGGACGGCGGACAGACCAGGGGCGCTCGACTCGTATGCTGTAACCAGCATGCAATTCGACGACCCATAATTGATTGTTCATCCGCTTCCCATGTGACAACGGAATTCAAAAAGGCGACGAAAAAAAAAAAGGCCTCGACGGCGCTTAGCGATGCGATCCAGCCCCGGTTTTTCCCATTCCTATTTCCCTCCATGGAGCTCCCGGCCTTCCGCGATCAGAGCGAACAAGAGGCCTCTCTCTCTGGCCGGCGAGTGAGAGATTTCGAGAAAATCAAAGGGGGGAAAAGTGGTGAGGGGAGAGTCTCGAGGCCAACTCCGTAGCTTTGATGACCTCATCAGCCCTGGAGAAGCTGCTTACGTGTGTCTCATGTTTCGGCCGCTGCCGACTGTGTCTGTTCCTAATAATAACCCACAGGCCGCTAAAGGAACTCGAGCGGCGTATAAGCTTATGCGACAGATTCGAACCTATTGCTCTTTCAGGGTCCGCGGATATTCCCTTCTAGGCATATGGTCGGGCTTCGACGCATTGCGTGGGGGGCGCTTGTGCCTGGAATATCCGGCGGGTAGATTCCATGCAGTATTATCACGAGTCTCATTTGGCCCTGATATATTAGAAGACATGTGAATTCAACACCAACAACAAAGCTTGCCCTCGATGCAAGACAAGATTCCTGATTGTGAATTCGATTATTCATCATCAAGCTGCCTCTGAATTATTGCCATGATTACTCGTACATGTGCATGCACTACTACCTAGTAGTATTATCCGGAGCACTCGGTATCACGACTGGCCTCGCCGTGCTCCCTACCTATTCGAGGCATAATATGTACGCATAATAAGCTCGCAAATTTCCGCACGCACCTAGCAACAACTCAAACGCAAAAAAGCCTTGCCATTGACCGTCAGCTGAATGTTTCCCCTTGTGGACCTGGATAAGCAACTTTGTTTCTCCTCTTTTCATTATTCTCGTGTCACATCATCTCCAGGTACGGAGTAGGTAGTGCAAACACACTCACCACACAAGAACACGCCTCCCAATCAACTTAGCCAAGCAAAACCTCTACGAAAACTCCTGTGACCGTCCATCAATGCATGCAAAAAGCAACAGAATCATGTCATGCCACCAAGAGCTCCTCCTCTCGCTGCGACTAAAATGCAGCTTGTCCAAGCCTCGGCAAAACGCCGCCCAATCGGGCCACTCTCCTAGACATCGTTTTAGATCAGCTCCAGCTTAGTGGCCAATCCCTTGCATTCAACGACATCGAACCACAAAGAGCTTCGGCCTCCAACCTTTTCCAAACCTCAAACCTCCCATCATCGTACAGCCTCGCCGCTGGGACCAATGCGGACAGCCTCCTGGCCAGCCTCTCTGTCCATCCCCTCTCACCTCTCCGTAACCCCCTCGCCGACATCGTCATCGCCATGACGACTCTGCAGCCGCGCCCGCCCTACTCAGACGCCGAGCTGGCCCAGCTCTACCCGCGCCAGCTTCACCTCCAGCAGGTCCAGATCCTGCTCCGCCACGGCGAGCGAACGCCCGTCAACGCCCGCTTCGCCAATGCCGGCCTGCCGGCCTTCTGGCCCTACTGCAGCGCCGTGCGCCGCCTCCGGTCCGTCGTCCTTGGCCCGTCCGGCCCCGGCGCCGAGTCCGTGTCCGCCTCAGACGGCACCTTCTCCGAGCTGCAGTGGCGCCGTCGTCTCGAGACCTTTGGCGCAAGCGATGCCGCCATCCCGGCCTCTGGGCCCAGCAATGAGCTCGATTCCATCTGCGACCTGGGCATGCTGACGGACCGCGGCCGGGAAACGACATACGCCCTGGGCTCGCGCCTCCGGAAGCTCTACGTCGACCACCTGGGCTTCCTGCCGGCCAGCATCAAGGACGCCGACTTCCTCTACCTCCGCGCGACGCCCATCCCCCGCGCCCTCGAGTCCATGCAGCAGGCCTTCCTAGGCCTCTACCCGCCTCACACCCGCGACGCCGACTTCCCGCCCCTGACCATCGTCTCGCGGTCCCCCGCCGACGAGACGCTGTTCCCCAACGACAGCAACTGCCGCCGCTTCGCCGCCCTGTCGCGGGCCTTTGCCCAGCGCGCCGCCAACCGCTGGAACGACACCGACGACATGGCCTATCTGACCAAGAAGCTGGGCAAGTGGATGCCCACTGACAACCCGCGCGTCGCCGTCGACTCCCGCCCCCGCCTCAGCGGCATCATGGACACGGTCAACTCAACGCTGGCCCACGGCCCGGCCACGCGGCTTCCCAAGGAGTTTTACGACCCCAAGGCCCGGAGCATCATGGAGACGATCGCCGTCGACGAGTGGTTCACCGGATACAAGGAGAGCCAGGAGTACCGCGCCCTGGGCATCGGCGCCCTGATGGGAGATGTAGTCGCCCGCATGGTTTCCACCGCCGAGCGCAATGTGCCGCCCCCCGACGCCGAGTTTGTCCAGACGCCTGGCCAGCATGGGGCCTCTTCTACCGCCAACAACGACAAGAAGAACAAGAGCAACAAGAACAATGGCGACGACGACGCTGCTGCCTTCCGCTTCGGCCTCAGCGGCTGCCACGACACCACCCTCGCCGGCATCCTCGCCAGCTTGGGCGCCTTCGGCAACGACGCCTGGCCCCCCTTCACAAGCCACATCGCCATCGAGCTCTTCCGCTCCAACGACGACTCCGCCACCGGCACCGCCAAAACATCCTCATCCCTCTTCTCATCCTTGTGGCCCTCCTCCAAGCCCGCTCCCATAGGCCGCAAGCCCACCCCAGACCTCACCCCGCGCGAAAAGGAGTCTCTGCAGGGCTACTTCGTGCGCCTGCGCTACAACGACAGCCCCGTCGTCATCCCCGGCTGCAAGACCCCCGGCAACCACCTCGACGGCGACGAGTCCTTTTGCACCCTCGCCGCCTTCAAGGCCATCGTCGACAAGTTTACGCCGCTGGACTGGAAGCGCCAGTGCCACACCAATGTCAAGGGGCCCGCGTTTCCCGAGAAGCCGGAACCTGCTGGGTACTGAGATCTGGAATTGAGTATTGGTAGCAGCAATTGCTGTTCAATTGAGTCAAAGGAGCGAATCCTCCAACTCCTGGGGGACCCATGGAATGAGATGAGGCATCTGTAATATGCATTGGATGAAGGGAATCATGGCGAATGGCGTTATTTGGATATGATATTTGTTATCTAGGCAACTACCATGTGTGTGTAGACAATTAGAGAATGAGTTAAAGAAAGCACAAGACGCAGTCATCACATTTACCCGGGCATCATACATCACTCGATAGGTACTTATAGTCATGGTCTTATTCAATTGTATTAGTCGATACCCGACCCGCCGCAAAACTCCATAACGACATACATGCAGATGTTTCTCATCCTCCTCCCGCATACAAATTACCAACCTCGGCCGCCCCCGGTCTTCATCACCAGGGCTTGGCCACTCCTCCCGTCTTGTTTTTCCATCTTTTATTTAGGGGCTCGTCTTCTGAGCCCTCTCATCATTTCCCACTCCATTTCATGCTTCCTACTGGGCAAGCCATTGTTCATCAAACGGCCCGCTTGGATATTGCATATCTTTCGCTTAGCCAAGTGCTAATCTCGCAGTTTCTTCTTCTCAGCGCTTCGGGGGATCATTTCTGGGGAATTGGAGAATGGTTAAAAAAAGAAAAAGGGAAGAAAAAAAGAAAAAAGTGTGTTTTGAACATGGTACACCGAAGGAAGTAATTATGAAATATTGGTAAAAGAAAAAAATGAAGAGGGGGAATGAGGAATCCATAAACAAGATTAAGGACAAGGCGGAAAGACTCCAAAGCAATTATAACAAATTAGGTAAACCCTTTCCCCGTAACCCCACTCTGTTCATATGCGTGAGAAGTCCAACAAGGGACTACTATATTCGTCCACGGCCCAAATTTAATTGGCCACTTCCTCTTCCACCCAGCCGTTTAGGCCTCCTTGGATAGCCAGACCATAGCCCGAGGCTCCCATACCGCCGAAGCTAGCCTGGTAGTGATGGCCACGCCTCTCGCCAGTGCTGCCGTTGCTCTCTGAGGGGCTGATGCCTCCGTTCTCGAATCCGGGGGCAAGAACTGGAAGGCTGACGGCGCGGCTGTGCTGGCCACGTCCGTTGCCGGGGGCAAGCAAACCGCCAATGGTGGTGGCGTTCGACATGGAGCCGTTCATGGAATAGCCGTTGGAGATGCTAGCCGACTGTCCATGTCCACCGATAGGACCCTGCTGAGGAACATCCAGTGATAGGTCATTCGACTGGGCAGTGTTGAACAGAATGTTCTGCTGCACAGACATCTGTTGTTGCTGTTGCTGCTGCTGTTGGGCTTGTTGCTGGATGTGGTTCAGGTACATTGTCAGCGGGTTGCTGGAAGCGTTGAACATGGCTGCCGCCGGCTGTGGCGTGTTTCCATTTGAAGGCGAGTTGCTGTTCTGTGAGCCATTGGGAGGTGGCGATGAGACTCCGTCGCCGCGAGGAGATGAGCTTTGCTGGACCTGGCGAGGGGGGTTGCCACATCGATCCTTTCCAAAGTTGACCTTGAACTTCTTGTACTCCTCCTTGCCACGGATGGCCTCGATGGCCTTGATGGCGTTGGCAATGTTGGTGAAGTTGACAAACGCGCAGCTCTTCTCGCGAAGGGCATTGACCAGCTCGATCTCACCATACTCGGTGAAGTCCTGGCGCAATCGTTCCTCCGTCCAAGTCTCGTCTAGGTTGCCGATGTAGACATTGCGTGAGGCTCCACCACTCACAGCGAGAGCAATGGCGGGCGGGAGAGCACCAGAGTGCTTGCCCCAGCCAATCTTGAGTCTGCGGTTGTGAATCATCAGGCCCTGGAGGTTGCTGAGGGCATAGAATGACGCAGCAGCTGTGGGGTCGATGAAGGTCACAAAGCAGATGTGCTTGTCGGGAATGTAGCGGATGTGGTGCAGCAGACCACCTCGCACCACGTTGCAAATCTCCTCAATCGTAGTCTCCGGGTGGATGTTACCCAGGTAGATGGTTCGGTTACCAAGGTTGTTCATTCCACCAGCGCTCGTGGCAACAGCAGCGGCAGCCACCGACTGCTGTGCGAGAGCGTTGGAGATGAGATCTCGATCGGCACCAGTAAGCATGTGTGCGTATCCGGGGGCGATGCCCAGATACTGGGCTGCGTTCTGCTGCTGCGTCTTGGAGACGTAGGCGCATCTGTCCTTGCCGTAGTAGACACGGCGAGGGGCTTGCCACTTGGCCTCCTGAGGCAACTGGGTTACAGCCTTGATCGCGTTGGCAATGGACAGGTAGTGGATGAAGGCAATGCTCTTCTCACGGACAATCTTGATGGTATCAATGGCACCAAACTTGCCGAGGTCCTCGCGCAATTCCTCGTCGCTAATCTCCTCAGGCAGGTTGCCCAAGTAGACATTTCGGGAGGCGCCGGACTGCTGAACGGCGAGCGCTACAGACGTTGGGACCTGAGAAGGCTTGCCCCAGCCAACCTTGATATCCTGGCCCTTGATGCACAGTTTCTTCAGAATGGCATCCGAGTGGAAGTGGGTGGCGGAGCTGGCATCCAGGAAGGAGATGAAGGCGCAGTTCTTATCGGGCAGCAGGCGGACGGACTCGATCTGACCACTCCTGACGTGGCCCAGGATCTCTTCAGCGCTGGTGTCGGGAGGGATGTTGCCGAGGTAGACGGTTCGGCTGGTGCCCGTTACGACGCCGGCGCCCATGGAAACGGGAGAACCAGGCTGCATGGAGCTCTGCATGTTGAAACCAGTGGGCGACTGGGGAGGGAAGAACTGAGGCGCTCCATAGGTTGAGGGAGAAACCAAAGCCTGGTAAGACTGAGGAGACATGCTGGGCTGCACGGGGCTCGAGATGCCACCGTTGTGCTGCTGAGCATTGGCCTGCTGATGCTGAGTCTGCTGGAAGCCAGACAGTCCTTGGAACTGAGGGCTACCAAAGGCAGCAGGGCTTCCAGGCTGGAAGGGGCTGCCCAAGAGCAGCTGCGATGGGAGCAGAGGCGTGAATTGCATATCAAAAGCCGTTCCCGGAGTCATGTCATGGCCATTGGGCTGGTTCTGGTTCATGTTCTGAGTGTTGAGCGTGGGAATGTTGGCGCGACGAGGGTGGCGGTCAGCGAAGCCCGAGATATTGGAGGTGAAGGCTCCATGCGAGAAACCAGTATCGCTGTTGGAGGGCTTGGAAGCATGGCCGAAACGCGCACCGTTGGCACCGGTTGGCGCTCCCTGGCCAGCAGTTCCATTAAGCTCCTGCATCCCAAGGAGGTGAGGGGGGACGAGAGAGTCCCGCCCAGCGTGACCGAGAACAGCCGTTTTGAGAGATTTCAACGTGCCTGGGAAAGGCACGAAACGTTAATGCTGGTAGAGGATTCGAGCAACCGGTTGTTGACGGGAGCCCAAATACAGAATTGCTGACGAATCGAACTCGTTTTGTGCAGAAACCAAGGTAAAAATAGCAATGCGTCTCTCTTCGAGGTAAGTCACGAGGTCCACCACAGATCAAACCGCTGTACCAAAGAAAAGGGGGTCGATGAATGGATGGAGGTATGTATGCAAGGTGACTTTGTTTTTGATTTTGAATCCAAGCAGATTATGAACTGGAAGCAGTCGAACGTTGAATATTCAAAAGTCGCAATTATTAAAACGGCAATATGCAAGCTCCCAGTGACATGAAAACGAGGCGAACTGGCGGCGTACGAGTAAGCAGTCGCTGCGAGAAGATGGATGCGATTGAGTGAATAAAGCCGCCACAGGTATATCGAAGAGTGTCGGTGAGCGAGGGTAGCAAAGCTAACAAGAACGAATAGACAAGGTCGCAGGGTCCTCGGGATGCGAAGAAGCGGATTAGTCGAGCAATAATATTAGTAAGAATATGGGCAGAATAAAGGTCGCGTCGCCGAGAGGGCCTATCGCAGCAAGAGTATATCCAATATCGACGGCGGACAGGACCCAATTGGCTTTCCAAGACGGCGATTGACAGCCTAGACCGTTGGCTCGGGACAGTCCAGTCGATCCAGCTGGGGAAACGACGCGGTGGATGTTGAACAGTCTAGGGCCTGGCGCAACTAAATTGTAGGAGCAAGATCGGTAGGACCGGGGGGGGGAGGGAGAAGAAGAATAGGAAGAGGAGTAAAGGTAAGAGGCAGAAGAGAAGAGGAGCAACGATGGAGCAAATGAAGGCAAAGAGTAATAAGGGATGAAGAAAATAACGGGCCACCGGCGAAGCGTGCTCAGCGGCAGTTTTTTCTGGAGCAGAGCGCAACGCGAGCAAGGGGCCGGAAGGAGAGAAGATAAACTAGAACCCTGAAAGGCTAGGAGAGAAGGAAGAAAAGAGGGCCAGCAATGGGAGCTCGTACAAGTACAGGAACAGAAGTAGGAGGCGGAGGAGGAAAAGAGAGCGGAGGGACAGACAGGAGAGGAAGCGAAAAGAGAGCGACGAACAGAGGCCAGGGGGTGGTTTAGTCGCTCTGTTGGTGTGGCCGAGGGACGAGTAGCGGTACCTGGCACGATGGGGATGACGGGGGGGCGTAGGACGAGGGCATGTAGCGTGTACGGGGAGCAGTGTGGCGAGTCTGGCTGAGTTGGAGGTTCCTGTACCTTGGGTTGCGCGTGTGCCAGCAGCACCCTCTGTAGCAGTACGAGCCGCCGTTACTTGGCACTACCAGAACCTTACCCGTCCAGGTGGCAGGAGCGTGCAGCTGCAGACTGGAAGCAGAGGGCAGGAGACGGGCAGGAGACGGGCAGGAGCAGGAGCAGGAGCAGAGCAGGCACAGGATCAGGAGCAAGCACAACTGCAAGTACAAAGGTACCAAGGAAGGTACGAGCAGGTACAAGTACAGATACGGGGTCGTACCAAAGGTACCTACCTAAGTACCATCTCCTGTGTCCAGCAACGGTCACCGGTATTGTATGTACCTCCTCTACTGTACAGCGCACACTCTGGCCCCTTGGCCAAGTATTGGCGGTACCTGCCGACGCCTACACTGACCGTACCGGTACCGGTAC